GGGGGAAGGAGAGGCGGGGTGGGGGTGGGGAGGGGTGGCTGGCGGCGTGGGTGGATAGCCTGTTGGGTGGGGGGGAGGAGGAGAAGGGTGGCGAGGGGGCTGGGGATGGGCGGGTGGGTGGCCGAGGAGGAGGAGGTGTGGAAGGGGCGTCTCGAAGGGAGGGGAAGGAGGTGAGAGTCGCAGGGGTAAGTGGATGAGGAGAGCAAGGGGGGCTGCTGGACGGAGGAGCTGTGGATGAGGGAGGAGTTATGGGTTTGGGTGTTACATACGCTTCCAGGACTCAGGAGTGGGTCTAGTGGTGACTGGCTATGACACGAAGAGGACATCCCGCACCTCCCTATGGGGCGATTGGGGCCACTTGCTGAAGTGTTGAAGTTGTTTGAGCTTCCCGGAAGGGACTTGTCGTTGTCTAGGTTGTGTTGGTAACATGTTGGTGTTGGAGACGAAGAAGTTGGCGGCACCCTCAGTTCGGGCACGCGCAGGTGCTGGTCCCAGAACGCGTCAGGCGCAGGCGCACAAGCAACCTGCTAGCCAAGCTTATCTGAAAAGATAAGCAGGATGTGGCAGAACGTTGAGCAGCTTGATTGCAGTATGGCATGGGTTGAGTGAGCACGGGGAGTTGCATGCAGCGTTGGCACGGTTGACGCGGGTTGGGGTAGTGTATCTATATAGTTGTGTTGCTCGGCTACGCTTTACTAAGCCGTTACCGCGGTTGGGGCGGGTGGTTGTAGAGCCCTGCGCTCGTTGCTGGCAGGCAGCCGGCGGTCGCTGGCGACCGGGTTGTAGGCAAGGTGGCAAGGCGCCGATAAGAATAGCGATAGTTGCATCATCAAACTGTAATCCAAGTTTGTCACGATATGTGACCGTATCGTTGCGTGCAGGCTGTCACAGATGGGATTTAGGCCGTAGCATGACGCGATTGGCGCCGCACGCACATCATATCTCGCAGGCCATTCCATTAGTAAGCACACCGCTTACTATCAGCACCACGCTATAGTGGTTTTAGCTTGTTATGTAGTTTACAAAATAGATTGGTATTGAAGAACTTCACCACTGCAATGTCTGGCCACCGTTGAGCCGTAGTAAGAACGCACTTTACAACACCGGTACTAACCTCAGCACTTACCATTCTATGGCTTACGGAGGGACTGGAGATTATGAGTGGGAGGAGGTGGACGAGGAGGACTGGGACGTGATATGCATCGACGATGAGGCGCAGCAGCCTGGCGTCCCTAAAAACGGCATTGAGTTTACCCTAGAAGAGACAGGTGAGTGAGGTTGGATAAGGATAACCAGCTCCTCTACTTGTTAACTTCCGCGCGCTTACTTTCATACCTGGCGTGGTGGCCATCAGATGTCCCAGTCGTCCCAGTCGCAACTAGGCGCGCTTTCACGACTAAGCGTTTACGATAAGGCCACACATATACAACCAATGTCGTTCAAACGTTTCCATTCTGTCGTACCGGCTGTACTGCCTTTCACAGTGGCCTACCTCCCTCTTCACCCCCTTCATCCCCCCTCACGTTGCTCACTCCTCCCTCTTCACCCCCTTCAGACCCTCAGAAACGCATCCGCCGCGCCATCACCAAGCGCGAGCGCGAGGCTGCTGCTGCCGTACATCGCTGCCACGTGCTGTGCCTGGTGGGGCGGGCACTGCTGCTGGACTGGGCGGCGGAGCAGCCGGAGGTGCAGGTGGGGGGGGGAGGGGGGATGGGAGGGAAGAGGGATGGCAGAGGGGCGGCCCTTGCGTGTGCCGTACAACAGCATTAGCAGTGCTGCTCCGCCGTTTTTCCCCTCCCGCGTCCTCGATGTCCCTTAGCGTCACCTCTGCCCCCTCTGCACCCCCGCCAGGCCACCGCCCTGTCTGTGCTGCCCCCCTCCGCCTGCCTGCGCAACCACGTGGGGGCGGAGGAGCCGCAGCGAGCCATCAACGGGCTGCGGCCGCTGGTGTCCTGGTTCCGGAGCTCCTTCGCGGTGCTGGGTTGGGGGTGCAGGTGGAGGTGGGGGAGGCAGGAAGCGGAAGGCGGGTGCTGGTGAGGGAGTGGAGGCCGGCGGCAGCCCCACTGACGCTGTCCTTCGAGCCCGAGCGGCTGCACCAGAAGACACTGAAGGCCCCTGCCGCCGCCGCGGCCGCCACACCCAACACCTACAGCATGCAGCTGACGCCGCGTGTGGGGCCGCCTCAGCTGCTACGGGCGGCAGTGGCGGGCAACAAGCGGCGGAAGGGCGCACAGCGGGAGGAGAAGGGCGAGGGGGAGGACGAGGGGATGGCGGCGGCAGCAGCGGCTGGTGGCCCCCGGCCCAACCGCGGTGAAGAGGAGTTTGAGCGGCAACTGCAGATGGCCCTGCTCGCCACCGGCAGGGAGGCGGAGGCAGCAGCGGCAGCAGCAGCAGCAGCAGCGGGGTCATCCAAGGCAGCGACTCTGAGTGTTCGTCCCGAGGTGGTGGTCAACTGCTGGGCGGAGGTGTACTGCGGCAGTGCGGAGAGGGGGCGCTGGGTGGCGGTGGATGTGGTGAACGGCTACCTGGACCGGCCGGAGCTCATAGACAGCGCCACCTTCCGCCCCACCCCGGTCTGCTACGTGGTGGCGGCGGAGCGGGGGCGACTGCGGGACGTGACGCCGCGCTACTGCGCCAGCCTGCTAGCCGCCCGCCGCAACCGGGATGAGGGCTGGTGGGGGCAGACGGTGCAGAGGCTGGAGGCGGGGCGGCATGGGCGGCTGGCGGGGGTGCCGGAGAGGGAGAGGGAGGAGGGGGGTAAGAAGGTGGGAGGAGGAGGAGGAGGAGCCAATAAGGCAGGCGGAAGCGGCGCTGTTGCCGTCGCTAATGGTGGAGGTGGGGCTGGGGTTGCAGCAGCAGCGGGAGCAAGCAGGGGTGCCCCCGCAGCAGCAGCAGCTGGCAGCGGTGGTGCCCCGCCCCGCTTCATAGATGCCCGGCTGTCCCACCAGCGGGGGGAGGTGCAGCACCCAATGGGGCCGCATGCAGCAGCGGCAGCAGCAGCAGTCCGGGGGGTGACAGCGGCGGCAGCAGCACCTGCGGGGCCGGCAGCAGCAGCAGCAGCAGGCGGTGGCGGTGGCGGGGGCGAGCAGCTGCGCGCTGCTCGCGAGTCCGCCGAGCTGCGGCAGCGGGGTGCGGTGCAGCTGGCGGGGCTGCCCACCAGTGTGGAGGGCTTCAAGGGGCACCCGGCGTACGTGCTGAAGCGGCATATCGGCAAGTATGAGGTGAGGGGCGGCAGGTGGGAGGTGGGGGAGTAGAGTTGTGCTCTCATCATCGCGGTTTTCCTCTCCCCTGCTTTCCCCTTGCCCCCCCCTTGCCTCCCCTCCCCTGCAGGCCCTGCACCCCGGCACCGCCCCCCTGGGACTGCACCGCGGGGAGCCCTACTACCCGCGGCAGCAGCTCAGTGTGCTGCACACGGCGGAGCGCTGGAGGAGGGAGGGACGGCAGGTGGGGGCTGGGGGAGGGGGGGAGCATGCGAGGACAGGAACACGCTGGAAACAACGGCCGGACAAGACACCTGACGTACGACGCCATGATGTGCCGTACTGTGGCGCGTATGGTGCACCTTGGCCCTACTTTATCTTGTTGGATCCCTGTAATCATAGCCGTGCCCTTCCCTCCCTTCCTTTCGCTCTCCCCCAGGTGCGGGAGGTGGAGCTGCGCTGCCCCGCCAAGGTGGTGAAGAAGCGGCTGCTGCCCGGGGCGGGGCCGCCGGGAGGGCTGGGGCTGGGGCTGGGAGGGGCCCGGAGAGCTGCGTCCATGCGCTCAGCAGGCGGTGGCAGTGGAGGCGGGAAGCGCAAGGGGCGGGGTGTTGGCGGTGGTGGTGCGGACGAGGAGGAGGAGGAGGAGGAGGACGCGGAGTTGTTGACGGAGGTGAGAGGAGGGGGGGAGGGGAGTGAGCTGGCTGGGCAGGGCTGCAGGTGTGGGGGGGTGCGAACTTCCCACATGTTCGATGGGGCTTAGTGCGGGGGCTGGCAGTATGAGTTACACCTATGGGCCAACGGGCAACCACGCAACAGTCCTGAACACCGCCTCAATCGTCTCGTACCCCTTAACGCCACAACCTGCTACTCCCCACCCGTTTGTTGCCTTCCCCGCAGCTGGGAAGCGATGCAGCAGCGGCAGCCACCGCTGGCCCCACCGTTAACTTGTACGGCAAGTGGCAGACGGATGCCTGGGAGCCGCCCACTGCTGTGGACGGTATCGTGCCCAAGAACGAGCGCGGCAACGTGGAGTGTCCGCCGCTGGTGCCCTGCCTGCCCCGAACAGTAGCCCCCCTGTATACAAACAAGAACACACTTAACGAGTTGGCTACTCCCAGAAACACATGCTGCATCCATTTTACCAACTCCTCCAGCGCCCAAGTTCTGGATGGACACGCGCAGACAGACACCGTACACCAACGCCTATACATGTTGCGTACAACGGCTACACGCCTCGACGCCTGTCATTCGACAATGTCGTACAGCCAGCCCAGTTATGCCCAGTGGGCTTCAGTGGAGCTCAGATATCAGTGAAGCCCGGAACCACTCTTTGGGTTCAAATTGTTGCCTACCTCCCAGTCAGCACGATAGCTAAACGCTCACCGGCAACCGCAGGCAGCAAGCCACACATGCCTGGACATTCGTTGGCACACATGCTCTCGCCCCCTCGCCAACATCACCTACTACAGTTCTGCATTGTGCCATGTACTTGGCTCGTACCCTTACTCAAATGTTGCAAGTAGTGGAAAAAGGCAAGCAGCCCGAACGCGAAGCACGCCCTAGCTGTGTGCCTACACGCTGCCGCTACAGCCCCACAGTGACGGCCCTCACCGCCGCGTCGCCATCAGCCCCCTGCCCCGCCCGGCCCACATTCAGACGGCCTGACAGGTGGCAAGGAACGCTCACATCCGTCCCATGTAGCGCAGCTGGACGACGGCGGCACGCCCCAGCCGCTTGCCGAAGTGCAGTAAAATGGGGCGCGCGGGCCCCACGTAAGGCTGCACCTGCGCCCTGGGCGTTGCTGCGGCCGGTGCACCCCGGGCCTTGCTGCGCCTGGGCTTCGGGCTTTCGTACGTCTTGGTCAGCACCGCGCTTTCGTACGTCTTGGTCAGCACCGTGCTGATGCGACCACTGCTGTGGAATGCGGCCAGCTCTGACGGGTAGGTCTGCAGGACCTCCTGCTGCTCCGGGATGGGGGCGTGGCTGAGGATGTTGCGCAGCCTCACGTGGAACCAGCGAAGCCCAACCTTCTTGCTGCTTTGGCTGTTGCAGCGGTGGTCCCGGACCTGCAGGTAGATGGAGCACCGAGCGCCGTGATCAACGCAGTTGCATGGGAAGCAGGGGTGTACAGGCCAGCGGCATTGTGGCCCGGCCCTGTTGGCTGGCTGCAGTCCCCACGACGACTGCAGCTGTTAGGACAAGCGTCGTGCCTGGAACTCGACAGGTGCTGCGCTGCTGCCTCGCTCTCTGACCCCTTGGTCCGTTTGCCTGCCCTCCTGGCTCCTGGTTGGGTTGTTTTGGTGGCCCCTCTAACGGGCCCCCCTACACGGGAGAAAGCTCGGCGCAGGTGCTCCTCTGCGCCCCCACACCCGCCCCGTTCGGCACCGCAAGGAACGCTACTGTTGACCCGTGAGTGCTGCGGTAGTCCTGTGACCACTGCACGCGCCCTCCTAACACCTCACAAGCTTGGGTGCTCATTTTCTGATTGGCCACCCCGCTTGCAACCCCGCTTTTCCCCTTGCCAGCGGCACGCACTGCAAACGGTTTCCTGGCCGCCTTGTTACCGTCCCTCCTGTATTTTGCAGGTGACCGTGACGCTGTCTGCGACTGTAGCCTCCTAACCTCCTCCTCCTTTTCCTTCTGCTGTGGGTCTCCTGGCCGGACTCGCCAATCTCGTAGTACGGCAACTCGCCCATCCCCCACGCACGCCCCAACACCCTTCGCTGGCATTCTTACCTGGATGTACCAGTCCGCCTTCAGCAGCCCGTCCGGCGTAAGCGCCAGCGCAGATGCCATGTCTTCCAGGAGGCTGCGCAGGTCCTCGTAGCTGTCGAAGTCCTTGTCCTTGCAGCACTCGCCGAGCGCAGCCAGCTCCCTGAACATCGTGGAGCTGAGCGACGGGATGGCGGTGATGGAGTCCAACAGCTCTCCGGACTCCGTGGTGGCCGCCTGAGCAGGGAACAGCGGGCGGCGACGGGTAGCGAGTATGTTTTGTGTAGGGCGGCAGTACAAGTTCGCGTCCTCAAGCCTCGCACTGTCCAGTCTCCTGTGTCCCAGAAACCCTTCCGGTTCCGTGTCGCCACAGCACCCCGCATGCCTTGAAAATCAACGGACACCCGGGTGAGCGCCTCAAACGCCCACTTCTCCAGGTGTGCACCTGAACACAACTTCTGCGTGTATTGGCCCTCTGTGTGTTCGTCCACCAAGCCTCTAGGGCCTCCTGGTTGGTGAACATGCGCTACTCAGAAGGTATTCTTGATGTACATGGGCATGTGTTGGCATTACGCTCGTACCTGCAGCACCTGAGCGAGCAGCGGGTTATCCAGGTACAGCCTGCCGTTACGCTCGGTGGCGAAGCTGCCCAGCAGCGCCTCGAACGCCAGCGGGAGCTTGGCGGGCTCCACTCCAGCCATCGGGTCCAGCAGCTCGCGCAGGAGCAGCACCTGTGAAGTAGGCTGGCCCAGCACTTGCAGCACCATGCGCAGGTCCGCCAGCACCTGTATAGGGATCACATGCGGCAATCGGGGATTGCTAGTCGAAACCGTCCGGCTCCACTTGCTGCCGTTCAACGCGCAAGAAGCACACTCTTTCACAGCCAGCGCCTGACCATGCTTTGCACCCGTTCCCATTTGCAGGAACGCATTATGCAGGCCCCACCTCGGGAATGAGCTTTCGCGTCATGGTTTGCTTGACCAGCTCCGCAGCTGTGTTAGCCGTGCGGATGTACCTCCACTCCTGGCACAAGTAGGCGAGCATGGCGATCTGCGGCGGCGACCGCCAGACCAGGTCGCTTGGCAGTGCCGGATCCCAGCTCGCGGCCTGGGCCTTGAGCTGCTCCCAGGCGACTTGCAGCACACCCTTGGACACCGTGGGGCTCAGGTTGAGTAGGAAGTTGTCCATGATCAGGGCGAAACCGTTGGTCTGCGGCAGTGCACAGAAGAGAGGCGTTAAGCTCTACGGAAGCTACAGTCATGGGTGAGACAGGATGGGCGGGGGAGCGTCAGAAGCTTAGTGGGGGGTCGCGGCTGGGGGTGTGACAATGAGGCAGGCGGTAAGGAGCTTAGAGGTCCGCCCAAAGGCGGTGTGGTTTGCTGACGGACAAGCGAGGCAGGGTTAGACTGAAGGGCTCTGCAATAGCACCAGAGCGTCGGGTCCTGGGACTGCAACACCAATTGCTCACCGGGGTGGCAGCAACGTTGGCCCATAGCGTCGCCATGGAGCTGCCCGTGACGGCCCAGGCGACCCAGTGGGGGCTGCCCAGCAGGAGTTCCTTGAGGATGCTGCAGTACACACGACAGTTGAGGGAAGGAAAATGGTGCATGTGTCAGCTCCTTTGTGTCGTACGCCTGCTGTAGGTATGAGCGCAGACCTCTGCCCCTTGTGCAATAAGCTTATGGCGTACAATTGAACCTCGCAGCGATCTCCTCTTAGTGCCTTCTGCCCCTCGTGTGCACCGCCGTCTGGGCGTGTTCCAATGGCCACTGCCCCCTTATCCTCCCACGCCCATGTAATAACGCTACACGCTGAGGGAAAACTCGTGCTGACTTACCGCCGCATGTCCAGCACCGCGTTCACGTCCAGGGTTGAGCCGCGCGGCGGAAAGTCGTCCGACACGTGCCGCGCAATCAGGTAGAAGCTCTGCGCCTCGTCGATAAGCAGGAAGTTCAGACGGTCCCGTGGCAGGCGCCGCATGAAGTCCTGAATGGCGCGCGCCATGGCGCCCGCGGATTGGTCGCTGGGTAAGGGCGTGCAGGCAGCAGCAGAGAGCTGCTGGTCAGCAGCACTCTGATTGAGTTTACCGAGAAAGTCCTTAAGGAAGCCACCGTTGCCGCTGGTGCGGGTGCAGCCCAAGCAGTCCACGCGCAGGAAGTTGGCCTTGGAAAGCACCGTGCCGCCGCTGCTGTAGTAGGTGTTGGCCACAGCAGGCAGAACCTCGTTGAGCATGTAGGACTTGCCACTCTGCACAACGGGCGCAAGATGGGCGCAAGATGGCTAGGTAAACGCGCATTCCTCTTGGTCGCTCAGCTGCATATCACTCGACAGTGCACAAAGCTGCATGCATCGCCCATCTACCACGCCTAACCTTCTCCCTCCAAACCCTGTTGCATGTGGGTGACACAAGCTGCACACGGAGCTCTCCGACCTTGGTCAGGCCGTTATATCCCACCTTGACCAGACCGTTGATGAACAGCGGCGGGATGGGTCTGCCCTCACGGTGCATGTCCTCGGCGAGGCCCAGCCAATCCTGCAGCTCATCTATCTGCCTGCCCTCGGGGTCCAGGAAGAACCTGCTGCTCACGCCAGCACTTGCGGCAGCTGCAGCGCTGACGGTGTCCATGGGCTCAAAGAAGAACAGGTCCTGGTTCTGCGAGTCTTGCCGGAGCTGCAGCTTGCAAGCTGGCGGGCCTGCACAAGGATAGCCCGTCGTGCCCACAAGGCGCATACACATAAAACAACCAGCCGATGTCGCCCAGTTGCAATGCATGCAGGATCACAACGCAACGAAAGGAGGCAGGAACGAAGGGGTGCAGAGCAGCAAAGTGACGAAGCAACTTCAAGCTGAATCAAGCCATAAGTCACACCCCTCAAGCAGCAAGAGGTTGTATGTCATGCAGAACACTGAACCGCCCCTTTACGGTAGAGAAAGTGTGTGCTGTCCCACAGGGCTGCGCAATCGCAGGCCCAACGGGCTGGGGCGTGTAACTGCCGAGTGTTATCACTATGCATGTTGCCCGCCTGCGGAGGGACAAGCCAACATGTTGGCGCTAGCGCTGTAAATGGGCATTCTGGCGAAGTCCCCCCTTCCCCGCTCTCCATTCGTGGTGGCCTGCGGCCTGAGAGTTGGTTGCTGTCCAGGAATGTGAGACCTGACGAGGCTGAGAGTGGGGGCCTGGCTGGTGCTTTTTGTACTGTAGGGCCCAACTCCGCCTAAACCCTCCATCACAACACCTGTGGAAACGTTAGTACGGTGCATGGGCGGGCCTAGCAGTTTCGGAAGGGGCGCGTAAGCAGCGACGATGGGGGGTGGTAATGGCTGACGCTCAAGGCAGGCTACGTGACTAACCGAGCGTCCACGCACTCAAGCCCAGTGCTGCAATGAAACGGGCACACCAAGCCCACAAAACCTGTCCCCCCCTTCCCGCGTCAGGCACAGTCGGCTCACCTGCAGCAGCGTTGCTGGTGCCAGCGTCAGCGCCTGCAGGCGGCAGGCCCACGGCAGGGCGAGCGGGGTTGGTCACCGGAACGCCCGCGCTGGCGGCGTGGGTGGATATCCTGTTGGGTGGTGGGGAGGAGGAGAAGGGTGGCGACGGGGGTGGAGATGGGCGGGTAGGGGGGCGAGGAGGAGGAGGCGTGGAAGGGGTGTCTCGAAGGGATGGGAAGGAGGTGAGAGTCGCAGGGTAAGTGAATGAGGGCAAGGGAGGCTTCTGGAGAGGAGCTGGTTGAGGGAGGAGCTATGGGTTTGGGTTTATAGGCGCTTCCAAGACTCTGGAGTGCGTCTAGTGGTGACCGGCAATGACACGAAGAGGACATCCCGCACCTCCCTATGCGCGATTGGTGCCACTTCAAGAGGTTGGTTCCCCACATCTTGGTTCATCGGCACGGTGTGTGGCACGGAGGTGTATGTATACTGGGCAGGCGTAGGCTAGCAGCAGCTTTGTTGCGGTAGGGTAGCAGTAGTCAGCGTTGCTGGAGGTTGCATGTTGCCGGTTGTTGGCCTTCAACGTTACGGTGGCTGTAGGCCCCAAGATGTCAGGAGGGGGATGATGACGATTTGATGAAAGGGAGACATCCGAGCTCGCAGCCTGGCCTGTTCCGGCCGAGGCTGTGTTGGGAATGGATTTGGCTTGTGTTGTGTTGGAGGTCAAACGTGCGTGTTGGTGTTGTTGGTGTTGGTGACGAAGAAGTTGGCCGCATCCTTACTTACCTTGAGCACGCGCAGGAGCTGGTCCCAGAACGCGTCAGGCGCAGGCGCACCTTGCAACCTGCCATCAAAGCTCCTATGGGAAGGTATCGCAAGCAGGATGTGGCAGAACCTTCAGCAGTTTGATTGCAGTATGGCATGGGTTGTGTGAGCACGGAGTTGCATGCAGCGTTGAAGCGGGTGGTGGTAGTGTATCTACATACTACTTGTGTTGCTCGGCTACGCCTTACTAAGCCGTTACCGGGGTTGGGAGTTGGTTGTAGAGCCCTGCGCTCGTTGCTGGCCGGTAGCCGGCGGTCGCTGGGATGGCGACCGGGTTACAGGCAAGGTGGACGGGCGCCTATGAGATGAGCGGCGGTTGCATCAGCATAATGTAATCAAAGTTAGTCAGGATATGTTGCCATATCGTTGTGCAGGGCTGCAGGCTGTCACAGCAGGGATTTAGTCCGCAGCATGATGCGATTTGCGCCGCACGCACATCATACCTCGCAAGCCATTCCTTTAGTAAGCGCACCGTGTTACTCATGGTACCATGCTTTAGTGGTTTTAGTTTGTTATAGTTTACGTTTCAAAATGGTACTGAAGCACTAAATCACTGCAATGTCTGGCCACCGTTGAGTCGTAGTAAGAACGCACCTTACATTACTGGTACTAACCTCAGCACTTACCATTTCTATGGCTTACGGAGGGACTGGGGATTATGAGTGGGAGGAGGTGGACGAGGAGGACTGGGACGTGGTATGCATCGACGATGAGGCGCAGCAGCCTGGCGTCCCTAAAAACGGCATTGAGTTTACCCTAGAAGAAACAGGTTAGTGATACTATATGTTATTACCAGCTTTTCGACTTGTTCACGTCCGCGCGCTTACTTTCATACCTGGCGTGTGGCCATGGGATGTCCCAGTCGCGACTAGGCGCGCTTTTACGACAAGCGCCTGCGATAGGGTCGCACTTATACAATCAATGCCATTCAGTCGTTTCCATTCCGTCGTGCCGGCTGTACTTCCTCTCACAATGGCCTTTCCAAACCTATTTCTGCTTCCTACCTCTCCCCCCCTCTGCACCCTCTTCACCCCCTCCACCCCCCCAGACCCTCAGAAACGCATCCGCCGCGCCATCACCAAGCGCGAGCGCGAGGCGGCTGCTGCCGTACACCGCTGCCACGTGCTGTGCCTAGTGGGGCGGGCGCTGCTGCTGGACTGGGCGGCGGAGCAGCCGGAGGTGCAGGTGGGAGGGGGCGGGCTGGGAGGGAAGAGGGATGACAGAGGGGCGGCCCCAATACGTGCGTGGGTCGTACATGCAGCATTAGCAGTGCTGCTCCGCCGTGTTCCCCCCCTCCCGCGTCCTCCATGTCGCTCTGCCTCGCCGCCTCCCCATCACCTCCTCCCCCCTCTACCCCTCCCCCGCCAGGCCACCGCTCTGTCTGTGCTGCCCCCCTCCGCCTGCCTGCGCAACCACGTGGGGGCGGAGGAGCCGCAGCGAGCCATCAACGGGCTGCGGCCGCTGGTGTCCTGGTTCCGGAGCTCCTTCGCAGTGCTGCCGCCCGACCTGGTGTGGCGGGGGAGCGGAGGAGCTGGGGGAGGAGGAGGGGGAGGGGGGCGGCTGAGGCCGGAGGATGACATGGATCAACAGGTGAGGGAAGGGGGAGTGGAGGGGATCCCGATCGGTTTGCTGCAGTGTCCCAAGCCGCAGCTTGTCAGCTTGCCTTACCCTCGTCATCCCCTCTCTCCCTCCCTCCCACCACCCCCACCTCACCCCCCCCTCTGCCTCAGCTGCTGCGCGCCGCTCGCAGCCTCAGCGGCCCCGTGGAGTGTCTGGTGGGGTGCTTCGTGGCGGCGGTGCGGGCGCAGGGCGGCAGCGCGCGGCTGGTGCGGCTGGCAGATGCGGTGCCGCTGGCGCCATGGAGGGCCCGACCCGTGAGCCTGCGGACGGCGGAGCAGGCGGCAGGAGCAGGAGGAGGAGGGGGAGGAGGAGGGAAGGCAGGAGGGAAAGGGAGGAAGGTGGTGGATTTGGATGCTGGAGATGTGTTGGAGGAGGTGGTGGTGGAGGAGGGGAAGGGAAAGGGGAAGGGTGGGAAGGGGAGAGGAAAGGGAGGGCGGAGTTTGGAGGAGGTGTTAGCGGCGCGTGGGAGAGGAGGCGGGAGGGGGAGAGGTGGGGTTGGGGGTGCAGGTGGAGGTGGGGGAGGCAGGAAGCGGAAGGCGGGTGCTGGTGAGGGAGTGGAGGCCGGCGGCAGCCCCACGGCCGCTGCTACGGGCGGCGGCGGCTAGGAGCATGTCAGCCCCGGCGGCAGTGGCGGGCAACAAGCGGCGGAAGGGCGCACAGCGGGAGGAGAAGGGCGAGGGGGAGGACGAGGGGATGGCGGCGGCAGCAGCGGCTGGTGGCCCCCGGCCCAACCGCGGTGAAGAGGAGTTTGAGCGGCAACTGCAGATGGCCCTGCTCGCTACCGGCAGGGAGGCGGAGGCGGCAGCGGCAGCAGCAGCAGCGGGGTCATCCAAGGCAGCGACTCTGAGTGTTCGTCCCGAGGTGGTTGTCAACTGCTGGGCGGAGGTGTACTGCGGCAGTGCGGAGAGGGGGCGCTGGGTGGCGGTGGATGTGGTGAACGGCTACCTGGACCGGCCGGAGCTCATAGACAGCGCCACCTTCCGACCCACCCCCGTCTGCTACGTGGTGGCGGCGGAGCGGGGGCGACTGCGGGACGTCACCCCGCGCTACTGCGCCAGCCTGCTAGCCGCCCGCCGCAACCGGGATGAGGGCTGGTGGGGGCAGACGGTGCAGAGGCTGGAGGCGGGGCGGCATGGGCGGCTGGCGGGGGTGCCGGAGAGGGAGAGGGAGGAGGGGGGTAAGGAGGTGGGAGGAGGAGGAGGAGGAGGAGCCAATAAGGCAGGCGGAAGCGGCGCTGTTGCCGTCGCTAATGGTGGAGGTGGGGCAGGAGTTGCAGCAACAGGGGGAGCAGGGCGGGCTGCCCCCGCAGCAGCAGCAGCTGGCAGCGGTGGTGCCCCGCCCCGTATCATAGATGCCCGGCTGTCCCACCAGCGGGGGGAGGTGCAGCACCCAATGGGGCCGCATGCAGCAGCGGCAGCAGCAGCAGTCCGGGGGGTGACGGCGGCGGCAGCAGCACCTGCGGGGCCGGCAGCAGCAGCAGCAGCAGGCAGTGGCGGTGGCGGGGGCGAGCAGCTGCGCGCTGCTCGCGAGTCCGCCGAGCTGCGGCAGCGGGGTGCGGTGCAGCTGGCGGGGCTGCCCACCAGTGTGGAGGGCTTCAAGGGGCACCCGGCGTACGTGCTGAAGCGGCATATCGGCAAGTATGAGGTGAGGGGCGGCAGGTGGGAGGTGGGGGAGTAGAGTTGTGCTCTCATCATCGCGGTTTTCCTCTCCCCTGCCCTCCGCTTGCCCCCCCCTTGCCTCCCCTCCCCTGCAGGCCCTGCACCCCGGCACCGCCCCCCTGGGACTGCACCGCGGAGAGCCCTACTACCCGCGGCAGCAGCTCAGTGTGCTGCACACGGCGGAGCGCTGGAGGAGGGAGGGACGGCAGGTGGGGGCTGGGGGAGGGGGGGAGCATGCGAGGACAGGAACACGCTGGAAACAACGGCCGGACAAGACACCTGACGTACGACGCCATGATGTGCCGTACTGTGGCGCGTATGGTGCACCTTGGCCCTACTTTATCTTGTTGGATCCCTGTAATCATAGCCGTGCCCTTCCCTCCCTTCCTTTTGCTCTCCCCCAGGTGCGGGAGGCGGAGCTGCGCTGCCCCGCCAAGGTGGTGAAGAAGCGGCTGCTGCCCGGGGCGGGGCCGCCGGGAGGGCTGGGGCTGGGGCTGGGAGGGGCCCGGAGAGCTGCGTCCATGCCCTCAGCAGGCGGTGGCAGTGGAGGCGGGAAGCGCAAGGGGCGGGGTGTTGGCGGTGGTGGTGCGGACGAGGAGGAGGAGGAGGAGGACGCGGAGCTGTTGACGGAGGTGAGAGGAGGGGGGGAGGGGAGTGAGCTGGCTGGGCAGGGCTGCAGGTGTGGGGGGGTGCGAACTTCCCACATGTTCGATGGGGCTTAGTGCGGGGGCTGGCAGTATGAGTTACACCTATGGGCCAACGGGCAACCACGCAACAGTCCTGAACACCGCCTCAATCGTTTCGTACCCCTTAACGCCACCACCTGCTACTCCCCACCCATTTGTTGCCTTCCCCGCAGCTGGGAAGCGATGCAGCAGCGGCAGCCACCGCTGGCCCCACCGTTAACTTGTACGGCAAGTGGCAGACGGATGCCTGGGAGCCGCCCACTGCTGTGGACGGTATCGTGCCCAAGAACGAGCGCGGCAACGTGGAGTGTCCGCCGCTGGTGCCCTGCCTGCCCCGAACAGTAGCCCCCCTGTATACAAACAAGAACACACTTAACGAGTTGGCTACTCCCAGAAACACATGCTGCATCCATTTTACCAACTCCTCCAGCGCCCAAGTTCTGGATGGACACGCGCAGACAGACACCGTACACCAACGCCTATACATGTTGCGTACAACGGCTACACGCCTCGACGCCTGTCATTCGACAATGTCGTACAGCCAGCCCAGTTATGCCCAGTGGGCTTCAGTGGAGCTCAGATATCAGTGAAGCCCGGAACCACTCTTTGGGTTCAAATTGTTGCCTACCTCCCAGTCAGCACGATAGCTAAACGCTCACCGGCAACCGCAGGCAGCAAGCCACACATGCCTGGACATTCGTTGGCACACATGCTCTCGCCCCCTCGCCAACATCACCTACTACAGTTCTGCATTGTGCCATGTACTTGGCTCGTACCCTTACTCAAATGTTGCAAGTAGTGGAAAAAGGCAAGCAGCCCGAACGCGAAGCACGCCCTAGCTGTGTGCCTACACGCTGCCGCTACAGCCCCACAGTGACGGCCCTCACCGCCGCGTCGCCATCAGCCCCCTGCCCCGCCCGGCCCACATTCAGACGGCCTGACAGGTGGCAATGAACGCTCACATCCGTCCCATGTAGCGCAGCTGGACGACGGCGGCACGCCCCAGCCGCTTGCCGAAGTGCAGTAAAATGGGGCGCGCGGGCCCCACGTGAGGCTGCACCTGCGCCCTGGGCGTTGCTGCGGCCGGTGCACCCCGGGCCTTGCTGCGCCTGGGCTTCGGGCTTTCGTACGTCTTGGTCAGCACCGCGCTTTCGTACGTCTTGGTCAGCACCGTGCTGATGCGACCACTGCTGTGGAATGCGGCCAGCTCTGACGGGTAGGTCTGCAGGACCTCCTGCTGCTCCGGGATGGGGGCGTGGCTGAGGATGTTGCGCAGCCTCACGTGGAACCAGCGAAGCCCAACCTTCTTGCTGCTTTGGCTGTTGCAGCGGTGGTCCCGGACCTGCAGGTAGATGGAGCACCGAGCGCCGTGATCAACGCAGTTGCATGGGAAGCAGGGGTGTACAGGCCAGCGGCATTGTGGCCCGGCCCTGTTGGCCCGCAGTCCCCACGACGACTGCAGCTGTTAGGACAAGCGTCGTGCCTGGAACTCGACAGGTGCTGCGCTGCTGCCTCGCTCTCTGACCCCTTGGTCCGTTTGCCTGCCCTCCTGGCTCCTGGTTGGGTTGTTTTGGTGGCCCCTCTAACGGGCCCCTCTAACGGTCCCCCCTACACGGGAGAAAGCTCGGCGCAGGTGCTCCTCTGCGCCCCCACACCCGCCCCGTTCGGCACCGCAAGGAACGCTACTGTTGACCCGTGAGTGCTGCGGTAGTCCTGTGACCACTGCACGCGCCCTCCTAACACCTCACAAGCTTGGGTGCTCATTTTCTGATTGGCCACCCCGCTTGCAACCCCGCTTTTCCCCTTGCCAGCGGCACGCACTGCAAACGGTTTCCTGGCCGCCTTGTTACCGTCCCTCCTGTATTTAGCAGGTGACCGTGACGCTGTCTGCGACTGTAGCCTCCTAACCTCCTCCTCCTTTTCCTTCTGCTGTGGGTCTCCTGGCCGGACTCGCCAATCTCGTAGTACGGCAACTCGCCCATCCCCCACGCACGCCCCAACACCCTTCGCTGGCATTCTTACCTGGATGTACCAGTCCGCCTTCAGCAGCCCGTCCGGCGTAAGCGCCAGCGCAGATGCCATGTCTTCCAGGAGGCTGCGCAGGTCCTCGTAGCTGTCGAAGTCCTTGTCCTTGCAGCACTCGCCGAGCGCAGCCAGCTCCCTGAACATCGTGGAGCTGAGCGACGGGATGGCGGTGATGGAGTCCAACAGCTCTCCGGACTCCGTGGTGGCCGCCTGAGCAGGGAACAGCGGGCGGCGACGGGTAGCGAGTATGTTTTGTGTAGGGCGGCAGTACAAGTTCGCGTCCTCAAGCCTCGCACTGTCCAGTCTCCTGTGTCCCAGAAACCCTTCCGGTTCCGTGTCGCCACAGCACCCCGCATGCCTTGAAAATCAACGGACACCCGGGTGAGCGCCTCAAACGCCCACTTCTCCAGGTGTGCACCTGAACACAACTTCTGCGTGTATTGGCCCTCTGTGTGTTCGTCCACCAAGCCTCTAGGGCCTCCTGGTTGGTGAACATGCGCTACTCAGAAGGTATTCTTGATGTACATGGGCATGTGTTGGCATTACGCTCGTACCTGCAGCACCTGAGCGAGCAGCGGGTTATCCAGGTACAGCCTGCCGTTACGCTCGGTGGCGAAGCTGCCCAGCAGCGCCTCGAACGCCAACGGGAGCTTGGCGGGCTCCACTCCAGCCATCGGGTCCAGCAGCTCGCGCAGGAGCAGCACCTGTGAAGTAGGCTGGCCCAGCACTTGCAGCACCATGCGCAGGTCCGCCAGCACCTGTATAGGGATCACATGCGGCAATCGGGGATTGCTAGTCGAAACCGTCTGGCTCCACTTGCTGCCGTTCAACGCGCAAGAAGCACACTCTTTCACAGCCAGCGCCTGACCATGCTTTGCACCCGTTCCCATTTGCAGGAACGCATTATGCAGGCCCCACCTCGGGAATGAGCTTTCGCGTCATGGTTTGCTTGACCAGCTCCGCAGCTGTGTTAGCCGTGCGGATGTACCTCCACTCCTGGCACAAGTAGGCGAGCATGGCGATCTGCGGCGGCGACCGCCAGACCAGGTCGCTTGGCAGTGCCGGATCCCAGCTCGCGGCCTGGGCCTTGAGCTGCTCCCAGGCGACTTGCAGCACACCCTTGGACACCGTGGGGCTCAGGTTGAGTAGGAAGTTGTCCATGATCAGGGCGAAACCGTTGGTCTGCGGCAGTGCACAGAAGAGAGGCGTTAAGCTCTACGGAAGCTACAGTCATGGGTGAGACAGGATGGGCGGGGGAGCGTCAGAAGCTTAGTGGGGGGTCGCGGCTGGGGGTGTGACAATGAGGCAGGCGGTAAGGAGCTTAGAGGTCCGCCCAAAGGCGGTGTGGTTTGCTGACGGACAAGCGAGGCAGGGTTAGACTGAAGGGCTCTGCAATAGCACCAGAGCGTCGGGTCCTGGGACTGCAACACCAATTGCTCACCGGGGTGGCAGCAACGTTGGCCCATAGCGTCGCCATGGAGCTGCCCGTGACGGCCCAGGCGACCCAGTGGGGGCTGCCCAGCAGGAGTTCCTTGAGGATGCTGCAGTACACACGACAGTTGAGGGAAGGAAAATGGTGCATGTGTCAGCTCCTTTGTGTCGTACGCCTGCTGTAGGTATGAGCGCAGACCTCTGCCCCTTGTGCAATAAGCTTATGGCGTACAATTGAACCTCGCAGCGATCTCCTCTTAGTGCCTTCTGCCCCTCGTGTGCACCGCCGTCTGGGCGTGTTCCAATGGCCACTGCCCCCTTATCCTCCCACGCCCATGTAATAACGCTACACGCTGAGGGAAAACTCGTGCTGACTTACCGCCGCATGTCCAGCACCGCGTTCACGTCCAGGGTTGAGCCGCGCGGCGGAAAGTCGTCCGACACGTGCCGCGCAATCAGGTAGAAGCTCTGCGCCTCGTCGATAAGCAGGAAGTTCAGACGGTCCCGTGGCAGGCGCCGCATGAAGTCCTGAATGGCGCGCGCCATGGCGCCCGCGGATTGGTCGCTGGGTAAGGGCGTGCAGGCAGCAGCAGAGAGCTGCTGGTCAGCAGCACTCTGATTGAGTTTACCGAGAAAGTCCTTAAGGAAGCCACCGTTGCCGCTGGTGCGGGTGCAGCCCAAGCAGTCCACGCGCAGGAAGTTGGCCTTGGAAAGCACCGTGCCGCCGCTGCTGTAGTAGGTGTTGGCCACAGCAGGCAGAACCTCGTTGAGCATGTAGGACTTGCCACTCTGCACAACGGGCGCAAGATGGGCGCAAGATGGCTAGGTAAACGCGCATTCCTCTTGGTCGCTCAGCTGCATATCACTCGACAGTGCACAAAGCTGCATGCATCGCCCATCTACCACGCCTAACCTTCTCCCTCCAAACCCTGTTGCATGTGGGTGACACAAGCTGCACACGGAGCTCTCCGACCTTGGTCAGGCCGTTATATCCCACCTTGACCAGACCGTTGATGAACAGCGGCGGGATGGGTCTGCCCTCACGGTGCATGTCCTCGGCGAGGCCCAGCCAATCCTGCAGCTCATCTATCTGCCTGCCCTCGGGGTCCAGGAAGAACCTGCTGCTCACGCCAGCACTTGCGGCAGCTGCAGCGCTGACGGTGTCCATGGGCTCAAAGAAGAACAGGTCCTGGTTCTGCGAGTCTTGCCGGAGCTGCAGCTTGCAAGCTGGCGGGCCTGCACAAGGATAGCCCGTCGTGCCCACAAGGCGCATACACATAAAACAACCAGCCGATGTCGCCCAGTTGCAATGCATGCAGGATCACAACGCAACGAAAGGAGGCAGGAACGAAGGGGTGCAGAGCAGCAAAGTGACGAAGCAACTTCAAGCTGAATCAAGCCATAAGTCACACCCCTCAAGCAGCAAGAGGTTGTATGTCATGCAGAACACTGAACCGCCCCTTTACGGTAGAGAAAGTGTGTGCTGTCCCACAGGGCTGCGCAATCGCAGGCCCAACGGGCTGGGGCGTGTAACTGCCGAGTGTTATCACTATGCATGTTGCCCGCCTGCGGAGGGACAAGCCAACATGTTGGCGCTAGCGCTGTAAATGGGCATTCTGGCGAAGTCCCCCCTTCCCCGCTCTCCATTCGTGGTGGCCTGCGGCCTGAGAGTTGGTTGCTGTCCAGGAATGTGAGACCTGACGAGGCTGAGAGTGGGGGCCTGGCTGGTGCTTTTTGTACTGTAGGGCCCAACTCCGCCTAAACCCTCCATCACAACACCTGTGGAAACGTTAGTACGGTGCATGGGCGGGCCTAGCAGTTTCGGAAGGGGCGCGTAAGCAGCGACGATGGGGGGTGGTAATGGCTGACGCTCAAGGCAGGCTACGTGACTAACCGAGCGTCCACGCACTCAAGCCCAGTGCTGCAATGAAACGGGCACACCAAGCCCACAAAACCTGTCCCCCCCTTCCCGCGTCAGGCACAGTCGGCTCACCTGCAGCAGCGTTGCTGGTGCCAGCGTCAGCGCCTGCAGGCGGCAGGCCCACGGCAGGGCGAGCGGGGTTGGTCACCGGAACGCCCGCGCTGTACAACATGAGCAGCGTTAAGTCGTCAAACATAACAACGACGCAGCGCGTGCGCACATCATAGACACGGTCGCCAGACAACGTGCAGGGCGGGCCACTATCACAATGGGGCGCACAGCTGCACGGCGGGGTGCGGGGTGCTGTACGTTTTACAGCCGGCGGTAAAGCGTCCACAGGGCACACTCTCCTCGGTGGACTGATGTACTGGCAAGAGGTTACGTATTCGGGTGACAAAGCTTGGAAGCTTTGAGACCTGAAGCGACACACCCAGCCACATATACGCTGACGTTGAAACTTGAACGAAGCCCTGGAAACGAACTGTGACCCTTCGGCTGCGGAAATGCAAAAGTGGCTTCGTCCATTGTAACCACATGCATGCTGTGTGTCCCGCACCCCGACACCACATGGTGGCTCCCATCGACGGCAACATGAACAGGCAGGCGTCATCCCTAAGTGTAGAACCCCAACATGCCGGAGCGCCAGGGGCGGAGGTGTGCTGAGCCTCTAAAAACAAAGTACTGGAACTCACCGCCAGCTCCCGTGCTGCCCGGACCAGGGCCAGACGCCGCGCCTGCACGACATGGAATAATCCAGGGAGCAGATTAGAGCGCAACTAAGGGCGACTTGCGTCAATAAGTGGGTTTGGACAGCACAGACCGGGAAGCGCGCGTTTCCTTGGTTTTTGCTGTGCTGTGCGGTAACAAAACAGGCTGTTACTCTTGTGCTGACGGGAGGTGCTGTGCAACAAATGCGCGGCATGTTGTATCGCGCAGGTAGCTTTGTGAGGGAGGGCCCAGAGCGTGTGTGTTTCGGTTTTGCCGCTGTTCGATCCAAGGGGGTGGGCGGGCAGGACGGGAGGGACGAAGGCCACGTGTCAAGTCAAGAACGACCCGTGCTATGGCGCAATGGCCAAGGGAAGAAGAGAGATGTGGAAAGACAACAGAGGGGAAGGTGAACGAAGACAACACCAGCGTATATAGCAGTGGTTTCGCCATGTCGCGTCAACTCATGCAACGGCTGCCTCGGGTGTCTGTGCTAGGCACAAGCCCACACAACAACAGTGCGCGAAAACATGCGCACACACCGCGCCTAAGAATGCTTTGCCTGCAGCAGCAGCAGCCACTGACGCATTCCCCGAAAGCAGCACGTCGCGCGTTTCTGCTGGTGCAGCCACGAGGGCAAGGCGAGCCCACACCAGTGTATGTGGGTGACCAAGCAAGCAGCATGCAGCAGCCAAGGGAAGGATGTGAGGAGGCTTTCAAGTCCTCAGGCTTCATTCAAGTCACAATGATGCCCGCGCACCTCCGGCCCGCACGTGATCGGGGGCACTAGATATGGATACAACATTGGCATAACTTTCCGTTGGTTGGGGTTATGTTTAATCCGGGACTGCACAAACCCTTACCATTGCCGTCGATTTTATTGAATCGTCATGCGCCACCAAACGTCTAGACGGGCGGAGCCCCCCGGGTGGTATCCGGGGTGGTATCGCCCCACCAAAGAAGTAAGGCTTGCCTTGCTTGAGCACCTCGAGCGTGCCCAAGAGGGTTTCGTCGCCGTCCTCTAGTCGCAGCATCTGAAGCGTGTCGTCCGGAAGCGTCGCGATGAAGGCCAGCAAAGTTATACGCCGACCCCTTTCCGTTACGGGCACGACCCTTCTGATCGCATCTGCCAAGTCAGGTCGTGTGACCATTCTTGCACCTGCGCAGAGAATGCGAAAGTTACAAGGGGGACCGGAGTTCCTGAAAGAACAGAGAAGGGCAGACAACACAGCACGGCCGCGATGCGCCATCGACCAGGACTCGGGGCAAGGGCAGACTGTCGGGACGTTACGCGGCTTGAAATGGGAACAGCGCAACGAACCAGGCGACACAAGGCAACCGCGCAAATCCGCCATTTCAAAAGCATGGACACAGAACACAGAAGCCGCAAGGGTAAACAGAGCAGCGGTCCAAAGAGCAAGACTAGGGGAAATTAGGGAAGGATTTGAACTATTGTCAAGGTATGGGCACACCTTTCGGGACGTGTCCACGCAACGTTGGAGCGGGGCGAGCCGTGACCCTATCGCCTCTACCGACTGCTGGGCTAGCAACAGTTAGAAGTTATTGTTAGGGGCCAAAGCTCGGTAAGGAATGACCTTGAGCGTAAGAGCGTGCTTGCCGGCCTCCAGACGAAAATGAGGTTTCAGAACAGCGCTCCAGTTGTATACATGCATGCTAATGCCCTTAGTAATGATCTTTGCTATGGCATATGCATGATCGGCGCTGGGTCCCTCATGCCGTCATGACGCTTGTCATGCCGTCAAAGAGGCTTGTCCAGTACGGGCATTTTCCAGCGCACGTGTACCACATGGGCCTAGCTGCTTTATTATTGCTTATTTCTATTCATTTGGCAATTCTATGCATAGATCAAAGTTCGTCCTGGCTGTCCGTGGAGGTGCGAGCAATGAGCTGCATAATTGAAGAGCATTCTCGTTTACGCTGCTAGAAAGCCTGCATGTAACACCAAAGAAGCTCTGGTTTGTAATAGTCATCCTTTGTATACTGCTTGCGGCTCAACCGCATGTCAGATTTGCCGACGCCTTCATGCATGCGAGCTGTGTGCGGCCTGTGTGCGATGAGGTCCTTGGTAACGGTACCCTCGAAACTTCGTGAACATTACAATTGCCGTGTGTCATTAAGCATCGAGTGCAAGCCGCACAAGCTCATCCTGCAAACTAAACCCACACGGTCGCCGTCCATATCTATCCCAACGTAACCACTGCATATACGAATGGGGTTAAAGCTGTAGGGTGCCACCCCTTACACTACGGCAATCGTTCCATGTGCGCTGCGCACGCAATGAACACCGATAACGGACAGGCAGGGACCCGAACGACAACACAGATAACCTCATCAACACCCGACAAAGCCCCGCGCGCAGTCATTAGGCTAATAGAGTGGTAGGACATTCATGCCAAGCCCCACAGACCCGAGCCCTTCCATCGACCCCAATCCGCTAACCGGGGCAAGCCCCCCCTGGGGCAACTGAAGCCCCAAAGGCTGTTGTTGCTGCTGCTGCATCCCACTCCACGCTGCGCTGCCATGTGCCATTGGTGCAGCCCCCTGCAACCCAATCGGCGGCAACTCGCCAATCGGTGCGAAACCCCCCTGGGGCAACGGAAGCCCCAAAGGCTGTTGTTGCTGCTGCTGCATCCCACTCCACGCTGCGCCGCCAAGTGCCATAACCCCCGCCGTTGGTGCAGCCCCCTGCAACCCAATCGGCGGCAGCTCGCCAATCGGTGCGAAACCCCCCTGGGGCAACGGAAGCCCCAAAGGCTGTTGTTGCTGCTGCTGCATCCCACTCCACGCTGCGCCGCCATGTGCCATAACCCCCGCCGTTGGTGCAGCCCCCTGCAACCCAATTGGCGGCAGCTCGCCAATCGGTGCGAAACCCCCCTGGGGCAACGGAAGCCCCAAAGGCTGTTGTTGCTGCTGCTGCATCCCACTCCACGCTGCGCCGCCATGTGCCATAACCCCCGCCGTTGGTGCAGCCCCCTGCAACCCAATTGGCGGCAGCTCGCCAATCGGTGCGAAACCCCCCTGGGGCAACGGAAGCCCCAAAGGCTGTTGTTGTTGCTGCTGCATCCCACTCCACGCTGCGCCGCCATGTGCCATTGGTGCAGCCCCCTGCCCCAGCCCCCAGCCCCCAGCCCCCTGCCACCCCGCCGTTGGTGCAGCCCCCTGCAACCCAACTGGCGGCAGTTGCTGTTGCTGCTGCCGCTGCTGTAGGAGAGAGAGAACAGCGTTGCGCTGTTGTTGCTGCTGGCCGAGCAGTGCTCCAATGAGCAGCAAGCGCTGCGCAGCCGGGCCGTTCAGGCCTATGGCACTGGTAGGTGCGACGGCCGTCTCTGCTCCGCGGGGCTGGGCCCCACCAGCCTTCTTACGGGCTTTGTTCTGGTTGGCAGCTGGCGTCTTGCGCGCCGGTACAGTGGGGGCCGGCTGGGTCTTGCTGCTACGCTTGCCTTTCTGCCAAGTTGTCACTGCACCCGCCACGACGCCTGGCAGGCCGTCGTCGCCCGACTCGGGCTGTGCCGCCCGCGCTGGCAAGTCAGCCTCCACCCGTGCCTGGGTTGCCTCCTCGGCAGCCGCCACGTCCTCCGTGTGCTTGCCCACCTGCGGCAGAATGGTTCAGCAAGAAAACATGACTTACGCGGGGGATATCTATCTATTTACCTCAAAACCGGACACATACTCGCGGCCAGTCTCCTTAATATCTAGTCCAAAAGTGCCCCATTGCTTACCGCTGCATGTGCTGCGGTGACACGCTTGTTGAGTGCCGCCATCGTCCGGCGGTTCCCATGCGCTGACTGGTGTTTAAGCATGATGTCGTTCATCGTGACAGACGTCAGGCTGGTGATGACTTCGTAACTGTCAACGACGTACCGGTCCAAGGGGACCTGCGGTTGAGGTTGGAGCAAAGGCAGGCATGAGGGAGAGATCCAGAGGCAACCTTTTGCACGTCGCGCAGCCCTTGTACCCAATACCCAGCCAGCGCACCTGTGGCGTGGTGTGGTCGATGTTCTTGGCGAGGCTCGCCGCGCCCTCGGACGTATCGTTGGTGCGCCCGGTGCGGACCCATCTAGGCGGGCGCGTGCCGCTGCGCGCGAACTCGTTGTCTAAAGCGGGGATGAAGGGGAAAAGAAGCGGCGTCCAGAAGACCTTGGTTGTAGCGCACAGGTCTACATAGTCCGCCAGCGCGGGGGAGTAGAAGGGGTTGACCACGTACTCCAGGCCGTCCTCAGTCGCCTGTCCTGACAAGCCGTAGCTGAAGGCACCCGCATCGTCTGCATGTAAGGCACATGATAGTCAGGCCGTAAAACTCCCCCCGAAGTACTCCCCCATTGCCCTCACCTACAGTGTCATCCCCGGTAAGTAACGATGCCGACATACCTTCCTCTCCGTCATAGCAGGCGCTGTCCGCGTCCAGCTCTGCGCCCTTGTTGGTGATGCGCACGCGCAAGGGTGTGCCATCTGCTTTCCGGGCCATTGGCACCTCTGCCACGAAGTCACAGGGCCTAGCTGCGCTGGCGTAGTCATCGGGCGTCGCACGCCGCACATAGACGCCGTACAGCCCACTGGGGTTCAAGGTGGTCTCGCCCTCGTCGGTGAACAACCACTTGCCCACCTGCAGGCGCGGCATCCGCATGAGCTCAGCGGTGTCCTGCAGATACCTCTTGATAGCGGGGTACTTGTCCGGCCCGTAGAAGCGCGGGTCGTGCGATGGGTGCGCCAGGAAGATGGTGGACACAAAGGACCACCATTTGCGCTCTGCAAACGAACAGTTGTGAGTCACACCCATGCGATATGACCTATGCAGCGGTATGACCTACCCGAGAGAGGCAGCTCCTTGAAGCCGGCAGCAGTCATGGGATACTGCTTGACGGCGCGCTTCCAGTGGAACATGCATATCCAGAGCGGCCGGAGGTTGTCGGGCTTCTTAGGGTCCAGCTCATCGTCCTTGCCCTGGGATAGCAGCTCCTCCAGTCGGTCATGCAGCGCCTTGTGCCTGCAAAAAGGCAACACCGAGGTTACATGATAGCCCAACAATGGTACACCAGCTGGACGCCTACCTCATGTTGTTGAAGAACATGGACGCATCGTTCATGAGGACAGCGTCATGGTCGGTGACGATGATCAAGGGGAGGATGCTAGCATCGCAGGGCAGCGCGTATGGCGCGTGGGGGTCGTGCGGTGCGAGCTTGCCAGCAGCCTTATAGACCGCTTCCAGCGTGCCGTGCAACATACCCTCGCTCCGCTGGGTACCGGTCACCTCAGCGACCCTGAGGGGCCTAGGTCGCTGATCACCGGAGAAGTAACCACTGACCGCGCTAGCCGGGTTGTCGACTGAAAGGAAGGTGTTCAGGACGGGCTCCTTCCCAAGGCTGGCGACCTGTATGAAGGCACACTGGTATGAGGGCTAGGTGTGCACGGGGCAATCGGGTGCATTCAAACCGGGGCTCACCAGCTTTCCCGTGCTGTCGATGTACAGGACGGAGCAGAGGCCTAGCTTGCGGTGGAAGACGTACAGCTGTACCTGCGCGTCTGTGAAAAGGGAGAGGTTGAGGCCCTCCGGGCCCTTATCAACACGCTGTATGTACCCCAAGCCAGTGGAGTTCTTCAGGGCGGCGGCGGACAAAGACCCGAGCTGCTTGTCAACTAGTTCCTTGTTCCAGAGCTGAGCCGATTGGACGAGATCAGGGTCCCGCCGGTACTTCTCCTTCATCTTCTCATGCTTGGCCTGTAAGGAAACATGCCGTAAAACAGAGAAGCTGGAGCCCATTGCGATCCCGGCAAGTTCATACCTGTCGGACCACCTGCGGGTTGCGCCCACAGCTGCCCATGTCAGCGTCCAGTTGCTGCTCAGGGGGCCGAGCCAGTGAAAGCTCGGAACGTACAGTACTGGGGGCTTTACCTGCGCTTAACACGTCAGCTGTCAGTGGGCTGGGTTCTCAATGGACTGGTTACGTGTGCCGTAATAGATAACACACCTCGCGCCGCCAGTGCCGCCGCTGCAGCTCGCTCCACCCCTCGCAGCTGTCCAGGCGCAGCGCCAATCTTGTGGCAGCAGGAGCCGTAGAACTCGATCTCCAATGGCCGGTTGTCGTCGCGTTGACCCACAAGCACTACCGCTTTGCACCCGCTGCTGGCGAAAGTGCAGTTGAAGGCCATGTACCAACGGAACTTGAGATGCGGCTTGGCACTGCTGGCAAACGGGTCGCCCTGCAATTACGGTGTGTCGTTAATCAACATGCCAGTGTTCATAGGAAGCCATGCATTAACACTTACATTTGCGTAGACAGCACGAGTGGAACCCCGGGTATGGCACGCCGGCGGCACAGGAAGTGGCCCCGCATTCGAAAGACCAGGCTCCACTGGACCTACACCGCTAACAGGATGCTGCATCGGGGCGTTTGCCACCTTGGCGGCGTGACTCGAGTAGGTTGGCCTCAGCTGGGAAGGGAACCCCCGGATCCTAGGCAAGAGGTCCATAAGAAATCGGCCAGCACCATCTTTCCATCCCGCCCATGAATGCTTGGTACCGCCAGACTTCCGGTCGTAGACAACCTGAACTGGGTCGACGATGCGCTGTCGGATGGTGTCCTGGTTCACAGTTACTACTGCTCCGGTAGGCAGGAGAACAGTACTGCCCATAGAGACCGAAATAGATGCTGGTACCGTAGGGTAAACATTGTGTTCGTTGTTCAGAGCAGACGATGGTGCAACACCGATAAGTTGGGAATGAAGCTCCCGGAGCGACGAAAGGCTAGTGCGTAGGACTGCACTGCTCATGGTAACAGCTAGCGCTAATGTGATACAGACAGCGTTGATAGCTTTCATAGGGAGTAACGTTGCGTGCGCATGGCGAATGCGCACCTATACACAGTCTGCTTATACATACGTATGATCACTAACTTTCTGTATGCGCGTTATGTACAGAAATACCATAACGAGGGTTCCGGATGTAAATACGCGCCAATGTCCCACAAAATCCCATGCATAATTGATGGGCCCGCAAAACCCACCGACACGCGCGACACCCCAAAGTCCCCTTTAGGGTCACTGGACGTTATGCTGGGAAACATAGCTTCTTGCCCGACACTAGCACCACAGACTAAAATTTTACTGTCGCAAGGGCAGCTGGCTAGGGACAGCCCAGCGCAAAGGGTCATCGTCACCACACGTTCCATCGTGTCTGCATAACACGTTATAGCTTTCTGGATATGGTCCTAAGTTATGGCTGAATGTATAAACGTTGTGCAGCAGCGTAAACGAGAATGCTCTTCAATTATGCAGCTCATTGCTCGCACCTCCACGGACAGCCAGGACGAACTTTGATCTATGCATAGAATTGCCAAATGAATAGAAATAAGCAATAATAAAGCAGCTAGGCCCATGTGGTACACGTGCGCTGGAAAATGCCCGTACTGGACAAGCCTCTTTGACGGCATCGCTTCTGTGTCCGGACCGCCGTACGGCTTGGCCAACGGAAAACTGCCAGACGAAGGCTCTTTTTACCTTATTATTGACTCAGGGGGTCTAAGCTAATTATTGGGTGGCTATTTATCAATTTGCCTGCGAACTCTGAGCTCATTTCTCTGGCAACGGCACCGCCAAACTGCCACAGTAAAGCCCGAACTTCTATTTAATTGCAACTAAATATACGCTTGTAGGATGTAATATCTCCTTCAGCAAAGTGTCACGGTAGCCTCAATTTAAGTCTGTCGCGTCATGTCCAGCGACGAATTAGAGCTGCCTTATGAGGATTCCGAGGAGGACTATGACTGGAACTGAGATGTAACTATATCTTTGCTGTATCACCGGCGTTCCTTAGGAAGCGATGACGGCGGTGGCAACGACACTAGCAGCGACGATAGTGGGGGCTATGCGACAGCAGACGAGGGGGACTCGTACGACTTTGAGGACGGAGCCAGTTACCAGTTACCAGACACGTTGAAGAGCGGGTGGCATACTAAGGTCTTGTTAGCCCCTCTCCTCCTCTTGTACGGGTGACGTTGGGTTTGGGATTCACTAGTTCACTAGACTCAAAGGGACAGCAACGTCATTCACAAGCACCTCTTGGCCAAGTTCCGGCTGGCATGCAGAACGGCGCAGCACCGGCTGGTGTTGGGGATGGACGTCAGCCTTCCCAAACTGTACATGGCGGAGACGTTCAGGACCTACCTGACGCCCTTCCTGCCACGCCACTTAGGGGCAGCAACACGGCTGCACCCGGCCACTAGCCCGCCTTCATGAATATTATCATCCCAACATACCGTTATCAGCCCAATGTGCAGTGAGCAGAAGCTTGTCGTGGCCACCAAGCATCCTGATAAGCTTGGTTTCCTTACAAAGCTTGATGGAAAAATTGGGACTAGGATCCAGTACCGGTAGCATCTGGCGGGAGGTGAAACAAGTTGGACCCTGTACGGGTTCATCCCTTACGTGGCCGTGAGCCCCGCGCGCTTATTGTGGACACTCCCCCAGCATCACCACGGCATCAGTCTGTCCTCGTCATTAGGGTTCTTACTACCATAGGGTTGGCGTCGTTAATGGATACGATTAAGGCAACAAACCTAAGGTGCTGGCATGGTGTGAGGCAAGGTGAAATCGTACGTGAATGCATGCACGTGCATAGACATGGGTTAGCATCTACCTGATTTGGACAGTTATGCTAGGAACTTCGGTGCCAGTGCTGTGTGAGGCTCAACTGCAAGGGTCCTCAGTGCTGGCATGGTGTTGCACGCTGCTCGCTAGCAAGGACGAATTTCGCAACGGGAAAAGCACTCCCAAACTCCACTCAATGACTATAACAAGGAACTGCAATCAACTCAAATCGTGTTTCCGGACCCCTCTCCCGGACCACATACCCTGCCCTGAAGGCCCCTCCAATTAATACCCTGCAAACGCAGTTGCATGCTGCTCGACAGCCAGAACGAATTTCGCGACGGGAAAGCACTCCCATACTCCATTTAATGACTATAGCAAGGAACTGCAATAAACTCAAACCGTGTTTCTCGGTTCCCTTGTCGTAATGCATGGCACATGCCGCGCTTGCAAATTACCCCGGTCCAATACCAAATTTCAACCTTGCAAGTCTTCAAAACTTCAACCTCGTTTCCTATGGACATGGGCTTGACATGGGTGTAGAACCCCCGTTCTCTTTCATAGGGCGGTCCGGGGTGTCCATGTTAATCGCCGTTTGCTGTTACGAACAAGCAACTCAACCGGTATTAATTAAAATATGATTCGAGGTATATTGCGCCGGTTTGGGCTTTATAATGCAGCTAGGCGGTGTGGTTATCAGAGATTGAGCGCAAAGTTTGCAAACAAATCGAGAAACAACCGCCCACTACTTGGCATAGATCCCCTGAGTCGGTCTTTGGTTAAAAGGAAGCTCTTTTTAGCGGTTCTCTGTTGGCCAAGCCGTACGGCGGTCCGGACAGAGAACAGGGACCCAGCGCCGTGCGAGCATGGCATATGGTGCATATCGGCCTGGGCTGGCCCGGTTGGTCGCACCGAAGCCCGCAGCTCAAACAAGACCCATAAGCCCAAACCTCATAAAGTCAAACTATCTATAGATACCTATTGTTTTCTCAAGCTTAGGCGTAGCGCACCTTGACAATGCTCCACTTCCATCGGCCCTGCTCAGTATGAACTAGTGGCCGTTACCCGTGCGATGCACGGATGAGGGAAACTGTGATGGACTTCAGTACGGAGTAGCGCAAGGACCGTGGAAGTTGAGGTTAGAGAACCCGACGGGGAGAGGGGCGGTGTTGAGGACAACGTTGTCAGTGTGGACTCCTGCGGGGCCCCATTGGCCTCCCGCCGGCCGTCCTTGGCCATAATTTTGACGCTACCAGGCCACACGGGACATGTCGACATACAGGTGCCCATGCAGAGAACACGGCAAAGAACACGGCTGCGGCAGGTAGATGCCAACACACTCCATCGTCATAGCGAAAGCAAGTCGAACTGGGGACTGACGCCGGAGGGTGAAGGAAGCTGAGTATCCGAGGGATTCAAGATGGCCCTGATGCTGCCCAGTGGTTATGCGCCCCTGGAGGGCTCTGGGCTAAATTATGATGCATGTGCCGTTGGCGAGCCCAGGTGCAGCGTTCAGGTTGCGCAGGAGGGTGATAGGTGCACCAGCCTTTAAACGCATCAACGCACAAGCTGGTTTCCGCCCCTGCGACAGTGCGGGATGCTTACCTTGTATGGCTTGTCCGCCGGACCCGCGGTACATGCTGGGTAAGGCATTCGGACCCTAGCGCACATTGGATGGCCCAGTGACACCCCGGGGCGGCCCGCACTGGCAATTCCGCCTACGGGTGCCGCCTTGCGTGTAGTCATCGCTTTGTATTTGAAATAAAATAAAACATGAGAGTAGAACCAATAGTGCCATCCAGGTGCCGTACAAACGTGGGTAGCGGGTGGTATCAAAGGGCCCGCCACGACCATAACTGAGGGAAACTGAGCACCACTCCATCTTCCAATCCGGCCGCGTATGCCTTTGCCGAAGGCGAAGCGAACCAGCTGCAAGCCGTTTGCCATTCACCCGTGTTAGGCTCCAACTAACAACAGCGCTGGGTACGGCAGCTAGGATGTATTGGCTCCCCTCCCATTTACAGCACATAACTGGATCCAACGGTTGGTTAGTTGGTTGGGCTCCCAATCAAAGCACAGCACGGGATCCAAGCGGCGCTTATTGGCTGGGCTCCCAATCACAACACAGCACGGGGTCCACTATATGACGGGCCAGCCTGGATCAAGGGGGATTCACTGGTAGTCGTCGGGGGAGCCTCGTGGCCCCTGGGTTTTTTTCGAAACACAGGGAAATATTTCCGTTGGTACCGTTACAGCAGGCCCCCCCTCATATCCCACGCAGCTGCAGGCAACCGTGTTTGCACAGACAACGTCGATTCGCAGCCTCACCCGACTGTCTTACTCTCCTCCCTCTCCGTGGCCCCGCTGTGAGGTCAGGTGTTGGACGCAGGCGTGCGCATCGGCGGCCGCACCTTCCAGTTCCTGGGCCACAGCAACGAGCAGCTCAAGACACGCACCTGCGTGCTGGTCAGGAGCGAATCGCAGGAGGAGGTACGTGGGGGCCGAAGAGAAACAGACGGCAATGGGACCGCAAGTCCAGGGGGTTGCGACCGCATTGCTGCGGGCACCATCCAGCGGGGTAGCAGCTCGTACAGCGGGCAGTTACATGTGTGTCCAATCCACAGCGCCCGCCCGCTCATCATGCCTCCTACGGTGCCTCCAAGTCAGCTGTCGTGCACCGGGCTAGCCTGGGGCTCTTGCGCCATGCCCCCTGGGACCCCCATGCGCTCCGCCTGATACCTCCCCCCGTGTAACCCAATACACAGTAACCCCATGTACGTTATCCCCCCCCGTCTTGTGGCACCCTGCCGCCTCCTACCCCCATTGCTTTGCCCTAACCTGTGGTCTCCATTGGTTTGGTATGGTCTTTGACCCCCCCGTCCGCAAGGTTGAGGCGCTGCTGGGCCGCTGGGTTGACTTCAGCGGTATCGCCTCCGTGGCCAAGCGCGCCAAGCGCACTGCGCTGTTGTTCAGCCGCTTTCGACCCGTGGAGCTGCCGGGGCACCTGCGCAGGTGGGGAGCAGGGGAGCGGGGGAGCGGGATAGGGGTGGGACAAGGGTTGGGGGTGATGCATAAAAGTGCTGACACCCATGCAAATGAACCCCCAGCTGCCTGCACCAGTGATGGAGTACCTGCATGCACCATTGGCCCCCAACCCGCTGGCTGCTGCCTGACGGTCCTTACTCGGTCCGCTCCGCCATGCGTGCTTGCTTGCATGCAGGCACGAGGACATCGAGGACCTCACCACGCGCGACGGCAGCGGCAAGTTCACGGACGGCTGCGGCTACTGCTCGCTGGAGCTGGCCACCTACCTCACCAGGAAGCTGGACATCCGGCACAGGGGGGAGCGCTACGTGCCCAGCGTGTTCCAGGTGGGAGTGGTGGGGCGGGGGTCAGTAGGGCGGGGGATGGAGGGGGAGAGGGGGCCGGAGAGGGTGGGGGCATGTGTCGTATGCAAGCAACATGGGGCACACGTGTTGGGATGGCGTGGTACATGACAGGCAGTTGTCCGCATACAGATAAAGGCTACTGAAGTTTTGGGGGTGTCCTCCTCTCCTTGCATGACTGTGTTTGGCTTCTGGCATCTGGTGGCCTGCCGCCCAAACATGCGACCCACCATCCGTTCCGTGCCCACGTCATTTGACTCTTGCCGGGTTGGGTGGCGCCTCCCTGCACGGATCATTCAAGCGCTGAGCCGCCCACGTCTCTCATATCTCTTTCGCCTTTTACTAAAGAGATCAGCGAGTGCGGCTCACGAAGGCGCATATCTCCAATATTTGCAAGGCTTTTGCCTTTCCCATACAATCAAACCATGCCAACCATAATCCACGAACAATATCGAGCATCCCACGGAGTCGTTGCCCCACCCCGTTGTCTCCTGCCTGCCTGCATGCCTTCAGATCCGCTACTTGGGCTACAAGGGTATCGTGGTTGTCCAGCCCGGGCTAGACCGGCTGAACAGCTGCCGCCCGCCCGAGCAGCGAGTGCACCTGCAGCTGCGCAAGTCCATGTGCAAGTTCAAGATCCCCAAACCCAGCAGCAACATTGCTACGTCATCAGACGGAGGCGGAAGCGGAGGCGGCGCTGGGGCGAGCAGCAGCAGTGGCAACCCGCAGCTCGCAGCAGCAGACGCGGCGCGGCTGGTGTTCGGTGTGGTGGACTACTCGAGGCCGTACAAGTACGGAAACCTGAACAGCCAGGTATGTAGCAGAGCACTTTGTCACTTAACGCCTCCTAGTTCACCACACCTAGCTGCACTCCTAACTAGTGCCCACTAGCACCACACGGCCCACACACCCACCCCACACTGCACCCCGCCCGCAGGCCGTCATGCTGCTGTCCTCCCTGGGTGTGCCTGACGCGGTGCTGGAGGCGCGGCAGGCGGCTCACCTGGCCGAGCTGGCGCACGTGGGGGTGGAGGAGGAGGTGGCGCTCAAGAACCTGCTGACGGCCAACAAGGTGCGGGAACTGGGTGGGGGGAGGGGGTTTGCGGGGTTTGGGGTTGGGGTTGGGGTTCGCATGTACGGCCTCCGCTTGCGTGGACTACCGTAGCTCTGCCCTCCTGTTACGGCATCCAATCCATGTCGCCAGGTGGAGGAGGCTGAGCTACTTGCGGAGTACGGCATGGCTCCTGCTGCTGCTGGGGGGCTCCGGCTTGAGGCAGCGGCGGACGAGGAGGAAGAAGCGGAGGAAGAGGACGAGGCGGGCCGGCAGGCCGCTGCTGCCGCTCGGCGTCGGGTGCGGCGAGCGGTTCTGGAGCTGCAGCGGGAGGAGGTGGATCGGCTGGTGAAGGAGCTGCCGCCGCTGAGGCCGCGGAAGGCGGTGGGGCAGCAGCAGGCGGAGCAGGCGGGAGAAGATGAGGGGGAGAAGGCAGTGGCAGATGTCTTGGGGGAGGCGGCGGAAGCAGCGGATGAAGCCGCTGCGGCTGCGGCGGCCCCAGCTGCGCTGGAGGGAGGCGACAGCGCCGCCTCCGCTGCCGCTGCTGCTGCTAATGATAGCGAGGCAGCTGCGGCGGTGGCGGCTGGTGGTGCTGTCGGCGGCAATGGTGCTGGCTCACAGGGTCCACGCGTGAGCGCCAAGATCCGAGTGCGGCTGGACGCGTCCCGGCGGGTGTTCGGAGTGGCGGACCCCAGCTTGGAGTGGGCGGACGAGGAGGCAGGTGGGCGGGGCGTTGGGGGCGGGTTACGGCTCGCTGTTGGACTCCCACTGGCAGCAGCAAGCCCGAGATGGCAACCACGTGTAACGCCATTCTTTGGTCCTGTCCTGCGGATATGTTAGTCCGCAGCTTCCGGTTCCCGTGTATAGGTGCACTTGCGCGCGACTGTTGAGTAGACCCATGCCCGCGTAATAGCGCTGCATTGCATGCGGCTGTGGAGCGGCACGACCCATGGGTCTTTCCTCCTCCTCCTGCAGACCCCGGCGGCTGCCTGCAGCCCGCCTCCTGCCGGCCGCTGCGCAAGGGCGAGTGCTTCTTCCAGCCGCTGGTGGACGGGCAGCCCAAGTCGCTGGTGGGCGGCAAGGTGGTGATGGTGGGTCCGATGGAGGGGGGGAGCTGATGTGGAAGTCGTAGCGGGCTGCGAGCTGCGGGTGTGGAGCAAATAATAAGCGGTTGGTGGGAGTTGCACTTGCAGGGCCCTGTGGGTGCGCTGTACGGAAAAGCTGCAGTTGGATTGCCTTGTCAAAGTTTTGTTTGCTCATGGGTGATCGACCGGGCACTTGGCGGTTTACGCTGTCGCCGTTGCCTCCGCTCCATTTGCTTTGTGTGCCCATGGAAGGAGCATGTTAAACGCGCATGCCACTGCGCGTCCTTCCTTGCTTCTGGTATCTCTTCTTTCTTCTGCCTCGCATTGAACTCCCACGTCTACCTTGTCCTCCCCTGCGCCTCTCCTTCCCCCTCCCCTCTCCCTGTTTGCATTTCTTATATAATTTTTCCCCTCTCCCGCCCCGCCCCTGTCCCGCCCCGCCCCGCCCCGGCAGATTCTCAACCCCTGCTACGACTCGGGTGACATCAGGGTGCTGAGGGCGGTGGCGCCGCCCTCCCCCGCGACCGCCCGCCTCACGGACGTGCTGGTGCTGCCGGTGCAGGGGGACAGACCCTCTGACGCCTCTGATTCCATCTGTGAAGCGCTGTGCCGTTTCGGCCATGCTTTGGCCCCAAAGTATACGTGTGTTAGTCAGTTTTTGCAGCAGCTCCCAGCCCACTTGAAAGATAATTGCAAGGATCCCGACCATGGCGGTCGCCGCTGCTGGAACGAGCCATGAAGGCATCGCGTCTACCTAACGTGACTTCCAATCGACACCTGCTAACTCAAGAAGGATTACCTATTGCTTAGCAACATAATTCCGTTTATCGTCATGTTCTGTTTGCAATCACGATAGGCCTGCACCCGTGTGCACCCGTGTTCGTACAAGGCCGAACTTCGGTTACCGTACCCGTTTGCGATAAGCTCTGACTTTCCTGGCATATACAATGCGTTACAACGCTAGTTTACTATGCATGGCGTCGCCCTAGGACGAAGTGCTTGGATGCTGCGTCGCCGGGCAAGGGCCCTTGCCTCGAGTACTCCACATGTTGCTGCGCTTACATCCTTCAAGTTTGATCCGCCACAGTAAAGTAGTTGTTAAGAGGTCCTCAAAACGCAACCAGACTGGTTCTTGTCGGCCCCAAGGTCGCTCGGTCTTCCGCAACAGTACCGGCGGAATGGTGGACCTTGGTGAGTGTTTTATAGCAATCAAGCAACCAACTGCAAAAATGAGCAGTGCACAGAGGAAGGTAAAAATACTTTAATCCGGCTGGCTTAGCTCGGCAGCGTTGGCATTTGTCGACGAATGGCTTATATAGGCAACGCCAGCAGTGTTTGTATGCGCAACCTGCTCCCTATTCACAAGCACACACCACCTAAATGTATAAATGTTTACTATAATACTACGTATACTTGTTGTTATAGCTCTACATTTTCGACATGAAACCGAGTAGAACCGGTCAGAGACGGAGTAACCATCAATCCTCTGCCACAAACGAGTCTGCTTGCCCGCCCGCCCGCCCTCCACAGCGCAAAATAGGCAAAGCAACGGCGCTCAAAGGCTTGCCGTCTCGGCACCGGGAAGCCACATGGCCGCTGATCAGGACAGGGGTCACGCTCGCGGGGATGCAGGCAGAGTTGGACTAGCATCGCAGCAACGTGTTGATGGTGGCAACCCGCAGCAGCATCAGCCGAACCCCTCGGAACCCCAGCAACAGCACCACCAGCAGCACCGCGCCTACCGCACACAGCAAGGGCGCCCTCCCGACTCCACTCCTCACCCTAGCACTGGCTATGCTGGCGCCCTCGGCGGCCGTGTCAGTGGTAACACCAGCAGCGGTGCGACTAGCCGCAGCAATACCCGCGGCGCCGCTGCTACAGCTGCTGCTGCTGCAAGTACTAATGCTGCTGTGGTTAGGCCTGCCAGCGCTGCTTCCCTTGGGCCGGGTGCAGCGACTCTTCCTGACTTTGCCGGCCATAGCTACAACCAGGGGCCAGCCGGAGGCCGCGGCGGCAGGGGCAGGGGCGGTAGGGAGGGGTCAGGGGGCCGTGGCGGCGGAGGAAGAGGCGGCGGTAGCGGTGGTGGTGGACCCGGCCCCGCAGCCAGCGGAGCTGCTGCTGCTGCTGGCGGTCGGGGTGGTGGGGGCTGGAGTGGCGGCAGTGGTGCTGCCGGTGGTGGGGGCGCAAGCGGGCCGCCCGCAGGCGAGGGCGCCCGGCGGCGGGCGGCCAGGGCCCCTCGCGGACCTCCCGCTGGGGTGCCGACCTCCGGGGGCCGCAGCTACACGCAGGCCAACAGCTCGGAGTTGGTGCCGCTGGAGCTGCCGGGCTTCGAGGAGGTGCTGGCGCCGCCGGCGGGGGGGCTGGGCTGCGCGGTGAAGCACATCCGTGTGGAGGACACCCGCGTAACCCTGGAGGTGAGGGAAGGGTCGGAGGGGGGGTGAGGGGCCCTGGAGGAGAGCGGTACAAGGGCGATTAGGATGCGATAGGAAGCGGGGCTGGAAACCTTGAGCCTGCTAGCAGCATAGGTTCGGTGCATCTCCGCGCGTGCGTGCACGCTGCAGTAGACGTGGCGTGTAGCCTTGTTGCTGCGTCCGTGTTCCCGATCCCGTACGCTTGACCCGTCACGAAGCCGCCACTCTTTCCCACGAAATACCCGCCTGTGCTTACCCCCGCCCCGGCCCCCTTCTTCGCAGTACATAACCAGCCGGCCGGATGAGACCAACCGGCTGATCATGGCGTACGGCACCGAGCCCTTCGCTACCGTACATTTTGACGTGAGGTTCGGCTCGGCCAAGGAGGCTCGCGAGTATGTACAGGAGGTGAGGAGGGCGAGGGTGAAAGCAGAGCCTTGTTAGTGCCTTACTACCTTACTACCGTTACTAGGAGTTGGACGGAAGGGGTGGGGTTAAGGACTGGCACCCTGCAACAGCCTCCTCCGCACCAGCGCCTCTGGCGTCTGCTCGTGCATTTCGCGGCCAGGTCCTCCGATCTGCCAACGCAGCCTCCCTGGATGTCTTACTCTCCTTCCTCTCCGTGGCCCCCGCTGTGAGGTCAGGTGTTGGACGCGGGCGTGCGCATCGGCGGCCGCACCTTCCAGTTCCTGGGCCACAGCAACGAGCAGCTCAAGACACGCACCTGCGTGCTGGTCAGGAGCGAATCGCAGGAGGAGGTACGTGGGGGCCGAAGAGAAACAGACGGCAATGGGACCGCAAGTCCAGGGGGTTGCGACCGCATTGCTGCGGGCACCATCCAGCGGGGTAGCAGCTCGTACAGCGGGCAGTTACATGTGTGTCCAATCCACAGCGCCCGCCCGCTCATCATGCCTCCTACGGTGCCTCCAAGTCAGCTGTCGTGCACCGGGCTAGCCTGGGGCTCTTGCGCCATGCCCCCTGGGACCCCCATGCGCTCCGCCTGATACCTCCCCCCGTGTAACCCAATACACAGTAACCCCATGTACGTTATCCCCCCCCGTCTTGTGGCACCCTGCCGCCTCCTACCCCCATTGCTTTGCCCTAACCTGTGGTCTCCATTGGTTTGGTATGGTCTTTGACCCCCCCGTCCGCAAGGTTGAGGCGCTGCTGGGCCGCTGGGTTGACTTCAGCGGTATCGCCTCCGTGGCCAAGCGCGCCAAGCGCACTGCGCTGTTGTTCAGCCGCTTTCGACCCGTGGAGCTGCCGGGGCACCTGCGCAGGTGGGGAGCAGGGGAGCGGGGGAGCGGGATAGGGGTGGGACAAGGGTTGGGGGTGATGCATAAAAGTGCTGACACCCATGCAAATGAACCCCCAGCTGCCTGCACCAGTGATGGAGTACCTGCATGCACCATTGGCCCCCAACCCGCTGGCTGCTGCCTGACGGTCCTTACTCGGTCCGCTCCGCCATGCGTGCTTGCTTGCATGCAGGCACGAGGACATCGAGGACCTCACCACGCGCGACGGCAGCGGCAAGTTCACGGACGGCTGCGGCTACTGCTCGCTGGAGCTGGCCACCTACCTCACCAGGAAGCTGGACATCCGGCACAGGGGGGAGCGCTACGTGCCCAGCGTGTTCCAGGTGGGAGTGGTGGGGCGGGGGTCAGTAGGGCGGGGGATGGAGGGGGAGAGGGGGCCGGAGAGGGTGGGGGCATGTGTCGTATGCAAGCAACATGGGGCACACGTGTTGGGATGGCGTGGTACATGACAGGCAGTTGTCCGCATACAGATAAAGGCTACTGAAGTTTTGGGGGTGTCCTCCTCTCCTTGCATGACTGTGTTTGGCTTCTGGCATCTGGTGGCCTGCCGCCCAAACATGCGACCCACCATCCGTTCCGTGCCCACGTCATTTGACTCTTGCCGGGTTGGGTGGCGCCTCCCTGCACGGATCATTCAAGCGCTGAGCCGCCCACGTCTCTCATATCTCTTTCGCCTTTTACTAAAGAGATCAGCGAGTGCGGCTCACGAAGGCGCATATCTCCAATATTTGCAAGGCTTTTGCCTTTCCCATACAATCAAACCATGCCAACCATAATCCACGAACAATATCGAGCATCCCACGGAGTCGTTGCCCCACCCCGTTGTCTCCTGCCTGCCTGCATGCCTTCAGATCCGCTACTTGGGCTACAAGGGTATCGTGGTTGTCCAGCCCGGGCTAGACCGGCTGAACAGCTGCCGCCCGCCCGAGCAGCGAGTGCACCTGCAGCTGCGCAAGTCCATGTGCAAGTTCAAGATCCCCAAACCCAGCAGCAACATTGCTACGTCATCAGACGGAGGCGGAAGCGGAGGCGGCGCTGGGGCGAGCAGCAGCAGTGGCAACCCGCAGCTCGCAGCAGCAGACGCGGCGCGGCTGGTGTTCGGTGTGGTGGACTACTCGAGGCCGTACAAGTACGGAAACCTGAACAGCCAGGTATGTAGCAGAGCACTTTGTCACTTAACGCCTCCTAGTTCACCACACCTAGCTGCACTCCTAACTAGTGCCCACTAGCACCACACGGCCCACACACCCACCCCACACTGCACCCCGCCCGCAGGCCGTCATGCTGCTGTCCTCCCTGGGTGTGCCTGACGCGGTGCTGGAGGCGCGGCAGGCGGCTCACCTGGCTGAGCTGGCGCACATGGGGGTGGAGGAGGAGGTGGCGCTCAAGTACCTGCTGGCGGCCAACAAGGTGCGGGAACTGGATGTGGGGTTGGGGAGTTGGGGGTTTGGGGTGGAGGTTGGGGTTCGCATGTACGGCTTCCGCTTGCGTGGACTACCGTAGCTCTGCCCTCCTGTTACGGCATCCAATCCATGTCGCCAGGTGGATGAGGCTGAGCTACTTGCGGAGTACGGCATGGCTCCTGCTGCTGCTGGGGGGCTTCGGCTTGAGGCAGTGGCGGAAGAGGAGGAAGAAGCGGAGGAAGAGGACGAGGCGGGCCGGCAGGCCGCTGCTGCCGCTCGGCGTCGGGTGCGGCGAGCGGTTCTGGAGCTGCAGCGGGAGGAGGTGGATCGGCTGGTGAAGGAGCTGCCGCCGCTGAGGCCGCGGAAGGCGGTGGGGCAGCAGCAGGCGGAGCAGGCGGGAGAAGATGAGGGGGAGAAGGCAGTGGCAGGTGTCTTGGGGGAGGCGGCGGAAGCAGCGGATGAAGCCGCTGCGGCTGCGGCGGCCCCAGCTGCGCTGGAGGGAGGCGACAGCGCCGCCTCCGCTGCCGCTGCTGCTGCTAATGGTAGCGAGGCAGCTGCGGCGGTGGCGGCTGGTGGTGCTGTCGGCGGCAATGGTGCTGGCTCACAGGGTCCACGCGTGAGCGCCAAGATCCGAGTGCGGCTGGACGCGTCCCGGCGGGTGTTCGGAGTGGCGGACCCCAGCCTGGAGTGGGCGGACGAGGAGGCAGGTGGGCGGGGCGTTGGGGGCGGGTTACGGCTCGCTGTTGGACTCCCACTGGCAGCAGCAAACCCGAGATGGCAACCACGTGTAACGCCATTCTTTGGTCCTGTCCTGCGGATATGTTAGTCCGCAGCTTCCGGTTCCCGTGTACAGCTGCACTTGCACGCGACTGTTGAGTAGACCCATGCCCGCGTAATAGCGCTGCATTGCATGCGGCTGTGGAGCGGCACGACCCATGGGTCTTTCCTCCTCCTCCTGCAGACCCCGGCGGCTGCCTGCAGCCCGCCTCCTGCCGGCCGCTGCGCAAGGGCGAGTGCTTCTTCCAGCCGCTGGTGGACGGGCAGCCCAAGTCGCTGGTGGGCGGCAAGGTGGTGATGGTGGGTCCGATGGAGGGGGGGAGCTGATGTGGAAGTCGTAGCGGGCTGCGAGCTGCGGGTGTGGAGCAAATAATAAGCGGTTGGTGGGAGTTGCACTTGCAGGGCCCTGTGGGTGCGCTGTACGGAAAAGCTGCAGTTGGATTGCCTTGTCAAAGTTTTGTTTGCTCATGGGTGATCGACCGGGCACTTGGCGGTTTACGCTGTCGCCGTTGCCTCCGCTCCATTTGCTTTGTGTGCCCATGGAAGGAGCATGTTAAACGCGCATGCCACTGCGCGTCCTTCCTTGCTTCTGGTATCTCTTCTTTCTTCTGCCTCGCATTGAACTCCCACGTCTACCTTGTCCTCCCCTGCGCCTCTCCTTCCCCCTCCCCTCTCCCTGTTTGCATTTCTTATATAATTTTCCCCCTCTCCCGCCCCGCCCCTGTCCCGCCCCGCCCCGCCCCGGCAGATCCGCAACCCCTGCTACGACTCGGGTGACATCAGGGTGCTGAGGGCGGTGGCTCCGCCCTCCCCCGCGGCCGCCCGCCTCACGGACGTGCTGGTGCTGCCGGTGCAGGGGGACAGACCCACCGCGGATGAGGCGTCGGGAGGTGCGGAAGAAGAGCGGGGAAGAAAAAAGGGTGGGGGCAAATCTGGAGGTGATTAGGGGAGGTCCTTGAGGGGTTTTGGTTTGGCAATGAACTGAGCCGTACACGTCCGTTCCGTCTGTCATAGGTTATGTGAGATAGCGCAGGGAAAGTCGGTTGCGTGTATCTGGGACGTCTTCCGGTGGCGGAAGAGGCGGCAGGCATGCTTGGAAGGGGTACATGGCCCTCACATACTCCATTGGCTCCCGGTACCCCCCGCCCGGATACCGGCAACCGCGTCTCTCCTCATGCCCTATACCGGTATCGCACCAGTGCGTCTCTGCCCCGCCCTCAACCCCCAACCCCCCACTCGCTGCTGCAGGCGACCTGGACGGGGACACCTTTCTGGTGATCTGGGATCCAGACATCGTGAACACCGTACGGCAGATCCCGCCGGCGCCGTACGATGCTGCCCCCGAGAAGCAGGCGGCCGGCGTCAACATGCGCCACCTCGTCAGGTGGGGCGCTGCGACACCGTGCAAGCGAGGTTACTCTGCTGTGACCGCCGTTGCTGCAGCTGCTGAACCGCCTCCTCCTCCTGCTCCTCCGCTGACTCTACCCGCCCTCTATACCCGCTCCCCTTACCCTTTCTTCTCTCTTCCCCATTACCCCTCATGCCAGCTACTTTGCCGGCTACCGTGGCTCGCTGCTGGGCCGCATCGACTCGCTGTATCAGCTGTGGGCCGGTATCCACCCGGCGGGGCCCCGCTGCGCGGAGTGCCGCTCGCTGTCGCAGCTCTTCTCACGCGGGGTGGATGCGGTGTCCACCGGGCAGGCCACCAGCGTACCGGAGCACCTGCAGCTGCCGCCGGGTGAGGCGGGGAGAGGCGCAGGGGTGCAGGGGGGCAGGGCCCACCGTGGGGGATGGGGGTTTAGGTACGGGAAAGAGACTGGTTGGGAACGAATGGGCACATGCAAACGTGCACCTGACATCCCGTTTCCGAAACTTGCAGCAAAGATGCATGCATGCTGACATGCATGCACCCAAACCCTCTCCTACCCCCTTCCGCCTGCCCCCTACGCATGCACGCACATGCTGCTACCCAGAGCCCGAGCTGAGTCCCGAGCAGCGGCAGCGGCTGGCGGCCCGCGTGTGGCGGCGCATGGAGGCGCGGGCACTGCAGGCCTGGGCCGCGTTCCACCAGTTCAGAGCGCTGGGGCTGCCCCCGGCGCCTGGGGAGGCGTGGGACGTGCAGGTGGGTACGACAGCCTGTATGATGTAGTCATGTAGGTACAGGCATGGGGTGTCGTACCGTAATGGACCAAAGGCACGGCTTTACCCCGGCTCCGCTTGAGCTCCATGCATGCTAGACGCATGTTGCGTGAGGCATGCTGCTGACTCGCCACCCGACCAGGACCTGGACGCGCGGGGCCTCATGCGGCTGGTCCGCAGTCGCGATGTGGCGCTCAGTGAGTTCGAGCTGCTGCGGCTGCTGGCGGGCTGGTGCCGCGGGAGGGGGGCCAGGGGCAGCAGGGGCGGGGAGCTGCTGGAGGAGTGGGCGCTGCACATCGACTTTGGCAGCTTCACGGATGAACAGGTAGGGGTGCATGGGGGGGAAGGAACGGGATAGGGCATAGGAGCGCTGTGGATGGGCGCACTGCGTAAGCGCTATCGATGGGAGAGGGAAATGGAGGGAGGCAGAGCTATTTTGGGCGTTGCCGGCGAGTGTTGATAGGTGGGCTGGCATGGTAGGTCGCTGGTTGCATACAGTGCTAGCTGGTACGCTAGGGTGTTATTAATCGGCAATCCGCTGTCGTTTCGCCCCTCCCCGGGTCATTACCCCGTCACTACGTCACCCAAACCCATCTGCGTCTCTCGCCCAGCCCCCCATGCCCCCTCCTTCATTGCCCTCCCCACCCCTCCCCAACCCACCCGCCCCCGCCACCTCCGCCCCCTTAGCGCCAGTTCGCGCTGCTCGCCGGTGTGCCCCGGTCGCTGGTGCTGAACGCGGTGGGGCAGTCGGGGCTGCTGCGGGCGGCAGACCTGGCGGCGTTCCGACTGGGGGAGGAGCGGCTGCACTGGAAGCTGCTGGCGGAGGGTGAGGGGGAGGGGGTAGAGCTGGTAGCTCTTTGCATCCCTCACAGCAACCTATTGCAATTGGTTGCTACCTGGTGTACCCACTCCCCCCATTCACATCCATTTGGTCTTCATCTTCTTCTTTCTCTCCCCCCCCCACCCGTGTCCCCCCCCCCAAGGCACCATGGACAGCCCGCTGGCCTTCTCGCACTTCCACTCCGCGCTCACTCACTTCCAGCGCAAGCTGCTGGTCATGCAGATGGCGGAACCCAGCCAGGTGGGGGCGGGTTGGGGTGGGGTGGGGGGCGATGAGGCGTGCTAATGAAGAAGAAGGAATTAGAGTGGTGTTAGGGTGACAGGAACGGGAGCGGGGCAAGGCCGAGGGGGGAGACGAGCGGCACATGCAGGGTGTCAAGCCGTCTGGAGAAGGGAAGAGGAGCTGTAAGCAGACGGGATGGAGCGAGGCCAGGAGGGTTTCGGATGGTGATGTGTCCGGGCAGCAGCAACACGCCTGCACACGCATTCAAGAGCTTGAGGGAGGTGCATGCGGGGATTCGGCTCGACTTAGCTTTCCCTCTTGCAGCTTAACGGCCCCTCACTAAGTCGCCCCCTCATCCCGCCGCCCCCTCCGTTCCCCGCCGGTACCTCGCCCCAAGGTAATCGCCATGTACATCAACGAGTCCTTCCCCGCGCCCGGCACCTACAAGTGCGGCAAGGACATGCTGGTGTTCGCACACTCGGGTAGGTGGGGCATGCACGCACGCGCAGATGTGTGCACTGCATGCGTGTGTGTGTATGGCTGCCAGACCCTTCCGATCCCACTGTGTACGACACCCGACCTCCGCCGCACCATTGGGCGCCAACAGCAGTATGCTGCCTCGCGACAGCCGCCTATGAAAGCTCTTCACAAGACCTTGCTTTCCTTCCTGCTCCTACTTTGGCTAATTGCATATCCCGAGCCCCGTTCTCTTCCCCAATTGCTCCTGTTCATCCCTTATGCGTCCCTCCTCCTATCGGTTGCCGCTGTCCCCCTCCCCCCCTCCCTTCCCCTCCTCCTCCGCCCAGGTGGCCTTCACCGCAAGCACGAGCTGCCCTGCCACAACCTGTGGCTCGACCTCACCTCCAGCCGCATCCAGGTCTACCGCAATGCCCAGGTGGCGCAGTCCTTCCTGTGGATGGCCAAGGGCGCGCCGCCGGTGCGGCCGCAAGCGCCCGTCGCCCTCACCGCCCCCGCTGCCGAGATGCGCCCCAACGTGGGGCTGCAGGAGAGGGGAGCCGACAGGCGGGGTCGCGGAGGCGGAGGTGGCAGGGATCGCAGCGGCGGCGGTGGAGGTGGCGGCAGGGGAGGTGGAGGTGGGGGCGGAGGGGACGGCAGCTACGTGCGAGTGAGCATCGCGGTGTTGGAGGTGGACAGGAAGGCCTTTAATGAGGGGCAGCTGAGGAAGGTGGGCGGCAGGGAAGCAGGAGGGAAGCGGGGCCCGGGAGAGGTGGTGGGCAGAGGGAGCTCGGCAGGGCTGTCGAGTGCTGCGGGGCTGTCTCGGTTCCGCCTAGCGAGTGACCCAGTCGCGCTTGCTCAGTGGTGCTTGCCGCTTGCGTGCACCCTAACCCCCACGCACCAAGGACTAGCTACGCGCCTCCCGCTTCTCCCGCCACGCCTCTTCCCTCACTCCTCCCTCCCTCCCGGCCCGCCCCTCCAGGTTCAGAAGGAGCCGCTGCTGCGCTACGAGCTCTACGTGGTCAGCGACCGCCAGCCGCTGCTGCGGCGGGGCGTGTGGCACCTGGGGGGGGCTGGGGAGCAGGAGGGGCAGGAGCAGGAGGGGCAGGAGCAGGAGGGGCAGGAGCAGGAGGGGCAGGAGGCGGCCAGGGAGGAGGCGGAGCTGGGGCGGGGGGTGCCGCTGCCGCCGGAGGAGGTGAGAGCTGCGGGGTGTCGGGGTTAAGAAGGAGGTGCTTAGTTAGTCATATCCAGGGCGTGGAACGGGTCTGTGGGCACTTTGCGGCAGGGCTGGAGGTAGTGTGCGGTGATGGGGAGCGGTGGGGGAGAGCGCAGCCATGCGGCTTGCATCACCGCTTCCTCCTTCCCCGCCTTCCTCTCCTTCCTTCCTTCTCATCCTCCCCCCCGCCCCAGGTCCCCGCCACCTCCCCGGAGCTGGTGGTGGTGGGTCACATGGAGGCGCGGGCGGCCAACGGGGGGGCGGTGGAGGTGCGGGCTGCGGAGGTGGCGGAGCGGCTGGGGCAGCAGGGCAAGCTGGGACCCGCACTGAGGGCGGCCAGGCTGGTGAGGAGGGAGGGGAGGAGGCGAGGTGGCGTGGGTTGGGGGTTATGGGTTGGGGGTTATGGGTTGGGGGGTGCATGGGGGCGCGCTTGGTGTAGGTGTGGTCTGCGTTGGGATGACCGTTTCTTACATTGCATGGCTGGTGTTACCGACCATGCTGGCATGCGTGCTGGCCCCCGTCGAGTACCGGTCGGCAATCCTATTATGAGATCCCAATTGCAACAGCCGTTTTTAGACGCCCACGCGGTAATCGATCCAGTAACAATATTTTGGCGTAGGCCCCCAAGGTGTCTGTTGCACAGCGTCCCCGTGCCTCCCGCTTTCCTGTGACTTGGAATGGTCTTTGACCTCCCCCTTCGCCGCCGCCGCTGCCAGGGCCGCCATGCGCTCAGCGGGGAGACGCTGTTGGGGCTGCTGCGCGCTGCGGGCAGGCTGCACCGCGGGGAGGCGGCGTGGGAGGTGCTGGACTGGGCGGCGCAGCGGGAGCAGGCGGCGGGGCTGGACAGGTAGGGGGGCAGTAGGGGGGGGGGGTAGGGCGCGCGATAGGGGTGCGGAAGCGGCAAGTTTTCCGGGGAGGTATCTCGCACTCTAGCTGTTAAAGACTTCACACTTGGGCTTCGTTGCCTCTCCGCTGTGCCTGCCTTTCCGTTTCCTGCTCAGGTTGCTGCAGCTGCTTCGAGAGGTCTCCGGTACAGGCGTGCTGGTCACCTGCCCGGGCGCCATCCTGCGCATGTGGCAGGCCATAAAGGCTGCCCTGCCGGTGCAGCCTGCACCAGCAGCTGCAGCTGCCGCAGCCGTGGCCTCTACCTCTGCTGCCGCTACTGCTGCTGCCCTCCCTGCCGCCCCCGTTCCCGGGATCCTAACTGAAAGGGACCTAGAGCTGCTGCTGATTCCGGCTATCAGGTGCGCCAGCCGGCAGGTGGAGCCGGATGGGCTGGTTCGGGACATCCTGGCGACCCATGGGTCAGCCCTGCCGCTGCCGCTGCTGCTGCAGCTGCTGAAGGCCTGCGTGCTTGAATGTGGCGGCAGCATTGACGTCGACTCGGCAGTGTCGGTGTGTGAGGCTCTGCTAGAGTCCACGAAGGAGCAGGGCGAGGCCCCGGCGGCTCAGCAGCCGCAGCAACGGCGGTCGGGCGCAGCAGCGGCACCGGCAGAGGCGGATGCCAGCAGTGTACGGCGCTACTGCCGTCACTGGGCTGCCGTACTGGTCTACGAGGCGCTGGCGGAGGTGGCGGCGGGGAAGAACAGCTGGCGGAGGCAGCCGCAGCTGCCGCTGATGATTTCGCTGTTGGTGGGGACGGCTCCTCCTCCTCCCCAGCCACATCCCAGCCGCTGCCCTCGCTCTGGGACTACATCGCCAGCCACGTGGACTCGGCTGCTGCGGTGGCGGGCGGCGGCGGCGGCGGCGCTGCTCACGGCAACACGCTGCGGGAGCAGGCGCGGGAGCGGGTGCGGGAGCTCCGCAGCCGTGCCGCGGAGAGTGCGGCGCGCAGGCTGCTTGCCGCTGGCGGAGGTGGTGGTGGTGGTGGGGGAGTGAGGGCGGTGGAAATGCTGAACCTGGTAACGGGCGATCACGTGAGCCCGCCGCCTGGTGGCAGCAACCGAGGCAGCCGACCCCACCTGGCAGCACAGGCCACCAGCCCTGTGGGCCCGGAGGCGGCGGTGGGGGCTGCCGCCGCCGCCTCTGTTGCAAGTGCAGCCAGCGCAGCAGCGGTGAGGCCAACCGCAGCCGGAGGAGCCGCAGGAGCCGCGAGCTCAGGCAGGCGAGCCACATCGTCGTCGCCACATGACTCGGTAAGTAGTGGTGGTGCGCTGCAGGCTGGAGCTGATGCGGCTGCGGCTGCGGCGGCTGCGGCTGCTGATGCGGTGCCGCCAGTGGATTACGATGAGGTTATGGCGGCTCGTACGGAGGAGGGGCACGACGCGTATGCGTGGGGAGGCGGAGAAGGAGGCGGAGGCGCCTATTCGCTGGTGCTGCACCGGAGGGACGGACTGCCCATCGGCACCGGCTGCTCGGAGGATAACCGCATCCGGGTGGGGGAGTGGGAGAGTGGGGGAGTGGGGGAGAGTGGGAGAGTGGGGGAGTGGGGGAGTGGGAGAGTGGGGGAGTGGGGGAGAGTGGGAGAGTGGGGGAGTGGGAGAGTGGGAGAGTGGGAGAGTGGGAGAGTGGGAGAGTGGGAGAGTGGGAGAGTGGGAGAGTGGGAGAGTGGGAGAGTGGGAGAGTGGGAGAGTGGGAGAGTGGGAGAGTGGGAGAGTGGGAGAGTGGGGTGGGAGAGTGGGAGAGTGGGAGAGTGGGAGAGTGGGAGAGTGGGAGAGTGGGAGAGTGGGAGAGTGGGAGAGTGGGAGAGTGGGAGAGTGGGAGAGTGGGAGAGTGGGAGAGTGGGAGAGTGGGAGAGTGGGAGAGTGGGAGAGTGGGAGAGTGGGGGATTGGGAGAGTGGGGTACAGGGTTAATGGGTGGGCTAAGGATTCAGGAGGGAGAGGAGTCGGGCGGCATGAAACTCCACCTGCTGCTCCCCACACCCGTAGAGGCGCACCCATCGAGCGCAGCATGGGTCGGCATACCCGTCCCTCACGCTACCCTTCTCCCTCCATCCATCAGCCAGTTGCGAGTAACCCCCCCTGAACGCCACCCTTCCTCTCCCTCTCTCCCTCCCCCTCAGGTGGGTGACCTGGTGCGCCTCTCCGACATGCGCACACCCGCAGGCAGGCTGATGCGGGGGGCAGCAGCAGCTGGGGGCGGCGGAGGGGGCGGGGGGCCGGTTGCGGTGGTGGGGGTGGTGGCGGCTGTAGACGTGGTAACGGTGCGAGTGGAGCTGAGCTGGGAGCCGGGGCTGACGGGGAGGGTGGGGGCAGGGGCGGGAGGAGGAGGAGGAGGCGGGGGTGGTGGTGGGGCAGGCGGTGCAAGGGTGGAGGGTGCTGGATGCTGCAGCTCAGCGGATGGAGCAGCCACGGCAGCAGCAGGGGGAGGGGAGGGAGGAGGAGGGGCAGCAGCTGAGGCTGAGGCTGAGGTGCCGCGGCGGTGGAGGCTGCAGCGACTGGGCAACGTCATCACCTTTGACCGAGCACTGCAGGTGGGTGGGAGGGTGAACAAGGGTACGGCAGGGATATAGCCACAGCACGCGGGAATGGCCCGCCTGCCGACCTCTTCATGGAAGGTCATTTACCCCTAGGGACACAGCAGGAGCAGGAGAAAGATCAAGTACGGTAGCTGCGCGCACAACTCGATTACCCTTCGCATTCTCAACCAATGCGTTTCTGGTACCGATCACCCATCAAGCCTCATCAAGCCTCCCTCCTTCCGTACAGGCCCTGGAGCGCTGCTACCGGTCCCCGCCGAGATGCTCCCCCAGCCACCCTGCTGGCCCTCTGGCTGCTGCTGCTGCCGCCGCTGCTGGTGCCGGTGGTGTAGGGGGTCCCCCGAGGCCTCTGGACATCATACTGGGCAGTTGGGCGGGACAGCCGCCACCGCCTGGTTATGACAGCTGGGCCGATGCTGCCGAGGCCAGCCCCTCTTCCTCCGCCGCCGCCGCCGCAGCGGCAGCAGCAGTGGCAGCTGGCGGCGAGGAGCTGGTGACCCGCGGGTCAGTGGATGTGGTGTGCGGCGCGGCGGGATGTAACGCCAGCCAGCGGGCGGCAGTGGAGGCGGCGTTGAGGGGGACGCTTACCATCATACACGGGCCACCGGGTACTGGCAAGGTGCGCGCTAGTGTTAGTTGTTTTCCAGAGAACTTGTACTTTGCTTGCATTGGAAGCTCGGTGGATGCATGCCATGCTAAGTCGTCATTCCGATGTGTAGTAGAGCCAGTCAGGTAAGAGGGTGTCCCCGCTTGCCGTAACGGGTTGCCGTCCCAGCCTTTCTTCAGTTTAGCATCATGGTAAGAGTGCACCCTCCCTTCCTCCCTCCCGCCCGCCCGCCCGCCCGCCCGCCTCGGCTGCTCCATCACCCTCCGCAGACCACCACCATCGCCTGCCTGCTTGCGGCGCTGCTGCTGGGCGCCGGTGGGGGGGCGCCGGGCCGGCAGCAGCTGCCCGTGCTGGTCACCGCGGAGACCAACGTGAGGGGGCGGGAGGGGGAGCGGGAGGGGAAGGAGGAGAAGCAGGCGTACGCCGCCATATCATGTCTGCGCATGTGTCCCTTGTCCCCACTGCTCCAATGTCTGTCACTACAAGGCCTGGAAAGGGTACTTGTGTCCGTAATTTCCCGCTGTGCGACATGCAATCCTGCCTTTTAACCCATGATGCAGATTGCCGTGGACAACATCTTTGACCGGCTGCTGAGGCTGCTGGGGCAGCTGGGGCAGCAAGCTGGGAGCAGCAGCAGCAGGGACAGCGGCGACAGAGGCAGCCAGGGCTGCGCGGCTAACCAGCAGGACGCCGCCTCAGCCGCCACCGCCACAACCGCTGCCGCCACCGCCGCCCGGCAGCTGTCCCGCCTGGTTGCGCAGCCGGGAGCGCTGGTGCGGGTGGGGGACAGCGCGGGGGTGGCGGGCGGGGTGCGGAGGTACTGCCTGGAGGCGCTGGAGGGGGTGCGAGGACCGTAAGTGAGGGGGGGAGGGGAGGGAGGACGGGTGGAACAAAGGGGAGAGCGGAGGGGAGGGCCCCGAGGGCGGGAGGGTGGAAGAAAGGGCAACTGACGGGGGCATATCCCAGACTAGGAGGTAGACCAAGCATTATACACCGCTGCTGCGGCAGCGACTCCCGCCTTACGCCTGCATCCTCCGCCAACGCCCCGGTACCTCCATCCCCTCACGTCCCCCTCCTTCCTCCCTCCGCCAGGTTCGGTTACAACTCCCGGGAGGTACGGCGGGTGCTGCGGGGCGCCCGGCTGGTGTTCGCCACCTGCGCGGGTGCGGGCTCGGCGCTGCTGGAGGGGCTGCAGGTGGGGCTGCTGGTGGTGGACGAGGCCTCGCAGGCGCTGGAGTGCACCACGCTCATCCCGCTGACCCGCGGGTCACCCCGCCGGGCGGTGCTGGTGGGCGACCACTGCCAGCTGGGGCCCCACCTGGCGAGTGAGGCGGCGAGGCGGCAGGGAGCCGCCACACCGCTGTTCGAGAGGCTGCAGAAGCCGCTCGCACTGCACCTGATGGTGGGGCAGCAGCAGCCGCAGACACGGAATACGCCGCAGCAGGCTGGAAGTGCCGCTGGCAGCTCATTCCAGGAGGCGGGGAGGAAGCAAGGCATGGTGGAGGAGGAGGAGGATGCGGCAGGGGGTGCGGCCGTGGCGGCGTCGGCGAGTATGACAGAGGTGGAGGAGGTGGTGGGCTGTAAGTCAGGGGGCGGTGGTGGGGGTGGGGATGGAGGTGGTGGGGGTTTGGCTGCCCGGTTGCTGGACACGCAGTATCGGATGCACCCGGTCATCGCGGCCTTCCCCGCGGCGGCGTTCTATGGGGGGCGGCTGAGGAACGGAGCCAACACGCAGGGTGAGGGGTGGGGGGGGGCTGGGGGCGAGGGTGATGGGGAGGGAGAAGAGGAGGGATGGGTACATGGGGTAGCACAGCGAGGTAGAGAAGCCGTTGGTTGGGTATTTACCGTATTTTGCTCAGGTGAAGCCAGTAAGTGGTCGGCAATATGGTCGAGAGACCTTAGCATGGGTAACAAGACAGGCTCAGCTACCTGCCAGGACTGCCCAGCCTCGTCCCTGACTGCATGGCAGCGCTCGTCCCCGCGGACGCGGTGTTTCCATACCCACCGCCATCTAACCCTGGTCCCATCACACAGCCCAATACGGTGGCCGCCCTGTGCTCACACGATCGCAACCAACCACGTGCTCACCTGCTCCTCATACAAGTTCTCGCTCCCCTTCCACTCCCCCCCCCGCAGCCCTGCCGCTGCCCGTACCGCTGAAGCAGCGAGTGACCTTCGTTGATGTGCCGGGCTGGGAGCAGGGCGGCAGGGGCAAGTCCTGGGACAATCCAGCACAAGCGCGGGAGGTGGGTGCTGTATGTGCGGGTGTGCGGGATGATTCCTTATTACGGCGCAGCGTGTGTGTCACACACTTCGGGAGCCGTACATGCGACAGCCCGCTGTTAGCGCATGTGCTGACTGCTAAGCGCGCTGTGCTAAGTGCGGTGTTTTCATCACCCGAAAGTAGGCTTCACCCGATCCAAACACCCCATGTTCCTCCCCCTCCTTCCCTCCGTCAGGCTGTACGACTGATCTCCGAGCTGCTGCGACTGAATGCGGGCCGCCTGGGCGCTGCTGACATCGGAGTCATCACCCCCTACCGAGCCATGGCGGCAAACATGCAGGTGGGGGGTCAAATTGGACCATATGAAACCATTTAAAAGATAAAGGGCAGGGTTGGGGGCGGTCGAAGAGAAACCCACCCCAGTGCAGTTTGATGGGGGGGGGGCAGGATGGGTCATTGAATCGGCAGTGTCAGTGGCGGAGGAGGGCGGCTTCAGAGTCGCCTGCAGCTAATATCCCTTCGACGGGACGGGTTCAATGGTCACACACGCAGGAGGGACTCTGCGCCCCCTCCCCGTAAGCTTATAACCTCATCCGCCAGCGCAACCCACCGCACCGCTCCCAGCTGCGATGATGGCCACCAGCTGCTGTTGCCGACCCCTCTCTTTGTCTCCATACACCTACCTACGCACTCCCCTTCCACGCTTCCCTCCACGCTTCCATATCACCTGCTGCTCCCCTATCTCGCCAACTAGGTCTTACTCATGTTTCCCCTGCTCCCCTTCCCTTACACACCGCAGTACCAGCTCTCCCGCACCCACCCCTCCCTGGAGGTGGCCACTGTGGACGGCTTCCAGGGCCGCGAGAAGCGGCTGGTGCTGCTACTCACGGTGCGCGCCAACCGCCGCGGCAGACTGGGCTTCGTGGCGGATGCGCGGCGGCTCAACGTGGCCATCACGCGGGCGGCGGAGGCGCTGGTGGTGGTGGGGCACGGCGAGACGCTGAAGGCGGCGGCGGAGGCGGTGAGGGGGAAGGAGAGGAGGGGTGGAGGTGGGGGTGGAGGTGGGGAGGGGTGGCTGCCGGCGTGGGTGGATCTCTTGTTGGGTGGTGGGGAGGAGGAGAAGGGTGGCGACGGGGGTGGAGATGGGCGGGTAGGGGGGCGAGGAGGAGGAGGCGTGGAAGGGGTGTCTCGAAGGGATGGGAAGGAGGTGAGAGTCGCAGGGTAAGTGAATGAGGGCAAGGGAGGCTTCTGGAGAGGAGCTGGTTGAGGGAGGAGCTATGGGTTTGGGTTTATAGGCGCTTCCAAGACTCTGGAGTGCGTCTAGTGGTGACCGGCAATGACACGAAGAGGACATCCCGCACCTCCCTATGCGCGATTGGTGCCACTTCAAGAGGTTGGTTCCCGGCACATCTTGGTTCATCGGCACGGTGTGTGGCACGGAGGTGTATGTATACTGGGCAGGCGTAGGCTAGCAGCAGCTTTGTTGCGGTAGGGTAGCAGTAGTCAGCGTTGCTGGAGGTTGCATGTTGCCGGTTGTTGGCCTTCAACGTTACGGTGGCTGTAGGCCCCAAGATGTCAGGAGGGGGATGATGACGATTTGATGAAAGGGAGACATCCGAGCTCGCAGCCTGGCCTCTTCCGGCCGAGGCTGTGTTGGGAATGGATTTGGCTTGTGTTGTGTTGGAGGTCAAACGTGCGTGTTGGTGTTGTTGGTGTTGGTGACGAAGAAGAAGTTGGCCGCACCCTTACTTACCTTGAGCACGCGCAGGAGCTGGTCCCAGAACGCGTCAGGCGCAGGCGCACAAGCAACCTGCCATCAAAGCTCCTATGGGAAGGTATCGCAAGCAGGATGTGGCAGAACCTTCAGCAGTTTGATTGCAGTATGGCATGGGTTGTGTGAGCACGGAGTTGCATGCAGCGTTGAAGCGGGTGGTGGTAGTGTATCTACATACTACTTGTGTTGCCCGGCTACGCCTTACTAAGCCGTTACCGGGGTTGGGAGTTGGTTGTAGAGCCCTGCGCTCGTTGCTGGCCGGTAGCCGGCGGTCGCTGGGATGGCGACCGGGTTACAGGCAAGGTGGACGGGCGCCTATGAGATGAGCGGCGGTTGCATCAGCATAATGTAATCAAAGTTAGTCAGGATATGTTGCCATATCGTTGTGCAGGGCTGCAGGCTGTCACAGCAGGGATTTAGTCCGCAGCATGATGCGATTTGCGCCGCACGCACATCATACCTCGCAAGCCATTCCTTTAGTAAGCGCACCGTGTTACTCTTGGTACCATGCTTTAGTGGTTTTAGTTTGTTATAATTTACGTTTCAAAATGGTACTGAAGCACTAAATCACTGCAATGTCTGGCCACCGTTGAGTCGTAGTAAGAACGCACTTTACATTACTGGTACTAACCTCAGCACTTACCATTTCTATGGCTTACGGAGGGACTGGGGATTATGAGTGGGAGGAGGTGGACGAGGAGGACTGGGACGTGGTATGCATCGACGATGAGGCGCAGCAGCCTGGCGTCCCTAAAAACGGCATTGAGTTTACCCTAGAAGAAACAGGTTAGTGATACTATATGTTATTACCAGCTTTTCGACTTGTTCACGTCCGCGCGCTTACTTTCATACCTGGCGTGTGGCCATGGGATGTCCCAGTCGCGACTAGGCGCGCTTTTACGACAAGCGCCTGCGATAGGGTCGCACTTATACAATCAATGCCATTCAGTCGTTTCCATTCCGTCGTGCCGGCTGTACTTCCTCTCACAATGGCCTTTCCAAACCTATTTCTGCTTCCTACCTCTCCCCCCCTCTGCACCCTCTTCACCCCCTCCACCCCCCCCCAGACCCTCAGAAACGCATCCGCCGCGCCATCACCAAGCGCGAGCGCGAGGCGGCTGCTGCCGTACACCGCTGCCACGTGCTGTGCCTAGTGGGGCGGGCGCTGCTGCTGGACTGGGCGGCGGAGCAGCCGGAGGTGCAGGTGGGAGGGGGCGGGCTGGGAGGGAAGAGGGATGACAGAGGGGCGGCCCCAATACGTGCGTGGGTCGTACATGCAGCATTAGCAGTGCTGCTCCGCCGTGTTCCCCCCCTCCCGCGTCCTCCATGTCGCTCTGCCTCGCCGCCTCCCCATCACCTCCTCCCCCCTCTACCCCTCCCCCGCCAGGCCACCGCTCTGTCGGTGCTGCCCCCCTCCGCCTGCCTGCGCAACCACGTGGGGGCGGAGGAGCCGCAGCGAGCCATCAACGGGCTGCGGCCGCTGGTGTCCTGGTTCCGGAGCTCCTTCGCAGTGCTGCCGCCCGACCTGGTGTGGCGGGGGAGCGGAGGAGCTGGGGGAGGAGGAGGGGGAGGGGGGCGGCTGAGGCCGGAGGATGACATGGATCAACAGGTGAGGGAAGGGGGAGTGGAGGGGATCCCGATCGGTTTGCTGCAGTGTCCCAAGCCGCAGCTTGTCAGCTTGCCTTACCCTCGTCATCCCCTCTCTCCCTCCCTCCCACCACCCCCACCTCACCCCCCCCTCTGCCTCAGCTGCTGCGCGCCGCTCGCAGCCTCAGCGGCCCCGTGGAGTGTCTGGTGGGGTGCTTCGTGGCGGCGGTGCGGGCGCAGGGCGGCAGCGCGCGGCTGGTGCGGCTGGCGGATGCGGTGCCGCTGGCGCCTTGGAGGGCCCGACCCGTGAGCCTGCGGACGGCGGAGCAGGCGGCAGGAGCAGGAGGAGGAGGAGGAGGGGGGAAGGCAGGAGGAAGAGGGAGGAAGGTGGTGGATTTGGATGCTGGAGATGTGTTGGAGGAGGTGCAGGTGGAGGAGGGGAAGGGAAAAGGGAAGGGGAAGGGGAGAGGAAAGGGAGGGCAGAGTTTGGAGGAGGTGTTAGCGGCGCGTGGGAGAGGAGGCGGGAGGGGGAGAGGTGGGGTTGTGGGTGGAGGTGGAGGTGGAGGTGGGGGAGGCAGGAAGCGGAAGGCGAGTGGTTGTGGTGGGGTGGAGGCCGGCGGTAGCACCGCTGCTGCTGCTGCTGCTGCGGGCGGCGGGGCGGCTAGGAGCATGTCAGCCCCGGCGGCAGTGGCGAGCAACAAGCGGCGGAAGGGGGCACAGCGGGAGGAGGAGGGGGAGGGCGAGGGGACGGCGGCGGCAGCAGCAGCGGCTGATGCCCCCCGGCCCAACCGCGGTGAAGAGGAGTTTGAGCGGCAGCTGCAGATGGCCCTGCTCGCCACCGGCAGGGAGGCGGAGGCAGCCGCAGCGGCAGCAGCAGCGGGGTCTTCCAAGGTAGCGCCTGGCGGGAAGTCTGGCGCAGGGGCTGCAGGGGCAGGGAAAGGCGCGGGCACCGCTGCGGTTGCGCTTGGTGCCCCCTCCTCCTCCAGCCAGCCCCCCGCGGGCGCTGCTCTGAGTGTTCGTCCCGAGGTGGTTGTCAACTGCTGGGCGGAGGTGTACTGCGGCAGTGCGGAGAGGGGGCGCTGGGTGGCGGTGGATGTGGTGAACGGCTACCTGGACCGGCCGGAGCTCATAGACAGCGCCACCTTCCGACCCACCCCCGTCTGCTACGTGGTGGCGGCGGAGCGGGGGCGACTGCGGGACGTGACGCCGCGCTACTGCGCCAGCCTGCTAGCCGCCCGCCGCAACCGGGATGAGGGCTGGTGGGGGCAGACGGTGCAGAGGCTGGAGGCGGGGCGGCATGGGCGGCTGGCTGGGGTGCCGGAGAGGGAGAGGGAGGAGGGGGGTGAGGAGGTGGATGCGGGAGGAGGAGGGGGGGCTGGTAAGGCAGGCGGAGGTGGCGCTGCCGCCGTCGCTAATGGTGGAGGTGGGGCAGGAGTTGCAGCAACAGGGGGAGCAGGGCGGGCTGCCCCCGCAGCAGCAGCAGCAGCAGCAGCAGCAGCTGGCAGCGGTGGTGCCCCGCCCCGTATCATTGATGCCCGGCTGTCCCACCAGCGGGGGGAGGTGGAGCACCCGATGGGGCCGCATGCAGCAGCAGCTGCAGCAGCGGCAGCTGCAGCAGCGGCAGCAGTCCGGGGGGTGACAGCGGCGGCAGCAGCACCTGCGGGGCCGGCAGCAGCAGCAGCAGCAGGCGGGGGCGGTGGCGGGGGCGAGCAGCTGCGCGCTGCTCGCGAGTCCGCCGAGCTGCGGCAGCGGGGTGCGGTGCAGCTGGCGGGGCTGCCCACCAGTGTGGAGGGCTTCAAGGGGCACCCGGCGTACGTGCTGAAGCGGCATATCGGCAAGTATGAGGTGAGGGGCGTGAGGGGCGGCAGGTGGGAGGTCAGGGAGTGGAGGTGTGCTCTAATCATCGCGGTTAACCTCTCCCCTGCTTTCCCCTTGCCCTCCCCTTTCCCTCCCCTCCCCTGCAGGCCCTGCACCCCGGCACCGCCCCCCTGGGACTGCACCGCGGGGAGCCCTACTACCCGCGGCAGCAGCTCAGTGTGCTGCACACGGCGGAGCGCTGGAGGAGGGAGGGACGGCAGGTGGGGCTGGGGGAGGGGGGAGAAGCATGCGAGGACAGGAACACGCTGGAAACAACGGCCGGACAAGACGCCTGACGTACGACGCCATGATGTGCCGTACTATGGCGCGTATGGTGCACCTTGGCCCTACTTTATCTTGTTGGATCCCTGTAATCATAGCCGTGCCCTTCCCTCCCTTCCTTTCGCTCTCCCCCAGGTGCGGGAGGTGGAGCTGCGCTGCCCCGCCAAGGTGGTGAAGAAGCGGCTGCTGCCCGGGGCGGGGCCGCCGGGAGGGCTGGGGCTGGGGCTGGGAGGGGCCCGGAGAGCTGCGTCCATGCCCTCAGCAGGCGGTGGCAGTGGAGGCGGGAAGCGCAAGGGGCGGGGTGTTGGCGGTGGTGGTGCGGACGAGGAGGAGGAGGAGGAGGAGGACGCGGAGTTGTTGACGGAGGTGAGAGGAGGGGGGGAGAGGGGGGAATGGAGTGAGCTGGCTAGGCAGGGCTGCTGCCGGGAGGAGTGCGGACTTCCCACATGTTAGGTGGGGCCTAGGCTGGCAGTAGAAGCTAGACCCATGGACTAGCGGGCCACAACGCAACAGTTCGGAACTGCGCCAGTCGTTTCTTACCCCGTAACGCCACCCACCCATTTGTTGCCTTCCCCGCAGCTAGGAAGCGATGCAGCAGCAGCAGCAACCACTGGCCCCACCGTTAACTTGTACGGCAAGTGGCAGACGAATGCCTGGGAGCCGCCCACTGCCGTGGACGGTATCGTGCCCAAGAACGAGCGCGGCAACGTGGAGTGTCCGCCGCTGGTGCCCTGCCTGCCCCGGAGAACTGTGCACCTGACCCTTGGGCCGGGTCTCGGAGCCATCTGCCGTACACTGGGCCTGGATTACGCGCCGGCGTTGGTTGGTTTTGAGGTGCAGGGCGGGAGGATGGTGCCGACGATAGAAGGTGTGGTGGTGTGTGAGGAAATGTCAGAGATTGTGGTGGCGGCGTATGTGGAGAGGGAGAGCGCCAGGGCGGAGGCGGCGGCGGCAGCGCGGCGGCGGGTGGCGGAGGCGGCTTGGAGAAGGTTGTTGGCGAGCATGCGAGTGAGGTTGCAGCTGGAGAAGGACTACGCGGGTGGAGGGGAGGCGAGAGGTGAAGCAAGGGGAGTGGAGAATGTTGTGAGTGTGGGAGGGCGGGGAGAGGCGACGGCGAAGGGAGGTGCGGCGGCGGCGGCAGCTCTGTCAGCTGCGTGGACGGAGGCAGCAGCAGTGAAGGAGCGGGGAGGCGACGGGAGACCTCGGAGCGCTGTGGAAGCAGCGGCGGTAGCTGCGGCGGCGAAAGGTGCGGTTTGTGGCGGTTGCTTGTGACCCGTGGGGCTCTGCTGGTCCCTGCAATCCAGGCATTGGCGGTTCATCAAACCTTTTCTGCCTCTCCCATGTCGAGTAAGCACATGTTTGTATCCCACGCGCTCAATCTGCCCACCCTACCCGCAGGTGTCCCGCGCGACCTGGGCATCGCTGCGGAGGAAGAGGCGGCCCGGCAGCGGCTACAGTCCGCGGCAGGGGACGGGCAGGGGACGGGGGCGGAGGGTGCAGGATGGCAGGCGGGAGGTCCGGACACGGGCGCAGATGTGGAGATGGAGGAGTTCTGAAGTGTGTGAGTGCGGTTGAGAGGTCTGAGCACTGTGACAAGGTGGTTGTGTGTACATCTTGTGTGTAGGTATGAAGCAATGATGACTGGTTTCTGCAGGGAAGGAGTGGGGGTATTCAAGAATAGTTTTAAGCAGGATGAAAAGCGCGCAACGCGTCAACGTATACAGCCATCACCACTGGCACAAGACTGCTAACCTGATGATTAAAACCTAAAAGCCAAACCCGCCAGCCCCTGTGACGTTCTTTATAACAGACATGGTAGCGACCATGGTTCAGAGCTTCCGTGTTGCAAGAGGACGGTCTGTGCGGCGACGCGATCATTTGTGCTTATAGGGTACATGTCCTTGCCCCACAGGAGAGAAGAACCTTGGCAGACAAAGGCTTACTGCGTTACAGTTATGGGCAGTGCCCGTGTACCATGGTCATCGAACCATGCGATGTGCAGGTAATCACGGCTACAATGACCGGTATATGATCGCAGATCGACTTAAGATCCAATAAAGAATGAAAAATACACCATGCAGGTTAGGACATACCGGTACGTCGTACAATCACGGTGGTTGGCAAGATCACTGCTGACATCAAGAAGCGGCAAAATGTATAATCACGGGGCACCTGGCCACAAACAGTTGTTCTGTGGGAAAGTCCAGGGCCCTTTAGAGAATGTTTGAATGCTTAATGACGTGGGCCGCGTCGCTTCCCCTGGCTAGAAACGGAGTTAAAATTATTGGACATGCAATGACGCGCCAAGCAGTTCTAGGTCAACCCTGCTCTAACCGTGTACATGCAAGACTAAGAATACTACAGCAATGAATAGATATAGCAGCTCTGCAGAATACATGCCATGCATCCAAGTATGTGGGTGTCCCTCACAGGCGCAAACAAGTGACGAGAGCTGAAAGGGGAAGGAACATCTACTTATGAATAGATATACTGCTTGGTATCCAGCAGCACTCGCAGCACCGTCATGTCCTTGCAGCGTGTGGTCATGGCGGTCATGTCAACCGTCTGCGCCCAGGCCGCTGTCCACGAGGGCAGCCACCATCTGGCAGCGGCCTCGGCACATGCGGCACGCTGCGGGCCGCGCAGGAAGTCCGTCAGCGTCTCGGTGTTGGCGACAATTGGGGCGCGTGCTGGCTCGGACGTGGTGGCAGGTGCCGAGGTTGGCGTGGGGGTGCTGCCGCTGCCGCTGCTTGGCTTTGTGGTGACCGGCGCAGAGGTGGGCGTCGGTGTCGGTTTGGGCTTGGCCACGGGACCGTCCAGATACACATTGTACCTGCGGTGGCAAAAGGGAGAGTTAGGCATCAAGGAGGAGACCTGGAAATGGAATAGGGCGTGTCACAGCAACCCGCGGATGCAAACTCACCCATCGTCCCACACGTTGCCGATAGCGGCGTTCCAGAACATAGCGCCAACCATGGGGCCGCCGGTCTGCTTCATCCACTGCATGTTGTCCGCTACCAGACGGAAGAGGAGCACCCGCTGCTCAATGGTGTACTCACTGCGAGTGGTAAGGGAAAGGGGTATGACATGCAAGTGTTCTTAGGCAAGGTAACTCAGGGAACTCGCTTCCACACTAAGTTTACGGTACGTGTTAAAATGTTGGGCCCTGAGGATAGCATGGTTGCAGCCTTTGTGAGGAGACTACGGAGCAACCCTGCCTTATCCCACGCGACACTGGTAAAACACAGCCAACTTCCTAAGCAACTCACGGCAGAATTAGGCCAAACTCCTCCAGGATAAGTGGCTTGCCGAAGTCGGAGGACAGGCGTTGATGGGTGCCGAGGTACTGGACCAGGTAGTTGCAGAAGCAGTTGAAGTCGCACTTGGTCCACTTGGGAGGGACGGACTCGAGCTGCGGGGTTGGGTAGCAGCAACGGGAGCATGAGTCAAGCAAGCCGGGTGGTTTTGGCGTATTAGGACGGCATGCCCAAGCTTTCCTATGTACCGGCGCCTTGATACCGTGTCATGACACAGCGCGTGCTTGTCATATCGTGTGTAACCGCACCTGGCGCTCATAAGCGTGAACCACGGTGACGTCGATGGTGTCCATCTTGCCCAACGCCGCCCAGTCCTCGCCCTCGCAGCGGGCACCAGCGCCTGCATCGGCACAGCAAGAGTGCGAGGTGATGGCGGCAAGAGGCAATTGTGCATTAAGCATTGCTGGCTACATCTCAACATCTCTGTCGCCCAGTATGTACGGCGGTTTGTACGGACTCACAAGTGCATGACCGGATGAAGAACAGAAGGATCCTGAAGACCCTGCCAATGCACTTCACCGTTCGGCGTCAAGTACTCACCGGGATTAGAGCTTTCGTACGAGTTGAGGAAGTAGCCCTCCGTGCCCAGAGCGACCAGCTGGTTGGGTGCGTTGGCGCGCAGGTGCGCGGACATCTCCTGCAGAAAAGAGTGTACAACGCCCTGCGAGGCGGTGTCCACACAGCCGGGGCACCTGGGCTCGTTCATGGCGTCGAACATCATGATGGCGTCGTCGTCACGGTAGCGGCGGCCATTGAAGGTGTTGGTGCGCCACACGATAGCGGAAATGTGGTCACGGTAGAAATGGCGCACATTAGAAGAGCGGTAGAAGTCCAGCAGGTCCTTGCCAGCTGCGGTCAGAAGCAGCGTGGCCCGTAGGTTTATAAGTGCCGATATGGGAATACTCAGCCGCACTAGGGAATGCGGTAAACACGTGCGTCAGGAAGCAATCCATAGATGCAGGGAAACAACATGAGTAGCGCTCATCATAGGAGGATGTGCAAAAGCTACGGATTCGTGTACGACTACCGACCTGGGTTGATGCCAGCCATGCTCATGAAGTCTTGCGGCGAGCGGTAGGCAGCCCAGGTGTTTCCCAACGCCAGGATAAGCTTGACGTTGTGCCTGCAGCGCGTTGGTAGGGCTTAATAGTCAACATGCATGTGGCAGGTAAGGATGCCTTCCAACCACTGACCTGCCGGCCGAATCAACAATGTAGTCAAGCCCTTGGAACTGGGTCTCATCGTACTTGCCCCATGCGTAAGGCATGCGGTGGTTGAAGGCCCAAAGACGGATGACCTTCAGTCCGAATTGCTGCACGGGTCCAAGCAGTTCAGGTGAGCAAAATTTTGCGCGATAGCAGGTACAGGACAGCGCGATAGCAGGTACAGGACAGGAGAGCAAGAGGTAGATTCACTTACGTTGCAGTAGTCAAAGAACTTGTCCACAGTACCCTTGTCCCGCTGGACAAAGTCGATCAACCTACAAGGAGGAAAAGACCCGGCTTCGGTATTATCAGAAAGGTGCGCAGTCAGCAGTGCATACGTACCAGTAAGCGTTTGCTCCCATGAAGTAAAATGGCTTGCCGTCAATGCATAGCTGATGGCCGCAGCGCTTGACATATGAAGCGCCCACAGAGGAAGTGAGTAGCCCGCACATGGCAAGAATAATCAGAAGTCCTAACCATGACCCAGACGAGCCTTTCGCCCTTGTCATTTTGGACATGTAACAGTAGGTCAGAAGGCGTGACGTATGGCGTGGCCTGAGGGAAAGGCACCTGTTAATCGTTGTCAGCATGCCAACATCCATTTGGCATACCAGCGCCTCTTGCAGCGATATGATACCTACAAGCATGGATTTTTCTATGAGAACGTACTACGGGCCTACCTTCAGCTATGGTTTGTGCTCTTGCAGTTGTTGCTGGCTCTTCGCCGCAACCAATGTCCTTGGCAACGGACTTCAGGAGGTTGTCAGCAACTCTCATATTTTGGATAATTCTACAAGAACGACTTTATCTTTTATAGTCCTGCTGCTGGGATCCAGCGAAATCCGTTAGTGTCCGTTACAGTTCTAAGACAGACGACGGTTCCCTTTGAAAGTTGGATCCGTACTCCGACCTGTTGTAATGATACTTCTCGGACTCTTCGCGTGTACACTTTTAGCAAGTTGTGTGAGAACGCGAATACGAACAGAGAACATCTGTTGGAAGCCGGCAAGCTTGCAGCACCTCTTGGAAATCCCACCATGGGCTTAACGTCGAGAGGTGCTCCGTCGGTGCGCTCTGTCGGTTCACTCCGTTGTGCTTCGAACATTACCGCAGTAAGCGTCAGGTGGCTCGCTTGGTCACATGGTCAGCGTCCAATCAGACCACGAAAGCAGGATCGGGAGACCCCACTGCTCGCGATGGAATGCCGCTTCCAGCGTCAGTTTCGGCTCTAGCTAGGTCTCTCAGTTTGTCCTTTTTCACAGCCAATTCAGCAGGCTGTGCTAGCCGGTGTGCCCCACGCCTCGGCTGCCAAGATTGCACGTTATCACGAAACGTTTACAACATAGCGTACTGCAACGAGGGGCATAGGATCGCGAGCAAACCGCACGAGGTCCACCTAAAAATGTCGATGCCATCTGAAGCCACGGGAGGTTGTATGAATGGTCACCGGCATCCCTCCTTGCCAAACGCATCCGAGTACTCACCAAGGAGAGGGGTGTATATTGTGCGGGGGTTTGGCTTGCATGCGGAATCCTCCGCCGCCGCCAACAAGTGACACGTGCGCTTGGAGGGGCCCGTGGGCCAGGGGCATTACGCGAAGTGGGTGGCGCGCCGCATCTGGTTGACGGGCTTATTTATCTGAGCAGCGAATTTGTGTACGGCAACATCCACATGCAGGGTGCAGCCGTGCTTGACGACCTCCACCAGCGCATCCATTTTTAGGAAGCGGATGTTACACTGGAGGACAGTAGCTGAGACCATCGATACATTCTAACAGGGCGTCGACCGCCCTACCCCAGGGGGCACGCCGTGCACAAGGCAGGGAACCCTGCCCAACAGACACGGCTGCATTTTAGGCAAGCCTCGCAGACGCCAGCAATCGCGTTTTTGCTTAAACCTCGAGCAAATCAGGCAAACAAAGACCACGTAGGCAAGTTTGCATCCTAGGTAGCAATAGGTCTGTGCCCGTCGGCGATGGACGTTCGATTTACCCTAGAAACCCAATTTGTATTACGAGGCATTAAACAAATAGGAGTGTCTCTCCTGGTAAAAACTATGTAGTACTATGGTGTTTACATTTAGTTGGAGATGGTTTAGTAGGCAACGGTGTCCGGTGAGGGACGCATAGTACACATGTAACACGAGCTATACTTTTCACCTAGCGCACCTGTTCTATAGTACACTCATATGTTGGGGTACTAAACGTTAACGAGACAAGCTTTTGGCATGCTGTGTTGACGACCTAGGGTGCTGCACAGGGAAGAAAGGGCTTCCAGGTGTCTGGGTCTGTCGATCAGATTTGCATCCTAAAAGGAATGGAATCATGGATTCAGGTGAGGTGTATTAGAGGTTGTCCTCCGCAACCTGCCTGCGATCGCATGGTGTTGCTCACTGCTGCCTTTGTCAAGTCGATCAGGAATTCGTTTCGCAATATGCTATTGTGTCGCGTTTCCCCTTTATTAAGGAAACATTCGGGCTGAAGTTACGGTGTTTTGTTTCTTTTTCGTATGGCCACGAATGGTTACCGAATGTCGCTGCCGTTGGGATGGGTCACATACACTTGACAGGAATAGGTCCCAGGCAATCTCATGCACGCCGTAATTGCGAAAGCCTCCTTACATGTCGCGGGGCTTCAATGGGCCCTTCGTCGTGCTGACAGCTGAAACCTCCTGTCGAACGCACTAGAGGGGCCAAGGGTGATGCAAACACGAAGACGTTGACGACCCCGGCATCAGGGATTCAAGGAGAAACCGGTTTGGTCGGGGGCCACAAGGGGAAACTGCTGGCCTTGCAGTACAGAACACGAAACACTATCCACTCTTCTCAGTCTAGTCCTCCAAACCCTACTTCCAAAGCCTGTCTATAGGCTTGCCCCCAACCTAGCCACCGAGGTCAAATGTTCCATTACCTCCTTGTGCGACATTTAACCCATGCGGCAACGTACGGCAACACTGCCGTATCCGCCTCCCGCCGCAGGAATGTGAGCGGGCGCTCTACCACTCCCTCCACAGTGACACCGAGGGCAGCAGCAGCGCCGGGAGAGGCGGCAGCAGCAGTAGCAGCAGTCCGCTGGATGCCTTCCTGGCCGCCCTGGCTCCCGCCGAGTGCGGGGGGCAGTGTACGGCAATCTGGCCTGCGGGGGCGCTGGCGTACAGGTGGGGGCGGGAGCTGCTGCGCCGAGGGGGCGAGGGATCATGGCTGTCCATCCGCTTGGATGGTAACCGACACACCGAGCAGTACGGAAACATGCTAGCCGGTCGGCACCCAAGCAAACGAAGTAGTCGGGGGAAGTAGCCGCGGCTCCACCGCGGGTGCACTCCACTTACCCGCAGGTCTCCGTTGCTGCGGGCTTCCATGCATGCAACACCCCCACATGAGCCCTCCCCGTACCCCCCCCCAGGTGCCGTACCTGCCAGCTGAGCCCCTCCAGCGCCGTGTGCGTGTCGTGTTTCCGCGCGGGGGGGCACGAGGCGCACGACTGGATCCAGTACCGCTCGCACTCGGGGGGGTGCTGCGACTGCGGGGACACGGCAGCGTGGAGGGAGGAGGGTGAGGGTGGGGGTGGAGGGGTGTGGCCGTCAGGGGAGGGGAAGGGTGGGGTGGTGTGTCAGCCGCACCGGGGCATGGCGGGTTGGTGGGAGCAGGCGGGGTGTGCATGCAGGGTGTGCATGCAGGAGGGGGGTCGGACGCAGCTGGGTGGTTGGTGGGGGGTGCTGCGCAGCCATGTGTGGGTGGGGCCTGGGTGAAAGCTTGGGTGGTGGTGGGGGGGGGGCAGGTTTTGGGGGCGGGTAGTGCGCGCCCCTAGCTGCTTCATTGACCCCATGCGCTCCTCTCCCCCCTCCCCAGGCTGCTGCCCCGCGCACCGCCCCGACCGGCGCCCCTCCCCCTCCCCCCGCCTGCCCCGCCTGCTGCCGCCCCGCCCCCGGCGGCTGCTGCGGGCGGTGCTGGCGGCGGGGCTGACCCGCCTCACCGCCTGCCTGGCGCAGCTGGCGGTGGGGAGGGAGGGACGGGGGCGGGAGGAGGAGGAAGGGGAGGAGGGGGAGGCGGTGTGGGCGGCTGAGGCGAGGTGTCTGGCGGTGTGGCTGGGCCGGCTGGCGGGAGTGGCGGCGCTGCGGCTGCCCATGTGCCGCCTGCTGACCCGGCCGCTGGGGAGGCTGACGGGGCGGGAGGAGGTGCAGGGAGAGGGGAGCGAGCCTCATGCAGGGGGTGGTGTGGATGCCAGTGAGGAGGAGGAGGAGGAGGTGCAGGAGGAGGAGGAGGAGTGTCGCTACCTGCGGGAGGTCCGGGAGGCGGTGGGGCGGCTGGGGCCCGCCCCGCCCCCGCCAGCTGCCGTGCCCGGGGTCCCGCCGGCAGAGGTGAGCCGGGGGGAGGGGCTGGCAGGAGGGGGGGCTGAAGCTCTGGGAGGGGGCAGGGGGCTGGGTGCGGGCACCCGCAGTCCCCCCCTCGAGTCCTCCATCTTGCGAGGGCCACACCCCCCACACCCCTTCCCACGCCCCCCTCCCCTCCCCTCCCCCCCCCCTCCCCTCCCCTCCCCTCCCCCCCCCCTCCCCTCCCCTGCCCCCCCCTGCAGGACTGCCTGCTGCGGCGGCTGCTGCGCTGCCTGCACCTGCTGCCCGCCGCCCCCCTGCCCGACCTCACCTCGCTGCTGCTGCTGCTGCTGTACGAGCCGCACCTCAAGTTCCACACCGCCGTACACCTGCTGCATGAGGCCTACCCGCACCTGCTGGCCACACTGGCGGGGCTGCCGCTGCCGCTGCCGCTGCTGCAGGCCCTGCCTGAACCCGAGGACGGGGGCGAGGCAGGCGGTGGTGCTGGTGCTGGTGGGGGTGGTGCCGGTGGCGCCCCCCGCCCCCCTGCTGCCCCCCCGCCTGCCCCCTCCTCGCCCCCCCGCCCCCGCCCCCACCCGCACCCCCTGAGTGGCGTGTTGGACCGGTTGGTGGTGCAGCTGTTCAACTGTGAGGAGGTGACACACAGGTGGGGGGGGAAAGGGGAGGGGGGGGGGAAGGGAGTGGCGAGGGAGTGGAAGCGAGGGAGGGCCCCCCCCCCCCCCCCCGGTGCTGGAGGGATGCTTGCTGCCGGAGACCCTTGCACGCATGCCCGCCTGCACCCCTCACCCCCCTGAGCTGCACCCCCACCCCCCTGAGCTGCACCCCTCACCCCCCTGAGCTGCACCCCTCACCCCCCTGAGCTGCACCCCCACCCCCCTGAGCTGCCAGCCCAGCGCCTCCCCGCTCCTGGGGCTCAGGAAGGGGAGGGGCCGCAACAGCCCCTTCGTGATGGCGACACGCTCCCCTCCTCAACCCCTCCCCCCGCGCCCCCCTCCTTCCCCCCAGCGTCTCTTTACTGTTTACCTCCTCCCCCGTCCCGCCCCGCCCCCCTCCTCCCCCGTCCCGCCCCGCCCCCCTCCTCCCCCCGCCAGGCTGGTTCAGGAGCGCGGGGTGCTGCCGGCGCACCTGCGGGTGATGGGCGCCCTCACAGCGGCTTTCAGGGAGCGGCTGGGAGGCGGAGCGAGAGGGGGGCAGGCAGGCGATGAGGAGGAACAAGAAGAGGAGGGCGAGGAGGAGGGGGCGGTGGGAGAGGCGCGGGCGGGGCAGGTGGAGGGCGCCCTGGATGCGCTGCGTCGCCTGGCCTCGGTAGGGAAGGGGTAGGGGAGGGGTAGGGGGGTTAGGGGGTTTGTATGGAAGCTGGAGCCGGGCTGTTTGCAGTCGCTGTTTCCCCCACCCACTGCACCGCCACTGTCCGGTCTGCAGTCAGGACCCCCGCACATGCCTCCTTCGACCCCTGGTCCCGCCCTCACAACGCCCCCCCCCTACTCCTCCCGGCCCCTCCCACCCCCAGGACTTGAGCACCCTGGTGCACCACGGCGGGGCGGCGGAGCACCTGCTGACCCATGGGTCGCTGTGGCGGAGGGGCTTTCTGGAGGGCTGCGTGGCGCCGCTGCAGGTGGGGCGAAGGGAGGGGAGGGGCACTGGGAGCTGGGTAGGTGGAAGGCGGCGCCCTAGGTTTTCGGTAATGCCTTCATGACAGCACTTCCGCACCTCCCTAGCATGGGAGCATGTGGATGCCTCCGGCCGAGTTTCTTCTTTTCCCCCTCTCCCCTCCCCCCCTCCCTCCGGGCCCCCAGTATCTGCTGCCGCACCGCCGGCGGGTGCGCGGGGAGCTGCGGGAGGTGCTGGCGGCCCGGGTGCCCCGGGGCTGGGGCGCGGAGGTGCCGCTGATGGCCTGCGTGTGGGAGCTGCTGGGATCGCTGGCAGGCGGGGCGGAGGCGGCAGCAGCGGGGAACACGGCGGCAGCAGCGGCGGCACGCGGAGCCGAGCAACGCGGTGGGGGCAGCGGCGGGGGCAGTGGGGAGGCGTTGCAGCAGCAGCAGGAGGGTGAGGGGGCGGTGCGGGGGGTACGGCAGGTGGAGCTGCTGTACGGAGCCGCAAGGTGAGGGAGAGGGAGAGGGAGTGCTGTGCCCGGGGGTGCGGATGGAGGTGGTGCAGAGGTGGTGTGCGCTGCCTGCCGATGTGTTCACGAGTAGGGTGGCGCGGGCCTTGCCCCCCCCCCCGCCTGCCAATCGCAGTCGTCATGACGGGGCGCACTCAGGAGGGGGGCGGGGCTGCCTTGCCCCTCGCTGCATGCGGGCCAGCGGCGGCCCGGAGCTGTGTGTGTATGGGAAGGTGTGTGTGTGTGTGTTTAGCCTCCCCTACCTCTTGCAAGTCCCCTCAACCCCCCGCCACCCCTCCCCATGTCGGCCCCTCCCACGTATACGTGCCCCGGTGCACATGTGTACGGCGCCGCCTCTGTACGGCACGCGTGTGTGTGTGTACGACAGGCAAGCCCTGGAGGCGTGTTTTCAGTGGTGCATCAGCAGCAGCCTGGGGGTAGGGGAGGCGTCCTCCCCCTCCCCCTCCCCCTCCCCCTCCTCCGACCTGTACTCGGGTCTGCTGTCGGGGCGGGTGGCGGTGTCCTGTCACCTGCCGCTGCACCGCACCACCGCGGCATTCGTGCAGGGTGAGGGGTGGAGTGGGGTGGGGTGAGGGTCAGGGGGGCGGGCCTCGCCACCTCCCTACCGGGCATGGCTGACTAAGGGGATTTGCTTCGGGCCTCATTCCCGGTCCCCCGCTCATCTCAACCACCTCCTCAACTCCCTTCAACAACTCACCTCTGAAAATGCTGGCCCACCCCACCTCAACTCCCTCTCCACCCCTCCTCTCCACCCCTCAGCGCTGCTGCAGCTGGAGCGGCGGGGCGGACCCGTGGGTCAGCTGGCGGGGCGGCGAGTGCGGCAGCTGCTGGCGCTGCGGCTGGACACGGGCGGCAGCGGCGGCAGCAATAGCAGCAGCAGCAGCAGCAACACCTCGGGCGGTTTACCCTCCTCCTCTTCCGCTTCCTCCTCTCCTTCCGATCCCTCTGGTCCTCTTCCTTCCGGCGAAGAGCGGGGCGGCAGTGGCAGCGCTGGTGCCGCCAGTGCCGGTGGTGCCGGTGGTGGTGGTGGTGTTAGCTGCTGGCGGCCGCTGAGCCGCTCCGTGCTGCTCTGTCAGGCCTTCGCCAGCCAGGTGGGTGGGTGGAGTGGGTGGAGTGGGAGGGGGAGGGGGGGAGGGTGGGGGGAGTGGGTGGAGTGGGAGGGTGGGAGGCAGGGCTATGCCCTTCGCTGGGTGCTGTGCAGCTCATGTGTGTGCGCCTCCCCCCTCGTCACACCTCCCCTTGGGGTGTTGTCGTGGACCCCCGTCATGGGGCCCTCCGTGTTCTATTGCTACCGCTGCTGCTGCTGCTGCTGCTGCGCACCCTCCCTCCCTGCCCTCCCTCCCTGCCCCCCCAGGTGATAGCGGGGCAGTGGTTGCGCAACGGAGATGACGTCATACGGGTGCGGGGGGGGGTAGGGCGGGAGGAGTGCTGGGGCAAGGGAGGGTAGGGGGGGGGCATATGAGGGTTGGAGATGGAGGGGGGCCAAAGAACCAGACGGAGTTGGGAGTGCGGGGCAGGGCGGTAGGAGCCTCAGAGGAGCAGCAGGGGGCGGGTGCCACACTGCTGTCAGGCCCCCGCCTGCACAGCTCCTGGGCAGCTAGCAAGAGGGGGGCCGCAGAAGCCGTGCGTGTGGCTGCGGCCCGCACCTACCCCCCTACAAACCCCCTTCTCCCCCCCTGTCCCCCCCTCCCCCCAAGTAGGAGGTGTCGTACCTGCTCCACTACCGCGAGTTCACCGACCTGGATCTGCTGGTTACTCAGGTGGGGGGGAAAAGGGAGGGAGGGGGGGGGAGGGACGGGGTGCAGGCAGGCCGCATCAAGAAACCCGCTCCCTCCTGAAACGGATCTCGGTTCCTTTCTTCCCCGCTACTCCCTTCGCCTTCTTCCCGTTAAAGCCGATGTCCCAACCCTCCCTCCCTCCATCCCCCAGTTGTGGATGGCCTCCGAGCAGCCCCCCGTGGCGCTGTACGGCACCCTGGCGGCGCTGGGCGGAGGGGAGCTGCTGCGGACGGCAGGTGGGGGCATGGACAGACATGCACGCCGTACAACTGAACTGTAGGGGGTGGGGAGGAGAGGGGGGTGGGGGATAGTTGTGGGGACTGTTGCCAACTCCGCGAAAACCACACAGCTGGTAGGAAACCCGCAACTACAGCCTCCTTCCCACAGCGCAACGGATCGTTGTCGCCCGTGGGGGAGGCGTCCCAGCCACCACCCGCACGCCCCCGCCCTCCCTCCCTCCTGACCCGCAGGTGTGCCTCCCCCTGCTGCTGCCCCCTCCGCCTCCCCCCGGCTGCCCCCCTCCGACTCCTCTTCCTCCGACCCCACCACCGCCGCCGCCGCTGCCCTGCATGCGCTGGTGTGCCTGCTGCGGGAGCGGGGGGTGTCGGGGCTGGGGGCGGAGGAGAGGCTGAGGGGGCTGCTGGTGCAGGTGGGGGGGGAAGGGAAGGGAGGGGTGTAGGAGGGGATACTACAGCAGGCTACCGTGTGCACCGCCGCCGCCACCACTACCAGTGGCTCCTTCGCCCGATGGCGCTAATAGCGACACATAACCGCCCTGATCCCTCCCCCCCTTCCCCCCCTCCCTGCAGTGGTTGGCCCTGCGCGACTGGACGTACAACCACCTGGTGGAGCAGCTGCCGCCCGACCTGCAGCAGCACCCGCAGCTGGAGCAGGTGGGGGGGGGGGAGGGGGGTTGCATGGGCGCCTCCTAGCTAGCTCCTGCTCCACCCCTGCTCCTGCTTTCCATGCCTACACTGGGGAACCCGCTCCATGTTCCCTGCCTCTCTGTCCTCCACCCCCACCTCCGCGCCCCCCCCCTCCCCCCCTCCCTCCCCCCCTCCCTCCACCCCCCACCTGCAGGTGCTCTCCGAGGTGTCCAGCTACCGCGCCGCCAGCCTCTCCCAGGCGCGCCACTACTGCCTGCGCCGGGACGCCTGGCACCTCTTCTCCCCCCACTTCCACCACTACACACCACACATGCGGTCCAAGGCGTGGGAGCGCGCGCTGCGGGAGGGCGGGCCGCCGCCGCCACCACCACCACCCGCACCTGCCGCTACGGTGCCTTCAGGGGCTGCTGGTGCTGGTGCTGGTGCTGGTGCTGCGGACAGCAGTGTCGTCAGCAGCAGGGGCGGTGGCTACCCGCCGCACTGGCAGCTGCGCCCGCCACGCCACCCGCTGCCGGCCTCGCTGGCCCCCCTGCAGCGGGTGCTGGGCACGGAGGGGGCGTGGAGGCTGGTGGGGTGGGGGCTGCAGGTGGGAGGGGGGGAAGGGAGGGGGAGGGGGAGGTGCTAGGTGGGTGGGTTGGCTGCATGGGCTGTGTGCCGAGGGGGGCGGGGGCTGTCTGAGTCCTGACGGAGCGCTGCCTGCCCCTCTGCGCCTCCAGCGTCACCCCTTCACACCTCAACTCGGTGACCGGAGGGCTGCTGCTGACCTGCCTCCTCCCTCCCATCATCTCCCCCCCACCCCCATGCAGGCCTACTTGCCCTCCCCCTCCTCCTCCTCCTCCCCCTCCCCCTCCTCCCTGGCGCCCTCCGAGGAGTTGCTGCTGGGCTGCCTCAACCTGCTGGCTCTGCAGCTGCACTGGCTGGGAGGGGAGGGGGGCGGCAGGGGGCCGAAGGCAGGGGAGGCTGCGGAGGCGGGAGACGCGGGAGCAGGGCAGGAGGAGGAGGATGAGGGCGAGGGCGAGGGCGAGGGCGAGGCGGAGGTGCTCAGGCGCGTGCTGGCCACTGCAGTGACCGCCCTGTCATGCGGCCTGCCGCCGTCTGCAACACCCGGCGACACCACCACCACCACCAACACCACCACCACCAACACCACCACCGCAGCAGCAGCAGCGGCAGCGGCAGCAGCGGGGGAGGGGGAGGGGCAGGAGCAGCAGCTCGCCTCCTCCCCCTCCCCCTCCCGCCGCAGCCCCCCCGGTGGTGTCCTGGCGGCCCTCGCGGCCCTGCTGCGGCAGTCGGGAGGGGGGCTGCCACCGGGCGCCGCACCACCCCCTGCAGCCGCCACTGCTGCCGCATCATCATCATCAGCAGCAGCACCAGCACCAGCAGGCGGGCGGGGCGGCAGTGCGGCCGGCCCCCCGCCTCCGCCTCCTCCTCTGGGTCCCGAGGCCCTGGACTGCGTGCGTTGGCTGCTGCCGCGGGCTGCGGAGGTGCTGCGGAGCTGCAGGGGGCGGCTGGAGGGGGTGCAGCAGCGGCAGCAGGGGGAGCAGCGGCAGCAGGGGGCGGGAGAAGACGAGCAGGCGCGACGGCAGCAGCAGCAGCAGGGGGGAGAGCGGGGGCAGTGGGGCTTGTCGGCGGATGAGCTGCAGCAGCAACAGGAGGAGCGGGGAGGGGCCGCAGCAGTGGAGCGGTCCCCTGCGGTTGGGGAGAGGGAGGGGGCAGTAGCAGCAGCGGGTAGTGGTGGTGGTGCTGATGGCGGCGCTGGCGGTGGTGGTGGTGGTGGTGTTGATGAGGCTGCAAGGCGGCGGGAGGTGGCGAGGCAGCGGCAGGCGGAGATGATGGCTCGGCTGCGGGCGCAGCAGCAGGCCTTCCTGCGCAAGGCAGGGTCGGGGGCGGGGGCGGGTGGAGGCGGTGGTGGGGTTGGGAAGGAGGATGACAGCAGCAGCAGCAGTAGCGGCGAGGAAAAGGAAGAGGGCGGCGAGGAGGAGGAGGAGGGAGGCAGCGGCGCAGAGCTGCAGGAGGGGGCGAGCGGCAAGGAGGATGAGGAGGCGGAGGGCAGCAGCAGCGGCAGCAGCAGCTGGGAGGACGAGGCGGAAGGGGAGGAGGGCGACGCTGACGTTGCAGAGGCATCGTCAGCAGCACCACCATCACCACCAGCACCGCCCGAGCGGCCGCTGGGTCGCTGGTTGCCGGTGGACACAGCGGATGCGGAGTGCGCCGTGTGCCGCGAGGGGGGAGGGGGCAGTGGAGGAGGAGGAGGGGAGGGTGACAGCGGCAGCGAGGGTGGTGAGGGCGGCGGTAGTACGGCGGCGGGTCCGCTGGCGCTCATCGCACACGTGGCGGTGTGCTGCTGTACGGCGGCGCCGCTGCGGCCGGTGCGGGCGTGGGATGCGGAGCTGCTGCCGAGTGGGGCAGAGGGTGGGGGTGGGGGTGGGGGTGGGGGTGTGGAGGGGCAGGCGGCGCAGCAGGAGCAGGGGGATGGTGGGGGCGGTGGTGGCGGTGGTGCGGGTGTGTGGTTGTCCAGCTGGCGTCGTGCGGGCGGCTGTGTGAGCGAGGCGGATGTGGGTGGCGGGCTGCACGTGCACTGCTGCGGACACATGGTGCACATGGGCTGCTTCGGTGAGGGGGGGGGGCGGGGGGAGGGGGGAAGGGGGGGGGGAGGAGGGGGGGGAAGGGGAAAGGGGCAGCTATGGGTGCATCAGGGTTTCACACGCGGAGAGGGGGCTGAGCCAGCCAGCTCAGGAGGCACTCATCAGGCATTCGCCGCCCTGAAGGGCACCAGGCAGCCCGCTCCCCTCTCCTCCAGCGCTTGTGCCGTACCCCTCCCTGCCTGCCGGTGTGCGCGCCCCCACCTGCCGCCCGCCTCGCTCTCTTACTGCCACCTGCTGCCACCTCACATCCCTCTCCCTTCCCTCCCCCCCCCAGCCCGCTTCCGCGCCGACCAGCTGCGCCACTACCTGTCCAGCGCCCCCTTCCCCGGGGCCCACCTGGTGCAGCCCGAGCTGGGAGAGTTCCTGTGCCCCGTGTGCCGCCGCCTAGCCAACTGCGTCATGCCGGCGGCGCCTTTCAGCTGGAGCCCGCCGAGGAGGGGGGGCGCGGAGGGGCCGGCGGCGGGTAGGCCACGGCGAGGGGCGAGGCGGCGCGCGCTAGGGCGGAGGAGGGAGAGGGAGAAGGAGGCGGGCAGTGGAGGGGGAGTGTGGACGGGGGGCGGCTGCTCGGAGGCGGCGTCAGAGGGTCCCTGCAGCCACCCCATCCGCCTCAGCCTCAGCGAGGGGGAGCATGGGGGCACCGCTGCTGCTGCCACTGACCCCCTTGCTGCCCCCAGCACCGGCAGCACCAGCAGCGGGGCGCCCTGCCAGCCGCATCCCTCCGCGGAGGAGGAGGAGCAGCCGCCGGCGGGGGCGACTCGGAGGGACGCAGCAGCAGCAGCAGGGGTTGCTGCTGCTGAGGCGGCAGCTGAGGCGGGGGGGCTGGGTCCGCTGCTGGCGCTGCTGCCCGTGCTGCGGAAGCTGCGGCGGGGCGGGGGGGCAGCAGGGTGGGCAGCAGGGGGTGCAGCGGGGGGGGCAGCGGGGGGCGGGCGGGAGGGGGCGAGCAGCCCCAGGAAGAGGAGGGGCAGGAGGGGAGCGGCGGGGGCGGGGGCGGGGGCGGGGCGGGAGGAAGGGGGCCGCCCGAGAGGCGCTGCTGGCGGTGCTGCTGCTGGCGCTGGTGCTGGCGATGGTGGTGGTGAGGACGAGGGCGGGCTGTTCGGCTGGTGCGAGGAGGTGGCGCGTGTCCTGCTGGTGCAGGTAGGCGAGCGGGGGGTGGGGGGGCACTCTCCTCAGCTCCAGCTCATGAGGCCGCATGGGAGGTCCTCCGCGGTCCCGATGGAGTCCCGGGTGGGGCAGTGGGGTGTGGGGCGAGTGGGGTCTCACATGCTCAGAGGGAGCAACTTACCTCCCTCCTCCTCCCTCCCTCCCTCCTCTCCCCCAGATGGCTCGTGAGGGTGTGCACCACCTAGCCCAGATGGAGCAGGTGCTGCAGGCGCGCGCGCAGCTGCTGGCCGCACGGCCACCACCGCACCCGCACCCGCACCCGCACCCGCACCCGTCTCAGGTGGACCCTCCAGCGGGCACCCCGGGGGGCACTCCCGCCACTGCTGCTCCGCTGCAGCCATCAACACTGACACACCCTGACGTCCCTACCTCCACCTCCGCCTCCGCCACCTTCACCGCCGTCGCTCCCCCTGCGCTGGGGCTGCTGTCTCAGCGAGTGGCCGACGTGCTGGCGGCCTGGCGCGGCCTGCCCCCCGCTGCCCGGCTGTGGGGGGCGCTCGCGCACAACCTGGCGCACTGGGAGGCGGTCAGGAGGCCCCTGGCGCTGACGGCGGGGGTGCTGGGGGCGCCGGCAGCAGCAGCAGCAGCAGAGGAGCAGGCGGGTGCAGCGGTGGGTAAGGGCAGCGCTGGCGGCGGCGGCAGTCGTACGGCGGATGTGGTGGCGGCGGCGGCGGGGAGTCGTGATGGCTCGGTGACGGGTCTGCCGGCGGCGGAGGCGGCGCACTGGCGGGCGGTTCAGGCGCTGGCTTCGGCGGCGGTGTGTGCGGGCGCGCGGCAGCAGCAGGGGGCAGGGGGAGGAGGAGCAGGGGGTGCTGGGGGGTGCGAGGACGGCTCTCCCGCTGACCCCCTGGCGGCCCTGCAGGAGCTCCTGCGCTGGCTGCTGCTGGCGGAGGATGTGAGCGCACCGCAGCAGCCGCCCCAGCCGCCCCAGCCCACCCCACGGGATCCGCCCCGCGCCCCCCTGGACCTCACCCACTCGCTGCTGCCCCCGCTGCTGCCCGAGGTGGCCATACCCAGGCTGGCAGCGGAGGGGGCAGCGGGGCAGCAGCGGGGGGGAACCGGAGCAGGAGCAGGCGGGGGACGGACCCGTGGGTCGTTCCCCCCCAGCTCCTACGTCGCTGCGCTGTGCTGCCGGCAGCTGGCGGGGGCGGGGGAGGTGGTGGCTGACCCGCTGATGCTGGCGCTGCAGCTGCTGGCGGGTGAGGGGGGGGGGTGAGGGGGGGTGAGGGGAAAGTAGGAGCGGTACGGGAGGGGGCGGGGCGGGGTGCCGCTTGTCTCCTTACTTGAAGTTGGGTTGGTAGGGTGTGGCTGATACAGGGTAGGCATGGGTCCGGGACGGGGCCAAGATGGCACTGTTCCCTCCTGCAACATGCGCGACCTCTTGCTCCACCATGTCACCCGCTGCCGTACCCTGCCGTATACCTTGTTGCCGTACCGCAGTGGGCCTGTCAGCGCTGGCGGGCGCTGAGCTGCTGCCCGGGGTGCTGGGCGGGTGCGCGGAGCCGCTGCTGCCCTCCTCCCCTCGGGAGCTGCTGCCCTCCTCCCCTCGGGAGCTGCTGCGGGCGGTGCTGCGACTGGTGTGGCCCATTCAGGTGCGCCCTGCCGCCTTACGGTACTTGCAGGGGCGCAGGCGGGCGGAGGGTAGGGGCAGGCAGGGTTAGAGGCGGTGCGGGCCGGTGCGGGGGCGGGGTGGGAGGGCTTTGCAACCCGCAGCAGCTCTTCGCTTGCCTCGCGTCCACCGGCAGGCTGTCTCTCCCCCTCCTCCCTCCTCCCTCCCCGCCCCCTACCCCACCCGCAGGTGCTGCAGACGGCCCTCTGGCGCGCCAGCACCGCCCACCCCCCCACCTCCACCCCCACCTCCACTAACACCCACTGCCCCAGTGCGGAGGGGCCCGCTGCTGCTGCTGCTGGTGGTGATACAGGCAGCTTGCTGTTGGGACTGTACGACACTGCCTTGCAGGAGGTGCAGGAGGTGCAGGGGCAGCCGGCGGGCGCAGCGCATGATGACCCCCACCCCCACCCCCACAAGCAGCAGCAGCACAACCACCGGCCCCACCCGGAGGGCGGTGAGGAGCCCGGCAGCAGCAGCAGCAGCAGCACCGCCGCCACTACAACCCCCAGCAGCAGCAGCAGCAGCGATGGCGGCCTGAGTGCGGCGCTGCTGCCCTTCCTGGTGCGCATGTACGCACTGGACTGCGCACTGGCCAGACAGCAACCTGACCCACGGGTCGCGGCGGAGTACTCCGCCCTGCCGCTTCCGCTACCGCCGCAGCCGCAGCAGGTATCGGGGCCGGAGGTGCACCATGCGGCAGCAGCAGCGGCGGCGCTGGCGGGGCGGCTGGCGGGCGGGTTGGGGTTGCAGCAGGTGAGTGCGGCGCTGCGGGAGCCGCTGGGGCTGGCGCACCGCAGGGCAGCGGAGGGGGCGGACGCAGCAGCAGCTGCAGGTGGTGCAGGTGACGGTGGGGTCCGGGGGCTGCTGGCGGCGGTGCTGGTGCGGTGGTGCGGCCCTAGGGCGCTGGCGATGCTGCCGGGGGCGGAGGGAGGGCGGGAAGGGCGAGCGGCGGCGGAGCCTGGAGGCCTGGCTGCAGCAGCAGCAGCAGGGGCAGTGGCGGCTGCTGCTGCTGCTGGGCTGCCTGTGTGGTACCGGGGTCTGCTGCCACCGCCCTCACTCATTCCGCTACCACGGCTGCTGCAGGTGGGTGGGTGGGTGGGCGGCGGTATGGGTAGTGTAACGCAGTTCCAGGGTTGGGGAGGTTGGGAGGCCGGGTGGGAGGCGCTGTGGCTCCCGTCCCGGCCTCCCTACCGTCCACACCCGCCACCTGCCGCACCACATCCTTGCTCCATCCCGCCCCTTTCCCCCTTCCTCCTATGGTTTGGTATGGTCTTTGACCCCCCTTCCCTGCCTCCCGCCTCCCGCCTCCCTGCCCCTGCTAGAGCCTGCTGCTGCACTACGCCGACGCGCGCTGCTCCGAGTGCGGCTCCCGCCCCGCCGCCCCCTGCCTCTGCCTGCTGACCGGCCGGCTGCTGTGCGCCCCCTGGCGCGGTTGCGCGGGTGCGCGGCTGCACGCGGCGGAGTGGGCGGGGGGCGCCTGCCTGCTGCTCAACCTGGCGTCCAGCCGGGTGATGGCGCTGCGGGGGGGCAGGATGGCGGCATGCCAGTCGCCCTACCTGGATGCGCACGGTGTGTGTGGGAGGGGGAGCGGGGGGGGGCTGGTGGCGGGTAGGGGGTGGAGGGGCCGAAGCTAGTGTCCGTCTCCTCAGGGTCCCCCGGTGCATCAGTGCGATGAATTGTCGCCTTGCGTCTGGGTTTAAACCCTGTGATGCCACCGTGTATCTCCCCCGTCACTCCCTTCCCTCCGACTCCTTACCGCACCTTCCTCCACTCCCCACTCCTCCCCGCGCCCCCCCCCCGGGTTGCAGGTGACGAGGATGTGGACTTGCGCCGCGGCCGGCCGCTGTACCTGGACGCGCACTGCTACCGGCAGCTGGCGCGGCTGTGGGGCAGCGCCGCACTCGAGTTCGACACGCAGCTGCTGCACAGCTCGCGACCGGATGTGATGGAGCTGCTGTGAGCCGGGCAGCCGTCGGGTGACCCGTGGGTCAGTTAGCTGCTGATGGGCCTTTGTTGGGTCTTTGCTTGATGGATTTGTGTTCGGCTGTAGTGAGCAACAGGAGCCTAGTAGGGAGTAGTGTAACGAGTTGAGGGACGGAGCGGAGAGGCAGTACAGCAGAGGAAGGACAGCTGAGAGCGCCGACTGGGCTGGCCAGTGCCTAAGGGTTGAGGGGGGCTTTGCCGCGGTAGTGGGGAGGTCTGGGTGTGCGGGGGGCAGCGTTGGAGGGGTATCGGTAGGAACCGGTGGGTGTACGCTGAGCGTGCCGGGCTGCGGAGGATCTCGGAGCCGTGCAGCCGGTCGTCCATGCTCTTGATTGCATGAGGTCCGCTTATGCGGACTGAGGGAGCATGGAGCTGCTGTGTTCAGCAAATGAACGTGAGGCGTGTGTGGATGCTTGTCTCCCAGCCCCGAGGTTCGCAGCCCGGCGAGCACCGCTATGGGGTGCATCCTGCATGTGGGGGTTTGTTGGGGTGCACAACAGCCAGCACAAGTGGAGGAGTCCAGGGCGCTATCCCCAGCAGCTGAGCAGGTACAGGGCTGCGATGCAGGTGGTGGAGGCGGGTGGGCAGCAGGCACGTGCCGCATCGTCTGGGTTGGATATGGTAGTCGGCAGGCGGCCGCACTGCTGTGCTGCAGAGGCGGTGCAGGGAAGGAAGGTTGCATGGTTGGGGAAGGTGGTTCCATGGTTCCATGAATATGCTGCATGAAGCATTTTGGTGGTGCAATGGTGTTGTTGGGGTGCACGCAGCGGGCCTTGAGAGGTGTACTTTGGGAGGCCTGGCAGCAGGACCGAGCCGATCTCGCCTCCGTGCAGCTGGTTGCCGTGCAGGCGGGAGCTGCTGCTGCTGCTGCTGCTGCTACGGTATACCGTGATGTTCATGCCCAAGACTTTCATCTACAACAGATCCGTCTTCGCTGGTGGCATCTCCTGAGGGGACTTCAGGCAATTACAGTACACGTATACACTTGTACCCGAGTTATGCATGGGAGCCCTGTCCTGAGCTCCTGACATCTTACCGCAGCATATACGTCAACGAGGAATGGGTACCGTAGCCTCCTCAATACCTCCCATCCCAAAGACCCTCAACCCAGCGGCCCCCAGCCTCCATGCATACGGTACACGCACAACCCATCACAATTGTTGCAAGCTGGTATACAAGATACCGACGTTCCTTGCGATGCGGGGGGCACCGGGCGCTAAAGCTCCTAACCCCCGGGGGTTTGTGTCCCGTCTGCTCTGCCCCTGCCACCTGACCTCACAGCTCCCAAGGCGCCTGCTCCAGCTGCAGCCACTCCTGCTTCCGCGCCGGCGCCTCCAGCATGCCCTCCCGGTACTGCTCGTAGAACTCACGCCAGCGGGCTGGGGTCATCTCCTCCGCCGGCTCCACCGGGTCTCCCTCGCTGAACAGCCCCAGCAGCCGGTCGATGAACATCCAGAAGGCCTGAGGGTGGGGTGCGAGGAGGGCGGGAGCCGGTGGATGGATACCCCAGGTAGTGTGGGAAGCAAAGCCGTTCTAGCTTCAAGTACTGGCACACAAGGGACGGAAGATGAGTACAGAGCTGCGCTTGCGAAAGGCCGATGGCCTGGGCATTGGAAGATTTGGAACAGGAAGCCGGAGGGCAGCGAAGCCGACACAACGGTGCCGCCGGGGCAGCTACAGGAGAACTACTGCAGAGGACCGGTGGCACCTGCGTCCCGCCCCACCGCCTCCCTCACCTCCACGTGGCCCGGCGGCAGTGGCTTGCGGTCTTGTCTGGCGAGTATGACGCTGCCGATGCCCTGCTGCCACTCGGGCGGTGCGAAGCCGGAGAAGGGGTCGATCATGAGGTAGGTCACACGCTGGTTGTCCATCTCCTGGGGGCAGGGGGAGGGGCAGGGGAGGAGGGAGGAAACTCATAAGCTGTATGATACAGCTTCACCATGGGGTGCAAACATATGGTAGCCGACCTTTCCCGCTCAACCCGAAATAGGGGAAGGGAGGAGGGAGGGTCGGCCGGGAGGGGCATGGTCGGTTCCGGAGCACAGCTGCAGAGGTACACAGGACACACCCCAGCCATGTATTGTACCCAGAGCCACATATGCCCGCTGCAAGCAACCCAGCCTCGCACAGATACCGCACTCAGCCAAACCGAACCTCCTCGTGAAGCTGTGCCCCGGCTGCATTCCCCCGCAGTTTCCGTGACCTCCATCCGGACAAAATAATCGGACAGGCCCCCTTTACCCTGCTTATCCTACGCGTATCCTACATACTCACCGGGATCCGCGGAATAGAGAGGCTGGGTCGGGGATCCAGTCGCCAGATGCGTAGAGGCAGCCCCACCAGCATCGCTATCGGGCTCAGGGCACCCTGGGTGAAGACCCTGTGGTCCGGAGGGACGGTGGTGGCGGTAAAGAAGGTGCACTTGGGGTCACCTCTGCTGGGTCCGTAGGTGCAGGGGATGCCTGCGGGTTGCTGTCTGGGTGGTTGCTGTCTGGGTGGTAGTTTCGGAGTGGCTGCTGCTGCTGCTGCAGGAGCGGTGCTAGGAGCTGCTTTGGAGGGTGAGGAGCTGGTGGGTGTGGAAGTTGAGGAGGCGCGGGTCGGCTGGGGTGGTGCAGTAGAAGCAGCAGCAGCAGCCTTGGCTGCAGCAGCAGCTGCTGCGCGTTTGGCAGCGAGCCTTGCGGCCTCCCGCTCTTCTTCTTCGGAATCTGTATCTGTGTCGATGTTATCCCATTTACTATAATCTATACGGGACATTGTAAAGGATGACTTTAAACGCCTGGTTCAGCGGAAGTTAGGCGAAAGTTGTTGTGGAGGGCTAGATTAGTATGCGATTTTTTACAGGGGAGTCCGAACGACTCAAGTGCGACGCACAACTAGATTAGGTCTAGTCACGTGCGTCCATTGATGAGCATCTATGTTGGAATCTCTGATAGATGTGAAGACTGACATACCTATTGTGCGATTCCCGCTAGAGACTGAAGTTCAGAAGTTGTGACGTCGCCGTACTGACTCGTCCTCGCGACGAACAGCACACAGCATACGCAAAGAACTCGGCTTCACAGCAACGATTAAAGTATGACTGAGTGAAGTCTTCTGGTCAGTCGGGGTCTTGGTGGATGAGTCAATAGTCTCTGTTGCTTCAGGTTGCTTTTACAATTGTTGCATGCTTGGTGATGTTAACTATTAATATGCCCTGGAACGTCGAGCTTGTGGCATGCTTAGCCCTTTTCGCTAGCGGCTAGGTCTGCTTGCCCAAGCAAGCTACAGCCATGCCCGTTCTGCTGTCGAATCACGGTCCCACGAACACATGCACACCACATCACTTCTCATTCAAGTTGTGGCAGTCGACAGCAGCAGCAATGCCTGCCCCAAGTTGCACTTGCGGGTGCTGCTGCGGCCTCTCTCGCTCGAGGGACGCAAATCACTTTGCGAGAACGGCCGACAGGAAACAAGAACTCGCTATCTAAACGACGCTGCTTTAGCAGCCGAAGGCAGCGGTTCGTAGGCTTCAAACCCACCCAGCCCTGCGGGGTTCCTGGCTTCCTGACCAGCCCGCCCGCGCACAGCACAAACTGATGCTGGGGTCTGCGGATAAGGATGTCTGCGAGTGCCGGCTAATGATGGCTGACGTGGGTGACTTGACTACATTGCGCAACAGTGCTGTGCGGCTCGGGTGGCAGATGTAGTTTGCTTGCCAAGCGTGCACCCTTCTACAGCTCTACAGCATGCCTCAAGTACGCAACTGTCGCTAGTTGCTTACCAAAAAGCGCACACACGGCAGGCGATCAGGCTCCTACCTTTTCACGCAATGCGCCGAGGTATTGCGGTGTCCATACGTCGGATGCCGTACCTTCCAGATTGCGCGCAAGATTAATAAGAGCCAAGAGACGCGACGCAAGAATAACCAACACAGTCTCCTCTCACACAGCCCGCAAGTCACATCCTTCTTACTTATCTCGTATTAGTCTCAGCTCATACAACATGATCTTCTCGCGTGCTCCCGTCGTCAAGGTCCGGGCTCACAACGCCGGTCACGACGGCGTACGGGCTGCGGCTCCCCCGCAGCGCCCCTCCGTTGCTATTCGTCAAGCTGTCAAGCTCCAGCCAGTGCGCCAGCGGGCAGCGGAGCGGGAGGGGCCCCAGTGGGCGATCTCACTCGCCGCAATGGCCGCAGCGACTGCACTGCTGCTGGTAAGGCCGATTGCGCAGGATACGTTGCAACTTCTTACTTTTTGTCGCTGCATATGTTATGTATTTTGAGTTCATGTCGCAAGGGATGATTGCTTGTCGTCAAGGTGGTTGTTATGAACTCGCCGTACCTATGCTTGCAGCGGCAGACCCATGGGTCAGGTTGTCCATTCCCAGCACATACAACCATCCTCGCGCAGTAGCAGATTGCTTGCCCATACCAACGCATACTGTTGCGCGTGACTGTAATACTCTACGTTGCCTTGTTTCGATTAGTCTTCTTATCCTTCCCTTAAACACACGTGCTCCCCGCCCTTCGCCCCTGCCACCAGGCACCCGCACCTGCCTTCTCTGCGGATCTGCCCGAGTGGCTGCTCTCCAAGCTGCGCCCCACGGTGGCTGAGGTCCCGCTGGCACAAGGTAAGGGAAGCGCGTTGTCATTCCAGCATGCTTCCCGGCAACCCATCTCGCCGTACCCTGCCACCGTACACGTATCCATCTGGGTGTGTTACACCTCGACTGCTGGAACCGTGCCTGTGCGTAAGGATAGCACCCCACCTCTCCTATTAACACAGAGCAAGGCTGGCTTGCAACCCAAGTGCCTTGGCATGTCCAGTCAGGTATCCATGCCACAAACCCTTCCCAACACCCCGCCTCCCCGCCTCCCATCCTTCCTCCCTGCCGCCTTTCCCGCTTCCTCCGCGTCCGTGCAGGTGTCAAGGACGCCGCCACCTCCGCCAAGGACGCTGCTACTTCCGCAAAGGACGCCGCCGTCTCCGCCGCCTCCAAGGCTACCACCGCTGCCAGCAAGGCCGCCGTCGCAGCGAAGAAAGCCACTCCGGAGACCTCCGGCCCCGCCTCCGCCAAGAAGCCCATTGACATTCCCCCCACATCCGAGATCCTCAAGTCGGTAGCGCAGCCCAACCCCGCGCCGGGCAAGGGCCCCGTGCAGGCGGCGGCACGTGACGAGGCGGTGTCTGAGGCGCAGGAGCCGGCACTCCGGGCGGCGGCACGCGTGGCAGGGGATAAGGCCAAGTGAGCTGTGTGGGCTAAACGACAGTTATGAGATGTCAGCGGGCTGGAATGTGGGATTGTTGCCGTACCGGCGTGTGAATCCGAAGTATGGGTATTGCATGGCACTGAGTGGATGATTATTACACTGGTTACGGTGGAGAGAACACAGGATGATGAACCCAACTGGCTTTGTAGAGGGCGAGGGTTATCTTATTGAGGGTTAGGGACAGACCGTGGCCATGCTGTTTGTTATTGCATGCATGCAATGTGGTGCATCTGCTTGCATGGGCCTTTATGCTTAGTTGCTGTTGCTGCGATGTAGCATACTTAGCAGTATGGTGGGAGAGCTGAGGGTGGGGGGCGGGCAGTGGCCCCTGTTGGGTAGTATTGTTACTACCGTAAGCTATCCGGGCGAACATGTTGCTTTGAGAATGCCGCAGACGAGAGTTGTCAGACTGCATCCAGCGAATGGCCGTTCGGAACCGGCATCGGGGCAGTTGGACCATGCATGTGCCTTCGTTGGATCACCCCAACGCCACGTTCCTCAAAGAGGCGTATACCTGTAACACCCGTAGCTTGTGCTATACCGTATAGCCCAACCGTATACCAGGCTACCCTGCCGTGTGCAGTTGACCGTAAACCACGACGGGAGCGACAGCAGGAGCCTACATGACTGTACTGAGCCAATAGCGTCCTTGCAATTCCGTCAACTGATACATCCGTCCGCACGCCATCGAATGATGTTGACCTCTTTAACCGGCAACTGAGCGGGAGTCCTGTACTCTACGCCCAGTCCTCTGTTGCACAACTCCAGTACTGTCATTCTGCAGTTCACCTGCCCCCGTATAATCCATTACACGTCGGCAAATAGTTGGCACTTGGCAGGCGTACTTCGCTTGGCTATGGGCGTGGGAACTCTCGCGTTCCGCTAGCTGGGTGTCGTCATCTTGCCGGCTGCAAACCTTTACCGCTCAAGCCTTTGGGTATACAGTCGAGACCGGTAGTCGCTTAGCTGTCGTGCCGTATGCGATATCATGGACGTCTCCCTGGAAGCCTGCGGCAGCTTATTACTAGCGATCTACGACTGAACGGCAGCAATCTAGCGACCCGTAACAGCCTTTACGATTGCTGCCATGCTACTACTTTTCAAGTGAAAGCAAAAGCCTGAAGCTACAGCATTACACATATACGTTGGACTGCGGCATTGTGCCTAACGAAGCTCATTCTAACCTCACTGCCGCCACAAGCTGTCCATACGTCTAAGCCATTGAAGTTCATTCATTTTCTCTTTAAGTAGATTGCAGCCGCTCGTTAGCTTGGAAGGATGATCCGTGCGCGTGCTGCTGTCACAGTCAGGGCCCAGCAGGGCGGTTCGCAAAGCAGGCCGCAGCGGCCCAGCGGTAGCCGGGCCTCGGTTGGCATTCCAAATGCGACTAGGACGAAACAAGTTCCGCTTCCTGAGCAGCAGCCGGAGCGGGGTCAGCCACGGTTGGCGCCCGCACTTGCCGCAATGGCCACCGCAACCGCGCTGCTACTGGTAAGCTAGCTCATTATTCCGAATTGCAAAGCGACTACTAGATGACCCTGACGTGGCGCATGGTTGCACCAAGCGTGATCGTTAGACCTCAATGCGGTGGAGTCGGGATGCCCACGCGAAGATGCAGCGTGCCGTCGGCGCGGCTCCGGTGACCCATGGGTCGCAGTGCCCAGCCCCCCGCCGCGCAATCCGGTCCCCGCCGTGACGACGGCATTAATCAAATTTGAACCAAACTGCAATCCTCCATGCCATATCTTGCTGCTAACACCTCCTATCACACGCCCCCTCCAGGCGCCCGCGCCTGTCCTTGCTGCCGACTTTACGTCGCTCCCGCAGCTGGGCAGCGTCGTGGAGGAGGTCACGCAGCCCGTGTCTCACGCCTGGTCCAAAGCCAAGGACCTGTCCTCCTTGTTCATCTCAAAGGTGCGCTCGCCGGAGCTAAGCATCAGCAGCGGCAGCAAGCGGAGCGGCGAGGTCCCGCTGCAGCAAGGTGCGTGGTGTGGGGACATGCTGCGGCGTCAAAAGTATGTAAGACTGCATAGTGGCAAACAGTGTCCCTGGAATGCATACCTCCTCCTGAGCTTCGAGAGCTGCTTCAGTGATTTCGCGCTCCTCATGTGCTCTCCTGCAGGCGCCAAGGACGCCGCGTCAACTGCAAAGGAGTCAGCCAAGGAGGCAACTAAGGGGGCCACCACCGCCGCCAAGGACGCCACTACCTCCGCAAAGGACGCCGCTAGCTCCGCTGCCTCCAAGGCTGCCTCCGCCGCCGGCAAGGCCGCAGACGCAGTGAAGAAGGCTGCCGGGAGCTCTAGCCCCGTCTCCACCCCCACCTCCACCTCCCCCAGCAGCCCCATCAAGATCCCCCCCACATCTGAGGTGCTGTCCTCCGTGGCGGTCCCCAACCCCGCGCCGGGCAAGGGCCCCGTGCAGGCGGCGGCACGTGACGAGGCGGTGTCTGAGGCTCAGGAGCCGGCACTCCGGGCGGCGGCGCGGGCGGCGGGGAAGAAGGCGGAGGGTGGCTGCGGCTGCAGCAAGACGGAGGTGAGCAGGGCAGGGCACTGGGAATGCTGTATCTGAGGACAGTCGCTCATTCCTCATCGAACCGCAGCTCATGCCGGTACCTTGGATTCTGTGTTGCCTTTCGGCGCTCCACTCAGATGGCCTTTTCCCTCCTTCCCTCTGCCCCCAGGAGCGGGAGTGCAAGTGCGCACCTACGAGCGGTTAACAGGAGCCACGCAGCAGTCAAGAGCTGCACGCTAGGGGGCAGAGGGCACGCGGGCGGGCCGCGCGTGATGTTGCCTACGCATGCACACTAGTGTTGGATGGTTGGAAAGCTCACGGCAAATTTGTGGCCACTGCTGTAGCTGGTGCTAGGGCCACAGGTCTTAGCGGCATGAGACATGCTCGGCGAGTTCATTTTGCGCACGATGCCATAGGGGTTGAGAAGGTTGCAAACAAGCACTGCCGTTGCGGAGGCGGGAGCAGGGTCCCTTTGTGCTCAAGTTGCATGGTTGACAAACTGCCCCTGTGGAATCAGCAGCGCCTGCTTCCCAGATGAAGATCCTTTTGTAAGCGGCCGTACACGTTACAGCCGGTATACGTACGTCCGCCCATGAGGAAAACGCTCTCCACCTAGAAGAGCAATGGAAGCGGTCATTGTTTGCTCACGCCCGACGCCAGCGGAGGCGCCGGTCCGAACAAGAGCCCCTTACCGCCCGGGGCACACTGAGCAGCTGGCATGTGCCTTGTCCAGGCTCCTACCACACCACCGCTCATTCCAGCACCAGCAGCAAATCTGCACACCTGCTGTGACGACCCATAGGCTGCCCTCCCAGCTGCCCAAAAGCTACACACACCTTTCAAGGACTTCTCCTACACAACGCATCCATAATCAGCTCTTTTTGCCAGACCCCCTTCAAACCGATGAAGCCGCCAGCAATCCGTTTGCAGGCACATCTCCCTTCACACACAACGCTTGGCGCGTAAACAGCTGTGTACCGGCCACGATTGTCAGAGCCGCTAGCTTAGTTGCCCAGCGCCTGGCCGATGGAGGAGGCGACCTCGTTCTGCGGGCGGTCGGCCTTGAGCGCCACCACCTTGCTGGCGTAGTGCTCGATGACGGGGGTGGTCTGGCTGTGGAAAGCGGCCAGACGGGCCTTCAGCGTCTCGGCGTTGTCGTCCTTGCGCTTGATGAGCGGCTCGCCGGTCATGTCGTCAACGCCGGCAACCTGAGCAGGGAGGCGGAGACGAGGGGCATGCAAAACGGAGCTTTGAGGACGGACAGAGGCCGGGGGGCCCAGGTTTGAAAAGGAAAGAGAGGTTGAAAACACAAAGGGCTGCACCGACGCGGCAATCTGCAAGCACCTCCATGACCCAAATTGGCGCAGTGCTGGCTGTTAGCGCTTGCGCCAGTCTGAACCCTGTGATATTCTCGCTTCCTAAGCCCATCTTTCCCCCCAAAAACACCAATGCATACATGGTACGACATGTACGGTTTGGTACGGTACGGTACGGCAGGCCGTACACAACCCTGAAGCTCACTACCGTTACCCTCGGTGCCCTGTCGCAGCCCCCGGGTGACCCACCTTGGGGGGAGCGAACTTCTCGTGGTACGAGCGGCCGCTGGCTGGGTGCACCCAGCGCCCGGTCACACGCTCAACCTGGTAGGATAGGGGGAAAGGGCGGGGGTGAGGCGGACGGAGATACCAGGGGAGAGACTGTAACCACCAACATCAACGTTATGACAGCTTCGTCGGGAAAAGAACCACGGTTGCCACTACGGTAGTCATTTCCAAACGACGCCAGCAAAGATGAAACAGGGGCGACAAGGGTCCATTTCTCTTAGCCACAAACCACTAAGAAATTGCTTCCCCTTCCCCCGACCCGGCTGCCCCGCCAGGCGCAGGGCCCCGGCAGTCAGGAAGGTGTGTGTGACCCACTCACCAGGAGCGAGTCCGGCACAACGAAGTTGAGGACGCGGTCGATGCCCTGGCCGCGCTTGGCCAGCATCTCGTCGAGCTTCTGGGCCTGTGGGTGCGTAATGGCACACAGGCGGGGCGTGCGGCAGCTTGTGAGGAGCAGCATGTGGTGGGGTGTGCTGGCGGGTAGGTGGGTGCCAAGGTCGGAGGCTACCTTGCTTACCCATTGCGTCAGAGCTGTATAGCGACAGCGTGCCGCATGAGAGGCATGCCGCCCGGGTTGTATGTCTCCCGTGTTATGGGTAACATGCTTCTTCAGGCCTTTTGGGCGCATTGTGAAGCCGCTGTTATCCCAGGCAGCAGCGTCCGGATCCCCAAGGACACCAAGAACACGCCCATGAGCACGGAGGGGGTGTGCTCTAAGCGACCCACATCGGAGCAACCAGGCAAAGGGCGCCTTCCGTCGCCTGTACCACCCTGGCCCACCAACCAGATGTACCAAACCCATATCCCAGGACCGCTTTAATGCGACCCATTGAATGCCCTTGTCCAAGTGCTCTGCGCACAAGCTCTTTGGGCCCCTCACGTCCCTCCCGTTACCCAACCGCGGCTTCCGCGTCTGTACACAACCCGTACCCCAAACCTTTCAACGTCCCCACCTGGACCACGGTGCGCGGGAAGCCGTCCAGGATGAAGCCCTTGGCGCACTCCGGCTGCTGCGTGGCCTCCTCGATGAGGCCAATCACAATCTCATCGCTCACCAGCGCGCCCGAGTCCATGGCCTTCTTGGCCTGTGGGTAAACCATGCGATGGTGACTGTGAGCTAGGTGCAGGCAAAACCGACGTGTATGTACGTGCCAGGTTCCAGAGAACGTTTATTAAGGTAAAAAGGCTGGCAAAAATGGTACGACCCTTAAAGGAAGCTCCTCCTAAAAAGTCAACGCATGCTACATGCCGCACGTACCTCCAGACCAAGAGGCGTCTTGGCCGCAACGGCAGCACGCAGCATATCGCCAGTCGCCAGGTGGCACAGGCAGTGCTCATACTTGATGCGAGGCGACTGGGTGCCCTTACCGCATCCAGGAGGGCCTGTTGCCGAAACACCAAAAACCGCGAGACGTCAAGGAAGGCATGCCCCACCAACATACGTCTTAAAAGGACAACAAAAGGGTCGCGTAGCAAGGATTGCCAAAGCAAGGAACGCAACGACGCGCCGCCGCATGATGCAACCGCAACGCACCGATGAGGATAACACGCTTCTCCGGCTTCTTGGTGCAGTCAAGGCGGTGCTGGATCTCCTTCATAAGGTCCTCCGTCGCAACCTCGGAAAGGTCGACTTGCGGCATTTTTGCTAGTGTTCTTCTACTAAAAGTAAAAGAGCAAGTCGGTCGGTTGTGTAAAAAGGTGCCAGGTAAAAGGTTAAAAAGGAAAGATTTTGTGCATGGGTGCTCGATTTGGGTTGCGAATTGCTCACGTGTACGGTGAAGTAATGTCGCACCGAAGAGCCGTCCTATGACTGGATGGCATACACATGAAGCTAACCTCACACCGTATTGGATATGCCAAGTCCTAACTTCAGCATGGTTCCGGCAAGGACTGCATGCATGGAGCTATCTCCGGCGGTTCCCGATCTTCCAGCTTTAGCACTGCAGGTAAAGTGCATTTTATGGTGTCATAAATGATGTCGATGATCTTGATTGATCCGCAACATTTGCACGTCCACTCTCCTTCAGGTGGTGGGCTCGTTCCTACCGCAGCGCTCGGTCGCGGCCTGCAGGCTCGTGTGTCGCCAGTGGCGGGCGGCGTTCACGGGCAGCGTGCAGCATGTATGCATCCAGGTCGGTTGCGGGGAGTGCGCAGGGGTCGGGTATGGTTTTGGTTTGAGGGATGGGGTGTCTTCTTCTCGAGCAGATCCTTTCACACAGCAGGGTATGCGTCGCCAACCCCACCCTCACACCGCCCAAGGCCCCCTTTCCACGCCTCCCCTTCCCCCTCCCTCCCACAACCCCCCTCTAGGTGCTCCTGGACCCGCACCTCACGGACCTGCAGATAGCTGCCGCTGCCGCCGCCTTCCCCGCCGCCACCTCCGCCACGCTGCTGCTGCCCAACTGCGCCTTCGCGCCCTTCAACCCCTACGACAGCGCCGGTGCCGTAACCGCCGCCCGCACCGCACTGGGCCGCCGCAGCGCCGCGGCTAATGAGGCGCGACGGGCGGCGCTGCGAGCGGCGGCCGAGCAGCAGCAGCAGCAGGAACAAGGACAGCAGCAGCGGCGGCAGCAGCAGCATGGGACACTGGCAGAGGCTGAAAGCGCAAGAGGCGCCGCGGCTGCAGGCGCAGAAGCGGCGCGCGCCCCCTCCACCTCTCCTTCCCCTTTCCCTTCCCTAGACCCGCATGACGCAGGCAGGGCTGCCGTACATGCCGCCCTGCAGTCGCTCCGAAACCACCTGCCCGGCCTGCAGCGACTGCAGATCGGAGACGCGCAGCGCCCCACACCCCGCCCCGGACCCCTCGCCGCCCTCGCGCAGTGCCTCCCCACCCCCTCCTTCTCCTGCTCCACCACCCCCGCCACCCCCACTGCCGTACAGCTGCTGGCGGTGGCTCACACCTCGCTGCCCTCCGCGCCCGCCGCCTGCAGCTGGAGCTACCCCGCCAGCCTGGTGCCGCTGGAGGGGGCGGTGGGGTGGGCGCACCACCAGCAGGACGTGGCGCAGCAGGCGGCGGAGCAGGCGGTGGCGGCGGCACACCGGGCCGCACTGGACCTGGCAGCCCTGCTGCCGCTGCCGCCGCCCTCCTCGTCCGCTGACTCCTCGGCACATCCATCAACTCCAGTTGGCTGTGTTGCCAGCAGCAGCAGCAGCTGGCCTTCCCTGGCTTCCCTGGACCTCCGCTGTGCCGCCGACATCTCCCGCCTGCCGCCCCCCCTCGCCCGCCAGCTCACCCACCTCTCCCTGCTGCAGCTCCGCGACGGCTCCGCCCTGTCCGCCCTGCGCCACCTGCCCGCCCTCGCCTGCCTGCACCTCTGGTGCTGCGAGGGCAGCAGCCTCACCGATCTGGCCTACTGGACCTCCGCAGCGCCGCAGCGCATCCGCCGCGGGCTGCCGCTGCTGGCGGCGGCGCTGACGGCGCTGACGGCGCTTGAGCTGCGGGAGCTGGCGGCGCAGGTGGAGCCGCCGGCGGCGGTGACGGCGCTAGGCGGGCTGAGGTCGTTGCGGAGTCTGACTGTGGAGCTGGTGTACGGCGGGGAGCCGTGGCGGCAGCTGCGGGAGCTGTGTGAGCAGCTGGGGGAGGAGGAGAGCGAGGAGGAGAGTAGTGGGGATGGGAGCGACGAGGAGAGTGAGGAGGATAGTGAGGAAGACGAAGAGGAGAGCAGTGAAGAAGAGAGCGACGAGGAGAGCGAGGAGAGTGGGGAAGAGGACGACAGTGAAGAGAGGAGCGAAAGTAGTAGTGACATGAGCAGCGAGCAGGGTGGTAGCAAACGAGTCCGTAACGCACGTGAGAGGTCCACGTCAGCGTCACCGGCTACTGCTGCCGCCTCCCTTACCCGCGCTAACGGTAACGCGAAACAGCAGCCTGCTGATGCAAGTGCTGCCGCTACAGCTGCTGCTGTTACTGCTGCTCAGCGGGAGGCAGATGCGGCTGAGCACACCCGGCTTATCGCAGCCGACGTGGCGCTGCTGGACTCGCAGGGTGGGGCTCCGGGTGGGGCTCCGGGTGGTGGTGCTGGTGGCGACCGCGGCAGCTGCCTGCTGGGGGTGGTGCGGGACGGCTGGGCGGCGCTGGACGGGCTGCGGCCGCTGGACCTCTTCTCCGCCTTCGCACCGCAGAGCAGCGCACGGAGCTCCTGCAGCAGTGGCAGCGGTTGGGATACCGGCGGAGGTGGTGAGGAACTGGGCGGCGGCGGCGGGGGCGGGTGTTCGCTGACGAACTTGGACGTGACGTTCGTGGGCGCGGGGCTGCTGCCGGGGTGCTGGTACGGCATCAAGCGGCTGGGGGGCAGCCTGAGGCGGCTGGCGCTGCGGGTGGGGCGCAGCGAGGTGGAGGAGCGGCTGGTGGCAAGGTAGGGGATTAATATGGTTGAAGATTCCGCATTAAGCTGGAATTAAGGATTGCGCATAATCATATTCGTTGGGTTAGTAGCAGCACACAAAGTACAAACCGTGATAGGTAGGGGAGGGGAGCTGCTGGGGAGGATGGGATGAGGAGGAGGGGGGCATGGGGTCATTCCAGAGGAGAGAGCGCTCGCCGGGGTACGGAGGTTGACGCTGGTCAATGGGCGCATCTGCGTGCGCCCCTCGTGTCGAAACCGCATGATGCCCCTCCCCTTCCTCCGTTCCTCCTCCTCCAAACCTCCATCAGGCTCACCTCCCGGCTGGGCTCCCGCTGGCGCCCCGACTCCTTCGCTGTGGACTCCCTGGGCCCCCTCACCCGCCTCACGCACCTGGAGCTGGATGCGCCGCTGGCACCGGCGCTGGCGGCCAGCCTGCTAGGCGGGGCGCTACTGCCGCTGCCGCCACAGCTGGCCTCACCGCAGCCGCCGCCGCCACCTGCGGCGCCAGCGGCAGCAGCGCCGCAATCACCCTCCCGTGCCAACGCCTTGCCCAAGCTCCAGAGCCTTTCCTTGTACGGAACGTCGGCAGCAGCGCCGGCAAGAGCCCGGGCCGGGCTGCACTCAACGTTACCTCCGCCACAGCACCCGCTGCAAACTCCGCTGCTGCCGCTGCGCACCTTGTGCCTCGACGGAGACCTGACGGGTCTGCTGCCAGACCTAGCGGCAGGGGTACTGACGGCGGCGGCGGCGGCACGTGCGGCGCCAATGGGTCGCCACGACCCCGCTGGCGGCGGCGGCCCCGGCCACCAGCTGGCGGAGCTGCGGCTGGCCCACCGACCCGCGGGTCACCCGGCGACCCGGCGGCTGCCGCTGCTGTGGTCGCACCTGCCTGGAGGAGGGCTAGAGGTGCTGCATCTGGAGGGGTTTGAGGTCCGCGGCAGCAGCAGCAGCGGACTCGTAGCGGAGGAGGAGGGTGCGGTGCGAGCTGGGCCCGAGGAGCTCGTGACGTCGCTGGCAGGGTGTGGGCTGGCCGGGGCTCTTGTGCTGGAGGGTTGCGGAGGGGCGGAAGCAACTGCGGCCCAGGCGGCGCCAGGAGGGGGGAGCGGTCACCACCAACGGGCGAGCATGCCGCGGCTGCAGCGGCTACGGCTGCGGCACTGCGTGGCGGAGCTGGGCGGTGTGTACGACAGTCCGATGCTGGCGGAGGTTGCCGTACAGGGCTGCTGGCTGCTGCTGGCGGCGCCGTACGGCACAGCTGCAGCGCCCTGGGATGCGGCGGCGCAGCTGCGGCTGCTGCGGCGGCAGCCCTGGTGGCGGCGGCTGGTGAGGCTGGAGCTGCAGCTCAGTGCGGGTTCGGGGGCAGGGGCGGAGGTGGGAGCAGGAGCAGGGGCAGCGGAGGCGGTGGGGTTGGAGGGATTGGCGGGGCAGCATAGCTGTAGGGGCAATGGCAAGGACCACAGCACTGGCTCCCCGCCTGCCTGTGGGAGCGGCTGCCCGTTTTGCGCCGGCTGCGCCGGTTGCGCTGAGGATGGCGACGATGACGTCAACGTTGATGATGACACTGGCGGCTGCATGTCGCCCCACCTGGAGCACCTCAGCGTGACATGGGAGGTGGCCGCAACGGCAGGTCCCGCATCTTCCCCCTCAACCAGCCCTCGCACCCACAGCAACAGCAGCTGCTGCTGCTGCGCTGCCTCCCCTCCACCTCCCGCGCCCGTAGGCCTGCCAGCGGGCTGGTGTTGGGGGGCCCGCTGGCTACCGGGGCTGACTGGGTTGCGGTCGCTGGAGCTGTGTGTGGGCGACGCGGCGCAGGGAGGGGCGCCCCTGAGGGTGGAGCAGCTGGTGTGGCTGCTGCGGCTGCGGACGCTGCGGCGGCTGCGGCTGGTGCTGTGCGTGAGCGCCTCGGCAGGGGGCTCCGGCGCAGGAGGGCATGGGAGGGCTGGAGGGTGTGGTGGTGGCTGTGGCTCCCCAGCTGCCTTACCAGCAGCAGCACCAGCAGCAAGTGGGGAGGAGCCGCATGAGGGTGGTGGCGGTGCGGGCAGCAGCGGCGTGGAGGGTGTTGATGGAGCAGCGGGTGGAGTCAACAACACCCAGCGGCGGGACAACACTGACGCTGACGGTGGCGGCGCCGCAGCAGCAGCAGCAGCCACCCCGGCTGCGGCGGCTCCCTCTGGGTCCGCCCCTCCGCCGCCCCCCACCTCCGCCTGGCTGCACAGCGAGGTGTGTGAGCTGCTGCTGGCGGGGCTGCCGTACTGCATGACGCAGGTGGTGCAGCTGAGGGTGCCGTGAGGGGGGGTGGGAGAAGTGCAGTGTGCGAGTACTGACCGTGACCGGGAGGGGGTGGGCGGGTGCCGTGGGGAAAAAAGAGATGAGCAGTGCAGCAACTGGAGTCCCATTCTCATACCCCCGGTGCCGTGGGGAGGGCGGGGGAGTGTCGGCGAGGGTTCGGTGACTGGCTGGGAAGTGGAAGATCAGGTACGCGCGCAGTTGTGGTGTTGCAGACGCTGTGATTACATGCAGTCGTCAACATGCAGTCACTTCGTGTGTAGGTCACTTTATAAGGTTGACGGAAAATTGTTGTTGCATACCGGTTTGCCGCCTTTTTGTTGTTCGGATGTAGACTTTACTAGGAGTTACCGCACCCAGTCATCTCGTGCCGACCCTCGTTTCACGCATGGAGACCGGAACTTGAACAAAATCGTGTTGTGTTGTGAAGCTCACAAGGCGAGAGCGCTCTTCCGCGGCAGAAGCTGCGACCCCGCAAGGCCTGAACGAGCCAGGTACCTGGGAAGGCCTGTGAGGAGAGGGCCCCGGGTACAAGTACATAACCCACAGGGCATCAGCCCTGCGCCATGCGGTTATCCTGGTAATCACGTGCATCTGCACTAGGCAACATGGACACGACACCTGCCCGACCTCTTCTCAACCCTCCTTGCGCACAGGTCGCACAGGTCGCACAGCACGTTTGGACTCGCGGCCAGTTCCTTAAGCCATCCTGTCAGCCGCCCTATACCAGCTCTCCCTGGCATGGCCGCATGCAGGCGCTCGTCGGGCCTCCCTGCACCTCAATCTCCCTGCACCCGCACCCGCACCCCAACCACAGCCTCAGAAGCGGTCCTTGGCGGCCCGCACGGCTGCAAACACCTCCCAGTCCTCGGCCGCCGCGCCCAAGCCCAGCTGCTGCCGGATGGCTGGGTCGTGCGGGCGCAGGAAGGGGTTGGTGGCCCGCTCCTCCCCCAGCAGGCTGGGCACGGTAGCCTCGCCCTGCGGCACACACGCCCCGGGGGGGCCACAGTTCAGTCAGAGGATCAGGCGGGTGGAATCAGCGATCACATGAACATCATGCAGGGTGATGTGCATCATTTTCGTTTAACGCACCCCCAAGCGCCCCTCTTCTCAGCCTCTGATGCAGCTACGGCAACCCAACGCCCAACCCAGCCGCGCACCCTCCCTTCCTCTCCTCCCTACCCACCCGCGCTCGCGCCTCGTCCACCCGCGCCTTCCGCTCCTTCAGCGCCGCATTGCCCGGGTCCACCGTTACCGCGAACCGCGCATTGGCCGCCGTGTACTCGTGTGCGCAGTAGACGCGCGCGGTGTCGGGCAGGGGCAGCAGCTTGGAGAGGGAGGCCCACATCTGCTGAGGAGAGCCCTCGAACAGCCGACCGCAACCCAGCGCGAACAGCGTGTCACCTGGGGAGGAGGAGTTGGAAGGTGTTGGGAAAGGGTCAAGTCGGCTGAGGCCTGGAGTGCATGTTCCCAGCCCAAGCCCCAGCCCCAGCCCCAGCCCCAGCCCCAGCGGGACCAGCCCTCACCCGGGAACAGCGCGTCCGCCCCCGGCATCCAGTAGGTGATGTGTCCCCGGGTGTGCCCCGGCGTGTCAAACACCTCCACACGCTGGCTGCCGAAGTGCCACACATCGCCGTCGCCGACCTGCCCGGCGGCAGCGGAGAGGGGTCAGGGGAGGTAACAGGGGACGGGGCCCGCAGGAGGGGGTTTGCATGCGCATCTGGATGCCTGGATGGGCGATGCAGATGTTTGCATGGTGCAGCAAACACCGGGTGGTACCTAACCATACATCTGTCCCATCTTCCCATGCTTCTAACAACGGAACCCACCTGCACCTCGATGCCGGGTATGCGGTCTCGGTCCGCCCGCGGCCCCACGATGGATGCCGCCGGGAAGGCTGTCTTGAGCGCCCGGTTGCCGCCCACGTGGTCGGCGTGGTGGTGGGTGTTGAGGATGGCGTCTAGGGACCAGCCCCTGGGGTGAAGGGGTAGGGCATAGGGGGAGATGTAGGATACCCACATACCGGTCAAAACCAACGTACAGACACACGCGCACACCTGCTTTCCAGGGCCTGCATCACGGGCGCAGCCTCCGCCGGGTCCACCACCGCTGTGCGTCCGCTGGCCTCATCGCGCAGCAGCCACACGTAGTTGTCAGAGAGGCAGGGCACGCGGACCACCTCCATGCCGCCCGTGACACCGACGCTAGCCACGCCTATGCTGCTGCTGCCAGTGCTAATTGTGGCAGAGGTGCAATTGATAGATCGTACTGGATTGGCGTTGTTATAAAACCTGTAAGGTGTAAGGTTATGCTCAGCGATGCATGTATTTGTAAGTGTTAAAAGAATACGCTTGGGCTAATGCCGACAATATTATGTAAGCATAGACAGGTAAAATGTAACAGAGACGGTTCTTCGCTTTAATTGGGTGCAGGGTGTTGCAAGCACCAATGGTGCCCTCACCTAGAGGGAAGATGCCTGCTGCGAGTCGTCCACTGAAACGCTTGCATACAGACACCTGTATAAAAGTTTGCGTGGCCTGCATAAGTCCCAAATCCGCTGAAACGGCATTCCTCAGGCTACCACACTCTCACCACGAAGCATACCGCAAGTTGCCCTGTATAATTGCTTTAACGTAATATAACGTCTTGTATACAAAGTACTATTGTTCTGTCTAAGGTTGGCTTGTGATGGATTGCATGTAAGTATTTTGTCCCACGGTCCCTTCGTCCGCCAACGCCTACATACCACTCAACAACCGCTCACCCAGTATCGCCGCTACTACACAGAAAAGGAACATGTTTAATATAGAGCTCGTTCCTGGCCGGCTGGCCTGCGGCTGGTTCCTCCTGACCGCCATCGCGCAAGTATGGCTGTGGCTGCTGATTGCGTTCACGCTCTGGCATGCAAAAAACGTCTACCTGACCCTGGCCTTCGCTGGGTAAGCTGGTAGTATCGGAGTCCCCCTTCCCATAACGACCCAAGGGCCGTTCGTATAGCCCCTCGTAGAGAGAGTAGAGCGCAGCCACGATATATATATCCGTCCATGATGGCATCCAGCATCCAGCAGCCCTAGTAGAGTGCGTCAACTGCCCCTACTAACCAAGCTGCTGTTGCCATTGCTGCCGTTACTGCTCCTGCTGCTGCTGCCGCGCCCGGTCCTGTGTCTCCCCGCAGGTACATGACCTACATCTGCTCGGGTCCCGGTGCCAACGCCCCCAGCTCCTGCTCCTGGCCCGCTCCCCTCAAGCGGTGAGTCACCAGCGCCGGATGTTGCTGCACACATGCCGCACATCTGAGGTCCACCACATCCTTGGCCTTCACCAGTATCGTGCCGGTATCGTCGCACGTGTCAGGTACCGCTGAGCACACATTGCCCCGAGGCTCCGCATGCACCCCCCCCCCCGCCTTCCCTCTCCCCCTTGGGAACCACCTCATCAGGTGGTTCGTGTGGCGCCTGATGGCGGCCTACTTCCCCGCCCGCCTGCTGCCCACCGCGCCGCTGGACCCCGCCCGCCACTACCTCTTCGTGGCGCACCCGCACGGCATCCTGGCGCTGTCCTGCTGGCTCAGCTTCGCCACGGAGGCGACGGGCTTCTCGGAGGCCTTCCCGGGTGAGCGGCAGCAGGCAGCAGGCAGGCGGGAAGGAAGACAAGGGACCGTGAAGGGGGCGAGGTGTGGGGTGTGAGGACGGAGGATGAACGTGCAGGACGCCATCATCTGCCGCTCTTCCTACGGTTCCGGTCTCTGCTTCATAGCGGCTCGGCTCACAAAAGGTGAACCCTCTGCTCCTCCTTGCCCCCTGCGCCCCTGCATGCAGGTGTGGAGGTGCACGCCGCCACACTGGAGAGCAACTTCCGCGTGCCGCTGCTGCGGGAGTACATCCTGCTGCACGGGCTGTGCGGGGCGGGCAGGGAGTCGCTCAAGAGGGTGCTCAGCGGGTGAGAACTGAGAAGGGCATGGTACGGCCCCCGTGCCTTGGCCCATGCAGTGCGTCTCTGCCTCGTCCTATCAGGCCATCACCCGCTCCCACTCGCCTCATTCGCAGACCCGCGGGTCGCTCCGCGCTGCTGGTGGTGGGCGGCGCGGCTGAGGCGCTGCTGTCTGCCCCGGGATGCTACGGGCTGGTGCTGCGGGCCCGGCGGGGCTTCGTGCGGCTGGCGCTGCAGACGGGCGCCTCGCTGGTGCCGGTGCTGTCGCTGGGGGAGCCTGACGTGTTCCGCACGCACATCCCGGCACCCAGCAGCCGGGCGGGCAGGGCCATCAGGTGGGTGCGGCGGGGTGGGGTGCGGGTGGTGGAGGCATGGAGTTGCATGGTTGCATGGCGGCGTGTATAATGAGGCTTGCTGAGCTATTGGAGGGAGGCTGGGGCTCCCGGGCGACCCCGGTATGACGCTGGGGGTTCCCCCGGTAGCTCTGACCGCAGTCCCTCGCCTGGCCCGGTTCTGGTCTGTCTTATTCTTACATGCGTTAGCGGAGGTGCCACCCCCCTCCCTACCCTGCACCAGGTGGATCAAGCGCACCTTCGGGTTCTCCACACCGCTGTGCTGGGGCGTGGGGCTGTTCGGAGGTGGGCGAGGAAGGGAGAATGGCTAGGGCAGGGCGTGCAAATGGGGGTTTGTACGTGTGCGAAACACGGCACGAACAAGGCAAGGGGTAACCGGACATGGCATCGTGAGCCGGCAGGGGTGTGTGTTGCGGGTGCAGTGGCAGCCCCGGTGGCCATACGAGCTCGCCTGGGGCCCCCACAGGCCACTTGGCGCAGGCGTTGCGCATTGACCGTCTACGGTACCGCTACCCTAATTGTGCTTTGCCTTACTCCCGCCCCCGCTGCCCGCCTTCCCCCCTGCTGCTGCTGCTGCAGGGTGGGGCATGCTGCCGCTGCAGGCGCCGCTGACAACTGTCGTGGGTAAACCTCTGCACGTGACCAGGTAGGCTACCCAGAGAGCGGACCCGGGCCTGCCTGGGTTGTCCTCCTGGCCATTCATGTCTATCAGAACCTCAGAACCCATTTCGGTTCCAAGTGAGCAACCAGAGGTTTTGTTGACTCGGATCCTCACCTTCCATGCCATGTCCTGTCTCTTCCAGCGCCCCTCCTTACTCCACATGCCCGCACTCCCCTCACCCCCAACGCCTCCAACCCCATCCCCACTCCTCCCCGCCCAGGACCCTCCACCCCAGCGAGCAGCAGGTGGACGAGCTGCATGCCGCATACACGGCAGCCCTCATGCAGCTGTGGGACGAGCACAGCGGAAAGTACGGCAGGGAGGTACGGCAGCGGTTGGAGGTGGTGCAGTGAGGCTGATGGCCACGTTGCTCTATACGGCAGCGGAGGTGGTTACATGGCCGGATGCTGGCGCATGGGAGGGCTGTTCACAAAGTACGGTAAGAAGTTAAGGCGGGTACGGCAGTTGCGGCCGAGCCGCTAGTATGGCTGCTTGCTGAGGAGATAGACCAGGAGTGGTTTGGGGCTAAATGTGGAGTGGAAGTTGGCTACATTTCCTTGCGGGGTAAACAGCACCTTACTGGAAGAAACAGAGAGGGCGACCTCGGTGACGCTTCCGTGGTGTATGGTGTAGCTTGTTGTGCTCGAGTGGCCATGTGGCCTGGGATGTGTGACTTGTACTGCGGCCGTAGAACTTGCAGTGTCCGAGTTGCTGCATGGGAGGAGCAAGGGTGCCTGGGTTTAGTTCCTCATGCAAAGGTAGGGCGCATTCCGCTTGTTAGATGGGGTAGCTCTTAGGGGGGGTCTGCTTTCTTTTCAATGCCTCCAGAGGTTGCGTCGGATGGACCCGCAGTTCCCCATATGGTGCAAGTTGCAGTCATAAAATGTAGAAAGGTGCAGATGCCTGGTAGGAAGGTGTACTTCACTATTGGATCTTGTCGCAGTCGTACATGTATCATGGGTTGGGAAGGCCTCTGAGCCAAAGAGGTAAACAGAGGGTATTAGCTATTGTGTTTAGGCAACCGCAGGAGTGCTCCAGCTACCTGGCCGTTCTGTAAATAGCAACTTTGTGAGACACGTGGAGGCTCACAGGACTGTACTTCACGCTTGCTAGCCGCAATTGCATAGATCTGCCTATCATTAAGCACAAACGCGTATTGGTGAGCGGGATTAAGGATTTGACGGGAGAATGTTGCTCTTATTGGGCCATCTGGATAGCTGGTCCTCCGCACGTACGGTGATTGTAAACGTACGAAACGTTTTAGTTTATGGCCGCAATGCTACCCTGCCTCTCCCACGGACGAGTACTGAAATAACTTTAGTGCGGAAGTTGGGGATTAAACAACGCCCCTCCAGCTCCCCGGCAATAGGGCTGGCGGCCCACCAATGTCATAGAGAACTTTTTGCTCCTTGGAGCATACGTAAGCAATAAGCCAATACCTGAACCTACGAAACTCAAGTAAAGCACGCCCTCACACCTTGCCTCGTAACCATGGGCCGGCCTAAGGGGTGCCCAGGCGGTCCCGGCCGGCCCAAAGCAACACCTGAGTCTCGCAAGCAGTATGGAAAAACCAGTATGAGCTTCAGCATAACGGAGCTTAAGGTCTTAAACCGGATGATGAGGACTCCTTGGTGGCGAACACAAATGCGCAACTCCGGCTGCTGCAAGTGCTTGAAGAAAGAGCCGAAATGTCAGCAGGTGCATCACCTATTCAGGTTTTTGGCTTCAGGTTAGTAAGCGCGTACTTTGTTGGGCAGGCGGTGGATAGGTTCATGACATGGGTGAGTTGACCTCTGCAGGTTTCCTTGACGACCTACTCGTGGGCTTAAGGGATGACCTCCTGGAACTATGTAAGCAGCTTGGAAGCACGGTACAGGCGAGCAAGCTGTCAGAACGTCTCCGGGAAGTCGCAGGTGAGCAAGGAAATGGCAGACAGATTGCTTTCGCACAAGGGCATCAGGTTCAGCGTGCGGACATCAGCTACTTACATCTTGATGATCCCTTTCTACAGACAAGTTGCCGCCCAACGTGCTTGGGCCCGACCCAAGCGATGACGTCGACTTCGCCGTGCAGAAGGCACAGAAGGCGGAGCAAAAGGAGTACTTGCGGGGTGAGGGCAAATGAGGCTAGGGCACTGTAGGCGCGCTGTGTTATGTGCGACGCGCCAGCAATATGGGATATCAAGATTGAGGGGAATTACTTGATGGCACGCAGTTACCGGTGTTTGGCAGAATAGTTGGGATTTCTTACCCAAGGCCAAACATCCCAGTCAGGAAGGCCATAAGGCGTCCTCCCAACCCCGCCTCCCTTGCAGCGGAGTCCTTGGACGACGAGAGCCTTGAGCAGGAGCTGCAGCACCTGCAGCAGCGGCAACACCAAATCCAGCAGCAAATCGCAGCCGCACAGGTCCAATCACACCTGCAAGCCCAGGGCCATGCCCACCCGCTCCCCGCACCGCCTGTGCCGCTGCCGGGCCACCCGGAACCGCAGCCACCCGCCCCGTTGCTGCAGCAGCTGGGGGTGGGTCTGGGGCCGGTCGGAGTCAATTCCATCTCGCCTACATCCACCACGCCGCTTCCTAGGGTAGAGCAGCAGCAGCAGCCGCACGCTCTGGGCCACGGCGGTGGGCCCACCTGGCTGCAAATGGCTGGCATGCCGCCGCCGAGCCTGCCGCAGCCGCCACCAGCAGCAGCCCCCATGCCCTCTTCCTCGCTGCTGCCCTCAGACCCACCGGCCGCGCAACACCCAGATGAGTTGATGCACCCTTGCTTGGCTGATTACGAAGCTGCGGAGGCGGTACTCGCCGCTTTGGTGGCGGATCCCCAGCTGCACGCGCAGCAGCACTGCCACCCGCGCCACAGCCACCATCAAGGTGAGGTTGCGGCGGCGGCGGCAGTGCTGCAGCCAAGCGGCGCCAGCCAGAGCGATGCGGTTGCAGTAGCAGTAGACATTGTGCAGGGGCAGCTGCCGTGCTTGATGCCACGGACGCCGCCGGTGCTGCCAGGCACATGCGAGATAGGATCGCAGCAGGTGATGCTGCTACCGGGTGGATATGCAGCCGATCCGCCAGCTCTTTGCACGGCTACTGCTGCTACAGCAGCGATGTCAGCTGCTCCCTCGTTCATGGGGACGGGGCCTTTGGCAGGGTTGTTAGGCCCGCAGCCGCTGGTGTCAGCCCTGCCAGTTGGGTTTTCGTAACGGGTGTAGTTTACTGCATGTAGGCATTTTGTAAACTTCTTGCTTTTGGCCTAGTATGGATACTATTTTGGTTTCGACTTCACCCTCGGTTCATTTGCGATACAGCGGATGCGGATACGATACCGGTACTGCAAAATTGCAGACGAGCAGTCGGCGCAGACGAACGTTACTGTGCGCTATATGGCCGATGGAAATGCATTTTATGGCCGCCGGAATGGCCTATACCGGAGTTTTGAGATGTCAGGAAGGCATGTGGAAGCAGCGTCCTGTCATGTTAGCTAGGAATGCACCTGGACATAGCAAGATAGCATGCGTGCCTGAAAGACATGTGGCATGGCACTGCTGCTTGTCGTGTCAGTGCAGGGGGCAAGCAACATTGAGCGCGTTGTTGATGTGCTGCATGACGCGCTCGTGGCGTTTTTGTGCAGATTATGTCAGGAGTGCACAAGGCGTGAAGGGGTGCAGCTGTGAAATGCGGCTCGGGACGACTGTTGCCTTCACCAAGGCAAGATTTCACCTTCGTCCAGAGACATGTGGTAACATGGATGGAGCATTCCGCTGGGTGGTGTGTATCATGCTGCAGTAGGGCTGTCCGCAGTGAGTACTATGGGTTTGTGCCCCGGATGCGATGCGCTGTTTGCTATCCTTTCATATTACTGACGATGTTGGGTCTGGCGTCCATGTCTTTGAGACGTCTCACAGCGGTGTGTGCGGACAGCAGAACTGTAGTCGCCGGGATTACGGCTTGTACGACCAGGAGGAGGGCTACATGGCGCGTGAGGTTGTGATCAACTATCTATTCCAGAGGACTTTCAATAATATTCCTTCATCTTCTTGGTCTGTCAGATGTTTAGCTAGGACCCTTTTGTAATTGCGACAAAAGCGGTGGCTGTCCTTGAAAGGACTTTGTAATTCTACTGCCTTGCACCCTGTAGTAGGCAAGCAAGAAATATAATGGTGCGTCGCACATTTCGAGCTGGAACTGGGTAGATCCTCTCAATACATGCTCCTCGATTGCTTAATCTGCAGGCCGACGAGCAGCAGCGGCTTGCGGCAATGATGGCTGCGCAAGGTGGAAAGGTAGATCACACCTAAACTCTTTGATTTTCGGAAAGGCCTGAAACGCGATACCCATGCAGGGTGCACCCTCACAAGAGGAGCTTGAAGCTCAAGAGGAAGCTAAGCGGTATGTCTACTTCTAAGTAAACTGCAAGCCTTGTTCGATGGGATCATCATATACTCATCGTTCGGCGACAATGCGCACACCTTCGCCAGTATCCGTTGTTTGCACCGTGGGGACTTGGAGGATACTATTGCGCTCCGTCATCCCTTACGGCATCGGCAGTAGTCCTCTACGGCATCGGCAGTAAATGGCCCGCTCCGCTTAGCCGAGCTCTGCCTTGCAGCCGTACAGAAGTCGCCAGAACGCGGCTCTGCGGTCATATACTCCACCTCCCGATGCTGTCCCTAGCTCCTTCGCTTTGGCCGGACCTTGCCTTGGCATGTGGTTGCAAACATGCAGCGGCCGTGCGCATGCGGCTCCAGCTCTCTTGCTGGCTTGACCCCTCTAGCTAGGCAGGGGCTCGAGGGGTGTCTGCCGCTTGGCTCGCACGAACCGCTGACCACACCAGCTGGGCCATGGTTGCGTGCTGTGGGGTTGGCAAGCAGTAGCATAGGCAACCGGGACAGCGCTCATGCCAGCTGCTGGGAGTTGTGCGGGGATCCCAGCATCTGCTGCCTCCGAGCGGAGAACTCTTTACCTGCTTCCCGCCGCCTTGCCTTGGAGCGTGGGCTCCTCAAATCACTCCCCGCCTGCTCCCCTTAATGCTCCTGCGGCGCCAATTCCAGGAGTGCTGAGGAGCAGCGGCGAACCATGCTGGCTGCCTGCATGACCGGGGAAGCGCGGGAACGATGTAGGTGGCGGAGCAGGAATAGGGCAACGGAGGAGTTGTTACGCAGCGGGGACTCGTGGTGGGGGAAAAGCACACCCGAGCGGCAATGGCTGTCGATATGTAGTTGCCGCGCACGAATGCACCGTGCATGTGAGGGGCTCCATTATCGTTCTGGCACAAGTGGGGCTAGAGCAGTAGCCCCCAGCGTACGCAACGTTGGGGCGGTCCATTGTGTATTTCGCACGTGGCGGGTCATACACCGCGCTGCCGTCCGAGCTGTTGCCACTTGGCCTGGCCTGTATTACGGGGCCCCCCGTTTGGACGCGCTGTGCTGACACATGCGCCCCGCACCTGTGTGTCGCAGTGTCCCGCATTGCCATCGTGAAGCCCGACAAGGCGAGGAGCGTGGAGAACATGATTCTGGGCGCGGCGCAGCGGGGGGCGCTCAGTAGCAAGGTGGGTGGGTGTTCCAGCTGAGATGTGGCTGGGGGCGGCTGGTGGATGCCCTAACTGGAGCCGGATAGGCGGTGCTAGCCGCCTCGATTCCAGACGGCAATTGCAAAATGCTGAGCGTACTCCTAACTTTAGTTGGTCGCCGGCCCCTCTTTCACATAGCCATCCTTTCCTCTTCCCCTTCCGCCTTATGGCTCAGCAATGCCTTACCGCTCTGCTCTTCACCTCGCGTCTGCTACTGCTACCTCCGCTGCTGCCGTACCTGCAGGTGACGGAGGAGCGGCTGGTGGAGCTGCTGGAGCAGATCAACGAGCGCGAGGGCGCCAGCAAGCCCAAGATCACCATACAGCGGCGCAGGCCCAACCTCTTCGACGATGATTGAGGAGCCCGACACCCGACGACACACAGCGGGGCGGGAGCATACAGCGGTAACATGGGCAACGGGCAGCGTGGTGTAGGCCGTTGCTGCATGGAGCCTTACCCGTTCCTGGTGTGTCTGGCCTCGGTCGCTGAAAGGTAGCGTTGGGGTTCAGCTGAGAGCGAGGCGTGCATGTGGGGTCTTGTTGTTGATGCTGTCAAAACACTCCGTGCAGCTGACGCTCTGTGCGGCTTACGAGGAAGTAGGGGAAAGACCGCTTCCACAGATCTATGTGGTGTGGAGACCGGATAGAGTGGGATAAGGGTTTGACACTTGACTGTGGTGCAGCTGGGAGGTGAGAAGGTGCAGTGTGCTGTTTGGGCATGTGCACGGTTGCAGTGCTGGATCCATGCTGGCAGCGGCGGTTGTTGACATGTTGAGTTGCACGTTGCAACGCTTTGCTTCAGTAACGTATATTGAGGGAAGCCGCACACGGTATAACTAAACCTGGCTAAATGGCTGCCCCTTCATGCTGGCTGTTACCTCTGTGGCGTAGCTCGGCACGCTAACAATTGTTGGGAGGTACACCGTACCATCGGACGATGCCTGACAATGCTGTAGTCGCCTAGCCAATGGTGCGGACCTAGGTATTGCTACCACGAACATGTTCAAGCCCCTCTCGGTCGTGAAGCGATTCGATGAGTCGTGTCAGCATGCACGCCAACCCTTTCTTGCTACAATGCTTCCGGCATTCCCTCAACAACTCAACCCCTCGCACTCCTGCACCCTACCGCTCCAACCGTTCTTCCCTCTCACAATCGCCAACCAACATAGCCCCTGCCTCTCCTCACTGCGCCTTCTTACTTCCCTCTGCCTCCGCCTGCTGCAGCTTCTCCTGCTCCTCCGGCGGCAGCCTCCTATTCAACCTGAACAGCCGCGCCAGCAGCCAATCCCGCAGCCACAGCGGCAACCACATCGCCAGCCGCGTCTGCCGCACCAGCCCGCCCAGCAGGAAGTGCCGCGGAGGGTGCGGCCGCAGCAACTGCCGTACCACACCGCGCGCGAAGACCTGCGTGTCCATGGCCTGCTGCCGCTGGCTGAGCGTGGCTCGCTCGCGGATGGCGGCGGCGAAGGGGCCGTACAGCGTGAAGTGCTCGTCGTAGCGCTGCGAGCGGGGAGGTGTGGGTGAGAGATGAGGATTAGACAGCGAACACTGGCACTATGCAGAAACCAAGGCCCTAGAGCCTTTCCTTGACAAGACGTGTTATGGGTTTCATGTCTGATGTACTTTTCATCAACCTGCCTGAACCTGCAGCAACTAGACGGAACTAGCAGGAAGAGCGGCAAGTTGCATGGCTTCCCGTTCCCGCCCCGTCCTCCCGGCCTACCTTCAGGTTATTGTCCCCGATGTTGGACTTGACGGCCCCCGGCGCCAGCAGCATCACCCGGATGCCGTATGGCGCCACCTCCAGCCGCAGCGCATCCGTCATGGAGTGTACGGCAGCCTTGGAGGAGGAGTAGATGGCGCCCCAGGGCGTGCTGACGTAGCCCACCACGCTGCCCACATTGCAGATGGTGCCGGCGCGGCGCGCAGCCATGTGCGGCACCACCGCCTGCACCACCCGCAGGGTACCCCAGTAGTTGGCCTCGAACACCTGCGGGCGGCCGCGGAGAGGGAGGTGGGGAAAAAAGAAATTCCAATGTGGGGTGTGATAGTGGTACAGTTAGCTGACAAGGAAGATGGGAAGGATGAGCGATAGCGGGAAGGGTGAGATAGCAGGAGGCGGGGGCGGCAGGCTGCATGTGCTGGAATGCGCCGCTTCAGGGACGTTATTCAATGCACACGTCAGCACATTGCCAGCTTGCCGCCAGCACAGCACACCAACCCTGGTATGCCATGTACGCACATTGCGACATGCCTCCACACGACGGGCCACCGGCACTCCAAAATGACCTCCCCAGTGCAGCGCTGCTGTCCCTGGGGGAGCAGCGTGACTCTGCGGATGCGGATTACCGCCACCTCACCCACCCAACCACCAGATGCATGCGGCCGCTAAGCCGAGCACCACCTCCCAGCGTCCCGGCTCCCTGCACACCCCGTCCCTCCCTTTCCTTCCTTCCGCCGTCCCTCACCTCCCGGGCCTTATCCAGGTCCACCTCAGCCAGCGGGGCCACCTGCGGGCACCGGGACGCACATGCACACAGGTGTCACACGCATGCACACAGGTGTACGTGCAGGTGGGTAGCGACCAGCCGCACGCAGGCTCGGTGAGTCAATCGTTCCCCTTCCCCGGTGTCAAAGAAGGCCCCCGTACCAGTCCCATGCCGGCATTGTTGACCAGGATGTCGATACGCCCCGCCTCCGCCAGCACCGCCTCCACTGCCGCCCGCACCGACTCGATGCTCGTCACGTCGCAGGGCAGCGCGCGGAGGCCCGGGCAGGCGGCCTGCAGACGTGACATGGACTCGGGGCGGCGGGCGGTTGCGAACACCCGGCAGCCGGCCGCATGAAAGGCCTCACATAGCGCTGCGCCTGCGGGCGGGAGGGAGGGCAGGAGTGTGAGTGTGGTGGGGATTCCTGCAGCAGGGATAAACGGCAGGCAATCCTCAAGCGCTCGTTTACGACGTGACAGGGCCGGAGTGTGGCAGGAGGCGCAGTTGTTTGTGTGGCGCCCGTTGGCATTCTTGCTTACCTATGCCTCCATCGCTACACCCAGTAATGAGGACTGCTTCACCACGGCCAGGACTGACGGCCATCGTTGCACCCGTGTGCTAGTTGGCTTGACTGGATGCAACACCCTATGCCAGACTGACGATAATTCAATATGGGGCAAACTGCTGAATTGGTATGAGCGATGAAGGCGTACGTCCTTATCGTGTATCGGACGGTTCGACAGGGTACGTAACGGGCGACCTGGCCGGGGCGACAGTGGAAAAGCTTCAGACCCCTACTGTATCCGTTAATTGTGATATAACTTGGCTCTATATGTTTGTGCGAACAGCTTGCTAGAGATGCAACTTTAGCAGTTCAGATTGCGACAGCAGTTGCCGTGCAGACCAGTACTTTGCAACTTCCCGCTATGGTTGTGCGTCCAAAGGATACTAACGTTGAATTCCTAGCCGTAAGTATGCTTAGTGTCGTGCCTACGTTGCTAGAACGCTTTAGGCCGCGCATTACAGTTACCTAGCACCGACCGCTTGTCGGTATGTTGTAATAACTTAGAAACGGATAACATGCCGCCGCTAAAGGGCGGCGATGAAACAGACCCGTTTGGGTTGCGACCAAACGCTCCCATCTCGGTTGTTCGAGCGGCGAAGTAAGAAAACATTATCGAATTCGCGGTTGGAAAGCATATCGCAGTAAAATTGAGCAATACACTTCGTTACTGCGCAGAGCGTCTCTCAGGGAGCCCACGCGCCCTGTGACCCCGGCGGACTATGGACGGCAGCTTTTCACGACGGGTGATCCCGGGAACAGACCTTCAACTTCATACTCGGTATCTGGAAGGTACTGGTCAAAAGATCGGGTGGTGTAGCAAAGTACGTCGCGGGGTACTTGGTCAGCGGCTGACTGTTTTCCAATGACATTGTGCGCAGTAAAAGCTTCTACCAAGATGGATCCCCAAAACTGGCGCTTCCTAGATTGGACCCAGGAAGGCCGGGTGGGTCTGGTCAAGCAGGGGATTCGGGTTGTAAAACCCTTGCTGTGTTGGGAGGCCCCAGGCGTACGGTTCCGCCTACTGCCTCCCTGTTCACAAGTAAACCTTCACTCGAACGTCCCACTCAAATCGCACGCTTTCACCACTGCTATTCAGACACGGCGAGCTCCAGCATACTCCGTCGCCAGACCTCAGGCAGCAACCTGGACCGGGAGCCGCTGCGGTGTGGGTCAGGCAGGTCAGTGGCAGGCGCGAAAGCATGCACATTACACTGGGGGAACCAAACGTGGCCTGAACAGCGCATTGCACACTGGTCACAACCAGCCGTGCTGGGCACGGCCGTTTGCACACGCCTTAACCGTCCCTGGGGAGTACCTCCTCCGCACCTGCCCTCCAAGCCTCAGCGTCTCACCCCCACACGCCTTGCGCACACCCGCCTAGATGCGTCCGCCTGCTCCAGCTGGCGCTAGGGCTTCAACGCTGCTCTCCGCCCCCCTTCTAATCCCGTTTGTCGCAAAATGCGACCCAGTACTCCTCCCAAACCCCTCCTCGCAACCCGCTGCGATTCAGGAACTCGCTGCCGGGTCTGGAGGCCACGCTAGCTCCCGCCGGCGGCAGCAGCGGAGGAGGAGGCGGGGGTCGCACGTCGCGGCACTCGACGGCCGACACAGCGGCGGCGGCGCTAAGAGGCACCGCGCCTGGGGACACGGACTTCAGGTGTGTGTGTGTGTTCGGCGCCCGGTGCTGCGGAAGTGGGCTCGGCAGTGCGGCCTGGGGTCTACAGCTGTTGTTGCGCATGGCATGGAAAGATCGCCTGTTCGGATCTGGGCCGTTAGAAGACAGGGGCGCAGTGCCTACCGCACCCGGCCTCTCACCCTACCTTGCTCACACCTCTGCCTCCACCCTACCCCGCACGCCCTCCACTCCCCATGTGCCTGCAGCTTCCACCGGCCCTCTACCGCCTCTCAGCCCCACTCCCGCGGCTCCACCGCGGACGCCACCGCAGCGCCCCACGAAGCCCCGCCGCTGCACGGCGGCCGACACGCCCCCGCCGCATGCGCCTCCTCCTCCCCATCCCACGCCCACCTCCACGCAGCCGCCACCACCTCCCCCCTCCAGCCGCACCCTCCAGCACCCCCCCATCAGACGCTGCACCCCAGCCCCAGCCCCGCCGCCAGTCCCGGCGCCACCCCCGCCCCCCAGCAGCCCCTGGAGCCCAACAGCTACGGGGTCTACATCGAGGGCGGCGACGGGCCGCTGCTGGACCCCCGCCGCAACGACGACCTGCCCCCGCGCCCCGGCACCTCCCGGGGGCGGCCCGGCTCCGCGGCGCTCTCCGACATGGACCCCATCACGGAACGCTACCCGGGGCCGCCCCCCGGGGTGCAGGACATGGGCAACGGCGCGCAGGTGCTGGACATGTCGGCCTTTGCGCAGTACTCGGATGACGAGGACAACGACTTTGACACGGCGGCTGCTGCTGGGACGGGGGCGGGGGCGGCTGTGCAGCAGCATAGCCATCACCAGCAGCAGCAACATCACAAGCAGCAACAGCAGCAGCAGCAAGAACCGGCGCAGCAGCAGCAGGTACCACCGCAGCCGGCCCCTAGCCGCCCCTCCGTTCCCGCCCCCAACCGGCAGGCCTCCGCAGGCTCCACTTCCTCCTCTTCCTCCGCCACCGCGGCGGCAGCCACCGCAGCCGTCGCCGCCAGCTCCTCTTCCGCTCCCAGCAGCAGCACCCTCAGCACCCCCGGCAGCAGCAGCCTGCCCGCTCCAGCCGTGTTGGACAGCAGTGAGGAGTTCCTGACGTGGCGCGGGCAGGTGGAGGGGGTGCTGGGCGACCTCACGGCGGCCATCAGCAGCCGGGCGGGCAGCAGCGTGCTGTGCGGGCACGCGGGGCGGCTGGGGTCGCTGGTGGAGGAGGCGCGGCGGCAGCAGCACTCCTCGCGCTGGCTCAACTCGGGCAGCGGGGTGTTCCGGGATGGCGGCGGGGTGCCGCTGAGCATGCGGGAGGCGATTTCGGAGCATGTGTTCCGGTTGATGGACTCGGGCAGCAGCGAGCTGCTCATGAAGGTGTGTGCAGGAGGGGACTGGTCGCGAGGAGCAGTGTGGGCGCGGGGGAGCGGGTGCAGGGATGGCTGGTGGAGAGGCGGGGAGGGGCTGGAGAAGGGGTGCGCAAGCGGGAGGGGTGGGGTTGGTGGGCGTGAACGGATCGGTGCTGGTTAGGAGGAAGGCGGGAGGGGTGACCACACGCCCGGATCGGTGCTGGTTAGGAGGAAGGCGGGAGGGGTGACCAGAGGGGAAGGTTGGAAGGTTGGCCGGTTGTTGAGAGGTGGCTTGAAGCAGGAACGCAAGATGCTAGGGTGGCTGGGGATGTCGTGTGAGGGTGTTGCGCTGGGGAGGAACTGAGGATGGGAGCGGAGAGGGTGGGAGCAGTTGAGGAGATCAACCATAACAGAGTGACAGGTGTGTCAGATCTTCCGGGAATGGGGGGCCAGGGCCTCCCCACCCCACCCACGCCCGCCTCCTCCCTCCACCCTTCCCTACCCCCCCTCAACCCCCCAGGCATGCGGCATCGTGTTGCGCGTTGTGAAGAGCCGCCAGCCGCTGCTGCAGACCGCCAAGCTGCTGTACCGGCTGAGCAAGGACGGCTCGCACGACTCGCTGTTCCGGCGTGAGGGGCTGCTGGAGCCGCTGGTGCACACCGTGCACATCATGGTGGCGTCGGCGCGGGGGGCCAGCAGCAGGGGCAACATGCATGAGGTGGGGAGGGGGAAAAAGAAATTCCAATGTGTGGCGTGATAGTGGTAGGGCAGGGCGGGGGGGAGAGGGGGAGGTGGGGTCAAAGAGGTATACCAAACTACAGGTTAGGGTGAGGTAGGGAGGGCCGTGTTGCGCAATGCGTTGCGTTGGCATGGGAGGTCGAGGCCCCCAACAAGGATTGGGACACGAGCGCACGGGTACTGGCTAATCATCAAAACAACTGTTGGATGGCATCGCAGCCCCCTAGCTGCGTCCCTCGGCCCAAGCGCTCACCCTCCCCTCCTTCCCCTCTCCCCTCTACCACACTTTGGAATTTCTTTTTTCCCCTCTCCCCTCTCCTCCCCCTCCAGCCGCTGGTGTACCTGAACGGCTGCCTGAAGAACGTCTCCAACGAGCCCTCCAACCAGAAGGTGCTGGTGCGGCTGGGCGCGCTGCACGTGCTGGCGGCGCTGCTCACACAGCTGGCTGAGCAGGTGGGAGCTGGGGGGTGGGGGTGGGGGGTGCTGTCCTCAGCTGCTCCCTTCCGCGGTACTCCCTAGTCCCTACCGCCGCCCCACCCTGTCCTGAATGATGAGGGGCAAACCGGGGCTTTCGTCACACCCACATGGCCGGCCACACTGCCCAAGTGTCACTCCCCAAGGGAGCACGGCTCCCTGCCACCTCTGACGTGTCCCGCGTCCTTTGAATCCGCACCCCTGCCCCTGCCCCGCCCTGCATCATCGCCATCATCGCACGCTCCCTCGCTGCCCTGCTCGCCCCCCAACCTGCTCCGCCCTGCCCTACCCCCTCTCCCCCGGCCTCAGGCCCGCGCCGGCGACGAGGCGCTGTCCGAGTCGTGCGGGCAGGTGGCGGTGCAGGTGAGCGGCGTGCTGCGCAACCTGGCGGTCCCGGCGCACAACGCGGGAGCATTCCTGGCGGCGGGGGTGCTGCCGGCGCTGCGGGCGGCGTGCTCCGCGCTGGGTGGTCAGGTGGAGGTGGTGCTGAACGCGGGGCGCATCCTGTCCAAGCTGTCGCTGCATGAGGGGTGCCAGGCGGCCATGGGCGCGGACGAGGGGTACGCGCCGCTGCTGGTGAGAGGAGGAGGGGAGGAGGAGCTGATGGGGGAGGAGGGAGGGGCTGGCTAGTAGCTGGTGGGGGGGTGGGGTTGGAGAGGGTAAACGGGAGGAGGGTGGGTGGGGTGAGCCTGAGTGGTATGGCAGGGATTCATCATACATGCTTTTGCTTGTGGGGTGGTAGAAAGTCGCTCCAACCTTTGCCCGTTTGTGCCGTCCTATCCTTCCTACCCGCTCATCTCCGTCCCACTCCTATGGCGTCTGTCCCCCCTCACCGCGCCCTCAACCCCCCTCCCTCCCTCTCCCGACCCGCAGGTCCAGCTGCTGGGTCAGTACGCGGACAACCGCGCCATCCTGCTTCGAGTCGCCTTCGTGCTGGGCAACCTAACCACCACTAGCAACGAGTACCGGGAGCAGGTGGGCAGGGGGGGAGGGAGGGGGGAGGAGGGGCGAGAGGGGGGCCGCGTTAAGCTGAACTGGACTGAAGACGGGAGGCGGGGGTTGTCAGGTTGGTTCCCGGTGCCATGCGGTGGCCACCCTGTGCATGTAGCTCGCTACCTTTAGAGTGTACCAGTAAGCCCTCGCGCCGCTTTACTATCTTGACTTCGCGACCTCGGCCTGCCTGTCTGCCGTCCCTCGCCCCCTCCCCCCAGGTGTGCAACGTGCCGTTCGCGCTGATGACGGTGATGGGCATCCTGCAGCGGTACGCCTTCGGGGGGCCGCCGGCGGAGGGCGGGGCGGGCGGCGGCGGAGCGACCGACCGGTGAGTGCGGCGCGGGCCCTGGGTGGGGAGGAGTGGGGGAGGAGGGCGTAGGGGCGTCCCTGGGTACCCTTTGGCGGCGCGGGCAGGCCCACCAGCTGCTGACCTGTGCAGCCCTTGCACCTCGTTATTTAGCCTTCCCTCTCCCCAAGCGCTCGTTCTTCCCGCATTCCGTTCCTTCCATCGCCTCCTTGCTCCACAGCCACCGCTTCCCCCACATCTCAAGCCTCCCCTCCCCTCCTCACTGCATGAGTCGGGATTTTGGATTGGGACTCCGTTGATGCACTTATCTATATTTTTCCCCTCCTCCCTCCTGCCGTCTCCTCCCCCCTCCCCGCAGCCTCTCCCGCGCCGCCAGCCACGAGGACTGCCTGGTCAAGGTGCTGCGCCTGGCCGCCAACCTGGCCATCTGGCCGGACGCGGGCCACGCGCTGGCCGAGGAGGAGCACGTGGCGGGTGCGCTGCTGCACCTGCTGGAGGCGTACGGCTTCGAGGCGGCGGAGGAGCTGGTGCTCAACACCGTGTGTGCGCTCACCAACCTGTCGTACTACCAGAGCGAGGGGCAGCCGGGGGGCTTCACGAACAAGGTTGGTAGGAGGGGGAGGGAGGGGGGGAGGGGGGGAGGGACTGGAATGATGGGGGTGGGGCGGCTGGCTGCGATGCTGGCGATGGTGTGAGGATAATGGATCCGGGTGGGGAAGTGGGGATGGACTGAGGAAGGTACCGTGCCGTCTGCCCCCCTTTCCCGCACAGTACTTCATTTTCTAACGAATCTCCCCTATCTATTTGACCCCTCACACCCACCCACAGGTGCTGCAGCTGCCGCCCGACCGGCTGCTGCCGCGCATCACGCCGCTGCTGATGTGCGACAACGAGGAGGCGGTCATTGAGGCGGCCCGCGTGTACGGCAACTTCTCGCGCTCACCCGAAGTGCGTGACTACATGCAGGTAAGCCAAGGGAGGGGGCATGCTTTACGAAACAGGCTCTGTCAAGGGGTGCCACCTCAACCCTCTTTCACCTCCTCTGGAGTCGGGCCATGGGGTTGGAATTCCAGTGCTTCACTTCTACTATGATACCTTCCCTTCCTCTGGTAGAGCCTTGCCTTAGTGTTTGTTCCTTCTTCTTTACTCCTCTCCTCCTTGTCTCATCCCCTGTCCCCGCCCCCCCCCCCCCCCGCCCCAGTCCACCCGAGTGGTGGAGGCGCTGGTGCTGCTGCTGGACCACAGCCACCCGGAGGTGCTCTACTCGGTGTGCGGCACGCTCATCAACTTCACCATGGACGCGGCGCGGCGACACGTGCTGGGCGCGCTGGGCGGCACGGCGCGGCTGGTGGAGGTGCTGAGCCGCACCGTGGCGCAGGGCGAGCTGGGGGAGCGCGACGAGGCCATTGTGGAGGTCGTGTGCAAGGCGCTGTTTAACGTGGCGTCGGCGGACGACGGGGCGGAGTCCACGACGGCGAGTGGGTCGTCGGGGTCATCTGCCGGTGGTGCGGCATGCAGTGGCGGCAGCAGCTTTACGCATGAGGAGGTGGCGGAGGTGCTGTCGGTGGTGGAGGCGCTGGAGGGCAGCGCGGTGGCGGAGGCCGAGGAGATGGCGTCGGTGCTGGGGCGGCTGGCGGCGCAGATGCGGCGGCTGCAGCAGCGCATGAGCTGCGAGGAGCTGGAGGCTCTGCCGGAATAGGGGAGAGGAGGGGAACGGGTGGTGGGGGCGGCTGCTTGGGGCGTGGAAGGGATTGGGCAGGTTTAGCCGCCGAGGGTGTTCTTGAGGAAAGGAGGGTAGCGGATCCGTACAGGTACATGTATAGAGTATACTAGAGTGGGGAAAGGAGTAGCTCGGTTCATGGGGAAGCAACGCCACTGGGCAATAGGGAAGCCAGGGTGTACGCAGTTTCCCGGATTGGGTATAGGATAAGCGGAGGTGTGTGCGGGGAGTGACGAGGTGTGCCGTGTACATTTCAACACGATTGCCCCGCTGAAGCAGGTCACAAAGGTTCTTGAAGCTAAAGTGGGCGACGCGGTAATACCGGTGTGCATACTTGACTAGTGGTCCGTGTTGGTGGCGCTGGTGATCGCTTGACTCGACACTCCTTTGGTGTCGACCGCCTGTTGTCATAGTCGACATCCATGAACCGATCAGGAAGGACCTGCCGCATGGTGCATGTGTCGTGCATATGCCGTGGGTAAGAGAGTGCCAGTGCATGTGAAGTTTGAAGGCATAGTTCCACCCTAGAAACCCGTTAAAGCAATCGGCGCATAGCCATTGTACAGGGTATCTTGCCATCCCCTTGATCCACACCTTACAGCTACGCCCTCCCGAGACCCCAGCCCCTCTCAACCATTCCTTGGGTATTAGGACTGCACTTGTCCCCTTTGCCATCAACCTTGGACGATGGTTACTCGAGCTGGACTTGGTCACGCGTGTGATGAGTTGAGCTTCTGGATGGATCCCTAACTGGGCCGCCCACGGGGATCGCAAGCTACGCAACCCTCCTGGCAAGAGCCTTTACAGCCGTTTCATATCCGCACCAATCGGTCCAAAGCTATTGTCATGTCCGGAACAATTGTCGAATTGCGTCGAAGGGACCCTCGGGTGCCTGCTCGGCAGGCAAGGGGCCGGGTAGGTAGAAGGCCGCGGGGCAGGCACAGCCAGTGAACTGCTCTGCACCATCGCCTTAGCGCGTTCGTTATATTGAAGCCTGAGGAATAACTATTGCACGTTGAAGGGCGACCGTCGTCGAAGAGCGACCTCGGTTACATTCAGTACGAGGATACCAGGCCAGCTCTCCCTGTGGTGCTGAACTGCGGGCCTGCTTGGAAAGGAGAGGTAAGGGCGTGCGTACAAATTAGGTAGCAAGGCGGTCCTTCTACCCGCCAAAATGCCTCTGACCGCCCTGGAGCATCGTAGGGCCCTGTGAACTGGCAAAAAGAGGTCCCCGTCCTTCAACTTTCTTGCACAGAAGCTCCACTAGGAACAACTTGCCCTTAACATACACTTCTCTAACTACTTATTGTGTTACTTGCAAGCTTGTTAGGAATGGCGGTCGATCGGGAGGAATGTGTCTACATGGCTAAGCTCGCCGAGCAGGCCGAGCGCTATGATGAGATGGTTGAGGAGATGAAGAAGGTCGCCAAGCTTGTGCACGACCAGGAGCTGTCCGTGGAGGAGCGCAACCTGCTTTCGGTGGCCTACAAGAACGTCATTGGCGCGCGCCGCGCCTCTTGGCGTATTATCTCCAGCATAGAGCAGAAGGAGGAGAGCAAGGGCAATGAGGAGCACGTACAGAGGATTCGCAAGTACCGCACTGTGGTAAGCTTGGCTTCCTTCCGGACAAGGGCTTGATCCTCACATGGGAACCTTCGGCAACGAAAATGCACACCGCCGGCCTAGTTTACTCAGCTGTATGATTCTCCCACTCTCAGGTGGAGGAGGAGCTCAGCAAAATCTGCGCCAGCATCCTGCAGCTGTTGGACGACCACCTGATCCCCACCGCTTCCACCGGTGAGAGCAAGGTCTTCTACCTGAAGATGAAGGGCGACTACCACAGGTACCTGGCTGAGTTTAAGACCGGTGCTGACCGGAAGGAGGCCGCTGAGCACACGCTGCTCGCATACAAGGCCGCGCAGGTGGGCAGACGGAGAGCCTTTTCAGCAAGCCGAGCATCTGCGCCTAATGGACTCAGCTTTTCACAAGGACATTTCCACTAGAAATTATGTTGTATTGCATGCTTGCAGGACATCGCCCTGGTGGACCTTCCGCCGACCCACCCCATTCGCCTGGGCCTGGCCCTGAACTTCTCCGTCTTCTACTACGAGATCTTGAACTCGCCGGAGCGTGCCTGCCACCTTGCAAAGCAGGTATGCTTTCTACGCTCTTTTACATGTCTCTCGCCCTCTATGAGGTCCATGAGTATGGTGAAATGTCGCTGTTCTCACGCTGCTTCTCTGTCACACAGGCGTTCGACGAGGCTATTGCCGAGCTGGATTCCCTGGGCGAGGAGTCCTACAAGGATAGCACGCTCATCATGCAGCTGCTGCGCGACAACCTCACACTGTGGACTTCCGACATGCAGGTGCGCACAGCAGCAATTGCAAGCACACGCACTGCATCTAGCACATCTGTAATATAACATATTAGGAAGCAATCTCGCACCGCAATCGCAGTGTATCCTGCACCTTGTTCAGCGTGACGGGTCATACCTCGTTAGGTGTTCAGCACTCGATCCACTTCGAGTCGCAGTCGACCTTCAAAAGGGCAAGAGCGAAAAGGGCAACCCATTTGGGTTCACTACAAGCACTGTCGTCGACTGCCGATGCTACACCGATGCCATTTGGGTTATTTGTTATGGTTCTGGGTTCGGTACATGGGGAGCACCCGTCCTCGTCGCAACACCTCCAACCATGGGCGCTTAACTCAACCCCTCACAATCCCCCCACCATTCCATTCACCTAGCGCTGGTCTGTTGCCTCGTTCGCTCCAACCCCACGTAGGACCCCGCCGGTGGCGACGACAGAGAGGGGGCTGACATGAAGGTTGAGGACGCTGAGCCCTGAACGGAGCTATCGCAGTGTCATCGGATAACGAGGGGTTGATGCAGATGTGTTTTTTTGCGAAAGATGTAAATTGAGGGTTCAAAGCGGGTTGGGTGGCGGTTGACAGGTCGTATACATGCTGCTAGTGTCGTATAGACGCCGCCGATGGTCCACGCCAGTTCCTAGGCTCGCATGGTGCATGGGTTCCTGCTGGCTTGGTAACTCTTCGGTGTCGATGGTAACCAGAGTTGGAGAAGTACTAGGAGTTGCCAAGACTCGTCCAAACCATTGACACGGGTGTCTCGGGGCGGATATTGCAGGCTTCGACGCAGTGGGAACGGGTTTATACTTGTATAGCACACATGGCGTGAAGGCGCGTGCGCAGGGCCACATGTTCGTTGGTACCCGTGCGCTAGTATTCTGTTTTGCTCACTTGTCGTGCGCAACTGTCAAAACACAATAGCAATGCTGGCCATCGCTGCTTCAAAGGAAGCTCGCGATTATTAGGGAATTGTATTGGCGAACATTCCATTCACCAGTAAAATATATCTCGCCTTCTGTGCCTTCTTGTATTGCCACTTTCCCCCGCATTCCACGCATAGTTGTGTGCGCAGCTTAGCTTTTACGGCGTGCGTGGTATGTGGTACTGGAGGTCACCAGGGTTGGATCTGGGGGTCGATTCTAAGCATGGGGGAGCATGAGTCTCGAGATGAAGGTTAAGTCGATAGGTCTTTCTTCATTTGCACATTGACGGTGAGGCTATACCAGCATCGTAGCACGTGCAATGCGAGGAAGCAGCACAGCCCTGGAAATGTGCGCGTTCCGAAGCTTAGCATGCAAGATTGTCCATACAAAGAGGGGCTGCAGCATGCATCTTAATCTCGCCCTCTTAATCTTCACTCCTATCCACACTCCTATGCGACTCAACCAGGAGTACTTGAAGGATAGGTGGGGCATTGTACATATACCAAAATGCCTACAAATACCTTGCCCTGAACACTGCAGGTCCCCTTTGCCTGCGAGCCAAGGAGTGGCGGTCGACACTACTAACCCCGTCAAGCAAAAGCAGTAGTTGGTCTCACAGTACCGGTACTTGGCAAAAGAGCTCATGCACAGAAAATGCAACGCACGATGTGTCATTTCCGCCTGATCCTTCGAGCTCGCAGTGGCCCCGCTGACCCCGCTAAATGACCACCTCTCGCACCCCGTGCACGCAATGCAAGCCCACGGAATGCGGATAGAACACGTTGCAGTACCCGCCGCCTGTACCACTCTGCAGCGAGCTGATGTTGTGCATAGCTGCGCCAGAGTTGCCGTGTTGCAGCATCCATGCTGCTCAAATCGTCTGGTAGGCCGTACGCAGCTATCCGACTTGACGCTAGTGAACAGCTGTTCTCCACGTTGGCAGGAAGGAGATCTGCACACAACGGGCATGCACTCCCATCAGCGGTGTACAAGCATAAGGCATGAGGTTAAAGGGAAACCGCAGCCCTTTGAACTTAGCCTTCAAACCACGCCGCGCCTATTCGTACCTTCCGGTTCTCCAATTTCGCTGGGGGTGGTGCAGCGTGGGCCCTGCATGGGACCGCAATCTCGAATGCCGTCCTGCTCGGCACCCCCGCGTTCCGATTGCAAGGTTGAGCCCCTGCCCAGCATCCCCACACGCCAGGGCAACGCACAGGACTGGACCTCCTGAGCTCCGTACTCGTCCCCAATGGCGCATTCGCTGCCATGCCGGCCGTCCCGGGGCTCCAGCGCAAGCACTTGGACTACGCTGTCAGCGCCGCCGTGAGGGTCTTGTGTGCGGTACTCGAAGTACCGGGTGGGGGCCGCCGCCTCGGAAGCGGTCGTGGAGCCAGAGCTGACGGGACGCAGCACACGCTCGCAGTGCCCGAGGCCAGCCGGGGCAGCCGTTACCGCACAGTCGGCGCGGAGGCGGCGGGATGGCTCGCAGGGCACGAGGGCAGCAGGTGCTGGCGGGGACGAAGACGGCAGAAGCGCGCCTGTAACCGCCTGCGGCGCCCCTGCATGGCGCTGCCGCTGGTCGCCCATCAAGCCCTGCTGGCGGCGATACGCACCACCCTGCTTAGGGGGCTGCTGCTCCTGCAGCAACAAGGAGCAGTTATCCGCCCCCACTAGTGTGCGCCGCAGCGCCTCCCGCTGAGCCCGCACGCTGACAGCCAACGCAAGCCACGCCTCCAAACACCGACGCAGCTGGCGAGCGGCATGGTGCATGGCAGCTGCCTTCCAAATCCTGCTTGCGTACGCCGCCAGTTGGCGCAGGACCCGGCGGGTCACCGTGCAGCCGTAATGCAGCGCCGCTGTGGCAGCCAGGTTATTCTTCTCGCGGCTGAGGCGGAAGAACGCGCGCCACGCGTCGACGCACGATTGAAGCATCCGCCTGCGTTCACAATCCGGGGGCGGATTGTAGCCGCTTGTCAACCAGTAATGAAAGGGTGCCCACGGTAATGAAGCATGTGATGCCGTGCCGACAAGCGGTGCTAACCCGCTTCAGCACCAGAGACACCCAGTAGCTAAGCCGCAAGCAGTCCAGCATCCTGCCGACACAATCTCCTCCTTTGGGCCCCTGTGCCCCTCACCCTCTTTACCCCGACGCAAGCGGCATACGGAGAAACAACACGCCGCCTTACCTGCGCCGGCGAGCCTCCGCAACGGTGACAACCTGCCGCTTGCAGGCGCGGTCGGCGGCTGCGGCCTGCCAGCTCAGCAGCAAAGTCCGCCGCCTGTGTTCCAGTTGCCACCGGCTGCGGTGGGCTGACACAAGGCCAACTTGCCGTGACATGACCTCCTCGAATGCTCGCATGGCGCGCCTCAGCAGCGAGTGTGTGTAGTGCCTGTTTGTTGGCAGAGCGCAGGGTCGCGATGCAGTGTTGTCCAGCTCATAGTCCTAACATTGTCATACAAAGGCCCGTCCAAAAAGGTCAATGATAGCGGCATGGTTGCAAGCAGCCACCCGTACCTGCGCGGTGTTGCGAAGACTGAAGCCAGGGCAGCCAGCGCGCTGCGCATCAGCCATTGCCGGCGTACGTCAACCTCGCCTGCAGCGAAGCCCCTGGCGCGCAGCCGCCGTCGCAGGCTGCAGAGACTGCGCGGCAGCTCACGCTGGGTGTGTGCGGTCCGGCGCCATGCACGCAGTGCCCTTGTTGCCATGCGAGCCACGTAGCGCTCCTGCCAGGCGGCCGTCACCGCAGCCTGACAGAGGTATGGGGGTTGCACGGTTAGTATGGCGTGGGGTTGCCTTCCCGTCGGCTTGGGTAATGGTATCAAACTGTTTCTTGTAATGCAAGCTAGGCTTAAGGTTTGTGTGTGCTAAGAAAACTGGCCGCGAGTAGCAGTTGGGACAAGCAGTGTATAGCCTGCTTAATTGACACGTATCAACCGCACCTGCCATGCCGTGAACGCACGGACCCGCAGCAGGGAAGAGCGGAACGCCAGAGCCGCCTGCTCGTTTATGCGTTCTTGGCGCTTGCTGAGTCGGTGGGATGTGTAGCGCAGCAGCTGGTCGAAGGCCCGACGAAGCATGCTGAACTCGTTGCCAAGGCTGCACAGGTGCAGTACAATCGCATGTAATAAGGACGTTAGCAGGCATGCCAGTACAGGTTGTGTGCGCTTACGGCTGGCCTGACTGGGAGTGAAACACAGGCTATGTAGAATCACATACACAAGTATAACGGCATAGCTGCGCAGCGACCCATGGGTCCCTCACTCTAGCAATCTTCCCAACCGCACTACGATGATCTCGGTCTTCCTGCAGGTTGCCACCCAGTTGCCCCTTGTACCCCCGCCGTACACGCACCTCCTCAGCTCGTCCGCGTACTCCTCCCACATCAGTTCCGCTCGGGTGAACACGTTGTGGAGCACGCGGCGGGCTCGCAACTGGCGCCGCCAGCGGCCGAAACAGCGTGCCAGGAGGCCGCGGGAGTAACTGTGGGGCACCGGGCAGAGTCACGGAGTCAAGGTGGAGTGAGGGCACGGCAAATCCTACCCCACTGGGCACGTTCTGTGCAGACACCACTGCAATCCACAAACCAAGGAACAGGAACAAGGCATAGGAATGTACGCAGGAGCAGAGAATGCAAGTCAGAACTTACACGCAATCGGCAACCGCTTTCCGCTGCCGTGCGTCTGCAAGCATCCAAGCGCCCTGCCGCCATCGCCGTACCAGCCACCTCAGACGCTGCAGACGCGCGCAGGTATCCGCTTGCTGCTTCAGCTCCTGCCAGGGTGAGTCGGGGTTCGTTGTCCTTGTACGACAGACCTTCAGCTTTAGTGCTAACCACTCGGCATGTAATACCTAGCTTTCCCCCTTTTGTGCCTCTGCGCTATCTGTATGCACCCCCAGAAATCCCTCACTTCGCCCCTTTGGAGTCGCACCTGCGCATCGCGCCACTCAGCCCACCACTGCAGGCAGCCCCGCAGCAGCCGCTCCCGGCGGCGCTGCAGCACCAGCAGCACAACGCGCCGCCGCCGCCTCTGGACCTGCAGGAACCAGCGCCACCGCGCGTAACAGCGGAAGAGCGCATTGGATTCTGCTAGGGCCTGCGCGCGTGCCCGTGGCTCGCTGACGCCGGCGCGGAGCTGAGAGAGGGCCCACCGCAGCCGCTGCTCTCGGGCGATGTGTTGTAGGCGGGTTGTGAAGATGGCTAGCTGGTTGACGTACTTCCTAAGAGCCTATGGGGAGGATCCAAGACACATGAGGGGATGCCAACATCGGAAAGAGATAGGTTTGGGTGTCTGCTTAGGAAAAAAACCAACAAACTAGTGGCCACCTACCCACAAGCCGGCGTGCTGCCAGTACTTGGTGTGTATACCCTTCACCCGTCCTTGCGCCCGGCTTCAATACTCACGTGCAAGGCTCGCCGACCCAGCATCCGCAAGTGGAAGACGCACACCGCGTCATCCATGTTGCGTACAGCAAAGGCGCCGGAGCGGCCCAACGCAGGCTGCAGGCGTGAGCCTTTCATAGCGTGCGCCGCCCCTGCTGTGTGACCTGCGGATGCCCCGGATTGCGTTACCAGCTGCTGCCCCGATCCCAGCGCTCCGCTGTTCCCCGATTCGTTAGACGCGCTGACGCTTTGACTTGGTCTTCCAGGCAACACTGCTCCATGGCCCCGTGCACAGGCACCGGCGGGCTGCGGCAAGGAAGAGGGAGGCGCATAGCGCTGTGTGCATGGAACCGGCTGTGGCAGCGCGCTGTGCTTGGATGCACTGTGTTTTGATGCGAGGCGCTGCTTCGCATGAGGACGCGGGACCGAGTGGTTTCCAGCCTGCCCATCTTCCAGACCCGCTGGCATGTCGTTGCTGCCGCTCTTGCTGAGGCTGGCGGTCGATCCACTGCTGCTCCAATACGCTTGATGGCTGCTGCTGCCGACCCAGCGACCCAGCACCGTCTCAAACAGGCGCAACGGGCTGTGCGACGGCGCTAGGGCGGGCTGGTCAGGGTGCCTCGTCGGCCCCAGGGATCCGCCGCCTCTGGCATCAAGGGCCCTTAAGGACGGCTCGCCGGCAGCCATGGGCTGCGAGGGCTCACCCCCGGACGAATCAGTGCACGACGGCAGGTGGTGGGATTGCACGGCATGCAGCTCAGGGCCTAGCGCAGAGGGAGATTCCCCACTTCGCGCAACCTCGCTAGCGCCGCCGCCTCCAAGAGCGTCGCATGGGGACGGCATTGCGACGGACGAGACGTCAGCCGCATCCTTGCGGTGGCTGCCTCCCGGGGGCCTTGGGGAGCGGACGATGCGTCTTCGGTGCAGTACGGGCGATGTGCGCACGTAGCTGCTGTTCCGCGTGCCAGGGGATGTCCGGTGGTTGTCCTTGCATCGCTCTGCTGGTCCACTTGCACTGTGCGGCGATTGGCAGTTCTCCCCACTGCAAGGTGATGGGAGGCGCTCGGCGGAGGACTGTGCCACAGCGCCAGACGATATACCGGTACTTCCATCGTGCTGAGCAACTGTTTGTGGCAAAACGGTGTCGCCCGCCAGCACAACGCAGTGAGCGACGACGACATTGCCACTGCCCTGGACCGCCGTTAGCGCTGGGTTTGCACCTGGTCCCAGCGCGCAGCGAGCCATCCGCGCCAACTGCGCAACCGACATGTTGTGTAGGCTGGAAGACTGGCATTCCCCGGTTGCCGCACCCGCGCATGATACGGCTTGACCGGCAACAGCGCCAGAGCCATCAGGGGGCACATCCTGCGGGGCTGTAACCCCACCGCGGACCCCGGCAGGCTCCATCGGCCCCGCTTGCAGGCGGCCCATTCCGGCTCCTACTGTGTTGGAGCCACTCGCATTCTGGCCTTGAGAGCCCTCTTGTTGGGGAGGGCTGTCGGGGTGTGGAGCCGCCCCATGCGGGCTGCTGCTACCGCTGCCGCATAGTGACCCTGAGTCCTCACTTGAGACGGCTGCAGCCGCCAGCAAGCCAGGCCGGATCGCACGCTCCCATTCAGGAGGGAGGTTCCGCAGGGTCCATCGACCGCTGTCATCCTGCGTTCAGGCGGACTTCACAACATTAGCGATTATGTACCGAAGATGCCACGAGCCAAGTAGATGAACCGTGGGTCCTGCATGCGGAGGTGCGCACTGTGTCGCACAGCCGCTTGCTTACTACCGGCATATGCCTCCTCTCCTGCTTACCTGGTATGCCTCCACGTCCGATTGCTCCACCAGCCGCTTCAGCTGCCGCACTAGCTCCGCCGGGTAGGCGGCCAAGCGTGTGCGCAGCTGTGTTGCCGACTCCTCCAGTTGAGGGCATGAGACCTGCAGCCGTAGCAGCTGCTCGCGATACGACCGCTCGGCATCCTCCACATGTTGCGACAGCTGCATGCATGATCAGCATGAAATAACAGGGTTCCATCAGACTCCATCGCACTTACACAGCAACGGCGCCTTAGCCCCCCGCATGAGCGCTAGGTTTATAGGCCATAGCATCCCAACCAACCGCAGCCTACCCACTCACCGCCGACGTCGCCGCTAGCGCACCCTGCAGCTCCCGATGCGCCGCCTCGGCTCGCTCGCCGCATGCCTCCAGTTCCGCTCGCAGCTGCTGCCGCCGCGCCCGCATCGGCTCCACCAGCACCCCCTGCTGCTGCGCGGCCGCCGCCGTCAGATCCGCCTCACCAGAGCTCCGCAGCCCATGCAGCTGCACCTGCAGCGCCGCCACGGCCTCCCGTGCGTTCTGCTGCTCCTCCTCGGCGGCACGCGCCTCCCGGGCCGCAGTCGCGAGCTGCTCAGCCGCCGCGGCAGCCTGTGCACTGGCGGTAGCTGCGGCGGCCGCCTGCGCTTTGCTGGCGGCATCCTCCGCTTCGTGAGTAGCACGGGACAGGCTTTCCACCGTAACCAGCAGCTCTTGCACCTGCGGATGCATGCCAGCAAGAGCTTGGTATATCTTGGAAGACCTCTCGCTGGGTGCAAGGGTAGCCTAACCGCTGACGTAGTTTCCGGCCCAAATTTCCCTCTCTGTTCTGCATTCTGCCATATCCTTTCTTCCTCTTCCCCCACGTACTGCCTCCTCACCTCCATCTCGGCCAGCGCCACCACCTTGGTCGCCTCCACCACCTGCCGCTGCGCTTCCTCCACCCGCGCCGCATGACGTCGCTGCGCCGCGCCGCGTAAACCAGCCCCCGCCGCCGCCTGCGTGTCCCGCCAGTGGGCCGTCAGCGCCGCCTTGAGCTGTAGTGCCTCCGACAGCCGCCGCTGAGCCGTCAGCAGCCGCTCGCGGCCCTGCCGCTCCGCTCCTTGCGCCTGCGCCAGTCCCGGATGCGGTTGCAGCCTTACGGCGTCGGCCTGTGGGGGATGTGCAGGTAAGAGGGGATAGGACGTTAGCGACGGGCAGGCCCGTTGGGTGCTTTGCGGATTGGCCTGAGCCATACCGGTATACCGTTACCGGGTATGCGAGCGTGATTAGAGAAGGTCGGCAGGAGCATGTCGGCAGGAGCATGCCCAACCCTGTAATCCTTCATCCTGGCTGGTGGCTACCACATTGCTACATGGTTGCCTGACATGGGCTGGGCTACAGCACATGCGCACCCACAGCTGCAGCAGTGTGCTGGGCCACCAACGCCTGGTGAGCCTTCATCGCCTGCTCCCGCTCCGCCGCCTCAGCCACCGCCGCTACAGCCCGCTGGTGCCGCGCCTCCGCCTCCGTCAACTGCTGCTCCAGCACCCGTTCCAGCTCCTGAGCAGCCTCCGAGGCGGCGTGGCAGCGCGCGAGGTAATCATCAACTGCTTGAGCCTCCTGCGATCATAGAGCGAACCCCTCGGGTTGTCAGGCTGATCCCGAAACCCAGGTTGGTAGCCATCCTCGTTGAAGCACCGGTTTTTCCGGGACAACCCTCTTCACTACGGTGTACGCTTGCTATGGGCCACTGGCGGCTATACCAGAGGCAACCCTCTTTGGCTACGCCCTTGCCATTTGAGGCTGAATAGGCATGCAGCAGTCGCCTGCTGCCCCGCCCTAACCGACCTGCTCCAGTTGCCCCAGGCTTGCTTCCAGCTGCTGCTGCTCCGCTTGGGCCGCCGCCAGCTCCTCCGCCTTGGCGCTGGTCAGCAGCTGCAGCTCGTTGGCTCGCTGCTGTAACGCGGTCCGGACAGCCCCGGCATCCCTGCGGAGAGCGCGCCGCAGGGAGGGGATACCGGTAGTGTTAAGGGACGAGAGCATGTGATTAGGAACGTACGTGCGGAGCTTGGCAGGGCAGGGGCTGAAGAAAGCGTCAGCAGCGGCATGAATGAAATAGGGGAAGCAGGGCTCCCTTGTTAGACCGCCACAGCGGCAGATCCCGCATCGCAACCCAACGCACCGTTCCGCCGCATCCAGCTGCGCGCCCACCTCCGCAGCCATCCGCTCTACCTGCCGCAACTGCGCCAACAGCAGCAGCACATGGCGCTTGTGCTGCCACTGCCCGCTGATCAGCAACCGAGCTGAAGGCGCCCCGCCCTCTGCTCCGCGCGCCGCCGTACCCTCCACTCCTGTAGCCGGAGCCGCGGCCAGGCCGCCCTCCTCTAGCTGCGTTGCGGACAAGCGGTGTGGGAGGGTCGCCAAGGAGCCCGTGGCGTCGTCACCAGCCGACTGACCAGGCGGAGCGGCCGTTGCAGCAGACCGCGCGGCGCCAACAGGGGCCGGCGGCAGCGGCGCGGTGATCCTGGTAAGCTGATGCGGCGGTGGAGGAGGCAGGCTGAAGCGCAGGAATGCCCGCAGGTGCAGCAGCTCGTCCGTCATGCCCAGCATGCGCTCCCGCGCCGCAGCCAGCAGGCGCGCGATGGCGTCCGGGACCGCCGCTAGCCGAAGCGGCTCGGGCATGCCACTCTCGCTCACCCTGAGCGCCACAGAGCCACCTGGACGTGCGGGGAGGCAGTGCGAAGCGTCAAGACGTCTTATAGCCCTGGGCAAGGTTACGCATGCTAATTTGTCACTGGGCCTCAATGCATCCAGCAGCGCATTTGGGCCGGCCGGCAGCTCCAACCCGGACCAGGCTACCAGCATTCGGTCAACTACGGCAACTGCAAGACCCAAACTGCAACCCCATTTGGGTCACTCACACTCTGCAGCCGGCTGCTGGTTTGCCAGCTGGTGAATCAGCTTCCTGCAGCGGCGTGCATAGAAGTGCCACACGCGCAGCGCCCGACTCAGGAGCTGCAGCGCTCGCCGCTTGCCCAGTGCCTCCTCCCAGACGCTGGTAAGGGTGCGGCTGACGCGCAAGTAGCGCCAGTGCGCCAGGGATGCCAGCAGCAGGTGAGACCGGTGGTGCGCATCCGCACGCCGCGCCTGCTGCTTGCCATGTGCCACGCGCCGGGCCGCTTCCAGCCAGGAGCGCACGAGCCGTCGCGACCGCGCCACTCGGCACTCCGCCTCAATGCCCCGCAGCGCAGCCCGTTGCTGCTGCACTGACCGCCAAGCAAGAAGGCAGGCGGAGCGGCGGCGACGTGAAAGAGCTGCACATAAGGAGGCTTCCCGCTGGCGGAGGTCTGCGGCACGGCGCAGGACGGCCTGCCAGGCAGACAACAGCTGAGACAGTAGCCGCTGCTGCCTGGATGGGACGCCATGGACAGAGGGCAGCCGGGACACACAGCGTGAGCAACACCCCAACGTACGCACAGCACATGCCCGGGATCCCCGGCATGCTGCCACAGCCCTTGCGGTACCCATTGTACCCGTCCAAAACATGCAGCTCCCACACCCTCCCGCTTGCCGCCGCACCTGGCCGCTGTTACCGCTGACATGCGCACCCGCAGCGCCACCCGCTCCTGGGCAGCTCGCTGCCAGCAGCGCCACGCAGCTGCAGCCAGCGGCCCTGATTGCCCCTCCCGCAGCCTAAGCAGGCGCTGCAGGACCGCAGCAGTGGCTGCGTGCAGCTGCAGCACCCGCAGCGCTGCCTTGAGGCGCAGCCGATCCTCCAGCTGGACCAACAGAGCGGCCGTGACGGCAGGGGGAGCACCCGAGGCCTCAACCTGCATGGCACGGGCAGCGGTGAACGAGAGGTATAAGCAACTCCAAAGGCAACAACTATGCTCGCGAGTTGCCTCGAACAGCCCCGGCACAGGTGGATGCCGACCACAGCACAGACACATGTGCATGTGCTTACCAGCAGCCGCAGCCTCTCCAGCCGCGATCTTGGCACGCACAGCTTGCAGCCCAGCAAGTACGCCTCCGCCAGTCGCCTCTCCAGCCGCGCCTCGCGCACCTGCTGCAGCAGCTCCTCCACGCCCCCGCCGCGCTGCACCTGCTGCCGCTGCTGCGCGGCAGCCTTGCCCACGGACTGCAGCCAGGCCGCCGACGCCGACTGCAGCGCCGTGGAGAACCAGCCCGCCGTGTCGTTGGCATCTTCAGCAGCGTCATGTGGATCGGCGCTCGGTACAGGCTCACAGAGGCTTGCGATAGCCCTGTCAAAAGACCAACGTAAAGCATCCGGTTTGCTGCCAGTGCCATCCCCTTCTGTGCGTCTGGGTCGTAAGCGCGCAGGGGTTTCATTCGCTGCCGGGCTCTGCTGCCACACCACAGAACTGGGGACGTTTCCTGTAGCATCAGCAGTTAGGCAGCTGCTGGTGGCGGCCTGGCTCGTAACCCCTCCTGTCAGCCCACTCAATTGGTACCCCCCGGCATGGCAAGCCGCCCCTGGTTGATTCATCTGGGAGGCAGGCGTGTCTGCACATGCAGCCGTGTCCTGCTCTGAGCACAGCATGTTGCGGAGGTTGAGAGACTCCAGCAAAAGATGGACCCGCGCGAATGTCGCACCATGCTGCGGGCTAGCAGCTGCTGATATTGAGCGCGGCGCCGCCTCGCCGCTTGCAGCAGCTGCTTGGGAGGCTGCTGCCAGCGCTGGACCTCCTAGGACGGGTGCCCCGGCTGCCGGGCCCGGCTGCGGTACGTGTCTGGCGACAGCACTCCAGGTCGGAGCTTGGCAGCCGGGTTGCTGCTGCCAGACCTGAGCTACGTGAGAGGGTATTACCCCGTGATAGCGTGGTGGTCCAGCAGATGGTCCTGGCATGCCCTGAATGGGATGAGTACATGTAGCATAGGGCCCTGGTGGTGGGTAGAGATCTGGGGCGGCGGCGTCCCAAGCAGCACTGCTCCCAGCAGCTGCGGCCGGCTGCGCTGTAATATCACCTTGTAGCTGCAGCCCAGGATGCTGAGTTTGCAGCGCTTGGTACTGCAATTGCAGCGACGGAACCTGTTGGTGCTGTTGCTGCTGCTGCGGCGGCCACAACCCAGAACTCTGCACGTGTTGCACCGCAAACTGTTGCCGCGGTATCGGTCCTGTCTGTGCTGGAGTACTGGAGGGCCAGACGGAAACGTGGCTCGCGCTGCAACATCCTGCAAGCGCGGGCTGGTTTAGGACTTGGGTGCCGCCGGCTTCATGAGGATTAGCCTGCGGCACACCCCCAAGCGCCTGGGCACCTTGTATTGTGACAGAGACCGCGGTGCCACTACCCCCATGGTCGCTAGCATCTGATGCCTGCAACGGCACACCAATGGAGGCGTTCGCTGGTGGTGCTGCAGGCTGAAACGGCTTGAAGCAATCGGTTACAGGCTTGCTTCCCTGCGCTGGCTGCGCTGGCTGAGGCTGCGGACGCCAACCGGGATATGACTTGGGCTGGGGCTCTGGGGAGCCTTGCCCAGCGTCGCTGTCCGGTAAGCCCTGCACCGCTCGGAAGAGCCTGCGAACCACGGCTCCACGCGCAGCGCTGCCTGTGGCTTGAGGTGTATCGCACTGCTCCTTTGGCTGCTCCTTTGGCTGCTGTGGGGATGGAGAGTTGTACGCAGGTCCTGGCCCACGGAGCCGCAGGCGAAAAGAAACGCTTTTGCGGCTGGATGTGGTATTGGATGGCCTACTTCCTATAGAGTCCCGCCGTGAGACCGGAAGATGTGGCTTCGGGAGCACGAAATTCTGCTGCGTTTGGGGAACACGACATGCCTTGTGTCAGCAGTTAACAGGCGTCTAAAGCAGAGTGGCATAAGTGTTAAGCAGTAGCTCCATACCAGAAGAAGCCCACAGGTGCCAGCAAGGGAGGAATCGCTCGAGGGCCATACGGGAGAAACGTCTTTGGTAGAAGGCCTAGAGTCTGCTTGGGCCCGGCCGGGCGAAACCATTTATAAACACATTTCAAGAAATCGGTAAACCTAAAGTTGACAAGCAAGCAGGTAGGCTTCCAACGAGACCAAAAGCGAAAGGATATGTGACAAGAATTTTGGGGAGAGTTGAAGAGGCCCACGGCAACAGCAAGTGAGGAAACCCCTTATAAACATTTGTGGTTACGCCTGAACAACGCTGGCCTGCTGCGTTGCTCGCCCTGATGGACAGCCGTATGGATTTACTGGATCCTAACACACACCAAATGCCCAACCACACCCAACCACTATCTGTTCTACACATCGACGTGCCAGTACTCGGTATAAAAACGTTGCAGCTACTACCCTGTCCTGCTGTAACGATTTACAATGTTGGTCCGGAGAAGTTTCACGAACGTTTGCGCTGGCTCGAAGACGAGGAGCAACCGCGTGGTCCGGCATGCCGTAATAGTCAAGGCTCGCTTTGGTGGTGGTCGAGGTGAGCAGTTTGCGGTTAGGCACAGCCGGCACCCGTAATGCGGAAGGATGTGGCGGCCGTATCGTTGCGGACGACGGTTGCAGGAGCAGCAGGACGATGACAGTCAAGTTCAATCATAGGATATGGCCTTAGGACGAATTTCTCTTTCGGCTCCACATCCGCTTGCTTGGGCTCGCGTCCACTCGTATTCGCCATTCCGCTAGCTAAGCCCATAGGGGGCATGCGTACGTTTTTTCTTTTAGTAATGACTGCTAGAACCATAATGCGTCCTGTGGAGCTCCGGCTAAGGTGTAACGCATGTTAGGGAGGGCGCGTGAAACCTGCATTGTGCGCATGCCCTCTGGCTGCCCCTCTTGCTTCAATTTGTCTGGGCCCTCCAACCTTTGGACCTCTGCAGGTGACGTTCTGGACCGACCCGGATTTGATGTCAGCAAACGCCTTGGAGGCTTTGACCTGAGCGACTTCAACCTGGGAGGATGGACACCACCTACAGAATCAGGTGCGGTGTATCGACAGCAACCCGCATGTTTATGACCGCAAAGTACAAGGTATCTTCACGCATATTTCGGAGGGGGGGTCGCTTATCTCAGACTGAAAGACGACAACTTTGCGAAATTATCCACGTCACTGCAATGCCCCATCCTTCCTCTACGCCCTTGCGCCCTCTCACCCTGCTCCTCCAAACCGCCCTGCTGCAGGCCGCGACGGCGCAGGTGTTGACAAGGACCGGCAGAGCCCTCCAGGCGGCGGCAACTACCGTGTGCTGCTGATGGACAGCCCGCAGCACTCGGAGAAGGCGGTGATCAGGGCCATCTGCTCCGTGGTACCCAACGTGGATGAGGCGCACGCGCGCAACTGCTTCCACACCTCCAAGCAGCTGGGCATGGCCATCATCACAACGGCGCTGAAGGAGCATGCGGAGTTCTACAGGCAGCAGCTGTATGTGAACGGCTGTCGTACGGTTATTGAACCGGACAGCACCGTCGCGTAGGGTTGCGTTTTTGGGAAGTACCGGTTAGGGCTGCTGTAGGGGAAGTGTAATAGGTGCTGCGTGTTGGGTCGTCGAGGAGGTTTGAGTAGTGGGCAGGAAGATAGGAAACAGAGTGAGGGAGTGAGTTTAAGTATGGCGTTGATGGACCAAGCACACCAGATCATCATGGATACCTATGAACATGTTACGAGCTCGTGTCATTGTTGCCTGCCTTCCTTATCATGTGTTGGCATTGTGCAGGACGTTATGGTAGAGAGAGAGAGTGTGTGATCGTTGCAACGTGACGGTGGGTTGTGGACCGCTGAGTGGCGGGTTGCCCGAGTGTTTCATGTTTGGGCGCACACCACGGCTCCGCTCACCACTAGTGGTTGTCTAGCGCGATAGTCGTCGAGAGATAGGATGCCGAGTGTGTAGGGACCTTGTGTGTGTTTTAGCCGCTGTGAACCTGTTGTGGCATAGACGCGTGGTCATTTTCTGCATGAGTGCTATTTAATACCAAATTTTATTGCTGTAGTTGGGGTAGGTAGGAGAGTAAGCTGTCATTGTGGTTGCTTCGAATGTCGGGAGTCTGTGGCCCCAAGTCGTGCATGCCCCGACACGCTCTTTGGCTGGATTACATCAGGTGTTGCACGTTGCGCGGCCATGTGCCCTAAGTTGCCAAGTTGATACTGTCTACATCTACCGGTAAGCCGCCGAACCCCCGGTTGCCGTTTTCACTATCTTTGCCTGCGCTTCGGATTCAACCGAGCGCTTGTTGGCTGGCAGAGTCTTTCCATGTGAGCCCCTTGTCCCGTCTAGCATCCACACAGAACATCAACTGGTCTACAGTACGTTCCACATGGGCATTCACATTGAAACGAACAGTTAAGAGTTGCCGGGGCACGACAGTCTGACCCGCGGGACATACGTCAGCAAGGTTTACCATAACACCCCCATGAAACCCATGTCTGATGTCGTATGTACGTTGTTGTGGCCGATAGCAGCCGAATCAGGCAGATCAGGAGCCATCTCTCCATCCTAGGCGACATCCTCTGCGGCAGTTTCCGGGGAAGCGGCGCCGGGCATCAGCCGCGTTGGTCGTACACTGGGTACGGCCCAGATGCCGGTCTGCGGTTGGAAGTACGACTTGCCTTTCGCCTCAACTTGGATCAGCACCTGCGATCCAGAGCCCATGTGGGTCAGCGTCCGTCTCACAAGTAACAACGCCCGCAATGCACCACTATGCATTACACTGTGTAGTCCGCAGTCAACACCCACAACCAGGATGAGGTTACGTAAGGATAGCGAGGCTGTGATTATAAGGTACCGGTGCATGCGGAATGCATGCATGGTTTCGGAGGGGGGATTTACCTTGGGTGCGTCTTGAAGTTTGCTCTTCTTAGGAAGGCTGACAGCCGTCATCGCCTGCGCAGGTGCGGAACGTGCACGTAAATCTCTTTCCTCACGTACACGCACGACGGTCAACATCGCAAACGGACAGCTGCTACGGTAGGTCACCACATACTGCTAGGTGGCTGCTGGCCGCACCTGGCCGCGTAGCTGGTGTCCGTAGAAGCAGGCGTACATGGGCGGCCAGCTGCAAGCGCCATGCTTGCTGTGCGTCCAGCGCCCGATGGCGTACTTGAGCTGCTGGTCGTCATGAAGCGATACCAGCTCGCCCCTGACGGATGCCCCAACCTGCATGCAGCAGACACAGGGTATGGGTACGAGTATCTTCGGAGCCCTCGTTTGCAACCGGAGAGCTTCTGGCTAACTCTGGCCATGCCGTGTTGCATTCCTCTCGGCATTGTTGTATTAATGTTAGCCGATGAGCGGGTAAACGACTTTGTATGACGGGGAATTCCCGGCGGTCGTTCCACAGCGCGACACAGTACGGCGCACACAATATCACACGGCACGGTATTCAACTTCCCGTACCGGCTGCCCCTCCCCCTCTCCTAGACCCTCTTCCTGCGCACCACGTAAAGCGTTATAGGCTCCTCCAGGTCGACGGTTCGCCATCCTTCTATCTCCGGAACCGTCAAAGCAAGCAGCCACGCCCGACTCGATGCCGCTTTCAAAGCAACCTGGTATGAAGCAAACACCGTGGACCCATAAATATTAGGATAGAGTACCAAGTACTTAAAAAGCAGTCTGTTACCTTCTTTTTCTCCTTCTTGTAAAAGTCGACCGCCTGCAACGTAACACAACACAGCTAATTTTCATCGAAACAAGCATATCGGCATAAGAAAGACTTACGTCCTTAAGAAGAGCACTGCCTTGCTTGGCCATATGCAAGTCAACGTTCCTTGACCAACGAACTGGTTAGGGCTATAATTGCTTCATAATCGGCAGGGTACTATATTGCTTCAAACTTCCTTTTTCCTACGGGTTAAAGCTAGCTGGTTGGTTACCGGTAATGTCGCTAATGTGTGCGTTTCCCTATGGGGCCGTACTATTTGCAAGCCGCTTGCAAACTTCTGCACTTACAGGAGTGCAACTGCGAAAACATGCTTCCATGCTGGTCTAGGGTTATTGTGAGCGCCGAGTCCAGGTTGTTCCAGCTATAAGCCGCTGCCGTGCCACCCCTTGGTACTTGCACGGGATCACATGCACGGAATCATCGTCCTCAAGTGAACCCAACCTTGGCCAGCTTGGTTATGGGCTTGGGCGATATGCCAAACACAGTGGATAAAAGGCTCGTTACTGTGGATGGAAAGGGGTGCCGGGGTTTGCAAGAAGCCACAGGGGGCTGTTTAGAAATGGCAAGGGGCTGCACGCATAGCGTAGACCGGTTGGGTGAACGGCCACGTGCTTTGTTGTATTGCATGTCTCCTCAGCTAGCGTGTGGAGCCATCGACACGACAGATTCAAGCCCTCGAAGAGGTGTGACGTAGCGGCAACAGGAACGGTGGTAGCGGAGGCCCAAACGCCTCTCCCGCCAGGTGCTCCAACGGCCAACCAGAAACGCCGTGTACGATAGGTTACTGGCCTCACAGACATTGGGCGGAAGCCCCTGGCGCTTACATTTGGTCGCCTTTTGTTATAACGTATCATGCATTTGACTTCCTACGGACGTATGAGGTTGAGTTGCACCCATTTCTGAGCGACATTTGCTGTTCCTTAGGCGACTAGGCACGTAGCCTTTTCAGCACTGTTACTGAGCAAACATTTATCTATAATAACTAATGTGAAATGGCGAAGAAGAGGTCGCGCGAGGAACCGTCGCAACCTGAGACTGGCGAGACAGCGGCAGCCGGCACAAATGAGGCAGCACCTGCAAATGGCGACAGGCGTAATGGCATGGCAGATGTTGCGCGGCGCAGGGCCGCGCACTTCGCTCACTTTGACGACGAAGACGATGCAGTCGAGGACAATGTCCATGTCGGGAGCGACAAGGCAGGGAACGAGCATTCCCCGCCGCCCTGCCGCTACTAAGCATACCACTAAGCATACGATCCTATTATCGCACTGTCACCTCTTCGCAGCAGCAACAGTCCAGGCCCATGAAGCGCCCTCAACTTCGCATGTCATACGACATCTGCCCCAGTCCGCGCGACACCCTTTCCTTCCGCGCACCCTCGTCCCCAGGCCCGCACCCTGGGTCCCTGGAGCAGTGCCATGGAGCTTGTGAACGCGCGCGAGAAGGCGCAGCAGGACCGCCAGGCGCGGCTGCAGGAGGCGGCGCCGGCGGAGCAAGAGGGTGGGTCGAGGGTGGAAGAGCAACAGGGTTGCGACTCAGGGTGGCAGCAAACGAGCACGTGGCCTCGTCAGATCAGACGTAGCCGCCTGTGCAACACCTTGCTAGTACGGCGCCATGCGCATGTCGCATCCATGAAATGCAACTGCTCACTGTTCGCGTGGGCTTTCCTCCGATCCCTTCTGCTCTCACATCTTCCTTGCCGTGTCCTGTTCATCCCCATCTTGCAATCTCGTCCCGATCTTGCCTGCTGCGTCCTCTCTCACCTCTCACCTCTCCCACCCCCTACCTTGTGCCGCCGTACAGCCCTGTCCGAGGCTGCTGGGTGGGTGCCCCGCCGCGACCCCGCGCTGGGCCCCCACCTGGTGGACCCTGTGGCGCCGCTGTTCTCGCTGTGCCTGGACGTGCTGACGGAGTGGGTGGAGTGCGTGGAGTCGCTGGAGGGGGTGCCGGATGTCATAAAGGTGGGAGGGGGGCTGAGGGGGGGGGTGCTGGAAGGGGGGTCCCAGGGGGTGAGGGGTGCTGAGGGGGATGCAGGGGGTGAGGGTGGCGGGTGATGGGAAAAGGCGAGGGGGGAGACGTTTCGAGTGGTGATGGGGAGAGGGTGACATGGACGGCCCTTGCACTGCCTCGTATGCTCCTTTCCTCCGCTCGCCTGCCATGGCGCCCCCTCCCGCCTGCGTCTCTCCCCCCCTGCCTGCCGTACATACACGCACACCCCCACCCGCAGGTCCGGCTGGCGGCCCACGTGTGCGCCCGCCGCAAGATGAGCCCCGAGGTAGGGCCGGGGAGGGGGCGAGGTAGGGCCGGGGAGGGGGGGGCGAGGTAGGGCCCAGGAGGGGCGAGGTAAGGCCCAGGAGGGGCGAGGTAAGGCCCAGGAGGGGCGAGGTAAGGCCCAGGAGGGGCGAGGTAGGGCCCAGGAGGGGCGAGGTAGGGCCCAGGAGGGGCGAGGTAGGGCCCAGGAGGGGCGAGGTAGGGCCCAGGAGGGGCGAGGTAGGGCCCAGGAGGGGCGAGGTAAGGCCCAGGAGGGGCGAGGTAAGGCCCAGGAGGGGCGAGGTAAGGCCCAGGAGGGGCGAGGTAGGGCCCAGGAGGGGCGAGGTAAGGCCCAGGAGGGGCGAGGTAAGGCCCAGGAGGGGCGAGGTAGGGCCCAGGAGGGGCGAGGTAAGGCCCAGGAGGGGCGAGGTAGGGCCCAGGAGGGGCGAGGTAAGGCCCAGGAGGGGCGAGGTAAGGCCCAGGAGGGGCGAGGTAGGGCCCAGGAGGGGCGAGGTAAGGCCCAGGAGGGGCGAGGTAGGGCCCAGGAGGGGCGAGGTAAGGCCCAGGAGGGGCGAGGTAGGGCCGGGGAGGGGGCGAGGTAGGGCCGGGGAGGGGGCGAGGTAGGGCCGGGGAGGGGGCGAGGTAGGGCCGGGCGAGGGGCGGCGCAGTCAGCAGTCCTGACATTTCTAGTGCTGCTGGCTACCTGGAGGCGGGGGGGGGGTTCCCCACGGGCCGCCGCCGCCCCTCATCTGCCTTACCACACTCCTCCTGGCCGGGCCCCCTTACCCCCTTCCCCCTTCCCGCTACCCCTGCCCCTGCCCCTACCTCCCTCCCCCGCAGGTGTCCCGGCTGTTCGGCGCGGGTGGCCCCTCCGAGCTGGTGCTGCCCGACTGCACGCAGCTGGACGCGACAGCCATGCGGGAGCTGGTGGGGGAGGTGGCAACCGGCAAGTGAGAACGGGGGGGGGCGGGGGGAAGGGGTGGAGAGGGGGAGGGGGCAGGGGGCGGCAGCTGCAGAGGCTCTTGTTTGACAGCAGCGGTGGGTTTCCACAGCTCGATTGCCCTATGGCAACTCATCCACTGTCCCATCACGCACTTCTCCACGCCCCCCTCCTCGCTGCCCGGCAGGCTGCAGCGGCTAGAGCTCGGGTTCTGCGGACGTGGTTTCGGAGACGAGGCTGCTGCTGTGCTGGCTGCCCCCGGGGGGGACGGCGGCGGGAGGCTGGGGGGCTTGGAGGTGCTGGCGCTGGAGGGGGCGTACCGGCTGAGTGATGCGGGGCTGAGCAAGGTAGGGGGGGGGGAAGGGAGTGAGGGAGGGAAGGTTGGGGGTACGGTAGGGTACGGCAGGGGAGGGTTGGAGGGGCTGAGAAGACGGAGAGAGGAAGAGAGGAGGGGATAGGTGAGGGCCCGTGGGCTGCTCGAATGGCGCTGCGGTTGGCGTCCCGAGGACGCTATCATCAACTCTTGTCCTCCTTCTCACCCTGCTTAGGCTGCTCCCCACTGCCGCTGCTCTCCCGTCCCGCCTGCTGTCTCCACCCGTCTACCTTTTAACAATCCCACCGCCCGCCTTGCTCCACGCTCCCCCTCCCCCTCACCCTCCCGCAGGCCCTCTCTGCCGCCCCCTCCCTGCAGCGGCTGGCGGTGCCTCAGGGCTCCCGGCTGAGTGGGGCGGGGCTGGCACAGCTGCCGCTGCTGGTGCCGCGGCTAAGGTGGGGAGGGGGGCGAGGGGAGAACGGGGGTGGTTGTGGTGGGGGGTAAGTGGAAAAATCTGACTGACCGTGTGGTAAGGCGTCATCGTGGAGGAGGTGCAGTGGGCCGGGTGTGGTACTCCGCTGCTGTAGCCCCTGAGGCTAACGCTTGCTCCGAACAGGGGCCAGCCCCGCTACCGCCCGTCCCCCACCCCTAACCCCCACTCCTAACCTCCACCCCTAACCCCCACCCCTAACCCCCACCCCTAACCCCAGCCCCTAACCCCAGCCCCATCAAAATACATTCCGGCTCGCGGTCAGCTTTCTTAGCCGACCCCATGCCCTCCCCCCCCCCCTTCAGCCACCTGGACCTGTCTGACTGCCGGGGGCTGGGTGCCGACTCGCTGCGTGAGGTGCTGCCGCGGCTGCCCGGACTGAGGGCTGTCAAGCTGGACCTCATACCCGAGGTGGGGGCGCGGTGGGGCTTCGTCGGGGGAAGGGCATCCTTTTTGCGGGGAGGTATGACAGCCGGGGTACTCTTCAACCATATTTGTTTTGTGAGAAGCTGCTTCCCCCCTCATTGCCCCATTGCCCTAACCTGTGGCTTTGGTGCATCTCGCACCCCCCGCATGCCTCCCCACCTCCACCAGGTGGATGACTCGGTGCTAGTTGCGGTGGGGTCGCTACCGGAGCTAAGGGAGCTCAGCATCCGCTGCTGCCAGGTAGGGGGGGGGCGGGGTAGGTGGGGGGGGGTAGGTGGGGTGAGGGGGTGCCGTTGGAGAGCGCATGGGAGGCGCGGAGCGGTGAAGGGCCCGGCATGTGCCGTACAGAGCCCTAGGGGCCTGACGTTGCTTGGGGGATGCCCCGGCATTGCCAAGAAGGGTTGTAGGCTGTAGACACCTCAGGTGATGGTGTACGCATGCCCCCCCTGAGGAGCCCTACTGCTGGCTCGCTTACACTTCCACTCCTGCGCACCCCGGCGGCGGCGGCCGGCTCGCCGCGCCTTACGCAGGCGGTCACAGACGAGGGGCTGGCGGCCCTCGCGGCGACCCGTGGGTCGGTTCTGGAGCTGTTGCGGCTGGACGAGTGCGGCGGCCGGGTGACGGACCGGGGGCTGGGGGTGCTGGCGGAGCACTGCAAGGCGCTCAGGGTGGGGTGGGGGTGGGGGTGGGGGAGGGGAGATGAAACTTACGTGAGAGTGGTGGGTGGGCGCCAACCAAGCGGGAAGGGAGGCATATATGGAGGTGCTCAACGTGAGGGCAGGTTAGGTGGGGGCCGAGGAGGTTCCATCCAGATGGTGCCTTGGAACTGTGGGGGTGCGGCGGGTATCAGGAACGTAGGATGGACCTGGTGCAGAGCGTCTCCGGGCGTGTCAGGCCACCGCAATTAGCCACACAACGTCCCACTCCACCTTACCCCTGTTTCCCCCCCCCTGCATGCCGCCCCTCCTAAGGTTTTTACTTGTACCTTTCCCCCTCCCCTCCCCATGCAGGTCTTCTCCGCTCGTCGCTGCCCCCGTCTGGGTGACGCGGCGCTGGCGGAGCTGCTGCGGCACGGCACCGTACGGCACCTCAGCCTGAGCGGGGTGCCGGGGGTGGGTGCGGCGGTGGCGGGGGCGCTGGCGGGCTGCTGCCGGGACTGCCTGGAGCACCTGGACGTGTCGTTCTGCAGGTGGGGGTAAAGAGGAAACAACTAACTGACTGAGGGATAAGGCGTCAACATGGGGGGGGCCGGGGAAGGGAAAATACCTGAAGTGTTGGGAGGGGGAAGGGAGGAGGGAACAGAAGAGCTGTACGATTGGCAATGACAAGGGGGTCAAGGGCGTGGGCGGACTGGGAGGACGAGGGCCCTCTCATACACGGCACGGCACGGCACTGTGATCCCTTCCCCGCAGCCCGCCATTCACATCCCATGTGCCACCGCGCTTCCCGGCCATCCTCCTGCCCCTCCTCCTGCCCCCGCCCCGCCCCTCCCCCCCTCCATGCAGGAAGCTGCCCGACGGCTCGCTGGGTCTGCTGCTGGACCGCTGCTGCCGGCTGCGGCGGCTGGTGGTGTACGGCTGCAGCCAGCTGAGCGGGCGGTCGCTGTACGGCCACCTGAACAGCGGGCTGGTGGTGGAGGGGGTGCACACCAAGGTGGACCTGGACCTGGTGGGGACGAGGGGAGGGAGAGGGGGGGAGGGGGAGGGGGGAACCAAGGAGAAGGAATAGCAACGGGAGGGAGAGGGGGAGGGGGAGCAGGTGGGGGAAGCCGGGTTGGAGGGAAGGAGGCAGGGGGAGGCGGGGGGAGAGGGGATGGTGGTGCAGGCGGGCAGGAGGATGTGGCTGCGCAGGCAGGGAGGGGGACCGGTATGAGCGGTGGCGGTGCTGATGTGGAGGAATTCTAGGTGGGCGGGATAACCGGGTGGAGCGCGCATCAGAGTGCAGCAACAGGAGTGTGGTGGTAACGCTGGTAGGCCACTAGTCCTCATGAGCGGTTTTGCCCCGCGGATTGCGTTTTGCAGATTTGTAGGTGCACGTGCGTGCGAATTGCTGACATTCTGGTTGTCGTTGTGGGTACTTGTTGGTGATGGCGCATGGGGTTACAGGAAGGTTTATGAACGGTCGGAGACCTTGCCCTGCTGCAGGCAGCTTGTGAGGAGCTGTTAGAAGGTTGCCAACAACGCGGCAACAAAGCAGGTGGCGCTGGAGGATTCATCCGTCTTACATAGCATCCCCCATGGCCGGTAAAAGAGTGCGGATCCCGTTTGTATTTATCTCCCACGGTCCGGCACGCATCACATGGCATTACCCTGGTGCGTCGCTTATTGCGTACACTCAAGACTTCATGTAAACATACATGTAATTCAAAACCGCTTGCTACACATGCACACCAGCCTACAAGCATGTCCTGCTCCGAACATCTATGCCTTCAGCCAAGTCCTGCCGTACACACATGCATTGCTTCCTCGCTAGCCTCCTGCTCGCTGTCCGTCTGCAGTGGCAGACACACACATTCCTCAGCTCTCATGCACACACACACACGTCCCACCGCCGCTGCCTGCGCCGCCGTCCCTGTAGTCCTGGCGACGTGTACACTGCAGCAGACCACAGCTCCCTGCTGTAACCCTCTCACTGTCTTCATCATCCTCAGTGCAGCACCGTCACGTAGCAACAACACCTTATGTACGACTATCACCGCCACTTCTACATACACCCTCCTGCAACACGTCCCGTCACTGTCGCCACATCCTGGTATGTCACGCCCGCAAGAGATACACGCCCGCAGCCACCACACCCTTCCCCCTCACACCTCCACCTCCTCCCCCGCTCCCATGCAGCCCGCCTCCGCCCCCTCGCCGCCCTCGTACGCCGCCAGCCGCGCCTCCGCCTCCGCCAGCCGCGCAGCCAGCTCGTCCGCCCGCTGCCGCTCCAGCGCCACCACCCGCTGCACCACCATGGAGAGCCTGGCGGTCAGGGGGGCGGTTGGGGGAGGGGAGTTGGGCGGGGTCAGTGAGTGGCTGCGTAGGAGTAGGGTAGGACCCGGTGGAAATGAAAGGTGCATACCGCCCATGCCGACGCCGATCGGCCTATGTCGTGCCTCTCCTCCCGTGGGATACGCCTATGCCGCTGCACTGCCCCTCTCCTAACCCCACCGCCGTACAGTCAAAGTACAGCTCCCCCTCCCCTCCCTTTTCTCACCCCAGCGCCGGCACGCGGATCATGATGTCCTTGTTGCGCTTGCCCGCCGCTGCGGCGTCCAGTGCCATGCGGCCCTCCCGCAGCTTGCCCAGGTAGTAGCACAGCTCCAGGGGGGACTGCTCGCCCAGGTTATCTGCCGGGGGGGGGAGAGCAGGATGAGGTGAGGTGGTGAGGGAGAGGCGGGAGAGGAAGAGATGGTGCGAGGTGAAAGGGAGTTCGAAAGGCCTGCGGTGGCGGTGGCGTGTATACAGGCCCTCCTAAAGAGATCACATACTATTCACAAGGAGCGCGTTGTGCCGCCTCGTGTGGGTTATGCGTTCCCCAACATGCAAGTTCGTCAGGCGAGAGCCCCACTCACCCAGGTCCAGGTTGCCCCCGTTCCAGCGGTCCTGCACACTGGCCCAGAAGGAGCGCTCGAACGAATCGAACTCGTCCACCTGGCGGTGTGGCAACGACAACGGCAGGATGGTCGGGAAAACGTCCCGGGCATGTGATGGTCGTCAAGGCGAGCAGCGTGAAGTATAAGCAGCAACCAAACGATACGCACCCTTTCCATGCTACTACCGTAGCTACCAGCTAAAATGCACGCTAACAGCATCACCACCGCTCTTCCTCGACCCACCCACCATCTCAATGCTAACGGGTAGCGCTGCCGGCGGCGCCTCCTCGCCCTCGCCCTCTCCAGCAGCAGCGCCCGGGCCGCCCATGCCCATCATGAGTCGCTGCCGCTTGACGGCGCGCGCATCCACAATGCCGTACTCGTCCAGGCCCAGTCCGGCGCGTTTCACCAGGTACTGCAGGTGAGCAGCAGGTGGGGAGTAGTGGCGTGGCCGCATCGGGGGGGGGCACGATCGGGGGAGGTTGGGAGGTGAGCAGTGCTCCGAGCAAAGCCAGCAAGTGCAAGAGAGCACGGGACCAGGTAGGACAGCGTGACAACAAAAGCGATCGAGCGAATGGAGCAATAGCTGAGTCCTGACAACCGTGCGCCCCATGCAACTCGCCAACGCGGCGGCGGCCGTCTCACTCACCCTGCCATCCGCGGTCTTGGATAGGATCGCCTCCGCCGGGTGCCCCTCCCAGTCCACGTCCTCTCGGTCACTCTCATCACTGTCCTCCTCCACCTTGGCCTCCTCCGTCTCCGCCTCAGCCACCCGGCCGCGCTTCTTGCCCTTACCACCCTTGCCACCCTTGCCGCGGGACGACGAACCGCCGCCGCCGCCAGATCGCTTCCGAGGCGCATCACCATCCTCCATGCCCATGTCACCGCCCTCCTCATCCAACTCCATGCCGCCCGCGTCTGCAGCCGCCGCCGCCAGCCCTAGCAACCCGTCCTCGCAACCCTCATCGCCCCCATCGGCGCTCTTGCGCTTGCCCTTCTTGCCGGGGGCCTTGCCGGGCTTGCTGGCTGCTGCTGCAGCAGTCTTCTTGGAGTCCTTGCCCTTCTTGCCTTCGCCGCCCTCGGCGTCGCCCGCAGCAGCGGCGCCCTTCTTGCTCTTGGGTGCCTTGGGCTGCGCGCCGCTCTCCTCATTCATGGCCTGCACAAGCGTAACAAGAACACTTGTAATACGGTAGTAGGACGCGACATGTGAGGTACCGTACAGAAAGGATTGCTGAATGACGTGGCATGCAGTATGTATCCCCAACCCAATTCTGCCGCAGTTGTCGCTACCGCGGTTACCGTAACCGCTGTCTGTCTGCATGTCGTACCTTGGCACGCGCATTGTACTCCGCCTGCTCCTCCTTGCCCAGGTTGCGCCAGCCCTCCCCAAGCAGCTTGCCCACGTCCCCGAAGGTCGCCTCCGGGTTGTCAGCCCTGATGGCGGGGCGCTGCTCGTCCACGAAGAGCTGAGCAGAGGCGAGGGAAGGGAGATTGGTTAGTTCTCCCAGAACTACCAGAGTTACAGAAACAGCTTCCGTCTGCATGCACCCGCAGCTCCAAGCCTGCAGACAGCACATCACCGAACCCGCACTACGTATTGCATGTTAGATGTTACCCACTCTCGGCCGACCTACCATGTAGCCACTGGAGTAGTACTTGGGACCTCCCTCGGCTGCTGCCGCCGCGGGGGCCTTGGCGGGCTTGGGCTCCTTGGGCCGCTGCTGCTGCTGCTGGGCCTTGCGAGCGGGCGCACCGCTGCCGCCGCCGTCGGCCTCATCGTCGCCGTCAGTGCCCTGCTCCTTGGCGCGCTCCTGCACCACGGAATTAGGGAAGACCAGGTGTGGCATTAAAAAGCCCATTGTCCAAGGTAAGGGCCATGCTCATGTCAGGAGACGACAGGTGTGTCAGCTGATGGTTGGCCGCATGGCCACTAGCCCCACCCATGACAAGAGTGCGCGGCACGTGGCCCTCCATCGTGATCGCTTGAAACGGTGCTGGACAGTGCGCATCACCTCCTGCCGTACCTCGTACTGGGCCTTGTCCTCCGGCGCCATAGCCCCCCACTCCTGGATGGAGTGCCCAGCCGCCTCGCCCGACTCCATGCCCTCGTCTGCGCAACGTATGGAGGGCCCGCGTTACGGCGGATGTACATCAGGGATGTCTTTGGCTGGGAGCTTCCATGCAAGCTTAGACGTGACTTCCTAGTCACCCCAGAGTACCTATCCCCGGAATCTCCCCCCCACCAGCACCAGCCACTCACCCACGAGTCGCTGCTTGTTCTCGCTCATGAACAGTTCGTAGGCGGCGGAGGGCTTGGAGCCAACCGCAACAACACGCTTCTTGGGCGGCACGGCGGCGGCGGCAGCGCCACGCTTTGCAGCGGCGGCCTCGGGGGCGGGCTTGGGCGCCGCAGCTGTCGAGCGGAGGTGACGCGTGGGGCAATGCGGCAGGGAGTTAGGATACGGACGACACGTGTAGCGCAGGATGGAATGCGGCACACAAAGTAAGCGGGGTATGCTGCATGGCGAGGGGGACGGGCTACATTTACATAGACATGGTGTAAACAAGATTTTCCCCGCCTCGGCGCGCCGATAGCAGCTCACCCTTCTTGGGGGCGGGCTTGGCCGTAGCACCCTCGCCGGCGTTGGCAGCGTCCTCACCCTCCTCCGCCGCGTCCCCGTCCTCCGGGACCAGACGTGCCTGGATCACCTTGGGTGGGGCGGTCACCTTGGCGGGCTTGGTAACGGCAGCGGCGGCGGCGGCAGGCTTGGTGGCAGCGGCGGCTACGGGCTTTGTAACGGCAGCGGCGGCTGGCTTGGCAGCGGGCTTGGCAACAGCCGGCTTGGCCGCACCCGTCCCCGCACCAGCAGCGGGCTTGGTAGCAGCTGCTGGCTTGGTAGCGGCGGGCGCAGCGGGCTTCGTGACGGCAGCCCCGGCTACGGGCTTAGCAGTAACGGCAGGCTTGGCGACGACAGCGGCCGGCTTGGGGGTCACAATACCCTTAGCGGCAGGTGCCGCTTTGGCGACGACCGCAACCTTGGGAGCAACTGCGGTCTTGGCACCCGTTGTGGTGGTGGACGGTCCGGCAGCGGCGGGCACCACCACAGCGGCCTTGCGGACAGGCGGCAACATGCCCTTGCGTGCGACGGGCGCAACGGCGGTGTTGGACGGCTTCAGAGGCACGAAGCCCGGCTTGACGGCAGGCGCCTTGAGTGCTGGGGCGGGCTCGGGTGGCGCCTCCGCCTCGGCCTCTGGCGCAACGACAGCGGCATCAGCGGCATCAGCTTCCGGAGCAGTCTCGGGAGCGGCGTCCGCTGCGGGTTGGGCCTCGGTCTCGGTCCCGGTGCTGCCCCCAGCAGCCGCAGCGCCTGCACCGCCGTCCTCCTCATCGCATAGCTCGCCCTGTCGTGCAACGAAGGGCGCATGTGAGTACGGATGGGTGTACGACATCGTACCATGAGTAGTAGCAGCCAACAGGCCCGACCCACGTCATCGGCCACACACCCTCTGACCCAGATCGCAGAACCCATGTAGCCTGAAGCCTGACCCACATTAATAACCCGACCCACATGAGTAAACCTGAGCCCTATACACCCCAAAACGCCCCCCAACCGCAATTTATTATTATACATCCGGATTCCCACCTGCGTGTCGTCTGCCACATCATCACCCTGCTCCTTTGCCATTGCGGCGATCTCCCCAAGCACACCATCATCATCGCCGCCGCCCTCGTTCGCCGCCACAGCCTGCTCAGCCGGCGCCTCTGCGTTTGTCTCGTCTGCAGCAGCAGCAGCAGCAGCAGCATCTGGGTCGGCAGCGGCAGCGTCGTCAGCTTCTTGTGCAGCCGCCGCATCCGCAGCCTCGCCGTCGCCTTGTGGTTCTTCTTGGTCTTGGGCTTGTTCGGCTTCAGGATCCTCGGGAGCGGCGTCTGGGGCGGCTTCGGCGCCGTCTCCCTGCGCAGAGGCGATGTGGGTCGGCGAGGACGGTGTAAGCCACCAGCGTACGGTAACAGATGGTACAAGAAAACGGTAAGGGTTGTTCGAGAGGCATAGGATACCTATGCAACCCTACGCAGCAAAGTTAGCTTTCACGTGTGGTTCCCAGACCGACCCAAATTGCGTCTGAGCTCCCCGGCCCACACCCCCCGCAGGTTGCTCACCTCCTGGTCCACCAGCCCCTCAATCTCTCCCAGCACGTCCCCCAGGTCGTCCATCACCTCGTCCGCCACCTGCTCTTGGGGCTGCTCGTCGGCCATGGTCCTGTGTGCAGAAGGATTACAGAGCCGAAGCAGTGAGTACTGCGTACGATTAATAAAGAATGAAGGGCTCAAGGCAAGTAAAAGGCGGTTCGCGGGGCTGCATAAGACAGTCTGCAGAAGGTAAACGGATTTGAAGAGCAGCGGAAAGCCCATGAAGAGTTCGTTGCTTCTGCAGACGTGCGCGGCCTAAGCTGCTTGCTAGCGTAGCGCGGTGCCAGAGGTGCGCACCCCATCAACAGAGCAACCGAGGCAGCGCACCTTTCCTCAAGTCCAAGCTCTTGGCGCAACTCCTGAAGCAAGGAACAAGGAAGCTGTTGAGATGGCTGCTTCTCTGCGGAATTATGGTCAGAAGAAAGGAACCGGCTGACGGCAAAGAGCACCGCGGCTGCGTACCCTGTTTGCAGCTGCGTGATCAACCTTGATACCACCAGTCGGCTTAAGCTTCCTCGGCAGCTGTGTCATGAAAGATGGATAGAAGGGCTGGCGGACGCAGGCTAGCTGAACGTGCGCCAGGTAATATATAAGGGTCAGGGATCACGGAGTCAAAAGCTCATAGATTTAAGCAGTATATAATGATAGCCATGGGGCCAGACTGGCACTATCGCTTCCTTTTATGGGCGGCAAAATCTGCATGGGGTTTTGGATCCAGTTCCATCATGACACCTCCGTGCGTACTGCTTATTATGCTATGTGCCCTTCCCTATTTTCACATGAAGGAAGTAATTTATCAAGGGCTCAGGCCTTCTTCCTGCTTGGGCTTAGCCAGCTCCGAACCGCGGGTCGTGGCAACTGGTGAACATGAAGCCCGCGGCCTGCGTGGAGCGCTTTATGTAATCCTATTCCCCTTATGTGACATGACTGGTAGCCAGCTCTCCTGGTAAAGCCACACGACCGTTGGATTCTCTCGCGCGCGACAGTTACAAAGGAAAGTCTATAGTCTTATGCCGCACTATTGGCATACCACAAGTGCATGTGTTCATAACTGGTTACTGTCCTTTAGCATATCATCCCTAACTATAGAGGCTGTTCAACCCAAAAGTCGATGGGATGGCTGACCCAGCTTATGAGCCCATTCTTTGCAATTGCCAAGCCACTCTAAGCTATTCAACGGAAAATGGCATGCGGTCTTTTACTTCGCCTGGACCCGGAAAAGGTCAGCAAGCCTTGCAGCCCCCATGGTACGACGCCATGCTGAACCTAAACCATCCAAGAACAGCTTATCTGCATGTTGAGCAATTCGGCAAGGGCTTAGGGCGCATTCATGAAAGGGGCAACGACGACCGGATCTTGTCGTACAGGCGATAAGGTCGACCCACAACTAAGGCTGTAGAACTATCACTAGCGGTCGTGTCCAGTCCATCCATAACGGTAGATAACAACAATGGCTCTCGCTACCCGCTGCAAGGCTCCCGTTGCCGTGAGCGCTGCTCGCTCGAGGCGGTGTGTGCGCGTCTGCGCCCACAAGAGTAAGCTTTGGGAGACGTTTTCTTGTCTTGCTGTTTTCAATTAAGTGTAGATGTAATGGCGATAGGCAGACACTTAGCGCAGCAAACAAAGGAGCGCGCTTGCTGAGCGACGTGGCTCGATCCTAGCCGAGGGGCGCTCAGTTTGCGAAGATGCCTGCCAGCAGAAAGCAACAGCTCAGCGTGACAGATTGGTCCTTGTGGTTGCAGGCTCTGTTGAGCAGGTTCAGATTGCAGTCGCGTCGGTCGCTGCTGCATCGCTCCTTGCCCTGCCAGCCAACGCTGGAGTCGTGCTCCAACAGCCTGAGCTCAAGAAGGTAACAGGATACTTTATGCGGCGCATAAGGCGGCTATTGAGCTGACTTGTGGCGAGCGCTATTCACTGCAAGCATATTCAGTTGCCCCATTGTTAGTTGCGTCAGGTCTACCCTGCTGTGCAAGCCGCGCGCCCTCCTTTTCCCCCTCCATGCTCTTCTACGGTGACACCACAGATGCAGCTTGCCCCTTACTCTTGTCCGTTCACTCCCGCCTTGCGTGCTGCCTGCTGCACCCGTGCCATCCGTACAGCTCTTCCAGGATGACACCCCCGCTCCGGCGCCTGTGAAGCGCGAGTTCAAGGGCCTCGCAGCTCAGTCCATCTCCCTTCCCTCCGCTCCCAAGCTGACTGCTCCCAAGCTCGATTTTGAGGCCCCCAAGAAGGCTGTGGAGAAGAAGGCGGAGGCTGGCGAGTCAGGCATTTCCCTGGACCCCCGCAGCATTGCCCTGCCAGGCACGTACATGCTCCCCCCGGCCTGCGCGCAAAAAGCCGTACTTGAACTAATACCCATGCATGCATTGCCGCGGCAGATACGGCTCTTGGGTCCATCCAATTTATTAAAAACAACGCCATGCGGCTGTCGTGTGTGCCTGCGTGCGTTACACTCTGCGCACGAGTTTGCCGTGGCCTCCTCTTGCTACGGTACCCGCATTCTGCGTTCTGGAGCGCACCGTGGAATTGGCCATCAAACTATCCTTGGCTAACTCGGGCTGTACGCCCCGCGCTGCTCCCCAGGTGCCCTAGCGCTCACCATCGGCGGCTTCTTCGCGGCGTCCAAGATCGACAAGTCCTTCAACGAGTGGTTCACGGAGGCCGTGGTCAAGGTGAGGCGGGCTGCGGCTTTGCTCCCCTGTAAACAGCAATCAAGCAGCAGGTCCTGCATCATTGGTTTTGCGCATGAAGCCAAACAACAGCTGGATCTCGTACATGTCGACCCACATGCCGTACATCAGCAAACCCGAGCCGTACATCCCCCTCGCCTGCGCCGCAGGACTCCAACAACTACGCCGGCTACGAGGCCACCCTGAAGACGGACAACGGCGTTGTCTTCCCCAAGGCCACTGCCACGGGGACCAAGAAGGTAATGCGCTGTCGTCTGGCAAGTGCACTGGGGATGCCTTACTAATGGCGATTGGGCCGTGTCATCTTGTATGCAAGCGCGACGACGTTCTGCCAAATACCCTGATTTCCCCCTTAATGGGTTGGCTGCTGCTGCTGCTGCAGGTGAAGGCGGCGACGGGCTCTAAGAAGGGCGGCTTCCCCTTCGGCGGCAAGAACTGAGCGCTGCCGCTGCATGCAGCTGTTCGCAAGGGGCAAGGGAGCTTAACTAGAGCCTATACATGACAATTTGCCAGGGCTACTCACCATGCCTTGGATGTATCCTTTTTGACCCACTTGCCCGGCCCCATACATGAAGTGATTCCAGGCTCGTCTGGATGCTTTTGGCCGGCGCGAGGGTTGCTGTGGTGATGTGGTCTTGGTGTCGGGTCGGACACATTGTGGGTAGCGTTGCTGGCGAAGTGCCTCGAATGTTGTATAGCGTCGTTTGTGGGAGCGGGGGCAGCAAAGGGCGGATATCGCCTCGCATCGAGGTTTTTCTCCGGATGCTTTGCCACGGGCCTTGAGCGTGTGCAGGTATTCGTCACGGGCTAGAGGGCATGGGAGCGATGAGAGGTGCTGAGGAGAGCATGTGTGTGCAGAGGACGCGTGCTGTTGCGCCTAGTGAGCGTTGTAAGCATATTCAGGCGAGGCTCATGGAGCGGATGGTAGAGACGGGTATACCTTGCCGTGCCCTGTTCTCGCATGAGCCACGATGCCTCTCCTGTTATGGAGAAGATTGCTGCTTATTTTGCATGGCGTGCATAAGTATGCATGTGCCATGCGTAGTATACAGATGACTGTTTGTTCGGAGAGTAGACGGTTTGCCATGCTTGGTAATACACTCCACGCTAATCTTCTGCTGCCACAAGGGAAGCTGGCTACGCTACATAAGACTGCTGCTTCATGCGCCAGTCATCAGTTACGTCAGCAACGGAGGCAGCCCCCGAGCCCGGAGGAGACGAAGGTTAACTGCTGCGCCATAAGTTACCTAAGCACTGGACTTGGCACTCTGGGATTCGCCCTATATCCGTATACACCTTCAGCGGTGGCCCGCGGGTCACATTGGGATGTTCCCGGCAATGCAGCAGCCCAGTGGAACTTATAGCAATGCCGACAACACGGACGTCTCCCACTGCTGCCTACGAGGAGGCATGGAACACTGACGCACCCAAGTGCATCCACATATCGGTAGGCAATCCCCACAACGGGTGCTGCATTGGCTATTTTTCCAGAACAAGCAAGCAGCGACGCCCGAAGACGTTCACGGTTCGTTCTTCGCCCGAAGACATCACAATCGTTTCATGCGTTGCGTGCATTATGCATTTCATTTTACGCTAGGCTGCGCCCCTGCTGCCTTGACAGAGCCCCACCACAGTATGTACATGATACCCTGTCAACAACCTGCCACTTAGCACAGAAACGTGGTATGCCAATAATACCAAAGGCAAGGCATACATAAGTATTCTTCACATCTACCCGCACTGCGCACGGCCCATGACCCATACCAGCTCGCGGGCATAGCAGCCCTAGTACCTCTCAGCCTCTCCCAACACCCACTGGTTTACACTACCCCGGACCACCCAACAAACCACACATCAATCCTAGCGGCCCCAACGCGGCCTGGCCAATCCCCTCTCACACCGCTGCCGCTCCCGCACCCCCTCTCCGGGGCGCGGGGGATGGAGCTGGAAGCACGGCAACAGCAGCAGTGGCGCCGGCATCCTCTCCCTCCTCCCAGGGGTAGGGGCTGACGCTGCCGAGCCCGATGCAGTTGATGCAGTTGTGGTCGCCCGCCCCCTCGCACATGGTACACACGCTCCAGCTGTGCGTCTGCGCGGGCGGCGGCTCCGGGGTGGGCCAGTACTTGATGACTCGCTCGCCTGCGTGGAGGGGACACAGCGGGAACGCCGGGGGAGAGCAGGGCATGCGGGCGCAGGGACGGGCGCCGAGCATTCGGGCAGCGTTAAGGCGGGTTCGCAATCGCTTCAGGGTGGTGCATCGCCTGATTGGCTCAGGGCAGGAGGAGCCAGCTGCCCGGCTGCATGACGGTCATGTCGCAGCGTGGTGCAGTCGGGCGCCCTACCTTCGCAGACCTCGCAAACAACTCGTTTCTTTGCTCGGCAGACAGTGCATGGTACCTGTTGGCGAGCCTGCAAGCACGTGGGATTTGGAGGGCGGGATTGCATGGGAGGCAGGTGTGGCCAAGAACGGCACAGGCGTGATCCCACGGCAACAGGAAGGTGGATTGCGGGAGAGGGTAAAGGCTGCAAGGACGCACAGGCGTGGCATGAAGAGGCGAACAAATGTTGAGGGAGGGGGCTGGGCATGGGTTATTAAATGGAAGAAGCAGTCTACACCTGCATGAGGCGTGTCGGACTTACCTTCTGCTTGCCCATCACTGCTTTTGCCACACCCATAGTTGCCGTGCAAACCAAGGTACTCGCACCGCCCATGAATAACATAACACCGCCCGCCGCCAGGAATGCACGACCTAGCGCTTGCCTAGCGGCCATATTGGTATTATATTCCTAAAGGACTAGCCAGGAGCTCCTTGTCACCTCCAATTTGCCTTATTGTTATCAAGGAACGGTGCTGAGTAATTGTTGGTGACTATATTCTTGTCAAACAAAGTCATTAGGGGTAAGCTGTGCTGGTACAAAAGCAATTTGCATGGGGCCTGAACGTCGATGTTCATATACGTCATCGGATTCAGCACTCGTCGCCATCGGTTAGCATACCCATATCTGCTAACCCGACATTCTCTTTACTCATAGTTAAACGTACAAGCTCGCACTCACTGTTACTCCCTGTGTTGCATCCGCAACTGTGACCCTTTCTCGGCGTACAGTACGCACAACGCCTTGTAACAAGTGTAGCCCAGGCGAAAATGCTCTTATGATCTGAACGTTCCTCTGCTTGAGTAAGCTTTGGGTGAAGCGAGCCTAGATAACTTTGGGCACCACAACCCTCGGCGATCGCGCGAGTCCAGTGCCTATAACAGGAAGCTTCGCAATTGGCCTTGACACATATACCTACGGTGTAGATCACTTAGGGCACGGCATCTGCACAGCTGGCGGGAGACCAGCTTGTTCGATACATCCACTATGTATTCTGGCAGGCGCGGCAAATAGCCAGTACGACCTTCGTGGATGGACATAGCTTTCTGGATAGGCTTGCGGGCACTTCGGGTAGCCTGAGTTGGAGAGACAGAATAATTCCGGTCGACTTGCCAAAACCGTCACATGGCAGCTGACGCCGGTCGCGAAGAGGGATACGAAATTCCTATCCGGCTTCAATCTCACACAGAATGTCTTGAGAAGCTGTTCTTGCCAGGTGGGTTTAATAACCGGGTAATTTGTAGCCGGCACTCCAAGTCACGAGCATGGCTACAAAGCGCGTAGCCAACAATTAGTAATTTTGCATGCTTTTGGACATACGTTTAAAGTTGCATAAGTAATCGCCTCACCAGTTACGCCTGCTCTATGCCGCTGTCGGGACACCCACGGTTCACCTTCCACGCACCCAACCTTTCCCAACCTTTCCCTGTACGCCCATTCCGCAGGCAGTCGTGCTACTCCATTTACGAATCAGGGCCAAGCTTGCGGCCAGCAGGGACAGGACGTCAACCCGCTGCCAGGACAGCAGCCTCGCCTCTTTCCCCCGACCGTGCAGACGCTGCGTAGCCAGCTGACACAGCTGCAGCAGCAGAGGCGTGCGAAGCAGCGGCAGCAGATCACACTGGATGCGAATCCTGTCCGCTTTGACGTGCCACGGGTGGTTCAGGAGCAGCTGCAGGGGAGCAGTGCGGACGCCCACAGGTAGGAATGTCTCGTATACCCGAGGTTATCACTTACCGGTATTTCCTCATCAGGCTAAACCGTCTCGCCAATAGCTACGGTACCTAATGCGTTTTCCCCGCTATTGGGATTACCTGCCAAATGAGATTTCAAGCACGCAACCCAAAAAGTCGTTCATTGCACCCCCTGCCACCATGGTCTCCTAACCTCACCACTGCCATGCTTTCCTCACAGGACCCTTCAGCTCGTTGGCGGCAGCGCTTTGCCTGCAAATGTGGCCTCCACTCTTTGTCGCCGGGATCGGGGCGGTGGTGTGCTGGTGCCCCTCAGGATGTTGGCCTCCCTGGTGATCACTGATGGCGCCGCTGGAGCTCCTCTGGACGCCGGTGAGGCTGGCCAGGCAGCCGAAGCCGCAGCAGCTGCTGCACAGCCCCGCCAGCAGCAGGAGCAGCAGGAGCGTGAAGCTGGCGTCCTGGAGCAGGACGAGCAGCGGCACCCACAGGCCCAGCGGCCTCGGGCACAATCGCTGCCAAGTAAGTTGTAGCAAAGCAGTTGCGTACTACGCAGGGGATTGTGGCTTCTGAAATGCCGTTTTAGACGCTTGAAGCAGGGGTTCATGGGACTTCAAGGTTGACTTCCTCCCTTGCACATTGCACTGTCAGCTGCACTGTCGGTCTCGTTTCGTTCCCATTGCCGCGACCAACTCCTACTCATATAGCCCTTTTTCACCACACCATGTTCCCTCATGGCCCCTTCTCCAGGTATTGGGCGCACCAGAAGCGGCGATTCGGTGTCGGTGCCGCATCAGCAGCCACCCGTGGGCGAGGGGCCTCACCAGCAGCAGCAGCAGCAGATCCCCCCGCAGAACCACCCTCCCGAGCCCCAGGCTGTAGCCGCTGGGTCCCTCCAGCAGGGGGCCGCTCCAGGTGCGGCTCCCGCTGACCAGATAGAACACCAGATGGACGCCACCGCAGCCGGCTTGGAGGGGCAAGCGCCCGAGGATGGGGCCGTACGGCAGCCCATCGGGGCAAACAACACAGCGGGCTCCCAGCAGCCGCAGGGGGGCCATGCACCCCCGCAAGCCTTGGCTCCCAGCCTGCACCGCATGTCTAATCCCTCACCCGCAGGCAGCCGCAGCCCACTAGCTTCCGCGCCGCTGTCAGCCGAGCACACCTTCCTTGACTCGTCGCAGCGGTATGAGCGCGAGGAGCAGCCGCCTGAGCTGTATCAACCTGAGCAGCAGCAGAGTCCATTGGTTGAGGACTTTGGCGAGAACGCGGGCACAGCTGCCACCGCAGGTAACACGGTACCAGACGATGATGAAGGAGACGGGGCCATGCTTATTGATATGGGTTCGTCCGACCGTACCCCGGAGGGTGCGCTGCTTCCGACCCCGGAGCGGCCGCGAGGAGCGGTTGCCGCCAGCGGTTGGGACGAGCTGCGGGGCCTGGGCATGCCTGCAGACAACGAACTGGCAGGCGGCGGCAGTGCTGGTGGTGGCGTTGCAGGGGCGCTGGCACTGCTGTCCCCACCTCCGCTAGACACTGCAGCGATTACGGACACGGACATCAGTCCAGACATGGCCGCACCGGGGCAGCTGCCATCCCCGCAGCAACCGCAGGAGCTGTTGGATGATGTGATGGGCGAGGCTGAGCAGCCGGGTGCTGGTGGGGCAGCGGCTGAGGTTGGGGCTGGGGCGGCGGTGGAGAGCAACCGACTGGAGTCCCGGCAAGCGGCGGCAGGGCTGGGTGAGGGAGCTGGCGTGGATGTGGCTGCGGACGAGGGCTTTGACGCGGATGATGAGGGTGAAGCGGCACGACGTGAGGAACGTGCACGCGCTCCGACCCGTGCGGGAGGTGGGTACTGGCATCCTTGCGGAATGCACAAACAACGCTGGCATTGTGGCTTAAAACTTGAACGGATGATTGCACCCTTGTTGCACGTGTGTGTGTTAGTGGGCGAACCCGCAGCACGTCGGCGCGTGGGCGGTCGGCACATCCATCCACCCTTCCTGAGGTTGACCTTTTTCCCCTTTGTTTCGCCATCCTCGCAACCCTGCTCGGTTCGCCCAGCCCGAGGCCGCCACCTGCCTGGTCTCTCCTCCGAGCTTCCCTGGCACGGCACCCCGCTGGCGGCGCACGCCATGAGCGACCTCATACCCGGAGCCGCAGTCGCCACGTCCGGTCCCTCGCTGACCCTGCATCCGCTGCCAACCTCAGCGCCTCGCCCGCATGGCCCGCATGGCCCGGAGCTCGATCCTGTCTTGGTGGAGCTGCTGAAGCTCAAATGCGCGTTGCGGCGGGCCGTACAGGGTCAAGACACGCACGCCATGGGGCTCATTCTGTCGCTGCTGGCGGCGCTGCCGGCCTCGCCGCAGCTGCTGGCACACAGCCAGATCGTTGCGCTGGTAGCGCCGCTGAAGCAGCACGCAAACGAGCAAGTGGCGGCTGCGGCGCGGTAAGAAGCAGGGAGCAGGGAATGGGGGTCATGGGCAGGCACCGGCTGGTTGAGGGGGGAGCATGCATGCTGCGTGTACTTGGCGACTGAGTGCGACATGCACCGGCTGCAGATGCCTCATGCTAATCCCAGCGACTTGGCCCTCTGCCGCCCATGATGCTGCTGCGCAGGCATCTGCTGTCTTTCTGGAAGACATCCCTCAAGCTAGCTGCGAAGAGGGCTGCATACAGCGCTGCTCCTTCCCAGGGCATCCCACAGGGCGGCGCTGGCAGGTCAGCTGCGGCAGGGGCGGCCGCTGCTGCCACCTCGCGTGACGCCGCTGGTGTCCCTCAGCCTCAACCCCAGCCCCGCAGCGGCCTGGCTCAAGGTCGACATGCGCCAGGCTGGCTTGCTGTGTCGCGGTCGGGGCAGGACGTGGCATCACTGGGGCGCGAGGAGGCCCAGGACTCCGATGTCGCCATGAGGGATCAGGCGGATCAACAGCAGCAGGAGAAGGAGCATCAGCAGTGCGCAGGGCTGGATGAGCGTTGCCTTGCACTTGGCCAAGCAGACGATATGGCAGAAGACTTGCTTATTGAGACGGGCGGCTCACAGCCAGCGTGCCAACTGGTTTCCCCGCGGCTCCCGCCGATGGCGCTGCAGCCCAGTCCTGGCGGGCAGCTGCCCCTTGTGGGTCTTGGAACAAGCGGAACCGGGCTTGGAGGCGACAGCGGTTCCACTCGTGTGTGCTCCGGCTGCTCTCCGTCAGACTCGCGAACCGTGACGGACGTGGAAGTTGACGTCCGCAGTAGCGACGAGGAAGCGGCCGACGAGGGACTTGCAGCCGCTGAAAGTGCTCTAGCTGCTGGTGGCATTATCACAGACGCCGGCTTGCTGTGCGAAAGGGGGCACGGCCGCAGCACGCCGGGGGCCGCAACGTCTTGCTTGCCCCTGCGCAACCCCTCGGTTGCGGTGACAGGGCCTGCGACAGCAAACTTTCCCCTCCTGTCCCACGTACAACCGAACTTGCATGGAGCCGATACCGGTGGATTTTGCATGGTACCGGTCACGGCCCTGGCCCCAGCAGTGTCGCTGCCACAGCCGGTTCCGCGCGCGCCCCTGCCAGCGACCCCGAGGGAACTCACCGCAGCTCGGACAGCAGCAGCTGTCACCGCAGGAGCTCCGGCCTGTCCGCCTGGGAGGCCAGCTCCGAGCAGCATTCAGGGAACAGGTGGAGGCGGAGGCGCGGGCGGGCGTAACGTGTGCAGTGGCGGCGTCCTGCCGACGCCGTCCTGGAAGACCTCAGCCTGCACGCTGCCACGGCATCCGCACCCAGAAGCCGGTGCAGGGTTGCAGGCGGCAGCTGCGCCCTTGGGGTCTGCTGCGGTGACGACAGCGCCGTTGGTGCTGGCGCAGCCCACTCGGCAGCCCCCAGCAGGGCGTAAACGCAAACTGGAGCGGCAGGTCTCCCGTCGGCGTTGCGGCAGCACTGGCAGGCGCGCATGCCCCGTCCTAAGTACCGGACAAACACCAGGTTGGTGCATGTTGCCGTGGAGATACCGGTAAAGGGTCGCGCCGCAGGCCGAAACTGTAGATTGCTGCATGTCATGCTGTCCTTACACAATGCTGGGGCTCCGATTAGGATAAGATTACGAACTCAGGAGGACTCGTACCCCCTTCCTGTCGCCGTGTCCCTGTTTCCACAGACACACCAGGTGCTCTTTGCTGCGGTGAGCAGGCGTCAACCCCAGTACATGGCTCCGCCGCCGCTCATAGGGCGCCCGGCCGCGCCAGCTTGGTGGGCCTGCATGCGCCCCTCAACAAGCGGCAGAGGTACCTCTCAGGAGGGCCGGCGGGCGCGCACGGCACGGCGGCGCAGTTACGGAAGGTGTCACACTTGCTCGGCAGTCTCGACTTGGGCAGCGGCTGCGAGGCGGGCAACGAGGCATGGGATGAGGAGGCGCTGGAGGCAATGGAGGGAGACGTGGAGGCTGATGCCGACTTGGGCAGCCAGGACGAGGCGGCGATGCTGACGTCAGAGGACGACACGCAGCCGCTTAGCGCTGACGCTGGCGCCAGCGTGCCGGCGGCAAACGCAGGCGGTGGTGGGAATCGCTTCGGCATTCGGGAGGGTGCGGGGCCCGCAGTCCTGCCCCTGACATCTCCAGGAGGAGGTGCATTGCATGGAAGCCTTGGCAGCAACATGGACAACCAGGACCAGGCCAGAGGGCCCGCTGCTGAGGAGTTGCTGTTTACCGCTAGCCCTAGAGCAGGGGCGCAGGACTGGGGTCTGGTGTCTGGTCACGGCGGAGGGGTTACTGACCGCGGTCCTGAGCTTGCTGCTGCATTGGAGGGCCAGCAACCTGGTCCGAGCAGCCCGCGGCAATCCACGGCGTTGAGACGCGCTTACCTTGCACTGCATGGCGACGACGGCAATGGCACCAACATCGGCGCTGAAGCAGAGGCGGCAGCTGGGCAAGCCGTCGCGCAGATGGTGAGTGTCTGAGTGTGTGTTGTTAACCTTGAGCCATGAGGGAACACTGCCCGTGACCCTAGCATGATGACGTCCAACAGAGGAGGTTCTGTTCAGGGGTGCTAGAAAGCATGTCACGTGTAGTCAGCTACCTATGGTGACGCCATGTCGGCAGAATTAAGCTGCGACGCCGTCGCTGAATTGCGTTTGCCGTGCGGTGCCGGAACCTTACATCAAGTCCCAACCCAACGAACGGATGGCCCAACCCCCTTTTTGCCCTGCCTGCTCACAGGTGCCTTCCGTGGCTAATTGACCGTCCAGGAGAATCCTGCATGTGTGCTGCGAAGCAGCTCTGTACAAAGGCGGCAGGTGGTTGGCTTACTGTATTTCATTCTATTCTCTCCGTTTTAGCGTGCCTTCGGCTTGTTGGCTAGTGATGTGACTTGCGTATCTGCAGCGCTTGACAGACATCGATGTTCCTGTGAAAGGAAACCTTACAGATTTGTTGGTGGGGCCCCCAGCGGAGCCGCGTCGTGTCGTGGTCCGTGGGCCGGCCCCAACCACCACACCGTTGGCACTTATTGTCTGATGTTGCTTGGGCGTTCAGTGCCGCACTACCCATGCAATGAGACGTGAACGAGATTGCGCTGACTTTGAAGCTCGCCGCGCGTTAAACCACAACTGTACATGTACACCTACTCGTCCACGGGGATGCTATGCCATCATTGTAAAATATTTAATACCGGTAGTCCGTTACATGCAAGCACACGGCCTCAGCAGGGCGGCTGGTACTCCGCGGGGTAGGCGACCTTTTCATTTGGCTGCTCGACGCATTGCCCAGTGCAGAGCGAGTTCCCTGCCGCGCCGCTGAACATATGGTTCCGCCCTGCCAGCGCCCCGCAGAAACTGCACAAAGGGGGCGCCGTGCATACCGTCAGGGAGTGGCAGGGTCAGGAGCAGGGAACCCCGAGTGCCCGTAGCAGAGACAACGATTCACGAATAGCACCAGCCCTCACTGCCCACCTGCACTTGGCGTACTCGGGCTTGCGCTTCAGCCAGTACCACACTCGACGGTTCCCTCGCCGGTGGACGGACAACTGCGTAAGCAAACCCGGCACGCTTGAGAACAGCGTGTTGAAAATTGAAAAAGTTATGAACGCCCCGACCTTACCTTCTTCTTTGGGGTGGCGCATATCTGAGGGAGCAAGTCTAGCCCGAAGTTCGCTCCCGATTGCGCTCCCCATGCAGCCGGCGATACAATAGAGGGTTGCTGCTGGCAAGTTTGGCCGCTGCTTGACGCTGATCCGCTCTCAGTAGTTATGAACGCTGTGCAGTGCCGGCTTGCGCCTACTGCTGATGCTGTCGTTGCGCTGGCCATCCAACGTGAAAGCCCAGCAGCGCTTGATACAAGCAATGACCGCATTTTTGTATCCTCTGTTCCGAAGCGCAAAGTAGTTTAAGCTATTCACTATAATGTCGGGCTTCAGATTTTGTTGGAATAGCGGCGCAGGCCTTAGCCCAATTGTTGGCCTTCCCCAATTCACTCTTTACAATATTATGTACTAAATGAAAGTAACCTGGCTGTAACATGTATGTCAGTACATCCCGCGCCGTACATCATTCTCCGCGCCCTCCTGGGGGCCCAAACACATTGCCAAGTACATTCATCGCGCGCTCCAGCTGCCGCATGCACCCTGCCTATGACGTGTACCATCCTGAATCTCCTATGCTAAACCCCAAGTGTGCCGGGGTGCTGAGCCGCGCAAGCACATCAATCCCCTAAAAATCCCAGCCAGCCCAGCATCACGCATGCGTCACACATCATGCACTGGCCAGGATGGTGAAGAAGTAATTGACCTCCAGCACACCGTCCTCCGGCAGGTCAGTGCAGTGCACGCCGTTCTGGATGTTGTTTAGCCCAAAGCGTGCACGCAGCGACTCGGGGCGCAGCACACGCGCCAGCTCGGGGTCCATGGGGCCCGCCAGCTGCCGGAAGGCCTCCACGCAGTCTGCACCGTCCCGGTCCGCCACCTCCAGCGCCAGCGTGGGTCCGCTGGTGAGGTGCTCCACCATGGCGTTGAACTCGCCCGCCGGCAGCACGCCCTTGTACACCTCGTAGAACTGAGGAGCGCATGTTGGGATGACATGGGCACAAGAAACGACAGCTTTGGGAAGCCCTTCTCAACCACTCCTTACTGTAGGAAGTGAAAACTCACCGCCCTTCCATGTACAATACGGTACCCTTTTCAGCAATAGCTCATACAGTAGCAAAATGCTGCCATCTCTGTTACCCCGTGCTTCATGCACACGCACCTCCGCTGCCGCGTTGCGGTCGAGGCTGAACAGCTGCGCGGCCGTGACCACGAAGGCGTCCTGGACCATGTCCACCACCAGCCCCGCCGCGCCATCCGCCACCAGGTGCGGCTTCACGAGGCACAGCGTCGTGCCGCGAGCCACGTCGCACTTGCCCGGGTAGCGCCCCGGCCCGAAGAAGAACGCGCACTCCTCAGCCGCCGTCTCGGGCGCGTCGGAACCGTGGCATGCGTTGTACGTCTTGTCCGTGCCGAACTGGGCGCGTAGGGAGTTGGGCGCCTCGGCGCGAGCCTGCACAGCCATGATGAGAAGGAGCGAACGATGGGCAGTGTTCAACTGCTAGGAACCGCGGATTTGAGCTCATAGGCCGGTGTGTCTTGTTGCCTGCATGTACTGCATGGAGGCAGCAACCTCCTTCGCAACACTTCCCACGCCCACACTTCAGCGTCTTCACATGGCTTCAACTCGCGCTAGACGCTAACAGGCTTCATGCGTTCATGCCTTAGCACCCCTCCCCACCACGGCTCCCACCGGCTGGCTGGCTGGCCGCCAGCCGACCACCCCACCTGGTTGCTGTCCGTGGGCCCCAGCAGCTCGCGCCACTTGCGGATGGCCCCCGGCGCCACCAGCTCCATGGCGCAGATGCGGCCGCTGGACATGAAGTCCGTCAGGCGGTCGTAGAAGGGCTTGCCGCGGTGCACGCCGTAGAACTCCTGCGCCTCCTCCTTGGACAGCTTGGCAACACGCAGCTTGCTGAGGGGGGAGGATAGCAGGCATGGGTGGGGTTAACGGTACGAGGACAGGGCACAGGGGTTGTGAGTAGCACCGGGATAGGCGTTCATGCGAACAAGAAGAGGTCATACGCCCAGGTTATTCGTGCGTGGCCATATGAACGCACTATGGGAGCCAATAGCTATGTCGGGAGGACCTCTTCCGCTTGATTTGCCCCAGCGCCCCCACCTGATGAGGAACCCGCTTTGGCAAATCGCGTCAATAATCTTGCCCATGTTCTTGTACGCATCCGGCTTAATCATGGCCAACGTCCTGTCCAGCAGTGTTGAGGGGGTGTGGAAGTTAAGGCAATGTAGTGTGACTGCCCATGCACGCAAGGACGCCGGAAGTACCGGTAGTCCGGGAACGCAAACCCTCTCAGCTGCCACGTCCAGAGGGTCTCCAACCAACCCAAATCGTGTACGGTACCCACCGCTCCGTTTGATTCTCAATCTTGCTGCGGGTGAACTCGTCGCCATACTCTATCAGTTTAAGTTGCCTGTAAGGGGGGGTGCGGGTCTTGATCGACTAAGCACGGGTGGGGAGAGGCGTCAGAGGTGTTACGCGCACCTGCCATAGACGGTGACAGTGCTTCCAAGGTAGAGCAGGGACGGCCGCAACTCCTCGTACTTCGTGCGTTTTAGGAAATGACGACGGTTCTTGATGTCCACCTGCAAACCCGGCAATTCACATGTGAATGGGCCGCGCATTACTACAACCGGGAAGGCATAGGACACAGAAGCTGCAATTTCACTGTCCCATGGTACTTCTAGCTAGGTATAGTAACCATTATGACAGGACGCGTGCAAGCAAGTGCAGTCGTTGGGAAATTGACATGTCCGAAGGCAAGAATGGTCTGCAAACGGCCTCGCTTTCCCCGAAATTACTGCTAGTGCACTACGGAATAAAGAGCAGATCACACGTTTACCCACCATTTCAACTTCTTTGGTCTCCGGGTACCAGAACAGCTGGTACTTCCAGAGCACACCAGATGACGGGTCCAGCCATTCGCTAATGAAGCAATATCTAAGCATAGCAGCCATGTTTAACTGCGCTAGACCTTCGCGGCTAAGGGGATAGGAACCGCTTTCAGTGCCTTTTGTTAACTGGATCCTGCAGCAAACGCAGACCCTATATCATGTTAACTGTTCAGCAACTTGTCGACATAATAAAGTTGAGTGTTGCATTGCTCGGTGCGGGTGCCCGGCGATGTACGGTAATCCGAGGGCTTCTACCAGAGCTTTCCAAGTAGCCCAAACATTCACTAATTCAATAGCGCTGAGATCACATAGAAAGGAGCTTTAGAGTACCATCCTCAGCGCCGCCCGCGTTTTGTCGGGGCTGAGCCCCCAGGGGCAGTTAAGCATAGAACGATGTCAGGATTCCAAAAACAGCCGGTGAAGCAGGTCGTAGGCTTTCATGTAGAAGGCGCGACGCCATCGCCCACTCAGCCGTCCCTTTTGCAAGGGACCATGACGGCCGGCTCGCCCACGCCAGTGATCATCCCACCGACGTTTCAGGTACAATACCTGATCACTTTAAATTCCCTTAGCATTAAGCGATTGTCAGTTCCGCATGAGCATGTTGCTGGAGCTGGTACAGCTTGGGTTGTAACCTTTACCACCTTGTGCAGAGGGAGTCGTCGCACGGATCACGCCCCTCCGTAACTACAGACGCGGCGCCTCGTGCTCTGGTGCGTTCGTCGGGGAAGGGGAAAGGGGTTAATACCCACAGGCCGTCGCGGGCTGGGGTTGGGTGGCAGTGGTTGTAGGCCAAGTTGTAGCCCATCCGCTGGCTTTTACTCCCGCAGGACTCGACTACGTCAGGTGGGGTGCCGGCTTCAGGAGCGCAAGCCCCTGGACCTCAGCAAGCAGCAAACGAAGGTCAGTAGGCACAGGGGGTTCAGCCCAAGCACAAGCAGTGCAGAGAGCAGCATTTGGTTACGGTGCCGGGCTAACCTAGCGCTGTGTGGCTCGAGACAAGCCCGCTTGGGCATCCTATACCCGCATGCAGAAGGGCGCAGCATGCGCGGAAGGGCTGAACAAAACCGGTTGCATAATTAACATCGCACTAGCCTTCGGACACCCCATACTACCATAGCCGCCCGGTGATAGCCCTCCCGCATGCATCATGGGGTTCAGCGCATGAACCGGACGCAGATGGAGCTGCTTAGCCACTCCCTCGCAGCATCATTTCCAGTTGCGACATGCCTCATCCCATGGTCGGTGTGTGCACTGCTTGCGCAGCTGGATTCGCGCCTGTTGCATCCTCCGTGCGGGCGGTCCCGCCGTCAACGTCTGCCCCTCGCCCCATCCAGCACCCTGATAAGGCGGAGGCTTCTCATGCAGGTCTCATCAAGGTGGCCTCGCAACTCAGCATGGCGTCGGAGGCATCCATGACGTCATCGGGTGGGTGGCCTGGGTTTAGGGTGCGGGGCGGCGGGCAAGCATGCAAACTGGTGCGGGATTTCGGCTTTGTGACTGGACAAGGCCTGCATGTGTACCCTAAGATGGCCATAGCGTGCTTCTCTCTGCCCACAACCACTCAAGAAGTTGCGTCGTGCCTTGAGCGAACGTTCCTGGCCCCTTCCGGCATGGCTTACCCCAGGCATGTTCTCTTTAGAGACGACGTCACGCTTGACGCCATCACCGCACCTACCGCAGCAGCAGCAGCAGCAGCCCGCCTTCCCAGCAGCCCACGCTGGCAATTCTGCCGCGCAGCAGCAGCCAGCGCAGCAGCAGCATGTGCACCCGCACCCTGCGGCCCAGCCGCAGGCCGGAGCCAGCCAGGCGGATGCGGCGAGCAAGGCGGGCAAGTCCCAGAAGGAGATGACTAAGGCGGAGCGGCGAGCGCTGCAGGAGAGTCAGCGGGCTGCCAAAGCGGCGCAAAAGACCGGCGGCGGGGGTGGTGGTGGTGGCGGGGGTGCGCCGGAGAAGGGCAAGAGCAGCGCGGCAGCAGCGGATGCGGGCGCAGCGGCTGGTCGGGGTGGTCGAGGAGGGCAGGCAGGCGGGGACGCTAAGCCCAGCAGCAGCAAGGCCGCACCAGCAGCAGGCGCAGCAAGGTATGCATGGCCCTGCGCGGCAAGTGGGAATTTGGAAATGCCGGCTATGCTATGCAATGGTGCATAGGTGCGGTCTGTGCCCTCCTGTCCAAAGCTTTGGTTACTACTGAAAATGCCTGGTAAGGTCGTTTCCTTATCGTCAACTCAGGTTAACCGCTGAGCAATGCGTCACCCAAACCTCAGGGCTGATGGCGAGCGACGCACCGACAATGCTGGGGGGGCTGGTGCCGCGGGTGCCGGCGCGGCAGCGTCGGCTGCGGGCCCGGCAGGCGAGGGTGCGAGCGGGGCTGCGGCCGCAGCGGCTAAGAAGAAGAAGGACCCCAAGGCCGTGTCGCTCAACTCCACTGAGCTGTTCGCGCACCTGCAGCAGTACAAGCGAATCACCGTCTCCAGCCTGCTGCAGCAGCCCGCCACTGCCAACATCCACTCCGCCATCCTGCAGCTGGGGCTGCGGTATGCGGATGGGTCCATCCGCGGCGCCAATGCGCGGTGCCTTGCCATGCTCAATGCGTTTTGCCAGGTGAGCGAGCAGCGGTTGGCCAGGCCGTTGCGTGTGATGCGGAGGGCTTCCATGGTAGGAGAGGCCCACACATCGGAGACCGGACTGCTCCTTGGGAGCGCTGGCTGGGGGCTGGGGTGCGAAGCGTACCGACGTCACGTACCGAGGCGTTTGCTGTTTCCCTGCACCTGTGGCTCTTACCTTGTGTGGAGCTTATTGGTGGTAACTTAAAGGCACAGCACTCCTGCCCTCGTGTCGCAGCGCCCCTGCTATCGTGCCGTCACCCCCTCCCCTCTGAGTCCCCCCTCCCCTTACCTCTCCCCGCTGCTCCCCGCCGCTGCCGCCAGGTCATCCGCGACTACACCACCCCCGAGGGCAAGGAGCTGTCCCGCGACCTGCTCCGGCAGCTGAACGAGTACGTGAACTTCCTGGTGGTGTGCCGCCCGCTCAGCGTGGGCATGGGCAACGCCATCCGCCACCTCAAGCTGCGCATCTCCACCATCCCGCCCGACACACCCGAGGCGGAGGCCAAGGAGCTGCTGGAGCAGGTGGGCAGATACGTGGCCGGGCGTGCGCGCAGCTTCAGCTACTCAGCTTCACCACAACTGTTACAAGTCTGCCTGCATATCCGCCCGACCCCGTTCATGACCGCCAAACAACATGCCTCACGTGCTCTCCGATGCTCACCTTTCACCACCTTGCGCGCCTCAGGAGATCGCGGACTACATCAACGTGCGCATCGACAGTGCCGACAAGCAGCTGGTCAACTACGCCATGGCAAAGGTGGAGGCGCAGGGTGACGTCATCCTCACCTTCGCCGCTTCGCATGTCGTACAGCGGGCGCTGGTGGAGGCAGCGCGCGCCGGCAAGTCCTTCCGCGTGGTGGTCATGGACTCGCGGCCGGAGCTGGAGGGGCGCTCCACGCTGGCTCGGCTGCTGGCGGCGGGCATCCCCTGCACCTACGTGCACCTCAATGCGGCGTCGTACATCATCCGGGAGGTCACCAAGGTGCGCGACACAGGGTCACGATGAAGGTTTAGCCGGTTTGGGTGGTTGCGAGGTCTAGGGCTTGGAGAGCCCATGTACACGCTGCTTTGCTTGCGACTACGGTACCGGTACACTTGAAGGTTTGATGTTGCTATGACGGTGTTGGTGTCGTCACGCATGCTGCAAGCGGGGAACTAGGAGGCTGGTGGCCCGTGTCCTGTCAACCACGTACTCATGCAGCCACGTACTCACGCCCTGGTACGGCGCCACCCGCCTGGCCCCTCACCTCCCCCGCTCAGGTGTTCCTGGGCGCGGCTGCCGTGCTGTCTAACGGCACTGTGCTGTCGCGCGCCGGCACCGCCGCGGTGGCCATGATGGCGCACGCGCACAACAAGCCGGTGATGATCTGCTGCGAGACGCACAAGTTTAATGAGCGTGTGCAGCTGGACAGCATCACACACAACGAGCTGGGAGACCCGGAGGCGCTGGCGGCGGTGCCGGGCAAGCCGGAGATCAATGCGCTAGAGGTGCGAATGAATGATGGACCTAGGTCGTGGTGGTGGACTGTGGATGGGTTATTGTGCCATGCCCGCGCGAAATGTTTGCATTGGGGTCGGAAGCGGGTTCCATTTTTGGGAAAGACGTTTGCCTAATCGTTAATGCTGCGCGCCAACATTGTCAGTGGCTTCCGCTTTCACCTAAGCTATGTATGCTCTCAGTTGTTTTGTTGTTAACCCCACACCTCTCTCCTACCCGCCCTGCATGCAGGGGTGGAGCGAGCACCCCCGGCTGCGGCTGCTGAACCTCAAGTACGATGTCATGCCGGCAGAGTACGTGACGATGGTGGTGACGGAGTTCGGCATGGTGCCGCCCACCTCCGTGCCCGTCATCTTGCGCGAGTTCCGGCAGAGCGAGCAGACCGTATCGGGTCCCTTCTAACCGGTTGACAGGGAAGGAGGTCGCAGCGCAGCCGTGCGGGAAGAACCACAAATCGTTTGTGGGCCTGTCGGGTGGATGTTGTTGGACTGAGTAGCTTGCAGCGTTTCGTTTGGAGGGAGAGCTTTTATGCGACATCGCACGCTACGCGTAAGCACTGTTATCTTATGCATGGCAGGTTTTTGCAGGTGTAGATATCGTAATGGAGCTCCACGGTGGCCACGGCTCTGCTGCTGTCACAGCTGATGGGTAGTTGCGTCGTCAACTGGTTTGTTAGTCTCCGTAGCTCCGCATGTCTCCGTAGCTCCGTTTGTTTCAGTGCTGCTTATCCACAGTCTACGTTTGGGTAGAAGAAACAACGGCTTTGGGTTCGGGTTGTGACCAAAGACGGCATGGCTGCCAGGATGACAGTTAGTGTTTGGCTTCCGAATTGAGCCAAGACACAGAATTACAAAGGTGCTCAAGCCAACTTTCCTTTTGTAAGTTTGAGGCTCGTATGAGCGCATTATGAAAGCGGAACCCAGGAAACGACCGCTGGGCGGAGTCTTTGCCGCTTGCTCGCCTTATATAAATGTTCAGACTTACATATAAACCTGACTGTCTCTGGCAATGTAGGTTACACCGGGGACAAATCGCGCCAGCTCTTTGTAGTACATCTTGCACTGTTGACCAGCTGTACACACTTGCAAACTTTTTTCTGGATCCTATGATGGCCAAAAAAGCCCATCAGAAGGCAAGGTCAACGATAGATAGTCCAAGGAACGATTGTGTCTTCCGACCTAGGACACCTGCCAACAGCACCGGTGCATTCAAATTTCGCGCGCTTCTTTCCACGGTATAGTCGGCACAAGTGAGCAGCTGGAAACAAGGTTACTGGATTATTGGTCTAGTCTAGGCGGTATACGAATTCTTTTGCCACACCATGGTCTCCACCAGGTCGGGCCGTGTGGTGTCCGCCGATACATCCTATGGCGGCAGGGTGACGCGTTCTCGCTCTAGGAAGGAGTCTGAGATCCTGGCAGAAACGCTTACGGAAGAAGCGCTTGCAGCAGAGGCAGGGCAACCTGAAGTTACCAGTCCATTTCCTACCGTTACTCCCTCCAAGGAATTTTCGTTCCGGCCTGTCCAGCCTCCAGCGTTTGGCAGTCCAGCTCCAGTCTTTACGTTAGAGACGCCTATGGCGGAGCAGGTGTCGGGCACGCCTTTCCAGGAGCGCGTTATCAAGACGGTCGGCAAAGCCGCAGCTCAGACGCCTGTCGCCCGCTCGCCTGCCGCCCCAACACCCTCAGCCAAGGATGTCATGCAAATGGCCGAGATGCCGCTGCCGGAAGACAGCGCCGCAGATGAGCCCTTCGCGTCTTCGGAGGACGAGCCCCTCGTTCCCGCTTCACCAGCTGCTGACCTGCCCGCCGCGCCCTATGAGCAGGCGACGCAGCGGCGGGCCGCTCGCGGTGGTGGCCGCCTCTTCTGGAGCCTCTTTTTCACAAGCATTCTTGCCACGCTCGCCGTCGGGCTGTTCCTGGCGCCATGCGGCGACCCAGAGCTCTTCGCCATGGTGCCCTCAAAGACCTATGGGCCCCTCTGCCAAAACCTAGTGACCAAGCGCGGCCAAGCCTCCGACGTTGCCTCGAGTGTTTTCGCTCGGGCGATGGAAAAGGCCACTGCCGTTAGCGACCGGCTGCCGGCGCCCACCCTTGAGTTGCTGGGGAAGGTTTGGGAGCCCGTGCAGCAGGCCCATGCCGCTGCGTTGCCCTTCCTGGACACCACATCAGCGCAGATTGGACAGCGCCTGACGCCAATCCTGGTTCCCGTCAAGACTATCTGGCAGCGCTGCACGCGGGGGCTGTACTCCCTCCTTGGGCCCTTCCTGCACGGCGTGATGGCACACAAGGACGAGGGCTCTTCGGTGCCATCAGGTGTCGCCATGGCACCCATCTCCTGCATGGAGCAGTCCGAGTTCCTGGCCATCTTGGACCAGAGCCCGCAGCAGCAGCAATACGCGCAGGACCTGTGGGAGTTTGCGGGTGTGCAGGTGGCGGAGAAGCAGAAGGCCGCAGCGTGGGTCCTCACCTGCCGCAACGAGGCGGAGTGCGGGGCTGCCAAGGGCGCGCTCTTCGGCGCGTCATCCGGATTCCTCCACATCGAGGGCCCGGCTTTCAGCGAGGCCAGCTCTGCGGGGCAGCTGCAGCTGGAGCTGGTCGACTTCCTGCGCAGCAACCCCCGCGGCCTTGTGCTGGTGACCAAGCCGGAGCGCCTGCACCCTAACAGCGTGGTGGTGCTGAACAACGCGCTGTCGGAGAGCGGGCACCTACAGATGGACGGCCAGCCGGTGGCCACTGCCGAGGCGCTGTACGTGGTGCTGGTGGAGCATGTCGTACAGGGGGCAGATGCGGAGGAGGAGGTCAAAGATCGGCTGGTCAAGGCGATTTCCGAGGTGGTGAGTTAGTGTGTGGCGGCCCGGGTGGTCGGGTTAGTGGTGGATTGCGTAGGAAGCGTGTCGGGCAGGACTGGTAATGCACTAATGGAAGCTAATGGTGCCTAATAACAGCATGTTCCCTGCATGAAGCATGCGTGCGTCGCACTGGATGATCCCGTCAAGACCTCTGGCGGCTTTCCACTGTTGGTGTATCTTACGACGCCATTACAGATTACGCTGATGCCTGTTAACCTGGTCCCCGCTCGTTCCCACCCCTGTTTCCTCCCCTTCTCCACTTTAGGACCCCAACGCTGATCCGAACATGGTTGCGGCAGTGGTCCGCAGCTTCAGGCGGCGGCTGGATGCGGTCCTCTTCGTCAAGGCGCTCTAACTGCCCGTCAGCTGATGGTCCACAAACTACAGAAGCCAGTGCTTTTGGATATACCGTAGACGGGGTGATGGTGGGGCAACGATTGCAGTGCTGCAGCAGCGGAGCCATACTGCGGCACAACAGTGCCGTTAAGCATGTTAGCAGTCTTATCGTCAGTGCTGTTTGCTTGCTTGCCCTTGCTTTCGTGTGCCGCATGTCGATGTGGTTACGTAGCTCCATCTCTTTGAAGGCCCCAACTGGGTCGGCAACGTCGAAGGTGTCGTACAGCTTAGGTCCCGCGGGTCATCGACAGCAGGATGATGATGGCAGAGCGCGACGCGCTATATCGCCTGTAAGTAAGCCAGTATAATTTACAATATACAAAGTACTTATATACGAATGCCAAAATAGCCATACAACAAACGTCACAAGCTTTGCAGTTTGGCATTAAGAAGCACATAAGCGAGGCCTTAGCTACACCGGCGGCATAGCGCATTCTTGTACCTGGATTCAGCAAACTTTTAGTTGGTTATGAGATCTCAGATGCGTTTGAGCCCTTGTTCGCGAAAACTTGCCATCCATGGAACTGCCACTTCACGGTTAAGAAACATCCGAGTGCGAGCACAAGCACACAAGGAGGTAGAGATTAAACCGGGCGTGTATGAAGGGTAAGCCAAGGTGGATGCGGTAAATGTGGAATTAGGGTTGAGTGGTCAGCGCTAAAGCGCTGCATCGACAGGCTAAAAACGGTCCTGCTGTTCCCGATCACGGTCCTGCCGCCCAATACAGGTATTGGTCTTGGAACGGATATAAAATACGCTATCAGCGCAGCGGCAGCGAAGGTGAACCGGTTTTGCTGGTTCATGGGTTTGGCGGCAATGCGGACCATTGGCGTAAGAACACGCCCGTGCTTGGCAAGCGTTATCGAGTGTTTGCCATAGACCTTCTGGGGTACGGCTACAGCGACAAACCAAGTCCCAGGTCGGTTGGTTGCAACGCTGCCCTGTTTTGGCACGGGGCAAGAAGGGCCCCTGAGGGCCCGAGGTGCCCTGAGGTTCGGCTACCCGGCCTTCGAGCACGGGAAGGGCCCCTGAGGTTCATGCAGTCGCTGACACATTGACCCAATGCCCAATGCCTCAATTGGTGTCCAAGGGGTTGCGATGCCGTGCACACCGGTCTCCTCCGTCACCATTCCCTCTGGGGTTTCCGTACCCATTTCTCCCCTCTTCGCCCCCTCCCCCTCCTAACACACACTCAGGTCCGCGCCCCCCAACTCGCTCTACTGCTTCGACACCTGGTCCCGCCAGCTGCTGGACTTCATCCGGCAGCAGCTGCACGGCCAGCCCGCAACGCTGGTCTGCAACTCCGTGGGAGGTGGGTGGTGACCTGGTGAGGCGAAGACGCCACAAGTAACCGGGGGTAGGGGCGGGGGTGCAGCAGTGGTCCTCAGGGCTCACACCAGGTCGGTGGGCGGGGGCATACACAAGCCCCTTTCTTCCGCCTCGTTTACCCCGTTACCGCGCACTCTTTGCCTAACCCGCACCCCCGGCCCCACGCAATCCCGCATGCCCTTCCCAGTAACTCTTAACCCCAAGCTCCTCAACAGCGGGCGCGCCCAACCCCGGCCTCTCCCCTGCCCCCCTCTTCCTGCCAGGTCTGGTGGGTCTGCAGGCCTCCGTGTCCGCCCCCGAGCTGGTGTCCGGCGTGCAGTGCCTCAACATCTCGCTGCGCAACCTGCACACCGCCCGACAGCAGCCCTGGCAGCGGCCGCTGGTGGGGGCGCTGCAGGCGGTGCTGCGGGAGACGCCCGCGGGGCGGGCCTTCTTCCAGCAGGTGGCCTCGGAGCGGGTGCGTGGCGTGCGGGGAAGAGTGGCGGAGGTGTTGGTGGTGGTGGTGGTATAGAAGAGGATGGGTAGGGTAGGATCAGGGAGGGCGTCGGGTGCTTAGCCCCCGTTTACTACTACTGTTGCGGTGATGACACGGTCCCTCTCGCACTGGCCGTGTTGCCTGGCCCTGCATCCTTTCCCACCCACTCTTATAAGGGTGGCAGTTGCCCACCGAGTAGTGCTTGCCTCTGCCGCTCCCAGCTTGCTACCGGTATTACTTCTTCTTCCTTCCTCTTCTTCCCCCTCTTCCTGACACACACAGGCGGTGGGCAACATCCTGCGTGAGGCCTACGGGGTGCGCGGCGCGGTGACGGAGGAGCTGGTGCGGCTGCTGGTGGGGCCGGGGCGGCTGCCCGGGGCGGCGGAGGTGTTCCTGGACTTCATCAGCTACAGCGGGGGGCCGCGTGAGACACTGGGGGGGGAGGGGCAGGGCGAAGGGGAAGGGGGCGAAGAGGGCACGTAAGGTGGGGTTGTAGGGTTTGTGTGGGGCAGACAAGCTGCCGGGCGTTGCCTTCGTGCCGCATGTGGCACCGTGTGGCCCCACTCGTCCCTCGGTAAGCGGCTACGATGGCGCATCCCTCCCCACCTCCTCCCCTCCTCCCTCCTCCCTCCCTCCCGCCCTCCCTGCAGTCCCCGAGGAGCTGCTGGCCGCCACCCGCCGGCCGGTGAGCCTGCTGTGGGGCGAGGCGGACCCCTGGGAGGACGTGCGCGAGGGGCGGCGGCTGCTGGCGCACCTGCCCGCAGTGGTGGAGTTTGTGGTGCTGCCGGGGGTGGGGCACTGCCCGCAGGACGAGGCGCCCGAGACGGTCAACCCCCTGATCGAGAGGTTCGTGGAAAAGTACGGCAGCAGCAGTGGGAGCAGGCAGGAGGCATCAGCCGTGACGGCAGCTGGGGGGCCTGCAACGGATAGCGAACGCGTGGTGGCGGGGGCGGGGTCAGCGGTGCCTGGGGCGGAGTAATGGCAGTGAGGTCGTGCTGGCGGGACATGAAGGGGCTAGTGAAGCTAATTCTATATCAACTGCATTCACTGCAACACATCCAGGTCACGTTGGCGAGAAACTTTGTATGTCAAACACGTTGTACAGAGGCATGGAGGAGAGAGCGTGTATTACTTTATTTGTTAAGAAAACTGGCTGCCTTGGCGTTGCGAGAAGAGAGGAGAGGACAGTCATGCTTGATACTACTGGTGTGCGAGGGAGCGGAGCGCAAAGGATACTGGCACTGAGAGAAGCGAGGAGGGGTGTTCAGGAAACTGGCCGCGAGTCGGAACGTACTGTGATTGCCGGAAGGTGAAGTCCCCACAGAAACGCCGCAGGAGCCGAGGAGTGGTGTGTGTGTAGGCTGCTGGGTGCCGCCGCGCTGAGGGTGGGTAGGTCTGGCGGGCGCTGCTGCTGTTGGACCGTCCGGCGCCACTTGCAGGTGCGACACGTGCAGGCGCGTGAAGGTGAGGGTAGTTAGGATAACATGTTATTAACTCATGGTAAGTAATGATATTGATACGTGGCTATGTGCGCTATCTACGAGCTGAAGGCTTCAACCGCTGGCAATCCTTGCCAACGGCGCTCTTGCGGGAACGCCTTTTAGGTCGTTCTGTACAATTATGATAGGTTTCCGCAGTATGCCCTCCACTGGGCGAAGTGCACTACTTCCTCTGCGGTACGGCTCCGACGGCCATTCGCGTTTAAGCCCCGGACACGAAAAGCCATTTACAAAGCCATTTACAGTTATTAACCGGGGGGGTCACTTGCGCGGGCGGGCGGGTGGGATGCTTAGGTGTACACAGCCGCATACCAGCCACAGCTTACAGCGCACTGGCGATCAGCGTTGCAGTGGAGCTCAGACGCCAGCTTACAGCTCATCAGGAATTTGTCCAATGATATGATCTCAGCACAGCCGCCAGCTTATGGTGCTTTACTACGGTTTGTACTTTGTGTACTGCTACTGACCCAACGAGTTTGACTATGTGTTTTACTATGTGCAATCCTAAAATCTAGCCTAATGCGGAATCTTCATCCCTATTAATTCCCCTGCCACTCATCATACAATGAAGGCGTGGACCGCCCTGCAGCGCCCTGCCAATCCTGCGCAAATAAAGGCCAACGGTACGGGGATAGATAGGATTCGACACCTACCGGCACGTCCACGGCCAACATACCCACCAGCCGCTCATCATAGCCCCACACACGCCCCTTCTTGGCGTGTCACAGCAGGCTAATAATACAACATATAACCATGAAGTTTACATGGCGGGGACTGTGACTATCACCGCTGTCGTACACCAACTCACAGGCAATAATTATAACGACGGGATGTCCCAGCCAATCCCTTAGCCCTGCCAAGGCTACCATACCGACCACCACCACCACCATGACTCACTCACGTGTGGCCTACTCAGGCATCCCTTCCCTATGGTACCGGTAGTTTAGCCGCCGTAGCCAAAGCTTTGGCCTATGGGAACAGACCTACTCAACTACTTCAGGGCAGCTTATCTGCGAGACCCACATCCTTATAGCAAAGCGGCATCACCGAGCTTTCAGGAGCCCCAGAACGCAGCCCCTTTGCGCTCGGCAGGTTCAGGTTATTGACGTCAAAGTTGGACGGCGTTGGATCGAAGCCCAGCAGCACGCTCGCAGGCCACTTCTCAATGTCAATCAGCTTCCATTTGGCGTTGCCGGTGTTGGCGCTGCAGCAACCGCCGCAGTCCGCATCACTGCACACGTCCTTGACGTTAACGGTTGCAGTGCGCTGTGGCGCGCCCTGTACCATAATCTGCAGCTTCCGGCCAACCAGAGCGCTGTCTTTGTCGTACGTTGACGCGATGTTCCAGCCCTTCACCGTTGCCTCCGGAAACCGGCAGTCCATTACACCGCTGCCGCCGTTCAACCATTGCGCCCCATTCTTACACGGCTTTGCGCTGCCGCCGTCAATGCTGTTAAACTGCCCCGCCCAAGTGCAACCGCTGTATTGCACGCACTCCTTGGTTCCGGGCTTGGGCCAGCTATCGTACACGGTTCCAACCGCCGGCAGCCATCCGCTGGGGCAGCCGCTGGTGGGGGCTGCGGACAGGATGGCGTGCAGCAGGTGAGTGTCAGGGAGGGGCAAAGTGGCACGGCATGCATGGCCAAGCAACAGCAGTGAGCATAAGCCGTGCACGTTGACTGAGAGCGCGGTAGCCTAATTGTAATATATAGCCTAGCTAGACGACATGCCTTGCAGGTGCAAGGCCCAATGCATGGGCATGGCGTTAAAAGCCCGTGCTATGCAACCCGACTACGTACCAGGGGACGGTGAGGGGCCGGACTTGGGAGGTGGGGGTGCAGGACTGGCCTTCTTAGGAGGCGGAGGATTGACCTTAGGAGGCGGAGGGCTGGCTTTGGTGCCCGTGCAAGTACCGAACGCTGCCTGGCAACCCGTACCGCAATGGGCTGTTGTAATGCCACAGTAGCCGTACTGCGAGCAACACTGGCCGCTGGGGCAGCACTTGTTACCGTTACTTGGACCACATGCTCCGCCTGGGGAGGCGGTAGTTGTGCAGGCGCTGTCTGCATGGGATGCATGGGTGCAGGGACCAAGAAACACGGGGATAAGAGTGTGAACTGGACGGTATGATGTATGGAGCGGGACGCGAGGCGTCAGCATTTCTAACGTGGCATAACATGCAGGCAGTAAAGAGCATAGCATACAGTAGGGGAGCAGTGTGACGGTCATTTATCAATCAACCATACAAATCTTCGACACTTACGAGCGGGTAGGGCAAATGCCAGAGCAGTAATTATCAGCAAGGCTGCTATCCAGTTCGCCTTTTGAGGAGCCATGGAAACGGGTTGTGCGCCAGTCGCAGTTGAAGGTCGGCAGCTCGGCACCGGGAAAGGGCAATCAGTTGGGCCTGGACGGATGGAGGGTCGGAAGGCAAATAATGGAGGGTAGGTGGGCAAAGGGATGCAGTAAGGTACCGCCTTGTCTTGTATAAAGGTAAGTAAGGACCAACCAGAGCGCGTTAAATGTAAAGGTGCGCATTGGTGAACATTGAATAAGGAATGGAAGGCCGTTACCCGTGGTAACTCTCAGCAGTAGTCCGGCGCATGCTCAATCAGCACTGCCACTGTTGGAGCGCATTCGGTTCTGGATATACCTAAATACATAAAGCTAAAATATTTCTGTATTGATTGAAGGAGAGGCTGCTCTATCTGTTTCTAGGTTGGCAGGACCCATTGCCGCATCCATTGCTTGCGAAGACGGCAAGCTTACCTTCTCGAATGATGCCAACTTGCTTAACAGAGCAAGCAAAGTGTCGCAATTATGTTATTATATGTGACCGTTGCAGTGGTTCCCAAGAAAGGGAACACGGGTTGTAAAGCCTATGTAAAGCCTACACTGCTGCAACACAACGGTGAAAACGCAAAGGAAGCCCACAACTGGTAACCACGAAATGGTATTGTCCGACTGGTCACTGTTTGTAAGGTTAAAAAGCTTTCGTGAAGCAGGTACGGTCATTCATACTTTCAACGGGTACGGAGCGATGATTGCCACAATAGGTGAAGTGCGGCAGTCAGGTTAGGGCCCCACCAGTTCCACTGTACGCACTATGCCGTAGTTCATATGAAGGTTTACCTTGATAAAGTCAATGGATCTCCACTGCCCAAAAAGCGAGCACGAAGGTCAATGGAAGATGTATGGAAGGCTCTCAATGGGGCTTTGCTTGCTCGTAAGTTCACTAGCAAGAGACCATCGCGACAGGCTTTGCTGCTTCACGTGGTTAAACTGTGTAACTGTGTAACTGTTGCCTAACTGAGGTACGGGTACGGGAGAACGGGACCACACACCGGCTGAGTATAAATGCCCCTCACCTCCTCCGCCTCTTTCTAAGCACACACCTCTAGCACGCAACTCCTGTGCTAAACTGTTCCGCCAAAGGCTGTTGGCGCCAACAGCACCTCCACTGATATACTACTCCAAAACGTGGAGCGGCGCCCCATCTCAACCCAAAGGCAAGTCGCGGCTGACAACCACGGTGCCTAGAGTTCCTTACTTCCTTCATTGTTACGCTGTGTCCCATCAGGGTGACCCTCGCATCCTTCTTTAGGCAGGTCGCTGTAATCCCGCCGAACCCCGAAACATAGCTACTTGCCCATCCCACCTCAGCCAGTATAGTTCGCTATGCCTTTATAGGTGATCCCGGACCCTTAGGCGAGAGATACGGGTTGTCCTTACTTAACCTGCTGCCCAATGCTCCTTTCGCCGACTTGCTCTCTTGTCCCTCCGGGTCATGCCTCCCACAAGCAGCCGGTAGTGATACATTGCCCCGCCATCGCCCCACATGGCCACGCAGGCAGCAGGATGACGAGGCTGCTGCTCTTGGCTGCCGTCCTGGTGGCCTCCCTCGCCGCCAGCAATGCTGATGCCGGCAACTTTACCATCGAGGCGACTTCCCGCCGGGCCCTGCGGCAGGCCTCCTGCACTAGCTGGTGTGCGGGCAAGGCCAGCGGACTGTACGCCAATCCCTGCGACACTACATGCAACTCCTTCTTCAACTGCGCCAACGGGGTTACGAACAAGGTTAACTGCGCAGCGGGTCTGCGATTCAATCCCAGCATCAAGGTTTGCGATTGGGCATCCAACGTGCCGTGCAGCGGAGGCAGCCCCAGCCCCAGCCCCAAGGCTAGCCCAAGCCCAAGCCCCAAGGCTAGCCCAAGCCCAAGCCCCAAGGCTAGCCCAAGCCCCAGCCCCAAGGCTAGCCCAAGCCCAAACAATGGCGGGTACGACTGCCGGCACTATTGTGCTGTCTTGGAAATGCTTGTCGTAGCGCAGGCTTGCGCTGAGCGTGCCATAGCTTTCATGGGTACCTAAATCTATCTATTCGTAGAGCTGAAGGTTTTAAAGGGTAGACTAACATAACATACCGGTCATGTCGACTTATCCGCGCTCGTCATACTTTTAGAAACCTTACCCCTCACAGTACCCGGCGTGTATGGCTTGTAACCATGGGTATTCGTGCCACAATTCCTAAAGCGTGGTTAGACTCTAGCAAGCCAACCGGGTGCAGCTGCATGCCTTGCCTGCCTCGTGCCCCCAACTTGGTATCCAGCCAGCTCGACTTCTTTCCCAGTTCCCTTACTTCCCCTTTCCTCTGTACCGCCCCCGTGCCTTGGTTTTCCACGCACCTGCCTTTCCCACCAGAAGCGTGCTGTACTCTGGCTCCGGCAGCGGCACCTACTATTTTGACATCAAGACCACCTGCCCCAGCGAGCCCCGCGGCTACCCGGAGACGGACGGCTACCCCTCCTGCGCCAGCTGGACCCCCGGCCCCAACCAGCAGACGCTGCGCCAGGTCAACACCAACAACGTTGTTGCCATCGACAACAACGTCCTCTCCGCCAACCGTGCCAAGCTGTGCGGCAAGAAGGTGCTGGTCTATCGCAACGGTGTGCAAGTCAAGGCGCCGGATGGTGGGGACTTCTTTGTGTGGGACGGCTGCGCGGCGTGCATTGGGGGCGGCAGGATTGACTTCAGTGTGAGTGGCCTGAAGTCTGTGAGCGCCGATGGATGCAACCAGGGAGTGGTGCCGGGCGTGTCGTGGCAGGTGGTGGATGTGCAGGTGCGGCAGTTCGTGCCTTAGTAACATGGACCTACATGCGTGCGTGATTTGTTGAATGGTGGAGGACCTGGCCCCAGGTAAAAGCCCGTAGGCAAGGAACACATGGGGAGGCACCCGGTTTATTGTCGTATTGCCGTATGGTAATCATGCAATACTGTGATTTATTTTCGTATGGCGTGCATGGGCAATCAAGGTGCGCGTACGGCTGCTGCGGCGGTAGGCATACATGTCACCCTTGGGCAGCCATTGGCAGCAACGTGGCGGGGCAGGTTGAGCTTATGCCGGCGGTATAGTAGTTATGAAGTTGATAACTCTGCAGTAATATACCGACTGCACCTTAGCAAGGTGGCTCTCGTACGTGGTCAGAGGGTCGGCGGGCAGGTGTGCGTGTGTTCCGTGTAGCAGGGTAAAGACTGCAGCCGGGTGACCATTCTTCGTACTTTGAATACGCGCACGCTCAAAACTTGATAATGCTCTGCCAAGTTTCATGTGGCAATACAATGCAAGACTTGGCAAGTGCGTCCAGGGCGCATGTAGGCAGCACCTACACTGCAACACAGCTTTGACTCTACAAAAGGTATGGCAACTGTTAGGGGGGTTGCAACGTCCGACGAGGATTCCAGTAATAAGCAGCACGCCAGGAATAGCGCACGATTTGTGCAAGCTCTGTCAAATGGAACAAGCAGGGTCAGAAACGATAGGCTTCCGCCTCCCGACCACTTTTCTCCCGCCCTGGCTTGACCTTGCCTAGACCCTTCCGTACAGCCAGTGCACGCGCAGAAGGTTCACGCATGTCTTTCCCTGTGCCACAACACCCTCTTCGCTGCGCCAAGGAAGACCTTTTATGACACGGCATCTGCCTCCCAATGGGTTATGTCGCCCATGACCCACGGGTCGTTCTGCACCCTTTTGCCATACCGCCATCTCCGAAGGAACCCAAAGTCCTCCCGGACCCCCAGCCTGGCGCGGCTGCCCAGGACGTGCAGCGCGGCAAAACCTCCACAGCCGTATCGCGCCCGCATACCACGACATCCTCTGACTACAAATTTCCGACCTACAAACAACAGATCGCTGCGCCTGACCGGCAATACTTCATTCCCGCCCCAAAGACGCCTTATTACGGTAACGGAAGGCTGCACCAGCCCGCAGCTGAGTAACTCCCTGTGAGCCTTCATTTCAGACTCATTCCAGTAGAAGCGGCCGCATGTGCTAGGAACTTGGGGCATAGCTCTGCTTCTCCGCTATCCCAAGCAAGCTCCCCTCCCGGGAGCTCCCTTGCCTGTCGCTGGGGTCGACAGGCGACAGCGCCGGCACGCCGACAGGTACCGTAACACCCTACCCACCGCATACTCAATCAGCATCGGCGGCAGCTACTGCCCGGGGGAGGGGTAATGAAACTGATGAAAGCCTCCCAGCCCGCAAGCCCGCACCGGCGCCGACCGGCCTCGTCTGCTATCTTTATCTGAGGCCTGAACCCTCTACCCAGCCTCCTTCCTAGCGCCGCCTTCCCATCCCCATTCTAGTCCTAACCCCTCCCTCAGCCATATACACTACTCCCTGTTTTCTTTCCCCACCAACCCGCTCACTCACCCACCCTTCCCCTCTCCTCCCCCAACCCCAACACCCGAACATCCCCTGCATGCCCTCCTCATTGGAACGTGAGGCTGCCCGCAAGCGCCTTCCTCGCAAACACCGGCAGCGCAAACGCCGCCCGGTGCACCTCATGGCTGTAATACCGCAGCTCCCCCACCCCCAGCTTCGCAATGGGCCCCGGCTCCTGCTGCCGAGGCACTCGCGGGTCCAGCGGCCCCGCTCCCTCCGCCGCCTCGCCGTCCGCCCCGCCGGGCCCCTGCGCCGGTCGCGCCTTGGCGCACACCAGCATGCCGATCTGCCCCGAGGGGTAGGTGGGGATGCTGCAAGATGCGTACGACACGCTGCCCCCCTGGAAGACTTCGGAGCACATGGCCGCCAGGGCGCGGATGATGTCGAGGTGCAGCCAGAGGCTCTCGGCCTGCGTGCACACGATGCCGCCCGGCCGCACGGCGCGGTGGAGCGCCTCGAAGAAGGGCTGAGACGGGGGGCAGGGAAAGAGGGGGGGAAAGACGGGAAGGTGGTGGAAAAGGGGAAAGGCCACGTTGGGTCTGGGTGGAATAGACGTTCGGTTACCGGTAGGTCCGGAAGGTAATAGCTTCACTGTATTTTGCTTCTGAGTCCTGTCCCTCGTCCACCCGCTGTGGCCCCAACCCGCGGCTCCATCCCTCGCCCCCCCTCCCACAGCCCCCTCACCTTCTCAAACAGCACCTCCGCGGGCCCCACCGGGTCGCTGGAGTCGACGATAATGAGGTCGTAGCTGTCAGCAGGCGAGTCCTCCACGAACTTGATGCCGTCGCAGATGTGCAGGGTGACCCGCGGGTCGCTGAAGCCCACCGCCATCTACATGCGCACATGGGAGCGCGGCGCGGAGCGTGGAAGGGCATTATGTGGGTAGTACGGCGCCGGAGGGAGTGGGTCAGCGCCAAGGGATCCACCCCGCTGCAGCCCTGGCAGCAGCTCCCCCAATCAGGCCATATGCAATGCACCAATGCTATGGTGGACTCCTCCCACCTCTGCACCCCTCACCCAGCTCCCCAACCGCCCCTTCCGCGACCACCACCTACATCCGGGAAGAACTGCTTGGACACCTCCGGAACCATCCTGTCGATCTCCGCCATGTGTATCTCCTGCAGCTCCGGGTAGCGAGCCAGCTCACGCAGCACTCCGCCGTCGCCACCGCCCACCACCAGCACCTTCGTGGCGGGACGCTGGGCAGCAGGAGCGGGGTGGGAGGCAGAGGGAAGGGGTGGGAAGAAGAAGACCCAAGACCCAACCCAGAGGTCAGGGGTGGGGCGGGTGCGGGGATGGGTGAGCGAGGGGCGGTAGGGCCGGGATGATGTGGGGTTCACTGTGGGGTGCACCCGCGCTTAAATGGGCGGTAGTACGTCTCCCCCTGCAGCAGGTGGGGGGCAGCGTTAAGCAGTGATACCCGAACCCGTTACTGCAGCAATCCACACCCGCGCTGTGTCGTACATCCGTCACACCCCACCCGGGCCTGCAGCCGCGCGTGCGGCTGCCTGCCTACCTCCAGGCTGCACATGGGCACGTGCGCAATCATCTCCTGGTACGAGAACTCGTCCCGATCCGTGCACTGGATCACACCTGCGGGTGGGGCCCCGGGCGGGTCGGGACAGGGGGACGTGGTGGGGGGTCAAAGACCATACCAAACCATAGGGGCGTGGAGTGGCGCAGAGAGGACATCCGCCACTCGGGTGCTGCTCCTCCTCCTAGGCGCCCTGCACCTGCACCTGCCCGCTCCTCCCATCCGGCAGCGACTGCGGCCCAGGGTGCAGCTGCAAGCAGCATGCCCACGAAGCAAGTCCGCTGGCGTCGCCGCAGCCCGCCTTCATACCATGTGCCGTACAACCTACCAAGCTGTGTTTGTTGTGCTGGCCCCCTGCTGGCCCCCGTACATCCGTACATCCTACTGGGCTCGGCTAATCCGAGGCTCCCATACCCTGCAGGACGCTGCTAAGGTGCTCTGATTTCCCCCAGTTCCCTGTTTTGCCTCCCTGCCCGCTTCCAACCCGCTTGCACACGCCCGTTCTGACAGGCGCTGCTGCCCGCTGTCACAAATGCCCCATCCATGTTCCCAGGCAACCCGCAGTCCGGGTCGCTGCTCACCATCCAGCAGCAGCACCGTCCCCATGGACTCCGACTCGAACACGCACACGTCCTGGGAGGGGTGAGGAGGGAAAACGGTAAAGAGGAGAAGGTAGGAGGTTGTCAGGCAGCGGAATGGACACTAGCCAGGGTGAGTAGCATACCACATCCCAACAGTCTTTTGCGTTATGGCAATCATGAATTGGAAACATCTACCAGAGCTGCAACAAAGCCATGTTGTAGAATAGGGCGAGCTGCTATGGGCTCACCTGGAAATCGGACTTTGCCCGATGCAAGACCTCCTTAATCTTTAGCGAAAGCCCCTGGCCAGGCCACATAGGTGATAACTCCGTGTACCATCCTGCGTTAATCATCTGCAAAAAGGCATTGACGGACGTCTCAACAGGATGCAAGCCCGACGCACCGACGGTGCGGCTATGACCCTGGCAAACCACGGGCATAGCCATCTTTTATGATAATCTAAGAAGTGCATGATGATTACTAGAAAAGCGACAAGGGCACCGAAGCCGCATCGACTGGTGTGTAAGCTGTAACAAGACGGCACGCCGCCGGCACTGCAAGGATGTTCTGTAAGGTAGCGGCTTTGTCAACAGGCCGCTCTACACATGGCTGAAAAGGCGTACCTGGTCCGCAGTCCCAGGCGCTGGCTTCGAATCCACGTTTGCCATCTTCAAGCACAAGCGAGTAACTCTGCTTACTCTTCTCTTAGTAATTAACGTATAAGCATGAACTAATGAGCGCGCCTGCATGTGGGAACTTATGAGGGGCGTACTCAGTGGGTGGTTTCATGCAGCCCTAGGCGGTTGGGACTTCTAACCGCCTAGCGGCGGGCAAAAAACAAGTTGTCGCCAGCCGTGTCCGCATTTGCACTTCTTTAGAGTATACGTTTCTGATGGTAACACATCTTGTATCGGCATGATGTAGTAGGGCGCCGCACACTTCATTCTTAGGCCACGTACATATCGTCAGCCAACTGAGGCACCGCCTTACGCGTATGTTGTTACGGAGAGTAAAACAGGTGGTCATGGCTAGCACCGCCAGCGATGCGTTGCCTAGCTCGGAGAGCCCGGCTTTAAAGTTCAAGGTGCGGCAAGCCACCTTCCAAAGGTTACCGCTACCAAAGCAGCAGTCAGGAGCTAGGCTTGGGGCTGTGATGGGAGCTCAGCCGGGGCCTCCTTGGCTGTAGCACGGGGGACATACCGTCACCAGTCAGTACTTTACTACCCTTACCCGCGGACGGGAGCGCAGCTAAGCTTTGGCTCCCGTCCAACCCTGGAGGTCCCGCTTCCTTGCTACTTGCCCTTCCCTCGACCGCCCCACTCCAGCAGACCTGGCCGCCCTCCTCCCTCCCTCCCACATTGGGTATTCTTCTTCCTCCCCCCCCCTCCCCAGGTGATCGCCACCCAGGGTCGCGCCCGCTCCGCCCGCATGACCCTGCCGCACTTTACCGCGCACACGCCCATGTTCATGCCGGTGGGCACGCAAGGTGCGCGGGTCCAGGGAGGGATCGCTGGGGGCTGGAGCAGGGTGGTTGGGAGGGAGGGGCTGCATGGGGGGAGGCTGCAGCTGGAGATGGTATGGGCAGGCGAGCAGCAAGGGTGCCGTGTGTAGGGGGCGGTGCGGGGCTGAGGGACTGAGGGGCGAGCCATGCGAGCAGGTGGGGTGCTGGCCACACCAAGCAAAGGCGGCAGCCGGGGGCTGTGATGCTGGCGGGCGGCGATGGGTGCGGGCTGGGAGCGGGTGGTGTGCTGGGCCAGGGCGGGGTCAGGGGAGCAGGAGGGCAGCCTAGCGGGCCCCGCCGCGTCCCTTTGAGCCGGGAGAGGGTGAGCCGCTCACCCGGAGCGAAGGAGCAGCAGCAGCAGCGGGGAAGGGGAGCGGGTGCTCCTTCGCTAAGTACCTCCCTCCCCAGCCTGCCCCCTCCCTCCCCCTCCCCCTCCCCACCCAGGCTCCGTGAAGGGGCTCACCAGCGCCCAGCTGGCCGATCTGGACTGCCACGTCATCCTGGGTAACACCTACCACCTGGAGAACCGGCCGGGCAGCGACACGGTGGCGGCGCTGGGGGGGCTGCACGGCTTCATAAACTGGAACAGGTGGGAGGGGCCCAGGGGGGGGAGGGGCAGGGGGGGAGGGCAGGAGGGGGAGGGGGGTGAAGAGGGATCAACTAGCCGACCGTGTGATAAGGCGTCAACATGGTTTGGTGGGGGGCAGTGGGGGGATGGGGAGGCCGACTGGGACGACCATGCAGCAGCGGCGACCTGCTTGCATCTTCCCGGGCACTTACAGCTGTGAAGCCCCGTTGTCCTCCTCTTTACCCACCTCCCCTCCCACCCTCCTGCTATTCTCATCCAACACATTGGGTATTCTTCTTTTCTGCCTCCCTCCTCCCGCTCCTCCTCCTCCCTCCTCCGCAGGGGCATGCTGACTGACAGTGGCGGCTTCCAAATGGTGTCGCTGCTGCACCTGGCGGAGATCACGGAGGCGGGGGTGACCTTCCAGAGCCCGCTGGACGGCAGCGCCATGCTGCTCACCCCCGAGCAGTCCATGGCCATCCAGAACCGGCTGGGGGCGGACATCATGATGGCGCTGGATGACGTGGTGCCCACCACCGCAAAGTGGGAAAATATGGATAAATGCATCAACAAGTGGGGGGGATATAAAATGAGACACTGACGAAGCAACTGACGAGCTGTATGACAAGACTTCACCATGGGGGGAGGGGTGGCAGGGGGGAGCGGGGGGAAAAAAGAAATTCCAAAGAGCGGGGGGGGGGCAGGGGGGAGGGGAGGAGGCATAGGGGAGGAGCGGGGGCAGGGGGGGGAGGTAAAGAGTCCTCTTTGTCAGGTGGACTTGCCCGGGGGCTCCGGAGGCTTCCAGGGGCGGTTACCTTCCCGCGGGTTGGGTTTGGTTCCTTACCTTCCTGTCCTATGTCTGTAACAGTCCTTCTCAGAGAGAAAAAGAGGGAGAGACTGACTAGCCGTGTGATAAGCCTGGACCATGGGTTGCAATGGTGACCAGGGAGAGAAACCAAAGCATTGGGGAAGCATGCTCAAGTCTTCACCTACCCCTCCCCAACCCAACCCTTCCCCAACCCTCTCCCGCCCCTTCCCCCCACCCCAGCGACCCCGCCCGCTTCGAGGAGGCAACCCACCGCACCACCCGCTGGATCGACCGCTGCATTGCCGCGCACAGCCGCCCGACCGAGCAGAACCTGTTTGCTATCGTGCAGGGGGGGCTGGACCCGCGGCTGAGGGAGATCAGCATGCAGGTGAGGGGGGTGGGGTGGGGGAGAAAAGGTAGATTAATAGTGCAGCAACTGGACTCCCAATCCCAAGGGGGTTGTAGCGAGTGAATCGGGTAACTGTGTAGGGAGGGGGTGGGGGGGTGAAGCCAGGGTGTGGTCGCCCCCTTCTCTCTCCGCTTGTCTCCGCTTGTCGCGCAACTCCCCTGCTTCAGTCCAGTCCGCCTTCCCTTTCCTTCCCCGCCTCACGCCTGCTCCCCACTCCTACCGGCAGCACTCACCCATACCCTACCGTATCCACCCATTGACATCCACGGTATGCCCCCGCCTCTTCTTCTCCTCCCCCAATATTTCTATTTTTCCCCAATATTCTGCCCTAATTCGTGGTTTCCTATGGTTTGGTCGGTCGATCACCCCTTCCCTGCTCCCTCCCCCCCCCCTCCCCCCTTCCAGCAACTCGTGGCTCGCGACCTGCCCGGCTATGCCATCGGCGGGCTGGCTGGCGGCGAGTCCAAGGACGACTTCTGGCGGGTGGTGGCGCAGTGCACCGCGGGCCTGCCGCCCGGCAAGCCGCGCTACGTGATGGGCATTGGTTACCCGCTGGACATCGTGGTGTGCAGCGCGCTGGGGGCGGACATGTTCGACTCGGTGTACCCCACCCGCACTGCACGGTTCGGGGTGGCGCTGGTGCCGGAGGTGGGGCAGGAGGGAGCGGGGGTGGGGGGTGAAGAGGAAACAACTGACGGACTGTGTGGTATGGCGCCGCACAGTCAGTGACGCCCCACAGAGGGGGGAGCGGAAGGGGGAAGCGGGGGTCGAAGAGAAACACAACAAACCATGGGTGAGGGCAGGGCAAAGGGGGATCGGAGGCGGCAGGGCGCCGCGAGACATGGGATGGCTAGCGGCGCTTACCGGCACCGAGTCCTCACGAAAAGCGATGAAGCCGCATCCAATAAAAATCATGCTGATGCTGATGATAGCTTATCCTACTCTTCCTCCTCCCTTCCTCCTCCTCCCCCCTCCCAGGGCACCTTGAAGCTGAAGAACGCGGCCAACGCTCGCGACTTCCGCCCCCTGGACCCCACCTGCGGCTGCTCCGTGTGCGCCCGCTACTCCCGCGCCTACCTGCACAACGTGGTCACCCGCGGTATCGCCTCCGCCGCCATCCTGGTGACCTACCACAACATCGCATACACGCAGAGCCTCACGCGGGCCATGCGGGCGGCCATTGAGGTGCGGGGGAGGGAGGGAAAAAAAGAAATTCCAAAGTGTGGTGGAGGGGGGGAGGGAGGGAGGGAGGGATTGGAGCTGGAGAGGCAAAAAGCTCGACCGTGACATTGCCGTGCCCCGTCACGCATATCCATCCCATAATATAGCCGGCTCATATCCCCCCCCCACCCCGCAGGAGCAGCGCTTCCCCGAATGGGTTCGCAACTACCTGAGAACCATGTTTCCCAAGGTGCGGGGCGAGGGGGAAGCATTAAACAAGTGAAACAACGAGTCCCAATCCCACATCCCGACTCATGCAGTGAGCGCACTATCCTAGAAGCACGCAACTCACCGAATCGTTGCTTACCGTACTCCGAGACGACTTGAGGAAGAAGCCGCCTTGCGTGGTAACACTAGGGAGACATGTGCCGCGGCGCCGGTCACGAAATGTCAAAGCAACACGCATATTGGGTATACGAGCATACACGTTATCGAGACGTGTTACGGGAAAACCTATCTGGAGAGGTAACCCCTGGTGCGGGGTGAGGGGGGGGGGGCAGGGAGGGGCTGGGAGGGGGGGGAGGTCCTAAGGCGAGCAGGCGGGTATGGCAGGGTAGGCGCAGGAAGCGGCAGGGCCTTCCAAGTGCGGCGGCGGCGGCATGGGTGATCAAGCTGGACACACAGTTATTTTAACACACCCCGTGTGTTTCTTAACACACCTCATGTTCGCTTACTCCCAATCCCCTTGCCGCTTCCCCCCTCCCCCTAGGGTGATGTTCCTGGCTGGGTTCGTGATGCCATGGCGGTTGCCGGCATCAGCCTGGAGGGGGTGGTGGCGCCCGGGTCGCCGCAGCCGCCACCTGCTGAGGCAAAGGGGGGCGAGGGGGCTGAGGAGGAGCAGGGGATGGAGCAGGAGGAGGTGGCGCCCGCAGCTGAGTCGAAGGGGAGACAGGCGCAGCCGGCGGAGGCGTGATCGGGCGGCGTTGGGGGGTGGCGGTTGCGGGCGGTATGGGCGCACCCACACCACCGGGGGGGGTGATGCCGGGCCTTGTGTGCAGCACCGCATGTGGGTGGAGGAGATCCAAACGGCTCGAGTACGGTCGAGTGGGGTGCAGTGGGAAACCCTTTGCCCTGGTGCCGGTACGGACTGCCTGGTCTGTGGCGAGAGAGAGTGTACGGCAGTGCGGGGGTTAGGGGGGGCCAGGGGTGTTGAGGGGAGTAGACACACTGAGCCGCGGAGAATAACCGACAGTGAGGGGTGGTGAGGGGTTAAAAGAGCGTTGACTTGAAATGTGCGGATAAGGAGGAGGTGCTGACAGAGGACGCTGAGAGGAGGAGGAGGCGAAGAGGAGGAGGAGGGGTCCAGGAGGAGGAAACCAAGTCCGACAGCAGCCGCAGCAGCTCTTAGCGTGTCATAAACAAAGTGGTAGCGCTTCAGTTAAGTGGAAATACATGAAGGAAAGCCCGCCTAAGTTTCAGCGCTGTAGGTGTCAGCACTGACACGTCCAGTCGCTGGTAGGGAGGTCATGCAACAATACGGCAAGGATGGCAGTCGCCTCCAGCGGCCACCCAGCGGCAATTGGGGAAGGTGTGCAGTTTGCCGCGTGTAAGCGTTCCGACATTGGCATGTGCATTTGGCTCAGCTCATTCGAGATTACAACGCGATTAGCCGCGATTGTTAGGGTGCATTCCCTGCGGATCATGCAGGGGACATCAGCGTTACCCAATCTGGCGCATAGGTGCCGCAGCAACACCGTCAGCAAGCCTCTGGCCATGGGCAGATCATAAATAGATACCAGCACAGTGACAGATGGCATGCTCACGCAGCGAGCCATGGCGTTTTGGTATACTTGTCCGGTTATCCTGTGTACCGTGTACTGCTTGCTGGTGTGCGGGAGTTGCGGCTTTGCTTATGCAACGAAGTGTCAACTTCTCAAGTGAAGTATGATCTCAAACCTGCTTGAGTTGGGAAAAACAGTGGGCATAGCAATTACTTGAGAGCCTCTCACTGAAAAGCTTGGATATGGTAGGTCCACGGAGGTGGACGGTGGTAAACAGTCACAGTATTAGTAGCCGAACACGTGTTGCGGTGTCTTTGCAGTGCTGCAGATTGTCTGCGTGTAGCTTAGTTGGTAGCTGTTGACTAAGGGTATGGATTACGATTACGATTACGATTACATGGTACGGTGTAGGGCCCTCCCGCCCTACCGCACAACCTCACGAACCATTCCGGTCAAGAGGTGCAATGACAAATAGAAGTTCGCGGGGAGACAAAACTGTTTGGGTAGGTGGTCACCTTATCAAGCGCGACTAGACCTACACGCATAAAGGGTATGGATAGTATGGTTTGCTGTACAATGACGATTTAGAGATGGGACGAACACCGAAAGCGAGACACTCAATAAAAGGTCAGATTACTTCTTGAACCTTAGCATTTGGTGTCCTAAGAGTTAAGTACTTGGCCATATGTTCGTCCACGCAAGCACTTCTATCTATTGACAGATGAGACGACTCTTATGTTGTATACGGCCTGCTACATTTGCAGAGCCATCCCCTATAGTAGAGCAGCAGTCTCTCGCTGGCCCGGCAAACGACCGCGCCACGTGTAGGTCCGTGACGCCTAGCTCCTCAACCGAGACACCTGCGTTGCCGCTTGAGCTAGGAAGCGGATGCGTCTCAGCAGCTCGCCAACAGACGTCAACCAACTTGGCGCTGCCGCGAGCAATACAACAAAACTTTCGTTTTTCTGACGAATGCACAGCCGCGAGCGCCTTTTCTACAGCGCCAACCAGCCCATCCCTAAATCCATTCACATACTTTTTACCTCTTGTGAGCGACGAGCAGGACGGTCTCTGCCTGGACGCGGATGCTTTGGGAAGCAACGTTTCGCCGCAACCCTCCAAGCTCGAGTTTGCTGACCTGTGCGGGTCCTTAGAGGACCTCACCTACCTAGGAGAGGTGCGGATTCCGTAATACGTTTTGAAGTCGCAAATGTTTGTTGTCGTTGCCCTACCTTCCCGGTAGGGCTTAACCGAGTCGTTTGCTTACCGGCCTTGATATAATGCATTATTCAGGGCTCAAACGGTGTGGTGTACTCAGCCTCATGGCATGGAGCGAGGGTTGCAGTTAAGGTATGTAGGAACCCGACCGTTGGCCTTCTTGTATGGGGGAATGGGGCCCAGCGCCTGACAAACAACATCCAGTCTATCCTTATCTAACTAATTCCAATACACAAGTCACGAGAATATAAACCGACGGTTCCTTCAGCACTTGCACACGTGCTGTAAACCCTCCCAGGTTGGCCTCCTCCCGCCATCACGCGGTGCACTTCTAACACCTACCTTCATCCATCCATTTTCCGCTCCCTCCCTCCCAGTTCCTGCTCACCAGCGACGGCGACTCCGCGCACCTCAACCGCTGCTTCACCGAAGCCGTCCTCACGCGTGTGCTCAGCCACCCCTGCGTCGTGCAGTGCTTCGCAACCGCCATCTCCCAGCTCTCCCCCGGGGTGTGGGACGCCATCCGAGCCCGCTGCCAGCGCCATCGCTCCCTCCTGCGCGACACCTCCCTCGCCCGCTCCGTAGCCGCGGCGGTGCAACAGGAGGCGGCAGGCGGGCTAGGGGCGCCCCAGAGCTCCGAAGCACCACCCGAGCGGCAGCAATCGCAGCCGCAGCTGCAGCAGTCACTCTTGAAGCAGCACTCCCAGCTGCTGCAGCAACAGCAAGCGGCAGCAGCAGCAGCTGCCTCTGCCTCGCAGCAGCAGCAGCAGCAACGCGGCGGGCTACTCAGCCGGCGGGGCAGCGGCCGAGAGAGCAACCCCCGCGACCGCTCCGGAGCTCAATTACAACGCATCATGCAGCAACAACTTGTCGTACAACAACAACAACAGCAGCAGCAACAGCAGTACTACAGCCAGTACCCGCCGCCGGTGCTGACCCACCTGCCGCGCTCGCAGCCTCAGCTGGTGGTGGCGACGGTGGGTGCGCCCATGGTGGCGGGCAGCAGCAGCCGCCTGAGCTCCGCCTCCATGCCGCGCCGACCCATGGGTCCCGCGGCGGCGGCGCCAAGGGAGGTTGACCGCAGCCGTGAAGACGCCGGCGACAACGGCGGTGGTCGCAGCAGCGTGGCTCGCTCCTGTGACGCGGAGCAGGTGTTGTTGGAGATGCGGCGGGTTGAGGGCTTGCTGGCGGCACCGGTGACGGTTACTGGAGCCGGGGCGGCAGCAACAGCAGCAGCAGCAGGCCCGCTGGGCGCCGACACGGGCAGCAGCCCCTGCCCTAGCCCCTTCAGGTTGCGTCCCTGCAGCTCCGCGCGACCCAGCCTGTTCGGCGGGCCGCTGGGTCCGTTCGGCGCGCTGGGTCCGTGTCCCAGTCTGGACCGTGCAGTGGCTGGGGGCTCGGTGGTGGGCGTGGAGGAGGAGGAGGAGGCGGTGGAGGGCGGGGAGCTGTGCGAGGGCGGGGAGGGGGGCGGTGTGAGTGTGGTGCAGGCGCTGACGTGGCTGCGGGCGGGTGAGGGACGGCACTGCACGCTGGTGGTGATGGAGTACATGGACGCAGGCACGCTGCACACCGCCATCTGCCGCGGCGACTTCAGCGCCCGCCGCTCCCAACCCCACCGCTCCCGGCTGCTGGCGCTGCTGCTCACCGCGCAGGAGCTGGCGCAGGTGGGGAGGAGGGGCGGAGGAGGAGGGGGACGGAGCGGGTGGGAGGATTGGGCCGGGGTGGGGGCGCGCATGTCGGGGATAGGGCCGGGTTTGTGAAGGGTTGAAGCCCCGCGCCTCTTGTCTCAAAGCTGCTCCTCCGTCCTCCCTCATCCCCCATGCTTCTTCCTCCTCCTCCTCCTCTGCCGCGCCCCAGGGCATGGCCCACCTGCATGGCCTGGACATCCTGCACGGCGACCTGAAGCCCACCAACGTGCTGCTCAAGGCCTGCCCCTGCCAGTTCGCACCCGCGCCGCTGTCCGCATGTGCCTCCACATGCTCCCTCTCCACCACTGCTGGCGGGGCGGCCACCGCAGCGGCAGCGGCAGCCGCGGTAGCAGCAGCTTCGGGTGTTGCAAGCGGTGTGGGCTTGGCTGGCGGGGGTGCGGGTGGGGGTGGGGTTGCTGGTGGAGGTGGGGGCGTTGCTTCCTCGGGCGGAGGTGGGGCATGCACGGACCCGCGCGGCTACACCGCCAAGATTGCGGACCTGGGCCTGGCTCGCACCTGCACGGGGGAGGCGGCAGCGCTGTCGTCGGATCAGTGGGGTGAGGAGGGAGGTGGCGAGTGGGGGACGGGGCGGACGGGGGGGGTTACGGGCATTTGGAAAATGCGAGCAGGTGGGGAAGGGGGAGAGGGATGAGCAGTAGACAAACACGCCGACAGACAGCAGTAACTCGCTTCGCTCCCCGAGACACCGTGTCCTGACCTCCTCCTCCTCCTGACCTCCTCCTCCCCCGCAGGCGCCCTGGCCTACCTCGCTCCGGAGGCGGCCAAGGGCAGCTGCTGCAAGGCGTCTGATGTGTACAGGTGCGACGGGTGTGCCGTACGGCACCGGGGGGGGGCGGGGTGCGCCGAACCACTGCTGCTGGGGGGGGCGGGTTGCACAGCAGCGGGCTGGCGGGCTAGGGATGGTAAGATGTGGCGACTGGGGGGCAGGAGATGGGAGCACCAGGAGGAGGGCCTAGCTTCACAAGCCACCACCACTCACCACCGTCACCAGCAACCCAGTGAACTAGCGGAACAGACCTGCATGCCGCTGTCGCTCCTTCCATCCCCCCACACAACCCTCTCCTCCCTCCTCTCTCCTCCCTCCTCTCTCCTCCCTCCTCTCTCCTCCCTTCGCACCCCCCCGCTCCCCCCCCCAGCTTTGGCGTGATGCTGTGGGAGATGGCAGCCGGCGTGCGCCCCTACCTGGGTCTCAGCACGCCGCAGGTGCTGATGGGCCTGGTGGCGGGCACCCTGCACCTCAACTGGCCCGCGGACGGATCCCTCTACTCGCCCCTGCGCACCCTGGCAGTCGCATGCACGGAAGCCGACCCCGCGGAGCGACCCACCTTTGAGGCGGCGGCGCGACTGCTGGGCCGCATGGTGCGCCAGGTGCGAGCTGCGGCCGTGGAGCAGCAGCAGCAGGCGGGGACGGGAGGGGCGGGAGGGGCGGGTGCGTTTTCGCAGCGGCGGCAGAGCTTTGCGGCGTCTGTGGATTCGCTGCAGTCAGCGCCAGGAGGGATGGGAGGAGGAGGAGGAGTGGGGGGAGTGGGGCTAGGCGGGGCAGCAGGGGGCGGGTACGGTCGCGGCGGTGAGGGGTTGCCGCCAGCCGCCCTCAGCAGCGGCATCATCAGCTGCAGCGGCAGCGTGGTCAGCTGCAGCGGCGGCGGGGGCGGAGGCCTGCTGAGTACGCTGGTGGGAGGAGGGGGCGTGCCGGCGGCCTCCCCCGTGGACACGCTGCGGACATGCGGCTCCGGACCCGCTGGCACCGGCGGAGGCGGCGGCAGCAGCGGAGCCGCAGGTGGTGCGGAGACTAGCAGCGTCGCTGACGCCTCCCCCGGCCCCAGGGCCTGCAACTCTGCCGCCGGCCCCGGTACTGGACTTGCCTTTGCTACCGCCGGAGGTAAGAGCCGCAGCATGCCGCCATTGGCGAGCGCCACCGGCACCTCCGTTGCCGCTCTGGCGTCTTCCGGCGCCCTACACAGGAACTTCCTGGTGCCGCCACCGCAGCAGCAGCAACAACACCAGCAGCAGCAGCAACAGCCGTTCATGCCGCGTTCCAGGGAGGGCAGCGGCGGCCTGACTGGTGGCGGCGCTGCCGCTGCAGCAGCGGCGGCGGCGGCGGCAGGGTTGCCGTACCCTCGTACCCGGATGGGCGGCGGTGGCCTCGGCAGCCACAGCACCCGGCGAATGTCCCGGGCTGGCACCGCCAGTCCTCAGATGCTGCCGGCGGCGCCTGTTAGCTCGGCGACGGAGGAGGGGCCATTGCTTGCGGCGGTACACTCGCCGGCCTCCTCCGCTGTGCACCTGCGGGTTGCAAAGGCAGCTGCGGCGGTGGCGGCGGCGGGGGTTGCTCCTCGGGAGGCGGTCTGAGGTGGTGTGTTTTGCGGGCATGGAACAGCGCAGCTGACATGCAGAAAAAGATGGGTATGTGCTGGTCGCGGCTGGGCTGGTGGGGGGTGGGGTGCGTGCGTGGGAGGGTGTTCCCACATGCGCCCGGCTGCACGTTGTCCTGCTGCATGGTCTTAATGGGGAAACGAACTCGCGGTGGGGAATGCTCCGGTCGCTGTATTGATGGTCGCGAACGGGGCTTTTGCGGGTTGGTGGGGGTAGTTACTAAGCGATATTACGGGGGGGGGCCTGGGGACAAGCGCTGATGCATGGTATTATTATTACTCTACATACGCGCTGCCTATCGATGAAGAAAAAGAAAAATGCTTCCTTATGTGGAGGGGTAATGGTGTGCACTATGCTGTACTAATCAATGGTGGGTGTTGGGGGGACTACAGCTGTAGGCTGTGGGCGTGCACGTCGAATTTCTAGGGGTCAAGCTGTGGCAGGGGCTGCTGCTGCTTTCTCGTTGCCAATGCAGTTTTTGCTTTTCGAGTTTCCTGGCATGAGAATTGGGCCCTTGCGCTTCCCTTATGGCGCAACATGCATACGCAAAAGCTCGACCGGTTTTTCAAGTTTGCAAGCAGGCGACCTCAAATTTTCACTGGTGCCTTCGCGCGACTGTTGGTCTGCAATTTCGTACGGACTTCAGTGCAAGATTGTCGGGCATTTGTGCTGCTAATCCCAACTTGGGTAGCCAGTTGTCGGATACGTGTATGGCACTTTGTACGCTCGTGCAGGCGTTCGCTCGGCAGTGTGCCTTGCTGTCGAAGCGTTGATTGTTCTTTTGGGTTCGGGGCAGCACCACGTATGTGTGCTGGGTTGGGTTGCGAAGCTCAATGTTGTTTCTGGTGTTGTTGCCTGCTGTTGCACAGACACAACCTTACTTGTGAACTTATGTATTGAGTATTATGGTGATTGTACTATAGTTGGCTGTTTGAGATGCAGTTACGGAAGGTATTCAACTATCGTAACAATCACGGCGTACGGACTGGGTGGGCCGTACAATGACTCTCTTGGTGATCGACCCGCACGTGACGTACCTCGTGTTCCTCACCAGGTATCGTACGACGGCAGCAGCATGATTACCTGGATGCCGTACGCCTGCTTGCATGCGCGCAGCCTTGCTCGGACCTTTCGCTGTGTGTGCCCTAAGAGGCATGATCGCTGTGTCGGAAAACTGGATTCATGGCCATGAATGCTGTTTCCTTGTTACGTGTTTATTGTGGGCGTTTGCAGCCAAAGCTGTTGTGCCCCTACTTGACGGCAGCATTCGACTTCCTCATTGGCCGCTTGGCACATGATGTTAGGTTGTGGGCGCTTGGCACTTCTCGGAATTGGGATCATATGGACTGAAAGTGGAGTTCGATTACCTACCACTGCCAGACCACCTGGGCGCATTGGTGTGTGTTCGCTGCTATTTGAAACCTTGCCACGGGAATTGGAATTACCGGTTGATAAAACATGTTCCGTACATGTTTATTCGGCCTGTGCTGCTTTGACAGCCTCTATTAGTGAGGATGTGTATGCTCAATGTTCTTAACCGCATGTGTTAGTGACAAGGGCGCCGAGAGTACGGTCCACATGATCTCCCGTACGGTGTTACATCATACTTTTGGCGGGAAGTATATTACATGTTCTAGGGCTTAAATAACGCCCTGTATGACTGGGGGTGGTATATGTTGTTGATTCTGACGAAATGCTTTCAAGCATATTACCAATTGCCAACATACCTTTGCGAGACGGGTGGTCTGGCGTTTGTAGTGCACTCGTGGTGTTACCGGTTGATGATCCGGACGTCGCGCGCTGCCTTCCACCACCAGACGTGTACCCGCGCACGCACTGGTGCACTTACATTTGGCAAGCCGTGGCGAAGTGTGGGGCATGTAAAGATACAAAGATGCAGTCAGGCTATGAAAAAGTACCCAAGCCAAAGGAGCCATGTCGCAATGATTTTACGTAATTCTACTTTTTGCCATGTTACTAACACAATGCACGCTGGACGCACACTGGAACGGCCTCTTGCATGGGGTTGTTGCGAAGACCGGCGAATGCCCGGTTGTGCTTGGCTGTTTGAGGCATGTGGGTGTTTGTTATGCGTCATTGTTGCAGGTGCGTAGGTTTCCTCGCTTGTACGACAGAGCCGTGCGTGTACGGCATCGACGTGCGCTGGGGAGTGTTGCAGTAGTGCACCGAACCACTTTCGTGTTGCCCAGGAAATTGCTGTTGATGTTGACGGCCGGAGAACTCAACGTGGGGTTGAACTCGGTGCGCTGTTAGGGACCTGCTTGGAGGAGCCTCCCGCCTCCTGGTTCCCGCCGGCTGGGTTGCGAGGGCAGGCCTTGGTGCGGCTGGGGCTGCTTTGTAATGTAAAGTTGTAATGGGGTGTGTGTAGTTGTAAACCAATTGCTCGTTTTGCGTCCCCATCCACTGAAGGCGCTCACTTGGGGCAGCTGAACTGGGGCCGGCGTGCCCCGGCTTTACAGGCTGCCCTAACCTGCAAACATCCACATCCACATCTGCTGATCCTGGCACCTGATCCCACACTCAGTCCTCAGCAAGGAACTGGATCCCTACCACCTCTCCTACCGCCTCTACTAGCAAATTCTAGTAGCTAGCAGCCACACCCTAGACACAGGCCAGTCCTCATGAGTCCTCTGCCCAGCGTGCCACCACCTCCCCCCCCCAGTCGCCACCCCAAAGGCACCTCCTGCCACTGCGCAGCCCTCACCCCACATTCTGCTCCACAGCCCCTGCCCTCTCTCCGCCCCCTCCCGCGACCTCCCTCCCCCAATTGGTAAGTTCGGTAAGTTTAGCTCGCATTGCTTTAACCACCATTTCGGCTCGACTCACGGTTGATTCCACCAGGGATTGTCAGCAACTTGTATCATTATCATACCACACTTTGGAATTTCTTTTTTCCCCACAGTCCACATCACAGCTGCCACCACTTCTTGTTGCGCTCCCTCTCCGCCAGCTGCCGTGCCATCTCCGCAAAGCCCGCCGCGCTGTTCTCCAGGTCGGCTGTCTTGTCGTTCAGCTGCCGCAACCGCTCGCCGCGCTCCTCCAGGCGAGCGCGGTTCTCCTCCATGACGGCGCGCACGTCGTTGGTCCTGGTGTGGGGTAAGGTAGTGGGGGTGATTATATAATAAGTGTAAACAACTAGAGTCCCAATCCCATATCCCGAATCATTCAGTGAGCGCATTCGGAAACAGGGGAGGGAGGGAGGGAGAGAAGGAAGAAGTGACGGGAAGGAGTGGAGTGGGGTAAGGAGGGATGGGAAACGGGATGGATTCAGGCTGGGGGATTAGGCAAAACCCGCAAACCCTACGTGAGGCGGCCCCTGGTTCACGATGACACACATCCAACCCTCAACCACGCACCTGGCTGCGGCCGCCCCCGCCCTGCCGCCCTCTGCCGGCGCCCTGCCGTACGCACGTTTGATCTCGTCCGCCGTACGCGTGCGCGGCTGGGAGATGCCTGCGGAGCCTGCGGGCCCGGCCGCGGAGCGAGCTGCGGCTGCGGGGCCCGCAGCACCCCCGGCTGATGCGTGGGGCCGCACACCGCCTGCTCACGTCATGGATGGATGCCAGGAGGGGCCAGGAGGCTCAGGCAACCGCACATGCCTATGTGTGTTGCAAGCCTGGTGTGCATGTGTGTGTTTTCTGCAACACACTATTCGGTAGCACCTCACAGGTAGACACATGCCCATGCAGGGGGTGTACAAGGGCTGCTCGCCTCAGGTTGGCAGTGCACTACCAATCGTATCGTACCAGGAGAAGGGCCCAGTCGCCCTGTCCCATACTCACCAAACAAGTCTGCCCGCAGCGATGCCTCGTCTCCACCTGCACTACGTGACACCGGGTGCTGCTGCTGATAGGGCTGCTGCTGCTGCGGGTAATGCTGCTGCGGGTGCTGCTGCTGCTGCTGCTGGCTGAACCGCTGGGGCGGCGCTGCAGCCGCTGTTCGCGTCCCGGCGGCGCTGCCGCGGTGCTGAGCCGGGGTCGGGCCTTCCTCCTCATCCTCGTCCCTGGGGGGCGTGCGGACACCGTATCGCAGTGGGGTGAGCGCGGGGCAATGCATGCAGGCATGGGGGCTTTCCCAGAACCGCAAAAGCCGCAGAATCCCAGCGCACTGTGAAGAGACGTCCCATTAGGCCAATTTACCGGTAACCGCCCATGAGGCCATAACGACCCCCACGCTCCGACCGGCCGGGCAGCAGCCAGCAGCACCACTTACGTCATGCTGATCACGCTAATATCATCATCCTCATCCTCATCATCAAGCCTCCCGCCTGCACTGCCGCGGGTCCGCTGCTGCTGCTGCCGGTGGTGGTGGTGGCGCTGGCTGGAGTCCCCGCGCGTGTGGCCGCCCGCCGAGTCGGCCTCCGGCGGGGCGCATGCGAGCACTTGGGCCAGTTGGGGCAGGGCGGCGTACCACTCCAAGTTGCGGGGGCCAGCAGCCGCTGCGGGGACGGGGAGCGGACGCAGGTTACCATGACGGGGGACGGGATGCGGCCTGAACGAATGAAGGTGGCAGGAAACGCAACGTGTCGAGCCAGGAGAGGAGGTCTGAGAAGGACTGAGGTGGTAGCAGAAAATGAACTCCACCGTATGTGCAGACCTGCAAAGCCTCGAGAAACAAACTCTGCGTTCTGGCGGCCCGGGCAGTACTGTATCCCCTCCACAGCTCTTGCACAGCGTCCCTCCTCCCAACCACGCCCACCCGCACCTGCCAACCTCGGCCCACTGCCCCCAGGACCTCCGCCTACTGCTGCTGCTCCTCCTCCCGCCGCCCCCGCCCCCTCCACCCACGCCGCCTGCACCGACGCCACCCCGCGCTCCACATTGGAAGCGAGCTGCCGTACGCCCCGTGTAAGGCCCTGCTGCACCCGGGTGAACACGCGGGACAACACAACGTTGGCATCCCGGGGCGCCTCGCCGCTAGCACCACCACCATCGCCACCAGAGGCGGGGAGACGAGGTGGGGAGGGCTGGTGGCCCCTGGCTGCTTCGGTGCCACGAGCGAGCTGCGAGCCTTCCGCGCCTGGAAAGAAAGTGGAAACGACGGGGCACCCGTAAGTCGTCCATATTCTTCACGTGCTGACGGCGTGGAAGAGGGTTGTAGCACGCGCAGATGGAACTCAGGTGTCCGCTTCCAGCTTACCATCGTCACGTTCGCATGCCTCGTTGTCCCCGGCGCTCTGCGATCCCTCCTCGCGCTGCCCCGGAGGCTGCAGCCGCTCCGCCTCGTAGCGGGCCGCAGCGGCCAGCGAGGCGGCGGCGGCGCGCGCGTCGAAGAGCCCGAGTGGCGCGGCGGCGGGCGGGAGACCTGGAGCGCGGCGGCGGGCGAGCCCAAGCAGAGGTAACGATCCATGCATGTTTGATTACCGGCTTGGGTACCGTTTTCCCCACCTGCTCCCGGCCCCTCCCCCGCCCTCCCGCCTACCCGCCGCCAGCCCCAATGTGATTAGCTCGTTGCCCAGCCCCAGCAGCAGCAGGTGCCCCAGCCGGCTGGCGGCCACCAGCCGCCCCAGCCGCCGCTCGTGCCCCGGCGGCACGTCCCAGAACCAGGACAGCGAGGCGGACAGCGGAGCCTCGTGCAGCAGGTCCAGCGAGGGCAGCGAGTACACCTGGGGGGCGGGTAGGTGGGTGAATGGGTGGGGTTGGGGGTGGGGTTGAGGGTGGGGTTGAGGGTGGGGTTGGGGGTGGGGTTGGGGGTGGGGTTGAGGGTGGGGTTGGGGGTGGGGTTGAGGGTGGACGGGGGTACACCTATGGGTGGCAGCGGGCAGGGTGGTGTGCGGTAAGGATTGAGGGCGCTGCAGGGGCCGGAGGGATAAGGACGCCGGGGAGGGACGTGGGCGTGACGCATGTGGCGTGGCGGAGCGGGACGCTACTGCTCAGCGCAGAGGAGAGGGCCGCCACCTCCGCTACCCTCACACAACAACCCCGGCACCGGCACCTCAGCAGCAGCAACCACACCCTACCTGCACGCACAGCCCATGCTCCCCCGCTGCCAGCGCCATGACCCCCGGCGCGCCCGCCACCTGCAGCGGCCGCGCGTACACCAGCTGCTGGCCGGCGGGAGGGGAGCGCTTGGCGGCGGTGGCGCGGTCCGCTAGCAGCACGTGGGAGGCGGAGTAGAGGCGCAGGTACTGGTCCGTCACCTGCCGGGGGGGGGCAAAAATATCGATAAATGCGGGGGGGCGGGGGGGGCGAGGAGGAGGGAGAAGATGGAAAGGAAGACGAGCTGGGGTGCGGAAAGGAGAAGCGCTGAGGGGTGAAAAAGGTTAAGGGTGAGTCAGGGCGCTTGCAGGGTCGTGGAACGTGTGAGCTAAGTGTAGCAGCAAGGAAACGTGAGAACGGGGGCTTGTACGGGGTGTGTGTGTCAGGTGGCACGGGCGTCCTTCCCCCCTCCCTACCAGCAAGACGTAGTGCGCTGTGGGGTCGGGGCAGGACGACAGGGTGGCAGCCGGGGCGGAGCTGCCATCTGCGGCAGCGAGGAACGGTAGCGTGTGCTGGTGTTGCGGGCGAGTGGACACTGATAACACAACACAGTTGCGGACAACCACAGGCAACAACCACTGAGTGCACACATAAGTGCTAAGGAACGTGAGTACCGCAAATGGGAGGTGCGGTGCTGGGTAGTCTTCGCGCGAATGCGTTACGTGAAGTCTGCGGTCGCATATGCAGCGGCAGCATGGACAGCTGCAGCACAAGTCCAACCCCCCGCTATCCGCCTACCCTCCATTGCGTCCAGCGCCCCGGCCGCACCGCCACCTGCCCTCCTGCTCCTCTCCTGGGGCTTGCGCCGCGCCTTGCGGCCGCTCCGAGGAGGTGGCGGGTGGGCTCCGTCGGCCTGGGGTGCTCGACCCAGGTGGGGGGGAAGGCGGCTCTGTGGGAGGTGCTAGCTACCTGCAGAAGCCTCCGAGCAGTCCGCCAGGTGGGTCCTTTCAATGCAGCCCGGTTCCCACTCCCGCGTCCCTCTCTCCCCCATGCTCTACCGGTAGCTCCCTGGCTGCCCCCCTAGGTTACCCACCTGCAGTGCCGCCCGGGCGAGCAGCTCCTCCACACTCAGACCCTCCAGGTCTTCCTCCTCCTGCTCCTGCGCCTCCTCCTCCTCATCATCATCATCGCCCTCGTCTCCCGGCGCCTCGTCTTCTTCGTCTTCCCAGGCGTAGCCAGAGCCAGGAACTGCGCAGGGTGGAGGGAAGGAGGCAGCCATGGCGGCCAGGAAACAGGGGAGCCCGCCAATTGCATCTTCTCGCCCCGATAACCCCACGTACAGCGAAGCATTCGAGCCTAGCGCGACTCCGCAACAACCCCTGACTTGCCCCCCTGCCACTCCAAGCCGCACCCAACCCATCTCATACCCACCTTTGCACACATACATCGGTTTTCTTAGCACACCTTCTGCATCAGCACACCGCCTGTCGGCCAGCCTAGGCACCCAGCCTATGCGCCCAGCCCAGCCCCAATCCCCCCCCGCGCCACCCACCTCCCAGCGCCGCCTGGCAGCACCCCGCCCCCATCTGCCTGCGCGCCCACAGCGGGTTGCAGCGCTCGTCCAGCAGCTCCAGTGCCAGGCTGTAGCTGCCGTTCTTGGGCTGCAGCGGGCCGCTCCGACCCACGAAGCAGCCGCGGGAGGCGTCCAGGGCGGCTGCGGGGGGGGGGAGGAGGAGGAGGGGGGAGGGCAGGGGGAGAGGTAAAAGAAGGAGGGCGAGGGGGAGGGGAAGGCAGCATGGTGGGAGGCACCGGGCAGGGCGCGGAGAGTACCGGTACATCGTGTAGGTGGTGGTGGGAGACGAGTAGGTTTGATTGGGGGCCAGCTGAGCCGCAGAATGAACCCTGATCCTTGACCCAGCGCTGTGTTAAGAAAGCAGGCCGCTAGTACAGGAAGGTACACAGGCTGGCACGGCAGCCCCCTCGCGCCCTCACCCAGCCGTCCCTCCGAGTCCGCCACAACCACTGTATGCGAGGGCGCGCCCTCCTCGCCCGCCACCTCCGCACACCGCGCCCGAGCGGCCGGCAGCGGCAGCGGCGCCACCGCAGCCGCCAGCAGCGGGTGCTGCCCGGGCAGTGCGTACCAGCGAACCAGCGGCCGGGCGGTGTCGATGAGCGCCACACCGCCGGACTTGTCGCCCGCTGCTACGGCTCGGATGGACTGTTTGTTGTTGCGTGGGAGCGTGGGTGGGTGGGAAGAGGAACGGGAAGGAGAAGGGAGCGGAAGGGAGGTGGAAGCGATAAGGAGGTGGCTGTACGTCGTGGCTTTAATAAGGTAGTTGGTGGTGGATGGGGGGCATCAACGCATCAAGGGCGGCCTACCTGGCAGTATGCTAGGCAGGTGATCTCCCCCGAGTTGACCAGCACACGCAGCCGCAGCTGCAACCCGGCGGGCTGCTGCAGCGGCCGACATACGCCCGGCGCGTTGACGCTGTGCCGAAGGAGCAGGGGGGGCGAGGGGATGTGAGGCATGTACGACACATGTAACACAGCAAATGGGACATATCGCGTGCTGCCGCAAAACAGCACCCATGACACGGGCCACTGAAGCACTGACGCTACGATTGCATGATACCGGTACGCACCTTCCCCCGTGCACCCTGCACCCCTCTGCGGCCTCCTCCCCGACTCACCTGTCACCTCCCCCAACAGCAGACACCCCCCGCCCATCACCCCCCCACACACACACCACCACCACCACCCACCACCGCCCCTACCTATCCAGCGTCACGCACTCCACGTGGCGCTGCGAGGCGCTGAACTGGTACATGCGCACCTCGCCCCTCTGGTGACCCGCCAGCAACAGACCCGTGGGCCACGCCAGGCTCACGCAGGTCACGGAGCCGGGGCTGCTGCGGCTGCTGCTGCCGCCCAGCCTGCCGGCGTCCGCTGCAGCTGCTTCGCCCGCGGGTGCGGCGCACAGCAGGCGGGAGGTGCCGCCGTGCAGGTCCCACAGACACACGCCGCCGTCCTTGTGGCCTGCGGCGGGGTGAGTCGGGAGCGGGAGGGAGTGCAGGGGGGGTACCGGTAAGGGAGGGGGCTGGCCGGGAATGGGTTGCAACGAGGTTTCGCTCGCGCAGTCCCTAGCCACCCCCGACCCGTCCCCATTCCCACCGGTGCAGTACACGAGACCCCATGTGGCCCCCTCGGGTGGTGGCGGCGGCGTGCCGCTGCGGCAGACCTCCTGCATGCCCATCACGAACTGCTGCTCCGCCTCCTCCATGACCTCCCACGAGTCCGCAGCCGCCTGGCGCAGCCCCTCCAGTGTGATGGTGCTGGGGCCGCAGGCTGCAGGCCTGGGGGCGGGGGGGGTGGAGGGCAAGGCAAGGTACCGGTAAGCGGGGAAGGCCCCAGGCGTTGCGAGCTGGGCGGCCACCCATGAAGAGCCACGTTACGTGGGTCGCTTCGCCCCAAGTACCGGTACGGTACGGTGCCCGCGCGCCTCTCTCCCTCTTCCCCCGCCCCTCGCACCCACTTGCAAAGCGGCACCAGCGGCGCCTCCGTGGCGGTGATGGCGGCGCGGCGCTGCAGGGGCGGCGTCAGCACCCGCGGCTGCTGGCGGCTCAGGCTGTACAGCACCAGCTGACCGCCCTCCACCAGCTGCAGCACGCCGCTGGGCGGCTCGTAGCCTTGGGAGGGGGAGGAAAGTGGGGTGGGAGGGGCGCAGGTTGGGAAGGAGAGGGATGCGGATGAGGGCAGGGCAGCCGGGGTGAGGGCAAAGGGAGCTGGGAAGCGAAGCAGCACATGGCAAGGCATGCGCATATGCCTCATGGGGCCAATGGCGGTGAGCCTTTCCCGCCAGGATGGGTCCATGAGAATCATGCCTATACGAGCCCCCTGCTCCCAGAGCACTGCCGGGCTCTGCTCACCTGTGACCACACCGCCATCCACCACAAGCCCAAACCCAATAACATGACCGAACCAGGGCAACTTGACGGGACCCCTGCCCCGCCGCTTGCCAGGCGAGGCAACGGCTCGGTGCTTCCGCCGCCTGCGGTGCTCGGCTTCACGGCCCGCGTCCACATCCTCCTCCTCCTCCTCTTCCTCCTCTTGATCTTCTTCTTCTCCTCCGCTGCCACCTGCGTGCGCACCCTCCAGGCCTTCCTGCTGCTCTGCCCCTGCCTGCAGACAGTCCCGAAGAATACCGCATTAGCGCCCCATGTACACGTTCCCTCAGCAAGGCGACGAATGCAGGCGAACCCCTTGCAACCCCTGCCAGCTATCGGTTACGGTACCCTCCCTGCCAGCCAGGCTATCGCATCCTGCCCGCTGCGCACCTCGTCTTGCCCCGCCGCCGGCAGCGGCAGCAGCGTGAGCCCCTCCGGCTGCTCCACCTGCTGCCCGCCCAGCACCAGTAGCCCGGGCGCGCCACCCGGCAAACAACGCAGCATGCGCACCGGCTCCGCCTCGCCCTGCTCCACCCTGCATGCGGCCCGGTGCACACAGCAGCCCGCGCAAACATAGTCATGCATGCGGGCGCCATCCCAGCAGCTGGGGTCCCGGCAAGACATGCATACACCGTTCCTACTGATAGACGTCCTCCCTCGCTGCTCATAACGTGCGGTTTCACTCGACCCCCAGCGCCGCGCCCCCAGCCCACCTCATGACAGCAGTCACCGCTGGTGTCCCCTCCAGCCCCAGCCCCTGCAGCGCCCACACCAGCACGCTGCCGTCCACGTGGCCCGTAGCGTAGTCTCCGCAGCCGCTGCTGCAGCCGCTGCCCAGCCAGCACACCGCGGTGACCTGCCCGGCAGCCGCCAGCGAGGGGGTGGCGGCGGTGGCGCGCTGGTCAGCAGGGTCGATGCTGGCTAGCAGCTGTGTGGCCCTGGGGGGGTGGGGTACGGTATCAGGGCGGTAGTACAGCGCAAGCGTTCTAGGGTCAGACGTTGGGCGGCATGAGGATCATGGAAAGCTTTGCTTGCTGCAGCCCTCCCTGCTCCTCACCTTTTTGCTTCCCCTTTCGTCACACAGTTCGTTTCTCCCTCTTTACACCCCCACCTGATATCCCACACCGCCGCCATGCCGGCCGTGAACAGCACCAGCGCGCGGTGCACCTGCCCCCGGCTCTGCACCGCCACCTGCCGCACCTCGCCCCGGCCGCGCAGCTGCTCGGGACGCACTGCAGTCAGGGGTGCCAGTAGCAGGGTGGGAGGGGTGGGAGGTACCGGTAGTAGGGGAACCAGCCCACCAGTGGATGCATGCCGGAGAAGGAAAACGCAAATCAACCCAGGTAAGGAACGATGGGAGGTATCATGATACAACTGCCCCCCCAACCTACCTTTGTAAGGTGTCACCGCAAAGTGCCGCGCCTGTCCGGGGCTGCCTGCCACGGGGTTGCCTGCTGCGTCCACCAGCGCAGCCACCCGCAGGCAGCCGCTGGCGCAGCCCAGCAGCACGTAGGGGTCCCGAGGCATGTCGGCCACACAGTGGATCTTGTCGCCGCGCAGCTTGAGGGTGCCCAGCGACCGTGCGCCGCTGTTGGCGCCACGGTCGACAGAAGCAGCAGCAGCCACTGACCAGCTTTCCATGATGCCGCCCTGTGGTGAGGCGGGCAGGCGTGATTTTGTATAAGATGGTGATGTGCAGGGACGCGCATACGGCAACAGGGATAGGCGGAGAGATAGGGGTGTACTGAAGAGCCGCAGGAGAGAGGGAAGGGCGAGCACGAAGAGCAGCGTGCAACATCCCTATACTCGCACCCACTCCAGCGTTACACGTATGCTCCCACCAACCTTGGAGACCCGCATGATGACGCCTCGGTTCTGTAGGAATTGCAGCTGGCGCGTCGCATAGGGATACTTCGCTCCTGAGTACAAGGTTAGCTCACAGCCCTGTCGCCCAAGCAGCTTAACCTTTCCATCGCTAGTCGCGATCTACAGAGTAGCAGTATTCGGTAAGACACAAGCTGCTTCGCGTAACTCGGCGCCATCGCAGCACGTACCCCGATGAGACCCTGAACTGGCTCAACTGCCAGAGCGTCAGCGGTGCCAGGGATGCCCGACGTTGATAGAAGGGCGTCCTCAGCATTTGCCAACGCTTCGCTGCGGAGTCGATCGCGTTCCGTGCGCTCCGCATCCTTCCTCGCCTCTTTCTTTTTTCCTGCACCCGAACCGAGGCCAAACATGTTCTAGTAGTACAGCTTTACATGCATAAGAATTTGCTGCTTGCAACTTCATGAGGTCGCGAAAGCGACGGTTGACAGCCGGGGCTTGCATCATGGAACGACTTGCAGAACACGCCAAACTCAAGCTGAATCCCAACATACCCATATACTTTACAAACGCTAGTATATGTATACTGATAGCATGTTACAGCTGTTAAACTGGCACTGCCAATAAATACTTGCAATGGAACGTTGACCGCGGTCCTAACATGAGTTCCAACAGCGTTACTAGGGAGCAGTCAGACACTATCGTAAAAGAGTTTGAGTTTGAAGGGAACTATGCTGGGGCGTCGAAGCCGGTGGAGCCCATTGTTGGCAGGCACATAAAGCGAAAGGGACTTTGGCGGGCATGCTTCACCCCAGCTCGCGTGGATGAGCCAACCATTGATGCCCCTCCTAAATCCGTTGCATGGCGCCTAGCGTTGTCAACGACGCACTTGCTGTACCAGCGGCCTGGCGCGGGACTTCTCCGCTTGCCGCTGTTGGACGTGGCCGACATTCACTTGAGCTGGATTGAAGCGGGGGGCGCACGGGTATCCAAGGTAAGATGAGAGTACGTATGGGACAGTTTACCCTGGTCAAGTTTGTAGCGGAGGGTCCGGGCAAGGGGTCTGGTACGCCTGGCACGCAGCCATCCTTCCTACTGTGCGCGCGGCAGTGTAAGTGACAGCGAACCAGCATTCTACACAGTTGCATTGGCAGTTCAACCAGTGTCCCCTCCTCTATACCGTACAGGTTACAATATCCTGGCGGCAGTCGGGTAGGGAGCCTTTGTGCATTCGAGGGCTCAAGGTACGTGGTGTCATGTAGTTAGGCACAGCGCTGACTTGGATGCTGAACATCACAGTTACGACATGTTACGAGCGCAATTGTACGAATGTCCCGGGCACGCAGGACCCGCAATTGCTCTTGGACTGGGTCGAGCAGCAGCGCAGGGAGCTGCCGGGCCATGCAGCTGCGACTCCAACCGACGCTGGCGTGCAGACGCCAGGGCCACGAGGTGAGCGCTGGCCTTGCATGTCTAGGCCGCCTGTGCAAGGCCTGTGCAATGGCCGAGGACGACCCGCACTGAAGCGTACTGCGCGCGGTACCCACTTCGCAGGTTCCGCAGGCGCTGCTGCTCAAGGCAGCACAGCCACAGGCAAGAGCGATGTTGCAAGCCCGGTCCCCAGCACGGCGGCAGGGACTCCTGCCACGTGCACCGTGGCACGGACACTGTTTGCGGAGTCAGTGGGCGTCGGGGCCGTGTCGCCGGCAGCTGCGTCCAGCGCCAGCGGCGGCAGTATGACGCACCTTAGCCCGTTCGCCAAGGGTCCTGCCCAACGGCTGGCAGCATCTGTCGCAGATCCTGGATTGAGGCACGCTGGCACTAGCTCTCCGTTGTCACGAGGCGCTGCTGAATCCCACCCCACACCACGCAGCCTCGGCACGCCCCGTTCACATGGTAGCACTCCGCTCAGCACAGCAACCTCCAGGGCCCCTCGTAACAGCGGAGGTGCCTCAGCGGCGCTGCCCATGCCGCCGCCCCTCCCTAGCGACTCGTTCGTCGAGTCGGCAGCGCCGTCAGTCGCAGGCATGGCCTCATCCTCGCCACTTCCGTACGCTGTCGGCGGAAGCCCGCCCCCCGCAGCCGAGGACTCGGTCGGGGTTTTGACGCCGTTGGCCTCTCCTCCCACGCCAACGCGTGTGGCAGGGGCCAGCCACCCAAGTGCTGCCGAGGGCTTAGCGCCCGCAGGGGCCACCCTGTTGTCACCGCAGAGCAGGCCTACAACACCCGGTGGCGGCGCCACGTCTCGTGGTGTAGCCCCCAGCAATGGAGGCCATGGCTCGCCCGAGGCAGCATTGCCGCCGCATGCGGACATGTCCCCTCAGCGGCAGCCCTCCCCGGCTTCAGCGCGGGATTCCTTGCCCTCCTCGCCGGTTTCCTTGCCGCCGTTGCCACCCTTGCACCCTCGCCAGGCCCGGAACTCCCCGCCAGCAGGCTCCTGCGATGCTGCGGCGCTGCTAGAGCTGGTTGGGGAAGCGCCCTCACCAACCAGGACGCGCAATGTGGAGTTAGCGGCTTCAGCAGGGGGCGCTGCCTTACCCGCTCGGACCCCCAGGTTGCAGCCCGCACACCTGCAGCACCAGCGGCCGTACGAGGGGAGCCACCGGCTGCAGCACGGTAGCACTGCTGCGGTACCACCGGCGGATGCGGATGCGGGTGCTGGGGGAGCCGCCACAGGGGCAGCACGACGTGGATCGGAGGCAGGTGCTAGCGGCTCCTTCCGGTCCGCTCTGTCGAGTGAGGCGCTGGAGTACTCCGTGACGGGCACGCCACCCCCATTGTCGCTAGGGGGGAGCGAGACCACGCCCGTACTGCTATCGCGGCAGGGCAGTGAAACAGTCAATGAAGAACAGGCTCCCCAGCAAGACGTCCAGGGGGTTTGCGCCGCTTCAGACAAAACTGCTGAAGCCGTCAGCTGCTCATCAGGAGACGGGTTAGGTGCCGCTTCTGCTGAGCTGCAAGGCGGCAGCGGCGGGTTGCAGGGCCCAGTTGGCCTCCCAGAAAGTACCTCTGATGCCCAAGATGCTGGTGTGCAAGGCAGCAATGGTTACTCGGGGATTTCAGCTGACATGGCGCAGGTCGTGGCTGGTGCTGGGGCACAAGGCGGCAGGGGCAGCTTACGGGCCTCTGCTGACCTTCCAGACTGCACCGCTGACGCGCATGAAGAGGAGGAGGAGGCGCAAGGCAGCAGCGGCGACGGCTTGCCGGGCTCAGCCGGCTGTAGCCAGGGGACCGCCCTTGCTGAGATGCAAGGCAGCGGCGGCGGGTCACAGGGTACAGCCGGCCTTCCGGGAGGCTCCCCTGGTGCTGAAATTACTGAGGTGCAAGGCAGCAGCGGTGATTCGGAGGGCTCAACCCGCCTTTCACCAGGCACCGCTGATGACCCCGGCGCTGAGGTGCAAATCAGCGGCGGCGGCTCCGAGGGTTCGGCTGGCCTTTCGGAGAACGCCGCTGACATGCCGCTTGAGGGGAGCAGCTCTCCACAAAGCGGTAGCACCTCATCCCAGAACGCGGCCGGCAAACAAGACACGGGCGTGACCGCCGTGGGTGCGCTGGGAATCGCCGCGGCCGCTGCCACAATGTCGGCTGTCTTGACGTCTGCAGCCTCCGCGGGTATCAGCAGTATAGGGCTGCTGGCGTCCCCGTCGCTAGGCGGCGCTGCAGGCGTCGCTGCCTCCTCGGCAGCCGTTGCTGCCTCAGCAGTGGCTGCGCCCATAACCCTGATCGGCATCACAGCAGCGGCGGCGGTGACCATGGTCGCAGCGGCAGCGGTCACCCACATCCGCACTGGCAGTCCTGTGCGGTCACCCTACAGCCACCGCAGCAGGGACCTTCGCGAGGCGTGGAGGATGCAGCTGGCCAGCCGCAGCCACGATGAGGAGGTGCAGGCAGCCAGCTGCCATGGAGAGGGGGCTTCGGGTGAGGGAGGGCCGCGGAGCAGCGGGGAAGCTCCAGTTTCACCGTCGCGGGCAACCGGTACGCATGTTGTTGGGGCAACGGCGGCAGGCAGCCCTGGCAATGCTACGCCTGCTTCTGGCATTCTGCCACAGCGGTCTTTGCAGGACGGCGGCGGCAGCGGTGCAACAGTTGAGACTGGCGCCAGCAGCATAGACAGCGTAACCGGCGGCGCCTGGGGCTCCCAGCCGAACCTTTCGGATGCTGAAACGGGTCATCTGTGTTCCCATGGTCAGGGCGTATCCCATACCCATGCGCCTGGCGGCGACAGTGGTGGCGGAGCTGTGCCGCACTTGGCGGCACACCACGGGGACCACGGAGAGGAAGAAGCACTGCCAGTCACGTTGTTTTTGGACGGACCGGGCGGAATGCCCCCGCTGGAGTGCAAGCATCAGGCCAGTGCTATTGACATCCCCTCGGAGCTGCCAATTGCAGCCGCACAGAGTACGACAACTGAAGAACTGACAGCCAATGCTGGTGTCCCGGTTCCGCCCAACGGCGAGCCCCTAGTAGCTACTAGCTTATGCCTGCCACAGCAGCATGCGCCAGAAGAACAGGAACAGTCCCTCACCGGCATCCACGCTGTTGCGGTGGTGGTCCACGGCGGGGAGCTGCGGCCGCCACCATACGAGGTTGCCTGTGCGGAGCCAGCAGCGGCGTGCCCCCAAGTCCCGGTGGTGGGATTCGACAGCCTTGTCTCTCCGCAGCCCATGGTCCCGCAGCATCAGCCCCAGCGTGACCCTATCGTGCGCCAGCTCTTCCAGGACGAGGAGGAACACGTTCCCGGAGCCAGCGCGGTGCCGGAGCAATGGAAGCAGCAGCAACCTTCCGCGGTGCCTGCGGCGCTGCCCTGCCACACCCCGATGATTCCTGCGAGTCCCCTGGCCCCAGGAGCGAGCGCACAGCAGTGCTTCACTGCGGCTAGCAGCCTCGGCCACGAGGCATCGCCGGCGGCGTTGCGGCGGAGGGCCTTACAGCTTAAGGAGTCCCCTGTCGGGGTGCTGTTTTCGATACGTGGCTCGGCTTCCGGAGCTGCTGGAGCTTCTTCGCCGCCTGCCGCAACGCGGCCACCGCCAGCTGCTACATGCGAGTCGTGGGTTCAGACAGATGTCCTGCCCGCGCCCGTGTCAGAGTGCGCGGTTCAAACGGAAACGGAGCGGCCGGACGAGCACGTCATCATCGCCGGAGGCGGTTTGGGTTACAGCATCGGCCGCGGCAGCGTTACCAGGAGCGGGAGCAGTGGCAGCAGCAAGGGCGAGCAGCGGCGCAATGTACCGAAGATGGCAGAAAGCCCAACGCAGCGGTTATACGCGCTGAACAGCCCAACTACTGAAGCCAGCGGTGTCACTTCAGGCGAGCAGGTGCAGACACGCGAGTCCGTGCCCTCCTTGGCGGGCGCCAAGGACTGGTTCTTGGTGTCCCCGGAGGACGGCAAGCATCGCGGTATTGGCAGGCACGGTCTGGCCGACGGGGTCGGCGAAGGCGTCAGGTATGTCGCATTTGCACATGCTACTGGCCGGTTCTTGGAAGGACGCGTGGTTACATGAGGGATGCTCTCATTTGCTTGACGTGCAGTCGCCCCCTGGTGGTCATGTTCATGCAGGCTCGAGCAGCACGCCAGCGCTTCTCCCTCTCCTCTCCGCTCCTCCAGCCAGGGCGACAGCACTACTAGCAGCAGCGGCAGCAGCAGCCCGCTGACGGACGAACACAGCAGTGCTGCAATGTCTCCCGGCGCCACATTAGCAGCAGCTGCTCGCCGCAGCTACCGTGCTGTGCCTCGTCACTTACATTCTGCAAAACCTGCGGACAGCGAGGCTAGCGCGGTTAGCGAGGATAGGGTGCCACTACTGGCTCGCTGCAGCGAGACAGGAGCCGCACACGCTAACGAGGCGCATGCCGCTGAGACATGGCCAGGGGCTGCGCTAGCGGGCAGGAGTCTGGTGCCATGCAAGTCTGGTCTGCGCGGTGAGGGTGCTGGCATCAGCAGCAATAGCAGCAGTAGCCCGGTGTCGTCCCGGGTTTCGTCCTCCACAAGCACCTCAGCACCTACTGCGCCATCCTCGGTGGGCTCTGGGAACTACACGCCCTTGGCCAGCGATCGGGGCACGGAAAGCACGGGCAGCAGCCCCAGACGCGGAGGTAGGGGCGGAGTCAACAGCTCTACGCAGGCTGATGCGGCTGGGCGCGGTGCTACTGGTGCCGATGAAGGTACTCCTGCGGCGGCACGGGACCGCGATGTTGCCGAGGCTGCCGGCGCTTCAGCCTCCAGCTTCCGTGGCGCTGTTGGTAGTGCTGACGGCAAGGGCGATTCGCAGCTCAGGCTCTTGGCATCCGACATGGGGTTTTCTGCGGAGCCGCCGACTTCAGAAGCGCTGCGGTCCGCGTTGCTGATATCTGGCATGGCAAGCAGCTGCAACAGGAGCAGCGCTGTCCAGGTGACTGAGGTCAGTACGGCAGCTGCTGAGCTGGCGTCACTACAAGACGCGACCAGCGACGTGGCTGAGGATGCGGTTTGGCTTCTGGCTCCGGCGGAAGGAAACGCTGGTGTTGTCAGGACCGCCGATACCCTGGCGTCAGCATGCGCCTCCGGCGCTGCGTCAGCAATCGCGTCTCCAAGGGCACCACTGTTGCCGGAGACCTATATCGTGGCAACCGGCGGTTCCCACTCACCTGTGACGGCTGGCGGCCATAGCCGCAGATCTAGCACTGGCAGCAACGGAGAGCTGGCTGTTGTTGGAAGCCGAAACCCCAAGGGCCCAAGCGCAGGCATGATGTGCAGCCAAGTCGCCCCTGTCCATCCCGATGGCAACCAAATTGCCATCCCTGCTTGCTTGGGGCCGTTGGGACCGGAGCTGAGTGCTGCTGGGGATGAAGCGGCTGCGCATGAGCAATGCCAGTCTCCTAGTGCCGTGAGCAGTGCCGTGAGCAGTGCCGTGGCGATAAGCAGCAGCGTGAAGCCGCTACGTTGCTTCGCACCGTCTCCCGCGGCGTTTGCTTTTTACACATCCAGTCGCATGGCGCCAACCGGAACACCAGGGGAGTCAGCCGCCGCAGCGGACAGCATGTGCAGCGGACCTAGCCAGCGGCTGTCCGAGCTTGCTGGGACAACGGATATGGGGGAAGTCGTCACACAAGTCTTGCCCGCGTCGCCAGAGCTGTCCGAGATGTCTTCAGTGGCGTACGGCGGGGCTTACATGTACGACAGTCCACGACCTTCACCGTACGGAACACCGCGATCAGCTCAGCCGCATGCCAGCACTGCACCTACCCCGGACACCGCTGGTCATGCAGCATCCGCCGCGGGGGCTGCAGACTCGCCTAGCCCGCATGCGTACCCGCCAAGCGAGGACTTCTTCCACCACAACCCGCTCTACCGTATCACTGAAGTGCATGGCGGGGAATCACGTCCAGTTGCCCCATATGACAGCAGCGCGACGGCCCTGGTGCCCATGAGGCCCGCCGCGTCCGGTCTGAGCTACGGTGGCATGCTCAGCGACGATGAGTACGCCCTCTCTTACGCCTCCTCTCATGGTCCCCTGGGCTATGCTGCCTCCCAGTTGAGCCTATGGTCCGAGGCCGGAGCAGGTGCCGACCAGCGGCATCCTGAAACCGGGAGGGACGGGGCCGCAGCAGCTCGGGCGATGACTGTGGGAGGTGTTGCTTCCGCTTGTCATGGTGGCGGGCTGCAGGGCGGGGCTGCAGCTGCTGCGGCAGGGAGCGCGCGTTGGACTGTCTCGGAGGCGGGAAACACCACCGCTGCCGACGGTGTCAACACCGGCGGCTTAGGTTCTCAGCCGCAGCTGCAGCACCAACAACAGTTAAAGGTGTTCCGCATGCCGGTGGAGGAGAGGAGTACGGCAGCAGCAGGAGCGCATATGGGCTCCATGCAGCTTCCTGGAGCGCAGAGCTTCGGACCTTACCCCCGGAAAGTGGCGCATCCTTTGCACAGTCCGCTGATGGTCCTCAACCCAATGTACGCGCGATCGGAGGCCGGCGCATCCTCCGTTGCCGGCTCCCCGCACGCCACCAATGGCGGTTTCCCTCCGGAGCACTTGCCCAAGGCGCCTGCGAGCTACGGCGACACAACGGCGCGCATGCCGGAGGTGGGCGTGACGACCATCTCAATTGTACCTACGGCTAGCCCGGTTGAAATTTGCAATGTTGGTGCGGATGGCAACGCGCGTTTGGCAGACGGCGGCATCACGCCGGGTTACATGACACCCAAGCTGAAGATGCGTCCACGCATGAGTGGTTCACCATTCAGCCTGGGCAGTTGTCAGGTGAGTGTTCTGGGTTACGACAAGGCAATCTTGTCTTGCTTCTCGCCAGAGTTACGTTAGTACTTCCCGGTAGTTAGTGCTTGTCAGGGGCACCGCGGCATGTTGATACGTTACCATTGCACCGCAGGGCTCACCGACCAGCCAGCAGGCGGCTCATGCCGCCTCCTTGTTGCGCCAGGCTAACGATGCTGTGGACACCGCACGAGACGCAGTGCAGCGAGGCGATGGGGAGTGGCTTGCACGCGTGACAGCCACGCTGCAGGCAGTGCAGTCTGCGTTGGATGCACTCCGAGAGTTTTAGCGGGTTGTATGTCGGAGCGGTTGGAACGGCGAAGCACTGCTGCCTAGGCAGCTGCGACGGCTGTGTTTTTGGCGTTGTATTGAAGTTGCTTACAATGTTAGTTATGCCTGCAAGCCATTGAAGCCAGCTAACGGTGCGTGGCCTGTTTGGAAAGTAATGCCGTACACCCATCCATAGACACTACAGACTGTGTCCATAGCGTGTACATACATTTTTTGGTATTCAGCAAGCAGTTGCACGGGCTTAGGGTACCGGTACTTGTTAGGTCGGACTTGTAGAGCTGTCATGTCGCAAACGCGTCACGCTGCTAGCTTTGCAGCCTGCCTAGTAAGCAAATCGTTACGCCATAGCCTTTTGGGTGCCTCTGAGCGCACGGTGTGTTCGTCGATAGGCGTTCGGACATTGTCGACGGCGTCTAGCGATGCAGCGGAGGCGAGCACGAGTGGACAGGAGGCCATACCGGGATGGCTTGGGATACAATGTAAACCTAAAGGCAAAAAGGGTGAGCAACATACGCTTCCTTCTATGCAGTTACCGCTTGATGGAGGGTGTAACTGTTTCCTTTCCGTTCCAGACCCGCCGCTTTCTTGGGTTTACATGAGGGAAGGCAAGGACGGAATTAAGCGCTTGATGCCATGGTCGGAGCGGCTAATCTGGGGAGCTGTGTTCGGCGGAATCGGGTATTTCGTCGTGCCTTGGTGGTACAACCGGAGATTGCGAGCCGCCGAGGAGCGCATCGTAAGCAATATGCAGCAACGATTCCTGTCTATGGCCGGTATAGAGGAAAGCGTCCGTTGACTCGCCTCATCCCTTGCACCTTCCCATTGTAGGCGGCAAAGAAGCGGGAGGAAGAGCTGCACGAAAAGCGGCTTCTGGCTATCCGCCTCCTGCTCTCGGGTAAAACCTGGGTGCAAGATGAGGCGGACGCGTTTGAGGGGGTGTCGCCAAAGGAGATAATGGAGTTCATGCGCAAGCACAGCATTAGCCCGGAGGACCCATTCGAGGTGCGTAGTTGCTGCGCGCTTCCGGGACGCAGGGGTTGGGGAGGGGTATTGGGGATTAGGGGTAACGTGTGTGTGTTAACATGGGGCCTACCGTCACGCATGTATGGTGTGGGGTAAAGTAGCCACGTGTACAGCTATCTGGGCGTGCGTCCCCAAGGTTAACGAACGAAATGATTTTATATTTTGATATGGTGGTTGCGAGGTGCCTCAAGGCGGCAGGCTGGCAGCTGCGGACGCACTGTTCACAGACTGTATCCTGGATGCATACAGTGACGCTTAGTGGGGCATACACGACACCCTTGTGATGGGAGCAATGTTGGTGCAACACCGACACCACACCACGCTGCAGGCCCATTGCAGAATTGGCTTACGTCGCAACCGCCTGTCGTGTTGAACCTAATCTACCCCTCCTTTGTATACCACTGCCAACCGTGCAGGGCATGACGCCGGAGGAGATCGACGACTTCGTGCGCAAAACGGGCGTTTCGATATAACCTTGATCGCTGGCAGTGGCCTTGACCTGCCTAAACTAGCTGTGATGCAACGTTCAGGCTGCTTGCCGGGGTTAGGGACGCACACTGGTCTACGCTAGAACTGTGATAGGCGAACAGCAGGGTATCAAGTGGCGGTTGGGTCCCGTGTTAGGCAGTGAAACAGGCTGTAACCAATGCATGATTTCTTCGTTGCATTTAAGTGATCAGGCATATTTCAAGTGCAGTCATATAGCATTACCGTGGAAGGGGTGGCGTGGGAAGGAGGTTGTGCTTTGCCAGGCTCTCGGGTTCCGGACTGCCTACATTGAACGGTTTGTACGGCGTGCACGGCCGTGGCGGGCTTGCGCTTTTGTAACACCTTGTGTCGCCGGTGTTTGATGAATTGCCGCTAATCACTTGCATCTATTTTTGCGAGCGCCTATATTTTGTGAGTAGAGCTACTCTCAAGCCGCCGCTCGCGCCGCCCTGAACGGTAGTCTGGTCAATACCGGAGTGATAAAGGTTTAGCCCTGGCGTTGCTTGTTCATCACCAAAGCAGTTTGCTAAGGAGGACACCGTCTGCTCAATCCCGAACCCGACCCAACTTGTCATACATTACTCGCGCCAAGATGTCCGCAAAGGCCGCTGTTAAAGTATCGGAGCTTGATGGCGAGGCTCCGGAGAGCACCGACTTCGCCAACTACTTCTGCACCTATGGATATATTTACCACCAGGTGCGCGTGCGCGCCTTATTAGTACATGCCGCATCCGGAACCTGGTTGCGGCTGGTGGAGTTACTCGACTCGTAAAGCCTTGAATTTCCTAGGCCAGCAACTAGAAGCAATCACGCAATACACAGCTCCTTCCCGTAGAATGCCTTCCATCTTTGGTCCCGGGTTGCAACCATCGCCCACGCCCTACTTATTGTGGAGCCATCCCTTTATTTCCGGGACCCTCCTTGCTACGTGCGAACGTAGCATTTGCTCTGTTTCTGATCGAATTCTCGTCCGGATGCTGGACCGGTATCAGCCCGAGCCAGTGGCCCCTTCTCTCACACCACCCCGTTTTGCTGCCCGCAGAAAGATATGTTGGAGGACCACAAGCGCACCGGGGCCTACTACCAGGTAGGAGAGCCGCACGGAGGGGTCTTATGCCACGAAGCACCTCCACCCGTCTCTCTACGACAATCTAGTGGACGGGCGGGGTGGCTATCCTAAGTTGTCTTTCAGTGTGCCCCATCATGGACGGTGGAGCCGTAGCCGGCGCTGAGTAGACGTTGAATAGCCCTGTTTTCTTCATCTGGTCGTCGCTTGTACGCTTTCGCACGCCGCTCGCCGCGTTTTGGGCCCCTGAACCCTGCTTCTGCCCTACCTCGCGTGTGTCGCATACAGGCTGTGCTCTCCAACAAGCGGCAATTCCAGGGCAAGGTATGACAGCACCGGGATCACTGTCCGGCACTATCCCCTTCCCACCTGGCTCGCACGAACAGCACATATTGACTCGGCTTACCTTACCTTGGGACCCTTTGGCGCGCCCCTTTCCTGCTCGCCCGGCCTCCCTGCTCCTGGCCCCCGCTTGCTGGTCTTACTGCTGCTCACAACACAGCAAGGCGCCAGCGTACCGGCAGCCCCTTGCATGGCACCCATCCAGCACCAGCCCCTTCCCTACTCCCTACCCTGCTCTTATCCTTTCCCACACCTCCTGGTTTCCTTTGCTTCCCCTCCTGCTCCCAGGTCGTCCTCGATGTGGGCACGGGCAGCGGCATTCTGGCCATCTTCGCGGCCAAGGCGGGCGCCCGGAAGGTGTATGCGGTGGAGGCGACCAACATGGCCAAGAACGCACGCGCGCTGGTGGAGAGCAACAACGTGGGAGGGGCGGGATGGGGGAGGGGGGGAAGAGGGCGGCAGTGGGGAATCTTTCAAGAAGGAAGTCGACACCTTGCAGCCTCTGTGGTGCTGGTAAAGGGCGGGCGGTACATGCGACTGAGACGGGTGTTGCCAGGCTGCGTCAGTGGCAGTGAGGGACCGGGCAAACCCCGATTCCGCATCCAGTCCAGTTGCGTTGCCCGCCTTTCACCCCCGTACCAGCTGCGTCTCTGACCTCTCTCCTGAGACTCCCACCCCTTCCCTGTCCTGCCCCCGCAGCTGAGCCACGTGGTGGAGGTGATCCAGGGCACCATCGAGTCCATCTCGCTGCCCGAGAAGGTGAGGGAACAGAGCAGGTGTGCAGCCCGCTACATGAGCCCCGCACGCGTGCCACCAGGGTATGAACATCACCACCTGCGGCGTGTGACTGCAACATCTCCCGTTGTCACCCAATAAGGCAGTTGCCGTGCTTCCTAGTTGTCTAGCCCCCCCCATAAAACTTAAAAGACTCTAGCTGGCCCCTGTTAACGAACCCCGCCCCTCCCCTCACCCCCTCTACCTCCCCCCCACCGCCCAGGTTGACATCATCATCAGCGAGTGGATGGGCTACTTCCTGCTGCGCGAGAGCATGCTGGACTCGGTGCTGGTGGCGCGCGACCGCTTCCTGGCGCCCGGCGGCGCGCTGTACCCCTCGCACGCCGCCATCTACCTGGCGCCCATCCGCAGCAACCTGGTCAACCAGCGCACCAGCGAGTTCCAGGTGGGTGGGGAGTGGTGTGGTGTGGGGTCGAGCGGATTGGGGTTCATGGGTGCGGAGGGGTAGGTGCGGAGTGGGGTGGGTGGGAGCGGGGAGCATAGAAGGACAGGCTGGAGTTGGAAGAGTCAGCGAAGGTCAGGAGGAGAAAGCCGCTTCTGCGGAGTGCCATGCTGCTGACGTCACGCATCAACCCGCCTCACCGCCTCCCTACCCGGTTCGTCTGTTTCTTCCTCACTCCGCCCCGCCCCGCCTCCCCCGCCTGCATGCTGCTGCCAGAACTCCATGGAGGGCTGGGCTGAGTTCCTGCAGGAGATGAGGCACTACTACCAGGTGGGGTAAAAATGATGATAGTGGAGGTGGGGGGGGGGCAGAGAGATAGACCCAAGTCACAGGTTAGGGCAAACAGTACACCGCGGGTTGGGGATAGCGGGAAGCAGTTGGGAGAGGACTAGGGTTTGAGTGCTAGTGCGGTAACGGACAAGATCCATACCGCACCCGCCGGAGGTCCATCCGACCTAGCTGCTCGGCCCGCTCCTCCTGCAATCCCACACCCGCCCCTGCCCCCCTTGGCGCCTCCTTGTCCCCCTCACCCCTGCCCTTCCAGGTGAACCTGGACTGCCTGAGCGACCCCTACCGCTCCGAGCAGAAGGACTACTACCTGCACACGAGCCAGTGGACCGACACGCACCCGCAGCAGCTGCTGGGGCCCGCCACCCCATTCATTAAGTACGACCTGCACACGCTCACGCTGGAGGAGCTCAAGGTGGGGGGCGAGGGGGGCGGGGGCGGGGGGTTCCTGAGTATAGGGTTATTCGAAACGGCGGGGGGGGGGGGCGAAAGAGTGTGAAGTGGGGCACTGGGGGATTGCTGGTGGCTATAGTGTGGAAGAGGAGGAGGGCGCGCACTCGTGGATGGGTCTTGGATGCTTGCGATGCAGATGCGCCGGCGGGGCGGGGAGCGGAGCGGCGAGTAGGCGCTGCAGAACCGCCACGACGCGTCCTCCAACCAGGCCTCACAAACCACCGCTCCCTCTTCCCCTCCCCTCTTCCCCTCCCCTCTCCCCCTCCCCTCTCCCCTCTCCCCTCTCCCACCTCCTTAGGCCCCCCTGAAGGCCGAGTTCCTGCTGCACATGACCGACGGCGGGCCGGTGGACGCGCTGTGCGGCTTCTTCGACGTCTGGTTCCGCGGCAGCCAGCAGGCGCCCACCGACAACGAGGTCCGCCTCACCACCGGGCCAGACCCGACGGGTGAGTGGGGTGGGCCGCCGCACTGGGAGGGAGCCGCACTGGGAAGGCGGAGGGGGCCACTATAGACTCTGGGGGTGGGCGCTAAGGCGTCCTCCTGCCGCAGCTTCCCGGGGTGGCTGCAGTAGTACCCACCTTGCCACTCCAACCCACGTCTACCACCCCCGCATCACCCGCTTACTCGCGGCCCTCTCATCCCTCCCTCCCCCAGGCGCCACCCATTGGGGCCAGCAGACCTTCCCGCTGCACCCCGCCATCGACTGCGCGCCCGGCGACCAGCTGCGTGTGGTGCTGGAGGTGAGCCGCCGCGCGGACAACCAGCGGCTGCTGCACGTTAAGGCGGCCGTCAGCGTGGAGGGCAGCTCCATATACGCGGAGCAGAGCAAGACGCCGCGCAACTTCCACTGGAACATCGAGTAATGGAATGGCATTGAGGATTGGAATGGCGGAAAAGGGGAAGGGTGGTAACTGGTCAGGATGGAGTCCTCGGGGTGGGGGTGGGGGGTGGGTGAGCGCACACCTGTGGGATTTGATTAGGGACCGGACGGGGAGAGGGTTAGAACGTAGACGTGACTGACTGGTGGCGCTGTGCCGCCGCGTTTGCCGACTGGGCCTGGTGTGGGTTGTGGTGAGGACATGACTGGTGGAGGGTTCGACGTGGTGTTTTAGTTGGAAGGACTGTTGGTTTTGCAGTGCAGCTGAAGTATTATCGTAGTGGCGTCGCATGCTATTCTTTGGTTTCCTCCTGCTTGCTGTCGTGGTAACTGGTAAGGCTCCAGTGGCGCACAGCCGCCGTGGGCTGTTCTGCGTTTGCGCTACTGCTGTGTTGGGGCTCTCGACAGACATCTCGAACTACCGGGTAAGGCCGGTGATTAGCTATGACTCCGTATGTGCCGTACGCTCGTGGACACACGCTTGAGGCGGCGCTTTAGGACGGCACACTGAGGCTTCGCCTTGATGACTTGGAACGAATCCAGTTTCCTACCTTGCCTAAGGGATAACACGCTTGCACCAACCCATATTATGTCGCAGGAGGGGCAAAAGGACATTTGCTCAAAGCCTTTTATACCCAACACAACCGTACTGTCTTATTAGGTATTTGGGGTTTCCGTCGTCATGAGGGTTGCCCCACGGGTCGCGTCATGCTTCGCACTATTGGCATCCTTCCCTCTGCATGGGTGTAGGCAAGACGCTATATGACGTATATGTCCTACACTGTCCAGATGTTGCTTTGGAACGATCCCAAGATTGTGGAAAACCGGCTGCGCTCATCTTATTATTAACATAGCTGGGATCTCAACCGGCAGCTCATTGTTCCTCGCGGCCGGTCTTAACACACGCAAGCCAGCTTGCAAAATGGCCCCTAACGTCCAATCTGATCAGGCGAAGCTATGGCGCGACATGTTCCAGGCCGTTTTTCCAGACCTAGGCGTCTTCAAAGGTGGCATGAAGGTGTGCTCTCGTGTTGCGTCCCATAGTCACAGGGCATTGTATAGCCCCATGCGCGTGCGGTAAGGTTGCCGCTGTTTCGAATGCGCAGGTCGCCCGCCTCACTGGGTCTTTGAGCTTCTCACTACTCTTCTTTGGAGCTGTCTGGGTGAGGCGTTTGGCGATACAGCACCCCTGCTGTTCTCGAGTAGGATCGCTAGCTTAAAACGCCTATTTGCTAGAGAAGGAAAAGCCACTGCAAGCAGCCCAGTCAATCTGAGTCTATGTTTATGCACCCTTGTTTTTTCCATCCCTCAGTACCTGAGCAGCAAGTATGATGCTGCACGCGAGGCCAGGCCTGTATCCGAAGAGAGATCTGAGCGCCCCAAGGGTTAAGCAGCAATTCTCTAGCGCATGGATACACGACCGCGGCTAGAGATGACTGATGCAGTTCGGGTTTGCGCGTAAACCCGCATATACGACATTAGCCCTGGCGGCTGAGCGCAGGTATAAAGACGGCAAACACCTCCGATAGAAACATTCCTTCACATGTAAATACATTGTGTGAACTATGCCGCTCTACGAGCTGCTCTGCCTGGCCAAGCCAGCCGCCCGGGCTGACATGGTGGCACTAATGAAGACTCTCGGAGACGTTGTCTACCGAAATGGAGGTTTCGTAACGCAGCTGAAGAGCTTTGGCGAGCAGCACCTCGCGTATGACATCCACAGACCCTTTGAAAAGTATGATCGTGCTCATATTTGGCAAATGGACTTCGTTGCCAAGGTTGACGCCCTGAAGCCTCTCGATCACGAGCTACATGTTCATGACAAAGTCCTGCGTTGGACTGTTGTTAAGCGGCCTATGGCTGCTAAGCAGCCGGAAGCTCAGGCGGCTGGCGTTCAGCAGTAGACCCCGCTCCTTCTTCAACACGACGCTGGTAGCCCTAGCAACATCTTTTTCGCTCGTCATTTTTACCTTACCGGTGAGTGGTACCATGTTTAGCCGCTCATCTTTTCATATTGGTTGGGCAGTTCTGGCATGCCATTTTTGAGCGAATGATGATTCAATTAGTTATCCCTGTCTGAAACTGCCAAAAGGCCGGCAGGTTCGTGTGGATCGAATTAGCTCTATCTGACGCTCAAATGACTCGCATCTGCCATCACCTTGTATGTTCATTGTGTTTTGCCACACGGCATCAATGCAAGCCACTATGCGGCCATTAAGCAATGCGCATGTGCATCCTCGGCTGTGACGAACGGAAAATTAACAAGCTCAACAGATCTGAGCTTATTGCAGTGCTGACAACTTCCCCGCTGTACTGAGCCGAATGCTCCATCATCATGCATGCTCTGTGTGGACGATGAACCAACACAACCATAGTCGGATTCCTTCTGAGCTAACCAGTGCTGTTAAGTTGTGCCCTGACACACAGAGTTTTGACACCCGTAGCCGCATATCCCTAATATCATGTTGTCCCTAGTTATGAGCCGTTCCCTCCATCACCCTCCCCATGCAGGCGTGCCATATGCAAAGCTGGGCGTGGATTGAGGGCATCGTGTCCGGACATGGGCGACTTCTGTATCCTTGTTCGCCGGTGCATGGGTTGAGCCGGAGCGCGTGACTGTGCATTGTATTCTAACATGTCATTACTTGCGGAGGTCACTGGTGTACATAAGAAGTTGATTCTTAGCTAAGGGCACGGCGCATGCACTTAAGAAATGGGTGCGTAGGCAACATCTGCATGTCAAACATTTTGATAATGCGGATTTCAAACGAATTTGGTTATGACGCTAATGGCGAGCAATCCATGCTTTGGATCGCATAGAACATGTAACTGGAATGGTAATTCAATACGTGTTGCCGTTGCAAGCAGCATATTCTATAACGCCGTACCAACCTTCGGATCACCTGACCATCCCAGTCAGCATGCAAAATTCCATGTCCTCTTGAACGAACAGCTTACTGTATATTGTCACTAACGGAACTAACGTAGTGGACATTCCGCAGTCACTGCTACTTTACTCATGGTACTTTTTTTCTCTCCATCCTTCCAAACGTTACATTGCTCAATCCTTTTTGGGACCGGCTGGCTTGGGGGGCGGGGGCCGATGCTGCTCTCCCACTGGCCGCTGCACGTACAGCTTGTCCTGCAGTACATAGACACGGGCGGGCGGTCAGCCATTAACAACAGGAACAATGACGTACCTAGAACCTATGCACATCCCGCAACTTGAAATTGTCACGTACATCATCGTTTGTCTTCAGCTTGGGCGGTTTCACCATGCCCGTCGACTTCTTGTTGCCGCCGCCCTTGAGGTAGTCATGCCACGTGCTGACGCGCTGATCGCGCGTGGTCTCCCACTGTTTCTCGTGCTCCTTCTTGGCCTTGACACGCTCCTTGACCTCCTTCTCCTTCTCCTCCAGCCGCAACGTCTCCTCCTTCACCTGCAAGCCGTAAAAAAGCATTACTAAGCTATGTCTACACCTTGCTGCCCATTAAATTCGTTTCATCCTGAGAGGTCATCATAGACTCGTTACACGTCGGGTCCGTGTTACTCGATACGCTTTGGGTTTGCCTTTTACGACCTGGTTGCTTTGTCGGGTACTCGGCTACTTGACCCGCGGGTCACAAGCTTCATGCACGGGTGTCATACCGGCTTCAAGACAAGACCACATCATTGCGCGTAGTACTGGACCAGTTAGACGCGCATAGGAAGGATATGGGCGTCTACTTGATTTTCTTCAAGGGCACTTAGCCGCAGATACGTTACCCCATCCCAGCCCTACGTACCCGCTTGTTGAGCTTCCGTTTCCGCCACTCGCTCCGTGCCAGCACGTCCCGCGCCTTCATCTTCCAGCGCTCGTGGAACTCGTCCGTCTTCTCCCACTCCGCCTCAATGCCCTCTCTCCCTTCCTGCCAGGTACCGGAGTAGACAGAGCCGTCTAAACCAAAGCAGCGGCAGAGGCACCCATAGCGTCAACACGCACGCAACGTCATGCCGCAGTACGGCGCACCCGTCGCACAGCTTGGTGGCCCCCGACGTACCTCATGCAGCAGGCTCGCCACGCGCACCAGGTTGTCGTGCTTCGTCTCCTTGCGGCGGTCCGTCCGGACATCCTCTAAACGGCAAGGAGTAAGGAGGCCGGTTAGCTGGGTGTAGATGTAACCGTGGTTGTGGGTGTGGTGAAGCAACAAGCTCAGCGCAGCGGGGGTTAACATGGCAGTTACCGGTATTGATTCCATCAACACCCACATCACACATGCACCGTGCCACACGTCCTCTAATTAGCCTAACCCATGCGATATGCTAACATGTACCTCCCGCTTCCCGTCAGTTCCATATGTCGCCATTGGGGAGGCTTCCAACACATGCAGGCTTACCCCTTGCGATTTCAAGGAACTTGAGCAGGTATTCCCGCTTCTCGTCATCCAGCAGCTCCTTTTGTGCGTCTCCCAGGACTGCATCATGCAAGGCAGGCGTCAGTAAGACCCGGCGCCGCCATCCACCAAAGGGATGCACAATACCAGGCTGCTATGGTTCTCATGCCGAGTACTTCCGTTTCCTGCCAAGTGTTATGCACACCAACCGAACCCCCCGGGCAGTTGGCGGATAATCACATACCCCGCATACTCCCACCATGCGCATGTGCTTACTGTCGAAAGCGTTGGATGCTTGCGGGTGCTTGCACTTGTCAGGGTGGACCATGAGCGACAGCTTGCGGTACTGACGCTTAACGTCTTCCGCCGTGGCGTCAAACCTCAAGTTAAGCTTTTCAAAGGGATTCAACTTGAACGCCCACAGGATACGATTGACCTCGTTGTCGCGGTCAACTTCCTTGAGGTCTGAGAAGAATTCCTGCAATGGACAGCAACACCGTTTCTACACTGCGAACGACTCAAGCGTGACACATGGGCACGATAATCCACCTTCAGCAAGTCATCCGGGTCTAGCTCCTCAGGGGCTGGCCTTGCTTTTTGCTCGCTTTGAGCCAAGCTGCTTGGCCCTGGTCCGGCCGCGTCTGCAGAATCCGCGTCCGCCATGAAATGCAGTGTTATATGAACCTGCCCGTTTACCTAAATAGACACTAGTCAACAAGTGGAAAACGAGCGTTTAACAGCAAGTTGCAGTCAGATGGTCGATGAGGAGACAGCGATGGAGTGCGCTCAGGTGGACAAGGATCGCGTTATTACATGAAATTGATACAGGAAATAATGGTTCAAACGTAGACACCAACATAGCTCACTGTCATAATTAGAAGTATTCGTACGGAAGTACCCCACGGCAGACTGCTGTCCTCTTCATACGTCAGATCATCAACATGGATCCCAAGAGGCTCATGCCCGGCATGTACATACAGTTTGGGGGGGAGGCCTATCGCACGTTGTAATACACTAACAAATACAGTGGATCCAGCCGGTCAGGTGGTCCCGCACGCCACCATGAGGGGCACCACACGCCTCCTACAGTCCGAATGGGGTCGTTGCTTTTGCCGCTGCACGTCGATGTGTACCTAACCGTAATCCATTGTCACAAAAGTAATCCACTTGGCCGGGATAAAAATCAAGCCCTGCCCGCCTACGCCGCCTTCTTGGTCTTCAGGGTCCTGCGGTCAGAGTGGATTACAGCCTCAATACTCGTTATGGGTCCGTCTCCCAAACCCCTAGCAAACAACTCCAACCCGACTAAAACCCCGACAACTCACCCGGCGGCTGCAACGGCAGCGTTGATGTTTTTCGCGCAGTAGATAATGCAGGTGACCGGCACCACAATCCAGATCGCGTTAGCCCCCACAAAGTATCCCCAGAAGTAGAGGGGCTCAGGGCGGGTGTGCTTGTCCAGGCCTGCGAGCCATTGGAAAACTGTTTGATTGGCGCAGTGGAAGCCATCACGCGTACCGGTGGTGCGTTCAAATGACAAGAACGCTAAATGATGTGGTGCAAAGTTCATGTCGAAACCGAAACCATGGACGTTCCGGGCGCCTAAGAAGCAACTGTCGGGGTACAAAACACGCACAGACGGTGTGCACGTCAATAATTTGGACGAAGGCAGACGTACCAAGATGCATGCACGTCAGATAGTAGAGGACGTCACCGTACAGCTGCCCCAGGGACACAAGAATCATGGCACTGAAGCGCCAGGATGTACGGTACAGCAAACCGAACACGATGAGGAAGCACGCGGGGCCCCACACAAAGGCCGTGATACCCTCCATCTGGATGATGAAGGCATCGCGTGTGGCGTACCGGGAGTCGGCCTTTGTGTACTCCTTCCCTGTGGACAAGAGAGCTCAAGTTATGCCATCTTACCCGGAACCATCCCGCCCTGCTTCCCTGGCAGGACAGTCCCATGCTTACAAATTTCGTTTAGGATGTTGCCGCTAGCGTCCTGGTAGAACTTGCTGTTCGACACCACAGTGCCTGCGACCACGGTGCCCAGGGGACATAGTCAACATCGCGCCTGCGCCACCTTCCGGCAGCGCCAACTGAACTGGGATCTCACCCTCAATAACAAAGTGGATGATTCCCGTGCACATCCACCATCCTGCCCACAGCCGCTCGACAGCTGTTAAGTGCTTGTAACGCCCTGCAAGCAGGAGAGCGATATAAGTTTGGGGGAACTTATGGTCGCGGATTGTAAACATAAGAACCTGTCAGGATGAACATGAAAAGGACCACTAGCGCCGAGCATCCGAAGAAGACCGAAAGGATGAGCTCATAGGACAGCACATTTGGCACGAAGCCGGGCAGCTCAAGGTCCTCTGGGATGTAAGGGTGCCGTGTGGCTGCCATTGTGTTTTCTATGCTATGCTCACGTTTGCGGTGGTTCAATCATCAAAGCCAGGAAGGACGGTGATGGATAGGCGGGAAAATGCTCCAGAACCGGGTACGGAACGACAGTCCCAGTTGTCAAGCTCTTAACTTTAAGCATGCTTCATTGCCTACTAAATCAGGACTACTCTCTGCTGACGCTTTAACATCCATGAGGTTATCGTAGCCTGTACACACGTACATATATACCGGTACACACAGATGTTATAAGTGTAAAAAGGCTTTATGCACCAGCAGTCAAGGCTTTGTGCTGCTTAGTCCTTCCGGCAGACTAGTTTCAACCCTCTTAGCCTCCAAGTACAGACGTATTTCCTCGTTACCCTTGACGTGGCCATGTAACCCAGGACGTGTGCATGACAGCTCCGCTGCAAAAAGCGCAGGAGCGCCTGGCGCTGCATGAGGTCATCCGAGTGGGAGTTGGTCGCCAGGAAGACCTTCGACTACTTCAGAATGTAGGTGCCTTGAAAGCAACCTGTGGAGTGGCACACGCAAACGTTAGCAACACTGTGCTTTCCTCTCTGCTCCTCTGTCCCCTATCCCCGCCCCCGCAGGTGGCCATGCAGGCCAGCTGCCTGCCGCCCGCCTCCGTGGCCCAGCTGGTGCGCGAGGCGGCGCTGCGGGAGGAGTGGCGGGCGGGGCGTGAGGCCGCGCTGCTGCACACGCTACGCTCGCTGCCACTGGGGGAGCTGCTGGGTGGACGGGCAGGGGGCCCGGGGGGCGCGCTGAGCTCCGCGGATGGGAGGCTGCTGGGGGAGCAGCTGGCGGCGCTGACGGAGGTGCGGAGCTGGGGACGGGGCGGGAACGTGAGGGGGTGGAGGGCTGTGCTGTGAAACCTGCTTACATGGCCGGCGGTGCCAACTAGGAGCTTTGGGGGGGGGTACAAGAGGAAACAACAGCTTTGGGGGGGTTGGCATGTGGGATGCGTTGCTTGCTGTACCTCAAGTTGGCAAGCGTGTTCCTCCAGCAGCTGCCGCACCCCCCCCCGTGGCTTCGTATGGTTCGGTATGGTCTTTGAACCCCGCCTCCCATCCTCGCAGATGATGGAGCAGCAGCAGCAGCGCAGGCGGCACCGGGCGGCTGCAGCGGCGCCACTGCCCCGGCCCCGGGCCCACCCCAGCAGCCCGTTAGGCATGCAGCACCAGCAGCAGCCGCAGCACTACCCGCCAGCCGCAGCTGCAGGCACAGGGCGACTGGGCCGGCCATCATACGGCGCACCCCTCCCGGGCAGCCCGTATAAGTCCGGCGGCCTTGTTCGGTCGGCTTCCGCTGAGTCCACTGCGCCACTGGGGCAGGACGGCTGGATGTGCCGGCAGCAGCAGCTCCTGCAGCAGCGGGGCGCCTCGTCAACTGCCGCAGTCGCGATCTACACAGCCACCGGCTCCCCTGCAGTGGTGGGGTCCCCGGCTCGAGCTCTTCGCAGCAGCAGCGGCGGCAGCGGCAGCCGGGCGCCGGCGGGACGCCGCAGCAGTGGAAGCAGCGGCGGTGGCAGCGGCGGTGGGGGCCAGCGGTCTGGGCTCGCGGCGGCGGCGCTAAGGGCGGTACGGCAGCAGAAGCCCCGGCCTGGGAGCGCGCCTGAGGACGCGTTGGGAGGCTCGGAAGCGGCGGTGGGTGCTGCGGCTGCAGCGGCGGCGGCGGCTGTCAATGCCAATGCGGCGGCTGCTGATGCGGCGGCTGCCGGCGGGAAGGGCAACCAGCGCAGCAGTGGCTTCCGCAACCTGCTGCGGCTGCAGCAGCTGCTGATGCAGGTTGGGCTGGGCCGGGGTGCAGGCCGGGAGGGGATAGGTGTTTGCATGCGTCAGCAGCACATCACATCCTCAAACTTCCAGAAGACCCGACGTGGTCCCACTACCCCCACCATACAGCATCGGTGACGGCTTTCCACTTGCACCGTCGGCTGCCCTGCCACCCGCACCGCTGCCTCCCTCCTCCCTCCTCGGCCCTCCCTCCAGGGCCTACGCGACCACGCGCAGCAGGAGGGCGAGGGTGGCGCGCTGGAGGCGCTGGCAGCGAGTGTGGCGGAGGGGCAGGCGTTCTTCGCGGAGTGTCTGTCGGAGGCGCTGGAGGCTGCGGGGCTTCCGCCGGGCGGCAGCTGCGGTGCTGCGGGCATGCGGGCGTCCCTGCAGCAGCAGCAGCCGTGGCGCGGGGTTGGGGGTGGGCCGACGTCCCCTCCTCGGCGGCTGCCGCATGTGGCTTGGGACCGGCTGCTGCGGCTGGGACAGCTGGGGCTGACGCGCGCAGATGTGGCGAGGCTGGAGGAGCTGCGACGGCGGCAGGCGGCCCGCGTCATACAGCGGCAGGTGGGGCGGAGGCCGACATGCAGCGTCACGGGCGCCACGGGGCCAGGGACTTTCCTGCGGGGCTAGCGGCTGCTGAGACGGGGGCATGGGATGAGACGGGTAGGCCGTGGTGAACATGTGCCCTCTGCGCCCTTTTACTGCATGTGGTGCAGGTGCGAAAATGGCTCCGGCGGCGGCGCCACCAGCGGCGACTGGCGGAGGCACGTGCGCGCGCAGATGCCATGCAGCGCCGGCTGAGGTAAGAAACGAGGTAACACCCTCAACCCTCTCTTTCTCCCTTGAATGAAACCTTTGTACGGGAAGCCCAACAGCGCATCGTTGGATGAGGTGCGAGGTGTCGCATGTTGCACCCAAGCCCCCCCCCGCGCATGTTGCACCCAAGCCCCCCCCCGCGCATGTTGCACCCAAGCCCCCCCCGCGCATGTTGCACCCAAGGCCCCCCCCCGCGCATGTTGCACATACTGTTACACACCGTTACCGCCTGTTCCCTCTGACATCCCGTTTCGTACGGTCCTACATGGCAGGGAGCGCGCCGCGGTGGTGATCCAGGCCTGGGTGCGCGGCCACCTGGCTCGCCGGCTGGCAGCCCGGCTGGCTCAACAGGCGGCGCGGGAGCGGGCGGCGAGGCGGCTGCAGGCGGCGGCTCGCATCCTGGCGGCCACCCGCATACAGCGGGCCTGGCGGGCGCACCGGCGGGCGGTGCGGTACGCGGCGGCGCTGGCTCGAGCAGAGGCGCGGCTGCGACAACAGCAGCAGCAGCACGTGGTGGTGGTGGGAGATGGTGGCAGGAGGGGTGCGGCTGGTGGGGAACTGCAGGTGCCGGTGGATGCGGGCTGCGAGAGCGTGTTCCAGGCGTGGAGTGAGCAGCGACTGGGAGGGCAGCAACAGCGGCAACAGCAGCAGGAGGGGGATCGCGGCGGTGGCGGCGGCTGCGGGGCCTCCTCACGGCTCTCTCCTGAGCAGGCGGTTGTGATCATCCAGGTAGGAGCAAGGAGGGAGGAAGGGCGTTGTCAGCAGGGAGTTGTTGCGTCCCGTGCCTCCAGGCGCGAAGTGTACGGCTGTGTAGGGAACTTGGAACTCTGTGACTGCTGGCCCACGAGTCGTCCTCTGGTCATGTCACTACCGCGCTTCCCATCTCAATCCCTCACACCCTGCCTTCTTTCAGCCTGTCCCCGCGTGCTCCCCCTCTCCCTCCGCCCCCCTCCGCTCCCGCTCACAGGCCCACCTGCGCGGCTGGCTGGTGCGGCGCAGCTCGGAGCTGTGGTGGGCGCGCGCCTCGCAGCAGCTGCGGGAGCGGCGGGCGGCGGTGCGCGCGTGGCGGCAGCAGCAGCGCTTCATGCAGGGCAGCTACGACATGCAGGCGCAGGTGGGGGGCGGGCGGGGGTCGGGGCACTCGGGCTCTCCTCCCCGCGTATTGTTTTGTCTCTGACACCCATCCCCTCACCCCCCTCCCCGCCCCCGCCCCCGCAGCTGCTGGGTGCGCTGCTGCGTGAGGCCCAGGTGGCTGCCGCGCTGGAGGCGGACCGCCGGCGGCAGGAGGCGGAGCTGCAGGCGGCCTTCAGGCAGTGGCTGCTGGAGCAGCAGCGGGTGGCGCTGTCGCAGCCACTGCCCCGGGGCTGGGTGCCGCACCCGCACCCGGAGGAGCCGGCGCGCATGTGCTTCCTGAACACGCGCACGGGTGGGAGGTTTGAAGGGGGATGTGGGGCAGGACAGGGTTGTGGGGCAGGACAGGGTTGCGGGAGGGGGGGATCTCAGGACCGAGGAGGTCCGCATTCTCCTTTTTGATGTCAATGCCGAGTGAGGATGAAGGGGATTTGGACTATACGGTAGGGGCGCGTCTTTCGGGCTGGGGTCGGCAAGGAAACCCCCCCTCTTCCCCTCCCCTCCCCTTCCCACGCCCAGGCGAGCTGCACTCGCTGCACCCCACGGTGGCCGAGCTGGCTGGCCACGCGGAGCAGCAGCACGCGGCCGCCCGCAGCGCACTGCAGGAGCGGTTCGCGGGGGTGCCCGCCTACGTGGCGCGCCTGCATGAGGCGACTGCGGCGCAAGCGGGCATACTGCTGCGGGCCATAGCGCTGGTGCATCAAAGGGTGGCGACGGGGGCGGCAGGAGGGGGGGGCGGAATGAATGATAGGTGAAGCAACCGGAGTCCCAATGGCATGTTCCGACATCCGGCAGAGGGAGAGGCGCGGCGGGGGCAGCAGGGGCGGCGGGGGTCACATAGCGTGACTGTGGCTAGTGTGACGCCATGTGACGAGGCTGTACCGTTGAGTAAGGTTGGGGAAGGAGGGGAGCAGCGCTTTGTAGCACGGCTGTGGCCAGCATACTGTCCTCAGTGCGGCACTGGCGGTGGCTGCTTGCTGAGGGCGATCCAGCGTCCCGTTGTCTTCCCAGGCGAAGATTGGCTGACTTCCGGCCTTTGAAATAGAACCCTCAATGCTACTTGACACGCGCATGTCTTGAGACGGACAGGAGTAAGTACGGTATACAAGGCGGGTGCGTGGGAGGCGGTAATACTGGCTGAACACTGAGTAATCTGAGCGAGCTAGAAATTACCGTTGTACTAACGGGAGCTTACTGGGTATACGTATCTACATGGAGGTCCGTTGTGACATAACGGGGACCTACACAGCTACTGTACAATATGTGCGCAACTGACTATCGGCAGTCTGGAAGAGGACTGCACTGTATTATCTCGTGTAAATAGATTGGCTTGTGTGTCACCAGCAGTAGTCGTCACGTGTAAAGAGGCTCGGGCACCGTTCGAGGTTGAAGGTTACAAGTCGGACCCACGGGTCGCTCTATTTATTCAGCCCTGCACAGTGTACCGTTGCTCTGTGCAAGACGCAACCATCCTGGGGCCACATGCAGAATGCAGCCCTAGAATGCATGATGACCAGGAGCCACAAAGGCTCTGCCTGCGCACACCGCCATCTGCATTCCACTGCCCTAATCAACCCTGCTGCAACCGTAATAAAAACCGCACCGCACGATGTATGCATGGCTCCCGTGTGCTCCAACGATGCACAGACCTACTGAGGTTCCCCCCATGCTATCCCGTCAGTACTCACCCTGCCTTGCGGTACAGGACTCAAGTTGACAGCTACCGTATCCTCAAGTTGTTCAGCCCACGAACGGTCGTTTGCTATCCTTGCTCTTATACCCAGGTTCCCCCACAAGAAATGCAACACCGGTGACGTCGAGGAGCGCTCAGGCCATTGAACCCAGGCAAACCAAGGTGCAAGCACCATGGTAGTTGCTCTTTCCCCGCCAAAACTGCATGCATGCCTGCATGGATGCAAAAGACAACCAGAGAACCCCATAACATGCATGACCGTTAGTTGGCGTCCCGTTCGTCATCATGGTGCGCGACAGACCAGCAGCCCTGCCGCCTGACAGAAGAACCCAAGAAAGATGAAAACGGCAAAAAGACACCCACCCATCCAGACTCTCCACTGCTACAGATCCGGACCTCCGATTAACGCAAGGCCAAATCGAATCCCAGTCATGCATAAGAGTCTTAACAATTGCCCTGCCATTAGCTGCAACAGCGTTCACTGTACAAAGAATTATGAGCAGTGGTCAAGGGCAGGGAACACGGAAAGGTGCTGCATGCTGCTCGCAGAATTGCTTTTCTCAACCAGCTCATGGAGCAGTAAGGCCAGTAGCGGCGTGTAGGATGGCCGGCACCCTACAACCTGCCCTTCCACCAGACCACCGCCACACCTCCACGCACCAATGCGGATGCTACATCTACAAGACTCCAATGTGGCAGCTTGAAATAACAAACACGCAGCTGCACTCACGGGCAGGGGCAAGGCTTCAGGACCGATATATATGGACGGCTATACGCCTAAAGTACTTGCCTACGAGTATGATCCCAAACCCGAAACACACCCGCGCCCTTCTTTACAGCCCCATCATATATATCGCACAACCTCCTATGTTCACTGCTCCTCCTCCTCCTGCTCCTGCTGCTCCTCCTGCTCCTCCTCCTCCCCTTCCCGCTGCTGCTGCTGCTGCCGCACCCGCCGCTCACACCCTCTGCTGGTCCAGCGACAAGTGGCAGGTCTGCCAGCTGAGGCTGAGCTCGATGTATCCGCGCTCCGCGTCCTGCAGCGACCACACCTCCTTGATGCGCCCGTTGCGAGCCACGTCCTCCACTCGGATGAGCACCTGGCCCAGCCGCGTGTCCTTGTTGTCCTGCGGGGGGAGGAGGGGGAGGAGGAGGGGGGATGGCGGGGTCGGAGGGGTGGGGGATGCGGCGTTTGGTCGGGGGTGAACTGAAGGCTGGCGTGCGGGGTTCGTGAGTAAAAGGAGAGCAGCAGGAGCAGGGGGAGAGCAGGATGACGAAGCGGGGGTACGGCCCGGCCGTCGTAGATCCAATGGGAGGGAAACGTGCGCGCATGGGCCTGTCCTGCTGCGCGCCCCTCCCTCCCTCCCTGCTTCCGGCTGCTGCCACCTGCAGCTCTGCTCGCACGTTGCTCTCCCACGCACGCACCCACGCACGTGCCCACATTCGTACCTCCTTTTTGAAGTTGAGGAAGGTGCCCATGAGCTTTCCCAGCATGCCCGCCTTGTTGTACACCTGGATGTGCAGCTCGGAGGAGCTGGGGATGAGCACGAAGTCGAACTTGTCGCCCCAGCGCGGGGAGGGCTCGTTGAGGATAGTGCTGCTGGTCTGCGGGAGAGGGGAGAGGAGGGAGCAGGGGGGGGATACAGGCGGGCAACAACAGGCAGCACGGGCAACACAGCGACATACGGACTCAGCTGGAAGGCTGCGACGATAGCGCTGCCCACCCCCTTCAATGATGGCCGCACATGAGCGGTTCTTAGTCCCGGCAGCCACCCAGTACCAACCCTCCCCTCCCCCACCTGCTCCTCGTCCTTGATGTCGTTGGTGACCAGCATGCGCACGTAGGTGGCCAGGTCCTTGGCGCCCTCTGGAGCCAGGTCCAGGCAGCGCACCAGCTGTACAGTCAGCACTCCCTGGGGGCGGGTGCGGGGGAGGCGGAGGGAGGATGCAACGTTACATGGAAGGCGGTGTACACGGTATACAGAGCTATGGAGAGTCGCGGACTTGCAGTATGGTTGGCAGGCTAGCAAGTCAACCGCGTAACAAGGCGGACGCAAGGGGTCCTCGCAGCAGCAGCACCACCACCACCACCACCTCAGCCACACAGCGACAGCAACCCCTCCAACCCCTCTGCCGGTAGCTGCGATCGTATAGCAGCAGCTGCAATCGCCCCCGCATTCGCAAGCATGCGATAACGCAACGTAACGTAACGGCGCGCCACTCACATACGCCAGCTTGGCTCCCGCGCCTCCGCCGCCTCCGTGGACCACCCCCAGCGAGCGCCCCGGCGCGGGCGGGAACATGCTGAGGTGCGGGTCGCGGCGCCGGGCTCGCTCCTCCTTCTCGCGGCTCACGTCGTCGTACTCGGGCTTGTTGAAGCGCACGAACTCCACCTGCGGGGGGGAGGGGGTACCGGACATCCCGGGAGGGGCACACAGGTGGTGGAGGTAGAGGTGGGGGAGGCAGCAGGGAGGGGAGGGCGCAGGGCAGCAATGAATGAAAAGTAAAAGCGAAGCAACGGAGTCCCCATCCCATATCCCGTCTCATGCAGTGAGAGCAGGCCAGGGGGTGGCAGTGGGAAGGGCTACCGCTGCCGCTAACGCTACCTACCTCCCCACTGCCACCCCCCGGCACCCCCGCCCCGCCCCCACACCTTGAACACAATCTTGCCGATCTCGTCCTTGGGGTCCTCGAACGGGCTGACGGCTCCACCGGACACGCGCGTGGAGGAGGAGGGCTGCAGGGCGCCCAGCGGGGGCGCGCCGGCAGCTGCCTCGGGCTCCGACCCATGGGTCGGTGACCCCTGCAGCGGGGACTCCCGCTTGTTGTGCTTGAGGCGGTTGAAGAAGCGTTGGAGGCTGGAGGCCTTGCCCGGGGTGCTGGGGGAGGCGGCGGCGGAGGCAGGGGCGGAGGAGGGAGCGGAGGAGGGGGCGGAGGATGGGCCCCGGCTGCTGACGGCACGCATGGAGGGGCCCTGGGCCTGGTGGGCAGGAGGGAGGGGGGGAAAGGAGGGAGAGGGGATGAAGGGGGGAGAGGGCGGGCAGGGCGGGTAAAAAAGAAGAGGGAATAACCCGGATCCAAGCTCCGTTGCCGGACCCAAGGCGGTATCTGGGTGCGTACGAGCACACCCTTCTTGCAGCCCCGCAGGAGCACCGAGCAGGGTGGCACTGCTGGGGGGCCGTGGCGGTGTGGTGCAGGCGGGCTGCCGGTGGGGGTACGTGCGCGGCGGGTTGGCAGCACCGTGGGCTGGCGGTGGAGCCGTCGGAGCTGTGGAGCGCAGCAGGAGCAGCAGGGACATGTACAGGATAAGCCGCCCGGAGTGTGTACGGCGGTACGGCACCCACCCTGGCTCCCCTCTTGGCCACCCGCCGCAGCGGCAGCGTGAAGCGCTTGTACGGCATGTCCAGGAAGTCGGCTCGCTGGGGGGTGGGAGGTGAGGGGTGAGGGGGTGGGGTGGGGGATGGGGGGAGGTGGGGGCGCAGCAGGCGGGGCAGAGGTGTTTCGTTTTCCATGGTGGGCTGGCCTCGCAGCAGCAAGGCAGGATGCCAGTAACCAGGGGCAACCCAGCGCAGGCGTGCCCCACCATTCCCCGCAAGCACGAGAATACACAAGCCCACGCCCTCGACCCCTTCCACCCTCCCCTCCCTCATCCCCTCCTGCCTCCCACCCACCCTGAAGTCCGTGACCTCCTTGCCGCTGTCCGGGTCCGTCCGGCTGCCCACCACCTCCCCGAACGGCAGCACCACCTCCGCCAGCAGCGTGTCGTTCCAGCCCATGTCGTCGTTGTACACACGCAGAAGCAGGCTGTCGTACTCGATGGAGTCGATCTGGGGGGGTGGGAGTGGCAGGAGGGGGGTGTGAGGGGGGTGGGAGTGGCAGGAGGTTGGAGGGGTGGGAGGAGGAGGGATGGAAAGGGGGGCGGGTGGGGGTGGGAAGCGGCAGGGCTAGCAGCGGGGTGGGGGCCACGTGGGCTGACTGACTGTCGGGGCACTCCGCATGGCACTGCAGTCCGGCCACCACCACCGGCACCTACGGCCCAGCGAGTGGACTTGGAGGTGTGCTGGTGGCTGCACGACACTGCCGCCCGCCCAGCGGTTCGGTATGGTCTTTGACCCCCCCCCTCCAGCGCAACCCTGCCCACCCCCACCCCCACCCCCGACTTACAATCAGTGCGAACTCCTCATTGAACTTGGGGTTGCGGTTGTTGGGAATGGTCTTGGTCTGCTTGAAGCGCCCCCGCCGTACCTCCACACGGCAGTAAAGGTCGTCACCGCCGCGGGTGATCTCCACCTCCTCGATCGTCACCTGTGGCGGGGGTGAGGGGGGGGGTGCAGTGCGGGGGAGGGGGGTGCGGGGTAAAGAGGAAGCAACTGACTAGCCGTGTGACAAGGCTTCATCAAGTTTTGCAACACGCGCAACATGTGTGCCGCGGATGTGCCGGGAGGTGGGTGGGTGGGTGGGTGGTGGTCAGGTGCTGTGTACCACGCAGTTGCAGCCTCCGTGGCACACGCCTCCGTGCCCTCCAGCAGCGTGCGAGGGTACCAAAGCAGCATGGGGAATTGGGGATGCAAACAAGTCCCGGAGGCCCTTCCGCTCCCGCTCTCAACCCCTCTCATTCCCGCCCCCCTCCCCCCTCCCACCCTCAGCGCCCCCGGCGGCGGGTCGGGCAGTCCGAACTTGGGCATGACGGGGAAGGCCGCCGCGTTGGGGTGTACCAGCCCCAGCCCCGGCACCAGCGGCCGGTTCAGCAGCGGCAGCGTGACGGGCTCCAACACAACCTGGCAGCAGCGGGAGGGAGGGAGGGGGGAGGGGGCGGGCACCGAGATGGGGAGTCCTGCGGCCCGGGTTGTGGCGCAGTGGAGGCGCTGCTGCTGGTGCTGCTGGTGCTGCTGCGCAATGCGCCTCACATGCACCCTGCCGCCAGTTTCCTAAACACAGCAGCCGTCCTGACTAGCGGTAGGTTTTGTTGCCACACAGCGCCGCACCCCTCTCCCTTCCCTCTCCCTTCCCTCCCCCTCTCCCCCACCTTGAGTGCCGCCTGCAGTATCTGCGGCACCAGCGGCAGCGCCATGAGGTCCACCCCGCCCAGCAGCCGCAGCGAGAAGTCCAGCTGGGGCAGCCGCAGCAGCGAGATGCTCACGCCGCCCAGGCAGGGGAACTTTTCCACCAGGGGGCGCAGAACCACACGAACGTCGGCCTGGAGGGGAGGGAGCGGAGCGGAGTAGCCACCCGGAGGTGGACAGGGGAATATGACACGAGATGGCTACATAGCAGGAGGTCAAGGGGTGAGGCACAATCTAGTGTGCACAGGGCTGGCGCGTAACAACGCGTGCCGCGGGCAACCGTGTGTGTGTATTTAGCCCCCCGAGCACCCCCCCTCCCCCACTTCCCCTTCCCCCCCACCTTGAAGCTCAGGTTGGCCAGCTGCAGCGGAACCACCAGCCGCAGCCGCCCCAGCCGCAGCACCACACTCACGTCCAGCTGGGGGGTGGCCAAGCAAGTAGGGGGCGCGAGGTGAGGCAGCAGCGTATGGGGAAGTACCGCGTGGAGGGGTGAGGAGCGGAGCGGGTGCGGGGCACAGTGCCTACTGGCCACCCCCGCCAGCTCGTTCTTTCTGAACCCTCCTCCCTACCGGGGGGCTCGACGCACGGTTGCTTCCAACAGGGCTTGTCAGCAATTCGTACCATTATCACACCACACAGTGGAATTTTTCCCTACCGGGGTTGGGTTGGGGTGGGCCAGGTCCAATGTAGCAACCCCTGGTGATGGTGGTGAACCCCCGTCATACAGCTCCCCTCAGTTTCCTCTTCTGCCCGCCTCCCTCCCTCCCTCCCTCCCTCCCCCCTCCTCCCCCACCGTGGCGCTGCTGCCCCACAGCGCGCTCGTCTCCAGCAGCACCTCATCATCCGCGGTGGGCGCCACCCGCATGCCGCCCAGCCGGGGAGCCACAGCCCCCAGCCCGAACAGCTTGCCGGCCAGGAAGGAGTGCGGTGAGGAGGTGGGGTCGGCGGGGGAGCCGTGCCGCAGCGACTGGTTGCCCAGGAAGATGTCCTCAATGAACGGGTACTGCGGGGGGGGGGTGGCGCGGGGCGGGGCGGAGGGCCGGGGGATGACGAACAAGGAGGAGGAGTGGAGAGGGGCGTGCAGGGTGTGCAGCAAACCCACAGGCCACCGCTGGTGCTGCCTGGGGTGGGGTCGTCACATTCACCGTGCCCAGCCCTTACCGGGGGGGAGCACCCCTCCTCCTCCTCCTCCTCCACCGCACAGCGCAGTGCCGCTGCAGTGCTGCTGCCAGCGCCCAGGCAGCCGGCTGCTCAACCCGGTAGTGAGCAATGCATGAAGGCTAAGAGGAGCCTGGCTTACTTTTCCTCCTCCCCTCCCCCCTCCCCCCCCCTTACCTTGTCGAAGACCTTCTCCTTGAGCTGCGGGTAGACGGACTTGTTGTACACGTCCCCGCGGATGAGCTGCTCCATGATGGCCTGCGTGAGCGCGGGCCACAGCGTGCCCACCAGCCGGTTCAACATGGCCACCTGGGTGGGTGGGGGAGGGACGGAGGGAGGGAGGGAGCGCAGGGGGTAAAAATTAAAATGAAACAACGAGTCCCAATCCCAGGGGGGGGCGCCCAGGTTTGTGGGTGAGGGCATGAGTGGGGGCAGAGGAGACCCGAGAACGGGGCAACGAGGACAGCAGCGGCCGCCGACTGAGGGCCCGCCACAGCAGCCATGCTGGGCTACCCCGCTTTTGCATGGAGTTCTAGCTAGCGACGGCAGCTGCCATGGCTGCGAAGCCTTCCATGTCCTCCCTGTCGCGCTCTCCAGCTGCGGCTGCCGGCTGCCTCGCGGCACGGACCCACGGGCCGGCGGGGCCGGACCTCGGGTTGACAGCGGTGGGACGGAGCAAGCGCCCGAGATGCCGGAACCTACCCGCTCGTAATCTGGGTCGGTCACCCATGGCTCCAGCAGTGGCAGGGCTCGGCGGAACTCCGACTTCACAAGGAGGCCTGGGTCGGGCGCTGCGACTGTGTCATCGCTGTCTACCTCCTCGCGCAGGACATGATAACTTGTAGGCTTTGTAAGGGCTGAAAAGATGTATGGCCCAAGCTGCAGGGCACACAATGGAGGGTCACAACATCTGCGTTATTGCCAAGCATCCGTTGGAGGCGCCCAACATAACGAAAACAGAGAAGAGACAGTTCCAAGCTAAGTAAGGAACACAACAGCGCTTGAGCGCGTACCGATAGGCCTGCCAAGGTGCCGATGCCGGTGGCGATGGTCGCGCCAATACACGGAAGCACCATAGCAGCGTAGGAAGCGCACAAAAGGCTTCGCCTTTAGGATTACGTTCTAGAATGGCAAATGCAAAATGAGTTTCTCAGCCGTTGCCACAGTCGAATTACGTCTGCCCTGTATGCTGCAAGTCGCACCCCATTTTATAAAGGACTTGGAAAAGGGCTTATCAAGCAGCGACAAAGCTGGCGAGGTAAGGGCCAGCGTTTGGATAGGTTACAAACCGACATCCGTACGCAATGCAAGGTACCTGAGACGTCCGCAGCAATACTGGCATACTATAGGGTGCTTAAAGTCTATCTAATATCTACGCTACTATTGACATCCTAGGCACTGGTCCCAAGATAGCAATGACAGCTTACCGGTGCTGAACGGTTAATGGGCAATGCGTTCGCTACGTATCGTTCGGCTTTCATCATGCATAGGTTTTTGCGTTGTTCTCGCAAAATTGCTCCAGGGTTCTGCTGTCGCAGGCCCCACGCATAACCAACCGGGGTTTCAAGGCGAGGCAACTACCATGTTAGCGTCCGGGCTTGCAGCTGTAGAGGGTGCCGCGCATGTTTCCTACACATCCTGGCTTGCTAGTCCTAACATGACTAACATTCCACACATTAGTACGCCTCTGCACCCGCGAATCCGCACGTCTTGCGAATAGCCCCTCCATCCCGCCATGCAGGCGCGCCTACTCCGCAAGACCATGGCTTCTTCTTCTACGGCCTGTCAAACCGCCTGCCGCCCCAGCTGCGATGGAGCCTAGGACTTTCCTCTCCACCCCCCACCAGCCCCGCAGCGACAAAGCGCCCCATCAGGGCCCCAACACCATCAACACAGCCGGTCTCAGCGGGCCCCACCTACGGCCTGCAGCCGGGGTTCCCCCTGCAGGAGTTGGACTGGGAGGGCGCCTGCTATGATGCGGCGGCGGATGGGCTCATGGCTCCCGGGGGCAGCGCAGGCGGCAGCAGCAGCAGCAGCAGCGGCCAGGCACCCACCACCACCACCACCACCGCTGCGGGTGTTGCTGCTGAGCCCGGCTCCCGCTCCCGGCCACCCGTCATCTTCCTGCCCCCGCTGACAGGCACGGAGCTGCAGGGCCGGCTGGACGGCAAGTGGGTGGTGATGATGGGGGTGGTGGTGGGTGGGGGGGGGGTGGGCGGAGAGCGCCGCCCTGCTTGGTGCATGCATGTGCACTCCGACCCCGGCCTCTGCTCCGATGCCCTTCGTCTTGCCCTCACTTGGGTGGTTTGGTGCTTCTCTGACCTCCATGCTCCTACCCAGCCCCCTCCCACCCAACTCATTGGGCATTCTTCGTTTCCCACCCTCCGCGCCCCCTCCGCCCCCCCTCCGCCCCCTCCCCCAAGGCCCTCCGTGCCCCGCTGGTGGTGCTCCCGGCGCACCTCGGGCTGGTTCACGCTGTGGCTGGCGCTGCAGTCGCTGCTGCCCTGGCAGTTCCCCTGCTTCGGGGACAACCTCAGGTGGGGTCAGAGATCTGCCCCCGAAACCACAGGTTAGCGCAAAGCAATGGGGATAGAGGGAAGCAGTTTGTCCTCAGTTGGGGTGAGCCGGGTGGAGTAAGAAGGGTAATGGTGTGGGATGCCTCCCTGTCCCCCTAATACCCACCTACCCCTTCACCCTCCGCGCACCTCCCCCACCACCGCACACCTCCGCAGGCTGGTCCCGGGCGGCCCCCACGGCTCCGCCCTGCCGCCCCCCGGGGTGCAGGTGCGGCTGGGGGCCACCCTGGAGCCGCCGCACGGGCAGGGGGCCGGAGGGGGCGGGGGCGGGGGCTTCCCGCCCTGGGGCACGCTGGCGGCCCTGCTGCGGCAGCGCGGCTGGAGCGATGAGCTGCTGGACACGCATGCGTACGACTGGAGGTGGGGGCGGGGGGGGCCGGGGGGGCGGGTGGGGGCGGGGGGGGGCCGGGGGGGGGGGTGGGGGCGGGGGGGGGGCCGGGGGGGGCATGAAGGGGGTGCGCGGGTGGGGCCTGGCGTGATGCGACGGGTACAGCATCATGAGGTGCGCAGCTGCGGAGAGTGGCATACGCGCGTTCAGACGCCGTTGCCTACACCACGCCCTCCCAAGTCCCACCCCTGATGTCATCTGGTTTGCATTCTCATTCAACGCACTGAGAATCCTTCTTTCACCCCCCCTCCTCCCCCAGGCAGAGCCCCCCCGCCTGGTCGCTCCCCGGCGGCAGCTTCCAGCAGCTGCGCGCCGCCATCGAGTGGCATGTGGCGGCCAGCGGGGGGCGGCGGGCGGTGCTGGTGGGACTCAGCCTGGGCGCCACCTACGCCGCCAGCTTCCTGAGCTGCGGGCTGGTGGACGAGGAGTGGAAGGCCAGGCATGTGGAGCGGCTGGTCACCATGTCGGGTGGGGGGGGGGCGGCGGGGAAAGCAAGGGTGCTGCTCGGGTTGTGCAGGGAGGCTAGGGGAGGGAACGAGGGTGGGGCATGGGGTGTTGTGCCGACCGGCTGCTGCCTGCCACCTGCGCCTCGCCGCTCTCCTCCGCCCAGCTGCGCCTCCTGCTGATGCCCGCACCGCACCGCACCCCCCCGCCCCTGCAGGCGTGTGGGAGGGCACGCCCCGCTCGCCCCTGGACGTCCTGTCCGGGCGGCTGGAGGGGCTGGAGGCGGTGCTGCCGCGGACCGAGGTGCGGCGGCTGGTGCGGGGCATACCCGCGCTGGCCTGGACCTTCCCCGCGCCGCCACCGGCACCAGCTGCACCAGCTGAGGCGGAAGCAGCGGCGGAGGCAGCAGGCGGGCAGGGGCAGGGGGTCGGGGCGGGCACTGCGGACCCACCCATCCTGACCAACACCGCCCGGGGCCGCAACTACAGCGCCGGGCAGCTCGGGGAGGCGATGCTGGATGCGGGGGCGCCGGAGGTGCGGCCGGGGGCGGGAGCGGGAGCGGGATAGGAACGTAGGATGGGATCAGGTGGCAAAGTTCTCGCTAATCGTGTGTTCACTCCCTCGCTCCAGCAACCCCCGCAGCCTGCAACATACCGCTATCGCCACACCTGCCACCAGGTCGCCGCCTTCTGGCAGGCCGCGCTCCCCTTCGCCCGCACCCCCGCGCCCAACGTCACCACCCACTGCTTCTACAGCTACGGCCTCGACACCGCAGTACACGTCACCTACAGCCAGCCCGACTTCAGCGACGCACGGCCTGTCGTACACTACGCGAGTGGTGACGTCACCGTGCCGTACTCAAGCCTGGCGGCGTGCCGGGGGTGGTCGGGTCGGCAGGCTGCCCCGGTGTTCAGTGCCAGCTACTGGGGGGTGGTGCACGGCATGCTGACGGGGCTGCCGGAGGCGCTGCAGGACATCGTGGAGGCGGTGGCGGGGGGCGAGGGGGGAGAGGGTAAAGAGGATATAAGTAACTGACTGACTGGGGGAATAGGGGGAGCGGGGCCGGGGGGGAACCATAGGATATGACCGTGTTGAACAAGGATAGTGGCAAGCCGTGGATATAACACTGACAATCCAGGGGAGGGATCCGTTTATAGCCGAGAGGTAGCAGGTGATGGTGGTGGTGCGGCAGGAGTGCAATGGCGGGGTTTATGGGGGGCACGGGAAGCGTTGGGTAAGGTTGGGTTAGGGTGCGGTGAAGGCAGGCGGTAGTCGCAATGAGCACGGGGAGAGGGAGGTGGGGCATGGAGGGTGCGAGATGGCTTTCCCATGTCCTAAATGAATACTACTGTCCTGCCATGTAGTGCTACCGGTAATTGCTAGCTATCAACGGCACGCAGCTTGGCCGAAGAGTTTGAAGCTGTCAAGTGTGGACACGTTCCGCGCAGAGGTGGGAGGCTGACAATGTCACTTGTTGCCCATGGCGGGGTCATTTGGTTCGAGAAAGGCATAGTTGGTTTCATGGTTGCGGGGATCAGAATATATATGGGTAATTCGGTATGCGTTTAGGTCGGGCGTACCGTGTTTGGGGCATGCTGTAAAGGAGCCTGCTTCTGAGCATGCGCATGGACGACAGATTGGTACGTACGTTAGGGACGGAGGAAATGTATGTTAGTGTGACCACCAGCTCTATTGCAGGTTGTTTCATTGCCATCTAGCAATTGCTTGCGATGAGGGGCTGGGGAGTTAACGTACGGTCAGGACCGTCCTGCGTTAACCTCCTTTACCCTTGGAGACTCCTCGGCTTCCTCTGTAACCGTGTGTAGATAATCATAAAGTTATGACGCCGTGTTGTCACCCACTGCATGCTGAGTGTGGAAACTGTCACTTCAATACTGCGGCATTGAGCATGTCGGGTGACATGCGTAAGACGAAGGAGCCCAGGTTAACAACCTATACCTGTAGTGATCGCAAAGAACAAGTGAAATGAGCCCGCCTTCCAGGCTTACGCAAGAAGAGGTATACTTGATACGAGCGTTGCACGTGGCTGGTACAGGCTGGTACATGTACAGGTCACACAATCACACTGGCATGATTATGTCGCAAGCAAGGGCTTCTATAGTCCTGGTGTGTTTCACGTATCAACATTTCCATTCAGCACTACAGTTCGGGTTAAATTTACGTTAGAAAAGCGATGCGGCCCGCCCTTACATAAGCCCATGCTAGCCAAAGTTCACACTCTGCAAGTTAGGCGTAACGGCTCTAGACAGCAAACCTGGTTAGAAGTGCCCCACTGCTGTTATGCACAGGGCCTGACCTCACCCTTTAGCTGCGCTCGTCCGATGGCGCCGTACCTGCAGGATTTACCTGGTCGAGTTGACGGCCTTTCGACTCTAGATCCGTCTGAACAAGACGGTGTCCCTGCCCCGATTTCAGGGAGTTGCGCTACTGGAATAGTTAATTCCAGCAAGCTGCAGAGGGCCGCATAGCATTAGACAGCTCCAATTGCGCTTGCACGTATCCTAGGAGCACAATATATATACCGCCTTGGTATGAGAGTGACAGGCTTACAGTTACTTAATACAACAATTCTCTGTAAGGGCCTCGGAATTGGCGTTCCGGCGAGAGGGCGAGAGGGCTATAGACAGAAAACTATCATAATAAGTGACTTAACGCTGCGGCGTATGGATATGGGCAAGCTTTAGACTGCTGTGCTCTAAGCCTCTATCGGCTGGGCGCCCCCTGGCTTACGGACATGCACTCCGCCCGAGGTATGGCTGGATTTTAAAGGCTCTTGCTTGCCACGCGATATTTTTCTCACACTGCTGCTGTCTATTATTATGCAGCTAACAAGAGCTCTTTTGTCCGTGTCCAAGCTGTCTTACTAGTAGTCTGTCTGGGAACCTTCGGCGTACACAGCGCAACACCTTGGTAAGTCCTTACCTAGAAATAAAGTTCTGCGAATCTCTAAAAGCTTCACAAGGTTTAGTTGCCGTGGGCCTCCGCTGTTCGTAGTGGCAATGTCCATGTCGGCAGGCACAGGCAGGCACTGTCGCACCCGAGGCATCCAAACCATAGGCTGACGACTAAGTCCGTATTGATGGCGCCGTTACAGGGTCCCCGCAGCTGGGCGACGACTGCTGTCTTTGACTTCGCATGCGGAGGACCCAAATAGCTTAGCCGCCCCTCCAGACCCGTTGCGCGATGACGGGCCAGCGGGAGGCGTAAGCAGCCGCAGTGCTAACGCCAATAATTTCGACGACTGGCTGTCAGGATGGTTCTTTGCGCCAGCGACTCCGCCACCCCCGCCCCGCCCGCCACCCAAGGGCCGCACGAGCGCAAACCGCCCGCCCCCACCGCCCCCACCCGGCTCGCCCTTAGACCCCCCGGATGCGCCCCCACCCGACAGCCTCCCTCCACCTGACGCCCCTCCACCATCACCTGCGGTGAGCCGTGTTAAGTCCCCCAAGCCTCCGCGGCCGCCCCCTCCACCGCGGCCGCCCTCACCTGTAAAGCCACCAAGCCCGCCGCGCTCAACCTCGGTCCCCGTCGGTGAGTGCCCTAGGCTTCACGTAGGCGTGGCTGTTAAGGACTTGTAAGGACTCCCTTTTGACGTTGACCGTGTACAGACCCAGAAAAGGGTATAGCCGCAACCAGGCTACCGGCATTAAGACTGCATTACCGTGTTCATAGTCCATGTAGCTGCTTGACATGTGATTGGCATGTCTTAATTCCGTCGGCACCCCTCCTGCATCCCATGTCGCAGTTCGTGGAGAGACGGGAAGCCCACCGGTCTTGGAGGCTGTTCCCCCCACTGCTCCCCCTCCACCACCGCCTCCACCTCCGCCACCTCCTCCACCACCTCCGTTACACCCCTCACCGCCACCATCGCCCCCGTCACCGCCTTTGCCACCTTCCCCACCTCCTTCGCCTCCGTCGCCCCCTCAACCCCCATCGCCGCCACCTTTGCCACCCTCGCCGCCTTCACCGCCGCTGCCGCCTCCTTCCCCTTCGCCGCCGCCGCCTTCGCCGCCGGTACCACCTTCCCCGCCGCCACTACCCCCCTCACCGGAACCACCGTCGCCCCCACCACCCGTGCCGCCTTCGCCGCCTGTGCCGCCCTCACCGCCACTCCCACCACCCTCGCCGCTACCCCCTTCACCCCCTCCCTCGCCGCCACCACAGCCCCCCTCACCACCACGGCCCCCCCGGCCGCCCTCGCCTGCCCCGTCACCCCCCTCACCGCGGCCCTCGCCACCGCCGCGGCCGCCGCCTCCCTCACCCCCACCTCCCCCTCCGCCTTCGCCACCCCGTCCACCACCTCCCTCGCCACCACCTCCCTCACCACCGCCACGGCCACCGCCGCCCCCTCGCCCTCCACCCCCACCATCTCCCAGGTCACCTCCCTCACCGCCCCCCTCACCGCCACCCCCGTCCTCACCTCCGCCACCTCCGCCACCGCAATCCTCGCCGCCGCCACCCGTTGGAGACTTCATTGACCCCGCGACCCTGCGTAAGTACGCTAGGAATGCCGACCGCTGCATACCTTCAATGTCACCGGCTGCGACAAGCTTGCAATGCACGTTAAGAGCTTGCACCCTATGCCATCCTATTCCATGTCACTCCCTTTGCGCATTGCCGAAGTAACCCACGTCCCTCCAATCCCGTTCTCCCTCCTGCTGCCTCCTTCGCCTGTCAGTGGACGCGCACAACTCCCTCCGCATGCTGACCGGCGCACCCAACCTGACCTGGAGTGATGAGCTGGCTCGCTCGGCGCAGAAGTGGAGCGAGCAGTGCGTGTTCGAGCATTCGCTGGGCAGATTCGGAGAAAACCTGGGTGAGCACCGTAAGGGAGGGGGAAGTGCGGATATGTGCCGCGCACCGGCCTGCGCCCATGACTCGCAACGCCTCTTCTCTTGGGCCGTTTGCCGCCCCACACTGCACGGGCGCTGCCATCCGACCAAAACCCTTTCACTCATCACGCGCCCCAGTCATAACCTGCATGCTTCGTTAGCCGGCGACTAGGCTGGCTTGCTTACCCTCGTCTCCGCTGCCCGCCCCTCCCCTCCCCTGACACACCCCGCAGCCTTGGGCCTCTACAAGACCCCGCAAGACACCACCCGAGGGGTGGTCCTGTGGAACAACGAGGCGTGTCTGTACGACTGGGGCAGTCCGGGCTTCAGCCAGGCCACCGGGCACTTCACGCAGGTGGTGTGGCGGAGCAGCGTGCTGGTGGGCTGCGGCTTCCACGTGTGCCCGCAGGGGGGGGCGGACTTCCCCAACTGCAAGTCCTGCGGAGTGCTGGTGTGCCAATACTGGCCGCCAGGTGCGTGTGCTGGGGTGCTCACATTACCTGATACCCGCGCAAACGCTCATAGCTAGGCCTCTTGGAGATCTTTCTTAGGGCGCCACCTTACTACGGTCTTACTGCGCCCGGGGTCAGTTTTGACTCGCGGCTCAGTTTTCTGCTGCTTACCGACAGCTGCGGCGGCTAGCGGCTTTAGGTCCTAGGAGATGCGGCGCATCTGCCCACATACAGATATTATTTTTTATGTTTTATTCGACAACAAAAGGAAGGAGGGCGGGAGGACAGCGTTCAGGGGGGCCAAGCGGATCCGGCCCCGCTCTTCCAGTGGCGTGCGTGGTAGTGTATTATTGACGCCGTTCGCTCCTGCCGCCTCACTCCCAAACCTCCGCTGCTGCTGCTGCAGGGAACTATCTGTCACAAAAGCAATTCCAGGACAATGTGCTGAAGCCCAACCCCATGCCGGCGGCATGCAGCAGCGCAAAGGGCCGGCATTGAGGCGTGTTGGTCCTGCCCCGAGCTGCGATGCGCCCCCCTGCGACAACTGCTGTCATGTGCTACCTCCATGTGGTTTGGCATTCAGGTATTGATGGACAGCGGGAGCACGGATTGTGCTTCCCGAAAGCGCAAGGGGTAACGGTGGAAAAATTCAACGCTCTGGAAAGGACTGGGGGCGGTCGTACTTCCTGCAATAGTCCTTCTTCTTGTGCAAGAAGAATGTGCAACATGTTATCGATTCATGCATTATCCCATGATGAATGCGGTAGGATGGCAAAGAAAAAACGAAGACTGAAAACGCATGCGCAGCAAGAGTAGCATTGGTGGTTGAGAGGAAACCGATTATGGTTGCATTGGTGCGGCCTGCTTGCTTGTGCCTTACTTGCATTGTGTAGGAACCTTGATTAGCGCAAAGGCGGAGCGAGAGACTATTATTGCAGCGAAAGCGTGCAAGGGCTCGCAATTTTGCTGTTTTGGGCGTGATGTATAGATGTACGACATGCAGGACGGCATGTCGTACATTTGTTAATGCCGTATTTGTACTTGACGCTTGTACATGCGGCTTCATTGCCGCATACATTATCGCAATTCTGGTCGGTGGCATGGCCTGCCGCGTACGGTATGTGCGTGTGGTCGAGTTGCAGTGCTGGTGTTGTTGACAGGTGGCAGACGGGGGGCATGTTGGTCTCGCAATTGCCATGGTTGCATGCCTGGCCGCCCGCGGGCTGCCGGCGGGGCGTGCGTGCAGAGCGCACAGTGACTCGACGGCTGCTGAAAGCCTCCGAAGTGCCGCATACGAGATGATTCTCATGGCACTTTGTTCACATCATCCGGCAGCTGCAAATGGCTGTTGTTTTGATACGTTAACAGTCGTCCGACGTGTGTGAGGCTAGCGGCTGGTTAGTATTTGTTAGAGGAGCGGCCCCGGGGAGGGCTTGTAGAAGGCCCAGGGGTAGGGCCTAATTAGGCTTGACGGAACGTCCAGGCAAGTAGTTGTGCTGTGATGGCATGAAACACATGGAACCGTATCGCATTCGCTGGATTTGCTGCAGGTGTCTTCGCCGTGTTGCTTGGTATTGTGTGGTTGCAGGATGGCAGGATGGCTTGAATTCGCCGTGGATGGTGAATTCCACTCCATTGCTCGCATTGGGCGTCCTCGCAAGGATGCATGCGTTTTGTGGCCTGTCTAGCAGCTTCTAGGGGGTTTGTGGGCCCGAAGGGCGAACGGTCCTCAGGTTGGGTAACCTGCAGAGAGCCGCGGTGTTGTCTCGAGGACAGCAGCAAGGATCTTGGACAAATGGCGTGGCAACAGACAACGCAGACGCGTCGGTATGCTGTTGGCTTTAATAAAGGCGTATGGTGGTCGTGGACGCTCACGTTTAATGACGCTTTTAAGGCTAAGTCATCTGCCAGGCGAGTCGGCCCAGGTGTGCAGGTTGTGCAGGTGCTTCCGCTCGGACACCGGAACCTGCTTGTCAGCGAAGGATAAGGGGCAGCATGGATCAAGATACGCTTATTAGTCATAGCACAGCTGCCTTTCATGGACGCATGCAAGATCTATTTGCATCGGACGTGCGGGCCGCTGTATTGCGTCCCCTTTCTTTCGCAAATTCCTTCGCAGTGCTTCGCCGTCGCAGATTTGGTGGGCGGCGTACGATACCCCACACATTGGCTTAACCAAGCTATACATTATTGTAAGCATTCTTTTTGTAAGCATCTTTTGGGCTACGATATAAACATAATAAAGCACACGCTACAAGTCGCCCGTATTAGTAAGCATAAAGCCCAATATGCTGAAGGTATTTAAGCAGAGAAGGTGAAGGAACAGCAATGTAATACCGCAATTGTCTTAAACAAGACAATACTGTAATAATTCACTGGTTCGCTGGCAGCCATGATCCCGCCAGGCGCGCCAGCCATTTAGCGCTTGTCGTACGTTGTGTTGCTTACCACGGTTTTTGTGACAATCCTACGGCTTTGAAATTTATTCCAAGTTTCCTTTGCCACTCACCTAGAGCCACCGAATGCGAAAACAATTGCAACAAAGCTTGAAGCATGGCGGGCGCATTCTGTGAACAACGCCTATGGCGAAGAGGTAGTTGCCACGTGCACCTTTGTAACCTAAGAATGAGATACGTTTATGTTATTGTTATCAATTGAGTGGAGCGTTTGCCATTCCTCGCAGTCGTCCTTCTGTGCGCTCTTTGCGGCAGCATCCATAGCGCAAACGCAGGGTAAGAGCCTAAGTACTTCACTTTACAAGATCGCGTATTGAACGTCATTTGATAGCCTGGGGCCTTTGATACTCCGCTTAATATTTAATGGCGCGAATGCAGGTCATCGACGGGATATCCCTTGCGCCACGTCTTTGGTCGGCGGCTTTCTGCAGCTGCTCAGTCACTACAGACAGCACAAGTAGGTGTTGTATTTGCAACCGATGTTGATGCGCGCCTAGAAGTACTTACTAGATGGACGAACAGCCACTTCCCGTCCTGCCTCCTTTTCCGCAGCCAGTACCACCGCCAATCAAACCGCTGCCGACGCCATTGCCGCCACCAGTGAAAGCTCCCATGCCTCCCCGCCCGCCGCCGTCCCCTAGCCCTTCGCCGGACTGGATCCCTCCCGACGGTCCCTCCCAGCCCCCACCGCGCCCAGTGAACCGCACCATCCGGCTGACCCGGCCCCCTCCGCCACCCCTGCAACCCCCTTCCAAGCCGCCGCCACCACGGCCCCGACCTCCTCCCTCCCCCCCGCCAGCCCCCCCTGGTTTCCGGCGCATTGCCCCAGGAATCACGGGTAAGGCTGAGGGCCCCGCAGCTGTGAGGGCCGTAACGCTTCTTTGCTCAGGGGTGCCAATGAACAACACAGGAATAGGCTATGGGTGCGGGGGCAGAGCCGAATAACGATGAACAAGCAAGGGTTTAAGCGAACCTCAACTCGGGCCTACTCGAAGAATCCGGCTGAGCCATCAACACATCCTCGACGTGACAAGAGGAAGGATAATTGGGCAGAAGGGCAATGGAGACAGATGGAGACACCAGTTTACGGAGGAAAAGAGGAAAGGCGATAGAAGTAAACAAACCGCCAGTGGCCGCACAGCTAGCACGGAAGGCTCCATGCTAGGATCCATCCCGCTGCTTGCTGCTCCTGTCCACCTCCTGCGCTCCTAACGCGCCCTGTCACCCCCTGCAACCACGTGACCGCCCCCACAGCGGTGAACTGGGAAGCACCCCCACCTGTTTCGCCGTCTCCGCCACCGCCGCCGCCTTCGCCACCGCCGCCGTCACCATCACCTCGGCCGAGTCCTCGGCCACCACCGTCGCCCTCGCCGCGACCGCCCTCGCCGTCGCCACCCTCACCGTCTCCACCCTCGCCGCCGCCACCCTTGCCGTCACCACGCCCACCCTCACCGCCGCCCCCGCGACCATCCCCGCCGCCACCCAAGGTTCTCCCACCACCTCCTAAGCTCTCATCCCCGCCACCACCACCACCGTCGCCGCCACCGCCACAAAACAGCGGGGAGCCAGTTGTCATTCCCAGCCTCCTCCGTAAGTGCACAGCTGCAGGTGCCTGATGCATAAGACGCACTGGCACTGTCCGCGACGCCGTGTGTGCGTTTCTCGTGCCTGCAGCTAATGCATGCAACGAGCACTAGATTGCGTGCTGGATTACCTCAACAGCGCGTTGGGGCACTTTCGCCCGTGCCGCTCTGTCGTACTGCCCGGCTCACCGACTCCCCGCACACGTCCACATGATTTGCATCCTCACTCCCCTCCAATCCCGTTTTCCCTCCAATCCCGTTCTCCCGCCTCCTGCTGCCTCCTCCGCCTGTCAGTGGACGCGCACAACTCCCTCCGCATGCTGACCGGCGCACCCAACCTGACCTGGAGTGACGAGCTGGCTCGCTCGGCGCAGAAGTGGAGCGAGCAGTGCGTGTTCGAGCATTCCGACTCTAAATATGGAGAGAACCTGGGTGCGTGCGGCCGGTGCGGTGTGCTATTACAAACCCTCATGCGTGCCCCTGCTCGCCGCCTCCCACCTCCATGCAGCCCACACAGCTGCTCGGCCCTTCACTTCAACCCCGCACCCTCCCCCACCCCGCACCCCGCAGCGCTGAGCACCTTCCGCAGCTCCCAGGACCTGGTGCGCGGCATCAAGGCGTGGACGGATGAGGTGTGCTACTACGACTTTGATGCCCCGGGCTTCAACACAAGCACGGGACACTTCACGCAGGTAGGGGCTGCTGCTGCTGAGTGAAACACGTATCCGAGGCCATGGGGTATTTGCTAGGCGGTCAAGAAGATAACCCTTGGATCGCGTCAGAGTGCTATTGGAGTGCCACCAGCAAAGCCGGAAGCATGAGCGGGCTCACCCAGGTTCACCCACCAGCTATGTGCACACGGCACCCAGGCGCGTCGTCTCTTACTTTCTTTCTCTGTCCGCCGCCTCCACACCCAGTCCCGCCTGCTCCTCCATCCGCTGCCCCCGACTGGCGCGCATGCAGGTGGCCTGGCGGAGCACCCAGAGTGTGGGTTGCGGCTACCGACAGTGCGGCCAGCAGCCGGGGGTACAGGGGGTGGGCGGGGCGCTGGCGGGCTGCCGTACCTGCGGCATCCTCGTCTGCCAGTACTGGCCGCCAGGTGGGGCGGCGGGGAAGGGGAGGGAGGCTGCGGATGGGTGGTTAGCATTGCTACGGCGGATGGGTGGTGCTGCTCGTGCATGGGCGTGCGGATTTGGCTGCTCCCCGGACCCGGGAGGGTCGGGTGTACGTGACCCGGCTCGCTTCAGCAGCTCGTGCGGGGTCCGGGCGCTAGCTGCCGCAGTGTCGGGGGCAAAAGAGGGGTTGCGGTTTGCTGCACGGTCTGCCAACGCAGCGAGTCTTTCTGCCTAAGCTGGTTGGCTGTTTGGCTCTCCCCTCTCCTGCGTGCCCATGCGCCCCACCGCAGGCAACCTGAAGTCGGAGGAGCTGTTCCGGGCCAACGTGTTAAGGCCCAAGCCCATGCCCGCCTGCTGAGGTGTGGGGTTGGGGTTTTGGGGTGTTGGACGTCCGTAGCAGCCAGCCATGCCGGGTGGGGGCTTACCGTGCCCCGCTTCGGAAGCTGCCTGCTGTGGGGTGAGGGTGTACAGTGAGGGTGCAGACAGGTGAAGAGGAGACTGAAGAGGAAGAAGATGATATCGAGAGGAAAAGACAGCGGGACTGCCATTGCAGCTTCCCGCGTAATTAGTAGAGGAAGAGGAGAAGAAATGAAGAAAAGAGAGCGGGCCTGCCAATGTGGTTTCCCGCGCAAGTACTGCTCACGGGGTGTTTCGCAGACACGGACTTGGTGCTCTAGTTTGGTAGGTGCGCCATTCGGCATTTTTCACTCAACAGCTCGGGTGCTCATCCTTACATTCCACGCCGTGGTCACTAGGTGAGATTACATTTTACACCTTGGTCTATGTTTCGGGCATGGGTTACGTCGGATTTTCCAATGTCATCTTCCAGCACTACGCGTCGACTTGCATGCATGTCCCTCTTGTGCATAAACGGGTGTTCCTAAAGCGTTACGGACTGCATCTAGCCTTACGGAAGACATGATGAGCTTTAGCGCAGAGAATGGTTTGGTGACAAGTGTGTGTTGTCATAAGAATGGGTGACAGGACAACAAGCGGCATTCCATTCTCCAATGTCATGAAGTGAAGCTGTGCTACCGCATGCAACTTGACAGTGAGTGAAAACACGCGCATCTAGGCCATGCAATGCCCACTTGTGACCACTTTGGTACGGAATTGTACGGTAGGCTGTGTGTGTTAGCTGTTAGGCCAACTGTGATACCTGGGGTTTTACTCAAATCTCATCGTTGTTTCATGGACTGATTCAGAATGCTCGTGGCGAATTTGATGCACACGTGTCGTTGTTGCGTTTGCGGGGGGCATGCAATTGTTATGCCTCGCCCGCCACATCACTAGTAGCTTTTGATGTTGGAATGCGAATCAGAGGTGCACAGCGGCCTCATTGATAGTCTTGTGGGGTAGGTTATTCCCGGTGGAGTGCCCTTACGCAGCGTTCCCTTGAGGGTTTAACCTACATAGCTAAAGCGGGGTGGGTTCCATGCACGTTGGGGTCATGATGGCAAGGAGGAGCCTTAAACCGAATTGATTGCTTCACATTTATATCTCCATAGTTTGCCAGGCTACATCAATATAGTCAACACAGGCTTCCCCCGGCACGGCTTAGTCCAACAACCCCTACTTTGTTTGCACGGCCGATGGCTTGTCGACGTTGCTGCTAGGCTCTGCTGGCGGAGATGTGCGTCTAGTGTGGGAACGTGTCGCTGTGCCGTTCGGCGTGCGATGGTGCTTCGGTCGAAAGCTTGTCCCCCATTGTGAATGAATGAATGACCGTTACGATGGCTCTCTAAAAGGGAACACGAGTGTGTGTTGCGGGGAAGGTGTCCAGAGCCTGTAACAAGACATGCGGCAGTGCTCTTGCTGCCAAACTGGAATACCGCAGCAGGTGTTGAGACACGCTTTCCTTCCTTTGGGCAGCATGTGGCAGTCTCCAAACTCCTACAGCAGCCGCCCGCCCGCAGCGGAGGTTGCATGCCGTGCAGCCGTGGAGCGCTCTGCCGTGATAGGAAGCCCCGCCCAGCGGATGCGGCCGCCCGCGACCGCTACACCACGACTAGTGTGATCACCGGGAGGTCAGTCTGTGGGAACATCGCTGCCTCCCTTAACCGCGTGGGTGTTGCGTGTACAGAATACGACCATCGGTTCACATCTACGTTTACAGCACCGCAGCACTGCGACGTGTCCATGCATATACCGATAAGCGCCAGGGCGCCACACCCTCCCTAAGCACGGCCCTTCACAGCCCCGTCGCGGGTCCACGAAGTTCACTGCCCCATCCAGCCCCTCTGGGACCTCAAGACCAATTCGTCGCCTCCTACGGCCGCTACAGCACCGCCTGACAACCATGCCACCAGTATGTGCCTACTGCGGACCCACGGGTCATGCCGCCGGACCTACGTAACAAGCCAGCCACAACAACTGGACAACGCAACATAACTCAGCTTCAGCGCGCTGCCGCCAATCTATACACCTTGAACACCCCATGCCTCACGTCGCCCACGCTAAAACAGAGGCAGTGCAGCCCTGCACAACGCTTGTCAACGCCGCCACTGCCGGTGTGCCCTGTGTCCACCACCGCCCCTCCGCCGCCTACTTGTTCAGCGCAGCCACGGCTGTCTGCACGCCCCACTTGACAAGGATGCCCACCAGCGTGAACAGACCCGCGTACTGGAAGCCGCCGCGCATGCGCTTCTCGGGGTCACCCGTGGCGTAGCCCTGCGTGGGGGGCGGGGCGGGCAGGAGAGGTGTGTGTGACGGGCGAGGAGCGGGAAGGTGGGTTGGCTGGGTGAGGGCAAGAAGATCGGGTGCTGATATCGGATGCTGTGCATCAGGAGGAGGGAGACGATGCAGGCGCTCTTGACGTGTGGGTGGTAGCTGTCCGTCCCCACTCGGGCACAGCAGCATCCCCGGTGCGCACGGCCCGGCCGCCTCCCGCGCCCGTCAGCCGACACATCGGTAGCCGGCGCCCGCATGCAACCCCCTCCCACTGCCTCATCCTCCTCCCCTGTGGGCTCCATGCCTCACCCAACCCACCCACCTGCATGTACGCCACGCGCCCAGCCAGGTAGACGGCGCCCGCCACGGCAGCGGTGACGGGGTGCTGCGGGATAGCAGAGGCGGGGCGGGCGCGAGGGAGGCGCAGCCGGGCGGGAGGAGCGGGAGATTGGCGGCAGGAGGGGATAACCTATTAGCTGATGTGATGCAGCGACTGTCAGCTGTACATAGCCCAAAGTACGGGCCAAGAGGTATGAAGATGGTGCCGCCCGCTGCCCAACAGCTTACTCCTGCTCCTTCAAAGGATTACCAGCCCACGGCCCATTCCTAACTACCCGACAGCCCAATGCTGCACTCCTCAAAAAATCCTCTGCGTGCCCCAATCCTTACCTTGAGCCCGGCAGTGAGGAGCATGGCCAGGAAGATGGGTTGGCCCTCCAGGGAGTTCTGGTGGCCGCGCTGCACGCAGTTGAAGGCCTTGCGGTACCTGCATGCACGGAGGAGTTGCAAGTTGGTGACGTAGCTGTTATAGACACGCGCCTATGCAATATAATTGTTCACGATATTATTAATGCAGAGCAGCTTGTGCTGCTGCGACACCGTAGGAACCACATTCGTGCGTCACATGACGCGATGACACCGTGACAAACCGCACGTAAGAGGTTGACGCTTCACTCACTCGGCGTTCGGGCAGTCCTCAGGTGTGGCATACAGAGCCGGGTACTTGACGTCATACCTACAAGTGTAAGATCAGGGTAAGGGGCCAGATACACAAATGTGGATCTCCGATTGAGAAACATCAGGATAGCCATTCCTACGTACTTCTTGCGTGCTTGCATCACCTTGAAGGCCATGTAGCCATGGTGCCTGCAAGTAAGACCGAAGGCTTAGTGAGCTCTTGCTTCCCAGTCCGCATGAAAAAAGCATTAATAACGCTGATCAATCACTTACACAAACCATGACGCCGCAACAACGCCTGCAACGTAGCCGAACTCCGGCGGAACAGCGGCCATGGCTGTGTGTGCTGCTACTACGGTGCGGACCCGAGGGGCAATGCGACGGGTACCCAAATGGGAAAGACAATAACTCGATCCAAGTCGGTGTGTTGGCAAAGCTAACATGGAATAGATTTATGCCCCTCCAACTGATAGCTGCGTGCCTAACTGGTGTACTGGTTCACGGAAGCGCCGTACGGGTTCTAATTCCTGACCGATTTGGCATGTGGCCTGCTTGTACATAAATTCCTGGATTATTTGGGCAATTTAAAGGAAATACCGAACCCCCTGGAGAAGCTACACGACGGGTTGACGCAGCTGCATTTTGTCACAACTTTCTAGGCTACAGTCCTCTGCTGCGTAGCACGCCTACGGTATTTAGTTCATTGGGCTTCGTTGTTGCTTCTAATTAAGTAGGGGGGCCTTGGCGGCCAATTTGCAGTTGGCTTCATCTAGGGAGAGCCATGGCAGAGTATGGGAGACTTCCAGAGCGGGATCGCGCTGTGGCGGTGGATATACGGAATCCTGCCTTTGAAGGCTATGGACTTCGGGACTTGAGTGGACATAGGAAAAAGGTACGACCTACCTATGCTGCCCTTAAGCGCTTCGTACGTGTTACCCCTCTCCAGTTGGCAGCTTTGACGATGCGGCTGGGGAAAACACACAGGTCAACGCAGTTGCATGGAACTGCGACGGGAGGCGGTTGGCAAGTGGTAAGCGAGGGGGTTGCGTAGCGTTAACTCGGTTATCGGGAGGGCCGCTCAGGCATGAGGGGAGCAGTGTGGGAGTAGGTTCCACCTCGGGTACTGATATTACAGCGCCTTACGACGTCGCGGCCTTTCCTGGCTCTCAACCAGCTGAGATGCATCACTGCGAGCCCCAGCAGCGTTGCAGCTTGGCCTGGCAAATACATTGCGGTGCTGCTCCTACCCGGTGCAACCGCAGGCGCCGCCGACCGCTCCATCCGCGTGTGGACGGTTGAGCCGCACTGCCCGGTGGCGAAGAGCGAGCGAGCAGACGCCGAGTACTCCTCACACAGCGACGCGGTGACCTACATCGAGTGGCGGCCCGACCACCCGGACGTGCTGGCCAGCTGCTCAAACAGCAAGACAGACACAAACATACGGTGCGGAGGGCACCACCTGGCGGGAGGGGGGCTGCATTAGCGTGGACGCGGCCGATCCGTGCTAGCCTGCGTCTAGTAGTGTTTGTAACCTTGCCGTCAGCTCGTCACGCATACCCGCATCATTCCTATGTTGGGTTTACGCCCTGCGCCCCTGTCCGCCTCGTCCCGCCTCTGCAGCTTCCACGATGCGCGCACCAACAAGCAGACCGCCGCGGTGCCGCTGAGCAACGAGAAGAACCAGGTGCTGTCCTGGTCGCTGGACGGCGTGTCGCTGGTGGTGTCCTGCTCCAGCGACGAGCTGGTCTTCATAGACACGCGCAAGATGCGGAAGCAGCGGCAGTGGGGGCTGTCGGGACACACCAAGGTGGGACGCGGGGCGGCTGGTGTCTGTGTCGGGTTTGAAGTGGTGCGGGATGCGGGGTTGAGTGGGTTGCGCTGGGTGGATGCAGCATGTGGTGTGGACCACTGAACTGATTGCGCGTTGGGTGTAGACAGGTAGTCAAGCTAGTCGTGGTGATTTGGCTTGATGGTCAAGCTGCCCTCGCCTGAGTGGCTGGTAGCAAAGCCCCCAGCATCTTAACATCCAGCCTACCCGGTGTTATGTATAGCTACCGAGGCACCCCTACGTTGTTGGCTGTGACGCTGGAGAACCTCTTGCTGCTCTCCCCTCTTGTGCAGCTGTCCGAGGTGCGGTGGGGGCCGACGCAAGGCCACCTCACCATGGCGCTGGACGACGGCACGGTGCGCATAGCGCCGCTAGCCAAGCTGGACAGCCCTATCTGGCGCCTCAACTCGCACGCCAGCCACACCACCTGCCTCGCCTACTCTCGCGACTACAAGTAGGTGCAGGGCCGCTACGGGGTGGCACGGAACTGGGCTGTGGAATCGACGCTGACGTGTTTACGCATGCCTAGCCTGTCATGCGTGTGGTTTTGTAGTACCCAGACATGGATATACCGGTATGGATTATGGCCAAAGACCGTATATCCAGACCACCACCTCACAATACCCTCTGTCCCGGCAGGTACCTGGCATCCGGCGGCTCAGATGCGCTTGTGAGCCTGTGGGAGATGGAGGAGATGATCTGCCTGCGGACCTACAGCAGACCAGACCAGTCGGTGCGGACACTGAGTTTCAGCCACGACGCCAACTGGCTGGCCTACTGCAGCGAGGACGGGTACGGCACCATCGACGTCGTCAGCACGCAAACAGGTACAGGTGCTCACACCTGGGAGCGCTGCTAAGCAATGGGATTACATATCTGTACATGCCCTGTAGCAACAGCTACTGACGTGCGCTTTAACGAAGCATAGCCGTTGCGCCCGTTGGAAAGCAGTTACCGACACCCTACAACACTTGCTCACGTCCACTGTCCGAACCGCACGCAGGTGACCTGGCGAGCACGCTCAACCTCAAAAGCTACTGCGAGACGGTGGCATGGTGCCCATCGGCGCCCGTGCTGGCGTTTGCGGGCGACGAGACGAAGGAGGGATATGGCGCGGTCAGCATCTGGGCCCCGCCAAAGGCCACGAGCTAGGACCTAAAGCCCTACGCTGGTCCCTAGTGCTAGGGAAGCCTTTGGCTGGCGGCCACGCTGTAAATTGGTCCCATGCATCTCTTAATGTGTCTCAGTCTCCTTGCACGCGTGCTCAACGGCGCCCACGTATTACTTCATAAACGAAGTCACGACGCTAACCAACCGACCATCAATTGTCCGCTGGAATCCCTGCGCAAACCCTGCTAATGGGGCGCCGTAATGACACATCTATGAGCTTGGCTGGAACACGCGCATGCCCCCAACGCGTATACTAAACGAAGGGCCCGCAGTTGGGGCCCCTAACGCACGGCCAGCATTGCAGATACCCATCCACTGTGGCCCTACGACTGCCATGACCATGGGTACTGCCGCTCCGGTAGCTTCTGTGCTGGCTGTGCGGTCTGGGGCCGAACCACTACCTGCGTTATGGAGGCGAGGAAAGGGAAATGTTTAGACAACGGTTTCTACACCTGCGCATTAGCGTCAGCGCCCAAACGCTCACCTCAGCGTCAGCGGTTGCCCACGGGTAGGAAGTAGAGGATCGCTGCGGATTCGCAGCTGCGCTCGAGGGTGCAGCCAACCCAGCGTTGGTCGTTGCCCACGGGTAGGCTGTCGAGGGTCGCTGGGGACACGCTGCTGCGCTTGAGAGAGCAGAAGCGCCCGTGGAACCGTAGTGTGCCTCGGCGCGCATGTGTGTATCGCCACGGTTGTACCAGGTATCCTGCACGCACACGCCACGTCATGCAACGGCAGCGATGGGGAATGCTCCGAAGAGAAGAGCCCTAGCGACGTGGTTGCCGCTGCATACTTCCCGCGTCTTTAGCACCTAGAGGAAACCTGGTAAGGCCAAACCTTGCTAGACATGTTCGGGGACAAGCGCACCTGCACCGGTTGTTGTCGCTTGGCCTGCTCATCCATGGCCCGCTTCAGCTCCTTCTCCCTCGCAAGCCGCTGGTTCTCTGCATGTTTTAGGAGCATCACTCACAATGGCCGTCGGAAACGACGTCCTTTCCGAGACCCTGGCAACTTCGTGCAGGTGCACATTTACACTGACAGCTAATACAAGTGGACAGCTAAGCACAATACCCGACGTTCGTTGGGCTCCACTTACCGGCAGCCACTTCAGCTGCAAACCTGCGTCGCGCAGCGTCTTCTGCTGCTTCTGTAAACTGCTGCGTTGCCATGGCGTGGTGCCATGGTCTAGTCCCATCTGGCATTGCGCTTGCCGTGCTTGCAGGATTTGATGGCTGCTCGGGTCTATCCGCCCTGTTCTGCCTGCATGTCAAATGGGAACAATTGGGATCATAGGCTGCAGGCTAACCGCCGGCAGGGACCCCGTGCTCACGTGCCTGCTGGCCAGCAGTGAGTTGCTTGCAACAAGCTCCTCCCAAGCGGCCGCCTTATCCTCACGCTGCATCCAGAAAAAGGGTAGGGGGTTAGTTCACTGCCAACAGATTACAGCCTGTACGTGTGTACATGCGTGTTGAGAAGGCTGAACACAGTCGTCCCCAAACCACTACGATACATACCTGCGGGTGCAAGGACCGAAGGAGCCTGTCCCGTGTATCCTGCTGCTTTTCCTGCTTAGCCCGTAAGATGGCTTGCTCCTTCTGGTACTGCAAAATCGAGCGTGGGGTAGTGTGCCCAAGAGTGACTTCAACTCTCGCCTGTCGGTCGTGCGCAAAATGAGCCATGTAGCCAAACCTGAGACTCGTATGTCTCTTCGTTCGCCTTTGATGGCTGTGCCCGTTGGGGCCTGTGCAGGATACTTGGCCGGTGCGGAAGATTCATTGCAGGGTTGCAACAGACAGCCTACTATACAAAACAGTATTCGAGATCCCTTAACTATTATATGTCCAAAGTACAAATCTCGTGCCTTTTATCTCTTGTTTACACAGCGCTGTAGGCCTACGGAGGTTAACCGAAAAACAAGCTCGAGCTGTCAAGATAGTCAAAACAACCGAGTCAGCCTAGATGTACCGTTTGCCACGCGTCAGCTGTATTCCAACTAAGGCGTGAACTGCGTGTAACCAGGATTTGCGAAGTGGGCTCTGGACCCAACGTACAAGTCTCACGTGTACGGATAAGGGTCCATGCAGCGCGAATAACTACTACGCGTTGCAGCAATCATTGGCAGCATTCGGGATTGTTTCTACTTACTGTGTGATATCTTGCAAGCTGGACTGACTCATACGTTTCAGCTTCCCACGGTCGCAGTGTTAATATCCGACAGGTTGCCGTAACTCATAGCCTAGAACGCTCAGTCCACCATGATTCGGATATGCGCTGCAATCTTGCGCTCTCGGGGTTTTGCGGCTGATGCCTCGCGTGTGGCCATGCCGACGAGCCTACTGAAGGCATCGAGCCTCCATACAACCACGTGCAGCTCACATGAATCTAGTTCCTCTTCGGATGGGCAAGAGACGTACGTGCGAGCTGTCGGTGTTTGTCACCGCTATACCGCACATGGTCGTTAGGCATGAGACGCTGTTTGTCCACAGGATTTCCATCACATACATAGACAAGGAGGGCAAGGAGCACACGGTAGCTGCCCCTATCGGCAAGAACTTGCTTGAGGTGGCGCATGAAAACGAGATTGACCTGGAAGGTATGGGGATAAACGGCGTGTGTTTTACCGCGGCGTTTGTTCGACGCCCTTGAAGGACTGATGTAACACTGGGAGGAATTCAGCCCTACATGCCTGCATCTGTGCCCCAAGAGGCCTTGCTCGTCTGGCCACTGCAAGGGATGTGTCCGCCGTAGTCACTGTGGCTGGTTCCCTCGCCTGGGCTATCAGCTGCTAGCCTGCTCGGCGTGACTTACCACGGTCCCCCATTTCCGCCGCCCACATCCTGCCCATTCATCAGGCGCCTGTGAGGGGTCGCTGGCTTGCTCCACATGCCACTTGATCTTCGAGGTGGGTCGGGGCGGGGTGCCTGGGTAGGGGGCCGGGCCACCTGCGCAACCCCGGCAGGGCGGCGTTGGCTTGTGCTTGCATTGTTGAGGCGTAGAGGGACGCCTGTGGCGGCATCATGACCGTAGGTAGCGCTGCCTCACCACCACTAGAGGCACCTCCGCTATTGAGGAAACAGTTGGCGACCCAAATGGCCCCTTGCCGGACCCAAATGGCCGCGACCCAAATGCCCCCATGCCATTGCACTGTATCCAAGGTTCTCGGCACACGGGGAAGCGCCCGCCATGCCACATTCCTGGCCCCAGGGTTGTTTGGACCTGTTACGTAGAATCAGCGGCTCCTTCCTCCTTTTGTTCGTTCAGTCCTTTGCTTCAGGTGCCAACATGTCGAAACCCAACACACCCGCCTTAACTAACATTACCGCCCTCTCTGCCGCTGCCCCCTCCGTCCTCCCTGCCAGGACGAGTCTTACTACAAGAAGGTCCCCGAGGCCAGCGAGGACGAGCTGGACATGCTAGACCTGGCGTTCGGGCTCACGGACACGTGAGTGCTGGGGGGGCTGGGGGGGTGAGGAAGAGCCGGGGCTTGAGGACGAGGGTGGTGGCTCCTTGTTCGCACTTCCGTGAGGAGCGGAGAGGAAGGGAAGCGGGGAAAGGGCATCCCACGAAGGCGTGTCACCAGGGCGCAAGCGTTTAAACTAGATAGTGAACTCTTGCAATCGTACGACACTCCATGCCATGTCCAACCCCTGCCCCTTCCTTCTCCCGCCCTCCCCCCCTCCCCCTGACAGCTCCCGCCTGGGCTGCCAGGTGCTAGCCTCCAAGGAGCTGGACGGCGCGCGCGTGCGCATCCCCGCCGCCTCACGCAACTTCTACGTCGACGGACACAAGCCCAAGCCGCACTAGCGCACCGCACACCGCACCGCAAGAGCACATGCGAGTTGTACCAACTGAGCCGCGGACTCTTGAGGGACGGGTGGAGATGACCGTGAACGCCGAAAGGTGTAGGGGACAGCTCCTTGTGCGGGCAGCTGCGGGGATCGTGACGTAGACCTTCCCTGCGCCGGGTGCTTGGTGCCGCAGCTATGTGCCAGTGTGTTACGTACATGTCACCTACGGTAGCTAGGGGAAAATGTGGGGTGAGGTCGTGGTTCTGCGCTGGCGGCCAAGGGTCCTGCCTTACAGAGTACACAGGGAGGCGGGATCCGCTGGCAGCTGCTTCTTTGCGCGGCCCGACTGCGGCTTTGGCGGTTGCGCAGCTGCAGGAATGCGGGGATGCCCAAATCGGGTTGCACTCTTTGGCGCCTTTTTTGTTTGGGATGGGCGACTGAGAGTGCGTTTCCTGTTGGAAGGGCAGGCATGACACCTTATATGGTCCAAACTGGGTGCTCATGGGTGCTTAGTGGTTGCCTGAGGGAGGCTCCAGGGGCGGTGTGATGTGTGCGCATGGCCTTTATGTTACGAAGCTGTGAGGGCCACACACACACGACATTTGACCGGCTTTGCCAGATGACCGACCGCATGCGCGCCCGACAAGGCGTTGTGATGTAGCCTGCCCGTGCACGGTTGTGCTTTAGCAGCCTTTAGCCTGTCTGATTATGAATGACCGTTACAATGGTTCCCCAAAAAGGGACACGGGTGATCAACTCCACCACCATTCGCCGGCTGTCATCCAGGCGGAACGAGGTCCAATCCGCCGCAGGCCTTGCCGCCACCCATTCCATCCAGCCCATTTAAACCACAAGCTGTTCCTGCTGTTTGGGTATTGGGCTCCTATCTTTTTCCAACTCCCCTGTCAAGAGGTCGACAGCACTCTCCCAACATGGCGCCGCTGCTCCCCACGCCTCAGCCCCATCCTCACACTCCGGCTTTGCTTGTGTCATGCCCTCCCTCTCCTGTAACTCCTTTCTCGGTGCAAGGCCATCTGGGTCAGACCCAGCGCACCTCAGCCCCCTCAGCGCTCTCACGGCGGTCCGTACGTGGGACCAGTGCCAGCCTGCCATGCTCCTAGATCCTAACAAATGTAACAATCCCACACCTGCCTTGTGCACCCTAGCACGCCATTGCCGCTACCTCCACCCCTGCCCCCTCCCCTCCTTCCCCTCACGCCGCCGCCTCCGGCTTGTCCGCCAGCTGCTCAATGATGTCGTCCTCGCTGCTGCTCATCAGGCTGTCGTACGCCTTCTGGATCTGCTGGAAGCGCGCCTTGGCGGCCTCGGGGTCGGCGGGGTGCTTGTCGGGGTGCCACTGCATTGCCAGTCGGCGGTAGGCCTTCTTGACGTCCAGCTTGGAGGCGCCCAGAGGCAGCTCAAGGGCCTCGTAGTCCTGTGGGGAGGTGGAGCAGGGGGTACACCGGGGGGAGGGGGGTTGGCGGGAGTAGGTCCTCGGAGTTGGCGAGGTCTTGCTCTAGTCCCGCACCGCGGCGACCGGGCGGGCTGGGGGCAGTGCGCCAAGAGGCCGCGCCGGCGCCCTCAACCGGCCGGCGTGATGGCTGACCTCATGAGGCCGCCTGGGAGTTCCCCGCCTACGCTTTCCCGCCTGTCATGCCCCCGACACACATGCCCTCCGCTGCATGCGACCCAACCGCGTGCCCGGTCGCTCGGCCCCCCGCCCTAATCGCCACCCACCGCCGCCCCTGCCCTCTCCGCGCAAAACCAGCCGCGCTGCTCACCTTGGAGTGGCGCAGGTGGTAGAGCATGCGCTCGCGGCGCTTGGCCTCCCTCTTGCGATCGTACTCCTTCTGCCTGTTCTTCTGCTTCTGCTCCTTGTTCTCGATGGCCTCCATGATCATGCGCTCCGCCGCCTCCACCGCCTTCTGGTCGCCGAACAACATGATGGTGGTCAGCTTCTTGTCGCCTGGGGGGGAGGGGAGGTGGGCAGGGCGGAAAAATAAACAGATAGGTGACGCACAACCCCATGTCCCAACTCATGCAATGAGTCATGAAGGGGGGTCAAAGACCATACCAAACCATAGGAGACCACAAGTTAGGGCAAAGCAATGGGGGTAGGAGTTGGCAGGGGGGGGGGCCAAGAGGGCAGGATTGGCTTAGAACACGTTCACAGGGTAAACGGCGGGCTTTATAAACAACCTAGTGATTTGGAGTTACGATGTCCGCCTGAAACCCTGATAAGCCTTCCTCTTTGTAGCCTTTCCCCCTGGGCCCCTACCTCCCCCCTCCAGCACCCCTCCCCCCCCGTCCCCACCCGTCTGCAGCAGGTCCTCCACGTCCAGCTTGAAGCTCGCTCCGAAGCCGCGGGTGAGCTCCTTCTCGTCCTTCTTGACCTGCAGCACCAGCAGCGGGGGGAGAAAAACGAAATGAGAAAAGAAGCAAGGTGCACGCATGCCTCAACACATGCCCGTACTCCGCCACCCCGGCCGCCTACCAGGGTGGTGTGCGGCCTCCCCACCAGGCCCCTACCGCACCCACCACCCCGCCCCGCCCCGCCTCACCTGCACCCTGCACTTGGACTTCTTCTGGATCTCCTTGATCTTCTCGCCGCCCGGTCCGATCATGAGCTTCACCTTGTTGGAGGGGATCTGGATCTCCATGTCCGGGTTGGCGTCCGGGTCGTCGTCGTCCGAGTCCTCCAGCACCTTGAGCGGAGGCGGGGCTGAGGGGGGTGGGGGAGGAGCAGGGGCAGGGAGGGGCAGGAGGGAGGGACAGGAGGTGTGGGGCACTTCATGAGTGGGCCGCGGGGCGGGGCTGACGCCTCGGGGCTGACGCCTCCCCAAGCAGCCACGCAACCAGTGCAGCAGGCCGCACCTGGCCCCGCCGCACCCGCGCAGGGGGCCATGCTGTCCCACCCCTCTCCTACCCGCCCAGCCGCAACGACTAAACCCATCTCTCCCAGCCTTCCCTCCCTCGCCCTCTCCTAGCCACAGCACGGCGCCATGCCCGCACCCGCAGCGCCCCCCTTCCTTCCTCCAGCTTACCACCCCTACCCACCCTTCCCCGCCGCCAGCTGCTCCGCCAGCTTCCTGCGCTCCTCCTGCCTCCTCGCCTCCTCCTCCGCCTGCCGCTGCTTCACCTCCGGCATCACCGCCGCAGCCATGAAGGCGTCCAGCGGGTCCTCCTCGCCCTCCTCGCCGCCCGCCTGGCGAGCCAGGTCGTCAGCCATGTCCCGCGCGCGCTTGGCGGCCACCTGAGGCGGCACGTAGCTGGGGTCCAGGCGGATGCGCTCGCGGATGGCAGCCGCCTCGGCAGCGGCGGCCGCGGCGGCCGCATCGGGGTCCTCCTCCTCTTCCTCCTCGTGGCGTCCCATGGCGGCGGGTGCTGCTGCGGCGGCAGGGGGTGGAGGTGCGGCCGGCGCCGCTGCGGGCTGCAGCCCGGGTTCCTCCCAGGGCATCCAAACCTTGGGCTCAGCGGCAGTGGCGGTGGGGGCCGCCGCGGCAGCCGACGGCTCGGCAGCGGTGGGGGCGGCGGCGGTTGCGGCTTCCTGCCGCGCCCTCCACGCCGCCAGCCGAGCCAGCCGGTCAGCTGCCTCCGAGCCGCCCCCGCCGCCGCCGCCAGCTGCCTCCCCTGCGCCGCCAGTCGGCTGCTGCTGCTGGGTGGCTGGCGCCTGCTGCCCCCCCGACTGCTCCCGGGGCTCTCCATCCCGCGTCCTGCGGTCCCTCTCCCGCTCTCTGTCCCTGTCGCGCTCGCGCTCCCGCTCTCTGTCGCGGTCTCGAGAGCGGGAGCGGCGGCTGCGGTCGCGGCCCGGGGAACGGGACCTGCTGCGCCGCCGGGAGTCGCTTTGGGCCGGGCAGGACAGGGGGTGCCGGTAGGGGGCCGAGCGAAGGGGATGAGACAAGGTCAGGTGTGCGGTTGAGGATTGGGCTTTGCAATTGTGGGGTCTGCTTGGCGATAACATGTTGGCTGCAGCGGGTATGTCACCAGCTGATGCGCGTGCCGTCAGCCACGGGGCGTGAGACGCCGCATTTACCGCAAAAGGCCTATGGATCCGGGCTCTCCACCCAATATCAGCTAACAAGCTCAAAACTGGTCAGAGGTAGTATTGATACCCGAGGGCTCCGGAAACTGGGGAGAAAGGCTCCGGAACCCGGCCCGCCAGGAGGGCTACCGAGCGCGTCTTCATACTCGCAATGCTCGGACGCTTACCGATCTCGCTCGCGTCTATCCCGGCTGCGACTCCGGCTGCGGCTCCGTCGTCGATCTCGCTCCTTTGACCTCTCTCTCCTGTCCCGGCTTCGGCTCCGATAAGCTCTACGCTCACGGCTAGAACCCCTTTTGTGCCGATCGCGGCTGCGACTTCGGCTGCGGCTGCGGCGTCCCATGACGTCCAACGACCCAAGCAACAAAAACGCGCACGCTTTACAGTAATTAAAAGTTATAAATAGGGAGAACTTCTAGTGTGAACAGCCGTTGTAGGTTTTTCATTTTGGCAAATTACAGCCTGACAAAGTTACCAGATAGGGTTACAAGTAACACATGGCAACACGCCAAAGCTCAGGTGGCGCTCACTGCAGTAGTAACTAATGTACTGTATCTGTAACTTACAAAGCAGTTATCGACGATACCGCGCGCAACTCTTAATGTACGGATGAAGCTCAGGACGGCAACGAGGAGGCACGGCCTGCAACTCTGCTTGTAAATTGCGTTCACTTACACACTGGTATGATTCTGAAAAATGCCTTTCAGTATAAGCTTAACGCGACCTGAAGAGTCTTATAAAACAAACTTTGTGCCACAAAAATAGTAGCAGATAGAGCCCCAGGTGTTCATTATACTGCATTATGTTGTAGTGATCAACAAGTTCGGAGTTAATTAGAAGCAGTGCTGCGGCCGGTTCGGTGCTAGACCCGTCGACCCGTAGGAGAGTGGACCCAACGCGTCGGCAGCAAGACCTGCAGTGCTCTTTCCGCAGGTATACTGATGCGAAAGAGTTTGTCCACTTGTCAGGATGGCGTCTGTCCGTTTAAGGAGGTCGAGTATCTGACGCGACCTCGCAGCGCAGTTGGCATGCAGTGCGGGCCGTTCGCGTCTTCGGAGGCTCCCCTTGCGCCTTCTGTGCTTTAACCGCATTCCCGACACGTCACTTCATAACTGGCCAGTGCACGTTGTCGCAAAAGCTTATGCAGTCGCTACCGCTGAAAAACCGCAATGCTGAGTATGCATCGTCCTCGGGCTAGGCCGCTGCCTTTACCACCGACAATGTCCGAGGACACGCTGGATAAAAGTGCAACGAAAACCCATAAGCCTGGTCTGCTTAGTCGCCTATGTCGGTATCAATGGCAATCCCGCACGTAACGCCGTACTTCCTGCAGCCCGCCTTACCACCCTGCCTCGCTGCGCCGCCGCAGGCAGCCTCCATTCCCGGTTCCCCAGCGGGCCCTCCTCTAGTCCGCGCCTCGTCACAGCTGCCTGTGTGGGGCCCGCAGCAGCACCGGCTTGCACCGGTGAAGCTCAGTCGCCAGCCCACGTCTCCCTCCTACCTCTTCCTCCTCGAGGAGGGCCCTACAGCGCAGCAACCCAAAGCCCGGGCGGCGCCGCGTGCCTTGCCGCCGGTGCCGCGAGGAGCAGCAGCCGCTGAGCTAAGCAACCGGCTGGGCCGCATTGCCGCGCGGCGGTTACAGCAAGAGCGGAAACAGTAGCTGCGGGAGCAGCAGCCGCAGCAGTACGAGCCGCCGCTAGCAGCATCCCACACCCCCAGCAGCAGAGCCCTACCCGCCATGGCCAACCCGCAGCGGGACCGGCAGTTCAAGGTTCTCAAGTTCGTGGGGAAGGGCAGCTATGGATCCGTGTGAGTGGCACGCTGGGGCATGTACCGTCGGCGGGGTGGTGGGGTGGTGGGCTGGGCTGGGTTCCTCCTGGGCGGGAGCTGCGGGGGACACGGGGAGGCGGTGCGGGCGGGGAGGTGGCTGTGGAGTTGAAGCCGGTGGCAGCCTGTCCCCGGGGCACCTTGGGGATGCGCCCCGGGAGGCACACACCTCGCTAGCTTGCCGCTGACGTGGGGGTGTCCTTGCTGGAGGTGGCTGGCGGGGGGGGCTGGGCAGGGAGGGGGTGCACGACATGGGTAGTGGTGCGGAGGGTGGGAGCGCAGCCTGGTGGTGTGCAGGAGATGCTGCCGACTCTGTGGGCGGTCAGTGGCTGGGGATGTAGTTGGGGTCACGGGGGCGTCACGGGCGCCCAGGGGTGCTGCAGGAAGGGGTTGCGGGGTGGGGGCAGCAGGAGGCGACCGCTGTACGGGTGTTGGGAAGCCTCGCTGCTGCAGCCTCCTGGCCTCCTGGGGTTCACCGTCAGTCACCTGTTGGTTGGCCTGGCTGGGGGTTGACTCTCATATCCAGCCGTCGCAGCGCCAGTCCTCCCGACCCCTCTCAACTCTGTTTGCGCCCTTCCCTCTCCCTCCTCCTCCCTCCCTCTCCCTCGCCAGCTTCCTGGTTCAGCGGCTGGCCGACGGTCACACCTACGCGCTGAAGGAGATGGACGTGCGCTCCATGAGCCAGGCGGAGCGGGAGGACTCGATCAACGAGATCCGGCTGCTGGCGTCGGTGAGCCACCCCAACGTCATCTCCTACAATGAGGCCTTTCTGGACGGTAACCGGCTGTGCATCATCATGGAGTATGCGGGCGACGGAGACCTGGCCAAGGTCATCAAGTGAGAAGGGGCGGGGGCGGGTAAAAGAAGAATACCCAATGCGTGTGGGGGGGATGGATGGGACTGGGCAGGGACGTAAGGGGGACTGCTGCTCCTGCGCTCTTTCCCTCTGCGTACGGTACCTACCCCTTCTCCGCATCCTCTCCACGCCTGCCCCTGCCCCTCCCTCCCTCCTTGCCCCTCCAGGAAGCAGCAGATGATGAAGCGGCCGCTGCCCGAGGACGTCATCTGGCGCTACTTCCTGCAGGTGGTGCTGGGGCTGCAGGCGCTGCACGGCATGAAGATCCTGCACCGCGACATCAAGCCCGGCAACATCATGGTGTTCCAGAGCGGGGTGGTCAAGATTGGCGACCTGGGCATCGCAAAGCTGCTGACCAAGACAGCGGCGGCGAAGACGCAGATCGGCACGTGAGTGAGGGGGGGTGTACGAGGCGGGAGGAAGATCTGGAGAAGAGAGGGAGGGACGGTTGCTGTTGAGGCGCTGGTGCTGCCGCGGTCCCTTCTTCTAGCTTGTGGGTCGGTCTTGGCAATGAGCGCTGGGTACCAATGTGCCAGCGTTGTGCGTGTCCCCGCCCAGATCGGACGCAACCCCCTGTACCCCCAGCAAGCACCTGCACGCAAGTAACCTGCCGCCTTCCTCCCCCACTCCTTACCCCACCCCTCACTCCCTCTCCTCCACCCCTCCACCCCTCCCTCCCAGTCCGCACTACATGGGTCCCGAGATCTGGAAAAACCGCCCCTACTCCTACACCTCGGACACCTGGGCCATCGGCTGCCTGCTGTACGAACTCGCCGCCCTCGCCGTGCCCTTTGAGGCCCGCTCCATGAGCGAACTGCGCTACAAGGTGCTGCGAGGCAGCTACCCGCCGCTCCCCAACACCTATTCGCGCGACATGCAGCAGCTGGTGCGCGAGTGCCTGGACCCCAACCCCGACAAGCGCCCCAGCATGGACGCCATCCTGGCCTCCCCCGCCGTCGCCTCCCGTCTGAAGCTCCTGCCGCATGAGGTGCGCAACCCGCCGCCCACCGCGGGGAGTGCGCTGGTGGAGACGATCAAGGTACCGCGGGGCAACATCGCGGCCATCAAGCACAAGCTGCCGCCCGCGCAGTACGCCTCAGACATGCTCAACATGGGGGCGGGCGGGGGGCAGCAGGGCGGCAATGGGCAGATGGCGACCATTGAGGAGGGCAGCGAGGACGACCTGCCACCCGCGCGCCCGCCCGTTAGGAGCCAGGCGGGGGCGCAGGGGCCCAGCAGGCAGCCGCTGCAGCCCATACCCATAGCCATACCCAAGGCGAACTACCCGCCCGCGCCGGCGTCGGAGCCAGCAGCGAGGCCTGCGCTGCCGCCGCTACCGTCGATAGCGTCCGCGCCGCCGTCGGAAGCGGGTGGCGGCATGGGTGGCGGGTACGGCAACAGGTTGCCGCCGCCCGTACGAGTGCCGCAGCCCAGTCAGGGCGGCGCGAGCGCGTGGGGGTATGCCGAGGATCAGCAACGGAATAAGGTATCCGAGTCGCATGCCAACTATGGGGCGTTTTACCACAACGCGTACACACCAGGCAACGCGGCTGGGGGCCCGCCCGGGGCGGCGCAGATCCCCTCCGCCTGGCAGGCAGGCAACAAGTGGCCGCCGCAGCAGATGCCGCAGTTGCAGCAGTACCCACAACAGCAACAAGCCTACCAGCAATTTCAATCGCCTTACATCTCACCGTATCTTGCGCAACAGAGGGCTTACGGTACGTATTGTTAGCGTGCGTGCCGTGTGGGATGACCTGGGTATAGGAACACGCACGCACTTCTTAGTCGCAGTTGCGAATACCGTGTGCTGCTGCGAACTGAAGCCTAGGCAGCCACATCCAGCCTCGGTCACTAACCTCCATCCCGACCCATGGTTCGCAGGCGCTCCTGGGCCGGGTCCCGGAGCCAACGCCGGCGGCGGAGGCGGCGGTGTTGGCGGCGGTGTTGGCGGCGGCGGCGTGCCGCACCTGCCCCAGCTTCAGCTGCACAAACACGTCAACGGGGGGTTGCAAGTGGCGGTGGTCAATAAGCCGCCGCCCTGGAACTACGGCGCGCAGGCGGGGCAGCGGCGCAACGTGCGGGCAGCAGCGGCGCAGCTGGCGCCCCCGCGGCCGCCCGGCGGTGGGCACTACGGAGGGTTAGACGGGCAGCCGGGGGAGGTGCCTCGTTACCCGCCACCGCAGTGGGCCCCTAGGCCCGCCCGGTGGTGAGGAGGGCGGGTGCGGGGGCCGCCTTGTGAAGATCTGATGACCCTTGGGACCGACCCATGGGACTGACGACGTCCCATGGGGCTGACGTGTGTGTGTGCATGCGCTTTAGTCCTGGCGCATTGCTGGGGAGGACTGGTGTATGACCGGTGCGACCGCCGCATCGGGTGTGGCCGAGTGGGGGTGCCGCTTGCGACATGTTTTGCGTGTTTACAGGTCAACCGGTCCCAAAACTGACAACATTGACCTTGGAGAGAGAGGAGAATTAGTTGTCAGCGTGCACTCGCTGGTTTTGTGACCCGGTTGGAGACCTAGGAGGGCCGGCTGGCTGGATTCTGGCGACCAGCATGCGACGCAGGGTCGGCGCGAGGATGGCTTGGGCTGCCGTGACGTGACACGACGGTCGCGATTACTGGACTGCAATACGGCCAGAATAAGAATCGATGGCCACGATGTGTCATGGGGTAACTCGCATGTACTGATGCGCTGCTGCTGATGATGACGACGACGTGTACTGCTAACGCTTGACGTTCGCGGTGATGTGCTAATAGTTGACTGACTGCTAGCGATGATGCTTATTAGTAAGATTTAGCAAGTAAAAGAAAGCAGGGTGGGGAGCAGCAGCTCCTGGGTTGCGGAGGAATGCGATAGCTCCTTGTTTACACGCCGGTGGATGCGGCGGCGGGACGACGTCGCAGCATATGATGAGCTGCGGCGGCGAACGTTTAGAGACACGCACGGATGCATCTTAGTAATGTGGCCGTTCCGTACCCACTCCTGCGTCGTACATAGGCTTTCGTGGCAGGAGAGTCGTTGGTCACTGCCTCTAGATGTGGATGAAGGGCTCTTTCGAGGTTGTGGGTTATGCCTGGGCGTGCATGCGATCGTGGTATCGTTTCCGGGCATCGCTGCAAAGTGTGTTAGGACTTGCTGACGCGGGGGGTGCATGCCATTAGTTGACGGTTCTATGACCCGTTGCATCATCGTCACCTTTCACAGCCCGACTGTACCCTAATCCTCGCACTGACGACGACCGAAGCTGCTGATGTCTGACGTAGCATGTGTTCTTACCTATGTCGGAGGGCATACTCAACTGGCGACAGCGAGTTGGAGTATGACAGGTTGGTCATTGGTGTGATCGCCAGTAACTAGTATTCATTGTGCTGTTCCGCTTTGTTATACCTTAGCTGCTGACCTGCCCCTTAACCTATGAGGAGGGCATAGGCAACGCGTTAGCCGGGGATGGAAAATATTCCCCTTACTAAAGCCTCGCATTGCCAATGCACTTGGTTGGCTTGGCGGCGTACACACACCCTTGTGCTTTGTTGGTATAACCGTTTGTACGGCCGGCCAATGGGCTGTGGCATGGATTCTTATCACACGGTCTGCTTGTAACGTAAGCGAGGCACGGATAGCACATGCACGATTGATTTCTTCCAACCCACGCACGGACGGAACCGCAAAGCCACACAACCCATGTAACTTGGTACAACAAGGCCTAGGAGTGCGTGACTGGGGCTTGCACATACCGCATTCTGGGTACAAATCGACTTCATTGTGGTTTAGCTGTATATGCCTATCAGGGGCGTATGCTATGATTGCGCCTGACCCGCGGTAGAAAGGGATGCCGCAAGGAAACCGTTGCTTGCTACGGCGCGTTTCGCTTTTGCAAACCTTTTTATTTCTGTATACTGCAATGCACCAAACTGATGCCAGCGTTTCTGTCTGCAAAATTTCATAGCAAGACGCATACCTCACGGGCATCTAACCAACGCACCATAGCACTCTGCATACAGGACGACATGAGCCAAGATCAAACTGTGTGTAGGATTCTTCACGTTGGCCAGCAGGCCAATACATGAAAGTTGTTGTTATGTCAACACCCCATTCGCTTGCGCAAGTTCCAATTGCCAGCAAACCTGTTCAAACAACAAAGCGGTTATTAGCTGTTCAACGAAATTATGCCCGAGCAGTTCTTGTCCTTTATTATGCGCAGTGCTCGGATTTCTGGCGGTTTCGGAGTCCATGCCACCGGGGGTTACATGCGATGATAGTGCGGTAACACCTCATCGCAGTCCATTAGGGTAGGCGCTTCGGATCGGTGACAGTGCCCTCCTGTCACAGTTTGGCTGGGGACTTCCTAAATTTTTAACGCATTCGCCCAGCGAAGTATCAGCCCTACTGTTGCATAGGAGCCGCTAGCCTCTCGGCCCCGACAAGGAGTGCACTTTTCGGTGTGTGATGGCCGCCGTGGAGGAGCAGGCCGCGCCTAGCGGAGGGTGCGCGTTGCTGATTGATCGCTCGTAAGCTCTGGTCCAGCTAGTACCTACGCAAAATCCTCGCTAAACTACAGGTCGGCCGGAGCCAAGCTCTTTCTAGGCGGCCTTTCATGGGACACAACGGAAGGTACGCAGAAGGGTGTTGTCGGTACCGGTCGAGCCGCGGCTGATTGTGACCACAACGGTGTTGCAGAGAAGCTGAAGGAGTACTTCTTGAAGTATGGGGAGGTGCAAGACGTGGTAGGTCTCGCACGTTTCGCTGGCCAGACCAAATGTGGCCTCGCGAAGGGTGCTGATGGGTTCGGGCATGCCCGCTTTGGCAGGTGGTGATGCGCGATCGTCAAACCCGGAGGCCCCGTGGATTTGGCTTCATTACCTTTGCTGATGCTGCGGCTGCACAAGCGGCATGTGCGGAGCCCCACACGATAGACGGCAGACAGGTAAGAGCGTCCTGGCGCGACACCCCTGGCCTAAACGTAACGCTTCTGAGGTTGCCCGATGCAGATCGACGCGAAGCCATCCGTTCCTCATGGTGAAGGAGGCCAACCGCCCCGCAGCAAGAAAATTTTCGTTGGCGGACTAGCTCCCGAGACCGATGATGGTGCGCGAACTGCTTATCTGGGACCCGTCAGATGCGGCATCATTTGCTTACCCCGATGGCTCTAAACGTGTGCATTTGCATCCTTCTCTCTTTGCAGCCCAGCTCAAAGCGCATTTTGACCAGTATGGCGCGGTAGTGGAGGCGTTGGTCATGGTCGACCACAACAGCGGCCGGTCTCGTGGCTTCGGGTGCGTTGCTGCAAATAAGTCATTGAGAAACAACTTTCCTATTAAAAATTGCTAATAGGTGTTGCCTATCTGAAGACGGGCCCGCCTCGTGTCACATGGACGCCCGCCTCAACCAGCTGCTGCCAACTTGCGGCTCCGCTGCGCGAAGCTTGGCAAAATTGACTTTGTTTCATATGTGTCTTTAATGTGGTGTTTACATTATTTCTGGCAACATCTTGCTGCAAGTGTTACCCTTTGCTTGCAGCCCCGATCCTCGCTCGTCAGCACCCCCTAGTGACTGCTGCCTCCCCCTTGTTTCCTTGTCGCGCTGCAGCTTCGTGACGTTCGGCGAGGAGTCGTCTGTTGAGAGGGTGTTTGCGGCCGGCCAGATGCACGAGCTGGGCGGCAAGCAGGTGGAGGTCAAGAGCGCGACCCCCAAGGGTTCGGGCCCGCAGTCAGGCCGCGGCGGCGGCCGCGGACCAGCAGCAGCCGGCGGCTACGGTGGCCGCGGGTACGCTGGCGGTCGCGGCGGCTTCGGTGGCTATGCCGGGGGCTATGGCGGTTATGGAGCAGGTGAGCTCCAGGGTCGCACAGATGGCGGGAAGCGCCTGCATGCCTCAGTGTAGCGCTGTGGGAGGATTGCGGACAATTATAGCTTATAGGGTCCATGCCTGCAGATACTATGTTGCGAAGGAATTGCCAGGGGCAAACGCTCGTGACTAATAGTATCTGCGCTTTTTGGATCGCGAACTTCAAGGTTGCGGTAGATCCATACATAAAGATTCCAGTATAACCAGGAAGACTCTCTGAAGTTGGCTACTGCATCCGGGCACTCAAATGACATATTGGGTCGATCTCTATCTTCTGGGTTACTGGCGATGAGTTGCCAAATCCCGAAGGGTTAAACGGGGCTGCTTAATAGGTTATCGCGGCCTTAGGCGGGCTGGGCTGTCAGACTGGCAATAACGGCAATTGCTAACACGGTGGGCCCCCCTTACATGGGCTTGAAAGGGCCTAACGCCTCCCCCCATGTTACTCTGTCGGCTCGGGTACTGGGTCCACGGCCTCAGTCATGCGCGTGAGGGCCCGTTTTGGAGGCTGCGCTGCACGGCTGTTAGCCTGTTCCTCTGCCGCTGCCTGCACAGCGTAGCTATGCTGCCCGCCTCCACCACCCGCCCCCTCGCTGTTCTCGTCATGCATTCTGTCGGCTTACCTTGCGGAATCCCTTCGCCTCCCTGTGCAGGCGGCTACGGTGCCGGGTACCCTGGATACAGTGCCGGCTATGGTGGCTACGGCCCAGGTGTGCAGGGTACTTGCTTTCAGCGTGCGGTTAAATCATCCCTCCGTACGTTACCTGTGTGCGGGGGCTGCTAGTGGATGCAAGGGACGGGGCGGATGGAGGGCCATGCTTGTTAACCTGAGCCACAGCTCTTAACGGACTGCCGTACTCAGCTTTGCCCGTTCTGCTCCCCCGCCGCGCCTGCAGGCTACGGCAACTACAACATGATGGGCTACGGCGCGGGCTACGCCGGCATGATGGGGTACGGCGGCTACGGCGGATATGGCGGCTATGGCTACCAGGGCCACCAGGGGCCGTACAGCAACCAAGGGTGAGACGGCGGAACTGTAGGACCCGTAACGAGAGCTTTAGTGCCGAAGCCAGTTGTGTTGCCTGATGGTTGGGCGCCGGGCGTCTGTGTACACCACGCGAGCAGTGCTTACGCCAGCGTGCGGTCAAGGTCATGTCCGGGCCACACGCCTACCTGGCGACGTGAGCAGTGTTCGCGCAAGCCCGCCTGGCTGCTTCTCATCACACCCGTTCAAACTGCTACTGTAACTGCCCGCAGTCCAGCCTTGCTTACCATGCACTACCCCTCCCATGTGCGTTTCCCCGACAGTGGCCGCGGCGGCGGCGGTGGCGAGGCGCAGTACTAAGCAGCTGCTCTGCAGCAACACCTGGCGGCAGTTCTGGGCCTTGGTCCCTCCTGTCTGTGTGATCGGGGGTGGTTGGAGCCCCGAGCAGCGGACGTCTAGCTGATACCTACCTTGCACTGCTGCTGTTTGGTTACATGGAGGGCAGCAGGCGGCTAGGCTGCCGCGCAGGGTTATGTGTGGCGGCGGAAACCAGCAGGGCGCGTCTCAGCCGGTGCAGCGGTACGGGGCAGGCAGAGTGCGGAGTGTGCTGGCAGCGTCCGGCCGGCACATCCACACGTACTATATGTTGGGAAGGCGGTGGCGTGCAGGGGCACGGCTTGTGTTCCCTGCAGTTGCAGTTGCTGTGGCTCCCATAACATCAAATTCTTTTGGTCCTTTCATGGTCCTTTCGTTTCGTATCAAGGATGGGCTTCAGGGGGCTTTGCATTTTCATAAAGCGCTGGGCAGGTGGCCAAAGGCGCAGCTGGGGCCCCAGGAGTTGCCGGGCATGAGCCTTGGGCGCTTGTTGAGGGACGCTTACGTGCTCGGTGTGCTGTCTGCACTGTTGTCTTTGAGGGGGTGCACGGCACGGAATGGGTGCATGACTGGGTAGCGCGGCAGCTGGGGCTTCGTGCCGCTTGGGCTTGGGATTGATGCTGCCACTTGCCGTCATGAGGGGCTGAAAGTCTGGCAAGGATTGGGATCAGCGTGGGTGGCTGTTGCTGCGAGCCCCGGCGTGACTCACCTGCCTCGTATGTATTGGCCCCTGCCTGGGTGGTGTGCTGCGTTGGGCACACATTCCGGGCGGGGGCCCGCCCGTGGGTGCGACCACATGGCAGCTGCCCGTGCCACGGTTGTGCGCGGGAGGCTGTCCCGCAGAGCTTGGGCATTGTGGCTTCGTCTCCCAATTGTCTTGTGACACTCATGCGGTTCCATGAGGGTCAAGTCACGTGTGTTGGTTCTTGTTTGCGCTGTTGTCGAGGAGGGTACTCCGGGGCGGCGCGCTCCGCTGGGGCCTGTCGTCTCGTGGGTTCCATGGCTTAAAGGCACATCAATGTCTGAATTCTTGTCCACCTCGGTCTGGTAAAATGATTAAAACTGAAAGGCCAATTGATTTCCAAATGTGTGGCTGGTTGTTGTTACGAGGTTTAGGGATGTCCTCCCCGCGTGCAGCGCCTGTCCCCACGCGGTGAGAGGGGCCCTTGAGAGAGGAATGAGAGAGAGAGCGTGCACTGTAGGTAGGTAGAGTTTCTTGTGTCGCCGGATGTTCGGTTAGATGGGTCATGTGCAATGGGACATGTGCTCACCCATGCGGGTTGGCTGAAGAGGGGCATGCATTTGGTGCTGGGGCTAAGCTAAGCGCCTAAAATTGGGCAAGTAGGCTAGGGACTTTACCATCCTTTGTAACTTGCTTCACTAACTGAAATTCCACATCTTCAACAACCCAGGCGTTGTTCCACATCCTCACCAATCAAGGCATTAATACCAAGCGGATACCTAAATAGCTACATTGAAAAGGACGTTCCGCCAGGCACAGCCTGGGGACTCTGCCTGCCTGAAGGCGATCACGCAACGTACTGTACACCCAAGCACCGGGTAATTATCAGGTCACATGCCGTACAATACCCCCGGCGTGTGCGCCAGGTCGGCTCACACGCCAATATGGGTGTGCACCTGCCTCGTGCATCGCAGCCCGCATGCACTCCCGCGCTCGCGCCCATACCACTCTTGCTACCGGTACATGCGTCAGTGCCTCTCTCGGGAGCTAACAACGTCCGGACGCCACTGCCTCCGCGCCTGAACCGCTTCTATCATGCTTACGTATCTGTTAGCCACGGTTTGTTGCCGATAATGAAAATCACGGGCCCATCACGCAAAAACTAGGCTAATCATCCGCACTCAAGCTCACACATCACTCTCAGCACGCTCAGCTTGCAAGTTTCCAAAATCCTACCGCTATCCACAGACCTGCCTCCCAGTCCCGCCTTCATCCCTAACCATCAGCGCCTGGCGCCCTCCAGCTCCCATGCTACTTTGCCACGTTCGTTGCTTCTCCCCTCTCTCCCCCTGCAGTGCACCGACCCTCATGCTTGCAGTGGCACCGCCACCCGCACCAGCCGGCTCTCCTGCGGGTTCAACATGGTCTGCTGCAGCTTCCACCCGCACCGCTCCGCCCGGGCTAGGAAGTCCGGATAAAGTGCCGCCACAACCGCCTGCGCGCGCACCATAGCCGTCCGCCAACACTCCGAGCCACCAGCCGTTGCATCTCCTGCCGTACACGCTCGCCCCGGCCCGAACTCGGACCCCGCTTGCGCGCTGGCTCTCCCCATGCACCGGCTCGCATCCTTCCCCCCCGTACACCCACCACCGCTCGCAGCACTGCGTGCGCCAGCTGTTGAGGACACCGCCCTTGTCGCCGCATCGGGTCTCGTTGCCCCGGGGCCGCCGACCGTGCTGGGTGCTGCTGCCGCAGCCCCCAGCGCCTGCCTGGCGGCCGGCTGCAGCGGCAGCCCCTCCGCGTCCAGCCTGCCCCCGTCCAACAGGTGCAGGAAGACGTGTCCGAAGAAGGAGGCCTGCAGGCAGTCCCAGCTGGTGGCGCCCTCGCGCAGCAACACGTAGGCCTTCCGGGTGTCGGGTCTGGAGCGGCGGTGTGCGGTGGGGTCAGCGCGGGGAGGCAAAAGGTTAGGGGCGGAGTGGAAGAAGGGGCAGCGGGCAGTAGGACACCGTGCACAACAGCTGTCAGCTGACTAACAAACATGTCTACTACCGGTACACAACAAGACAGCAACGTGACAGCCCTATCGCTTCTCGCCCACCTCCCCCGCCCCTCTCCCGCACCTGTAGGTCACCATGTATCCGTAGCTGCCCTGCCGGAACAGCCCCGCCGCGTAGCTCAGGTCCGCCGGCCCCGCGCACGCCGCCTCCACCGAGGCGCCCAGCACCAGGCGGCGCTGGTTGTAGCGGCCCCAGGGCAGCAGCGGCTCCTGCTGGTTGGCCTCCGCAACGCCCGGCACGCAACCATCGGTCAGGTAGCGGCGGGTGGCGTAGGCGAGGCGGGCGCGGTTCATGTAGGGCAGCTCCACACTGTCCACCTCACGGCGGGAGGACAGCAGGTAGCCTGGGGAGGCGGAGAGGGCGGGTCGTTTGACCACGACCGCATGCAACGTTAAGCCCCAACGTTCATGCTATCACTACTTTGTTGGTTTCGCATCCATCATATCCGTGACCTCATCAACGCAGCCGGCCTCTTTACCCCTCCCTTCCGCCCCCTCCTGCGCTCACCCGCAGACAGCAGCGTGAATGTCGCCACCGTGGGCAGCTTCACCCGCGCCAGCAGGATGCCCGCCACGGTGCCCAGGATGTCAGCCAGGTTGGCCACCGACTCGCCCTTGGCGGTGATGTCCGCCAGGTTGTTGGCGCGCGCAAAGGTGCGGTAGATGGGCGCCCGAGTGGCTGAGGCCGCCACTGCCGCCAGGTTCTTGGCCAGGTTGGCGGTGCAGGCCAGCGGCAGGAAGGCGGGCGGGGCGTACACGGTGGCCAGCTCCAGCGCCGCACCCGCCTCCATCAGCAGGTCGCCTGGGAGGGTGGGTAGGTGGGAGCGGGGAAGGCGTGCGGGTGTTGGAGGATGGCTATGCCGGATATGCCGGAGGAATCCAGCATGTACCGGTAGGTCTACCAGCAGCTGCCCTTCTCGCCTTCATAAGCTCACCCAACCCGCTACCGGCAGCCCAGCCTCACCGAAGAGGCGGAACTGCTTGAGCTCGCAGTCCAGCTCGCGGCCCCAGCGCGCGAAGAGCAGGCGGCCTAGGCGCCCCGCGCCGTCCTTGATGACCCAGTTGATAGCCGCCGAAGCCTCCCCGCTGTAGCGCCCAGCCACACCCAGCGCGCCCAGCAGGGACTGCGTCGTAAAGACGCTCATGGCGCCGCCGAAGAAGTACTGCACGCCACGCCAGAACATGTAAGGAGCATACTGAGGTGCAACGCTGTCCGGGAAGCCGTTGGGAAGGAGGTAGGCGTGGACGAGGGCATGGAAGTGGTCTTCGTGCGTCTGTCGCTCATCGACAATGTCAAATCCTTGCCATGCCAAGGATTCACGGCTGAGGTCCACGCCGTTGCGGGGCATGTATACGCGACGACGCCGACCACCTATTGACTCCACGGCCAAGCTCCCCGTGTCGTCGACCTGCCCTTGCTCCTTGACGACATGTCGGTTGGATGAATGTTGCGTCGACGGTTGAAAGCGGGAGTGTTGATCACCTTGACTGCCGTAAGCTTGCTGATGCGAAGGTGGAGAGCACGGGCTTAGCGACTGCTGTTGCTTTTGCTCTTTCGGCGAAGCGGTGGGTGCTGAGCTGGCATCCAACCTCCCAGAACTGTCGGTCACCGACACAGTAACATGAGGGCAAATTAAGGCCAGAAGTTGCGCGGATGCAGTTGGAATCTGCCAGTCGAATTGCAGTCGCTGCTGTTCCCCTGTTGCTGTCGGAGCGCCGCCCGGCAAGGAAATGGACGCCAAGACAAAGCGTTGCGAAGACATCTGGATGCTTACTGGATTCAGTCACAAGAAAGTTTATTCATAGAACGGGCGTTTGCACAGAGGGGCTTGTTAACGCTTGCAACATGTGAGCCATTAGTTTCTTTAAACCAACCCAAGTCAAGAAGCACAGGGCTGCTAGTGAATTGGACGTTTGGCTATATCAAAAGAGTTATGGGACCCTTGCTTACATGTCATCTCAGGTAGTACGGTAAAGCAGTAATGTTGCAGATAGACACGAGGACTCCAAAATTTTTTCGCAACAGACTTCGTTGCAGGCATACATAATCAACATGGATTCCGATGAAGGCCTTGAAGTTCGCCAGCTGCAGGCATCGGATTACGACAAGGGTGAAGCGGAACACGCGCGAAGTCTGCCGTTGCAGGTGCCACACCTAACGCACGTGCTCTCGCCGGTCTACAGGTTTCCTCGATGTGCTTGCACACTTAACGACCGTGGGAGAGGTTTCTCGGGATCTGTTCGAAGGTCGGTGCGTACTTACCTGCCTGAACAGCTTTGCCGATTGCCTGGCCCCCAGATCCCCCAAGGCACTACGTGCATGCCGTTTTCCCATAACTGCAAATGCAGGCACAGCTCCTCTGCATGGCCGCGCATCTCCTCTGTACTACTGCACGCAGTAAAAATACCTGACACGGCCCCGTGTTGTCCCTCTCAACAGAGCAGCTTCGGCGCAGGGACGCGGATGGGAGCTATCGCACGGTAGTTATAGAAGGCAAGCCACGAAGAGGGCTACTCAGCCTCGCTGCAGACCTGCATTGGACATGGCAAACCACTCGCACCTCCCCATGCCCAACCCTAACTTGGCCTCCTGGTTGGGTTGACGCATGATGCCTGGTACCGGAAGCGGCCCACTCGAGTTGCGCTGAATCCCACAGGGCCGTTGACTGGCTGTTGTAGTGCCTTGCACATCCTGCATGTCCCCTTCCGCACGCCCCTTAGCTGCATGTCATGGTCGCATCCAGGCTCTCTGCAGTACCCTTCGCAACCCCACCCCCTCCCCACCCCTTCCCCTTCCACTTTGTCTTGTGGCACCCTGCCAACTCCTACCACCATTGCTTTGCCCTAACTTGTGGTCTCCTATGGTTTGGTATGGTCTTTGACACTCCTTCCTGGCCCCAGACGGCGGGCGCATCGTGGCGACTGCCGCCATGGTCATCGAGCTCAAGTTCATTCACGCATGCAGCAAGGTACGGCAGCGGCACGGGAGCGGTTAAGCAGGAAGCCTAGCTGTGCGTCAAAGGTCACATGGCTGGGAGTGTGTGGCTCGGGTGGCGTTCGGGAAAGGTGGGAGGAGGTCATGAGTGGTTGAAAAGGATGGCAGAGGCAGCTACTCCCCCTGCTGACCATTGCTGCGGCGAGGCATGTGGCGACCTGCATGCGATGCGATGTGGCCTGCATGTGAGGCTCCACAGCGACCCCGCTAGGGCGTTGGCAGGATGTCCTGTCATTGCCCTTCCCTAAGGCTGGTCGTTATACCCGCCTTCCCTCACATGGCAAGCACCTGTCCACCCGCCATCCTTCCTGCTCCCCACCCTGCTGTGCTGCTGCCTGGTTGCCGGGACCTCTGCTGGTGTGCGCCTGCTGGCGGGTGCAGGTGGGCCACATTGAGGACGTAGTGGTGGACCCCGCCTACCGGGGCAAGAAGCTGGGAGCAAAGTAAGCAGGGGTTGGAAAAGGAAGGCGGGGGCGGGCATGCAAGTGGAGGGGCGGCCGGCATGTGGCACCCGGCTGGCTCTTTCAAGGCGACCCATGCAAATTGCGCTGGCAGCCTGGTCATCATTTCAACCTGACAAGCTCTAAAGCCTCTCCTTACCTCGCCGCCAATCCAACTCTCCGGTATGTCACCTGGCGGCACCCTGGCGGCAGGCTGATCGCTGCGCTGGTGGACGCGGCTCGCGAGGCGGGCTGCTACAAGGTGATCCTGGACTGCGCGGAGGCCAACGTGGCGTTCTACGAGAAGTGCGGCCTCACACGCAAGGAGGTGCAGATGGTGAGGACAGATGGTGTCGGCCGCCGGGAGGGGGGCAGCTCAGCTGCGTCTTGAGGAAGCGGTGATGAGAGCTATCGATAACCGCTGCCAGCGTCGGTTATGCGCGTGGTGTATCATTTGAGGGTGCTGCTTTCCATGGCTGCATGTACCACGCCAACGTTGCTTGCTGGGGACGGTGGGCGACATTGTTTCTCAGACAGGTTGTGCACACGTGCGCTCCGTCCTATAGGCTCTGACATGGCCATGGAGGCACAACAACACCCGCCTTTGCAACCCCACATGTCCGCAGGTTCGCTACCTAGACCGCTGAGGAGCAAGATGTCCACCGGCATGGCTCGGCCAGTTGATTCATGGCAATGCCCGTGTACTGGGCCAGTCATGAAGTCATGAATATCTTTGGCAAGGGACGAAGCACGAGGGCAATACCGGTACACAAAGATGCTGGTGCCGTCTGGTCCTGCGGGCCTGTCTGGCACGGGTACATGCTGCTAGGCTTGCGCATGCAACCGGAACCTGAACTGGGCAGGGAGTTCCCTTAACGCACCCGGGATGCTCACTGCTTAAACGGAACATTGCTCTTCGCAATCGCGTGAGAATTGCCGCGACTGCCGCTTCTCCTTAGGCTTTGCCTGGTATCTCTGCTGCGTTTGGGGGTCGTACATACCGTACAGCCCCTTGAGGCGGCCTGCCGACGGACCTGGCAGACACTAGCCCTACGTCCTTGAGTGTCCGTGGCCCGTCTGGCCATATAATAATAATAATAATAGTTACGCCGGGCAAGCCCTGGCGTGGATTAAGGGGGTGAGGCACTGAAGGGGGTCAGCCCTTGGATGCCAGCACCACCGTCAACGTGGTCAGAGATCGCATGTGTCCTTATCCCTCCTCTTGGAGGGTTGCTCGTGGGTTGTTTTCTAGCACCCTTCGGCACCTGACTATCTTGTTGAGGTGGGTAAGGGCGTGGTGGTGGAGTGCTTCGCAGCACTTTGTGGCTTTGCTTGGGGTGACTCCCAAGTCTATGAGGGTTTTTCGAAGGTCTTTGCGGATGGTGCCTCCTACTCCTAGGCTGATGGCCTCCTGGGTGGTGTATTGTACGGTCCATCCGTCCGCCCTGAGTAGTTCGGCAAGGCGCTTGTGCTGGTCGGCCTTCTGATGCTGTTTGTCAGCATGTCTGAGGTCTCCCGCGTAGCCTATCTCGAGGATGTGAATAGTGTAGGGTTTCGGGTTTCGTGTGCGCTTCCGGGGTTTCTGCATCGTGTTATTGCTGGCTGGCAGGCCCTGTATGATTAGAATGTCAGGTCTCATCTTGTCCCACTCTGATGCTTCGGTGTGTGGGGGTCGGAGCCATTCGGGGAGACGTTTCCCCGCGATGTACTCTGGGAGATCTTCTGCTTTTCCCGCGTCCATGACCATGTAACTCCCTCCGTGCTGCCCCTTGTGTATGGCATCCGCTACAATACGGACGGCTCCGTCATGTCTTGTGCAATACATCCCGTGCATTCGCGGGTCTTTGCAGCCACCCAGGATGTGGCCCCCTGAGTCACATACCTTACGGCATACGGGGCAGGGGGGTCCGTGCCCACGGTCCTCGGGTGGGGTGTCCGTCTGGCCATACACAATGTACCGGTACTCGTGTACGGATGTAGCTTAAACGGATTTGAGGAGTGGCTTGACTTGCTGAGCAAGAGGTACTGAGCGCTGGGCCTAGAACACAGCTGCCTTGGTACTTTAATCATGACGAGTGGGTGACAGCTGGTGGGAGGCAGTGCTGTGGACCTCAGCGGGGGCAACACCCCATTTCTGCCGGCGACTGTTGCGAACGCATGCCGTTTGTGGGTTCCGTTTCTGATCGGGGCGGTCAGGTGCTGGAGGTGTGGCAGGTTCGGCGTAAAGGGGCATGTAGCAGTGCAAGTGACGAGTCGCACACAGATAGCAGCTGTAACAGCATCAAAACGCCGCTAAACATGCTATGTAAACGACCATATCCGTTGCATTGGCCGCTGCAACGTCCTTCCCACAAGGAATGGGTCCAAGTGAGGGTCAACGTCGGAGGTGGCGGACTGCGCACCGTAGGTGGTCTCACGGTTGGGGCAATGTAAACCCACGACTCCGACTTTTCCTGGTGACAAACTGCTTATAAATGAAGCTCCCACGATTACATCGGTTGGGGAACGGTGTTGGGCTCAGTTGTGTCTCGTCCATGTTCTGATGTAAGTTGACGCGCGAAACGTCGCGAGGAGAGGTTAAGAGCGCTTATCTACGCTCGAGGCATTCTATGGTTTAGAATGCAAGGCATATCAATAATACAGCAACAGCTGGAAGCCACTGTTAAAGCCAATCCCTTGAACTGTACGGAAGCGGGGTATTTTGGTTGTGTCTCAGCTGATGAATTTTTCCAAGGCCACTGAAGTTCACTTAGTATACCTAAGAAGACTTGTAGCAGTATCCAAAAGCGTAAAGACAAGCTCCTCGGGCTGAGCCGCGAGTGAGAAGGAAAGGTCCTCAGGCCTACAGGGCGAGCGCGGCGCCCTTCTTGGACGCCCGCTGAAGCCAAGATGAACCCCGAGTAGTAGGTCTTAGCTAAGGAGTGGTTCCTTGCTGCCTAAGAACCCGCTCTGACGCGATCCCTTTATTTGTCTTGCCAACGCTCGACTCCAGCGACTATCTCTTCAAGGTAGGCCTACTAAGTGGTCTGTATGCACGTCTATGGTTTAGGTGTCAAAGCTGACGTATATTTGTTGCGCGCAGCTTCTGCTCATCGGCGACTCCGGCGTGGGCAAGTCGTGCCTGCTGCTTCGGTTCGCCGTAAGCTTGCAGCTTTTACGGAGACAACAGTACCCGTGGAATTTGTGTGATATCAATCTTTTGGCTGTTTGGCGCGCAGGATGACACCTACACCGAGAGCTATATCAGCACCATCGGCGTAGACTTCGTAAGATATGCCCGTGTGGATTATCTTTTTGCAGTCGATTGTGTTACATCATCAAGCCTTATCATCTAAATGCAGAAAATTCGCACCGTGGAGCTGGATGGGAAGGTGATCAAGTTGCAAATCGTGAGTATGTTTTCCCCTGGGGCTTAAAACGTTTGGGAGAACTACGTAAGCTCGCACCTCCTGTCCGTAAGGCGTGTCTGTGGTGACTAACTGCTGTCCTTTGCAACTTATGCAGTGGGACACGGCTGGCCAGGAGCGTTTCCGAACCATCACCAGCAGCTACTACCGCGGCGCTCACGGCATCATTGTAAGCAACGTGTATTGCAGGGGGACCACGGGTATTAGCGGTTAGCTTACCCCTGAAGTACACCCCGCAGGTCGTGTACGATGTGACCGACCAGGAGAGCTTTAACAACGTCAAGCAGTGGCTCAATGAGATTGGGAGGTATGCCAGTGAGAACGTCAACAAGTTGCTCGTTGGCAACAAGAGCGATCTGACGTCGAAGAAGGTGGTGGACTACCAGGTGGCGAAGGTGGGTCTTGCAAGGGTGTTGCGCGTTAGGGTTTTGCTTGGAGCACAAGGGTACATGGATTAAGATGCGGCTCTCCTACAAGCCATAAGGGTCTTCCCCTGAAGCTCTCAGCCGCCTGCGTGTGCTCCCACAGGCTTTCGCCGACGAGATTGGCATCCCGTTCCTCGAAACTTCGGCTAAGAACGCGACGAACGTGGAGCAGGCGTTCATGACAATGGCGGCGGAGATCAAGAACAGGTGCGCGGCGCGAGGGGAAGCAGCCTTGTCAACTTCATTGGTGGAGTTCATTGGTGGGGTAAAGATGACCTCCTCCCTTTTCAAACGGCCCCTTGTTGTATACCCTAATGAAGTACCGTGCTGAACATACACAATATTATGCACAAAGGAGGCCCAGTCCTGCAGCGTTAACATGATTCGTCGTCGTGGACTCGTGGAAACGGATGTCAGGCAGCCACCCCATGTATGGACACCCCGTCCTACGGAGGAACGAGAGTGCCTGCTAAAGCCTTGTCCAGATGTTTGAAACCCTTGCATGTTAGCAGAATGCGTGTTGACAGATGTGTAACATGTAGTGTGACCGCGGTTTATATTGGCACGCCCTTGAGTGCATCCAGTCAATGCAAACTAATTGACAGATATTCCTCGTGCCCCCGTCCTCCCCACCGGGCAGGATGGCGAGCCAGCCCGTCCCCCAAAAGACCGGCGGCCCGGTGGTGCGGCCAACGGAGGGCAAGCCGATTAACTCTAAGTCGTCCTCTTGCTGCTGAGCAGCTCATGGAGCGTTACCGGAGAGCAGCCTGAGTGGAGGAGCGAATTAGGAGCGGTGTGCGGTAGTTGTTTAGGGTGGGTGGGTTGGGTATTGGGTTACCGGCAGCGGTGTGGAGACCTGGCGTATGCCAGTGGTATAGAGTTCTAGGTGCGGTGGAGGCTGCCCTTCCATGGGTCGCACAGGAAGGTCAAAACCAGCATGCATCGCATGACCCTGTAACTTTAACGTGACTGATGTTACGCGCGATGCGCAAGTTCGCTGCTCTGCACCCATTGTCCGGGTCAGGGCCTGTTGCCCCTCTGTAACTAATGAGCGAGGTTACTCCCGATCCTGGAACGATGCGTGCTATCATTGCCTCTTAAAATCGGGCGTGGCATAGCATAGGACACTAGAATGCAATCGTGGTTCTCCGAAGCTCTAGCGCCCTGACAGCTCCAACCAGGCCTGCTTGGGTCTGTCGACGGGTTGGTGGTTTCTCCTGGCTCTGCAATGGGCCAGAGTTCCGCCCCGACTACCTAAGCCCACATCCTAGGTCTTAGCTAACACGTCGCAACCCGGCGACACGACGGCTTGGTGGACAGCAAGTAGACCTCTGGCTATGACGCCGATGGTTACAACAGCTGTTGCTATTCGCCACCGAAGCGGTCGTACACGTTCACTTATAACGAGCCCGGCAGCGCATTGACCATTTAGAACTAACGCAGGTCCGCACAGCAGCGCCGTCAGGATTCTTATTGGGCGCATGCCACTCCATCGGCGGCTCAGCTGGCTGGCTCCGCGGGTCGGCCCTCCTGGCCACGCTCCGGCAGCAGCGCCAAGGCCTCCCCATCCACCACCACCACACCGCTGTCCCGCAGCACTGCTGCTGTGGCGAAGGTGACGCGCCGGCCGCTCACGCGCCGCACCGTCACGGTTGCAGTGACTGCTTGGTCCACCTGCGTACGGCAGTTGGATACATTGCCGGGCGCCAAATGGTTTCTACACAGGTGGCAAACCACATTGGTAAGCAGGCGTTGCCCCGCCCTTTCGTAACCCATCTCATAATAAGCATGCAGGAAAGTCCTAGTCGGGCTTTCCAGGCCTCCGTATGCACAGGGTGGAACTCCCTCCAGCCCCAACGCCCTGCAAGCCCAGCGCCCCTTAACCCTCACCAAAGCTGGTGCTCGGAAGCGTAAGCTCTGTGACAAGTACACCGTTCCAGGGAAGCTTGACCCAATAATGGCCGGGAAGAGCGAGGCCACAAGGATGCCGGGGAGGATGGGAGCTGCGAACCCTACACACCAATTTCTGATGCATTAGGGAGAAGGCGTAGTGCCTAATTAACGTTATCAATTTTCCAAACCTGATGCAAGAGCTGCTTGCTTGTCTGTATGAATTGGGTTGGCGTCGCCGGTCAAGGATACAAAGCTCTGAACGGCCTCGGTACCAAAAGTTTTTGTTTCCGACGCCTCAGACCTATATCGATACATGTATGTAAACCATAGTTATCATTTTTAATGATAGCAACCTCAATTGGACTGGAATCGTAGCATCGAACGCACCCGACGTGGAGTAAGCGATGCCCAGGCCTGCACCAAGGCGTTGAATGCCGTGCTAGGCGAGCGAAAACAGACGCCATGATGCACTAGCCATGCTGTATGGTTTCATAGCTGGGCTAACGCGAGGACGTATAAGCTACGTATGTACGTGTGTGTACGGCAGCAGTCAGGCGTTAGCGCGTTACAGGAGTTCCTGAAGCTACCCCAATTCTTGAAGTTCCGTTCGGAAATTCCTTCACCAAGGCCATCAACATGGTAAAACAGCAACTGGGATAACATTGCCGACCAGTGAACACGCCATACTATGCCGGCCTCTTGCTCAGGGGTCTCTATCCCATCAACACTTGACATCCTGGACACACGACCTCCTGCTCCTGAACTACATTGGCCTGGTGGGGCTCGGACGCAGCCAAACCAATGCCTAGAACTTGACATACTGTAAAACCAAAATGGTCCTGATGAACATAGGGGTAATATGGCCCTTGCCGACAGGACTGGACACGAGTCCCTCCCAGCGCCGTACTTGTCTGCAACCCCAGCCGGAAAAGGCATTGACAGCGACGAATCCGGCTGGCAGCAACAGCAAGCAGAGGTGCAGTGCGGTACGACAATCCGCGGGCCTTGTACATTTCAAACCGCTCAATGGAGCAGGGCGTCTACCTCTGCCGACAAGTACTCCAACATGCCACTCGACATGCTTTCTCCTGCGTTCGTCTCTCACATTAATTCTAACAACACAAAATTGCACGGGGCCAAGCCAACATCGGGCATTGCAGCTACCGCTTTTAGGGCCTCCGCAGTTAGCCGGTCGTACTCATGTGGGATGGTGTTGACTTCCCAACCCTTCTCAATGCAGTCCTCCCTGCTAGCTACGCACTCCACTCCCTGCTACTACATAGCTAGACGTCCCTCCGTGCGGTCAGAACCGTTCGGAGAATGCACGATGTTCTTCATTCTCCAGCTCCTCAAACCCCTCTACCGTCACTGATCCCATACCGCAGCCCACGACACTCGAGTAAACCAGTAAAAGAAAACATCATTTGTCCCACAGCACCAAGCCGACTGTGGTTCCCGTGGCAGCCTCCGACACGGGGCTCCGCACGTCCTATCCTATGCACGGAACTACTTACCAGCCATAATCATTGTCCCAGACAACCCATGGCCGTCCTTCTTCTACGCCTCTCAGGCATCTGCCTCCTCGCGAATGCAGGTTGGACCTCAAACCCCACTCGTGCCCGCATCGTGCCCAACTCACTACCTTTCGGATGCCGCCTGCATGCGCAGGTCCCCATCCTTCGCTCCACTGCTGCAGCCCCCTACTGCCCCGCACCCGCCTGTATCCTCCTCATGTTCCAGTGCAGCCCTTCGCGCACGCCGCTAAACCAGTCTCGCGAGGCGTCCTTGGAGCACACCGTGGGCACCGGCCAGGCGCTCATGCGGATCACCACCGCGTCCCCCGCGTTCAGCGCCTGCCGGTCCTTGCCGTCGAAGGAGCACCACATCTGGGCGCGGCTATTGGCGGGAACCTGGAGCAGGAGGGAAGCGGGGGTGAGCGGGCGACAGGTTTACACATGCGAGGTGATGTGAGGAGCTCTCGCAGCCCTAGTGCACTCCTTACGTCAGCGTGTGGCCATGACCAGTGCACAGTCGTGCATCCGACATGACAAGGGCGCTGTTGTAGTGCCACCCCAACCTAAGAACCCCTCTAGCGCCCGACTTTGCCCTATCCGCCTCACCTGGACGCACAGCGACACATGGTCGGGAAAGATGAGCGGCCGGAAGGACAGGCTGTGCGGGCAGATGGGGGTAAACAGAATCCCGGGAACCTGCGGGCAGCAGAACAAGGGGAAACGTGTTGTTGTCAGGGAAGGTGCAAGTGAGGATGCGGGTAGGGTAACAGCGGCAAAGCCTGGCCAGGAGCCAGCCGTCGCACGGGCGACAGGGCGGACTAGTCCCCGGTAATGAGCGCGCGCGCCAGGTAAGCCCTTCCCTGTTGTCGGCCCCCCCCCCGCACCTGCGGGTGCACCATGGAGCCCCCAGCTGCCAGGTTGTAGGCGGTGCTGCCCGTGGGGGTGGCCACGATCAGGCCGTCACCCTGACGTGGTGGGAAAGCAGGGGAAAATTTGTTGTTGCAGGAGGAGAAAGACGGAAGAAGGACGGAAGAAAACAACGGATGAAGAAGGACGGAAAGGGAACGGGAGAACCAGCAGTTGAGGGCAGATCCTAGCCCCCCCCGTCATGAAACGCCCCTCCGACCGTCTCGTCTCCCACAAGCGCAGCACCCTGCCCCAGACCCCCAGTCCCAGCTGCCCACCTGCACATGCGTGACGAAGGAGCCGTCGCAGTAGCACTCCAGGTTGGTCAGGAAGGAGGAGATGCCCCGGTCAATCACCACCTCATTCAGCACCACCCACTCGCGGGAGCAGCTGGGCTCAGCAGCCGGCCCGCCCGCCGCGTCCTCGGTGAGCGAGGCGGTGCTCTCCGCGTGGTGGTGGCGCAGGTCGCATGCGGGGGCGGGGGCGCCGCCGCACACCGCGGGGCAGGAGGAGCCCGACCGCACGATGTGGCAGTGCAGTCGGTGGCGCAGCATGATGGGGAAGCCGCCTGCAGGGGCGTGTGCATGGACGTGCAGGGGGGCACCGGGCAATGATGAGTACCGGTACTGGTGCTTGAAAATGCTCTACTTAAAACCACAGCCACGACGCTCAACCGCCCGCAGAACTCCCGGTACCCTCTCCTCCAGGCCAGCCCAACCATATGCCCCAGCCGGCCGCACCCTCCATAACGTGGTCCAGCACCGACTCCACGCTGCCCTGGTCGAAGGGCGTGAGGAAGCCCAGCGAGCCCAGGTTGAAGGGCACCACCGGGGGCACGCTCTGGTTGCCGAAGATGTGGCACGTCCACAGCACGGTGCCGTCGCCTGCGGAGCGGAGGTGCAGCTAGGAGGTCAGCCAACGTGCGCACACTGCAACGGACTAGTCTCTGGGTTTAACCCACACTCGCACAATGGCATCCTCGACAGCCCTCACCCTGTTCCTCCCCACGCACCTCCCAGCACCACCACAAAGTCCACCGCTGCAGCCACCTCCGGCGGCACCAGACAGTCGCCCTCGTCCTCCTCGTGCGGCCAGCTCAGCAGCTGCGGCACGTCGGTGAAGCAGCCCGGCATCGGCGCCTCGCTGTCCTCCGACAGCTCACTGCTGTCCGACTCTACAACCGTCCCCAGCGCACCGCCGCACCCGTCCTCCGCCGGGGCCGCCGTCACGTCGCCCGCATCCGAGGCTGCGGCCTGTGTCCCCTTCCCCCTCATGCGGCACTCCAGCCCCAGCTCCCCGCGCAGCATGGAGGGCTCCACGTAGGTTGCCACCCCGCGGTCCCGCAGCCACTGCAGCACCCGCAGCAGCGCGGGGCGCACCGAGGGACTGGGCTTGGCCACCACCAGCGCCGCAGCGGGCGGGGTCACCCAGTAGAGGGCCACAAAGGCGGGCTCGGGGCTCACGGCTTGGCAGGTCTGGCAGGAGGGGGAGGAGCTGCGGGTGGGGCCGGTGGTGTCCGGAGGCGTAACCACCACGTCTGTAGGCGGAGTGGGGACAGCCTCTGGGGGAGAGGGCGTGGCAGAAGGAGCAGCGGCCACGTCCGTTGGGGATGCGCTGGCCGTTATGGCTGGGGCCTTCAGCCGCTCTTCTTCCTCGGACGCTGGCACTGCTGCGGCGACGCTTTCGGCAGCCGCTGCGGCAGTGTCCAAAGCAGGACCAGACATCGTGCGCGGGATGGGACGAGGAACAGCTCCACCGGCGGACCTACCGCCCTCCGTGACATTTCCAGAGTCGCTGCCGCCGCTGCGGGCTAGCCTCCCCGACATGACCCCTCGCTCCGCACCCGGAGCCGCCCCTGCGGCAGCCGCAGCAGCCGCGGCAGCTGAGCCTCCGAACGGCGACGCCGGCTGCGCATACGGGTACGCCCCCACCGTCTCCCGGCGGATGACGGAGCCCATGGCGGGCGATGACGTCAGCGACTGGGGCCGCGGCGAGCAGGGCGCCAGATTGCAGGTAGCGCGGTTGGAGCGGATGAGGGCACTGGACTGCTGGATGGAGTTCAGGTCGTCCTGCAGCTTGGAGAGCTGCTTCTGCAGGCTGCCTGCATGCCAGGACATGTCGTCGGAGTACTGGGGCAGGGACACGGTCCCGCCGCTGCTGCCTGCAGCGCCCGCCCCTCCGGAGCCCAGCGGCGCCAGGTTGCCCTTGTGCAGCAGGTGCGCAGGGAGGCTATCCCGGCGGGCCACAGCAAGGCCCACCGGCGCCGTCGCTGCGGGCGCCGAGGGGTGCAGGCGGGCGACGCACACGCTCTGCGTGCGACCCACCGGGCCGGCCGGCGGCAGGGAGGCGCCGGTGTGCGATGCGGAAAGCGGGCCCCGATTTGGAGCCGAATGCGGGCCGCTGGAGTCCTGAGCGGGGCCTGCCGGCTCCAAGGCCTCCGGGTGCCCGTGCGTGTGGTGGTGATGGTGGTGGTGAGCGTGGGTATGTCGGCGGCGGACGGGATGGTGGTGGTGATGATGGTGGTCATGGCGGTGGTGGTGCTGTTGCTGCTGCGCCTGCTGCAGTTGGATATCCCTGTCGGTGTCCGGAAGCGGCTGGGAGAAGTCGCTTTGTGATTGCTGGGATCCAGCGCTGGGAATGTCCAGGGGATCAGAGCGCCGCCGGAAGGGCTGCGCTTCACGGTAACTGGAGTCAGGGGGTTCCGCGTTTGGCACCGCCAGACCCGGCCCTGGCTCAGACACAGAAGTTAGGATTCCGTCATCTTCACCGGCCCGAACAAATTGCTGCATTGGATGAATTGCCTGGTTAGGGACCTGCCCCTGCTCGTCGCGTTGCTCCGTGCCTGCGGAAGACGAGGACACCTGGGCCTGCTCCCGAAGCAGCTGCTCAGGATGCGCCTCCTGCTCGAGGCCCCCGTGCTGCTGTTCCTGAGGGCCCGGCTGCAGGAGCCCTGCAAGCTCCTGCTGCTTATCCCATTGCTTCGGTTCGCCCAGCTGCGTGTGTTGCGCGCCTGGCGCTTCCTGTTTCAAGTACGGTACAGGCGAAGCGGCCCGGCCTGCCCCCGTGACCTCCGCCTGGAAGCTAGCGGCTGCTGCGGGTGCCTCCGCTTCCAGGTTCAGCTCCGCGGGCGATGAAGCCCTGGAGGACTGCTCTGCCAGCCCTGCGCTTGACGCGGAGTGGGTGCGGAACCCCAGGGGCGTTTTAGCAAGCGCGGAGCCCCTGCCGGGCAGCCTTCCCAGCCCGTCGCTGCTGCGGCCGCCCAGGGTGAGGTCGCCCATGGAGTAGCTCTCGTGCACCTGAGGGGGCCCGCCGCTGCCGCCGGACGCCGTGCTAGGGAACATGGCGCCGTACGTCGACAGCTGTCGAAGGCTCGCGGCGTCTCCTGCGATGCATTGCCAAGGGTTTTTGCATCCATCCTGTTGCTCTTGTGAGCTGGAACCCCAGCCATGCATGATACAAGTCTCCCATGACTGTATCTCTTTCCAGCCCAAGGCTGTGCGAATGCTAGGTACACCCCTGCCCACAATACGGGTACCGTACAATAATGCCCCTCCGCTATCCCATCGCCAAATCCATGCCCACAGACTCGCCATGTGACCGACTGCCCCCGGCCTTTCAGGCACACACCAGCAGCACCGCCTAAGGTAATTCCATGCCGTGCTCAGCCCCAAACCGTTAAGCTCACCGTTGCCGCCTCGCACGACCAACTTGAACCCAGCACGGCCGTGGGCTCTGCTGCTGCTGCTGGCGCCGCCGGTCGCCATATTGCTGAGGCTGCTGCTGCTTCTGGCGCGGATACCGTCATCGTGGGCAACAGCGCTTTCATCGCCACCGCCTCCCGAGCCTCGGCCTCCGAAGCTCCAAGCCGCGGAGAGCTCTGGCGCCCTTTGCCCCGTTGAGGTGGCCGAGCCAAGGGATGCACCCCGATTACCTGGCCACATTGCAACAATGGCTACGGCGCCGGCGGCTGCCGCTGCTGTGGCGGCAGCGCAGCTGTCGCTTGTGTTGTTTTGGGCAAGGGATGTGCCTGTAAAAGTCATACAGGAGCACATAACCAGCATGGGTGGCAAAAGGTAACCAGATGAACAAGGCTGGAACCCCGGTTGTGCGGTTCCAACAGAGTGGCCCATGGTTCGCGGGCGTCCGGCCATGCTCAAGATGTATGGAATCGGTATCCGGTGTTCTGCCGTGCGCCCTTAAGCTTTATCATGCTCTCGCGCAAGATCTCACCCGTGGCGCCCGATGCGTTTGCATTATTGCCAGCTCCCGGGCCTGAAAGGGCTACCGCTAGAGCCAGCAGGGAGCCGAACTGGCATACGGTTGCGCTGGGCTCCTTGCTGCGGATATTGAAACCGACATCGTACGTTAAGGCTGTGGCCGAAAGCCTCCGAGGGTCCTTTCAGGCCTAAACAAATTGCTCAGCGTGCGCACCTTTGGCGAACGCTCAGGCATAATGATGGTTCCCTTGCAGAGTTGCTGGATCTCGTAGCCAACATACGCCTTAGCCGTGCGTTGCGCTGTTCTAGCTCCAGCACCCTGACAACGAAGCCATGGCGGTGACGCACCTCCCACACGCCAAGAATAACAGTGGCACAGCAAGTTCATTTGCATACATACTTTGTTCGCCAAGCTTCGCATTGGACACGCAGGCGGCTAGCTTCCTGCTCGGACTTGACAGACTGCTGTCGGCATGCACTGACGACATTTAAAAGCTCTGCGACAGCAGGTTTAGCGTTATGGCGCAATAAGGAGCAAGGGAACCGTATGTGCTATGGCAGCGGCTGTTTACCCTGCAGCGTTTCCTTTGCCTTGACCTCTAGGTCCATTGTGACTCTTCTGTTCGCACTACTACCATATTAGCTACTAGCAACGTTGTAAGTGAAGCGTGCAGCGTGATTCCTTGATTGCAATCTTTCGTTACGGCCATTAAGGCGTGTACGGCGATTTCCTCAAAATTTGGGGCCACGGACCATGTCTCACAACTCATACAATTTGGATCGCTGAAACACCATTGTGGTAGGGATTGATTTAACGCCGTAAGACTGCAGGGTCTACATCATTGCGCACTGGTTCCCTTCCTTTGTCGGTTGAAACAGGGTTATAGGCACGTAGCCTCCGCCGGGGAGTCCTTGGACGCATGGAATTTCTAGATCGATTGAAAAGATGTTACACGCATGCATTGTCTGTGTAGGTCCACGTAAGCGTATTGGCCAGGGCCCAAGGCCTTTACTGTCGAGTTGCAGGAAATGGACACGTACGGAGTACATGCACGCTACGTTGAATATCCGAAGCCACATATTAACAGGTTTGGCACTTATTACCGGTATGCATTTATCGCAGTGACATATGCTGTACTCCGACACGAAGTATGCGCAAAGCAGCGCAAAGAATCACATTATGTAAGGTTATGATGCGGCAACAAGTGCCGTGCAAAGCGTCGCATGCCGTGCGCTGTCACATATATTATTGTCGTTGTAGAGCGGAACACAAAAAGATGGGGGTGCCTGGCCACAAATGTAGGCTTTGTGGGCAAACCCGGGTCGCCCCTTATGTAGTCCCAACGGCATAGAATCACGTCATGCATCAAACCTTAGCTGTTCACGCATCGTTCCCTCGGGGAGATACCGTTTCCCCAAGGATGCAATCGGAAAAACGTTATGAATAGATATACTGCTTGGTATCCAGCAGCACTCGCAGCACCGTCATGTCCTTGCAGCGTGTGGTCATGGCGGTCATGTCAACCGTCTGCGCCCAGGCCGCTGTCCACGAGGGCAGCCACCAACGGGCAGCGGCCTCGGCACATGCGGCACGCTGCGGGCCGCGCAGGAAGTCCGTCAGCGTTTCGGTGTTGGCGACAATGGGGGCGCGCGCCGGCTCGGACGTGGTGGCAGGTGCCGAGGTTGGCGTGGGGGTGCTGCCGCTGCCGCTGTTGGGCTTTTGGGTGGTGACCGGCGCAGAGGTGGGCGTTGGTGTCGGTTTGGGCTTGGTGACGGGGCCGTCTAGATACACGTTATACCTGCAGCGACAATAGGAAAGGTTGGATAAACATATTCATTGTCTACGAAGGGGGAAAGGATGTCCTGCAGCAACCCGCGCATGCAAACTCACCCATCGTCCCACACGTTGCCAATTGCGGCGTTCCAGAACATAGCGCCAACCATGGGGCCGCCGGTCTGCTTCATCCACTGCATGTTGTCCGCTACCAGACGGAAGAGGAGCACCCGCTGCTCAATGGTGTACTCACTGCGGGCGGGAAGGTGATGGGGTATGACATGCGAAGTTGTCCAGGGTCTTCATACGGAACGCGACCGCATTCGATGCCGGTACGGTAGGTTGCAAAGCATGGGGCTCTGTGGACAGCATGGTTGGCGCTATCTCCGCGCATGCGAGTAGACTGTGGGAGCAAAATCCACGTCTGGCGCACGACAAACCAAGGCCAACTTCCTCCCCAAGTAACTCACGGCAGAATTAGGCCAAACTCCTCCAGAATAAGTGGCTTGCCGAAGTCGGAGGACAAGCGTTGATGGGTGCCGAGGTACTGGACCAGGTAGTTGCAGAAGCAGTTGAAGTCGCACTTGGTCCACTTGGGAGGAACTGACTCGAGCTGCGGGGTTGGGTAAGAGCAACGGGAGTCAAGCAGGCAGGGTAGCTTCGGCGTACGACACACCCAAGCTGCTCTGTGCACCGGCGCCTTGACACCGCACCTGGCGCTCGTAAGCGTGAACCACGGTGACGTCGATGGTGTCCATCTTGCCCAACGCCGCCCAGTCCTCGCCCTCGCAGCGGGCACCAGCACCTGAATTGATGCGGCAGGAGTGCGGAGTACAGGTGATAGTGGCACAAGGGCGGTTGGGTGCAAAGTGTTGTTGGCTACAATATTTCGACATAATGCAATGGCGCCCATCCCTGCGCCTAGCCTTGTGAGGTATGACGACTGACATGGACTCACGAGCGCGTGCCCAATGAAGAGCATAACGAGCCTGGAGGGGCCCTGCCGGCCCCCTGCATCAAGTACTAACCGGGATTGGAGCTTTCGTACGAGTTGAGGAAGTAGCCCTCAGTGCCCAGAGCGACCAGCTGGTTAGGTGCGTTGGCGCGCAGGTGCGCGGACATCTCCTGCAAGAAAGAATGCACAACGCCCTGCGAGGCGGAGTCCACACAGCCGGGGCACCTGGGCTCGTTCATGGCGTCGAACATCATGATGGCGTCGTCGTCACGGTAGCGGCGGCCATTGAAGGTGTTGGTGCGCCACACGATAGCGGAAATGTGGTCACGGTAGAAATGGCGCACGTCAGCAGAGCGGTAGAAGTCCAGCAGGTCCTTGCCAGCTGCGGTCAGAAGAAATGGAGGCCGCAGACTCTTACGTGTTGATATGGGTACAGCCATACCGGTAGCATAGAAAGAGCGTTTCCAACAGCCATTTAGGTCTGGGGCTTAGGGCCGCCACATACGACGACCATACGCACAGGGAAGCTTGTCCACACCCTTCAAAAGGGCTCCAACGCAATCGTTGGTAAGCGTCGTCCAATTACCGACCTGGGTTGATGCCAGCCATGCTCATGAAGTCTTGCGGCGAGCGGTAGGCAGCCCAGGTGTTTCCCAACGCCAGGATAAGCTTGACGTTGTGCCTGCAGCGCGCCAGTAGGGCTTAATAAAAGTCTGCATTGACCAACGCATAACTTCCAACCCATGAAGCACGTGATGGGAAGGCCTCCAGCGAATCGACGGACCTGCCAGCTGAGTCGATGATGTAGTCGAGCCCCTTGAACTGGGTCTCGTCGTACTTGCCCCATTCGTAAGGCATGCGGTGGTTGAAGGCCCAAAGACGGACGACCTTGAGTCCAAATTGCTGTATTAGGGGCATATGGGCATGGTGAGTAGTGTGGTAGCGTGGTAGCGTAAGTAGCATGGTAAGCGAGAAGTCGCTGAAGCACCTTCACGAAAGGAAAAGCGGAATGGAGTAACTTACGTTGCAATAGTCAAAGAATTTGTCTACGGTCCCCTTGTCCCTTTGGACAAAGTCTATCAACCTGCAAAGGGTAGAGAAGTAACTGACATTAGCATTTCCGACATCTCCGAAAGATGCGTTGTGTAAAGTGCATACTTACCAATAAGCGTTCGCTCCCATGAAGTAAAAGGGTTTGCCGTCGATGCATAACTGGTGACCGCAGCGCTTCACAAACGAAGCGTTCGCAGAGGAAGGGAGGAGCAAGCAGATGGCAACCAAAATCAGTCCTAACCCCGCCAGGGACGAGGCTTTAGCAATTGCTTTCGCCATGGCGAAGTAGTTTTCGAAGCGTGATGTATGGCACGGCCTGCGGACAATGAGTCGGTTTACTGCGACTGACATGCCATCGCTGCTGTGGCATGCTGCGGGCTCCTCGCGACAACCATGACACCTGTGAGCAATCCTGTTAGGGATGTGTTGCCAAGGGCCGCACCTTTTGTTACAGTATGTGTTCTTGAGTTCTTGAGGCTGCGGGCACAACGCCGCAACCGATGGTCCGTGGCAAGGGCTTCGGCACGTTTCTAGTGGCTGCCCACTTCTCGGATACTGTAACCTGGGATATGAATAGTTTGATAAGGATGTGCTTTTATACTCTGCTGAAGTTCCGTTAGCGTCCGTTACTTTTCTGGACAGACGGACAACTCCTTTTGAAAGTTGGATCCATGTTTCCATCTGATCGTAGAGAACCCGTCAGCACTCCTCTGGCTTGCACGCGTATATGCATATTATGCCAAAGAATGCGCACAGTGTTAGAGGCCGGCTCCTAAGGGCAGACTTGCAGCACCTACAAAAAGATGTCAGTTGTAAACAATGGGTCATGAAGGACGCTGTGAACGCAAGGTCCAAAAGGATTCGAACTGAGGTAGCATTATTTTTGCCGCAGCAAGAAACATGTGTAGGGACGCATATTGAAGGTATACGAGTATGTTGAGGAGGGCTTGGAATAGAAGCTTCCTGCACAGTTAAGCCAGCAGACCAGCTGGCCTTTCATCTGTCCAGCATGATCGCTTACGCGCTATGCGTCGGCATAAGCTACGCATATCCTGGCATCCTCAGGTAGCTCCAGCTGGATCCATACACCTTGGCTGACAACCTGCCAAGTGCAGTTTTGCGCAATGCAATATCATAATAGCTTACGCCAGCGGGCGTCACGAACCTGGGAACCGCGGCGGGGAGAAATGGAAGGTAGGAGGGGTAAACTCTCCTTGCCAAATGTTCCCAACTACCCAAAACTGAATGGACTTCCTACGTGTGGCCATTAGACGTGTCCATTTAATGGCACCAGATTCGATTGGCCGAATAGAATGCCCACTTGGCCAGACCCGATTGCAGGAACCCGTGCAGGCTGCCATGTTCCGTCGTGAAACCCGTGCAATTGTCATGTTCCAAGCAAACGGAAACAGGGAAGTATACGGAATGGCATGGCAGGCTTGCCACAGAAGCACCACGCATGCCACTAATAACCCCTGAAGACGGAGGAATTAAGGGCATGGTTGTTAATATCGGGCAGAAGCCGCCATCCGTGCATCCCTTCCTAAAGGGCACGACACAGGGCACGACAGTGACCTCTCGCTCTCGACCCTTCACTAAGGGGTCGGAGCACCTTCGCTCGTCTACAGTCCTCCTTCCTGGGTACCCACCTTGTCCTTCAGCGCTGCTGCTGGCTCCTGTGGTTGCCTCACCAAGCATGCTGAACCAAAGGCCATAGGCCTCACCTGGACGTAATGCCGTGACGGGAGGCAGAAGGGACGCGCAAAAATAAAAATACGTGAATAGCTAGGGGCGGACTCCTATCTGCAGAACCCGTGTCGGCATGCAGACATTGAAGTGTCTTGCAACGCTGGTATCGTGGCATGTCATGTTGCCCCTCTATCCTAGCATAGTGCCGTCCACACGCCAGGCATCCAGCGGATGGGGTTGCATCCTACCTTACCAGCGCACGCACTTTAGCCTCAGCCTCTTGCAGTTCAGCCGATTTGTTCATGAAGACCCGCTGCTGCTGCGGCGGCTCTGCGGTTGTGGCGGGCACTGCTGTCCCGGCGGTGATCCCCTGACCCCTGTTGCTACAATTTCTCCTTGTTGCTGACCAGCTCTCCCTGTTCTCCTTTGCTGAGACGTGCACCAACCACATGTCAGCCTCTGCGGGCCTCCAAGTATCCGTACTTGTGAAGCCGCAAGCGGTTGATGGCCCAACTACGGCCATTCGTGTCCATCCCGACCGCATCGGCTGCTACCCCACCAGGCGCGCTGATAAGGCTTGCAGAAACGCTTTGTGCTTGTGGCAATAGTGGTTGTCGACTTAAGCAAGGAGATGGAGGTCTGTCACAATGGCCCCAACAGTTGGAGCAACAGTCGACGCCAAGCGTCGGGGGCGCGCGCGATGGAGTCGCAGTCGTAGAAATGTTGAACCCTTAGAATCCTCAATCTTTAGAAGCTGGTCTTTCCTCCGCGTCGTACTAGTTCAGGACTTATCGGCGATTGACTGTTGGACGAGCTGTGCACTGCTTGTGAAGTCCGCAGCTACCGCATTTCACCAAGAATTGCAGTGCACGTTCAACGGAGTGCAACTACGCTTACGTGCACGACCGGCACAGGAACGTGTGCCTCCGTCCCCTTACTCACCCTTTTCGCGCCTGCAACCTAGCATATTTACTCTGCGTACATTGTCAGCTTGCTTTCAGTAAATGAGAGCTCCATAGGTTACAGCCCTAGCGTTGCACAGGCAGGACGGCAAAGGAATGGCGGAAGGGGGTTCTCAGGTTGGTTTCCTGCTGAAGCGTGCAACCTTGTATAGTCTAAAAATAAGTCATTTGCTATGTCCGCTGCAGCTGCCTTTCCCGGCAGGATTCCCGGGCCAATTCCCAGCCGGGTTGGCAGCAGCTTACGGGGCGCAGCAGCCAAACAATCATCAAGCGGAGCAATTGAAAGCTTTTTGGCAAAGCCAACTTGTCGAAGTATCAGAAGTGCCTCGTGACCCGGCAGTCTTCAAGAACCACCAGCTACCCCTCGCAAGGATAAAGAAGGCAAGCGGCCCCCTAGTTCTTGCCCGCAGTCGCGCCACCATCCCGCTAAGTGCCACACTGCCCCCACGCAGATCATGAAATCGGACGAGGATGTGCGCATGATCAGCGCGGAGGCCCCAGTGCTGTTCGCAAAGGCAGGTGCATGGCGTGCAGGGGGGTCGGGAGGGCATGCATGGACCAGTGCGCGAGGGAAACGAGTCAGTGTGCTAGGAAAAGGTCCCGTTACGCGAACTTCCGAGATCTAGTCCAGGGCTTATGGATGGCGTCCCAACCACACACCTTTAGGGAGCCCGCTCACGGCACGACCCCGCACCGCTTGCTGTTGTGTCTGCGGTAACAGGCCTGTGAGATGTTCATCTTGGAGCTGACGCTGCGCTCCTGGATGCATGCGGAGGAGAACAAGCGCCGTACGCTGCAGCGCACCGACGTGGCGGCCGCCATCACCAAGACGGACATCTTCGACTTCCTGGTGGGTGGGAGAGAGGGGTGGTAGAGGGGCGCGGCGGCCGCTTGCTTGCGGTGCAAAGAAAGGGGAGCGGACAACATGAAAGGAGGCAAGGACACTTGACTGGACCTTTACTTCGGACCTTGTACCACGGACTCTCGCATCCGCATTGGAGAAGCGCCGATACGCTCTAATCCTTAGGCCTGCGCATGGCCCATCAGGGCCCGCTCCTTTCGTTTCGCTAGGCTGCAACCTTGACGGGTCCCAGACACTACACCTCCCCTGCACCCTGCTGTCCCCTGCCGTACAGGTGGACATTGTGCCCCGGGAGGACATCAAGCAGGAGGAGGGGCAGGCGGCGGCGGCCCCACCGCAGCAGCAGCTGGCGCAGCAGGCAGCAGCGGCGGTACCGGCGGCGGCTGGCCCCCGCGCGCCCGCACCTGCTGGTGCGCCTGTTCCCCCGCACCCCGCGCTCGGTGCGTGACGGCAGCGCGCTGTCTTGCAACCGCACCTGTGTCCTTGGGCCGTTGGGGTTTACGAGTTCTGGAGACCTGAGGGAAAGGACCCGTAGAGCTAACCGAGCTCATTACAGCCCAACCTGGAATTGGTCTGCCTTCTACCCGCCCTCACCGACACTCCCGCACCCCCTCCTCCGCAGGCCCCGCCTCGCTCTTCTTCCCGCCGCCCTTCCCCATGCCGCCTGGCATGCTGGGAGGCGACCCCAGCCAGGCTGCTGCCGCCGCGGCCGCCGCCGCCGCCATGATGCGGCCGCCCATGCCGCCACTGGGGCTGGACCCCGCGCTGGTGTCGCTCTACCAGCAGCAGCTGCTGGCGGGGCAGGCATGGCCGCACATACCCGGACTGCCGCCGCCGCCCACCGCGCCGGGAGCAGCAGCGGCGGCGGCAGCGGCGCAGGTGCAGCAGCAGCAGGCGGCAGCGGTGGCGGCGGCCGGAGCGATGCAGGCGGCAGCGGCGGCAGCAGCAGCGGCGGCGTCGACGGCGAGTGGTGGTCATCAGGGGCAGGGATCTGGGTCGGCGGCGGGGGCGGGGGCTGGCGCGGGGCAGCAGCAGGGGGCCCAGGCGGCAGCAGGGGGCCACGGGGAGGAGCAGGAGGCGGAGGAGCCGCCGGCAGCCGATGGAGAGGAGGAATAGGGTGGACTGGTGCAAGCGTTGTCAGCAGGTGTTCCCTAGGTAGCATACCTTGCAGCTAGCCAACTTACTTGCATTGGTGGCTGAGAGGGCGGTACCGGTCAAGAGGCGCACCGCAATCTGTTTGCCGCAAGACGTGCACTGAAGGTTAGATAACTGCAAACGGTGCCCTTGCCGAGCGCCCGTTGGGCACGGGGAGTCTTTTACAGTGTTTTAAGCGCAGGTCCAAAGAGCAATGCACAATGGAGAGCAACAGACTGAGTCGCGAGGAAACACTAACCGTGGGGTGCTTTTGAAGTTGTATTTGGACCGAGCCAGTTGACACGGGTGCGTGGTGAGCGTGGTGGGTGCGAGGGAGCGTGTTTTCGCCTTGCAAAGCTGTAGCTGCAAGCCCATGCGTTGCTGTTTGATCGGAGGCTGGGCACGCGGTATGTTCATCCGAGTGTTAGTGCTTCCGAGTTTATTGCTGCTTGGTATAAGTTGGAGGCCGACTAACAGCCGTAGGACAAGGTCGGGACAGTGAAGCGGCGAGGGGCCCTTTATCTTACAACAGACAAACAGGGTGCATAGACGCTGTGTTTGGAGAGCATGCAGGTGTGGTAGAGGAGTTGACTTTGTCTGTTCCTATGGCTGCCAGGTACCGCCTCACCAACGCGGGGTTTTGCCTGAGGTGCGCGTTCTGGCTTCTGTACTCAGTTTCCTCCCATGGGGAGTAGTGGTGGGAGGGTTTTAAGGACGATGGGTTTGGCGGCAATTGGTAGGTCGATGTCCGGGCGTGTCAAGCAAAGATGTACGGCTTGGAAGCATAACAAGAGCACCCCATGTATTGTATGAAGTATCATGCGCATATGAGTCCGACGAGGTTTCGTGCGCTACTGCAAGGCCATCACCGACCAACCGTTGCCGTACAGGGCTATCATTGGCTCACGGCGTGGGCGAAAGGCACTTGGCCTCATTTGCTGTGAATGCTCGTTTCGCCTTCCGACGTTACCGCAAATTCCCAGCGTTAGTGGCCATCACCTTGAAGCGCATTCCAACTGTAACACACGCTTCGTCATTTCCTCTTCTGCCTGGAGCTTTAGCGCTTTGCACATTTCCTCGGCCTTGAGGGAACCAGAGTTTTTTTCAAGCGTGAAGCTGCATGGCGCAAAGCAGTTCACAGCAAGGGCCACCAACTACGCAAGAAGTAGCTCGATCTTTTTCGCAAGTGCTATGGAAAGTAAGACTTGGCTTAATCATAATTAGGACATCGCTGGTTATTTAATCCCTAAATTTGCGCTAACTGGCGACTTGCACAGATTCATGAGCTGGAGGCCACCCTAGCGTCCTATGACGCATCACATGCGGATCTTCTAGAACAAAGACTAGTACAGTATGAAAAGCTGCTGGCATCGGCTAGAGATATGCTTAGACAGCGGACTGCGGGTCCGCCCTCAGAGGAGCGGCAGCGCAACACTCTGGAGGGCCGTAAGATTCCCGAGGAGCTCATCAGGTACGCCGCGAGCACCACGTCCACCCTATAGATACCCCGCTTCTGCGCCTTGGGTGGTCACGGTTTAGCAGCATTGCATACCCACACCACCTACCATACCGGGCACCGGGGCTACCTCCCGTTACCCTCGTAACAATTGGTCCGTGGCCTTTGGCTAAGAGTTTATCCTCCACGCGCAATCCAGAGTTGCATTAGTCACCTTGTGTCCTGCCGCATCAGCATTGGTGTGCTGCCGTGCCCCAGGGCCTTGGACGCAGGTATCAACCCGGACGAATACCTGCGGGAAACATTCAAAGCGTGCCGTACGGACAACGAGGTAAGAAAGTCCAAGCCCTAATCCTCTGGATTAGCATCCTCTGGGACCCACAAGACTGTTGAAACACATGTTTGGCCTTTGGCCTTTGGCAACCCTTAACCATGAGGCCATGATGCGTCGTGCATGCAAGTGGTCTCAGCACGTCATGTGCACCGGTGTCTCGCTATGGTGGTGTTGGAGCATGACCCCCTTATGATTTGTGGCCCTTGTGGCTGCTGCCGACCTGCCATGTCGCCGGTGCTGCCCTGCCGTACTGTGCCGTACTGCAGATCAGCCGGGGCAAGTGCGAGGCGCTGCAGCAGCTGTTCGCCAACTTGCTAGCAGACGCAGCGGAGCCCTTCCCGCAGGAGGCTGAGCAGTACAGGTGCGTGGTCGAGGGAATTGAAGTCGTGAGGAGGATCGCCATGTTGCCGTACCCAACCGCCTGCTACTGACACCGGCTGCCGCGTAACTGTAGGGAGTTTGCTGACAGGGAACGTTTTCACATCAGTTGCATTCGCTTGCTTACCTGTGATTGCGCCTTGCATGCAGGAAGCTCTTGGGGCTGTAGTGCAAGCTGGAGGAATTGTGCGGTGGACACAAACGCGCTGCGAGCCTGGTCGTGGAGTTGGTCTGAAACTCAATTTTAAACCCAATATCATGGATACTTTGAACACAACGCTATTGTTACAAGTCCCAGCCACTATGCACGCTATTTGTGTGACTCTAGGAGCGGCGTCATTGACTGCTATGCTCATGTACAAGCGCTGGCAAGCAGAAATGGGTCAACTGGCCCTAACAGGTCGTCCTCTAACCTACTGTATGGGGGAAGGACACCTCATATCTTCTCTTCCAGTAGCGGCATGCCTTGGCAGTATGCCAAACGTCTTTTATTTGTAAGCGAGGGCCTCTACGCACACATCCCGCTGTACTCCTCCGTGCACCACCGCACCGTGCACGAACGTATGCTCCGCCTGCTGTCTCCTACCTCCCTATCAGCGTATTGAAATCCAAATCCATGCAACCACACGGCCCACGACTCCGCAAAACCCCTCTACATCTTGCAACCACGACTCGTCTCTTCCGGCTTCTGCACAACACCTCCCACGCATGCCACCAGCGCTCAACCCTACGCAACGCTCCACATTCCGCAGCGACCCACGGGTCGGCCTAGGCTTTATCTTAGGCGTTGTTGACCGCCGCCTGCTCCCCGGGAGCGGCGGGTCGGCTCCAGGTGGCGGGGTCGGACGGCAGCAGGGCGGGCAGGATGTCGGGGTGTCCGCACGGGTGCAGCGCCACGTGCTGCCGCAGCGGGGGAGCCATCAGGTGGATGATGTGGTGCACCTTGGGAAGGGGGGAGGGAAGGAGGTGCAGGCGGGGTGAGTCACAGCACGCAGCGGACGCGGAAGGACTGAGAGCTTGGCAGCAAGACAATGGGTGGGAGAAGCGTCCCTAACATGCTGCAACAGCAGGCAACAGGACCGGTTTCTGGTGCCATGCATGGTCAGCAACCGGCTATCCGTGCAGCTGCTCCCCCCGCAGCACCCTCCTCCCCAGCCCCTCCCCTCCCTATGCCACCCACCAGGTCCAGGGGCAGCTCCGCCAGCAGGTCCCCCAGCTCACGAGGAGCAGCGCCCGAGCCCACACCCGCAGCAGCAATCTCGCTGCGCACGTCGCGCCGTGGCTCCGAGCCCTTCCGCTGCTGCGCGGCCGCCGCCAGCTGCGCCGGGCTCATGCGCACCTGCCCGGGCGCACACATCGCAGCACCGCCCTGCGACCCGGAGGCAGCCGCAGCCGCTGCCGTAGCCGCAGCAGCGGCCTCCTCGCGCTCGGCGCCTCCATCGTTGCTGGACGCGTCCTCGAAGCGTTCCTCCTCACTGCCGCTGCCGCTGCCGCTGCCCGGCTCCGGCACGGTGAGGGCGCTGCCGTCCAGCCAGCGCCCCACCACACGGGCGCAGGTGTCGGGGGAGGCGGAGGAGGAGGAGGAGGAGGAGGCGGGCGGTGCGGGGGTGCAGACGCTCATGGCTAGCATGGGCTGGGCAGCAGCCATGACGGAGGTAACGGCGTTCCTGCGGGAGGGGAAGAGGAAGGGCGGGGAGGGGCGGTTGTGAGGTGGTGGCCAAGGTGTGAACGTGGTGTGGCGGGGGCGAGAGAAAGGTACCGGCATGTATAAAAGCTAGCAGTCTTGTGCTCTACCTCGTCCAGTCCTGCCCTGCCCTGCCTGCCTCCCTGTTCCCCTCCCATGCGCCCACCTGACCAGGCGGCACATCACCTCGGCCACGGTGGCGCGAGCGGCTGCCGCAGTGGCCGCCGCCGCCGCCAGGTCGGGTCGGCGGCGCCGCTGGTGCGCCAGCAACAGGGCGCGGCAGGCGGCACGGTAGTCGGCGGGGAAGGCGGCGTGGGTGGTGCGCTGCAGCGGGGGATAGGGTAGGGGGGAGGAGGGCGGGGAGAGGTTTGGTTAGGGTGGTAGTAAGGGTGGGAATGCCCTTGGTCGCATGCTATGCAGGTACCGATACGCTAATGGGTAATGGCCCGTCGCAAGGTGAGAAAGCCCGAATCACCAGTTAACCAGAAGAAGCTGTCCTCACCGAGTGCTGCAGGGCTGGCGCCTCGCTGATGACCACTCGCGGCTCCCTGCGGGCGGGCGGGCGGCCCAGCGCCAGGCTGAGGCTGTCCTCGGACGGGGCGGGTCGGGGCGGCGCGGCGTAGTGCACCATGCGACCGTCCACCACCATGCGGTCACCCGTGTCGGCGCAGCGGAAGATCCAGGGGTGGGAGACGTAGGTGTCGTAGCTGTTGGGGGAGGCGCGGGAGGGTAGGAAGAGGTTTGGTGGAGGTTCTGATGGGCGATGGACAGATGGCGGGCTCATGTTGGGAGCGAATCGGAGCGAATCGAGAGCCGCACTCATGCAGAGCCGTACTCAAGCTGGGGTCCCTGAGTTCGCCTGACTGTGTACGACTTACATCTTGGCCTGCTTCGGCTTGAGAGATCCGTACGGCACTTCTTGGCCTGAGCGGATAGGGAGTACGGCGGGGCGCGGAGGAGGGTTAAGATGAGGTGCCCACTGAGTACACATGGCGCGGTCCTATTGCAGCCATGCTCGTGTCAGGAACACCGTAACCCGCACCGCTCACCGTTGTAGTCGACCCAGTAGGCGACGACGGTGCGGTCGCTGTCGTTGGAGAAGGTGATGCGAGTGCGGCTGGAGCTGGTCAGCGAGCGGAGGAACACCTAGGGGAGGGGAGTTGGGGGTAGAGGGGGGTAAGGAGGGGGGCCAATGAGATAAAGACGGAGGATACGTTCCTTACGTGGAGATGGGATGGGGGCATGTGGGTCGGGGTGGAAGGCATGTGGGTCGGGGTGGAAAGCATGTGGGTTGGGTGGAAAGCATGTGGGTTGGGCGCATGTGGGCCGGACAGAATGCTCGATAAGTTTGTATTGTTGTGAGCAACTGAACGAGCCCGAGCACCTGGACACTGACCCACATCACTAGCGCACCCCGCTCATCGCTGGCACTGATTATTGGTAACCTTGTCCTCCTCCCTTACCCCTCCTCACCATGACTGGCTCACTCAGCTTGGTCTCAGCAGCGCCCTCTGCGGGCCCCGCCACCTGCCCCTCCGCGCCCACCTCCCCGGCAGGCGGCAGCAGCTCCCACACGCCCGGCTCCAAATCCTTCTCAGGGCAGCGCTTGCGGGTTGCAGGAGGAGCCGGAGCGGGGGCGGGCGCAGCAGCAGCGGCGGCGGCGGGTACGGCAGCAGCGGCCTGGTTGATGCCAGCGGCGGCGGCAGGCACCGCTGCGGCGGCGGCGGGCGGCGGCGGTGGGACCGGCGCCGGCTGGTTCTGCAGCTGGGGCACCTCCGGCAGCACAGCGGGGGGCGCAACCGGTGCAGCCGCCGCGGGGAGGGGTGCCAGCGCCGCGAGGGGGTCCTCCGGGTCGGGCAGGACGCCCCACTGCAGGGCGGCGGCGAGGGCGGCGGCGGCGGCGCCATGGCCCGCCAGGCCGGCGTGCAGCCCGCCCACGGCCATGGCGGCAGCGATGGGACCTTCACCGACGGCGGCGGCCGCCATGGCTGCTGCGGCGTCGTGAGCATCAGCGGCGTCGTCCGCCTCTTCGTCGCCCTGCTCCTCATGTCGGGGCTCCTGATGAACTGCCGCCGCTGCAGCAGCAGCGTGCATCAGCGGAGCAGCGGGTGCGGGTGCCAGGATGGGAGCGAACTGGAAGTCCAGTGGAGGGAGGGCGCGGGCGTCGTGCAGGAGGCCGGCGGGCTGCTCCTCCTCCTCCAGTGGAGCGAGGAAGAAGAGGCGGTTGGGGCTGAGGGGTCCATAGGCTTGGTGGGGTGGCGGTGCGGGTCCGGCAGTGGGGGTGGCGAAGGCGGAGGAGGCGGAAGGTGAGGAAGCAGTGGGCGTGAGCGGCTGGTTATTGCCGGCGAGGTTGAGGTTCAGGTTAAAGGTGCTGAGAGGGCGGAGGTTGCCGAGCGGAAAAGGCGAAGCAGGTGCAGATCTGGGCTGCCGGTGCAGCGGAGAGCGGACGGGTGATCCGAGCGCGGCTAGCATCTTTGCCGCGATGACGAGGCTAGGCGCTAGCGCGCTTTTTACGTAAAGAGTTTGTAAGGAGTCCTGGGCTTGGTGAGCTTGCTGGAGATGCTAGTAATATTTTAGGATGAGAAGTAGGTTGCTGCTTTGCGCGAAAAAAGAAGGCGGAGAAGGGAGACGGAGAACGGAGGCGGGTCGGAAGCTTGCTCTGTCGTTGATGTCGGAAAGGATAGCTCAGGCCAGCAGAACTGGAATAACTGATCACGAGAGCTTGTGAGACAACCGGAGTCACGAGAGGCAAAAGCCTGTAATGGAAAGCACTTGCAAAAAGGGGGCGGCTTTTATCTTAGCGGCGCGCACGGCGCACGGCACCACCACGTGTGTGGGAAATTCCCGCCGCATGGAGATTTCGGCAGCGATTAGCCTAACCGCCTCATCATCATTTCGCCTACGTGTTGATGCAAACACCTCCTTTAGTATTCCAATCTTGAGGAGCTATCCTAGTTAAAGTGCAGCTTGCAAGCAGGACATGGACGATGACGATTTCGGCCTGTTGGGCTTCAACTTCGCAGGGGATGGTCCTCTGCTGAGCCCTGAGCCCGCAGATAAATCCGGCCGATCTCCTTTACCACCCTTTTCAGCCGCTGGCACCGCTGCGACGGGCGCCAGGGCCGCGGCCCATCATGTGCAGCGCTCAGTTGACGAGGGCCCTCTTGGCAGCCAATTACCCTTTTCCTCGCAGCCACTTTACCACCAATTTGAGTTATTACAGTCGCAGCAAGAACAGCAACAGCAGGATCGCGGCCGCAAGCGCGCAGCAGATGAGGTCGGGCTGGCCCAGCAACCAGCTAGGCCAGTGCCTTTGTCCCAGCGGCTGCCGCCCGGACTGACCCATGGGTCACCTAACGTGCCCGGCGCCGGACAGCCGGCTACCCTGCTTTCCTACCTAATTAACAGCGGCGCGTTAGATGCGGTTGTGGTGGAGTACGAGCAGGGGCAGCCGCGACTGCGCGACGGGCCGATCTCCTTGCAGGTGCGAGCGAGGAAGAGGCTGGTCGGGCATTGCGGGAGAAGGGGACTTGTACTCGCTCGCGCCGTAACCCGTCGTTATTTGCGAACTCCGACCCACATAGCAGCTCATTGAGCCAATTGAAAGGTCTTGCGATCTGGGTCGGGGGCCATTTGGGTCAGGTCACATGCCTTGGCACTTCTCAACCCAACCTCCGCTTGCTGTCCAAACCTTGTACGACGTAGCCGTACTGCTCCTCGCCGTGTGCCGGTATGTCGTACGCACCCCCAGGTGGACCTCATGTCGCTACTAAACGCGGAACCGCAGCTGGGGGCCTGCATGCTGCAGGACCCGAGTGGGTACCGGGGGTGCGGCGAGGGGGGGGGGACAGGGCGGGTGGAGCGCTGGTGTTGCCGCTGGGGCTGGTCACGGGTGTTGGGGCCCCGTGGGGGAAATGTGTGCGGGGATGATAGGGCGCGGCGCCATCTGGGTCGGCTCGCGTGCGTGATTTCCCATCTGGGTCAGCGTCCTTTGGGCGGGAGGGCGTTTATTCGGGGGGGGGGAGTGAGCTCCTGACTGTACCCCTTCCGACCCGCACATAGCCCGCCGTACCCTATCATGCACGCCTTCACAAACTCCCGAAGAAGGTGTTCGGCTCCGATGCCAGTCGTTCGGCTCCGATGCCAGTCGAAACCCGCATGACCCACATCGCAAGGCCTGCGCTTAGAGGGACAGGTCCTCGCCCTCTTCTCCCCGTCGTCCCCGACCTGTTCCTGCTTTCCTCCCTCTTAACTCCCCTCCCTAAGCCCCTCTGCCCCCGCCCTGGGGCCCCGGGCGGGATGGGCCGGCTACCATGTTGCAAAGCCATGTCGTACGGTTAGGGTTAGTGCCCTCCCCTTCACCCGCCCCGCCCCCTAGAGGCCGCCCTGTGGTCGCTGCTGGATGAGCTGCATGCGGAGGGGCTCAGCGCCTCGCTCTGCCCGCGACTCGCCATCAGGCCGGAGCAGGTGGGGGCGGCCGGGACAGGGGGGCGGGGAGTGTGCCGGTTAGGGACCGGGGCCCTTCCCTGCCTCCTGCCCCTTCCAGCCCCACCCACGTCACGCCTGCACCCACCAAACATCCTTGAAAGCCCTCACTCCCTCGCCCTGCCCACGCCGGCCCCCGCCCCCCGTAGGTACCCCTGCCTTGCCAGCCAATACCCGCCCTGCTCGCCTCCCTCACCCGCCCCGGCCTGGATCACCTGCCCGGCCCGCCTCCCTCCTCCGGCGCCTGCCCCCCGCCGCACCCCAGCCCCCCCCGCCTGGTGTGCTGCTACGGGGTGGTGGCAGCCGCCTCCAGCCTGGGCGCCCGCCCACACAGCCGGCTGCTGGTGTGCCGGCACTGCGGGGGGGCGCGGGAGGTGCTGGAGGAGAGGGGGGCCGCAGGAGGCGGAGGGGGAGGGGAGGCAGGGGTGTACGGCGGGTGTTGCGAGGCGAGCCGGGTGGTGCCCGAGGTGCAGGAGGACCTGTCGGGGCGGTGAGGAGGCAGGAGGAAGGACAGGGGGACACAAAATAGGTCAGGGAAGAAGGGGATTTGGGTTTTGCCGTGCGCTGCCTGGGGCCATGTAGCGTTCAGTGAAACGGTCTGAGACGCCATTGGCAAACTTACAATCTGCAACCTGATAACGCAATCCCCCCCTGCCGCTACCCATACCGCCATACCGCCTCCACGCTTTCCCCCAGCGTCATGGTGCCTGTTCAGGAGCTCTGGCTTGCGGGGCTGAGCAGTACGGCACCGGGAGGGGCGGCAACAGCAGCAGCAGCAGCAGGCGGGGGGGCGGGGGGCGGGGGCTACTTCGCCCGGCTGGGGCGGGTGCGGGTGGTGGCGGCTGACGACCTGGCGGGCAGGGTGCGGGTGCGCAGCGGGGAGGGGAGGAGGGAGGTGCCGGGAGGTGGGGGTGGCGGAGAACAGGAAAGACGCATATGCTTTGATCGCGAAGCACTGACCACGTGTACGCCACCTGACTTCCTCGCCACTCTTCTCTCTGTCAGCCACCACTTTCCTCTTACCCCGGCACCCGCCTCCTGCCATTCGGGCCCCTCTCGCGGCCCCATGCCTCTGATGCACTCTTCCTCCCCACCCGTCTCTCCCTCCTCCCTCCTCCCCCCCAGGTGGGCGACGTGGTGCGGGTGGTGGGTATCGCCCGACTGCTGGGTCCCGCGGGCGGGGGGGCCGCAGCCAGCCGCGCCGCCGCCGCCGCCTACCCCGCATCCGCCGCCGCCGCGCCGCTGCGCTCAGCCGCCGCCGCCGCCGCCCTAGCGGAGATCGAGGCGCTGTCGCTCGGCCCCGTGTCGCCGCACGCGCTGTGGGCGCCACCCGGCGGCGGCGGCGCAGCAGCCTCCGCCGGGTGCTGGGGTGTGTACGGCGGCGGCGGCGGGGGTCTTGTCGTACACCGCAGTCGCTGTCCGCTGCAGGTGCTGTGCGACCTGTTGGGTCGGCTGCTGGGGCGGCATGCGGATGCGCTGACGTGTCTGGCGCTGCTGGCGAGTGCGGCGGCGGTTGGTGGGGGCGGAGGGGAGGCAGGAGGTGGAGAAGGGGCGGGGGGAGGAGGAGGAGGGGAGGCAGGTGGCGGCGGGGCAGGCGGCATCGGCGCAGCGACGGCGGGCAGGTTGGTTGTTTGGGTATTAGGGAAGGGCCGCGGGGCGGGGGCTGTGCGGTTGGCAGGGTTGTTGCCCTCCTAACCCCGTCAAGGCATACCTCCGGCTGTGGGGACCCTGCAGCTACTCATGCCTCTCCTCCCTTCGCCTCCACAGCCGACTCTCGCCTCTCCCTGTCCCCTGCGCCAACCCTCCCTCCCCTCCTCCCCATCCCCGGCCCCAGGCAGCAGATCAGTGTGCTGCTGGGTTGCGAGCTCCACGACCCGCTGGGCCCCCGCCTGCTGCGGGGCGCAGCGGCGCTGCTCAGCCCCCTCTCAGCCGCCCTGGGCGCAGCAGCAGCGGCCGCCTCCTCCTCCTCCTCCTCCGCAGCAGCAGGGGCAGCCGCAGGGATGGGTCTGGTGGAGGACCCGGTAGCTCCGCGGCTGCAGGCGGGTTGGCAGCTGGACGGGGAGGGGCAGGCTGGCGGGGTGGCCCATGGGTCGGTGCTGCTGACGGCGGGCAACCGGGGTGTCGTGGTGGTGGAGGCGGACCTGCTGACTGCCAAGTGAGGAAGAGCGGGGGTGGGGTGGGAAAAAATAAAGAACCACTGGGGGGGTGGGGTGTAGGGGTTGCGGAAGGGGAAGTAAGGGAAGAGGGGTGAAGCAGCGATGGAGGGCCAGCGCTTAAGGTTGCGCGCGCCCTCGTGCGCCAACCGCGGAAGGCTACATGCCAGCGTCCCAGCACCTCCCATGCAGTCCCGTAGAGCCCTAGCCTCGCCCACGTCCCTTGCCCATGCTGGTCAGGGCACCCATGTCTGCTCCCTTCCCTCGCTCCCTCTCACCTCGTTTGTCCTATTGTTATCCCCCCGGCCCCAGGCAGAAGACCCAGCTGTGCGACCTGCTGTCCCGCCCCTCCGTGGCCCTCGCCCCGGGTCGCCCCGAGCTCAGCCTGCCGGTCAGCGCCACGGTGTGGGCCGCAGCCTGCCGCGCGGCCGGGGCGGAGGGGGCGGGAGGCGGTGCCGGCAGGGGGGGCAGGAGGGGCGGCGGGGGGCCGGTGCCGGGCAGTCTGAGGGGCGGGTGGTCGGGTTTGGATGACTCGCGCTTTGAGGTGGTGGTGGAGGCGGGGCCGGCGGGGGCGGGCGGGGACGATGTGGCGGCGGCGATGGCGCTGGATGCGGGGTCGCTGGATGAGGGGGAGGCGGCGGATGGTGAGGGAGGAGGGGCGGGCATTGGGGGGGGCTTGTCAACTTGCTTGCCACATCGCTTGCACCCCGATTGCACCCCGATTGCACCCCGAACACCCTGGGACCCAAGCTTCTCCGCAATCCCGCTGCCGTCACCTGCGAACCGTTCCTGCGAGCATGCATGCACGCCACCAAGCAACATGAACATGCGCCAACCAGCCTGCTCTCCTCTTTCCCCCCCCCCCCCCTTTCCAGACCTGCACGACGGCCCCCTGCGCGCGGCGCTGCGGCACCATGTGGCGGCCGCTGCGCTGCTGTCGCCCCCGCCGCAGCTGAGCGAGGGGGCGCTGGAGCTGCTGATGCGGTACTACGTGGCGGTACGGCAGTCGGGGGTACAGGTACGGCAGTTGGGGTGAGATGAGGATGTACGGCATGCCTCACGGATTCTTTTTATGTATTTCCTCTGCATCTCAAGTCTTTCGATTTCTTTTGGGTCGTGCTCGGACCCTCGCGGAGTGATGATGCCCAATGCTCCGTTGGCTCCAGGCGCTCAGATCGCTCACAGCATACCTCTCCACTACCCCCACTTAGTGTGTTTATTACCCTGCCTCCCTCCCCCCCCCTCTCCCCCCCCAGGTGAGCCAGATGGAGGTGCTGCGGGCGCTGGTCAAGCTGGCCACCGCATGCGCCCGACTGCACCTGCGACACCAGGTGAGGGCAGGGGGCAGGGGGGCGCGCTTGTAAGAGGGCGCGGTTACTTGGCAAGGACTCGCTGCCGACCGCTCTCCGCACCACTTTGCGTCACCTCACAACATCAAGTGCAATCCGGTTCTCCTCGTTGCTTGTCCACAGTGCTGCTACCTGCGCACACCATCCCTCACCTCCACCTCCCGCTCCCGCCCGCCTACGGTCAGGGTCGGTGTTTCCGTGGCTCAGTGTACCTTATCTCGCCCGCCTGCCCCAGGTTCTGGAGGCGCCCGACTGCGTGCTTGCGGTGCTGCTCACGGAGCGCTCGCTGGCCGCCCGCTTCGGGGAGGCATACATGGGGCTGGGGCTGCCGCAGCTGCCGGAGGGGGGCGGGCAGGAGGAGGAGGAGGAAGAGGAGGAGGGAGGCGGGCCCAGCCCGGGCAGTGTGGATGCGGCGCTAGTGGGGATGCTGGGGGTGCTGGTGCGCTGCCTGCGGGGCTTCATGTGAGGCATGGCTGTGGGTGCAGGTGCGCGCAGGTGGTGGTGTTGGGAGCGCATTGGGAGAGAGGGGGTTGTGTTGGCGCGGTGCGGTGCGCTGAGACATGCGCGGAGAGGCGGGAGTGGCGGAGTAAAGCTCTTGAGTGAAGAAGAAATTTTATGGTTTACATGTGTTCAGGCAAGAAGGGTCACACGCCTTCAGTTCAGAACAGTTCCGCTTGCCAGCGCAGTTTCATTTCCTCTGCCAAAGAGGGACTGAAGAAAATGTGCTGAAGGCGGGCCACACCGGCTATACCAATGGACAAAATTGCCGGATGCTGACCCGCCTCAGCCGTCACTCTGATCGACGTCTGACTACGCTACAGCGGATTCATGCGCTCGATGACACACGCACACAAACGAATGGTCTAATCGCCGCTAATAGACAGCCACATCCCAGAGCTTGTCATGTTCAAAAATGGCCCCGTGGGCAGGGTTGCGGGCAGCGGCCGTGCAGGCCAGCCACCTCCACACACCCCTACAGCTTGTTAGACAGTACCGAAACATGCGTGAGGACCGTCCATGCGCCTCCCTTTTCACTCTTGTAAGGAAAGAGAGGCGACAGCCAACCCAACAATAGCGCCGCCAATTCACATCTCCCTGTGGAATCCACGCGACACGGGCCGCTCGGATATCTACTAGCGCGCCCTCGCGCATGCGGACAATGGCGGGGCATACCGCCTCGCACACCGCATGGGGCTGCGTGCTGACTGCCGCCTGTGGCGCACCAGCTGCTGCCCAGTCCCACCCTGGTACCTCGCCTGCATGTTCCCCTCCCCCTCCACTGTTCCGCCCAAGCTTTTACTTCTTGGCCTTCTTGCCGCTGTCCGCTGCCCGCACCGTCAGCACGTTCTTCTCCCGCTGCACCACAACCGAGAAGGTACCCAGGACCTGCGGAGGGAAGGAGGTGGAGGCAAGGGTGTCGGATGGGTGAAGAGCCGCAAGACATACCAAGGCACATCGGCGCTTTATTCTCTAACAAAGCGATAAATGCATGCCAGTAATCCCTTCCCCGACGCACTCGTGCATGCTTCTCCACAGCCCACGTCCCCAAACGCCCCTCCCCGCGCCCCCTCCTGCCCCCCCGACCCCCCGCCGTACCTCCGGGTGCAGGCGGATGGTGCACTCGTAGGTGCCCACCGACTTGATCTCCGGCACCGCAATCTCGCAGTCGCTCACGTTACGCCCCGTCTGCTGGTAGATGGCGTCCGCAATCTCCTGCACCTGCACGCTGCCGTAGATCTGGTCCTTGTCGCCCGTCTTCTTCTTCAGGGTGAACTTGCCGATGGTGGACAGCGCGTTGGCAAAAGCCTGCGCCTGCGCCTTCTCCTCCATCTTTTTCCGGATCTCATCCTCCTTCTTGCGGCGGATTTTGCTGGAAGGGGAGGAAGGGACAGAAGAGGGGGAGCGAAGCAGGAGCGGCGATGAAGGATTGATGGCAACAAGCTGGGTTGGGGGAGCAGCAGCGGAGGCAAGCTGCCGCGTGCACCGCATGCCAGCTGGAGAGCATGGCTTCTCAGCTGCCGGGCAGGCACTGGGCGTGTTTGTGCGCAGGCGCAACATGCGCTGGGCTAGCCTGGGTAGGGCTGACCAAGCTAACTGCCAGCTCTCACAACCGGTGCTAAATCGGCACAGTGAGCTTGTGTTTAATGGAACGCGTTCACGGCCAGCCTGAGAGCCTGGCCGTGAGCTGAGCTGTCCCCCTCCGAGGAGGATCGAGCACATGCAGACGCTACCCACATGGCCCGTGTGCCCCTTCCCAGCCCCCTTTTCATGTCACTCACTCTAGGATGGCTTCGCTGGCAATCTTGGCCATGCCGTTGGGCAGCAGGAAGTTGCGCCAGTAGCCCACCGGCACACTCTGGAAGGGTTGGGAGGGGAGGGAGGGGAGGGGGGGACTTGCAGGTTCGGACACGCCGCATGCAGATGGGAGATGGCACATGGAACACGCCGCTGCTTAAGGTCTGGGATTGTGATTTCCTTGTTGGTGCCCGCCCCTCAACAGACAGACTCTGGGCGCTGGCAGAGTATTCACAACTCAGTTTCAACACATACGCCCAGTCCCAACAAGGCACTGTTTGGTTGCGATGGCCGCGTGGGCACAAGGCAAGTGTGTATCGACCTTCAGTGGACACCCAACAAACCAGTCAGGGCCCCCCCTCCATTCTGAACGGGTGGACCCAACGGAGCGGCCCTCTTCCGTTTTGGCACGGTCATGCGCGTGTACAGCCACCTACTTGCCCAGCACGCAACGTGGAACCAAGGACCCGCGCCTAATCAAACCGCGGCATTAACCATTATCATGCCCACAAATATGCAGCTTACCTTGATCTCGCCCTCGCGACCAACATTGGGGATGTCGTTCACAAGGATAACCTGAATTGCAGCCATAGGTTGCACATTGCAGAGTCAGACGGCGTCTCGCGATGGGAGAACATTTCCATCAAGTATTCGAAGGAATAATAGAAGCAATAACACATGTGGCTAAAGTGGCAAGCCAACAGCCACGCCAACGTCGTCTGCTTGCACACCAGTAACTAGTGGTCGACAAACCTTGGTCTTCTTTAGGACTTTCTTGTTGGCTTCCACAACCAGAGCTACACGTGATGCAGGCGCGCGGACGCCCTGGGGCTTTGCGGCCTTGAACGGTGTCCGGCTCTGCACCAAGATAGCGAACGACGGCGGATTTCAGCTTTTGCGGCAACCAAGCAGCTCAATTGTTTTATCTTTAAACAAATAAGCGTCCGTGGGTGTAGATTTTGTGCTATCGCCGCTCACCAGAGGCGTGCCCCGCAGGGTGGTGCTAAATGCCATTTCTTTCGTGTTTGGTAGCAGCACGTCTGTAGAAGAAAGCACTTCAACGCCCCGGTCTCCTCGATCATTGCAGGTCTACCAGAAAGCAAGGAGCGCTTCCTGTGCTCGGCCTACCCGCCGTACCATCTACAGGTTATGTATTTGGGTCTGCAATGTTGCTGTCATTTAACTTGCGATTGAATACTGGTATGCCAAATACTGTATGTGTTTTTACTGACAAGACCGCAAGTTCGCCTGAGCGGTCCACCAACCACCATGCAGCCGTGATCCTGCATTGCTTCCGACTACACGGCCGTATACTGTTCTTGGACAGCGGTGTATCCAGCTCGGCGTGCGACCATGCTGTTTCGGTACACCAGCATACTCCGCAACACCCCACACCGCTCTCCAACCTACCGCTCGACCACATCCTATTTCCCTCTGGGCTTGCTGGTCCAAAAGGCCCTACCGCTCCAAACTGCATCGTACACGTGTAGGCCAGGCATTGGTCCAGGCGTGTTTGAGACTATTAGTTCACTCCCGCACTCCAGAGACTACAGTGCACCCAAGCCGGGCCACCCAAGTTGCCTGTTCTGAGCTGGCTCGCTAACCTTAGTGCGTGTATGTCGCCTTCGCTGCGCCTTGCTAACGGGAACCAAGCACGTGTTACATTCAGTGGGTGCCATGCACCGCGGAACCAGCAAGTGATTGCTCTATATCCGATGTAGAGCACACCCGCATGAACTGTGTACGACACCATATCTGCACCACCCGATCTCGAAGCAGCACGGCACTCTGATACAACCCCTAACAACCTGCCCTCCACGCTACGTGTGCAGCACCGCCCCCTGTTGACAAGTGGCCAGCACCGGAGTGTGATCCAGCACGCGCACGCATGCACCATGCACATTGCGTAGGCACTATGGGCCATGCACGAGCCCGACTTCAAATGAATCTCCGTTTGCATACATTCTTCTACTAGGCATCCTACAGGGTATGCGGTAACGCCTACAAGCAGTCCCAACACACCAGGTATACTATCATAATGCCCGGACCTGCACGTTCGTTTAAAACTATCCTGCAAGAACATTCCACGACCCGGAAAACATCCCTAAGCTCCTAGCTGACCCATGGGTCTCTCCCTTACAGCTTGTACCTCTTCCGCAGCAGTGCTGTGTCCCGCCCCGCCGCCGCCAGCGCCGCCACCACCTCCCGCACGCCCTCCTTGATCGCCTTACCCCCCATGCCGTACGTCACCTCAAACCGCGGCACCCCCGCCAGCCTCTCAAGACACAGCTCCACAAACCCCACATCCTCCGCAGAGGGAGGCCGCGGCTGCTGCTGCTGCTCAGCATCGGTCCCAGTCGCCGCGCCCGCCGCTCCCATCACATGCTTGGCCGTATCCACAAGTGCCTGAATGATCTTGACCGACAGGTTGCTCTTGATGGTGCTGTCGTACGCGGCCGGATCCAGTGATCGTACATAGCTGTGCAGTACGGCAGGGTGCGCGGCAAGGTTCTTGAGTGCTTGCTCCAGCTCGTGCGCGTTCTTGGGCGGCGGCGGCTGCTTGGGCGCCTTGGCGGCCAGTGCGATGGCGGCGGCGGCCTTGACGGAGGCGGCCTCGTGCAGGCTGCTGCGGCCGCCAGGGGCTGCGGAGGGGCTCGCGGCGGCAGCGGCGGCGGTGGATGCCGGGGAGGGTTGTGTGGCGGCGGCAGGGCCGTTGGACCCATTTGCGAGCCGCTCAGTGGCAGGCGATTCAGTCCGGCGCTGTGTGTCGGGTGAGGCGGCAGCGGCTTTGTTGCCGTTGCTGGTGCTGGCGGCGGCAGTGGCGGCGCCCTCCTCCTCCTCCTCGTCGTCATCCCCCTCCTCCACCACCAACACCTTGTGCCGTACAGGTGGCGCCTGAGCAGGTGCCGCTGCCGTCACCCCCGCCGGGCCGCCATTGGCTGCCGCCACCTGCTTCTGCTCCCTTGCCTTGTCCTTCTGCCCTGCTACCGCTGCCGTACCTCCCGCCGCCGCCGCCGCCGCCTGCCGCTGCATGTCGTGCAACATCTCCTGCAGCTGCGGGTCGGCGGGCTCCAGCTCAATGAGCTCCCGCACCGCCGCAATCGCATCCGCCAGCCGCCCCAGCTCCCGCAGCGCCAGGGTGCGCCGCAGCTGCGCCTTGGGGTAGTGGCCGCCCTGCTGCTCGATGGCGGCCTCCGCGTCCAGCAGCGCGTCCGCGGGGCGGTTCAGGCGCAAGTAGACGTAGGCGCGGTTGCAGTAGGAGGCGGGGTTGTGCGCGCAGGCGCGGATGCTGCGGGCGTAGTAGTCCGCTGCGCGCACGTAGTTGCCCACTCCGAACATGCGGTTGCCCTCCTCGCGCAGGCGGGCAGCCTCCGCAGCATCGCCGGCATCGCCCGTAATGGTGGTGGGGGGCGTGGTGGTAGGTGCGGGGGTGGGTGCAGGGATGGGGGCAGGTGCAGGTGTCGCAGCAGGCGCGGCGGCGGGGGCCGCTGCGGCCGGTGCGGAGGCCGGCTCTGCAGCAGGGGCAGCGGTGGGTTCGGGCGCAGCTGGGGTGGCTGATGCAGCGGGTGCCGGCGCGGCCGCGGGGCCCTGGGGTGCAGCGGGTACTGAGGTTGCAGCGGGCGCTGGGGCCGCTGGGGGCTGCTCGCTGGGGGCCTTGCTTGGCTGCTGGGCAGGTGGGGGCTGCCGCTGCGGTGCCGCCTCCTCCTCCTCCTCGCTGTCCTCGTCCTCCTCCACAATCTGCATCTTGCGGCGCTGCGCTGCGGGCGGCACGGAGGCAGCTGTGCCGCTGCCGCTGTCTTTGCCGCTGCCGGCTGCCGCCGGGGCCGGGGGCACTGCAGTGGCTGCTGCTGCTGCTGCGGGAGCAGGCGCTGCCTCCAATGCGGCCGCCGCGACTACCGGCTGCTGCGGCGGCGGCGGCGGCTTCACCTCCGTCGTCGCCTCCTCCGCCTGCTGTGGCGGCGGCGGCGGTGCCGGTGCCTCCTCCGCCGTCTCCACCTCCGCCTCCTCCGCCGCCTGCTGCCTGGCCTCGTCCATCTGCCTCCCCAGCTCCTCCAGCTCCCGGTCCAGCACCGCACTCACCCCCAGCAGCTGCTTGGCGGCCCGCAGGTCCTCCAGCGCCCCCGCCAGCCGCCCCAGGCTGCGCCGGGCCAGCGAGCGGCGGTGGAAGGCCTTGGAGCGCAGGTTGGCCAACTGCTGCGGGGGCAGAGCCGAGCTGGCCGACAGCAGCTGCGAGGGTGGGGGTGGAGAGGAGCGGCGTGTGAGGTAAGAAGGAAGTCACAGGATCAGACAGGTACAAGGTACCTTGCGCTGCCCCTTCACACCACATACGGTATCACCAGCCCGCCGACCTGCCGTACCCCGCTACCGCCCCCTCCCCCCCACCTCCCCCCCGCCCCACCTCCAGCGCCCTGTCCGCCACCTCCTCCGCCTCCCCCCAGCGCTCCGTCTCATTCAGCACCGCCACCAGATTCAGGTGCACGGGCGCGCTGTCCGGCTGCAGCGCCAGACACGCGCGGTAGCACCGCTCAGCCTCCGCGAAGCGCCGCGCGGAGTAGTGCGCGTTGCCCTCGCTCTTCACCTCCTCCAAGCTGCGCCCCGGCGGCGCCGCGCCTCCAGCAGCACCCGCACCCGCACTCCCGCTGGGAGCTGGTGTGGCAGCCGCAGGGGCTGCGGCTGCTGCTGCTGCAGCCGCTGCGGCCCTAGCCCGCTCGTCCGCCTCCGCCGCTGCGGCTGCCGCCGCCGCCTCCGCTCGCTCCCTGGCCGCCTGCCAGGTCAGCAGCTCCCGGCGGTACACCTCCAGCGCCTGCGCCTCGCGCTGCTGCAGCCACTGCGCCCGCAGCGCCGCACCCTGCGCCCGCAGCTGCGGCACCCGGTGCTGCGCATCCGCCTCCAGCTCCGCAGCCACCTCGGGGGCCAGCGCCGACTTGTCTGTGCAGAGCGGAGTGTGGTGCAGGGGCGGGAGAGGGGGCGCGGAAGCGGTGGTGTGCCAATCTACGCGGGTACAGACATGTCAAACCACGCCACTGATACCCTCCCTCGCGACCGCCAAGCTATGTAGTGGCCGTACTATGCCACTATGCCACGGTTCGTCCCTCCTTCTCCTTACCCCGTCACTCCCGAGCCCCCCTGCACCCCCTGCACCCGCACCCACCCATCTCGTCCTCCTCCTCCTCGTCCGGGTGCTCCTCGATCGTCACCTTGGCGCGCGCATAGTTGGTCACGCGCTGGGGCTGAGCCGCCGCGCGCGCCGCCCGCTCCGCCGCCCGCCGTGCCCGCGCCTGCACGTGGCCGGCCGCCTCCTCCAGGTCCCGCGCCACCTCCTCCCGCGCGGCGCGCTCCTTGGGCCCGGTGGGGAGCATGTCGTGGCACTGCTGCAGGTCGTCGCGAGCAGACTGGGGGGGGGTCCCACAGCCAGTGATTGGGGTTACAACCAGAGGGGGGACGCAGGGGTTCGGAGACTTGATGAGTGCAGGAGGTACAGGCTAAGGACACGGCAGCACGTGGATTCCTTGGTGCTACTGTGGGCTCCGAGCACGGACGCAGGCGGGTCAGGGGCCCTGACCCGCATGCTCTTGAGCCCTAACTGCCCCCTCCGTATTCCATCCCACCCCTCCCTCCAGCCTCCGCCCGCCCGCCCCTACCTCCCACAGGTTGAGCTGCGCCTTCGCTCTGGCCCGCTTGTGCAGCGCCTTGTAGGAGGCGGGGTCCAGCGCCACCGCCAGGCAGGCGTCACGCAGCGCCTCCAGCGCCAGACCGCTGCGCAGACGAGCCATCGACCTGCGCGGGAAAGGGGCGGGATGAGGGGGTGAAGAGGGGGTGAAGAGAGGAGGAGGGAGGCTTGGGGTTGGGCATGGGGCATGCATGAAGGCATGCATGGAGGCGGCTGCGGCGTGTTTTGCAACGCAGCTTGCGACCTTCGCCGCCTGGCTTCAATCCCTGTGCACTTATTCATCCCTAAGCTACTCCCCCATTCACCCACACCGCACCGTACCCCACCCCACCCCACCACGCTTCCCTGCTTCCCCACCTGTTGAGGTAGAGTGTGGCCAGGTCGGGTGCCAGGCTGAGCGCCTCCGAGTACAGCTGCACCGCCCGCACCCAGTTGGCGGCGCGGAACTCGCGGTTGCCCTCCAGCTTCACCGCATCCACGGCGGCATCGAACTCCGCAGGGGACGGGGCGACGGGCAGCACCGGCGGAGGCGGGAGCGGAGGCAGCTGCGGGGGAGGCGGGGGAGCAGCAGCAGCGGGTGCGGGAGCCGGGGCTGCGACAGGGGCCGGCGCTGGTGCCGAGGGAGGGGCGGGCGCAGGGGCGGGGGCGGGGGCTGCAGCAGGCGCAGCGGCGGCCTCAGCCGGCAGCGGAGTAGCAGGGGCTGCTGCGACTTGGGCAGGGGACGGCGCAGAAGCGGGGACCGCGGGCGGTGCCGGGGCTGCTACAGCGGGAGCAGGAGGTGCCTCTGCCGGCGCTTCAGGAATGGCAGGCGCGGTGTTGGTGACGGGGGCGGCGGGCGGGGCGGGAGGCTCCGAGGCGGCACCGCCACCTCCTGCCCGCACCTCCTCCTCGCTCTCCTCCTCACTCTCAGACTCCTCCACCACCACCAGCTTCTTCCGCCCACCCCCCTGCTGCTGCTGCTGTGTCTGCTGCTGCTGCTGCTGCTGCGCCGCCCGCGTATCGGCTGGCGCCGTCGGCCCCTGCTGCGTCTGCTGCTGCTGCTTCACCGCCACCGGCACCGGAACGCCCTCCTCCTCCTCCTCTTCCTCCTCCACCTCCTCAATCGCCATGCGCTTCATGCCCGCCTCCTCCAGCGCCTTCACCGCCCGCACCCGCAGCTCCGCCGCCTCCCGGCAGTCCGCCGCCTCCGCCAGCGCCCGGTCGCAGTCCGCCAGCGCCTCCGCCGGCCGCCGCAGCTCCAGCCGCGCAGCCGCCCGCCGGATCAGCACCTTCACCGCACCCGGCTCCGTCTCCAGTGCCGCCGTGGCGTCGACCTCCGCCGCGTCCCACATCTTGAGCTTGATGTACGCCGCGGCACGGTTGGCGAAGAGCTTACTGTCGCCCGCCGCCCCCCGCAGCCCCAGTGCCAGAGTGTAGTGCTCCACTGCCTCCGCGAACTCGCCCGCGCGGAAGTGCTCGTTGCCCTTGGCGCGCTCCTGGCCTGACAGCACTAGCCGCTCGGGCGGCGAGAGGCCGCGGTTGAGCTCCAGCAGCCGCTCGGTTAGCTGCGGGCTGCGGGCCAGACCGGCGGTAGAGGCGGCGGAGGCGGCGGAGGAGGGGGCGCCGGCGGGGGCTGTGGTCTCCTCGCGGTCGACTGCTGCGAGGGCTGCGGCTGCCTTAGCCTCCCAGCGCTCGTAGTACTCGCGGCCGCTGCGCACCTGGGTGCCTACCGCGGAGTCCTGGAGGGGGAAGGGGGCGGAGGGAGAGGGGAGAAGGGAGAGGGATTGGGGCGCGGAGGCAGAAGGGAGGACTTGGGAGCGAGTGGACGGACACTTGGGCGGCTGTAAGGAGAGGGTTGCTCCCTGCCCTTACATGGACTCACCGCCTTAGACCCGCCCTGCTTCTTGTCGCCACCAGCAGCAGGGGAGATGCGGGCTGTAGCCCCAGACGTTGAATCAGCCGGCGCTGGTGCGCGCACGGGTGGGTAGCCACCGACCCCTGGGTCGGCTGAGGGTCGCCTGCAGGGGAAGACAAATGGCACACCAGACCAGGCGTCATCGTTGCATGCCATCATAGGCAACTCCCTTTGGGCGCATCTTCATGTCGATCGTGAGTGGACATGCCCCATGAAGGCCTCAGGGGCATAGGCCCTGCATGTTCACCAGCCCTAGCAATGCGTGTAAGGAGAACTGAAGTCGGCTGACAGCACCGTTCACTAGGGTGCCGCAGGTGCAGGCGTATACGACCGCGCAGCGCAACACGCGTAGATGCTATGATGCCTTTGTAGTAATTCCCGACCCACGCGCAGATCAGATGCACATACTGCAGGTGTGCCACCTCTTAACCTAACAGGCCTACCGCATGTCAGATTCCTTGCTAACAGCCCCCAGTGCTGCGTCCGTCTCCCGCTGCCGCGCCGACCACGCCGCTATCTCCTCGGCCGCCCGCCTCTGCTCCTCAGCCAGCATACGGGACACCTCGGGGTCCTGCTCGCTGTTGGCGGCACGCTGGCCCAGCTCACGCAGGCGCGACGCAACCGCATCAGCTGTCGTGGCGAAGCCCTCGTCCCTGTGACATGTGGAACATCAGGTTAACAGTATCAATGCATACATTACGTGTTGTTCACTCGGAATGGGGAAAGAACTGCGGCGCTAGTGTAGGTGGCGCAGCATGAGATCAACTGCGATTGCACAAAAAGTAAACATGCTACCAGAGGCAAGACAGCAGATACGACTGTCTATGACGATCAACTACGTGTATGTACGCGTATGAAGGTCGTGATCAGTCCAGAACCTCGCCGCGGCCCCTAATGCCGCCCCGCCATGGAAGAAGTAAGCACTCCTCCTACCTCATGTATGCCTCCAAGCGCATCAGTTTTTTCACATCTTTGCAGTTCGTGATCTGATCGTACCTGTAAGCCAATAACGAGCCCCAACGTCAAGCGATCGACCGCGGCCTATAACATTGTTTAGCAGCAGCCCAACTACACACCCAATGTTGTCGAATTCCGCCTTCTCCTTCTCGTTCAATGGTCCTAACTTGGTTGGAACCGGCATGTTGCTTGCTGCAAACTGCTTAGACCATGCCAGACACTATTAAACTGCACGACGACAAAGAGCTGCGAATACTAATTATATGTGTAGTCTGTCGCCCGTAGATGACGCTGGAACAAGTAGATCAGGCTCCGTGGCGACGTGCATGCTGAGCACAGCAGTACTAAGCCGATGAACGGCCATGCCTTAGGAGGGCAATTGGTTTTGCGTTATCTAGCATGCTTAGTTGACGATATGCTATAAAGTATAGAGCCTATGTAACTTATCCTTCCAGACCACCACATATCAATCCTCGACGAGTCACAAACCATACGCACCATCCAATGAATGCATCCTTGTTGCAGTTTGGGGCTCCTTGCCGACTATGCCATAGATGCCTCAGCCGCCGAGTGAGTCCTGGTGTCGGTGTAAATATGCTTGCTAAGCGCCGGCAACAATTCCGCCCTTGGCCCTTTTATAGGGCGACAAGCTGCTTGCCCAAGCACGTAAAGCTAAAAAGGACCGCAAAGAGCATAAACAACAGCAATTGGACGCTGCAGAGGCTAGTGCAATGCGCTTCGTACTAGGTGCGGTGCTCGATTAATTCTTCTCGCCGTTCTCGGTGTGCTTGGAGGCTGTGGTCTTGCTTGTGGTGAAGTAGAAGGCGACAGAACTGTCCTTCGCTGCAGATGCCGAGGATCAAACCCTGCCTCAAGCGCCGCCCCCTGGCAGCCGTCCCTCTCGAAGACCAGGTGGGTTTGCTGCGGCCCTGCCGTGGGACCGCATGCCTTGCCTCTTGCTGCGCTGCGCCCCTAAGTGGTTCTGTGCCCATGCCTGCTCATGAACCATGTCAAGGCTACAATCGAAGGCTTAGTCTGCTTAGTGGGGCCGGGGTACATGGGATCCGCGCACTCCTCGTCCAACCCGGATCCCACCCTGCTTGGCATCTGCCGTCAACCACCTCCACGCCCGTCTCTCCCACAGACATATCCCCGGGTGAGATCTACCCTGTCTTCCCACCAAAGCCCGGGTCCGAGCCTGCCAGTGCTCCCTGGCGTTGGGACGATGACGACGACAGTGACGCCAGCAGCTCAGACGCGGCGGCCAGCAGCAGCGGCGCCGCCCCCTCCGACGTGCCTCGCTGGAACCCGCGCACCGGCTTCATGCGCACCGCCGCGGAGGTGCAGGCGGAGCAGCAGGAGGCACCAGCAGCAGCGCATGGGACGGAGGAAGGGACGCCAGCAGCAGCAGCAGGACCCGCGGCAAGGACAGCGCCAGCCATAGCTGCTTCAGCGTCTTCATCCCGCGACCAGACAGCGCAACAGAGATTAAGGGGGCGAGCGGATCCACCCTCCTCCTCTTCCCGAGCCGCCTCAAACTTGCAGACCCCACCCCTCAACACCTCAGCGTCGCCAGCTGCTCCCACCGCCTCCCCTCCTCCGCTGCCGCCGGTATCACGCACAGCAGTGCTGACTAGCGCGGTGGGCACGGGGGTGTGGATGGCGGCGCTGGCGCTGTTCGTGCGCAACTACGCGGCCCTCAACGCGGCCGCCACCATGGGCACCGACCCGCAAGCGGTGGCGGCGCTGCTGGCCTGGCCGGAGGAGGGCTTCAGGTCGCCGGCGGAGGTGGGCGTGGCGGTGGCGGCGGCGGCGGCGGTGACGGGGTCGCGGCTGGCGCTCAAGTCGGTGTGGGCTGAGCTGCGGGAGGCGACGGAGCGGTCCAACCGGCAGGTGGGGGGGAGCGGGGGAGGAGGAGGAGGAGGGTTGGGATGGGGAGGACCTTAGAGGGTGCTGGGAGGTTGGAGGCTGTGGGTGCACAGTCCATGCATGCTGGTAAGGGAGTAAGGGGGCCACTGGCGTAGCGTGACTGCGGCGGAGCTGGAAGCTTGTTGTGGACTGTGTGCCAGGGGTTGGGGAGCACGGTGTTGCGTGCGCGGTTTAGCACTCAGTGCCATGCCTCTGTCCATTCCTCACTCATCCAGTGATCCTCATGCCCTTCTTCCGCCCCTTGCCCTTCCCTCCGCCCCTCCCCTCCCTTCAGGTGCTGACCCCGCTGGGCCCCGCCTCCATCCTGCTGGTGGCGCTCGCCTCCGGGCTGCCCGAGGAGCTGCTGTTCCGCGGGGCGCTGCTGCCCGCCACCTTCCCCGACTGGCGGGGGGTGCTGCTGGCGGCGGCGCTGTTCGGGGCGCTGCACAACTCGGGCGGCCGCAACCCGGCGTTCGCGCTGTGGGCGGGCGCGGTGGGGGCGCTGTACGGCGCGGCGTTCCTGGCCACCGGCAATGTGTGGGTGCCGGCGGCGGCGCATGTGACTGCCAATGCGGCCTCGGCGCTGCTGTGGAAGGCGGGGTGGGAGCCGAGGCTGGCGCTGGGGCAGGGGGCGGCCGGGGAGGAGCGGACAAAGCAGCGGGATGGGGAATAGGTGCAATGAAGGTGTGCGTGTTGGTCGGTGGTCTGGAGGCATGGGAGCACGTGCTTAGGATGGAGGTGCTATTGTGTATATAACACTTACCAACATACCTAAGGTGCTCGGCTTCGCGGGGTCGCCCGCACCCTTATCACCCTGTCCTGGGGGCGCCTTGCTGCCTAGTGAAGGCTGCAACGGTAGGGAGGTTGTTGTAATGGCCCGCTGAGCTGTCTCATGATATGACACAATCCCCACATGCCTGTGCGGCAGTGGCTTCGCCCCCAGCTGCAAGGAGTGTAGTCCTACGTGCCTCTGCTAACAGCTGCGCCCATGCAAATGGGACGCCCACGCGAACCGTCGTCAGAGGGTATAGCAATGAGCTCGGTCAAAGACACGACCGCATTACAGGCAGAGAGCTATAGGCGTTAAAATGATAGAGAGGCCAAAATCTTTTCCACCAAAGTTATTTACACAGAAGCGTGGCTCATTAGAGTTGCACGCTTCTACAGCGCTTGCAAGCGGGTTGCAGCGCATTGCAGCGCCTGCAGAGGGGGGCGCCCGCACTCGGATGGAGTGGGGTAACTGGCCAGAAAGCGACATATCCCTCCCAGGAGTGTAGCATACCTCATCTCTTCTCATGTTTTAAGACGGCTGGTACGGTGACCAGCGACGCAACTAACCTAACCCCACTTTAATAACCTAACCCAGCTTAACCGCAATAACCCAACCGCTGGAGGTCCATTGCTCTGGACACAGCATAAAAAGAATTAGTGCCAACCCACATGGGGGAGGAAAGCAAGTGCTTAATACATGATTCCCGTGCGTTTAGAGGTTGCCGGTGAATCACACGAGGTGAGGGAAATGCATGGAACCACTCATTATAGCTACACAGCAGTTGGCTCTCAGACACACAACGACGCACTGCCTAAACAGGGCATTACCGGTGCATACCAAATGATCACAAGGGGAGCGTGCATGGACGCCCCTTACCGAGAGCTCGCACACAGAATCCTGCGTTCGAACCAGCTTCATCGCCCTGCAGGCAAGCAAACTCAACCCGCAACTCTTGTACCTGTACAACCCCCTGGGCATGCCGACCCCCGGACAACAACGGACATCAAGGGCGGCCCTCCTGCGAAAACTGGAACCTGAACTCCGCCCGAAAACAGACGCAGTACTCCTAATCAGTACTCCTACGCGCTCATATGTACCACCCGCACGGCGCATGTACCCGCGGTTCCCGCCGCTACACTGGACGCAGCAGCGCAAGCCCCCTGCTCGCAATGCCCCAGCTGCTAGGGCGTCATGCCCCAAGCTTGGGCGACCTGCACCACCAGCCCACACGCCGAGAGCCCACACAACTGCAACACACCCTATGACAACAAGGCCGTCGGCACAACAGCCAGCACACATGCATGCGAGGATTGCCGCTATCTCCGATTCTTCCAAGTTGCATGTACATATATTTCCTGTGCGTTTCCACTTTTGCATACAAAACTAATAGAGTGCGCAGCCGCCTAGCCGCGCAGCTGGCGGCGGGTGCTGCGGGGAGCCGCTGAGTCGCTGTCCCCGTACGGCGGTGGGGCGGGGCTGCTGCCGTAGTAACCCCCATACGAGGGCGCGGCGGCAGTGGTTTCCACGAGCGCCCTGCGTGCGGCTCCGTAGTGCGGTGGGGCCGGGCTGCCACCATAGTAGCCGCCGTATGAGGGCGCGGCAGAGGCTGCGAGGAACGCACTGCCCTCGGACCCGTACTGCGGAGGCGCCGGGCTTTCGCCATAGTAGCCCCCGTACGGGGATGCAGCGGGCCCTGCAGGGAGGCAGGGAAGAGGAGGAGGCCGATGGGCGGGTTAGCCGAGCCAACGCCGCTCCCAAGTTGCCATGCCAGCATCCTTGCCCCATCCTCCCCACACCCAGGATCCGTGCCTGGGCTGAACAAGACACTAGCAGAGCTACAAGTGCCGTACTGTTGGGCCGTCGCTGGCGGTGGTGAGCCGCACTCCACTTACCCGCTGGCGTCGGACGCACCGGCGGAGGCGCCACTGAATGGCCGAAGTCTGGGGGCGCGGGGTGGTGAAGGTGGGTGAGACGAACTCAGGCGAAATAACGGTTGCACGGCAGTGTTGGCATTGTGAGTACCAGTAACACGAAATCGCACCCTATGGTGCTGGTGCAACTTGGCACAACCCTTAGGCTCCAGTAGCTTAGTAGTCCGACGTGCGAGCATGCAAAGCTGATCCCAAAACACTGCGAGGAACACTCCGCGACGCGCACCTGGTACAATGGGCGACGGGTGTCTCGCTTCCGGCCACCAGGGCGGCAGGAAAAGCTCCGGCCCTAACAACCCCTCGCGGGCCGACACAGCGCCCTCCATGGGTGGCTGATAGTCGGGAGGGAAGGCATCCGGGGGGCTACTCCGCGGGTCATCCACTGCTAAGCTGCCCTCGACCTGATACCGGACAATTGAGCAAACTCAGCAGTGGGACGGCTCTAGAACTTTTGCGTTCGCAGTTTTGGCACACAGTCGCAAATCAAAGTCTAATCTGCATGGGCTAATAGATGCCTGCGCCAGTGATGTCCTGTATGAAGTACCTCTTCAACTCACTAAATGTTCACAATGCAAGCAGCACGGTTAGGGGCTTTGCAGCAGCCGAGCCTAAAAAAGAGCCGAAAACGTATAAAAAGCAACACCCCCTCTAATACTCTTACGGTCATAAATGGCGCCAGAATTAACAGCGCCGCGGCTAGCGAACGGAAAACGAAACTCCCAGAGCTTAATGCGGCCCCTGAAGGCATCATGTTATATAATATATCACTGCAGTGTTGCTGCGGAAGATAACCTGCGCAAGAAAGCGAAGGCCAAATAGGTTTCAAGGATGGAAGCTGCTCCTGACTGTTGTTCGCCCTTGCGCACGCCGCGGCCTACCTTTCCACGTCTTGCCCTTAGACATATACGCTTTATGACAACCGGGGGGCTGTTGTCCAGTCGCCTAGCTCTCGGTGCTAACCCGAACACCGAGGAGCCAAGAGCACCCGCAACGGATACGGCACACTCATAAAATGTGGGAATTGCTTATGCCTAGGGTAATGCGGCCATCTGTCTCCAAGATCCAAGGCCCTTATGAGAGGCGTTCCGTACTGCGGCGAATCATGGTGGGCGCTATGCGCGGCAGAATTTCGCAGCACGCTGGACAAGGGCTATCCAATGCAGGATCTCACATCACAATGGATTCTTTAACTCTAAAAAGGGCGACGGAATTGTGTGCAGCTGGTGGGCGGCACCAGCAGCCAGGCAGCAGCACGGGCGGCCTTGCGGACAGCCGATCGACATTGCCGTAACAAGATCAGAATAACCGGCAAACACATGACACCAATGCTGTCTTACAAGGCATAATAGGATTCAATTCTATTGCGAACAAAGTAGATAGACTTTGCGTTCATCTGCCCTGCCTTCGACAACTGAACAACCCTTATGTTTGTATGCTGATTGCTGAGTAATATATAAAGTGAAACAAATCTTGATAAATGTCTGTTGCATGCCCACCCCCGCCCAACTAACGCACGGCAAACTTTTTCGGTGCTTATCGGCAGTGTTCTTTGTCCATACAAACGGCGCGATGTCGGTTGCACGTTTGCCATCCAGCATATGGGCTGGAGAACCTAATTACAGTACTCGACACTGTTGACATGGCCCTTCCTGTTCCCTGCCCCCTCTGCACATGCCACGCGCAGCACAGCACCGCACGACTGGAAGGACAACGCGCATCCTTCAACGTTCAGCCTATGTTTACATTCATAGCTAATTGTATTGTAGCTTATGCCACTAACTTCAGGGTTGTTGTCACACAAGCCAATTACATAAATCATGCTAACAATTCCACAGCCAGGCACTCGACGGTACAGTGCTACCAAGGGTGTCTAAGATTCATTCAGCCGCCATGCCAATATATCAAGTTGCAAAGCCATTGTCATCGTTGCTGGATTGGTTCCTAGCCTTTTACCCCCTCCGTTCTTCCATGGATATGCTGCAGACTTCGCCCCAGTCCCCTCCACGTCAGGTGAACATACCGAGTAGATTGTACATGACCCTAAAGCAGCATCATCATACATCCATTTACCACACCAATCCGCCTATCCTCAGGCACCCCTAATTAGTGCTCCTCCACAGTACCGGTCACCCCAGTGCACGTCTTAAACAGGCAACCCCGCGTCCCGTGCGCCTACCGCCCCGCCCCACCCCGGACGAGGGCTACTGGAATCCCGATGCCGTGACGTTGCCGTACCGCTGCTCCATCTGCTCCATCATGGGCAGCAGCATCTGCCCCATCGGTGACTGCAGTATCTGCTGAGCCTGCTGGGGGTACTGCTCCTGCTCGGGGCAAGCGGCCGGAGGGGCGGTAAAGGGGGACGGTAGGCGTCACACCAGTCACCCGGAGGGGCATGTGAGGCAGGTGTGCGCCGTGCGATAGACCAGAAGCCCAACAACCTTCCAGTTACCGTTTACAACCCACGTTCAGATACGCCTTCTCAGACGCTGCAGCTGCTGGACCAAGGTCCCATACCCCGGGGAACACAACTGCCAGGCACTTACCGGAATTGGGTTGCCGGTCAACAGCTCGGCCCACGCGTTCGAAAAGTGGTTGCAGTTGTTGGTTATCAGGTTGTAGGCTTGCGGCGTAAAGCGCACGCTGAGGTCCGCTAGCATCTCCTCGCGCACGTCCTTGGGGATCTGCGTTTCCCTGCAGGGAGGGCAGGAAGGGGAAGATGTCTCACATGCAACAGCAGTACAACATCCTGACCGAAGGTCTTAAGGCCGCATAGTTGCAGTTCAGCAAGCTATCCACACTAGATGCTGTGCTGGGGCACTTTGTCCCAATTAGAAGGCCATCCCACCCTGAACTATCGTGAACCACGCATGGACAACTTCCCCACACGCAAGTACACGCACTGCCGCTTACACATATAGAGCAGCAGCAATCGAGCTTGCCCCCGTCAGCTGATAGCCTGGTATGTGTATTCCTAGCACCATACTAGAAGCCGAACACGCTAGGATACCCTTACGGCTCCCAGCTAGATTCCCGGCCTCCTGGTACAGAAACCGACACTCACCCTAGTTCCACGGTGCGCATGGGGGGGCCAAATGGTGTTTGCCCTGCAATGCACCGCTGCACGCCCCCGCCAAAGAAGTACTCCACGCCCCCCACGACCACTGAAGTGTGGTAGACGGCTTCAATCTGGGAACGTGGGGCGATATAGCAGGAGGATTTGGGACGGAAACAGGAAAGGGGCTCCATTCGCACCTGTTGACGTCACGGATGGGCATTGGGGCATTGACCGCAACTGTCTCACCTGCGTCCCTAAAAGCATCGGGGAAAGCGATCGCGCCAGGCCATTCGTCAGGTCGTAGACGTAGAGGAGCACTTTCTCGCCGCTGCTCATAGTGCTGCGCCGTCCGCTAAATGCCGCAATTAGTGCCCCTTGGGCCACAACCCGCCTAATGAGCGGAAAGCGTGTAGCTGTGTGTAAGTTCAAAAGCAGGCGTAGGCTATCTGTAATCCGACTATGTAACGTGACGATAAGCTCCGCGCGATACGTGCGTGTTAGTTATCACGGGAAGCGAAGGGCGCAAACGGTGTTTGGGTGGATTGGTCTAATCAAATACTGTATGTGAATATGTATTAACCAGGGTAGGCGTATGTAGGACCGCTTCGCCTTACGAGAAACCAAAGCTAGGGGAATGAGGTGAAGCCTGTGGAACTGAAGTACTGCATTACCAGCTCAGACACCTATGTTGAATACAGTACTGTTTTTGACCTGATTTGGTATCTCACTAATAGCTATGCAAGCAAGCTGTCGAGGGCTGGCAGGTCTCCGACCAACTGCAAAACGGCGATGCGAGCGGAGGAGCACACTATTACCGTGTAGAGCGGCTTCATGTTGTACTGGTGCGTTGTTTAGCGAAGGCCGGCGGGGAGAGGCCCCCTAACTTCTACGTCGCTAACCGCTCCTCGCGGCGTGTTGCAGCCACGGACGACGACCGGGTGTACATGCGACGTGCTTTGGAGCTAGCAAAGAGGGCCCTGGGCAAAACGCATCCGAACCCCGCAGTGGGATGCGTTCTAGTGAAGGATGACAAGGTGCGCAGCGCTAAGCTTCATGTGCAGGTGCCCAGAAGCACACCACCAGATCCGTCCACTCCAGCCACACTGAAGGCCGCCCGTCGCTGCACATGCCGCCCGCAGCAAACGTACCTGGCAGGAACCTGCACGACCATTACCTGCTTCGCAGGATTTCGTCTAGACAAATGCATGTTCAGCCCAACCGCAACACGCCCGGTTGCCCCGGCGCCCGAGTGCACCCTGCAAGCCAACCACGCACCCCCCGCTCCGCACGCCCCGCCCTGCCCTGCCCCCGCACCCAGGTGGTGGGTGAGGGCTTTCACCCCAAGGCCGGCTTGCCGCATGCGGAGGTGTACGCCCTTCGTGCCGCAGGTGGGCAGGGTGAGGGGATGCTGGCTTGCTGGGGCACCGGCAATGCCGCCCCGCGCTTCCTCGGGAGTGTCCTCGACACAGGTTGTGTAACCTGCACCTGTCCCACCCACCCACCCCCCTCAGGCAACCTGGCTGCGGGCGCCACCGCTTACGTGACGCTGGAGCCCTGCAACCACCACGGCCGCACACCGCCCTGCAGCCGGGCGCTGGTGGACGCGCGGGTGGCGCGGGTGGGTGGGGGCTGGACCTGGGTAGCGGCCTCGCGGTGTGTGGCGAGGCAGTCCCTTCCGCCATCCGCATGTGGGATAAAAAAGGGATGGGAATTCCGCACTGGGCTGGAAGATAGGATCGCGTGTACCGGTAGTCCAATGTAGGATAGAAGGCGCTGCTGGGGAGGCTGGCTGCTGCGGGAATGTGCACTCCGGATGCCTCAGGCGGCCTAGGCACCCGGGATGGCTGTTTGCCCGGTCACCGGATTGCCGTGTGGGGCAGAGGCCACCGCAGGTGCCCACACGTTGATTCGGTGGCCGGGTTGGGTGACTCAGCACGGTAGCCGCCTAGCCGCCCTCCACACCACTGGCGCCACGCCCCGCCGCGCGATCCCCAATGTGCGCCTCCCGCATCGCCAACTTTCTCTTCCTGCTGCATCCACGAGACGAACAGTGCCCATCGAGGCGCCCCCCCCATTGCCACGGCATACAGCTCATTATAACCCCCTTTGCCGCAGGTGGTGATCGGAGTGGGCGACCCCAACCCGCTGGTGGCCTCCGAGGGTTTGGCCACGCTGGAGCGCGCCGGCATCCAGGTGGTGCTCATGGACGGAGCCGAGCGGCAGGCGTGCTACGACACCAACCGGGAGTTCATGGCGCGCATGGAGGCGGAGGCGGCAAGCAGGGGGAAGCCCGCTGCGGCAGCGGCTGCTGCCGAGGGAAATGGAACTGGGGCATAGTAGTGCTTAGTGGTGAGGTCTGCACACCGCGCCGTGTCGGCATTTGGTGACCACGGGTGCTTCGAGGGTTTCATGCTTGGGGTGAATACCTAGGCTTGCCATGGATAGCGGTGTAAGCGTGTAACATGTAGCTTTTGCTCAGGATTTGCGTCAATTTCAACCCCTGCTTCATCCCCATATAGAGTATAAACATTCCCAGTTGCACTAGTTGGCATTGTGCACTCACTTATGCCACCCTGCTGTCACGCGGTACGGTCAACCGTCCGCCCAAAATGGAAAGTGTGGCCATCTGGCAAGCGAGGTATGATGCTGCTAAGTTGGAATTGGCGCGAGTAAAGGACAAACGTGTATACGTTGTGCCTGAAAACGACGGGAGTATCGGAGTATGCCCGACGCATGAAGGCCGCGGACGACGTACGGCAAACACTTCAAGGTGCCGTGGTCCTTGCAATTGACCAGGAGGCAACAAGTAAAACGAACAACTGCAAACATGTGGTATATGGTCGTTTATTTTGACGAGGGCATCCATGCGAACTAACGCAAGGAGCCCTGAAGAATGCTTGTTTTTTGTTGTATAAGAAGTATGTTAAGCAGAGCATGAACTAGTATTGATATACACGGGCTTCTATGGCCACAGCTGGAACTTGGAGGACCAAATGTCGACTCCAGGCATGACCACGCTCGCAGATAGGGTGGAGCCGGTGCCGGAGGCTATTCTTCCAAATGTAGGACGCCTTCTTTTGGAACCGGCGCAAGGAAAACGCCCTGGTAGTGGAGTCGTGACAAATGCTTAGCGGGGAATGCTTGGTGCAGGCCCTAAGACAAAGCCCTGGCAGCGTGGGGCTGTTCAAAGATGAGTTCAGAGCGGCACAGCGACTCCGCTCCTCGGAAAGCGTATTCATACCCGAGGTGGGGTGGTGTTGGGGTGGGGTCGGGTGGGGTCAGCTGTCTTGGGACACTGGGGTCCGGAGAGACTGCTAAAACACTCGAGGGCCCTTGCGACGTTTATTGAGGATGCACTTGTGTAGACTGGACTGCTCCACATACGGCTTATGCTTAACGCACACGGCCAGTCTTGGCTTGAGCCACAAGTCCACTAGCCTACACGAGACATGCTGTCATTCTCCGGAACACAACGTAACGACATGCTAACAATTGGGGGCCTCGCTGCACATGTCAGGTCCTCCGCACCACACACCCGCCAGACCTGCCACCCCAGGGTGTGGCTGCGGCGCCCGCCCCAACCTACGTGACGCCACAGTCAGCGCGGCCGCCCACGGCTAAGAAGCACCTTGGGCCTGGGGCCCTCAGCAGGCCCGTATCCAGCAAGAAGGTCCAGAGTAAGGCTGTTCGGGCGGCTGCGACCGGGAGTTGCTTGGCATACCTCGCCCATGCTGGGTCTTACACCCTCCCCTGCCCCTCCCCTGCATCCACTTAGGCGTTAAGGACCGGGGTCCGGAGTTTGTGGAGGCGCTAAACACGCCGGGTCAGGACTGGCTGCTGACGCGGCAGACCCGCGCAACCAGTCCCACCCGACCACGGCAGCCGTCAGAGTAAGCGCAGGGGTCCCTACCTGGGGGTTGCAAGGCTGGGGGTCGCATGGGGGGGGGGCCAGAACATATGACTTGGGGCCTGGAAGGCATTGATAAGGCGGTAGAGCCTCTTTATGCGATAGCTGAACCATGAACGCCCAAACCAACATGGGTTCCGCATTTGGCGCCGCTGTACGGGCGGAGTTCCTCTAAGAGGTGGGGGCAACGTAGCCTCCGGCGGCATGTACCTGCGTGGCGTGGGACCCCACCCCGCACTCCCTCCCCTCCCTTACAGGGTGCGCCCCACCTCGGCGCTGGATGTGGGGCTGCAGGCCCGCGTGATGACGGCGCATGCAATGGCTGGTTCAGCGGTGGTGGGGCTGGACGTGCCGCCCACCATCATCAGCGGCAGCACTGGCGGCGCCAAGCCGGGCCCCTCACCGGCCTCTCGCGCCTCCGCGGCAGTGGCTGCAGCGGTAGCTATACACGCGGAGAGCGCGCTGGGCAGTACAGGCCTGGCAGCTGCTAACGGCGGTGCCGTCCCCAGGCTGCCCCGCATCCCATCCCCTGGCACATACTCGGCTGACGCCGTACAAACCCATGCCAGTGCTCTGCTGGCCGCTGCGGCCGCGGCAGCCAGCCGCAGCAGGGGCCGCCCGGTCAGCGCCGCGCCCAGTGACATCACCGCCTTCATCCAGGACGTCGCGGACGATGACCGCTTCGCCAACGAAAGCGCAGCCCCCAGCCGGCCCATTAGCGCCTATCCCCCGCACCGCGGCTTCCAGGGTAACGGTAAAGCCGCAGCGCCCGCCGGTGGCCGGGGCCATGTCGCCAACGGCCAGGCAGCCGGTGCTAAGGGCAGTGACGGTGCGGCGCTGCGTCCTTGGACGAGCAAGCGCGCTGGGTTTGTGGATACCACATCCGACAACGCGACAGCGGGCTGCGTGCAGCATCTTCGCGCCGCCTCAGCTTCCCTGCGCAAATACACGGTGCCGCACAACGCCTCTGCGCTCTCAGGCGCCTCCACAACATACGCCCGCAAACCCCGCGCGCCGTACACAAATGACGTCAACACCCCCACTCCCTCGGAGCGCATTGCCAACAATCTGTCGCCCCTGGCTCGGGGGCTGTCACCTCGCACGCTGGAGATCCTGTCCCCTGGCGGCGTGTCGCCCACTGCGCTGGGCCCGCTTCCGCACCCCACGTGGCGCGAGGTGGACGATGTGGAGGAGAGCGTGCCTGAGGCGGACGGGGTGCACACGGCGGCGCGGAAGCACATGAGCTACATGCCGCTGGAGCTGTTTGACAACCTGGAGTATGACGCGCACACGCCTGCGGAGTGGGTGCAGCTGGGAGCAGCACATGGGGTGAGGTGTAAGCGTGTAAACACAGATCCTAGCTTCTAACACAACACGCAGTAATTTGGGACGTGTTGGGTTGCTGGGTATGCGTGGGTGCGGTGAAAGGCGCCGGGATGGCACGCGTCGCTGGTTGTGCCGCTGTGTGGAGGCATGCGCATGGAGAGGTGCGACTGGGGTATTCGTGCTTGTGTGAGGAGTCTGCAGTCCTTGCGTCGGAAGCTCGCGGGCGGGTGGTCCTCCGTGTGCCTTCATGCGGCGATGGCTTTGCGTTGCGCAGCATTAGCCGGGCGTTAGTACTCTCCAACCTGCGCCGCCCCTCCCTGCCTCCTCCCTTGGTGCCCTTCGCTACGGCCAGGGTACCCCCGCGGAGACGGTCATTTACAACATGGCGTCCGATTCCAATACCTGGATTGATTGTCGCGTGCTGTCCTGGGACGAGGCGGAGCGAGTATACATCGTTTCCTACAACAGCGCGGCCAACACCGGCTTGAAAACAAAGAAGGTCAAGCGACTGAACCTGCGCTTCAAGGTAGGAGGGGCATTGGGCTGTTTTCTGTAGCGCCGCACACAAGACATTGTCTTCTAAGCAATGACGCCTGCTGACCTTGCGTTAATGCATGGGCTCTTCACACAAGCAAACAGTGTAGGAGACCTTACCGAGCTGAGGTTGATCTTCCCCTTCGCTTCCTAACCGCACCCTCCTCTGGTCTCTCGTCCACCACCTTACCCCCAGGAGGAGGACCCCGGCCTGTTCGAGCGGCGGCTCGCGGACGCGAAGGCGGCTCGCGAGGAGGCGGAGCAGGAGCTGCGGCTGTTCTTCTACATTGACAGCTTGGCGCTGGTGGAGGTGCTGCACACCTACAACTACGCAGCCGCACTGCAGCGGGTGGCGACGCAGGTGGGGGCGGGTTGGCGACTGTCCTTGCAGCTCAATAGCAGTGGACCATGCAGTGGACACCGAATCAATGCTGCTCCTCGTGACCAAGTCGTTGGTCGTTTTCAGACCGGCCACCACTGGATGCGCCTGAACCCGCCACTTGCCGCGGACTGAGGCACCGGCGTCTTGCCGCAGCCTGTCAGCTACATTGTACAGAGGAGCTGCGAGTCCATCGCCATCACATCTCCATGTTGCCCACACTCGCTGCCCTGCCTGCCCCCTCCTCAGGTCCGCGGCCTCCACCCCGCCACCCTGGACCGCCTGGCTCCCGACCTGCTGGAGGACGCTGCCGACTACTTCGAGCGGGCGGTGAAGCGGGCGGTGCTGGACTACCGCAGGTGCGCGACCATGCTGCTGCTGCTGCCGGGGTTGCATGCGGGGGCAGGCACTGAAAGCATGGGCGGTGTGTACTGTGACGTGCATGCATGGGTGTGGGCAGCTGCTAGGGTAGCGACTGTCCTGTACGGCGATCCAGCCTTCTCTCAGCGCTGCGTACCGGTATGCACGCATGTTTCCATGCTCGCTCACAGCTGCAGCTGCATGGGGTTCTGACCGCTCCCTCAACCATCACCCCTCCGCCACCCTCCCCAGGCTCGACCCGCTGGAGGAGGGCCGTCTGAAGGTTCTCCGCCTGCCGGATCGGCGCGCCAGGCCGCCGGCGCCGCAGCACGGCCTGCTGCCGCTGGTGCCGCCGGGCTGCCGGGAGCTGGTGGTGGCGTTCGGCGACGTGCTGGCGTGGAGCCGCGCGCACATGTTTAGTGCGCTTCCGGAGCTGCACCGCGCGCTGACCTCGCTGGCGGGCATGGTGGCGTGCGTGGGCAAGCAGCTGCTGTGGTGCATGGCGCCCATGTCGGAGGAGTTCAAGGTGTGGCTGCAGGGGTGGAGTTTAGGACAGGGGTGGTTCGTGCGGGTTTGTGACTCGATAGCATTTTGGTCTGCAGTCGGTGCTCGTTGCAAGTGTGGCTAAGGCGTTCAGACCACCTGCTGACGGTATTTATACATGCATGCAATGATCCCAACACGCTCCCCTCCCGCAGCAAATGCCGGGTAACGACTACGACATTTCGGACGCCGGCGAGCTGCCCTTCCCGCTGCGCAAGTTCGAGGCGCTGCAGCACGCGCACCTGCGCCACGTGCTAAAGTTCGCGGAAAAGAAGATGATCGAGGCCATCGGGCTGTGTCGCAGGGACGGGCCGCTGGCCAAGCTCCTCAACGACGGCAAACAATACGAGGTACGCGGTGCAGTGCAGTGCCCGGTGTGGTCCTGACAAGCGCGGGGACATGGTACGTTTGTGCGCCATGTCGGGGGTTGTATGGTTGGCACGTGACTGGGCTAGGGCTGGGGTTGGCGCACCGCGTGCTGATGCATGTCCCGCTGTCTGGTTGGAAGGGTGAGCCTGGAAGGGTACGGTTGGCCCCCTTACGGCTGTGGCTGGCTGTGCCATGTGTGTGACTACCGGTATGTGCGGTACGGCGCTGCAGGAGGAGGAGCCCATCAGCGACGCACACCGCAGCTTCCTGCGGCGGCTGGGCCTGCAGGTGGCTGCGGAGATGCACTCGCTGCTGCAGGCGTCGGCGGGCGCCTACGCGGACACGCTGGACACCTTTCAGGTGGGCCGGGAGGACTGCAGCGGCGGGTGGACACGGGGTGTAACTTCCCGGAGATGAGGGGAGCTGACTTCGTTTGGTGAGGAGGGTTGCGTTTGCCACGCACACGCACATCACTGACCCGGGCTTGGCGGTTACAACCTCACCACACAACTACCGGTACCGTTCTGATGTGTGAGCCGCCTGGCTAACAGACATGTGTACAACGCGCATGCTCGCTGTGACGTTGCAGAAGTACGAGCCCTCCATCGCCACTGCGGGAGCTGCCTCGGTGCCGTACGGAGCCGTACGGGAGATGTTTGCGGAGGGCGCCTTCCTCACGCTGCACCTGCTGCTGGAGTCGTATGACCCGGAACCGCTGTCTGAGGACGAGCCGTCCGAGCATGGGGAGGACGACGAGGACGCCGATGAAGAGGCTGAGGCGGAGGCTGCGAAGAGGGCTCGTGACAGGCCGCCGCCTGACATTCGTGTGGGCAGCTTCAAGATCCTGCTGTCGCCGTCTGCGGATGAGATCAGGGATGTGGTGGTGGGGCTGTTCGAGGACATGGTGCGGGACGTGGGACAGGTGAGCAGCTATGGGGGCCGCTGCCAACCCCAACAACACCTGGAATCCTGGATACGACCATCCTAGGGACGGGCAGACGGCGATTTTGCTGTGAAGTATTGCGTGGCAGCATGATCACATCCAGGCAGCAGGAGGAAAAAGACACCGTGGCAACCCATTATCCTCGCGCCTACAGTATCGCTAGCCAGCGAACGGTACCAAACAGCCCCCCCTTCCTCGCACTTCTCCGTGCAGATCCCCAACATCTTCACCTCCCCCCGGGCCGCCGACCGCGGCCTGGAGGAGTTCCACGACTTCGACAGCGACCAGCCGGGCTACGAGCTGGCGCTGCTGTGCAACCCCGACGCGCTGTCGCACGACCGCCAGGTCAGCCGGGCGCACCGGCGGGTGCGGGACGCGGTGGCGCATGCCATCGAGCGCGCGGAGGAGGTGGCGGTGCTGTTCGGTACGGCTGCGGAGGCGCTGGCGGTGGACATCCCCTCCATCCTGCGCCAGCTGGAGCCGCTGGCGACTCCGCTGGAGCAGTACCACAAGTGGATCGGCGCGTTCCGGGCGGCAGCGCTGGCGGCTAGCGTCGCGGCGCCGACACAGGTGCGGTAACTATATATCGCTCGCACGCATTGGGATAGCACTTGAAACACCATGTCTTTTCATTCAACCTGGTGCCTTGTGCGCTCTCAAGTTTTACCTCACACGCGCTCTTTCCGCCCTCCTTACCCAACCCTCCCCCGCCCCCCCCCCCCACCCCGCAGGTGTACACGGGCATGCTGCTTGTGGACACTCAGCCGCTGAAGCACGCACTGGCCGCCAAGGCTGCTGCGGGCGAGCAGGCGCTGCTGGACCAGCTGAGGAGCAAGACCATGGACGTGGCGCGGCGTGTGAGCAGCCGCTGCGAGGAGCTGTCGCTGAAGGCAATGGCGGTGGCCACCGGGGTGCGCAGCGTGCTGGACCTCAAGGTGGGTGTGGCCTGGCTGCTGCTCCTGCTCCTGCTCCTGCTCCTGCTCCTGACTGGGAGCCAGGTTGGGCGTGGAAATGACGTACTACCGGCAGTCCTAGTCCTTGAGCAGCACGGGGTGCTTTGATGAGGAGCTGGAGCGAGGAACTTTGCGTCATGGCTGCCGCCCAGGGGCTTCTCCATGTATGGTAGATGATACTGTGCCTGCTTGGGACACCGGTAAGTGATGGTCATGGTGCTTGGTGTGGTTGCCGTGCCGCAGGCCCAACTGACAGCAACCGAGGCGGAGGTGTCGGACATGATGACCTGGCTGGCGGCGTCACGGGAGCGCGATGCCGTACGGTTCGCGTACCGGCACCCCACGCCGGATGACGACGTGGAGCTGGCGACCGCGTCGCAGGCCTGGCCGAAGCGCATGTTCGAGACCCTGGAGCGGTGCGTGGGGGGTATGAAACCACGGGTGTTCCTTCCAGGGCCATGGTTTGGGTGTGGCTGCCACTTGCACACGGATATAGTGAAAAGGCCATGCCCCACCCATCGGCCGTGGCTCCGTTCCGGACGTCTATTGAATTGCTGAAGATTGACTAAACCGCTTGCTGGCCCGTGTCTTGCGTGTGCGTGCGTGTGTGTAGCGGCTGGCTGAAGCTGCGTGAAGAGGACCGCGCCTTCCAGACCAAGCTCAAGGCCGCCCGCGACAAGCTGGCTCTGGACCTCACGGACGTGAGCCTGTCGGTGCAGTCCTTCAAGGAGATCAGCACCTTCGAGGACATGGTGCGGCCTGGGGGGGCTGGGGCATGCGTGTGTATGTGAAGGGGTGGGGGCTGTAGCGCTAGCGCTGCGACCCTTGTTGCGTGTACCCTTGTGCCTGGCTGTGTCTTTTGGGGGCTTTGAACACGTTATGCTCAGCACCTCTGCTTGGAACACTTCCGTTACACATCATGCCGTGACTCCATCCCTCCCCTGCACCCCGCCGCCCCGCCCCCACCCCCTCCCCACCCTGCAGTCGGAGCTGGCGCACCAGGGCGAGTCGCTGCTGGTGCGCATCCAGCAGCTGTCCGACACGGCCGCCAGCATCAACGAGGACGAGGCGCTGCTGGGCTGGGAGGTGAGGGGGACGCGCGCGTGCGTCACTGTGACACAGAGGAGGGGTTAGTCACGGTTGAGGTGTGGGATGGGTTCGGGTCCGCCTCTGGGACCCGGGACTCGGTCTCGCCGGACCTCCCTCCGTTCGGTGTGACATCTTTTGCATCGTTGTAACGCCGGTGACACATCACTTACGGTATACACATGTCGTTCGGCTGCATGTCCCTGGTGTTGCCGGTGGTGCCGCCCTGCTGCAGGCTGCGGAGTGGCCTGCCATCCGCGAGCTGCAGGTTGAGCTGGAGCCGTACGCCTCGCTGTACACCATCACCAACGACTTCACGCTGCGGCGGGAGGACTGGCTGTTCGGGCCCGTGCGGGACCTCAACGCGGAGGAGGTGGAGAACAACGTGGGCGAGTGGTTCAAAAAGGTGGGCAGGATGGGCAGTGTGCGGGTGATGGCAGCTTTGGACTAGCATACCGTACTGCCCCCCAGTGTTATGACCCAGGATGCCGCGCTGGCATGGGACATGCCGGGAGGATTGGCTTGGTGAGCAGGAGCACGAGAACCATGTGGTGTTAGGGGGAGACAGGTTTCTTATACAGACAGTAATAAAAAGGAAAAGGTCTAAAAAGGTATAGAATTATTAACTTACAGCCCAAGGGGCCTGTTTTTAATTTGTTAGAACCTTGCAAAACCAATACAGAAATTGCTAGGATCCAGCTGAGCAGTTGAGTGGCGACTCTTTACGTCTCCTCCCCCCCCGGCCCCCTGCAGACTGCGCGGCTGAGCAAGAGCCTGCCGCGCCCCGAGCTGCGCGCGCTGGCGGAGAGCACCCGCTCCAAGCTGGAGGAGTTCAAGGAGTACGTGCCCATCATCATGGCGGTCTGCAACCCAGGTGAGGGAACGCCCTGGGGAGGAGAGGCGGGCGCAGGGGCGGAGTGTGCGATAGCGCTGCAGGTGCTAATCTGCTTATCGTTGCTTAGCTGGGGCCCTGGTCCGATACGCGTTGTCACGTGTGGTGTTGAGGTGCGCTAGGTCATGTGTGGATGTCCCCAAGCCTCCTTCTGCTCCTCCTCCTCCTCCGACTGCTGCTGCTGCTGCAGGCATGCGCGGGCGGCACTGGGAGCGGCTGTCTGCGGCGCTGGGCACGCGGGTGCACCCCGGGGCGGACGGCGAGCTCAACCTGCAGAAGCTGCTGACGGTGGGCATCGCATCGCACGCGGAGCTGCTGCAGGTGCGGGGGGGGGGTGTGCATGGCTGCGAACTGGCCTGGCATGGCATGGCATGGCTGCGAACTGGCCTGGCATGGCATGGCATGGCTGCGACAGGCAAACATGGCTTGCTGTGGCCTGGATTGCGGCCTCTGTTAGGCGTGTTACCGCCGGGTGTTCCCATACCGGTGCATCACTGGGCTGTTACTCCTTGCATGGCCTCATCTGCTGAGTATTCCCCCCGCCCACGCTCACTCCAGGACCTGAGCGACGCGGCCTCCCGCGAGATGGCTCTGGAGCGCTCGCTGGACCGCATGGTGGCGGAGTGGACGGGCGTCAAGTTCGAGATCGTGCCGTGGAAGAACACAGGTGCTGTGTTCTTGCACGGGAGGGGAGGGCTCCTGTCCTGGTAGCCCTGGTCCTGCAGTGCGGCCTGCAGGGCTAGGACTAGGGTAGGGTGCCGCATGACTGCAGCGAACATGGAACGGCACCAAGGTCCTCACCCCTACCTCGCAACTCACCCCCCTCAGGTGGTTTCATCCTGAAGGGCAGCTGCGTGGAGGAGGTGCAGATGCTGCTGGACGACCACACCGTCAAGGCGCAGGCCATGCTGAGCAGCCCCGCCGCAGCGCCCTTCCTGGAGCGCATCGAGGACTGGGTCAAGAAGCTGGCCAGCATGCAGGTGAGGAGGCGGGGCCCGGGGCGCGTGCGATGGCGTCTGCCTTGATAGGGCAGGGCAAGCTCTGCCGTTCCGCTGCCTTACACCCAGCAACAGCAAAGTAACCCATGTACCGGAGTGGCTCGAGGACTTGGGCAAAGTGGTTAGTTTGGTGTTGCATGCAGGATATCATCGACGCCTGGATGCTTGCTCAGCAGAAGTGGATGTACTTGGGCCCCGTGTACGGCAGCGAGGAGATCGCAAAGCAAATGCCCAAGGTATGTTGGTCTGTGGAATGCACCCAGCTGCACACGCGGCACAGCGCTATGCAGCGGATGTGCTGCAGGACGGCTGAGAACCCCTAATCACTCCGCCACGCTACTGCCCAACGCCTTGCAACCCGCGAACCAATTTTTACTTGCTCCGAGCATGTGTTGATGTCCTTGTTACCCCCCTCCCGCGCGGCCTTAGCTTCCTCGCCCGCTCGTTTCCTGGCCCCCTGCAGGAGCGGTACGAGTTCCAGGCTGCCGACACGCGGTTCCGCTCCATAATGAAGGCGGTGACGCGCAACCCCGAGGTGCTCATCTTCACCGACACGCAGGGGCTGCTGGGGGACCTGCAGGTGGGCGCGGTGCTGCGGGACACCTTGCAGGGAGGGGGGAGAGCTGTTAGATCGCATGCCGCATGTCCCGAGTCATTGACAGAGTGGGGGGTACAGCCTGGCGCAACGGAGTGCATACCTTAGTTTGCCATTCAGTTGACGCCATTCTGGCACTAAGAATATATAAAAGAAACTGGACCGAGATTGCGCCCTGCCCCGCCAACCCTGCATCTACCGTTTTGTGACGCACCTGCAACCGCCCCAGAGCTGCAACACCTCCTTCAGCATCATCGAGCGCTCCCTGGCCGCCTACCTGGAGTCCAAGAAGCTGCTGTTCCCGCGCTTCTTCTTCCTCTCCAACGACGAGCTCATCGAGATCCTGAGCGAGGCCAAGGAGCCGCTGCACGTGCAGCCCTTTGCCAAGAAGATCTTCGAGGCAGTCAGGTAACTGCAGCTGCCTCGCGTACCAGTAACTCCCGGGGGGTAGCTCTCTGCTGCGCTGCGTCATGCTGATTGCGCCATGCTGCTTGAGGAGGACTGCGGCTGTGTGCTCAGCAAATACCTGCATCCTGTACCGCCGCTGTGATGCATGCGCATACATGCGTGTATGGTTTCGAGCCGTTCATTCCGCATGTAGCATGTACATGTGCCTCTCTCTCAAGCCGCCGCGCATCTGCACCCTGTGTGCGTCTGCGCACCCTGCGTCCCGTACCCTGCACCCTGCAGTGAGTTTGAGTTCAACGGCGACCAGGAGATCACGGCGCTGATCAGCATCGAGGACGAGCGCATCCCGCTGGACCGGCCGGTGGTGACGGACAGCGAACTGGCGCCGGGGGTGGAGTTCTGGCTGATCAAGGTGGAAGAGCAGATGCGGGCCAGCCTGGCCACTATCACCAAGAAGTCCATCAAGGTGTGGGGCAGCTGGTCTGCGTACCGGTTGCTTTATCTCACGGATTACTGCGGCCTCAGTCCCGCAAAACGGCACCAGGCCAACACCCACTCTTACCTTACCACGTAGACACCCTGGTACATGGTACAGACCTCCGCAGTGAGTAGCCCACCTCAGCCCGGTACTGCCGTCCGCTCGTCGCGTCCCCCTCCTGCTGCTCCCCTGTCTCGCAGGCCTACGCCTCCACCCCGCGCGCCAAGTGGATCCTGCAGTGGCCGGGTCAGGTGGTTCTGGCGGTTGCGCAGACCTACTGGACGATGGGTGTGGTGGATGCGCTGCTGGGCGGCGGGCTGTTCGGGCTGGTGCAGTACGGCGACCAGTGCGCGCGGGAGCTGATGGAGGAGGTGATGCTGGTGCGCGGGCAGCTGAAGCCGCTGGAGCGGGCCACCATTGGGGCGCTGGTGGTGCTGGATGTGCATGCGCGCGATGTGGTGGCGGAGATGGTGGCGGATAAGGTGGGGGGGGCTGTGGAAGTACGGATGGGAGGGTTGGTGGCATGACCGCCGGGTGCATAGCTAGGGTATCGGTAGCATGCGCTGTGTTGCCGTGAAGGGGCGAATATACGGAGCGTGGCATGCAATGTGGATGCCATACACGTAGCGTGGATTATGAACATCCACGTATGGCATGTTCATGGCATTCTGTGCTAAAACGCTCTGCGTCCTCTCGTCCTTTATGCGACGTTCTCGCATTTTTCTTGCCCCTTCGCGCCCCCACCCCATCCCACCCCCACCCCAGGTGGCCAGCGTGGACGACTTCAGCTGGCAGAGCCGGCTGCGCTACTACTGGGAGAGCAACACGCTGGCGGTGCGCATGCTGAACGCGGAGTGCACCTACGGCTACGAGTACCTGGGCAACAGCTCGAGGCTGGTCATCACTCCGCTCACCGACCGCTGCTACCGCACGCTGCTGGGGGCGCACCACCTCAACCTGGGGGGAGCTCCGGCGGGACCTGCGGGTACGGCCGGTTGGGATCACAGATGCTCGGTGGAATGGGTGTTCCTTGCTGCACGACCATATCGTTGTATGGTGCCTTGTTGCCATGCGTATGACGGACGAAGAAGCGCCTGTGTTTTGCGCACTGCTTACACGTCTCGGTCATGAGCCCCCATGCTTGTCACCCATGCCAGGCACGGGCAAGACGGAGACCACCAAGGACCTCGCCAAGGCAGTGGCCATCCAGTGTGTGGTGTTCAACTGCTCGGACGGGCTGGATTACCTTGTGAGTGGAACCACGCACTGGCAGTCGTCCAGCCCGCGAGCAAGGCAGCCCGAGCTGCCGGATCCCTGTTACCGGTAGTGGAATCTTCACGTGATGACCAACCAGCCCTGCTTCACAAGCGTTACACTACGGTCGATCGCAACACCATATCAAGTGCACGAAGCCGCATGAGACTCCTGGGTTGGCAAACTCGATGTCACAAATCAGCGACTAGGCGATGCACGACCACGTGTCTTAAGAATCACGATCACAAACACTGGTGGGCCTTTTGCCTCATGCTGACTGTCACCCGCAATGCGCCGCCCCTCAGGCGATGGGCCGCTTCTTCAAGGGCCTGGCTGCCAGTGGCGCCTGGGCCTGCTTCGACGAGTTCAACCGCATCGAGCTGGAGGTGCTGTCGGTGGTGGCGCAGCAGGTACCACCTTGTGTGTGGGCGAGGCTGGGATCACAAAGGGCTTGCGGATTTTGGCATACTTTGGCGCTCGGGCTCGGTTTGATAAGCCCTTACCTGACCGCCGTGAGGTTACCGCTGTATGTGTGGCCTGCAGGTGCTCACCATCCAGCGTGCCAAGGCCGCCGGCAAGAAGCGGTTCCTGTTCGAGGGCACGGACATGGCGCTAGTGCCCACATGCAACGTGTTCATCACCATGAACCCCGGATACGCTGGCCGCTCCGAGCTGCCAGACAACTTGAAGGTGCGGCGGGAAGGAAGCAAAGGGCCCAGTCCCCGACTCCTCGTTTCTGTCATTCCCCGCCCATTCCGGACGCTGAGGCCCTGTGATTATGTCATTTTCACCATGCGGGCCTCATCGCGTGCATCCTGAGCTCCGCCCCCACTGCGGCACTGCAGGCGCTGTTCCGCGACGTGGCCATGATGGTTCCCGACTACGCGCTCATCTCCGAGATCATCCTCTACAGCTACGGCTACCTGGACGCGCGCGCCATGGCGCAGAAGCTGGTGCAGACCTACCGCCTGTGCTCCGAGCAGCTGTCCAGGCAGGACCACTACGACTATGGTGAGGGGCGGGGCGGGGCGCCGGTTGGGCGGCATAGCGCAATGGGCTGAGGTTTACGCAACGGGCGACTACCTTGCTCCTGGCAAAACGCGACCAAGGGGTACCGGTGTTGGGGTATCCTGGCAAGCGCTGCGTCCTGGAGTCCCCTGCCCTCACCTCGCGCCGGCTGTGTTCGCGCGCGCTGCTGCAGGCATGCGCGCCGTGATGGCAGTGCTGCGCGCCGCCGGCAACCTGAAGCGCCGCTTTTCCGACCCGCGCACCGCCAGCGATGCGTACAGCGAGCCGGTGCTAATGCTGCGCGCCATCACGGAGGTGAATCTGCCCAAGTTCCTGGACGAGGACGTGCCGCTGTTCAGGGGCATCCTGTCCGACCTGTTCCCGGGTGAGGGCAGGAGGCGCTGGGTACCTTGGGTTCCGCCAACCGCGGCGCCCCCTGTGGCCCAGTGGTCATCTTACGCGCAGCACATGCGGCATACCGTAGCCCGCTCCTTGTCTTGTCCGAATTGTGTTGCATGGTTGCAACGACTGTGCTTCACCATTCTGGTCCGGCCAACCCGCAGGTATCTCGCTACCCCAAGTGGACTACAATGAGCTCACGGCGGCGCTCAAGGCCAACGCCACGGCCATGAACCTGCAGCCGCTGCCCTCCTTTATCGAAAAGTGCATCCAGCTGTTTGAGATGATTGTCGTACGGCACGGCCTCATGCTGGTCGGCCGCTCCTTCAGCATGAAGACCGTGGCCATACGCGTGCTGGCGGCGGCCCTGGGCGACATGTGCGCAGCAGGTGCGGGCAGGATGAGGTACACCCGGCAGGAGGGGGTAGGGGGGTGCTAGCCGGGTCGCCAGTCGGCATTCACCATGCGACTCGGCAGCCGGGTTATGCCAGCAACCCAAGGCCCTTGTATCCCCCCGCTCCCCGCAGGCCAAGGCGAGCGCAAGGTGAAGACGTTCACCATCAACCCCAAGGCGGTCACCATGGGCCAGCTGTACGGCCAGGACGACCCGCTGTCCAAGGAGTGGACGGATGGCGTGCTGGCGGTGGCGTTCAGGTGCGGCGGCGGGGGGGAGGGAGGGCGGGTGGCGGCACCCGTGCTTGTAAGGGGCCTGGAAAGCGGCTACTGATGGCTGCGCTGCTGCTCTGAGCGGCCCTTGTCTTTGCATGGGTTGCCCTCGTTCGTCTAGGTCTTATCAAAGCACACCAACTTTGTGTCCTTGCTTTTCACGGCACCTGCATTGGACGCCGCAGGAGCGCTGCTCGGGACACCTCGCCAGACCGCAAGTGGGTCATCCTGGACGGCCCGGTGGACGCCATCTGGATTGAGAACATGAACACGGTGCTGGACGACAACAAGAAGCTGTGCCTCAACAGCGGCGAGATCATTGCCATGCAGGTCTGTAACACACACACCTCTCAAAAATGTTAACCTCAACCACTCCTCCTGGTGTCTACATATCGTACTCATTTTCGGCTGAGGCATGCCTTGTGTAATTCGGTCTTCAAAACCGGTGATCGATCACAGCGCTAGGACCCAGGCCTTTGTCCGCCTCCTCCTCGCATCCTTGCCTGCAGGGCCTGATGAACATGATCTTCGAGGTCCAGGACCTGGCGGTGGCCTCCCCCGCCACCGTGTCCCGCTGCGGCATGGTGTACATGCAGCCCTCGCTGCTGGGCTGGCGACCCATTGTGGACTCCTGGATGAACACGCTGCCCGAGTGCGTGGACCAGGAAATCAAGTAAGTGCGTGCGGTGCGCGCCTGGACACTCCTCGTATGCAAGCCAGCTGTCAATAATCTTGTCGCTTGTTGTACCTTGAGCGTCCCGCACCTACGGCGCCCTTTTTGCGCCCCTTCCTGCCCCTCCACGCAGGGACTACCTGCTGCGGCTGCTGGCCTGGCTGGTCCCTCCCTGCCTGCGCCTGGTCATCAAGGACTGCACCCAGCCGGTGCCCTGCCAGGACCTCAACCTAGTCACCAGCCTCACGCGGCTGCTGCAGGCGCTCATGCTGCCCTACCTGCAGCCGCCAGCACCAGCCGCCGCCCCGCGGCCCGGTGTGCCTCCATCGCCCCTGACCCCGCCCGTGGTTCCGCCAACCGCCGACCCGGCTGCCCAGCTGGCCACCATCGAGTGCTTCTTTGTGTTTGCGTTGGTGTGGAGCCTGGGCGCCACGCTGGATGCTGCCGGCCGGGCATCCTTCAGCGACCACCTGCGCAAGTTCCTGCGGGGCGATTACGGGCAGTACGGCATGTACGTGATGTCGGAGCCGTGCTACCTGCGGAAGTTCATGCCGGCGGAGGGCAGCGTGTACGACTGGGTGTACGACACTACGTACGAATCATGGCGAGGTAACAGCCTTTGCCTTCCTTGCCTTGCTGGCAGCCCCGCGAGTATGCATTGGCCGACTGCTTGAACCGTTTGGTCGTGGACATATGCCTCCTGTGGGGCCCCTACCACATTGTTTTCTTGGCAGTCGACGTTCCATGCCAGACCGGATTCCACTTGCACCCGCCTCTGCCCTCAGGCTGGATGGAGCTGGGCAAGGCTCAGAGCATCAGCCCCGATGCCGACTACAGCACCATCATCGTGACCACCGCCGACGTGGTGCGCTACAGCCACCTGCTGGCGCTGCAGGTGGCCAACCACGTGCCGCTGCTGCTAGCGGGGCCCACCGGAACCGGCAAGTCCGTGTACATCAAGTCATTCCTGGCGGACAAGCTGGACCGAGCCAAGTGGACGCACATGGTGTTCAACTTCTCGGCGCAAACCAGCGCCAACATGACACAGGTGGGGCGCCGGCGCCCTGGTTGCTTGCCATACACCCTCATTGAGAGCCAGAAATCTGCATGCATGGGCGGTGGGCCCAAAAGACCGGTATGCGAGGTGCCAGGGCTGCAACCTGCGGGCATTTAACCGTGACGCTCTATGCGCCGTAAGAGGTACGGTACATGTAGGCGGCTACAAGCTGTGACCGTGCCCCTGTGGCCTGGCTCCCCTGCAGGACATCATCGATGGCAAGCTGGACAAGCGGCGCAAGGGCGTGTACGGCCCGCCGCTGGGCAAGCGCTGCGCCGTGTTCGTGGATGACCTCAACATGCCGCAGCTGGACCGCTACGGCGCGCAGCCGCCCATCGAGCTGCTGCGGCAGGTCATGGACCACGGGGGCTGGTACGACAGGCACGACAACAGGTGCGGGTGCGACGCAGTCAGTGCGCGTCCCTGTTCATGTCCCACCTTCATGCCACCAATGAAGCCGCTTGGAGTGAAAGAGTGCAGTTTTACCGTAATCACGCCATGCTGTGCCTGTATCTTCTGCCGCATACGGTAACCACATCTGCTGTGTGCCTGACCTGACCTGCCTACCCTTGCCCTCCCCCACACCCCCCCCCACAGTTTCCGCAAGCTGGTGGACCTGCAGTTCCTGGCCGCCATGGGCCCCCCGGGCGGCGGCAGGAACCCCGTCACCAACCGCTACCTGCGCCACTTCCACGTCATCTACGCCACCGAGTTCGACGCCGCCTCGCTCACTCAGATCTTCAGCGCGCTCACGGACTGGTGGTTCACCCGCTGCAAGTGAGGTGTCTGGACACCGCAGGACCTGCTTGCTCCAAAAATGAAGAAGAAGCGGAGTCCATGCTCGTCGTATGGCTCTCGTGCTCGTGCGCAGCCCCTGTTGACCGAAACAGTATCCTGTTATGCCTTCACACTTGTGGTGACCGCTGCTGCTGCTGCTTCCGTCCCCGCGGTGCAGGTACACGGACGACGTGGTGGCGCTGCGAGCCAAGCTGGTGGCTGCCAGCCTGGCACTGCACGCCAGCGTGTCGGCCAACCTGCTGCCCACACCCGCCAAGACGCACTACATATTCAACCTGCGCGACCTGTCCAAGATGTTCCAGGTGGGTGGATGTCACCGCTGCATGGCCCTGCCTCCCTCCTGCCTTAGAGGTCTCCAAGATGAGTGCCACCAGCCAACCTTCTTTCGCAGTACTCCCGAAAGGCCGCGGAGCCGCCTTTAACACCCACCAGCATGCATGTCTGGGAACGCCTCCCTTGCCAAGCCGGCCCATGCCGCCTACGGAGTCCTACCCGTGCCCCCCCCCTTCGCCCTGCAGGGCATGTCCTTTGTGGGCGAGGCGCTGGACAACGAGCCGGAGCGGCTGCAGCGGCTGTGGGTGCACGAGGCGCTGCGGGTGTACCACGACCGCCTGGTGGACGACGCGGACAGGGAGTGGATCGCTAACCAGATCCGCACGCAGGTGGAGAAGCACTTCAGTACACGCTTCGACAAGGTGGGGGTGGCGGCGCGCGCAGCGGTACTGCTGCGACGCATGATGGTATACTGGGCGGGCTGGGGGTGTATACCGCATGACTGACGCCCTGCGGGGTTCTTCCCATGCCTGGCTGCAGCTGCTGTCGCGGCTGGCTGGCGAGGGCGGGGACGGCAGCCGGGCGGCGCGTGTGGGCGCTGCCAGCCTGCGGCGGCTCATGTTCGCGGACTTCCTGACCCCCGGCGCCGAGCCGCGGCGCTACGAGGAGGTGACGGACTTTGAGCGGCTGACGGCCGTGGTGGGCGTGTACCTGGGGGACCTCAATGCGGGTGAGTGGGCGCGTGCGCGGGGGCGTACGACAGCTGGACATGGCCCGCATGGGGTGTAACGCAGAGACCGGTAGAGGAGCGGGTGGGTGCTGTGAGCCTGTGTGGAACTGCGAGCTGGAACACTCCGTATCCAAAGCTACCGGTAACGTAGGATGCGCACGTCGCCTTGGCTCTCCCAGAGTTAGACCACACATGCCCAACCCGGTGCCCCCCCCCCCATCACGGGACTCGTTGTTTCACATATTTAATTTTTCCCCCCTCATCACGGTGGTGCTCCGCAGGCAACAAGAAGCCGCTGAGCATGGTGCTGTTCCAGTACTGCCTGGAGCACGTGTGCCGGGTGGCTCGCACCATCCGCCAGGCGGGCGGGCACGCGCTGCTGGTGGGCGTGGGCGGCAGCGGGCGGCAGAGCGTCACGCAGCTGGCCAGCTTCATCGAGGACTTCCAGGTGCGCGCGGGAGGCGAGGGGTGGGGGGGGGGTAACGAGGAAACAACGAACTGACCGTGTGGAAAGGCGTCATCATGGGAAGGCGCGGGGGAGGAGGGGGCTGGTGCTGTGTACCGTGCGGTATGCGGGCTTGCTTGAAGCGGTCTTACTGTGTTTGGCTTTGCAGGGAGCAGGCAGGGGTGCCTGCTTTGCAGAGCATGCTTTTGGTTCCCTCCTGGTGTTCCTAACCCGCTCTCTGCTGCCCTGCCCTGCGCGCGCCCCCCCGCCTCCCCCCTGCAGCTGTACTCCATCGAGGTGAGCAGCTCGTACGGCATGTCCAACTGGCACGACGACCTGAAGGCCGCCATGCGCACCGCCGGCGAGAAGCACAAGGACGCGGTGTTCATGTTCAGCGACAGCCAGATCCTGGACGAAACCATGGTGCGTTGGCCGTTGGGGCAGGCCGGGCAGGGACCGGCTTCCTAGGGAGCCGTTGCTTGGGTAACGCGCCCAGCAGGACACGCGCCAAGCCGTTTCCCACTGACTGGCGTCCTGGCGCCGGTTGCAGGTTGAGGAGCTGAGCAGCCTGCTCAACACCGGCGAGATTCCCAACCTGTTCGACGCCGGGGAGCTGGCGACCATAGGCGAGAACATCCGGCCCCGCGCGCGAGCCGTCCGCATGGATGGCAGCAAGGCCGACCTCTACAACTTCTTCGTGCAACAGGTGCGCGGTACACAGGGGCTCACCCAACCAAAACGCACTCCTCTTTGCCTCCTGGTCCTTATGGTCTCTCCATGCGCAGCAGCCCACATCACCACGTATGTCCTCATCCTCTTCCTCCTTCTCCCCCACTCCGCCTCCTCCTCCTCCGCCGCCGCCGCCCGCAGGTTCGCCAGCACCTGCGTGTGGTGCTGTGCTTCAGCCCCGTGGGCGACGCCTTCCGCGACCGCCTGCGCCGCTTCCCCTCGCTCATCACCTGCACCACCATCGACTGGTTCACGGTGTGGCCCAACGACGCGCTGGCCTCCGTGGCGCAGCAGGCGCTGGGCGAGCTGGCGCTGGACGGCAAGCTGCGGCACCAGCTGGCGGAGCAGTGCGTGCACTTCCACCTCACCGCGCGGGCGCTCACCGACAGGTGCGGCAGCAGCAGGGCAGCGCAAGGCGCAGAAGCTCCCTGCTTAACTAGGACCCAAGCTGTCCTGGTTGGAATGATCTGGAGTGAAACCTAGGATCCTATTCTGGCCAGGAGGGGTTAGTAGCTTAGTACCACCTTGTTGTCGGTGATGCTGTAATTCCTGTAACGCTGACCTGCCGTGCCCATCCGCTGCTGCAGGTACCTGCGTGAGGCCCGGCGGCGCTTCTACGTGACGCCCACCAGCTACCTGCAGCTGCTGGACTGCTTCAAGAACCTGCTGCGCCGGCAGCAGCAGGCGGTCAGTGCGCAGCGGCGGCGCTACGAAGTGGGGCTGCAGAAGCTGGCGTCCACGGAGGAACAGGTGAGCGGCGCGCGGTGGGGGGGAGGGGACGGGGACGGAGGCGTGGGAGGGGCGGCAATGTAAGGTTGGGATCGACCAGTGAAAGAAAGGGATGCCCGGGTGTCCGACCATCCAGGAGTTCCTGGGAGGTGCAAGGCTGCGCGTTGTGTGTGTAGCCATTGGTTGCCGTTGGTTAGCCGGCTTCAGTGGTGGTCCTGCAGCTGCGGGCAGCATCCACTTGCCCTGCAGCGTGTGTGAGGTAATGCACGTGGTGATTCGGTTGGTCCGCGCTTGTGCGCAGGTGCTAACGATGCGCAAGGAGCTGGAGGAGAAGCAGCCGCGCCTGATCAGCAGCGGGCGGGAGACGGCGGAGCTGATTGCGCTTGTGGAGGCGCAGACGGCGGAGGCAGACAAGGTCAAGACGCTGGTGGAGGTGAGTGCTGCAGTGGTGGGAGGAGCAGCGGTGGACCCTCGACACGCTAGCGAAAGCTGTTGCGATGGGTTTCGTTAGGCTTGGACATTCAGGCCCCTATACGGGCGCTCGTTGACAAGCGCAAGCGCTTAGGGGGTACCGGTAGCGCTACCTACGGCCCATGGAGACCGGGTTGGGGCCCTGAGCGTCCTTTCCTGCGCGCCGGCTGCAGGCTGAGGAGGCCAAGGCCAAGGAGGAGGCGGACAAGGTGGGGCGCATCAAGAAGGAGTGCGAGCACGACCTGGCCCAGGCCATGCCGGCCTACAATGCCGCGATCAAGGTGAGCGGGCGCGCAGCTATGTAGCCAGGGATTGGGGTAGCAGTGAGTGCGGCGCGGACGGGAACGGGAACGGGATGTTCGCCTTAGTTGCTGCCTCGCCCCGTACCTCTCCTCAACGACCAAGGTAGTGCTCTGAGGGCACACACCCTGCAGATATGTACACTCCACCCGGCTACCCCACCCAGTGTGCCCCTCTCACCCCGCCCCCGCTCCCCCGCCCCCGCCCACCCGCAGGCGCTGAACACGCTGACCAAGAACGACATCAGCGAGGTGAAGGGCATGAAGGCGCCGCCCATGCCGGTGCGGCTGGTGATGCAGGCGGTGTGCATGCTGAAGGGGCTGCAGCCCACCAAGGTGAAGGACACCAACACCGGCAAGTTCGTGATGGACTGGTGGGAGTCGTCCAAGCGCATGCTCAGCGACATGGGCTTCCTGGACAGCCTGGTGACGTTCGACAAGGTGCGGCGGGGCGGCGGGGGGGGGATTGGGAGGGGGTTAGGTGCGCAGGGTAGGTGAGATGTTGAGCCACTTGGAGGGAGAGAGGAAGGCTTTGCTGTGATGGTTGGTTTGAACAGAACCTATCTTACCTTGCGGCCCCCCCCCATGACTGCCCTGCATTTCACACCGCTCCGCAGGACAACATCCCCGCCGAGGTGATCCAGGCGCTGCAGCCGCTGCTGTCGCACCCCGACTTCCAGCCCGCCAAGATCAAGAAGGTGTCGCAGGCGGCGTTCGGGCTGTGCAGCTGGGTGCGCGCCATGGACACCTACAACCGGGTGGCCAAGGTGGTGGCGCCCAAGCGGCAGGCGCTGCAGGTGCGGCAGCGCGTGAAGGGGGAGTGCACCCACAGACACGTCTACCTGGGTGCTCGTTAGCAACTCCTTTCCATGGAAGCCGGTGTTCAACCCTCCTTGACTTCATTCTTAGCAAATGGGAACGCCTGGGAACGTTGAGAACCGTGTGCCAAGCATACTAAGCGGGTCTGCTGCTCCTCCCCTGTTGTTGCTGTGGTTGCATGCGTGCACGCAGGAAGCTGAGGAGCAGCTGGCAGCCGTGATGGCGGACCTGGCGTCCAAGCAGGCGGAGCTGCAGGCGGTGGCGGAGCGGCTGGCGGGGCTGCAGGCGCAGCTGGACGCGGCCAAGCGGCGCAAGGCGGAGCTGCAGGCCGACGTGGCGCTGTGCGAGGAGAAGCTGGACCGAGCCACCAAGCTGATGGCGGGGCTGGGCGGCGAGAAGCTGAGGTGGAGCCAGAAGGTGGAGCAGCTGGGGAAGCAGTACGTGCGGCTCATTGGTAAGGCGTCGGGCGCTGCGAGGGGCATTGGTGCTGTAGGTTGGAAACTTGCTGTAACGGCTGAAGCCATGTTGGCACGAGGCCGCGCACAGTCTTGCCTCTTGCCTGTTCCCTTCATCCACCATCCCTCAAGCCGTCCAGTGGTGTGGCGCCCCCCCTGCTGTACCCCTCCCCGCCCTCTCACCCCCGCTGCCACCACCCCCCCTCCAGGCGACATGCTGCTGTCCGCCGGCGTGGTCGCCTACCTGGGCGCCTTCAGCTCCGAGTACCGCGCGCAGGCGGTGGGCGGCTGGCTGGCGCAGTGCGCCTCGCGCGCCATCCCCTGCTCCGAGCACTACTCGCTGCTGGGCGCGCTGGGCAACCCGGTGGACATGCGGCAGTGGGCCATCTGGGGGCTGCCCAAGGACGACGTGAGCGCGGCCAACGGCATCATCGTCACGGAGAGCTCCCGCTGGCCGCTGTGCATTGATCCGCAGGTGGGGCAGCAGGGAGGGGGCGGGGGGTGGAGGCCCGTGCAGCCCTGGGGCCTTTAAATTATCGCAGCTGAGGAGGAGGGCAGGAGGGGGGCACTGCATGCCGTACATCTCCCCCCACACGTGGCCGCTCCTTCCCCTCCCACACCTGTCTCCCCCCGCCCGCCCGCCCGCCCTCCTGCAGGGCCAGGCCAACAAGTGGATCCGCAACATGGAGTCCTCCCGCCACCTGCTGGTGCTGAAGCCCGCATCCGACCCCAACTACCTGCGCTCGCTGGCGGCCGCGCTGCCGGTGGGCACCCCGGTGCTGCTGGAGGGGCTGGGCGAGCGGCTGGACGCGTCGCTGGAGCCGGTGCTACTCAAACAGACGTTCAAGAGCGTGAGTGGGGCAGGAAGGTAATGAGAATGACTACGTTGTGTTGGAATGCAGGGCTAAGCTGTCATTTTGGTAGACTGGAAGGCGGATGCGTGTGAATGTCAATACATATCCCAAGGATATTTTGAAGCTCTTAAGCTCGGAATTCTTGCATCATAAGCCTACTTCCGTCCCTCTGGCCGCAGTCCGGGATACAGTGCGTCAAGCTGGGCGACCAGATTGTGGAGTGGGGTGCCGGCTTCCGACTCTACATGACCACCAAGCTGCGCAACCCGCACTACCCGCCCGAGGTGCGTCTGCGGGGCAGTCGCGTGATCCCTGGCACCAACACCACAACCACCCGTGCCACAACCCCAACGGCTCGGCGAGGCCTATACAGCTATAGTAGCTGGTATATCGCGGGCGCCGCCCCCCCGCCCCCCCCCGCCCTCCATACCCCCTAGCCCCTCCCTCTTCCCTCCCCCCGCTCAGGTGTGCACCCGCGTGGTGCTGCTCAACTTCTGCATCACCCCCGCGGGGCTGGAGGACCAGCTGCTGGGCATCGTGGTGGCCAAGGAGCGGCCGGAGCTGGAGGAGGAGAAGAACAAGCTCATCGTGACAGGTGGGGGCGGGGGGCGGAGGGTGGGGTGGTGCACTCGGGGACCTGCGCTCATGTGGCGTCCAGCCGTCCACCTGCAGCTGCTGTTAGTGACGTGCACAACCGCGGCGTGTACGGTGTCTGAGCACGCCGAGGAGGTTCGAAGGATGCAATGGTATCTTTCCACAATGCCGTTTGGGTCTGACGGACATGTGTGATGCGCCTTCCTGGCGGGTACCGGTACATGCACCTGCAGGCGCCGAGAACGCCCGCAAGCTGGTGGAGATCGAGGACCAGATCCTGGCGGTGCTGTCCGCCAACCAGGGCTCCATCCTGGACGACGGCGAGGCGGTGGCGGTGCTGCAGGCAGCCAAGCAGCTGAGCGCGGAAATCGCAGTACGACAGCAAGATGCAGCCAAGACGGAGCTGGCCATTGACAAGGTACGGTATGCGTCTACCGTGGGCATGGATGATGGGGCCCAAGGTACAGGTCCCAGGGCGCCACACAGATGCCACCACGCCGTGCCCATGTAACCCTACCCGGGCTTCTTCCCTCCTCTTTGCTTTCCCCCCCTCCTGCAGGCTCGCACCGCCTACCAGCCCATCGCCAAGCACGTGTCCGTGCTGTACTTTTGCGTGGCGGAGCTGCTCAACATCGACCCCATGTACGCCTTCTCGCTCAACTACTTCATCCAGCTCTTCCTGCGCTCCATCGAGGACAGCCCGCACCACAACGCCGTGCCGCGCCGCCTGGCGCTGCTGCAGGAGCACTTCACCTTCTTCCTCTACGTCAATGTGTGCAGGTACGGCATGCGGACGGGGACTTGGGGCAACCCCGCACCAATCCCCTCTTTGCACAGCTGTTCACGGCGCACTGCAGCTGCGCATGTGAACGGCAATGTTGCAACAAGGCACGGGCAACTTTCGACTCTAGCCTGATGCATGCTCGCCGCCCACTGCTGAACACCCTTCCCTCCCACCCTAGACGTACTGGCTTGGCTAATTCGGGCTGGGCGGGTCGGGCTGGCTCACATGTTGCGAACCATAATGACGCCTTACCGGTATCACACAGTCAGTTAGTTGTTTCCTCTTTACCCCCCCCCCTTCCCCAGGGGCTTGTTCGAGAAGGACAAGCTGCTGTTCGCCTTCACGCTGGCCGCCAGCATCCAGGTGGCGGCGGGCAAGCTGGCGCCGGAGCAGCTACGCTTCATGGTGACAGGTGAGGGGGGAGGGGGCGGGGTATGCAGCATGAGCTCTGTCCCTGACGTAGCGCATTTTGCTTGCGTCAGATTTCTCTCTATACCCACCCACTATGAGCGCAAGGAGGATGCGTGTTGGGCGTTTGTCTCTCTGGGCGTGGCTGTTGTGGCGTCTGCCCAAGCAGAGGGCATGGCATCCTGGCACATGCCTTCGTGCTTCTACTAGGCTGTTCAGGAGCCGTACTTGTTCGCTCCCTGCCGATCCAGTCATCCGGATGTGCTGCCCACACACCCTCCCCTCCCCCCACAGGCGCCCTCTCCATGGACAACCCGCACCCCAACCCCTCACCCAGCTGGCTCAGCGACCAGGCCTGGTCGCACGTGTGCGAGCTGGAGGGCGTGTCCGAGGTGTTCACGGGGCTGCGTGAGAGCTTCGCCACGCACAACGCCAAGTGGCACGAACTGTACGACAGCCCCGCGCCGCACCAACAGGTGCGTGAGGGGCAGTGGCCGCGCAACGGAAACAGGCATACCTCCAACAGTTAGGCGTTTGTCTTTCTGATGGGCTCCTTCTCAAGGTGACACATGTCCGGTATCTTTGTCCCGCCCCCCTCCTCTCCCCCCCAGGAGCTGCCTGCCAGCTTCCAGGAGCGCTGCGACGCCTTCCAGCGGCTGCTGCTCATGCGCTGCCTCACCCCCGACAAGCTGGTACCCGCAGTGGCGGCATTCGTGGCGGGCAGCATGGGCACACGGTGCGTGCGTGCGTGCGTGCGCGGTCGGTGGGGCTTGCGGCTGCCTTGTGCAGCAGGGCGCCACCACCCGGCTGCCTCCGCTAGCTAGCTCGTGGTATTGGTTGCGTATCTCCCACGCCGGCTCATTGTAGCCAGGCTTGTTAATGCAGCTGCCACCCGCCGGGAAGGCTTGACCCTTGCGAGCGCATGTGCCTGCTTCCCAACATGCTTACCCCACCCTGGTTGGTGTTGAGAAAACTTGCCGCCACTCTGTATGTGTCAAGAGTTCTGAGCTGTGTGCGCGTGTGCATGCAGGTACATTGAGCCGCAGGACTTCAAGCTGAGCTCCATCTTCGCGGACAGCTCCTCCTCCGTGCCCATCGTGTTCGTGCTGTCACCCGGCTCCGACCCCATGGCGGACCTGTTGGCGTTCGCCGAGGACAGGCGCAAGCAGGTGGGGGGTGCCGCTAGCATGGTGCGCTGCACCCTGGAGGGCACAGTTGCGGAAGTGCTTCATGCCTGGCTGAAGACATAGGACGAACCTCAAACAGAAATGCCTGATCCCTCTTATCTGCCTACCCTACCATGCTCCCTTTCCAGGTTGAGGCAGTGAGCCTGGGACAAGGCCAGGGCCCCATAGCAGAGCGCAACATCGCGCAGGGCATCAAGGATGGGCGATGGGTCGTCCTGCAGGTAGGGGGCCTCCCACCGGTGACATGCTGCCACAAGCATCATCAGTGCCGTGCGGGCGGTGCACGGGCGCTGCAGTACGTTGTTGGAGGCCACCCATGAGAAGTGTTACCCGAGGCATCGTGTTACCAGACGCACACCATTACCACACTACATGCTGGGAACCATCAGGTCTGTAACCCCTCTCGCGCTCGCCCTCCCTGCACGCCCCCCTCCCCCCCACCAGAACTGCCACCTGGCCAAGTCCTTCTTGCCGCGTCTGGAGCTGCTGTGCGAGCAGCAGCTGACGGAGGGCGACGTGAACCCCGACTTCCGGCTGTGGCTCACCTCCTACCCTTCCGACATCTTCCCGCAGTCCATTCTAGAGAACGGACTCAAGATCACCAACGAGCCGCCCAAGGGGCTCAGAGCAGGTGGGGGGCGGGGGTGCGTGCGGTGGCGCGTCAGGCTGTATGCCCAGGTTCCAGCGTAGCACCTGCATGCTGCATGCAAGTGTCCTTTGTACTCTCCATCCTAGAGAAGTCCCTTGTGTCAAGGCATTGTTCGGCTAGTCGTTACCGTAGTGATACCGGTACTTCCCGTAAGTGCGCCCGGAGCGACCACCAGGCTTGCTGCCAACACCTGCTGCCTTGTACTCCCCGGCATGCGGCCCCGCCCCGCCCCTTGTATCCCTCCAGGCATGGAGCGCATCTACAAGAGCGAGCCCATCTCCGACAAGTCCTTCTTCGACGGCGCCATCCGCCAGCCCGAGGCGTTCAAGCACCTCATGTACGCGCTGGCCTTCTTCCACTGCGTGGCGGTGGGCAGGAGGTGAGGCGGGCGGGGGGGGGCGGGCAGCTGCTGGCGGCTTGGTGCAGCTCCTCTAGGGTTGCTGGGTTGCGCCAGGGGTACCGGACCACCGGGGGCAAGAGGGTGATGCTACACGGCCATCTGGACTTCCCCCACGACGTGCCCTGCGGCTTTTCTTTATGTCCCATGTCCCACCCCACCCTGCTGCCGCCCGCAGGAACTACGGCCCCGTGGGTTGGAACATCCCCTACGCCTTCAACGAGAACGACCTGCGCATCAGCCTGCGCCAGCTGCGGCTCTTCCTGGACGAGCACGACTCGCCGCCGCTGCGGATGCTGGTGTACACGGCCGGCGAGTGCAACTACGGAGGCAAGGTGAGACGGGGCGGGCTGGTCAGCTGGCACATACCAGCGCTACCGCGGTTGGGGCGGCTGCTAGCCGTACCGAGTCACGGAGTCCTACGCCCGCTACAAGGGACGTGGTCGTTGTCGCCAACGTCGCAAGCGTGTGCTTATGTTGTGCTCTATGCCCCACCGTTACTCGGGGTCTCTTGTCACCCGGCCCCCCCCCGCCCCTTCCGCCTCCCCCCTGCCTTCCTGCTTCCTGCCAGGTGACTGACGCCAAGGACCGGCGCACGCTGATGACGCTGCTGGAGGTGTACTACCGGCCCCAGGTGGCGGCGGGGGACGCCAAGCTCACACCCAGCGGCACCTACACCATCCCGGAACTAGGTAAGGCCACCTTACGTCTTGCCTGGTGTCAGGATTTGGTATATCGGCGCACCAGCTGAGCCTATCAAAAATCCTATACAGCATGCGTGTCCGCAAGTCCTGCGGCTACGCGGTGAGTCCGGTGACGTTTCCACCCACCAGTGCTGCTGCCCTGCTGCTGCCCTGCTGCGCCCAGGGGACTACGCGCACTACCTGTCCGTGCTGACCCGGCTGCCGCTGGGCGAGGCGCCCCCCGAGGTGTTCGGACTGCACCCCAACGCCACCATCAGCCGGGACCTGGCGGAGGCGCGGCAGCTGCTGGAGGGGCTGGCGCTCACCACCACCTCGCTCACGGCCACCAGGCAGACGGAGGAGGCGGGCGAGCAGAGCGGTAAGGAGGATGTTAGCTACCGGTATAATGCCACACGATGCTTCCCGTAAAGGCGTACAACCTAACTCAGTTGACAATTTGTATCGCTACTCTCCGCCGCCCTCGCCCTCACCACCGTCCTCCCTCTGCTGCCCCCAATCCTCCCATGCAGACGCCCAACCCCGTGTCAACAGCGGCGGCGGCGCTGAGGCGGGTGGCGGCGGGGCAGCCGGCGGCGCCCACCATGGTGGCGGCGGTGGTGGCGGTCTTCGCTCCCTCGCCGCCGAGCTCAGTGCCAAGCTGCCCCCCGACTTCGACCTGGAGGCGGCCGCCCGCAAGTTCCCGGTGACCTACCTGGACTCCATGAACACGGTGCTGGTGCAGGAGCTGGGGCGGGTCAACGTGCTGCTGCAGGTGCGGGGGGAGGGAGGGGGGGACGGGCTGAGGTGCCCGTGCACATGTGTGCGATGTCCATTGTGTGGGGTGTGTTCAGACCTGGGCTTCGGTGGGGGCGGTGCATTGTGCGCCATGCCCCTCACCCAGCCTTTTGTGGTGGTTCTCAGCCTGCTGTGCTGGATTTGTTGTACCTTTTCCCAACCACATCACCGGCATACCCCTGTCCCGCCGCCCCCCTCAGGTGATCCGTGTGAGTCTGGAGGAGCTGGGTCGTGCACTGCTGGGCGAGGTGGTGATGAGCGGCGAGCTGGAGCGTGTGGCGCACGCGCTGGGTGCGGGCAAGGTGCCGGAGCTGTGGCTGGCCAAGTCCTTTCCCAGCCTCAAGCCGCTGGGGCCCTACGTGAAGGAGCTGCTGGAGCGCGTGGCGTTCTTCGACACCTGGCTCAACAACGGCCCGCCGGTAGTGTTCTGGATCAGCGGCTTCTTCTTCACGCAGGTGGGTAACGAGGAAACAACTGACTGTGTGGTGGTGGGGGGAAGGACAGGCTTCAGGGCCTGGGACGGCTAGTCGCGGAAAGCGGGACGCAAGGGAAGTGCGGTCTTGCAGGCCTGCTCAAGCTTAAGCGGGACGAAGGATATTGTTCAGTAAGGGAACGGTCGGGAAGGCGCGTCGTTGTTTGGACCTTCTACGGCTCCCGAGTACTCAAGTCCTGCCCATGCTGTCGTTGCTGTTGCCATCCCACAACCTCGCCCCACAGGCTTTCCTGACCGGCGCCAAGCAGAACTTTGCTCGCAAGCACCACGTGCCCATCGACCTCATCGACTTCCAGCACCTGGTGTGCGACGGCCCGGACGACGTGGCCGCAGCGCCCGAGGACGGGGTGCTGTGCAGCGGCATGTTCATGGAGGCGGCGGGCTGGGACCCGGTGGCGCACCAGCTGTGCGAGAGCGAGCCGCGGGTGCTGTTCGTGCAGCTGCCGCCCGTGCACTTCCGGCCGGCGAGGGTTGGGGAGGAGGAGGAGATGGTGCAGGTGGGTGGGCGGGCAGGGCTGGGAGGGCTTTGGGTGGTGGCGTGAGTCTGTATGTGTAACGTTGCATGTGGTATGCTAGTCACGAAGCTGTGTTCCACGTTCCCGAGGCAATGGCTACGCAATGACGACGCCCTGTTTGCTTTCCCTCTTCCTCCGCAGCTTCCGGAGGGCATGGTCATGTACACCTGCCCCCTCTACAAGACCAGCGAGCGACGCGGCGTGCTGTCCACCACGGGCCACTCAACCAACTTCGTGTGCGACGTCAGCCTGCCCTCCGCGCAGCCGGAATCGCACTGGATCTTGCGAGGGGTTGCGCTCTTGACATCACTTGACTCGTGACAGCGCCGTGACATAGTTGTGAGCTAGTCGCGCCGTGACCAATAGGATAGCGTGCGAAATCCACTTTAGACGACAGGCTGACAGGGCAGACACCCGCGTGCATATACCGTATTTGCTGCCGAGTGGGCAGTCCGGGTCGACATTTTAAGACCTCTTGATGGACATGGCTGCATTAACACCGCTATTTTATTCTTGTTCTGGACTTGTGATCTTGAATTGCCAGAGGGCAGTTTGCCCAGTTGATCCTGGGCAAGAATTGGATAACCCGTCGGGATTGTACCAGGACAGGTGTTTTACCTAGCGTATTACATGACACTGGTCGTTGCCAGAATCTCGTGAACCGGCATTTCCTTTGCCCTTGCTTCCTCCATCTGAGGCTTATAGCGCTGAGGCAGGTTCCCTTGGGTTGGATGTTGCAGGTGATCTTCCCGATCACCTGTTTGTGATGGCAGGCAGTGTAAGTACATAGTATAGAGAGATGTCCAACGGCATGAAATTCATGTAAAGGGACGCGTGCTGTGCTGCCGCCCACCCAAGGCCGCCTCGGCTAGCCCTACTTGCCGAGCCAGCTAGGAGGCATAGTTTGTGCCCAGCATTCAGACGACTTTCAGGTATACAAGGAGCATTTACTGAAAACGCAAGGCGCTTAAGAATGCGGCGCGTACAATATTGGGAATGAGTTGTCTGACTAAGGGTGTATTCCTAAACCCCATACTACATATAAGGCTCATACCTGCATAGATGTATATCATACAGTACTACTTATCAAGGAAGTGCGCACACACTGGATCAGGCTGTACCTTGTGAGATAGGATCGGCCATTTGCATTCCAACGCATAACAAAGCAGGTAGCATTGGACATCGTCCCCAGTATAGTTAGCTTGTTTAGGCATAGCGTTGAAGCTAGTATAGGTGAGCTTAACGACCTTGAAAGGATTTGGCAGTGAGAGTTGCAAAAGTACTCACAACTTCATATTCAATAATTTTTAACGAGTAATTCTGTTTGCAATGAGCTCTTCTGGTAATCAGCAACAATGCCGAAGGCTTGGCAGGTGGACCACTGCAGAGAAGGCGCTGGAGGGAATAGACGTCAAGGGTGCGCCTTGTATTTACTGAGGCTCGTCTCTTGATCAATCTTAGAGCGCAACATCCTCTGACCTGCCGATACCATCACAGGCAAGGTCGCCATCGTGACTGGCGGGTCTTCCGGTATTGGGGTGGAGACATGCCGTGCCCTTGCGAAAGCTGGCGCACGTGTGTATCTGTGTGCACGCGACATGGCCACGGCTGAGCGCGTCGCGGAGGACATCAAGTGAGCAGGCCCCGGAGCACCCACATGCTGCCGGGCTAACCGCAGCCTTGTGACGTGCTTTCATCCCCCCTGGCGGACACACAACTCACGCACTTGGCCCAGCTCCTGTTACGGCTCGGAAGGCAGTCATGCGCTCGCGTTATGCTGGCATGTCTACATGTCCTTTCCTCTCCCGAGCCGGTACACCTCCTTCCCTACTCCATCCGCCCATCTTCCATCCCTCACCCCACTCCCCCTCGGCACACCCACAGACGTGCGGCCCCCGGCTCCGACGTGCGGCTGCAGCTCCTGGACCTGTGCGACCTGGCCAGTGTGCGCGGCGCGGCGGAGCAGCTGCGGGCGGCGGAGCCGGCGGTGCACATGCTCATCCTGAACGCGGGGGTCATGGCTTGCCCGCTCATGTGAGGGGGCAGGGGGCCGGGGCTTACCAGGCGGGATGTGATCAGTGCTGGGAACTGGTGGCCTTGGGTGCAGGGCCAAACCTTAGGAGAGGAGCACTTGAGGCGGAGAGTGGAGGTGGTGGTGGTGCATGTCGGGGGACCTGTTGGAGGCACCCGGGTGATCCCCGGGTGAGGGCCCACTAGCCCCGCATAGCGTCCTCAAGACCCCAGACCCCGGGCCCTCGGCTCGCAGGCACACCAAGGACGGCCTGGAGATGCAGACCGGGGTGAACCACGTGGCTCACTTCTACCTCACGCAGCTGCTGCTGCCCGCCCTGACGTCCCACGGGTCGCCAGCCCGTGTGGTGTCCGTGTCCTCCAGCGCGCATGCATTCGGCGGACTGGAGGTGGACGACCTCAACTGGGAGGCGCGCGCCAAGGCGGGGAAGTACGGCCCGTGGATAGCGTACGGCCAGAGCAAACTGTGCAATGTGCTGTTCGCCCGGGAGCTTGCCAAGAGGTACGTCTGCGGCTAAAACTAGGAACAGGAGGAGGAGGTTGCGGATGCTTTAGGGCTGTTGCGACTGGCTGCTGGCTCAGTGTAATGTCCGGTGTGTGGCGGCATGCTGTAGTACGGTGGCTGGCTGGAGTCGCCAAACGTCTTGAAGCTACAGCACGATCAGGGTAACCGGCCGGTCCTGAACCGCCCGGCTTGCCTAGCCCCCCTTCCACGCGACCCCACCGCCGAGCCCCTTTCCCCCTGCCTGCCCCTCCCCCCCTCCAGGCTGTCCGGCACCCAGGTGTCGGCCTTCTCGCTGCACCCGGGCATCATCACCACCAAGCTGCAGCGCCACCAGGGCTGGCCGCTGCAGCTGGTGCTGCTGGCGCTGTGGCCCTGGTCCAAGACGGTCAAGCAGGTGGGGGGCAGGGAGCAGGGCAGAGGCGGGCGATTGCAAGGTGCTGGCCCTAGCATTGGCTGCCTCACCTGCAGGGCACTGCTGCCACCCGATTGCAACCAGTTTGAGGCGTACTAAGCCAGCCACGTGCGGCCCCTACACGCTCTCCCACCTCCCCCTGCCTCTCCCAAACGGCCCCCCCAGGGCGCCTCTACCTCCATCTACGCCGCCACCGCTCCCGAGCTGGCAGGCCGCAGCGGGGCCTACCTGGACAACTGCCGGCCCGCCCGCTGCAGCGCGGCGGGGGCGGACGAGCAGCTGGCGGGCCGGCTGTGGACCGCCACGGAGGCGCTGCTGGAGCGGGCGCTGAAGGGGGAGCTGAGGCGGGGGCAGTAGAGGGGAAGGGTTATATTAGTAGAAAGTGAGGGGAGGGGAGCAGGGAGGCAAGGAGGCTGCTGGCAGGGGCGGGTAGCAGGGGCGTGGGGGAAGAGCTATGGGAGAGCGGCATTTATGTTTCGCACCTGTGCCGTACGGTTGTGTCTCCTGTCAGGCAGTGCAGCGCCCGGGCTAGGGCGCTGCGCACAGCTCGCAAACATGCAAAGTTATAAATGACAGTGCCGATCACCACTTGTCGCGGCCTTCTCGAGAGGTTGCCAGCTTGCCCGCGTGTAGATGCGTGTATAGTCAGGTTCTCATGTCGATGGCCGTAATGCCTGTAGCAGTTAGTTGCAGGAACCACAATATCAGCAGCCCTCACGAGCCGGGTCAGTCCGTGGCCTAGCTGCCTTGCGGACGGACCCAGCCTCAGGCTCAAGGACAAGGACATACAGCCGGGCGGCGATACTTCGGCCACACAAGGTCTGTGTGCGCCCCTTCCTGCCAACACGAGGAAGCGAGAGGCGACTAGCCTTGCGGTGTGGACCCCGGTGACGCTAGGCGATCAAGCCCGTGTACGGGCGCGACAGCACGCCTCCAGACGAGTCACTATGCCTTTACGGCGGTTATAGCCTAGGGATTTGTGCCTGCTGTTTTCGTGGAGCGTGAGCATGCTCGTGAGCATGAGCGATTTAACAGGTGATTTAACAGGTCGCCACGGGGTAAGAGTACGGTAACCATTCAACGTTCAGACCAAGGTCCCCAGTAGACCCCTGATCGGTGTCACACCACACAGGCCCCCACTCCCGCCCAATCCCATGCCCGATTGCCTGTACCCTCATTCCCTGCTGCGCTGCCTGCCGTCCAGCTACTGCGGCCAGCCTTTGCAGCTGATGACGCCGAGGGTGCTGCCCCACCTGCTGCTGCTGCTGCCCCCGCCCAGTAGTAGCGCCAGCAGCAGCAGCAGCTGCCCCCCTACCCGCAACCCCACCACCCCAGCTCCAAGTGGTCTGCTCAGGGCGAGGGATCAGGGCAGCAGAGAATGGATGAAGGCGGTGCCGGATTGGGTGCAAGGCGATGGAAGTGGGGATTGAGGGTTGAGTTTTCAAGCGGGTTGCACCTTGCACGACATCGCTCAGGCGGAATGGCGCTTGTGGGCAGGGCTGCTGGAAAGAGGCTTCGGATCGAGCAGTCGGGTGCGTGTATGCGTGACCCTGGTCTGGGGGTAAGTATCGGCAAAAAAAGGTTGCTTCTATAGGCGACCGTGGAATGACCATGAAAACTATGCTTCTTCCCATCCGTATATGTATGCTGAATTGGACAGTAGCCTTAAGGAGGGAAGAAGGGCCCCAAAAAGTAATGTACGGCTTTCCCGAATGGGTAACAGGGTGCGGTCCGGCATCCCGCTACTACGGGGCTAAAGTTGCACTAGCATATAGACTGCAGCAACCGGAGACATGCTAGCTAGCTGTAAGTCACAGCCCCGGCGTCTATGAGACTATGACCCGTGCGACCCGTGAGCAAGCACAAACCCGTACACCCTAGATTTAGCTCAAATTCCATTCGTGCAGACGGGGGTGTTTTGAGTAATATTCAGTGAGCCCAGTGATTACGTAAAATAAGGAGACTGTGTTACAGAGGAACAACTCTGCAAGCGTAATCATCCAGTCGGCGAGTCGCCGACTAATATTTAACGCGACCGACAGAATGCAGGAGCTTGTAGATGCATTCTCACGCTTAGTCACGAGCTTTTCCAAACGGGACTTACCGACCTCGTCCATATCGCTGATTTCGCATGCGCATGGAAGACAGCGTCGCGAGGAGCGCGGCATCGAGCGCCGTGAACTGCAAGAGGCAATCAAATACGGTCGGAAGGAGCGCGCGAATCCCGGTCGTGATGGCAAGCCGCGCTGGCGGTACACCCACAAGGTGAGTTGACAGCTGTTTCTGCTGGCCTGCAGGTCCACCCAATGTACCGGCAGTCCATCCACCTGACTCCCACCTGGGGAACAGCCATGCCCAACCACATGGGCATGGACCATTCAAAACACACCTTGCAGCAATGAATTCGTCGCTACATCATCTTCGCTGTGCAACGTAATCCATGAACTCCGACGGCATTCCTCTCTCCTCATTCTCGACATCTATCCCTGCACCTCCCCTTTCAGACTAATCGAAAACTCCCGAATCCCCTTATACAGGGAGTAGTTTACATCACGGATGAAACCAGTCGTCACGAGATCACCAGCTGGCGACTTGACGACGCCCTAGAGGCGCCGCCCGCTCCCCTGGGCCCCGGCGGCGGCGGGGGTGCTGGCACCTCCCATGTGGTAGTCATTGTGGACAGCAGTGGTTCCATGCGCAAGGAGGATGTGCCCGGCTACACCAGCCGTACGGCAGCTGTGTACGACTGCCTGGCTCGGGACCTGGTGGAGCCCCAGCTCAAGGCGGGGGGCGCCGACATCGAGGTAGGTAAAGGGCCCAGGCAGGCCGGGAGCCGGGTGGAGGGCGAGGTGTAGCTATGCTTGGCTGTGCGTGTGTGGCACACCTCTGGGTGGCAGAGAGGCACTGGAGGGAGGCGATGGACCGACCCGTGAGCGAAGTCACGTCACCGCCACCCACCTGCCCTCCCACCAGGTCTCCCTAATTGAGATGTCGGACGAGGCCCACGTGGTTCTTGAGCGGGCCGCGCTGGACTCGCACCTCCTGCAGCTGCTCAAGGCGCGCGCCACCTCCCGCGCCCGCTCCCACGGCAACTACCTGCCCGCCCTGGACGCCGCACTGGACCTACTGGCGGGCGACGCGGCGCGCCAGTCCCAGCTATTCCTGGTGTTCCTAAGTGACGGGGCGCCCAGCGACCACACCGAGATGGCCTGCACCCACGGCTACTACGTCTGGCAACCCGACTACAACGCCCAAGGGACGTACGGGGGCCGGGGCCAGGGCCGAGGCAAGCAGCCGCTGCAGCGCTGCCCCATCTCCAACGCCTGCCGCAATGAGGTGCGGCGGGCGGTGGCGGAAGAGTGCGTGAGCCGGGTGCGGAGGCTGGGCGACTTGCTGGGGCGGGAGCGGGTGTTTGTGGGTACGGTGGCGTTCGGGCCGCCAGATGAGGACTACTCAGTGCTTCAGAAGATGGCGGCAGCACTGCCTCGCAGCTCCTTCCAGAAGCTGGGCCTCTCCGTCAACTGCCTGCGCACCGCCTTCACCTCCCTCACCTCCTCCCTCACAACGCTGAGAACTGAGGCGGGTGGCGGGGGCGGCCACCTCACCCTCCGCACCGATATTGCCAAGCGCGGCGAGCGGCAGACGTACGAGGAACGCACCACCATTGCTGACGGCGACGGCTGGGACCTCTACTGCGGCTCCAAGTGTCTGGCCAAGCGTAAGTACAACCCGAACACCCGAAGCATGGAGGACGCGCCCTTCATGGAGTCGGAGCTGGTTCGGGGCTGGGAGCGCAGCTACCCCCGGCTGCAACGCGGCATTGCGCACCGCATGTACAAGTTTGGTGAGGGCGCTGAGCGGGTGGTGTTTCAGTGCACGGAGGTGGTCAGCTTTGACGGCGGCGTGACGGCGGTGTGTGTGGGGCCGCGGCTGGTGGCCAAGTCCACTCGCTTCAAGCAGCACCTGGAGGATGCCAGCTTTCATCGCACCTTCTGCAAGACGCAGGGTGGGTGGCTGGGCGGGTGCGCGGGGCGTACCGCTGAACCGCTGAACCCGCTGAACGGATTGGGTGCGGTGCATGCATGGGACGATGGGAGCGTGGGTGTTTCGGGTGTTACAGAGGTGCGTGGTGGGGTTGAAGGTGCAAAATTGTAGGGTGCCAACAGCTGTGTGTGCTTGTGGTGCCTGGATGGGGGACGCGCAGCTGCATTGGCGGTTCCTTCCTCATTCTCGCTGAACATCCGCCGTACCGTACTCCCTCCCTGCTGCGCCCCCATTTCCCAGGCGAGGCCGAGGAGTTGGCTCAGCTGTTCAACCGGCGGCTTGCTGGCGGGCCCGCCTGGCAGGTGCACTTCCTGCCGTGCGCGGTGTACACCATCCTGGACTGGCGCTACAGCATCAGCAAGCGCGGAGTGCTGGACATTCTGGTAGAGGAGGAGCTGGAGGGCAAGTTCACAAAGTGGTGCGTCAGTGGAGGGGGCGGGGGCGGGCAGAAGGGAAATGGACGAGGGTGTGGTCGGGCTGTGGTTATGCGCTGGGAGTTGAGGTGGAGGTGCTGTAGAGGTGTGTGTGGAATTGGTTAGGTCGTGGTCAGCCTGCGCCTGAGGTGTGCTCTGAGCCGGAGTATGGAGTATGCGACATCCAGGGAGGCGGCTGTGTGGGTTTTTGAGGTTTTCTGGGGGGCCCTGGAATGCAGGGCGGGTGGCTGCCCCAACTTGACCGCAGCCACGCGCGCTAACGTTGTTGTGGCGGTTGTTCAGCACATGTATCAGTTGCTGCCGATCTACCGCGTGACCTCCTACCCTGAGGCTGCTCCCCATTATGCAACCTCTACTCCCCGCAGGAACAACAACGCGGGCGGGGTGGCCAAGGGCATGCAGGGCGTGGACAACTCGCTGCTTGGGGTGATTGCGGAGGGTGACGAGGAGGAGGACGAGGAGGGCGGCGAGGAGGAGGTCAGCTCCGGCGCATCCCAGGGCGCAGTGGAGCACGTGCCGCAGTGCTTCTCGCACTTCACCTACTACGTGACTGGCGGCAGGAAGCTGGTGTGTGACCTGCAGGTGGGCTGCTGGGAAGCGGGGGGGAAGGGGTAGCTGGTGGAGGGGCGTGCATGCGACCCATGGGTCGCGTGGCTGATCTAAAGATGCAATGGAAATCTCACCACACAGTGCGTACTGGGAGATAGCAGAGATCAATTCAGCTTATTGGTTGAACGTCCTGGTTGTCTCATGACCCGGCATGCATAGCTGCTTGCCCAGGCTTATAACGCTTGCCGTGTCGTCGGGACACACGTGTATGTGTCTCTGCCTGCAGGGTGTGTGGAACCCGGTGGACGGCTTCACCATGACTGACCCCGTGATCCACCACTCCTCCGGAAGCAAGCACAACGGGGCCACGGACAAGGGGCCGGAGGGGTTCCGCTCCTTCTTTAAAACGCACGAGTGCAACGCGCTGTGCAGGCGCCTGGGCCTGCCGCGGGGGCCCTAGGGCGCCAGTGGTGCGCGGCTGCCACAAGAAACAGGCAGGAGCGTGTGGTGACGTTTGGGGCTGTTGATTTCCCAGCAATCATTACGCCCGCTGCAGACTACTAGTGATTGTCCTAAATTACAAGTTTCCGGTTCTGAGAAAGGCAACCGAGAAGGGCGCATGGAGCTATTGTAGGTGAGCCGTGTAGTCAGTTCGCTGGTATTAAGACTCAGCAGACGGGTGCGCTTAATATTGTCTATCGCACGTATTGACGCAATTCATACTGTAGATTCACGTAGGGTATTGTACATATGGGTCTGCACTCGCCGTTGCTGTGCGCCGCGTGTGCTGCTGTGAGCCCCGCTATTGTATTGACGCGAGCAGGCAGGCGCGCTGTCTCAACACCTGTCAATGTACGTACGTGTGAGCTGTGCAGGGAGGTGTTTGGATTCGTATTGATGCAGTGGCGGCTGCAGTTGGTCAGGTATACTTACCCGGTATTTAAGACAGAACAAGCCTGCCATCGAGGCACACCTCCAGCCGAGTCGCTGTGTCGTTAGGGCCCGTTTGTAGCCTAGGGACTCCTAACTATGAGCGATTCTCTCAGTTGCTAGGTCTCAAGGGGTTAAATAGAGTGACCAATTAACGTCCGACCTGTATATTTGATTGCTGGTACAGCTGGTGCCGCTACTTGTGCGTTGTGGTGTCTAACCGACGCTGGCCGGTGCTTCCTTTGCGTTGACTACGGGGTCATGGCGTGGGGCGGCTTGCCGCTGCTGCCTCCTTGTTTCTTGTGTTCACTAAAGCGTGGCCGGTGGGACGGCTGGAGAAGAGCTGACGCATTTGAAAAACAACACGTCGTTCAAGAGCCCTGTCTTTATGTGCGCTGCCGTAACACGCTTCCCACACGGTGTCGCACCTCAACCGCGCTTCACTGATTCCGCGGACGGCTCCCGGGGGCCTTAGCGGCTCATCCGAGGCCTCTGCATGCCCGCCTCATACCACAGGTCCCCCCACCGCCCTCCTCCGCTACTTGGCAACTTGGGACAAGTGCAAGACTTCTTGAGCACAGTACGATAGAGCTGTTCGACAAACACCGAACACGTCTGGATATCCCATCACCCCCAGCATGCTTGGCACCCGCAGGCACGCGTTCATGCGTTCACTCACCCACACCCACAAAGCGCTACCTAGCTACCTATCCGCTCCCTCCTCCTCCTCCCCCTCCCGGCTGCCGCCCTCCCGGCTCCTCCGCCCCTCCTCCTCCATCCTGGCCTGCTCCCTGCGCGCCTCCTGCAGCAGCTCCTCCGGCAGGGTGCTGTAGTCCCGCTCCGCCACCTCCTCCCACGCCACCTCGGGCGCACCCGCCAGCAGTCGCCGCCACCAGCCCTCACTGGCCGCCCCCTCGGCAGGCCGCATCTTAACCAGCGTCACCACACACTTCCCCCCCTCCCCGCACGACCCTGTGTCCTCACCCGTATCCGCATCCCCGGCTGCGCTGCCTGCCGTTGCTACCAGCGCCAATGGTGCTGTCCCCGATGTCTGCTGCTGCTGCCCCCGCCCATTAGTAGCGCCAGCACCAGGACCAGCTGCCCCCCTGCCCGCACCCCCACCACTCCCACCACCCCAGCTCCAAGTGGTCTGCTCGGGCAGTACGGCGGCCTCCAGGGTGCCGTACAGGTACTCCTCGCCTGTCGTACGGTTGGCGACTCTGAGGCTGTGCGGCCGCACCTCCACCAGCAGCTCGCTGGCGGGCAGGTCGGGGGGCACCTGGCGGGAGGCGGTTGAGAGTGGGGGAGCGGCGAGGAATGACCCGAATGAGCAGTGTAAGAGGATTATCATATTGCAAGCTTCCCTCCTGAACCCCATGCAGTCCGGCAAGCACAGTACGTTCCGCCTCGCGGCCAGTTATCTTAACACACCGCAACCCAGCAGCACAACCCCCGCCCGGGTCCCCGCCCTCCCCACCCGAGTTGCGATCACGTGCACCTCCCCCGCGCTCTGCCGCCAGCGGTATCCCGCCCCTTCCGGCTCCGCCCACACCGCGCTGTCCCCCGCCAGGCTGGCCGGCAGCTCGGAGGCGCTGTACACCGCCCGGGACAGCCCGAACGGGTGCCTCCTGCCGCGCTCCACCGCCCGCCCCGCGGCGGTGACCAGTCGGTACTGCCGGAAGGGCAGCGGCAGCAGGCCGGCGGGGGCACGCTGCAAGGGGGCGGGGAGGCGGCGAGGTAGGATGTTTACGGGGTTACAACCGTGTGGGACAAAGGGAAGGCCAGGACGGGTGGTGGGGAATCAGGGACCGGAGACGCTTACCGGCAATACATCGATATCGACCTCCGGTAGTCCGGTGGCCACCTCACTCCCGCCCGCCGCCTGCTCCCCTGCAGCCCGCACCGGACCCCGTGCTGCAGGGGGCGGCAGCAGCAGCGGGGCCGCCGCACCCAGGCGCTGACCCGGCCCGGGCTGGCCGGTGCTGCCGGCTGCTGCGGCGGCCGCGGTGAGGGGCCGCACACGGACGGTGCTGCCCCCGCCGTCAAGTGCGCCCGCCAGAGGCAGCAGATCGGCCGCCAGCGGGCCCTCCGGGTCCTGCGGGGGGAAGAGGGGAGGGGGGGGAGCAGTGAGAGTCAGCCGGGCTCTGGAAGCCCAGGACATCCCTAGTGAAACGCAACTGACCCGGGAGCCAACTGAGCAGCGGGCCCTTGGTCCTATGCAAACGGGCATGGCCACCATGGGCCCTCCTCCCTCCCTCGATCCCTCGCTCCCTCCCTGCTTCACCTGTAACAACCGAGCAACCGCCTCCACGCCGCCAGCTTCCCGCCCCGCACTGCTGGGTTCGGACCGTTCACTACTCGTGCCTGCACCCGCTGCCAGTGTCACCGTCAGCCACACTTGCAGCCCCGCGGCCCCATACCGCACCCGCTCAATGAGCACAGCGCCTGGCCGCACCCCGCACCCTCGGGCTAGGGCTGCGCGGAAGGCCAGCCGGGAGGGGCCGCTGAGGGGCGGGCCAGCGGGGCGGGCGGGTGTACCGGCGGCGGCAGCAGCTGCTGGTGGTGGTGGGCCCGGCTCCGGGGCAGCATGCGGCGCTGCTCCCGCCGGTGCCGGTCTGAAGACCAGGAGCGCCTCAATGAGGTGCGCATCCTAGGGGCAGCAGTGGGGTAGCAGCAGCAGGAAGAGGGAAAGGAACAATGGGTCGTTAGCGCACATATACGGATATGCGACCAGCACAGCACAGCACAGCAGCTTAGGACGACGGAGGAGACGTGTGCATGTGGCCTCACCGCCCGCCTGCCCACCTCACCGGCCTTTCCTCCTCCCGCTCAGCTCCCTCGGACATGAGCCCCAGCGCCCGGAGCAGGGGGGCGCTGCGGGGCAGGGGCAGCCGGGGCGCCGCTGCGTCTGCATCCAGCCGGGCGCATGCAGACCTGCGCACCGGGAGGAGGGGCGTGAGGGGTGGGTGTAGGGAGTGGTGTGGGGGCCGGCTTAGGGGGATAGAGGGACAGCTCCTGGGTCTACAGCGTGAACGACAGGCCCCTACAGCGGGCACGACAGCCGGCCCTTCCCCACGCACCTGACCCGCTCCGTCATCCGGTTGCTGCCGGGGCACAGCCGCTGCGCCCCCAGGAAGGCCGCCAGCGCAGCTGCCAGGTCCCGATCCAGGCCGGCACTGCCGTCACTGCCGCCATGGCCGCCAGCCCTCGCGGCAGCAGCGGCTGCTGGCGGGTTCCCGCTGTTGCTGCTGCTGCTGTTGCCGCTGCCAGCGCCGCCGGCGGCCATCCAGGCGTCCCCGCACACGCAGCAGCTCCAGGCCAGCAGGTCCACGAGCGCCTCGGGACCCTCCTCGCCTTCCTGCTCATCTTCCTCATCATCCCCGCCACCTTGTCTCTTCGGCTGCGGAGGAGGTTGCTGCTGCCGCTGTGGGCGCGGGGGGAACAACCGCTCCGGTGTGTACAAGGTGCTTCCTGCATACCTCCGGCTATTGCGATCACAGCTCGCCCATACCCCTGCACCCTCCCCCGTACGCAGCGGCGCTGTACTACCGTGTCGACCTCTCTAACCAGCCCAGCCCCCCAGCACCCCAGCTGCTGTTAGCCGGCCCACGCCACGTAGCGTGCTCCCCACCTGCGCCCCACCCTCCCCCACCCAGCCTACCTGCGTCAGCCTCCCGCGCAGCTCCACCGCCGCTGCCGCCGCATGGGCCGCCGCGGGGCCGCTGTGCCCCGCCCGCAGCAGCACCGCCGCCAGCAGCAGCCGGGACTCCAGCGAGGGGGCGCCGCCGCGGGAGGCCCAGCGGCGGTAGAGGGTCCGGGGATGGAAGGCGGCTAGGGGGTTCAAGGGCAGGGGTGAGGAAGGGGCAGCCGGAACTGGGTAGGTATTGGGAAGGGCCTCCCTAGAGGTACGTGTGAGCTGTCATGCGCGACAAGATACCTAGGGTTCCTTCGCACTTGCACTTGCTTCCACCGCGCCCTTAGCTTTTGAACCCGTTCACCTCTTCCCCCCGCCCCCCAACGCATGGTTTCTCTTCCTTCCCCCAGCCCCCCCATCCCCGCACCTGTGGGCGGCAGCGCCCCCGCCCCCCCGGCCCCCTCCTCCGCCTCCCGCACCACCAGGAACGCGGCCTCCCGCAGCTCCGCCTGCACTCCGGGGGGCAGCAGACTCCAGCTGCTGCTGCCAGCAGGGGGGCCGGGGGCGGGACCTGTGCGGTCGCCCTCAGCAGCAGCAGCACCGCACACAGCTGCAGCACTGTCGCCGCTCTCCGGTGCCGCCGAGCCGCCGGGCGCCCCAGCGCTGCTGCTGCTGCTGCCCAGCAGTCGCCCCAGCGGCGGCGGCGGGGGCAGCTGCAGCGCCCGGGTTAGCAGCGCCTCCGCCAGCTGCGGCCGCGTGAGGCCCGCCACTGCCTCCGCCAGGCGGCGGGAGACGTCCGGGTCGCCTAAGGGGGCGAGTGGGTGGGTGGGTGCGGGGCGGGAAGGGCAAGGAGCGGAAAGGAGAGGTGAGGAGTGCCTGCCCGCGCTGGTGCCACAGCCCTCTACTCCGCCCGCCCTCTCGCCGCCACCCTACCCACCTGGCTCCAGCTCCGCCGCCCTCGCCAGCGCCGCCGCCGCCTCCTCATGTCGCCCCAGCGCCAGCAGCGCCTGCCCTGCCCGGTAGTGCCCCTTGGCCCACCCCGGCTGCTCGCGGGTCAGCGCCGCGGCGTCCCGCAGCGCCTCCCCCGGCCGCCCCGCGCGCAGGGCCGCAAGCGAGCGGTTAGCGCGCAGGGCTCGGCGTAGCAACGGGGCGGAGGTGCAGGCGGGCAGGGTGGCCAGCGCGGCGCCGTACCAGGCTCGCGCATCCCGTGTGTTGCCGTCGCTGAGGGAAGTGTCGCCTCGGAGCTTGAGGTACTGCGCCTTGAGAAGCCTGGGGGGAGGCGGGAGGTGGTAGGGCAGCTGGGTGGCTGTGAGAGGGTCTGGATGGTGGTAATGCACGTGGACGGGCAAGGCGGATGAGTTCGTTGGCCCGAGTATGAGAGCTTACCACCCATCCCGCCCACCCATCAGTTGCCCCTCAGCCCCCCTGTGCCCCCGGCGCACCTCAGCTCGGTGCCCTCCAGGCAGTGTGCGGCAGGCAGGCCGGAGTGCAGCTCGGGACAGATGTACGGCAGGGGGTCCGGCCGCACATGGCCCTCGCAGCAAGAGGAGGAGGGCATGGCTGGCGAGCAGGCGGTTTCGGATGGTGTGAGGTATGAAGTTATGTTTAGAGGTTTATGCAGTCGAACGCAAGCTTACGGCTGTTTTCATGCAACTGGACCACCCGTGGGTCAGAAGCGTTAGTCAAGCCGTCAGTTTCGCGATTAGCTGCTTCGCATTGACAGTATATTTACAGTGCTGGGTGTTGTGTTAGCTGTGCCCAGCCTCGCATCTCAGACGCTGCATACAACACGCTGCAAAGACAAGGTCGCGACTGCTGCGTGCTTCGCACTCTCGCTAGCTTTCTCGCTTGCTGTCTGGTGCAGCAGCAGCAACACAAGGTCAGCAGAGCAGCGGCAACAGGAGCGGGGCTTCGGGTGGTATACACGGGGTGCAGTGCTCCATCCGGCACGAGGCAAGGGGCACGAGGCAAGGGTCGCTTTCTTCTTGGACCTGTCCGCGAGTCGGGGCTGACCGGTAAACACACATAGACAGTGTTCCCGTATGAATGCTGTACACAGGTACCGGAGTAGCGTCACGCTTAGCAGTTTCGCTTACAGTGCACAGCTCGGTCAGTATCCGCCCGCCCCAGCACCTGACTGTGCAACCATGGACCGGACCCGCCCACCTCCCCGCCCCACCATGCAGCCATTTGGTCTATCTTTGGTCCCCCAACCATGCATTCGTACCAAGCCTCAACATGCATCCAACGCCAACCTAATCCGCCCACCACTGCCCCTTCAGGCCTACCTCTTAGCTTCCTCCAGGCCTACTCCCCTGCAGTCACTACCAGCAACCTCCACCCTGAGTGCTCCGCCACACCCACACTTTCGCCGCCCACCTCGCACCACCCGCCTACACATCCATATCTCCACGCGCCCTCGCCCCCGTCGCCGCCATACCGCTACCACCGCCTCCCCTCCCCTCCTCCGCTCCGGCCCCCTCAGCGGCCGCCCTCCCGACCCCGCCATCACCACCACCACTTCGAACGCTGCCCCCTCCCCCCTGCCGCTGGCCCCCCTGCCGCCGCCTCCACCGCTGAGACAGCGACTGCGACTGCTGGCGCTGCAGCTGCCTCTGAAACACCTCCGCCAGGCCCCCCGCCCCGTCCGCCTCCTCCTGCCCTCCCCCCGCCCCCTCTTCCTCCCCCTCGTCGCCGGTGCTGCTGATCTCCCCCTCCTCCGCACCCTCCCAGCCCCCCATCCCCGCCTCCCCACCCGCCTCCTCCTCATCCGGGCCCCGACGAGGCCGCCGCAGACGCCAGGAGCCCCCACCGGGCGCCAGAGCCACCGCCGCCTGCAGCCTGGTGGGGAGGGGGGGAGGAAGAGGAGGAGCGGGGGAGCTGGTCGCTCAAGAGGTGTGATACGGGCTCAGGAAGCGTATGGGGCATGGGTGCATCTACATACCGGTAACGCAAGGGACCCAGGGGGATCACTGGCCGGCGAGCAAGCATGCGAACGGCGCAATGCATGTGTGCGGCAGTGCGCTGCGTGTCAACAGGTCCATACCCGTGCACCCGGTGCAACCCCCCTCCCTCCCTCCGCCCGACCCCCTCCCCCCCCACCTGCGGTCCATCTCCTCCGCCTCCTCCACCAGCCTGCGGTGCTGCTCCGCCGCCGCCACCACCTGACCCGCGGGACTCAGGTATAGCGAGTTGGGCGGCAGCGGGCAGCAGGCGGCGGCGGCGGCAGCAGCTGCAGGTGATCTGAGTGCCGCCGCAGCAGAGGGGTGCGCAGTGGTGCCGTCGCCAGCAGACCCGGCAGGAGTCGCTGCGGTGGTGGAGGAGGCAGCGGGCGGGGCGGCCGCCGCATGTGCGGGCGGGGCCAGCGGCGAGTAGCGGCCAGCCGCACGGGCCAGCCCACCACCACCACCAGCGTTGCCCGCATCACCATCCTGGGTTCCCGCACCCCCAGCAGGGCCCAGGGTTCCCAGCGCTGTCGGTGCCGGTGCCGGCCTCACCTCCACCACCCGGTCCTCCCCCCCGCCACTGCCGTACACCACCGTCAGCCGCCCGCCGCCACCTCCACCTCCCCCCACACTGCCGTCCGCAACACCCTCACCGCCGCCGTCCGCTTCCTCACCCGCACCCGCCGGCGCCGCCGCCACACCCCCTTCCCGCCCCACACGCAACCCCACACCGCCACCCTCCTTGTCGCTCCTCCATCCCTCCCCACCACCTCCTCCTCCCTCCCCCTCCTCCCCCTCCGTCCCGAAGCCCGCCTCATCCATCAGGTCCAGGTCCGCCGCGTCCCGCAGCGACAGCGTGTTCCAGGGCCGCCTGTACAGCCTCTGCACGCCCCGGTGGAAGGCTGCTGCGGCCAGGGTGGCGGGCAGCACCAGCGGCGCGAAGGGGAAGCGCTTGATGGAGAGCAGCGCCAGCAGCACCACGTGGGAGAGGTAGAGCGACACCATCACCTGCCGGAACACCTGGGGGCGGGGAGGCGGGCGGGCGGGCGGGCGGGGGGATGACGGAGGGAGGTGGGAGAAGGGGAAGGGGAGCAGGGTGGGTTGTAGTCCAACTAAGCTAGGGCAGCTGAGAGGAACAAACGTGTAAACAGCGAGAGCAGAAGCGGCTCCATGCTGTTTCCACATGTTCTGGCAGCCCTCTCCCGGCTGTTCCAGCGCTCTCCCGGCCCCCTTTCCCCCCTCCCCTCCCCAGCCCCTCTCGCCCCCACCTGGCTCCACATCCTTCCTCCGCTCTCGTAGCCCCTGCCCCAGCAGTAGCAGTGCTGGTAGCGCTCCAGCAGCCCCACCAGCCCGAAGTAGCAGCAGCAGGCGGGCAGCACCAGCGGGTGGACAACGCAGTACACCAGGCCTGGGGGCGCGGGGTGGGGGCGGTGTGGGGGGAGGTGCGGGGTGGGGAGGGAAGAGATGCGGGATACCGGCTGAACAACTAACTGCGGGACCCCAGTTCGCGCTGTGTAGCCATGCCCCTCCTCCCTCATGCCTCCACCCCCCCCTCCACCCCCCACCACCCACCCAGCAGCAGCACCATGCTGTGGTGCGGGCAGCTGCCCGCGTACTTGGCGGCGGGCGGATCCCACAGGCGGGCGCGGGCGCGGGGGGTGGCAGCCAGACCGCTGCGCACCCACAGAGACAGCAGCGACAGAGGCCGCAGCGCGCCGATGGGGGAGACAACCAGCGCCTAATGGGGGGGGGGGGGTAGCGGGGGTAGGCGGAAGGTTGGGTGTCATATACTGGTACGTTCGGTACAGTTATCTTAGCGTCTCAACCTGCTTAGCCCCCGCCTATCGGCCCCTCGCCCCCCCTCCTACGCCTCTCCCCCTCTCCCCCCCTCTCACGCTGAACAGTATGTAGGCTATGAAGAACGATGCGGTCTGCGGCGCGCCGGTGCCCAGCACGCTCAGCACGGCCCCGGGCGCCGCCACGAACTGCGCTATCTGGTTGAGCAGCGCTCCCGCCAGGAAGGAGGCGATGAACACCGCAACCACCTGCCGGGGGGGGGGACGGGGGGGGGAGAAGTGAGGAGAGGAGGGAGGGAGGGGGAGATGAGCGGTAGCGTATGGTTGTATGTCACTGTACTACGCCGCTGTCTGCAGTCGCTGAGTTGAGCCTCAACCTCTGCTAGGGCCACACGTCACCCCGCTCACCTGCCTCTCCCCAGCCAGCGCCCCCCCCCAACCCACCTGGAAGTCGAAGGCCAGTGTGGTGGTCCTGAAGTCCACCTCGCTCAGGCTCTCCGCGCCCGCCCACCCCACCAGCCCGCCCAGCAGCCGCGGCAGCAGCAGCAGGAACAGCCGCAGCACCGCGCCAGGCAGCAGACCCGACAGCAGGCTGCGAACCACTCGCACGCGCACCAGCCAGCGCAGCGCACGAACCCGCTCCAGGCGCCGGATCTGGGCACAGGGCACAGGGCAGCGATGAAACAACCCAGGACGCGTGGCTCTTGCGACATGTTGGCACACTCTGTCACGCTTATCCCTCCTTCCTCATGCAGCTGCCCCTCCAGTCCCAGCCACCCTCCACCCCCGCGTCCACAAATGATTCGCCCTTTTGTGGTTCTCGTATGGTTTGGTTTAGTTTGATCCCCTCACCGCCACCCCCGCACCTGCAGCAGCCCCTGCAGTGCGGAGATGGGCAGCGAGTAGGTGAGCAGCAGTGCCAGGAAGGCCGTCCGCGCCATCGCCCGCCGCCCGCTCAGCTGCCACAGCCGCAGCCGCAGGTTGCCCCACAGCAGCTCGCCCGGCTCGGGGGCGGGGCGGGCGCGCCACACCGCCTCGTCCCGGTCATGCAGTGCGGTGGACACCACCGCGGCGTCCCAGCGCCGCCTGGGGTGTAGGGGAGAGGGGTGAGCAGGAGGTGAGAAGAAGCAAGGGTGTTAAGGTAGGGGAGGAACAGGTCTGCAGCACCATCTTCGCCCCCCAAGGAGGAGGGAAAAGCTGTGTGTGGTTCCACCCCCCTTCCCTCCCTGCCTCCCCCACCTGAACGTTGCTAGTGCGGTGGGCACGTACGGCAGCTGCTCCTCCCTGCCCAGCCCCTCCCGGATCTGCTCGTACAGCGCCTGCAGGCGAGTGCGCAGGTGCACCAGCTCGTCCACCCGCACCGGCCGCATGCCGTACAGCGACACCGCCCACCCGCCCAGCAGCGGACCCAGCACACGGACCTGGGGGCAGCACGCGGAGGGGTGGCGGGTGGCGGAGTGCAATGACCCATGGGTCAGTACAAAGCGGCGAGATGGCCGCATGTAGACAGTAGCCACTTCCCTCTAATGCTGGACTCACCCTTCCCCATCCCCCCCACAACCGCGCCGGCCCCCCTACCTGCCGCCTGCGCACCCTCTTCCCCGCCGCCAGCTGCGCCGCGTAGGTGTCCATCAGGTCCTCTAGCCGCCTCCGTGTGTCGCCGTACGCCGCCACCGGGCCCGCCAGCGCCCGCTCGTCGCGCAGCAGCTGCAGCGCCACCAGGCGGCAGGGCGGGAACACCTGGGCCAGCTCGGAGGCGACGAAGGACTGGGGGGGGGAGGTGGGCGGGACGGGGTTAGGAGCATGCTAGCACTGTAGCGGGACCCAGTCGCACGGGTGGGGAGCCGTGCATGCGATCATCGGCATGCGCTTCCCCACTCCTGTCTCCCCCACCCCAATCCGTCTTCCCCTCACCGGCGGGTCCATGCGCGCCAGCGCCTGCTGCGCTCGCTCCCAGCTGCTCAGCACGCGAGGCGACTGAGGCGGCAGCACGCGAAGCTGGGGCGGCTGGTGGGGGTGATTGGGATGGTGGGGGTGGTGCTGCTGGCCGCCCCTGCGCCGCCGCAGCAGCAGGGGCGCCCCGGAGGTGGCGTCAGAGGAGGCGGATAGCGGCGGGGAGGGTGAGGAGGAAGGAGCGGCAGAGGGAGGAGGAGGGGAAGGGGAGGCCGCTGCTGAGGCCGCCCCTAGTGGCGCCTGGGGTGCAGGGCAGCCCTCCTCCTCCCGCCGCTGCGCCTCCTCCTCCTCCCCGGCCCCAGGGCGGCGGGGGGGCGCCGCGCGGGTGTCCCCAGCCCTGTCGGCGGCTCGCGGGCTGGCGGGTGCGGGGGGGCTGGGGGGCGGCACCTGCAGCCCCAGTACGGCATCCAGCCGGTCTAGACATCTGGCCAGGAAGGGGGGGCGTGTGGGGGGAGCAGCGGGAGGGAATGGGCTAGCTGAGTCAGCTGGGGGCAACAGCTGCCATACCATGAGCATCATCGCCTCTTGCAGCCCCCGGCCCTACAATCCATTTTTAACACTCATATCCTACCGCATCCCTCCCTCCCGCCTCCCCTCCGCACCTGCTAGCCAGGTCTGACGCCGCCGCCACACCCCCCCTGGCGCCTCCCACACTCCGCAGCACCGCCGCCCCCACCGCCGCCCGCAGCCGCCGCGGCAGCCAGCGGAGCAGCGGGCCGGTGGCCAGCCACTGCCGCAGCCGCTGCGACCGGGTGCCGTAGGTGAGGCCTGCGAGGCGGCCATGTCACGTGGGGTGCTTGCATGACAGGTGGGGTGCTTGCATGACACGTGGGGAGGCAGGCTGTAGGGGTGCTTGCATGACACGTGGGGAGGCAGGCTGTAGGGGTGCTTGCATGACACGTGGGGAGGCAGGCTGTAGGGGTGCTTGCATGACACGTGGGGAGGCAGGCTGTAGGGGTGCTTGCATGACACGTGGGGCACGTCCCTCTGCTGCCCCCCGTGCACTGAACTGGCAGCAATGCTGCCCATAAGTGTGCTTCCACCACACCCCGGCTGACACCTGACGCAAGAAAACCATGTACGAGTTCATATCCCGCAGCGCTCATACGTATAATGAAATTTCCCGTACACACCAGTTTCCTTTTTTTGGGTAGGGTGCACGGCTACGGCGATAGTGTACGGCCGCAACCATGCTGGTGGGTCGGATACGCAAGCGCACCCACTGACCGCACCCCCTCAAAATATTGAAGTTAATCGCAGGTCCTCAATGAGGACCATGTAAGCGATTAGACTTACAAGAACAGATACTACACATGATCTGAGCCAAAAGGCCGAGAAAGGTATGAAGATATTGTCTACCATGTTAGCGACCATATCCAGGGCAGTTCAAGGGCTCAATTCATGGGTATGATGGTGGGTCCGTAACGTCCTCGCCTGCACGTCCCTCTGCTGCTCACTCATGGCCGCCTCTGGACCTCCTTCCGACCCCTGTCGGGCCCGACCCACCCACCCACCCTATTCTTCTCCTCCCTCCCTCCCTCCCTCCTCCTCTTCCTCCCTGCCCCCTGCCCCCCTTCCCCCCCGCCTCACCCGGTATGTCCCGCAGCAGCACCGTGTGTGAGCTGCCCCCGGGCGGCGAGTGGGTGACATGCAGCACCCGCAGCGCCACCGCCTGCTCGCTAGCCCGCCACAACACCTGAGGCGGGCGGGCCCGGAATGGGGGGTCAAAAGACCATACCAAACCATAGGAGACCACAAGAATGGGGAATGGGGGGGGGACATGGGGGTTGCAGGACCCGGAATAGGGACGTGAAGCTCACGCAGGCAGCAGGAGCCGAGGGAAGCGGTGACCAGCAGCAGCCCTCCACAGCAGTCTGCCCTCGCCAGGTCACCCCATGCACTCTGCGTCCCCCCTCTCTCCCTCCGCCCTCCCTCACTTCCCCCACAGACATCGGAATTTCTTCTTTTCCCTCGCTCCCCCCCACCTGTATCGTGATGGCCGTCACCACATACACGGACGCCAGGTGCACCCACATGAGCGGCGACCCGGGCGGGATGTTGGCCAGGCTGAGCCGGTCCAGGTCGCTGAACACGTAGCGCGAGCCGGCGCCGGGGGTGCCGGGCAGGGAGGCGCTGGGGGGCGGGTCGGGGGCGTGGTCGTCAGCGGCAGGGGGGGAGGGGGAGGAGCCGAACAGGCCCCCGCGCTTGCGGGCGGTGTTGCCCGGTGGAGGCGCAGGTGGAGGTGGAGGTGGTGAGAGAGGTAGAGGCAGGGGCAGCAGGGGTGGCGCGAGTGTGGGTGCGGGGGCCCCCTGGGGGCTGCTGCTGCCGTTGGCGCTGCCGTTGAGGTGGGTGTCGTACTTGAGGCTGGTCTCCGCGCCCGCTGCCGCCGCCTTGGTGGCCTCCTGGGCGGCCGCCTGCGCCGCGGAGGTGGCTACCGGGCCGGGATCCTGACCCGCCATCAGCCGGGACACCTCGGAGCCCTGGGGGGGGGGGTGCAGGGGGGGCGGTGGGCGGCCGCATCATACCGGTAGGTACGCATGCGGTTGCGCTGCTAAGACGTGCGGTAGGACCAGCAGCCCCGCTACCAGGTCGGCCCCTGGCGCATGCTACCCCGCCCGCAGCCCGGCAGCTCCTCCCCCCCGCTCCCTACCTCCCCCCCCCTACCGACAGGTTGACCGGCAGCACCACCGCCAGACACCACACGGACAGCAGCAGGAAGATGCGCAAGCCTGGGGGCGGGGCGGAGGGGCGGCGAGGGGGTGCCGGCGGGGCGAGGACGACATGGGAGCCAGGCGAGGATGCGTCGGGCCGCGACTGCAGCCAGCCATCCTGCACCCCACAGCCGCCCCACCCCACTCCCCACCCACCCAGCCTCAGCTGGTTGAGGTACTGCGCCCCGTCAGTTCCCGCCAGCGCCAGCACCCGCCCCCGCGGCAGCCGGGCCACCTGCCACAGCCAGCACCACCAGCGCAGCCGGGGGGGGCGGCTGGACGGGGGCACGCGGGAGGAGTACCTACGGCGGGGGGGGGGGTAAGATGGGGAGAGGGGGAGAAGGTACCGGCAAGTGGGTAAGTGGGTAAGAGAGGAGGTGGATGGCCGCCCTGTGTTGATCCGTACAAAGAGCAGCGGAGTGCCCCCCGCAGCCGTACAGGGTGCCTCAGCGATGTCCCCGACGGTTGAGCCGCTGGAGCCGCCCCCCCCATCCCCAGTCAGTTAGTTGTTTCCTCTTTATCCCCCCACCCGCCCACCTGCGTGGCGCGTAGAAGCGGCGGGTGGGCGGCAGCGC